CTTTGTAGTCTGGACGTGCTTGGATTAGAAGACCATGTTGAAGGAGATCAAGGGAGCGTGTATCGAGAATTTAAAGAACAGCTTACTCAGCAAGAGGACGGTCGATATGAGACATCGTTACCATGGAAGGCTCACCATCCGGAGCTGCCGACCAATTACCTTGTAGCCAAGAGGAGATTTCAGTCATTATTCAACCGACTTGACAAACAGCCTGAACTGCTGAAGACTTATCATGATATAGTGGAAAATCAACTCAAAGATGGAGTGGTCGAGATTGCGCCTGAGAAACCTGAAGGGAGCCGAGAGCATTACATTCCCCACAAACCGGTAGTACGAGAGCAAGCCGAGTCTACGAAAGTAAGAATTGTGTTTGATGCTTCGGCAAAAGCTGATCAAAAATCCCCATCATTGAATGATTGCTTGGACATTGGTCCCCCACTCCAAAGAAGAATCCTTGACATACTACTTCGTAATCGACTTAAACCTATTCTCTTAGCTGGTGATATAAAACAAGCGTTCCTACAAATAGTGATTAGAGAGAACGAGCGAGATGCGATGAGATTTTTATGGATAAACGATCTACAATGCAAAGAGATGGTGGTGTATCGTATGACCAGAGCGATGTTTGGGCTAGGCCCAAGCCCATTCTTACTCGGAGGGACTTTGAACGTTCATCTCGAGAAGTATGCAGAGCACTATCCACAATGTGTTGAAGAATTATCTGAAGGAACGTATGTTGATGACATAAACATCGGAGGTGATAAAGTAGAGGAGACGGTAGTACTCAAGGAGCAAGCCAAAGAAATTCTCAGCGAGGGAAGCTTTGTTTTGCACAAATGGCATTCTAATGCTGCGGAGTTAGAGAGTGACAACGTGGAAGACGGAGAATCTACCTTTGCTAAAGAAACTTTGGGAACTAAGCCATCGGAGACCAAGCTCCTGGGACTGGGATGGAACAAAAAGGAGGATACTTTGTCTGTATCACTACCAAAGCAGAAAGTAGAAATGACCAAACGGATAGTTCTTCAAACAATGGCGAGAGTATATGATCCCCTGGGTTTAGCTAGTCCATATTTACTCACAGCTAAAGTAATCTTCCGTGATATATGTGATCGTAAGCTCGGATGGGATGCTGAATTACCTAAAGATCTGAAGGATCGATGGAAGCGGTGGTTAGATAGATTACCAGGCAGTTTAACCTTCCCAAGAAGTATCCCTCGAGAGAGAGTCGTCACTACCGAGATTTACATTCATGGTTTCGCTGATGCAAGTATTCTGGGATGTTGTGCCGCTGTCTACGTTGTGACCAAACAGGGTGCTCTAGTTTCTCAAGGGCTGCTAGTGTCCAAAACGAGACTGGCAAAGCGAGATTTAACAATTCCAAGATTGGAACTAGTGAGTTGTCATATGGTCTGCAATCTTATTGACAATGTCAGAAAGGTTCTTAGTCATCTTCCAGTGATAAGCGTTTGTGCGTGGAGCGATTCGACCGTTTGTCTACAGTGGATTAACGGACAGGGTAACTATAAGCAATTCGTAGCAAATCGAGTGAAAAAGATCACCGAGAAGCAAATCGAGTGGAAGTATGTTCCAACTCTGGAAAACCCTGCAGATATCGGCAGTCGAGGTACAACACGAGATCTTCAAGCGAATGAAACCTGGATGAAAGGGCCTAGTTGGTTGAGTGAAACTGAAAAATGGCCGGAGCAAGTAAAGATCAAACCGAGCGAGAAGTCCGAGTCAGAAAGTCGAATGATGAGAGAACCATTCAGAGAGAAGAGATTGTTTACTAGAGAAATTCGGTCTGACTAAAACTGTTCGAATTTTAGCTTGGGTCACGAGATTTATTGACAACTTCGTGTGTGGCAAGAAAGTCAACGGACCATTAGTGACCGAAGAAACACAGAAGCAGATGAAGTTCTTGATTAAACGCGCACAATCCGAGAGCGAAGCACTTGAGATCTTCAAAGTGGATTCTACCAGATTAAATCTTCAAAAGAATGGCGAGGGAATATACGTGTGCCAAGGACGAATCCAAGGTGAATATCCAGTGTATCTGCCAGCAAAACATGTATTATCTGAATTGGTCGTAAAGCAAGCTCATATGAAGACCCTGCATGGGGGAGTTGCCCTGATCATGAGCAAAGTCCGTGAAGAATTCTGGATTCCTAAATTACGAACTTTGGCGAAGAAAGTTCTCAGTTGTTGTTATGGTTGCAAGCGGTTCCATATAGTGCATGAACCAACTCCACCTCAAGGTAATTTACCAAAAGAAAGAACCGAAGGGATGACGCCATTTGAAATCGTTGGTGTAGATTATGCTGGCCCTATTTACTATCGAAACAAGAACAATGAACAGAAATCGTATATCCTTATCTACACCTGTTCCTTAACAAGAGGGCTCCACTTGGAACTTTTACCTGATTTGAGTTGTGAGGAATTCCTGGCAAGTTTCAAGAGGTTTGTAGCGGTTCGCGGTAGACCAAAGAAGATGATTTCAGATAATGGTAAGACCTTTCATGCTGCGGCGAAGTGGATTAAGAAAGCAACCCGAGATGAAAGGTTTCACGCATTTCTGCACGACTATCAAATTCGATGGCAGTTTAATCTGAGTAAAGCAAGTTGGTGGGGAGGTATGTTTGAGAGGATGGTCGCGTTGGTAAAGAATTCGTTGTACAAAGTTGTTGGTTCTGCAAAACTCACCTACAAGGAGTTGCAGGATGTGTTGCTAGATATCCAGATAGCACTCAATAATCGACCATTAACGTATTGCGAAGATGACGTGCAATTACCTGTTCTCACGCCTAACCTGATGATATTGGGTAAAGCCAATTATTTATTGGAACTTCCGAGTGCTGAAATTGAAGATGGTGATATGCGAAAAAGAGCAAAATATTTGAAGAAATGTAAAGAGGCGTTATGGCGGAGATGGCGAAATGAATACATGAGAGCGCTTCGAGAAAGACACGACTTACGACATAACGGGAAAAGCGGAAATTTACGAGAAGGTGATGTGGTACTTATCAAAGGAGAAGGAAAGAATCGAGGAACGTGGAAGATCGGAATCGTGGAAAGATTAATACCGGGGAGAGATGGAATTGTCAGGGCGGTGAGACTTCGTGCCGGCAAAAGTTATCTAGAAAGACCTATTCAGTTTCTTTATCCAATGGAGTTACACAGTGATGAAAGGGGCTCGGAACAAAAACCACTGAATCCCGAAGTTGAAGAGTTTAAGCCAAAGCGGAAAGCGGCGGTTGAGGCAACAGTGAATATTCGGCGAATGCAAGAGCTTGAAAATGAAAGTGACTAACATTTATGCATGAGTTATACAAACGACTGGAAGTGACTGGGACAATCTAATAACAGTCAGTAAAACAGTTTATATTCATATTTTTATATTTAGGATGTTTAAAAATAGGGGGAGTGTGTCGTGAATGTTAGTAGCGTCTTAGTTGTTATTAGCAAGGGAACAAGTTAATCGTTAACAAGTTAATTCGTGAGCGAACAAAAACTGACACTTGATTGACATATTAGATAGAGCAAGAGAGAGAGCGTGCGAGCAAGGGAGATTAGAATTAAAATAAAAATATCTTAAACAAAAGCGTGAAAATACTTCTTCAAACCAATTGTGGGAAACAACAAAATTCTCCACAGAAGTTCATGCATTTTATGACTGTGCATTGTTGTTCTTCATTTCCATGTTATCTGATTTTGTTGTTGGCTGGTGGTTATACCATTTGTCATATTTATTAATTAATGAAATAAATATAAACATGCATTGACTGAGCAGTGTGTCTTCAATCTGCAGCAACTTTTGCTGTCTATTTTCTGTGTATGGTATCAACCTCCAAGAGGGCTATATTCATTAGGCTAATCAGTGGAGCCTATGGAAGGATAAATGTTATTCTTTACTATGACCAGGGGTCCAGGGATGCAATTAGAGAATGCTGAAAACAGGTTTATTAAGGTACAAGTTGATGACTTGAATGAAAAGTATATTATGCAAATATGATTCTTGGTTGAAACTATATTCCTGCACTTAGTATTCGTCAGCTGCGCAGCATTTTGCCTGAGCTATGGCCTCTGTTTCTTTGGATTTTGGATTGTGCATAGATATGAAGTCTTGAAGACAGCATCACATACTGAATACTGATTACATACTTCCTGCGAAATTCATCAGTTTAGGGTTTAGTAAAGTCAAATTGTTGCCTATAAATTCCTAGTTGTCTTGCGAGGATAGTGCCAAGACATTCAAACATTTGTAAACTTTCATATTGGAATGTATAAATAACAAAAATATTATTACGAAAATAAAATAATAAACCTGTCAGTTCGTGTCAGTATTAAAATCTTTAGTTTGTCCACATTTTTCGATATTTAAATATATATTTGCTCCCGCACTGGCAAAAACAGCGTGTACGTATGACTTGTATTCTTTATTAGATGTCAGTGCGAAAAATATCAAAAAAACAACCAAAAAATATTTCAAAAACAAACAAGATTTCACGGCAAAAAAAATATATAAAAACCAGGGGGGAGAATTGTTATTTACAAAAACCAGGGGGGAGAATACTGCTGTAGCGGGCTCATTATTGAGCCTGGTCAGTGGTAAATACCATGGCCAAAAGGAACCAAGTGGCGTCAGCAGAGCTTCTGCGGTTGCGCAGAAGGGCGAAGTCCGCCATGTTTTTTGCTTCACTTTTTGAGAAAAAAACATTAGGAGCCGGTCCTCCAGGAGTTATTATATAGCTCAGTGGACATGCTCTTTCACTGCCACCGCTATTATGTTTCGTCAAGGAAATTTAAAACATTTCAACGCTCCTCCTTCAACCGACAACCGTGTCAAACAAGTTTAAAGCACTCTACTAACAAACCTCATCCATAACTTTCACTCGATAAAAACCTCCTTTTACCTACTACAGTACTACTTTCAAATCCTGAAACAACGAAGACGAACAAAAATTTAAGACGATGGACAAAAGACCATGTAATTCGATTACCGCTGTTGACACTCCTTGTTTACTGTTGAGATTATATTTGTTTTCATCTTTACTGTAGACTGGGCACTGATCTGCAGACAGGTTTTCCATTCACAGATTCATGAATATTTTGAAGATAGTGACTCTGTTTTTTGCCCCGAATCTGAAATACAATTTTCAAAAATCAAAAACATTTTGGAAGGTGCGGAAGCGGCTTAACGTCCCGATTATCCCTAGATTACTTCTAGATCTTTTCGTTAATGTCATAGGTATCGCAGTCATCATATCTCAGACTCTCGTGTAGATCTCGAAATAGATCTCGGTGGCATTTGAAGTTTAGGAAGTTTCCGTGTTCCATTAATCACCGGTGTCTGATTTAAATTTGACTTAACCGCTTTATTGTATTTTTTTTATAACGTTACTCATGATGAAATATAGGTCAATAATAAGGCAACTGGAAATCTGTTCCGGCGATGTCCAGATACCGAGATAATGATGTCGAAGTGACCAGAGAAGCAATTAATCATCCCGAGAGCAATGATCTTTTTTGGTAACAAGGTTTTGACACAGCATGCATCACCGTGAGATTGCCTTCTGGCTATCACATAGTTCTCAAACTGCCCTGCATTTTTTATTAATTGCCACCACCCGCTTCGAAACTCCCTGCCTCCTGTCCTGACGTAATAACCTCGCTTCAATGCTTTTGACATAGGAGAAAACTAAGAAAAAGAGATCGTTTCTTCAACAAGTGAAAGAGATTGATATGAAACTCTAGCACTGTCAGAGAGTTCTAGCCGTTTCTGATAAGTTTCACCCTATCACCCAATCCTGAATCTCTTGTTATTCTAGAATCCATTGTTTAAGAAGTATTATCTACTGACGTAACTATTAACTATGAAGATTTTTATTCTTAATTCTCTACACTGCACCCACCAGGGGAGGGGGGGTCCTCGCCAGGTAAGCACCCTCTCAATGAACTAAACTCCAACACCTTGATCTATTTTTTAAAGACGAAACATCGTCGCAGTAGTTATATGTCTCAGTGGACCTTTAACCTCAGGCTCAGTCAAACCTTGTCCCTGTGCCGGCCACTGCAGCCGGTTATTGACCGTCTTGTTCAAACGGAAGAACAGGGAAGTGAAACGATATAAACTAGTGATAGTCGGTAAAATTGGCTTGGCATTGACTTAAAATTTACGGTCGGCATTCAATTCATGGCCCATGTAACGTAATCCGGAATCCGATATTTTTTGCTTTGGAATCCGGAATCCGATGTTTTGGAATCCGGAATAAAAACTTTTTGAGGAATCCTGAATCTCTGGTTATTCTAGAATACATTGTTCAAGTTAAGAACTTTTAAAGTGAAATATGAACTGCTTTGCCCTGACAGTAGCGCTTTGGGGAAAGAATGTCTTTACGCTCAGTGACGGAGTGATCACTGATGGTGGTCGTTACTCACGTGTCACTTTATGAAGCATCTACTGACGATTATATTTTTTAAATTAGTATTGTTTGTCTGAGATAAAGACGCACTTTACGTTTTTTTTGCGTGTTTATATTTTAACAAAATATTTGCAAAATATCGACAAACGTATACAACAGACAGCGGTTATTTGCTTTCAACTTGGAGTCCGGAATCCAAGTTATCCAACCGAATCTAAGGAGTTGAATCCGGTATCCAAGCAGTGGAATCCGGAATCCAAAAATTTCTTGGATTACTATGGTGGCCGAGAGCTGCCACTTCGAAATAAAGTTTAAAAAGCGTTTTTTTTGTGGCTTAGAATATTTTATTTCAGATTGATTTTAAATTGAAACATCTACTGACGATTATATTTTTTTAAATTAGTATTGTTTGTCTGAGATAAAGACGCACTTTACCTTTTTTTTGCGTGTTTATATTTTAACAAAATATTTGCCAAATATAGACAAACGGTTTGCAACAAACAGCGGTTATTTGCTTTCAACTTGGAAAATTATACATTGGAATCCGGAATCCAAGTTATCCAACCGAATCCAAGGAGTTGAATCCGGTATCCAAAAATCTCTTGGATTAGATTACCTTACATAGGCCAAAAAAATCAAGAGACTTTCTCTCGTCTATTAGATTTTCCTCTCCTCCAAATACTGGCATCGCTTTTTTAATTATTCTCTTTCTAACAATATACAACGTCTAGACTTTAGAGTGTCTCTTCCAAGAACAAATTTTTTGGCGTGATGAGGGCTTACTACGATGTCATGATAAAGCGACAATAAGGAGCGGCGTCTACAAGCAATTCAGGTATTGAGAGAACCAAAGCTGTCTAAATCAACGTGTTACCTGCCAGTTTGCGCATTTCTTTTTAGTTTATCTGTTCAGTTTGTTTTTGTCTGTCATTTCTCTTTTGTGTTCAGTTAATTCTATTTGTTTGTTTCATTGCACTATATATATATATATATATATATATTGTGTGTGTATGTTAACAGGCTTTTTTTTCGGATAAAAAAGAATTCGAACCTCTTGGCTCTTGTATACGAACTTAAACCCAGGAGTTTTATCCGCTGAGCCAGCAGTAAAGAAAACAATCCCCGCTTCCCGCTGCTTCACGCGGGATCACGAAAATTTTTGATTTGCTGCATAGATTCCTGCTGTGTTCGAGGCTGTGTTTGGAAGATATGTCCGTGTAAAGTTCTTAAAATGAACAAATGTTTTCAATTTTGACGAGAGCAGGCAATATTTAGCGATGGGTTAAGCTGTCATATAATAATGGCCACAAACGGTTTGTATTCAAGTAATTTATTGCTAAATTTATGGCGAGGTTTTTGCGAATTCGCTACACATGACAATGTGCAATGATTTCTGTCTTGTCTGCTGTTCCATATTATATATAAATATTGCAAATTGTCTGGCCTGGAGATGTACTTTTTATAATCATGGTTATTTGGGTAGTTTGTATAGCTATAAATCTTTTATATTTGTTATGTTTCTGAAATATTCAAGGAGGCATAAACGCCGGCAATGCCAAAGTGCCATGGCTGACTATGGATAACACTGGAACATCGCCACAAAGAACTCCAAATAGACGACCAAAAAAGTCGACAGCTGTTTCATCTGTGAGGCCAAGAAGAGCTCTACTTTGTCTGGAACTGCATCACCCTTTAAGACATTATGCAATAAACATAGTGGAATGGAAAGTATCCTTTGACAGATTTCCGTAGAAGACATAGCTCACTGTCTTCATGTTTCATGAAATTACTATAAACTCTGAGTTTAAAAATATTTATATTTCTTCTTTAAAAAGGAAATTCTTCTGTTTAAACTTTCGTTTAAGTCATTTAATATGAGCCTGGAGCTAGCTGTCATTATGCTTTTTATGGCATGACTAATTTTGTCAAGGGAGATTATAAACCTTTCTTTCAAACATGTATGTGTATATATTTGTGTTTGCTAAAGTTCAGCATTCGTTTACCCCACGAAAAAAGTATGTTCCTTAACAGAGTTCAAGCCATTTGATATTCTAATTTTGATAACAATTTTTGCAAATTGTGCAGCGCTAGCGGCTTATCAGCCGTTTCCTCGAGAGGACAGCAGCACCGTGAATGACAATTTGGTAAAGAATTTTAAATCTATTAGTATTATAATATTTAAATCGTAATAGCCCTTGGTGATAGAATAAGGGGGATTTTGGGTATTTTGTGAGAGCTAAGTTAGCCTAAGGGTTTGTTTGTTTGCTATTGATAAATCAGCATTGATTTTTTGTGTGCTTTGCCGGGGAATAAATTAGATATCAGCTGTCCGTGATCTGTCAGTGACACGCTAGAACTATATCCTCAGTTTACGGTGAAAATTAACGGTTTCAGAGCGTTTGTTGACAGAGTATTGTATCATTCTCGATGGCTTTTCCCTGGGCTAACCTCTAACCATAACAATATAATTGTATCATCTGTCAAATGACAGCATAAAAACGCTACTTTGTAATGCGGTTTCCGAAAAATACTTTAATAGATTGAATGATTGTGGGTTTTGAGGCAAATTTTGCGATCCTAATTTAATAGCGAAATTGGTGCAATATTTTTGGCGAAGACTAAGTACAACATTTTGCTCTCTGGAATCTCGTTGGCAATATTGTCTACATATGTTGGATTATATATATTAAAGCGTTTAAGCTGAAGAGCCCCTTCATGTGTAAATCATCCGTATGACTTAAGTCATTTGCATAAATAATAAGCTATAATGTCAATTTGGGGAGCATTTTATTGCCAGTTATGAATTAAAACGCAAGATTTTTGAGCATTCATTGTCCGTCGCGCGACCGTGACAGTGTGAAGATATAAACAGTCAGTTTATGTAATAGTTAAAAAAAGTATCCTGCAGCGTCAAAGCGATCTAACATACTGAAAGAAAAAGACTGATAGGCATTAAATTAAAAGCAAGCATTTAAAGATATTATCTCCGTAAATTGCTTCTCAAAATGTGCTTCTGAGTTTTTTTCTCAAAACGCATTAACGTATGTATTCCGTTGACTATTTCCCAGACTTTCTTCTTTTTTTGAGGACCGTATTATTTGTTATAAAATAAATTACCCTTAATTCACAGCACGTTATCACTAGGGGGTCTGTAAGATCTCTTTGTGAAAATTACCTAAATTTGTTGCCAATATTATGTTTTATACAAATTTCTTGAGAAATGGTGGGCCCTTATAGCGAAGTAGGAAACTCTTGAATACCGGAAAGTTTGAGCGTTTGACCTCTATGTTTGTGGTCATGAACACATGTTCGCTTCTTGTAACGGTATTCTTAATTCTGTACAATGGGGAGATGCGTCGGCGTGACCCGTGGTTGTGTTTTAGTTGGGTAAATTGATCGGTAAATACGAAACTTTAATCTGACCGGCGACCATAAGAAACACTTGCCGTTGGATAGCGCTATCCAGCTTCGAACAACGCCCCCAGCGTAGTACAGAAGCTAGACACATGTTCTTTGCCCTTTAGTCGTAAATGAAATACATTTGTCTACTTATCAATTGGTCTGAATCTCTTGTTGCTCACGTTTGTTCAAATGTGCTGAATACAAAATTTAACTGTTGAAAGAGCGCATATTAAAGCATAAAGACTCTTGCTTTCCCTTGTTAGATAAAGTTAACCCCCTTGTTCTTTTGAGTAAAGTTGTTGTGTTGGTTAAAATTATACTTATTGTTATCCCAGTTCATGAGGTCTGTGTGTGATTTTTGAATCTTTGAAATAAATTAAAAAAAGATGTTTTATGTCTGTTCTTCCAATATGACCTGTTATAATTGATTCATCGTGTGCAAAATTTAATGTTCTCTGTTCACCTTTCTTTAGGAAAAGGCAGAGTATTCCTTTGTGACAATTTTTACAATTGAATCAATCCTAAAAATAATTGCATATGGATTTCTATTTCATCCTGGTGCTTACTTGAGAAACCCATGGAATATCCTGGATTTTGTCATAGTTATTATGGGGTATGACACTATACTTATTCAGTCTTCTTGGGTAAGGCATTCAGTCTAGTCTGTGGTAGACAACTTGACATGCAAACATGCTTTATCGTTTTTAGTCTGATGACCATTGCACTTGGCCAGACATGGGGAAATGTAAAAGCTTTGAGAGCATTTCGGGTTCTGAGACCATTGCGATTAGTTTCTGGAGTACCAAGTATGCAATTATATATGTTTATGCTTTCTTGCTCTACATATGATGTAGCATAATTTATCAGGCACCAATGCTTTAACTAAGCACCACCTCTTAATTTACACAAGACATTTACACCACTTCTTAATTTACACAATTGTCTTTCCCCTGCTCATTTCCACCTGCCTTTCTAAAAACTCTTCCCTAAACATCCCCCTCTTCCCTAATGTGACTTTTCTCTAAACATCTCCCTCTTCCCCAAAATAGACTCTTCTTGGAACGTTCCCCTCTTCCTCAATAAAGACTCTTCTCTAAATACCCCCCTCTTCCCCAATAAAGACTCTTTCTAAGCATCTCCCTCTTCTCTAATGAAGACTCATCTCTAAACATCCTCTCTTCCACAATGAAGCCTCTTCCCCAACACGCCTAATTTTTTCATTCACAGGTCTCCAGGTTGTGCTGAACTCCATTCTCAAAGCAATGCTACCGTTGTTCCACATTGCGCTTCTTGTCGTATTTGTGGTGATAATTTATGCCATAATTGGCTTGGAGCTCTTTCTTGGCAAGATGCATAAAACATGTTACGATAACTCAACGAGTAAGTTAGTATTGTATTGTCTTCTGTCGTTACAAGTCGGCCACCCTTCACTTATTAGTCGTTATTTCTAACCCAGTAGTTTTTATTCACAAATGCGAAGCTAGCGACGCTTCAGTCCAACCCATAGTTCGTTCATGTCACAAAGTTTATCGAAGTTTACAATCTATACTGATAATTTAGCTTGATAGACTTTCCATCTGTTCGTCGCTGTGTCTGCGTATAAACATAGACGAGCTTTCTGCTTTTGTGTTTATCGAACAGTTGATTTGTGGCAAGGGCCGTGGAGCCGTTTAGATAGTGGAAAGGACATCTAGAGGACGTCCCCCCAAGTTTCCCCTATACATCTATTTGAAGACAACGAAACATTTTTAACATACGAAATCCGGATAGGAATGTGTAGGGGGGGGGGGACGTGACCCAGAGGCATTCTTTAGTTTCGCAGTTTCGCAGCCCTTGACCAATCGAAATTGCTAAAGAGATCTGGTAATATCGAGTTTAGGTGAGCATCATGGAGCTGTTATAAGAGTACAGTTTTTCGTTTACGTCCCATAAAACTTTGGATACATTGTCCAACTCATCATTCTCTCTAATTCTGTCAAATTCCCTTCTTATGTAGTGACGATAACATCAGATGAGCCAGTACCATGTTCGTCCAGCGGTACAGGCTATCAGTGTGATATAGGAGCTGGTGAAGTATGCAGGGGGCCCTGGGATGGGCCTAATAGTGGCATAACAAATTTTGATAACATTGGTTTGGCATGCCTTACTGTATTCCAGTGTATCACATTGGAAGGATGGACTGATGTAATGTATAGTGTGAGTATACATTGCCCTTTACTTCAACTTTTCTTCGGGGGTTTTAGGTGAACTCCCATATCTTGAAATTTCTATCATGCAAGACTTGGCCAGTCATGAATAATTTCCTTCTTTTACTTCTTCAGATTAATAATGTATCAGGCAGTGCGTGGCCATGGATTTATTTTGTAACATTAATTATTTGGGGATCGTTTTTTGTGCTGAATCTTATCTTGGGTGTTCTTAGTGGGTAAGTAAAGCTGTGCAGTGTGTGCTGCTTGGTCATGAAGCGGCAAAACCCTCGAAGGTTAATGTTCTGTGACTTCGTGTTTTTTCAGAGAATTTGCAAAAGAGAAGGAACGTGCTCAGAAAAGCGGCGAATTCCAAAAGTTCCGAGAAAAGCAGATGTTAGAAGAATCTCTGCATGGTTATGTTGATTGGATAAACGAAGCTGGTACGTGCTAGGCTCACCATTTTACCAAATGCATTCTTTCTTTTTCTTCTCGTTATTTTTAATATTTTTGAGGACAGAATATGACAGATTATTGAACTATACTAAGTATACTTTGTGCTCTTGTCCTGCATAATCCTGACAGTTCTTTATTCATAAACAAAGTTTACAACAAATGTCTGTTTTCTCCATCAGAGGATTTACCTGATGACGACGAAAGTGAAAACGATCCACGTGGAAGTCACGTCACATGTGAGCCTGCGATATATCAGTTTTTTTCACTGGTTTTTCTACACATTTTTTTTTAAATTTCATGTTATATTTACTGTAATGTGTTTGTATTTGTAGTATCCAGGACTCCGCATGGTTCCCAGTCTATTGCGGATGATATCAATGATGATAACCCATCAGAACCTCAGGAGCTATCTTGGTTTGGTAAAAAGAGGTAAAGTGACGTAATGCCTGGCTGATCTTATATTTCCCTTGATAAGTGTATCTAGGAATATCTCAAAGCTTTACGTTTCCGTTTAGCTTGACCCTCGGTTAAAGAAAATCTTTACATTAATTTTTCTAATCAAGTGTGTATTTCAAATATTGAACAAACTCAAGATTGCGTTCACTTTTGTTCAGGAAGCAATTCAAGAAAAGCCATAAGCGATTTCGTCGTCGTTGTCGAGAGTTTGTTAAATCACAAGCATTCTACTGGACGGTTATTGTCATTGTGTTTCTCAACTCATTGTGTTTGGCCATGGAACACTATAAACAACCTGCCTTCTTAACTTTATTTTTGGGTAAGTTTATCATCATGAAAATCATTCGAAACTGAACGTACTCAAAGCTATTACAGTTCAAAACTGTTGGATGTCATTGTAGCTTCATGCCTTCATTCATATACATTCTCCATGGATATTAAATTGTGTGGTTAGATCTTGATGAGGTTAAATATTGACAAAAGAGAGTCTATCCAATTATAAAATGCATCTATTTTAAGGATCCAGTTAATGCCTGTTGTCTTTGTTAAGAAAATTCCTAGAAGCACCACTACTCTTGTGTGCTGTAGGGATGAAGCTATAATCCCGTGAAATAATTAATTGTATATTTTGAAGAAATAAAACCACGACCTGTGCCATTATCATTACATACACGTTTTATCTTTTCAGACAGGGCAAATAAGGTGTTTTTGGGCTTGTTCACAGTCGAAATGTTGTTAAAAATTTATTGTCTCGGAAGAACTGGTTACTTCGGTTCCTTGTTCAACCGCTTTGATTGCATTGTAAGTGAAATGTCGTTGTTATTGATTTTTTGTACTTTTGATTTTCATTTTAGATCAGTTTCACGTTAGAATTATTATTATTCTTGAATTGTAAGGCAAATTGCAACTATATTATTCATAATTATATATAACAACACCAGTAGTTGTGAGATTGTTATTTTGAGAACGAGCTTTTTTCCTATGATGCATCGCCAGCCTTCTTACCACTAGCCTGCCAGTGCAACCTCGAATAGGTCAGTTGATGATTAATTATCTTATTGAAATTTTTTATCATCCCAAGGTAGTGCTTGGCAGCTTGTTAGAACTCGTTATTACTGAACTGACCGGTCTTCCTCCTGTTGGAATTAGCGTGTTTCGTTGTGTAAGATTGCTCAGGATTTTCAAAGTCACCAAGTAAGAGTTAAAGTTTTCCTACGTGGTAAAGTTTTCCTAAATGTAGTTCTTATAATAATCTCGTGATACAGCCCAGTTCTCAGCGACACACACACACACACAGGGTGGGAAAGGAAGGGGGCCTACACATAAGGATCCATCCATGATATCCATTATTATCAACTATATCCCACCACCAATACAATTAACTGCTCAATTACCGAATTGGACATAAATACAAATTGATTATAAATCTTCTTGTATCTTTTAGACATTGGACATCACTTAGTAACCTTGTTGCGTCGTTATTGAACAGTATGAGATCAATTGCTGGTTTACTGTTGCTTCTTACATTGTTCATGGTTATTTTCTCCTTGCTGGGAATGCAAACATTCGGTGGGAGGTGAGTGGTGCCGAGGGATCATACGCGGTGACTTTCTACTGAATGCTGCTCAATCCAATTCTTCTTTTGACGTATATGATTTTCAGGATTTCCCTCAATTTTCTTTAACCCTTCATGCATGGCTTGCAGTGAATTATTGTTGAGAAAAAAGCAAAAAGCAGTATTTCTTTATAGATTCAACTTCGATGAAACGTCTGTTCCTCGGAGTAATTTTGATTCTTTCTGGACAGCAGTGCTAACCGTATTCCAAGTATGTGAGAAATTAATGGGACAATATTATAAGACTCTCATTTTATTATGACTAAGAAAGCAATTTATATTTTATTATAACTAAGCTTTCAAAGCAAGTCTAGTGAAGGAGGCTTTTCTCTTCCCTGTAGATTTTAACAGGCGAAGATTGGAATGCCGTGATGTATGATGGGATACGTGCTTATGGCGGTATTCGGAACCCCGGAGCTGCGATTGCTATTGGATATTTCATTATTCTTGTCATCGTTGGAAACTGTATCCTTGAATTGTGAACTTGCTGTCCATCATCCCTGCCTCTATCCTGCTTTGCAATAAACTGCAACTACACACACGATCTTGTTGAAGTTTTATTTCTTAACAGTGTTGAGATATTTTACTGAATGTCTTTCTTGCCATCGCAGTTGACAACTTGGCTGATGCGGAAAATCTGACACGGATTGAACATGAACAAGAGAGAGTTAGGAAGGAGAAGAAAAAGAGAAAATTGATGAGAAAACAAAAGCAATCGAGTACTAGTGCAGTTGAATCCCACACCTCGCTGCCTGAACCAAATGGGAACACGTAAGATCCTTGCCCCTTGTCCAACGAAACAGAGAATCAATGGAAGCCTGTTTCATCTCTGTTATTTATCCTCAACTTCATGTACTATCAACTTTAATCCGTTTCTAGCTATCACACGAATGTTGATGCATGATAGTTGTTCTCGTAAACAAGGTTGTATTCTTCTTCCATTGTATTAATTAAGTTTTTTTTTCCAGGATAAAGGTTGGAAATGAGGCTTCGTCTGAGAGCAAACTAAATGGACTCGCACTCCCAGATCCTGTAAGACATTTGAACAAATTATTCACAGCAAGTTTATGACTCACGTGCTTCACTGATATTTGTCTCTTGTGATTTTCTAGGATCACTTGTCAGGTTCAAGACAAAGCTTGAAGAAATCCAGTCTGGAACTCCAGGAAATTGAAGACAGTGAGTTTGTTCTAATGCTACTTATTATTCCTGGAATCACAGGTCTGTGAGACAATAAGACAGCGAGCTTTTAGCTTAATTGAATATTTTTGTATAGGGTCATCTAACCCACAGATTGTTCCAAGGCGAGATGATTTCGTTGTGGATCAGACGGATCCGATGCCAATGGAAACCTCGATGTTCATCTTCTCCGGCACCAATAGGTCAGTGAAGGATTCTAGTAAACTGAAAATTCTAAGTGACGCATACGCTTGTATTCTAAAAAGATCACTCACACTTAAACTCGTTGGGTAGAAGATCTCAATTTCCATGGCAGTGTTTTCACTCGTATAAGAGCTTGATTTTCAGAGTTTTACCTTAAATCTTCTTCATCCATTGACTAAGAAAGAACATTCTCATTGATTAGTAATAACAAAATTGAGTGTAAGAGAGCTTTTAGCATATAGGCAAATAAACCAAGTCTTCTTTCAAAGAATAAGAGGGTTAGCAACCCGTGATGCGCAGGCCGGAATCAGGTGCACCTCAGTACTACGAAGATTCTCTCTAGACAGTAAAGTAACAGATTATAGTTACAACCGACATACACTCTGTATTTCAGGTTTCGAGTTTTGTGCTTCAACTTTGTTACATACTCGTACACAGTGAACTTCATTCTTGCCTGCATCCTAATCAGCAGCGCCCTTCTGGCAGCCGAAGATCCTGTCAGAGAACATTCTGCAAGAAATGAGGTACGATGCATTTATTGAGGCTTTTAAGACGTCCGCATATTAAGAAACGAGCATTAAAATTTAAAACAAATTTAAAATTATTGTGTTGTAACTTATTTCAATATTTTTTCATCATTTTATTTTGAAGGTTCTAAAATATTTTGACTATTTCTTTACGGCTGTGTTTACTGTGGAAATAATCTTGAAGGTAAGCTGAAATGTGTTTGAATATGGCAGCTGTTGTTCTCTCGCAACAAGTTGTCTATTTATAAGATTTATTTGTCAGACAATCACAAAGTGTGACCGACAGATATGTTGTGTTTTGTGGTTATACCCTGTTGTTGGAACCAGTTAATGATAACCAGTTGCTCTTTTCCCTCTTATTTCAGATTATATCCTACGGTTTTATCCTCCACAAAGGCTCATTTTGTCGCAGTAGCTTCAATCTTCTTGATATGTTGGTTGTAGCTGTTTCAATCTTAGCGATTGTGTTTAGGTACACACTTTATGATTCATATTAAAACTCTTTTTGAAATACCAACGTTAAATATTAACTTAAATATTCATTTCCCACTTCTTATAGTTCATCTCAGTTTTCTGTCGTGAAAATACTCAGGGTTTTGAGGGTTCTTCGGCCCTTAAGAGCGATTAATCGAGCCAAAGGTCTGAAGGTAATAATATATTGCACGTTTTCGGCCCGCGAAACAATCGGTTGGCCTTAAGTTCCCAAAACTTGAAACCGGAATCTTATTTTTACAAACTTTTCATGAATTATTTCATTCCATTTCAGCATGTTGTTCAATGTATGTTTATGGCGGTCAAGTCAATTGGCAATATTATGCTTGTCACAATCCTTTTTCAATTTCTCTTCGCTGTTATTGGTGTGCAGTTATTCAAGGTATTGATAAAACACTATCATCGATTATCGATGATCACTCGGTTCTATAGAATAAATGAGAATAATTGTAAAAATAGTTGAAAAAATCGTTGAACAGAATCATTTGTTTGTAGGGAACCTTTTATTATTGTACCGACTCCTCAAAACACACAGAAGAAGAATGCCAGTAAGTGTCGTTGTGATTAATTTAGAAACGCTGCCTAGATATAGTTGAAGAAACGTCTGACGTTTGTAACTTTTCCTCGTGAAATATTTCCCCAACTACTTTGGTTTGCTATAGTTCTAAATAATATGAGCTAGAGTTTGTTTGCAAGAAACTACCTATTTAACCATTGTTATGAGTAAAAGTGATGTGCAGAAGGTTAAAAATGTGCATGAGAATTTCTGGACGTGCAGGCTTAATTTTGCTTGGTTACCAACAAGTGAAATCATTCATGTAATTCCATCATTCTCTTTTAACTCTTGACTTTCGTTTGTATTTTCAGGGGAAAGTTCATTGAAGAGATTGATGATAAAATCACTGTACGTTTGAATAGTGACATCTGATATGTTTATGTCATAATGCTCGCTTTCAAGACACGTTAAATAATTTCTATATCATTGTATTTTATTTAAGGTTTATGATCGTTTATGGGAGAGAAATGTGTTTACATTTGATAATGTCCCCCAAGCGATGCTCACATTAGTTGTTGTTATGACCTTTGAAGGTTGGCCCAGGTAGGTCAGGATTCCTGATAATCATTTTGATCCTGATCAATATGAAACCATTATATGTGAGAATAGTTTAGCTTTATAGTCTGTGGGTACTCTAGCATGAAACTTACACAATCTCAAGGGAAAACATTGTACGATGAATAGAGCTTCGATCTATCCACGTAAGTCATAATACACAGAAAAAGACCATGCAACGTTTGCCTTTGTTCATTGTTAGCATTCTTCATAATTCCATCGACTCGACAACACCTGGTATTGGTCCAGTTCTCAACAACCGTCCGTTGGTTGGCATCTATTACGTCATATACATCGTCATCATTGCTTTCTTCATGGTCAATATTTTTGTCGGTTTTGTCATCGTCACGTTCCAACAAGAGGGAGAGGAAGAATTCCGTGGCTGTGAACTGGACAAAAACCAACGTAAATGCATCGAGTTTGCCCTCAATGCAAAACCAATACGTCAGTACAAACCTACCAATCGCGTACAGTTCCATATATGGCGAGTCGTGACGTCACGAGCATTTGAATATATGATCTTTGCTTTTATTACTTTGAACACTGTTGTGCTGGCTATGCAGGTATGGGCGATTGACTGGATTATCGTTTGTTTGAGTAATGTTCGTGTGTCACAAAAGAGTGATTGAAGATATTTTATCAGTGTTGTTCACTGGTTCATTTTCGTGTGCATTTATTTCATTCCTGCTTAACGTATTATCAATATATAATTCGTTGATTGGTGTACTTTCAATTTGGGATGGTGTATTAGACGTTTATCTTCATTTTGAGCGCCATTCCAATAATTGAGAGGCTCTTGCGATGAGAGCATCGTCAAAAAATATTGGTAAAAAAACAACCAACCAATTCCAATTTGATCCATCGCGAACCATCATGTTGAACAGCGTGTTTTAACGAAGTCAATAACGCTGCATTATGATATACGATCTAGGAAAAACAATTTAGAATTAACATTAAAACAATAATGTCCTGTATAAATATAAAGTTAGATTAAGTTTACTCCAGTCGCAGTGTCACTGGACGATTAACTGAGATCTCTAGATAAAGACCGTCCAGTATAAATAAAGAAGTAATTAAAGTTTGTTATTGTTATTCTTAGCATTATGAAGAACCAATAATCTATACACGTGTTCTTGATGGCTTCAATATTGGCTTCACTGCTGTGTTTTTGCTTGAGTGCATCCTCAAATTGATTGCCTTCAGACCTAAGGTACACTTTATATATTCCAGATCGTATCGTCATTGTTTTTATTGCATGTGATGATATAACCCAAAATTCTCGCCTCGTAATTTTGTATATTTCTCTTTGAATAGAACTATTTTCTTGATCGATGGAATATTTTTGACTTCGTCGTTGTCGTTGGCAGTATTATTGATATTACTGTCGCCGAAATACAGGTACCGTCGTTGTAAATTTTTTTACCATTTTCTGTATCTAGTAACACTTCGTTCATTTTTCAGAGCGGAGGTGGCACACAGTTCAGTTTCAGTTTCTTCAGACTGTTTCGAGCACTTCGTCTTGTCAAGCTGTTAAATCAGGGAGCAGGAATCCGACAACTTCTGTGGACATTTATTAAATCTTTTCAGGTATATTTTCTGCCATCAATAATTATTAGTCTTTAAAATGAAATACTGTAGTAATGATGTGTGTTAATGATCTTTGTATTTTTTTCATTTTTTCTCTTCTGTTTGTTTTACCTTGCCTTTTTTGTTATTTTGTTAAACAGGCGTTGCCATATGTTGGTCTGCTGATTCTTATGACGTTCTTCATTTTCGCTGTGGTAGGAATGCAGGTAAGATGACGCAACTTAATGTTCCAGAACCCAATCAATCAATCAATCAACTTTATTTAACGAGGGTAAACACTGAACAGTATATCAACTGACTAACAAGTGGCCCTCGAATCTTCGACCCATGAATCTTCTTCTTTAAGACAAGTAAAATTAATCTTTGTCTCCTTTCATTTCCAGTTATTTGGGAAAATTGAGTTGAATGACGACACAGCTATAACGGTTCACAATAATTTTCAAACATTCCCTCAAGCGATCCTAGTTTTGTTCAGGTAATTTTTAGTTTATGGAGTTGGTTTTTAGTAAGTGCAATTGACAGGCATGCGAATGAAAAAGAACAGCGTTTGTGTAAAGTGCAGTGCTTGTCGTATTCACAGAGAATGTGTATCATGGTCGTGTATTTCAGATCCGCGACTGGTGAAAACTGGCAACAAATCATGATGACGTGCACAAGTGCTAATTGTGATCCTCGTTCTGGCTCGACGACTGGCTGTGGCACTTTCTTTGCTTATATTTACTTTGTTGCTTTCTATATGATCTGTTCATTCTTGGTAGGTCCTGTGATTTAGCCAAATATTTCATCCTGAACTTCTTATTAAAAATATCTGGCAAGACTAGATTAGTCTCTCCTCTCACATGCAGCAATTCTTTTCAGATCATCAATTTATTTGTGGCCGTAATCATGGATAACTTTGATTATCTAACACGTGATTGGTCGATCCTTGGTCCGCATCATCTTGACGAGTATGTCCGAGTATGGGCCGAGTATGATCCTGAAGCAAAGTAAGTCGATATCAAAGTGAGAAAGGACTGACTTTTATTTTGACTGTAGAGTTATCTTATAAGTTATTGCTGAAAAACTCTTCTCAATATTGGTGCATTTATTACAGCGGTCGCGTCAAGCACGTTGATATTGTTACAATGTTAAAACGAATCGAACCTCCGCTTGGGTTTGGTGAATTCTGTCCACAAAGAGACGCTTGCAGGGTATGTTTTGCACAAGAAAACCTTGGGAATAAAACCTTTCATAGACAACAAGTGAACAACAACATACATGAAAGAACAACATGAAAGGACTCTCACTAAGAACAACACTTTTTCTTTTTCACGTTAGCGTTTGGTTGGAATGAACATGCCGTTGAATCGTGATGGCACAGTGGACTTCAGTGGAACATTGTTTGGCCTAATCCGTACTGCTCTGAGTATTAAACGACCAGAAGGTATGCGGTCAATATTCTTTAAAAATCCTTCTGAGACAAATAGTTAAATGCTTAATAATGTTTAGGTAAGCTGACTCTGGACGGCGCAAACGAACAGCTGAGAGAAATCGTTATGAGGATCTGGCCTCGTACTAGTGAGGAACTTCTCGACAAGATTGTGCCTAAAGCTGAAGGTTTGTTGAAATACTCTATAGTGACAATGTCAGTCATGAAATATGTTCATTTAGCTTTCTTTAGCTGTTTATTCTTCGTATGTCAGTTCTTGTGCAAGGTTGGTTTTATATGTAATACTATTGGTCATTGTTTCATCAAACTATGATTGATATTTTTAGCGTCTTGTGTACTTCTTGAACTTTGTTAAGTCAACCTGCTAAAAAGTTTAAACTAAGGGCCTGTTTACATGGAGCGAGTTATCCCGGCTGGGCGAGGTAAAAAGCGGATCAGGTCAAAGGCTTAACCTGATTAGTCTTTCATTATATGCAGTTTTCACCTCGCCTAGCCGGGATAACTCGCTCCATATAAACAGGCTCTAAATCATTTCACCCTTGGTCAGAGAATTACACCATCGCTCGATACCTGAAGTACCTGAAATTTTCTCAGCCTGTCACGAAGCAAATATCCACCTAACAATCTGGACACAGCTTGTACAAGCAGAATATACAAATTCACTTCGTATTCCTGATATTTTCCTTTGATAGACCTTGCCGACACGCAAGAATAACCTTTCGAACCATGAAGTAAAAAATAGAACTATCGAGATTTTTTGAATATCTTACAGACGATGATGGTGTGACAGTTGGCAAATTTTACGCGACATATCTTATTCAAGATTATTTCCGGCGGTTCAAAGCAAGAAAGAAAACAGGGGTTCGTAAAATGAGTTGTCAAGAAGACAAGACATTTGCTTTGCAGGTATCTCCCTGATCTTCCCCTTAATTTCTAGGTGATATTGCTTCACGAGACGCTTTTTCTCTAGCTTCACTCATCAACTTCTAATTCTAAGCCCACCGCACACGAGAACTATCAGCTGAGCTAATGAACTCGCGAGGCAGTTAACTCAGCCCGAAAACCATCCGCATACGAGAGAAATTTGCCTCTCGAAGCGAATTCCTCACGAAAACTATCCGCGCACGAGAGAACTTTGCTGAGCTAACAAGCTCGCGAGGTCTTTAGCTTGGCTAACAGCTCTCATGTGCGACGGGCTTTAGCTGGCCCAAATTTTCACGAGAGCTTTCTCGTACGGCCGGTACCGGGCAACAATATCGCGTCCATCATTCATGGGTCAAACAAAAACATTTTCGTTTTATTGTGGGCTATGCTATTTGTCGTACGAATTCATAGCACTCTCGCACCGTCTCTCATTTTATATCCACTATTTTCTTTGTTTGACTAGGCTCGAGTATTTTAATTGATATCTTATTTCTATGGTCCAGTTCATTACCTGTTCCTTTGTTTCTATATATGCAATACTTTGCTGTTAGTTATTGAGTAAGGTGTTTCCTATTTCAATGTCTTCTGATCAACCGTAATGTAAAAGATGGCGAATTTATTGCAATAAGAAATAGTTTACAAAAGTGAAGGGAGGTTTTGTTGAAGGATAGCCATAAAACTGAAGATCATGTTCAAAATTTTATTTCATTTAGTGTTTTTTTTCTTATATATATTTTTTCAATTATTATACCTGATGCTTGCAATGCATCGTCGTAATAAAATGTACATGTTGTAATCTTTCTTGTTGTTGTCAATTAGGCTGGTTTGCGCGGTATCCAGGGCCTGGGGCCAAGAATACGTAAAGCCATGTCAGGCATGATCGAGGAAGAGGAGGAGACTGAAAAGGCACCTGATGGAAACCAAGAGGTAAGGTTGCTTGATTTTTGTTACAGAAGAATGTTTCTTTATATCCCGTGAACTAGTTACTAGTAAGTAAGAGCCTGCGATGCTTCAGTAGAAGGATTGCGGGGGGCTGGTTACGAGATTGATCAGAAGTGAAATAATGAATTACTCATGTCCTTGTTCAGGAAAAAGTTGATCTGCCAGCTATTCCAAAACGAACAGCGGACGGTCGACGTCATTCTGACAGTGAAGCAAGCCCGGAGAAGCGGTGAGTGTATATTTCACTCTGATATTTCACATGAGCTCTTCCGTGGAACATTTCAGTCAAGCACTTCTCAATGCTGGTTGTAAATTTTAAATTTGCGCATTTCTGTTTTCATCCAGGACTCCATCCCGTCGACCGCGTGCAACGTCGTTCCGTCTTTCCGCTATTTTTAAACGTCGGAGTACTGAGGCTGATATGGAGAATAAGATTGTCCCTGGTGAAATACCTATGGAAGAACAAGAACGAGAAGAAGTAAGATTCTCAAAGATTTTTTCGACCTAGGTTTTTTACTGGCCTGGCGTTTATCGCGAGCAGCCATCGACTGTCAATGCCTTGTTTGTTTGTTTTCGTAAAACACTATTCTCTGTTAGTATCCCCCCTGATAGTATTAACATCGAGACTTAGTAAAGTTGAAAAATAGATTGACAGGAGGGTTGAGGTAACCAAATAATGTGGCGGAATTCTTCCACTACATCATTTCTAGGTTCAATAGAACGAATAGATTATGTTTTGTAAATAGGTGTAGAATAATGACTTGCTTGTATTTTTATGAAAAAGGTCGATGAGATGTTTATTATAGAAATAATTTGATTGTAAAGGACGGAAATAACTACCTTCAATTCCCGCTTCGTCATTCTGGATAGCATTACTTTGGAAGAACTTGTTTCCTTAAGCGATGTTGCCAATAATTGCTGCAGTTCTAATTCCCAAAACCTTGGTAACTGAAACTGTTCACATGTGGATAGCTTGAACACCAATTCCTGGAACACAACGTAACATCTCACCCGTAGCAAATTTCATCTCTGTTTCCTTGTACTGAAATTCCTTGCCAAATTCACCCACTGCCAAACAATTTTTCGTGCGGCATTAATGCTCTGGAATAAACTAGCAACGACAATGTGTGGCATACACATTCCTCAAGAAAGTTATACTTCCAAGAAATTTAACTTTCCAAGAAAGTTATACTTCTAAGAAACGTAAATTTCCAAGCTCTTAATATTGTCATATTCATTGTTTGCCAACAAATTCTACGTATTGTACTAAATCATCAAAATCATTCTGGACATCAACTAACAAGCACACTAATGTACAATATGTTGATATAATTCAAGCAAGGGAGTTCTACTGCAACATAATTCTGGAGAAGATGAATTTGGAAAAGACGTGATCTTATCATGCCATCATCCATTTACGTGACCGATCCCACGTCGACAATTTCCTACGTCATGAGTCAAAACTCCCCTAAACAAATCCATAAAGGAACTTGAGAAATCTACTGACAACTATCCACGCTAATAAAAATGTGGTTTGTATAATTCAACAAATGTGTTTTCGAAAAATTTAAGACAACATGATTTTGGAAACCATGCGATTGATATTATCGACCCCCCCCCACTACCTGCAAAAATTATCGACCCCCCCCCACTACCTGCAAAAATTAACGAGTACGTAATCAATTGAAAATAACTAGTTACTAACTAATCAATAAAAAAGATCTGGACATCTACTAACAAGCACACTAATACACAATTTGATGGATGTAACTCAATCAAAGAGGTTAACAAGTTATTTCATTTGGGACAAGAAGATGAATTTTGAAACCGTAAAAATTTTGTTCACCATCTGTCAAAATCTTCAAGTGTCAACCAATCTCACCTGGATATCCACCAACAACCATACCGATATATAGATGATGTATCCAATCTCACCTGGATATCCACCAACAACCATATCGATATATAGATCATGTATCCCATCTGAATCAAAGTATTAAGGAGCAACTTTACCTTCAACATCCCTAACAGAAATAGTTGTTTTTCCTACATAAGAAAATTCTCGAAGTTCACGTTTAACCGTGTTTCTGCTGTTCTGAAAGTCTGCTACAAGTGGTTATCTAAAACGCTTTATCTGGAAACCTGATTCTGTACAAACTGGTACCACCCAGAGTAGTTAAACCTAGAAAAGAGTCGCCTGACTTTTGAAATATCATGTCTAGCTGAACTGTCGTGGCTGAAATTAGATCATATATAGCTATCTGTGAATATTATATCGACTTATTGTTGTAAATGATAAAAAACTTGCAAGTTTTTGTCACCATAAATCACCAAGATTTGCATCACTGCTCAAGTCGGAGCCAGTCTACGTACCCCATAAATATCACATTGCGCATCATTGTCCGCCGTTATTTTGACCTGTCAATGGCTTAAAATTGGTGACACCGCCGTTGGTTTACGACGATGAACGACGACGGGAAAATACGACGAATGTGTCCGAAGACGAAAACTAGCAACAATACAATTGTAGCCCATGACGCAAGTTTTCCAAGAAAAAAAAAGGATAAATCTACTGAATAAAAACGACTCGATGGCTTACAGCTGGAGGAGATAAATTTTTTTCAATGTCTCTCAAACCGCGGTTACATTGAAGATCTAAACAAAAAAATTCAGCACTGGAGTAAGCAAGAAAAATATCACTGTATAGGTTAAACCAGTTCAAGAATATAACCAGTAAATAAGTTCAAGAAGTAACAAAATTACGGAGTGAGGAGTTGCGTTAGGAATGGATCCGTTCTGTTGATTGCAGTGTTTGTCGTCGTTCAATCAGCAGATATCTTTAACAAAACCTAAGTGCCTTGAGGAAAAGGACCCAGTATTACGACTATCTGTCTTCACTCTTTACGTTGAATGGCTAGTTTAAATTAAACCTCTATAGACAAAACACATTCAATTCAACGGTCCTCACTCGATTAAAAATCATATCACGGTTTAAAGTGAAACATAATCTTGATCTCTAGACTTGAAAAAAATGTCACAATGTAAAATGAAATGGCTGGAATCCCAATTGTACCTCGATTAGATCGCCAAAATATGTTTCATAGTCCAAGCAAAATTCTTATCCGAGAGTCTTGCTGAACATATCCCTGATATATTTTCGTCTGCAATAATTCTAAGCCACTAATAAAGAGTATGGGTCATCCTATGTTGCTCAAAAAGGACTTACAGTTATTGCCGTTAAGAATTGCTTGCCATTATAATGTTTATCTCGTACCTTTATAAACATCCTCCATAACTCCATTAGGACAACATCCAAAAAGGTTTCACACCAAACAAATTTCAGACTCCAGATAACAGCACTTTCCATGCAACCAAATGACGGACGATTGTATCAGACGACGCTTCGTTGGATCATCACCTTAACCTCAAGAAGTACACAAACAACATTATCTAATCTGAATGACATCATATCTTTCATCAGGAAATTTAAATGAATCGTCTATGCATTGGTTTTCATGCGTCGATAATAATTATATGCGCTCCTTTTACATATCTGTTGGCTTGGTTTGTTGTATGAAGTTTGGCTCATACTCTTTGGCGAATTTCCATATGCCCCGATACATTCATTCGTGGTATTAACGATAAAAAATGCCGCTAATTTTGGCTTTTTCATTCCATCCATCCCGCAGGTTTCAATGTGATATCAGATGATGCAGCTGAAATACAAGAAAATAATCCAAAAAGCATCTCATTACCTTTTCTCGCAGAACCCTCTATATAAATGTGAAAATTAAAACTATGTGAATTTCTTTGTTGCACTTTAATTTAAAGTAGTTTAGTCTTATCTTTAAAAACATATCTTCACACCGTACGTCATATTAACAACTTTTTTGACAGATAAAGCTGAACATAACGCCTGTTTTAAACGTCGCATTTTCCATGTGTCGAATTCATTAAACACAACAGATAATGAGCCATTTCAGCTGGTTATCTCTTGCTTTGAATTTCAAAGCCAATCGAAAAAAGCCAAAATGCGATGTTTGAACAGGCCTGGGAGGCAAAATACTTCCAAAATCAAATTGCCCGCCCGCATTGTTCAGATTTGCAGAGATATGGATATTGTTATTTCATCAATTTATATCTTGTTTAATTTGTATTGATCGAAATTTTAGTCGAGATTTGTGAAGCCAATTGTAAGTTATCAAGTAGATATTTCAATGGATTTATTCAATCAACATTTGCCATGATCCCAACAAATTTTCATTGAAAGCCCCTAACCTAATCAGAGAATTAGTTTTGTTTAGTAAGGAAAAGATTCTCACTATAATGTTTCTTTAATATTTTATTTTTAGGAGGAACCAGTGATTGAAATTCCCCCGCCTCCACCGGAGGAACCGACTGATGACGAAGAAGCCGCGTCCTCTTCCGATGAAACAGCTTCAGAGGCAAGCGTCCACGAACCTACTCCGGAGGCGGCCGTCCAAGTTCCGGAAAAGAGTCTATTGAAACAATCCAGTTCACATCCAGATCTGAAACCTAGTTCCAGTCTTCCTGATGATAAACTAGTCGGTGACAGGCCTGCGCAATCACCGATACAGGAACGAAGGCGAAGTAAGAGTGATACAATGGTGGGTCTTGAAGACGCAGAAGGTGATCAAGCTGTATCTCTTAGCCCAGATGATCCTTTCATCCAAGCTGTACAGCGTGAAATCTCTGAGGCATTCAACGTTTCTGATGTAGAGCTAAACAGAATTGCAGAGGATTTGCTCACTGAGCTTGCGTACATCGAGGAAGACGGTGGTCTTGAGAGGATGCCATCGTCAGCATCCGTGTACACGCCATCACTATGGCAGGAAACCTATAAAAATTTACCTGACGATTACACAGTCACCGACGTCTGATGCTTATGTGTCCCACACATAATGGGAGAAATTTATTAGAGCAACGTCACGTGATTTGTGCAAAGCTTATTAGCATGAATCACGTCCAACTCGCATGCAACGTGTCAATTTGCAAAAGATGAGTAAATTGGTGTCTCCCGCACAGAGATTTTTCGCACGAATATTGAAAGTACACAATTTAAGAAGTCCAAAGCGGCAATAACTTTCTCTAAGCAACTATTTAAAGATTTTATCGCAAGCGCAAAGGATACGTGATTGATAATAGTAATGCGCACGTCTTAGAATTATTTTACAATCTCGGAAAGCAAGGAGTGAAGGTTTGAAAGAAAATTTTTGATTGGATATTTGCAAGAAAAGAGAATATTTTTATGTAGACTTGTATAATTTCACAGTATCACAAATGTTTTTACAAATTATTCCAATACAGCACTATAAATATTTCTCGTTCTTTTTGTCGTGAAGATATAGAACTATATAAAAATGGGCAGGAAGTGTTCTCCCATACCACAATTCACATTAATATATTAAAACACGTTTAATTATGTTGCAAAGGCTAGTAGGATGCAAATCACATTTTCAATCGTACGTCTGTATTTAGAGCATGGATATATTTAAACCGTCTGAAGAATTACGAGTACCAAGATGGCACCTGTCGTGTAGATGGAGTCATTGAACGCTAGGGTGGAATGGTAAACTCATAGACAATCCAAAAGACATTTCTTTTGAATTGTCTATGGTAAACTTTAACAGGCTGTATATAGAGCCTATCAGAGCGCTGAATTTGAAATACAAAGATGGCGCCGGATTCGAGTCTGCTGGACGTATTTATATCAATGATTTACACAGGTCAGTATTATAAAAATTCAGTCATGTTTACATTTTATCTTGTTTACATTTTATCTTGTTTACACGGGTTTTATAAAGATGTTATTTCTAGACTATGTAAACGAGGGGTTCCCCGTTATTTCGGTACGCGATAGTTCATACAGTCCACAGTCTGTAATGAATTCTTGATGAGGATTTGATTAGTTTCCTAATTTATTAATACAGTTAGAAGTTCAAGCATTTCCCTTAAACTTGTGATGTTTCATGTAGTCGTCCTTTAAAGATCGGAACAGTTCTCGTTCATTGCTAGGTAGATAGACGTGAAGCTTCTGGAGTCCATCATCACTGCATATGTCAAACAAGAAATGAACACCTTGGACGAGCGCCTCACGCATCACCTCAGGTACACTATGCATGCACATCACATGAACACAGTCGGCGAGGAAATAGATCGAGTATTTTGATAGCACATCTTTGTGGGAGGCCATTTCTTGGTAAAGACGAGACATCTTCTCCACACAATTTAACACTATGGCGACCCCCTCTGACTTTATTTTTTCATCGGTCATTTTTGCTCCCTGAGCGAGAAGAAGGGTAAGTAATTCCCGAACAAAGGGTAGAAACACGTGCACTGCTCCGTAAACATAATCAGGATAATAGAACAATGTCCAACTTAAAATGTTGAACTTGGCCATGAAGATACGCGAGAAGGACCCAAGGCTTGTAACTTCCGGTGTGAGAGATAATGCTTGAAACACCAGGGCTACTTCATGAGGGTAGAACACTCCAGCACCAAGTGTTACAAGAGCGGCAACAGTTTCTAGAACTACATTCGAAATCTCATTATTGGTCACAGCTTTACTTAACAATGTTATCACGATGTTCACCGCAATTGAACGAAGCTTTTTCTTGTTTTGCTTGGCTACTTTTGTGGTAAGCAAATCTCTTAAAACGGAGAAACCAGTATGGAGAGTAGATACTTCATTCTTTTCAATACTCCATTCAATGATATTTTCCAAGACAAAGATACAATTACTTCCTGCGTTCTCTTCGAGAAGGCTTGCAAGCAATCCACGTATCACCTCTTCAAGTTTATTTGATTCTTTTGTCATGCTTTCTTTCTCGCATATTCCGTCTCCAGGAGTGAGCCCAACATCTCTGAGAACTTCCAAACACTTTCGGAGAATTCGAGCGCGTAATTCGACCGGTATGTGATCACAGTGCTCTTGACTACCCTTAAACACGTCCGTTAAGACTGTAATAAACGTTATCATCTCATCACTGACATCGAGGAAACCACTGGCAGAATTTCCTAGGTCTTCCATCTTTCCCAAAATCTTGACGACCACCATACAAACAATTTCACCCCACTCCTCAGGAGCATTTGTAGACTCTTTATTCTCAGATAACTTCGTATCGTTGAAAGATTTCATCGCTCTCGTTAGAACTCCGACTAACTTTATAACCAACATCTCGGCACGACCTTTCTTTTGTTGGCAAGAATTCTCATCTTCGAGGATGCTCTTGATAAAATTTGTCAGACCAAATGCAGCCTCTGAAATTACAGAACGCACTGTCTTCGTTGACGAACTACTTCCCTTCTGTTCCAAAAATTCTGATCCAGCGTAAATAATTATAAGAAGTACTTCAACACATCGTGACAACTCTGGATTTCCGACGTCAACGGAACCTGCCAGCGATGCGACACGTTCTTTGCTGAAATCAACAGTGCTTTGACTTCCCTTGCTTGATAATCTCAAGCTCAGGGCGGCGGCAAATGTGAGTAGTTCTTTGGAAACATCAAGAAACTTTCTTTCAACATTGGAAGGTGTTTCGGCGGAATTCCTGTCACTGTAATCAGGAATTGTCTGATAAATCCATCGCAATAGGGCTGCCATATCAACCACTCGCCACACCGAAAATTCACGTTGTTGAAGCAAACTTTGGAGTAGAGTTGTAACGATTTCACGACACGATAATTGAGCAGCCGTATGATGAGAATCACGACAAGATTCCAAGAGAACATCACAAGCTAATGAACCAAGAATGCAACGAATTTTATTACTTGGTGTAAAGTGATGACATGGTAACCTTTGTAAGACTTTTAAAAGGCGAGCTACCATGCTCAAGTTCTCATTACTCTTCTTATTTTTCTCTTTTCTGTCTTTCTCAAGAAGCCCGCTATTCATAACACTGGCGATCATCTGTGCAGATGAAGTGGCTCTATTCATATCCATCTTTCCAGGCTGCAAATTACGTTCACGATTGCCGTTCTTGCTATCTTCCATTTCATCGACGTCATCTTCAGATGCTTCCCAGGTAAAAACATCTGATAATTTGTCACTAACCATTTGCTTCATACATTCACCTAACAAAATCCAAATCTGCTTTACAACAGCTTCTTGTAATGATGGCAAAACGAGCAGTTCACTGTTCTTTAGAATGCTTTCAGAAATGCGATAAATTGTCAAATCATCCTGTTCGGATTCTTCCCCTTTGTGGACAAGGGTTCTGATCATGAATTCAGAGAATGCTTGTAGCTGTTTTTCATTGCAATATGGGATGAACAAAGGTGCATAATGGGTAACAAGGTTCCAGTGGGCAATGGGATAATTTGTACTGTCCACACATTGGGGATCAGAGTTCCAAGTAACAGAAGAAATTTCCAATTCTGTGAGAGAATTTTGGAAGTTGAACAAAATGTTTACCATGTGGTCATATTCGTTCTGGTCAAAGTTTGCGTTTAGAAGTAGACGTCGCATTCTGTGCACAACAAGAATTTCCATACAAAATCTCAGACGTCTGTTCTTTTTCAATATTGACAAACCTCTGCAAATCTCATCTGGAATGAAAGATTCCACTTTGGAATCCCAGCAAATCTCAATATAATGATCATTTGACACAGGAATAACATTGTGCTGATGTAAAAACATGACCAAACTATTCAAGCCATGAATGAGGAACAAAACAGAGAAACCAAGTTGTTTTTGAGAGGTTTGTCTATGCATTGGAAAAGCATTAATCAGTGGCATGATTATTGCAACTTTGAGTTCCCTAACAAGTTTCTCCAGGCTGGTTGCTTTCTTTTGATCAAGACCATGTGGATCAGCTGCATTAAAAGATGAATTTTGAACAAATGTTACAAAGAGAATGCTTATTCCTTCTAACGACATGTCAGTGCATCCATCTTTGTGCTCCATTGACTGAACCTTTTCTTTCATTTTGGAGAGGAAATATTGTAGTATGCTAAGGCTTTGGTTTAAAGGACATTGTTCAAAGGACCTGGAGAGCTTTGTCAAAACATCAACTGAAATGTTGCCCAATTCATTTCCCAATTCATTGAAAACTTTTAGAATATATCTGACCAGGTTTTCCAACTGTTGTAGTTTGGTATATGTTTCCACAATGTTTCTCAGTAGAACAGCTTTTGCTTTATCAATGGCTTCAGAAATAGAATCTTCTTTTGATTTTTTGAAACATATAGCTAGCACAATTTCCAGAAAATGTTCAATAATTTTATGGTTGAGTTTCAATATTATATCAAGACAATGATATGTTCCAGTATTGTGATGACTTTGAGAAAACAAGACATTTTCTAAAAAATTTATGAACCAATTAAATACTGGTCTATCATTAGCTTCATCTTCAGCAATCTCACAGACATCATAATCCACAATAATTTTCAGCATTTTATTGAGAATATCAATTCTGGTGACGTCTGGAATATTCCCAGCTAATCCACTTGGAGCTACAGCATTGTAAAGCTGAACAAAGAAACTAAATTTGTTTGCTTTGTCTGCCTTTTCATCTGCTTGAATAACTTTCAGGAAACTTTCCAGGAGAAAGGGTAAACTTGTGGAGATCGTTAGATATATCATATCTGGTGTGACATTGACACCTTCTATACTAGTGCTCTCTTCATTGTCTTTTCTCAAGCTTTCCAAGACATCAAATAACTGCTTATAGGGATTAACTAGTTTCTGCTTTTTTGGGCTTGGTTCAATTTGTTGTTGAGGAATGACAGCAGGATTATAATTTAATACAAGATCTTTGTGGAATAACCCAGAAATTATTACAGCCTCAATTGCAAAACTAATTTCTTTCTTGCTTGAATCTTTGACTTCACAAAAGTCACCTTTTAAAACAGTTATTCCAAACAAAAGAAGAGGTAACAACTTCTCACAAAGGTTGATGAAATTTTTATGATATGCAACTTGTTGGCACAGCACAGTATTGTACTGCCGTAACACGATAACAACGAGGTGACAAAGCTCTTGGACAAAATCCGCAGAATGCATATGTGATTGCATAAGTAGTACACTCAAAAAACAAGTCAAAATCCCTTTCAAATATTGTTCAAGATTTTCCAACTTGTTAAAAAATGCTAAGGACATGTTGGAATTTTTCGAGATTGCTTGAAAACACGAGAAGATAGACAGAAGTCGATCTTGGGTAACATCACTAAAGTAGCCATTGTCAGAACAAAACTTTCCGAGAAAGCTTTTAATTTCATCCAATTCTCGGAACAATAATGTCAAATGTTTTTGGCGCAGAACAATCTTGCTCTCTGGATCATTTAAGACTTCACTAAGAATTTTCCAAATTCTTATTTCATTCTCGACAAACTTAAAATCATCCTTGTCGCTTTTCTCTCCACTGCGAATGTTGCTCAATTCTTGACACGACCAATCAAGGATAACTTGTTTTTTATTCGGCAGAAAGCACTGGGTGTCGCTAACAATTTTCCGAGAAATTTCGATACGTTCTTCCAAAGGAATTTTAGTGTTTTGAAGCTTTGTATACGAGCCAATCAGTGAAACATCCATTGCGGGGAATTTGCAATAGTGAGCTCAATAAAGTAATCGTTTATAACCGTTTATATTAAAACCAAAGAACACGTGTTTTAGACGCCATCTTTGAAGAATTTACCACACGTGCTTTGTGCGTGTGACCCACGCAACCCACGCAGGTGAAGTGAAAAAAGAACCAACAAAGAACCCAGTTAGGCGAGGCGCAGGCTGGTATTTGGCGAAATATGAATATGTTATGGCGAAACATTTTGCATCGTAATGCAATATGATTTAAAAAATTTAGACTTCTCAATGGCTCCATTTTCTCAAAATCAGCAAAACCACTCGTAATGATCAGATCTACCGCTAAAACGTATTGAAACTGATGCTATTTGATGAAGTTTAAACTAATATATAATATTATTATTATATACGTTTTATTTACAAAACAATAGGAACACTTTTAAGCATTTTAAAAATTTACTTTTTTTTCAGTTTGCGGACTCAGATGTATCAAATTCTGTCCAGCGGGTGCAACCATGGCGGTGCCAACAGGGCAAATCAGTGACAATTTGGTCCTGAGACAAAAGCATTTTGCGAGCATAAGAAACGATATTTCCCCCTGTAAATCAACCAAAATGGATCATAGAAGACTTATTACCGATCCAAATAATACAAATCGTTCTGGTAAGTAAGTTTATAGATTCTAAGCGTCACATTATATGAGTCAAAAATTGTGAAACTTGAGATGATTTTGCGCATCGCATAGCCCAGCTAGCTAGCTGAGCATTTCAGATTTCCAATATTGCAATGACTATTTGTGTGCAGTGCAATAACGAAGCTATAAATTGTCAGAAAAGTATAAAATAGTCAAGTATTTAAAATGAAGATGGTAAGATTTCAAAACGCACGTTAACTTAAATCGTATAACAAAGTCTCCCTTGTTTTGAAGAAAGAGAGGCTTGTGTTCTCATTCTCATAAAGTCGTTACCAGGGCAGTGAAGTTTGGTTTGAGGAATGTTTTGTAAATACACTCAACGCAGTTTTGATATCAGGCTTGAAATCTTCTATCTGGACAAACCATTAAGATACTGCATGATTTTTTTTTATTATACACATCTCAATACTGTACAACATTAGATTTATTCCAAGAATTTATCTGACAGCTGAGCTGTTTTCTATGGACATTCATTAAACATTCTTTTAATACTTTCACTCTAGGTTCCAAAGGAATATTTAACATGAAGTCAATGAGTTTAATCATTCTTACACTGCAGAATGCCTCGCTCATTCTGACCATTCGATACTCAAGGACGATCGAGGGACCTCTCTATTTTGCAACAACAGCTGTTGTCTTGGCTGAGGCCTTCAAGTTGGTTGCTTCATTGCTAATTATTCTTGCTGAATACAAAGGAAATGTTGTAAATTGGGCATTATTTTTGCACCAATCAATCATTGGAAATGCTGTGGATACCCTGAAACTAAGCATTCCAGCTTTAATTTATACCGTTCAGAATAATCTGCAATATGTTGCTATTTCAAATCTTGATGCTGCAACCTTCCAGGTGAATATATGCTATATATTGATATGCTATAGCTATTAACTACATAGTGCAGTACCTGCTCTCTTACATTTAAAACTGTATTTGTAATTCAGTCAATTTTTTTACAAATTTTAATGTGCCATACTTTTACATGCCCAAATTGTTTACAATTGATGTTTACAATTGATGTTTACAACTGATGTTTCATTGCACTGGTGGATATATTTCTGAGGAAATTTTCTAAATTCTCTTAGCCAGTCAAGTGTGCCAATACTTAAATATTGTGTGATTAGAATGTGCTGTGATTCCAGAATCCATTCCTTCTTCTATCAGTAAACAACACAGTTCTCCAATTTTTAGGTTACCTATCAACTGAAGATTCTTACAACAGCACTATTCTCTGTGGTTATGTTAAAGAAGACTCTTCAGAGAGGGCAGTGGCTTGCTTTAGTTATGTTGTTTGTCGGTGTTGCAATTGTACAGTTGCAACATGGCAAATTGCATGCAAAACCAACAGACACACCAACACCAGGTCCTACACGAAAACAGTACCCAATGGTGGGACTTTTGGCTGTTATTGCTTCGACTCTTTGTTCTGGTTTTGCAGGTTTGTGTTTGAATTTTGTTTATTTGTTTCCAAATGTGCCTTTGTTTTCTTTATAGCTGCAATTGTCAATTCTTCTAAAGTCATGACTTTACAATGTGCTTGTTGGTTTTTTATTTAGGTGTATATTTTGAGAAAATTTTAAAAGGCACCAAGGCATCTGTGTGGTTAAGAAATGTTCAACTAGGCATGTATGGTATTGTCATTGGGTTAATTGGAATGTGGTTTAAAGATGGAACAAAAATCCAGGAAAGTGGGTTTTTTACTGGTTATACACTTTTGGTCTGGTTGGTTGTGTTAAACCAAGCCTTTGGTGGACTGCTGGTTGCTGTCGTGGTCAAATATGCAGACAATATTTTAAAGGGATTTGCCACATCTTTGGCAATAATTATTTCATGTTTTGTCTCAGTATTTTTCTTCAGTTTTCAGCTGAACTTACAGTTCATACTCGGGGCAGGTTTAGTGATCTCTGCTGTTTATCTTTATGGTAGATCAGCTATGGCAGCAGCACCACCACAACCTCAGAAAGTTACTAGTGGGCATTCAACTAGGATATGAATTTGTACATAACCAATTACACCAGATTTTGTGTTTGCTATTATATAGCAATAAAATTCAGCAATCTTTCTTCTTTTAAATTCAATTTGTATAAGAATGCCCATTAAATAATTAAGATTAGGATCAAAAGGTAAACTGGTCCGGTATTACGTTTAGGAACGTAATAGTGTGTAGTTTCTCACGAGTGAGTATCTTAAAGACAGCAAATTAGAGCGCAATTTGTAAACTTTAAAATACTTATATGAATACGAATGCAGACTGCTTTCGAGGCTCTAGCATGTACATGAAGGGTCGTGTGGGGGTATAATCCCTATCAGCAGTGATATAACACAAGTAAAACGATTTTTTGATAAACCATAGAGAAGATTTCTTCTGGTTTGTCTATGGATAAAACAAAAAAACATTCTAAATGCAATGCAAAGAATGCAAAGGTACCTCGATAGGCTGTGCACACGCTATGTAAAGTACAAAAACATGCACGAATAATCCTAACATATTAATAAATGAAAATGTTTTCTTTGGTGTTGAAGTACTCTGCCCCGGCCATCACTTCTCTACCACACAGTCTACACTACTAGGTAATTCATCTTTGGGTGTTGCCATTCTGGGTAATGACATTGCTTGCTTGCTTTTCATGAACTTGCTCTTTATGAATTTTGACTGTCGCGGTTAAGCTTTTTTCCGAGTTATCACGATTACTATAGCCGAGTATAGGAGTATAGACTATCGTCTCTATACCGTGCAGTTTTTCTAATCGATAGTATGATGTTCCAATGTAAGGGATAAATTAATTTAAGTTGATCAATGGTGAGAAATGTTGCTTAAACTATTCAAAAGTGGTTATTTCTATAACTGCATTTGGCTGATCTGAGCCTAAATCTCATTCAACATTTGAGCGCCATCTTTTATTACCTTGCATTTTCAAGCAGCTTACATGGTGAACTCTAGATTTTCTCAAAGGTAACTGTTTTTACACTGCGAAATTTGATTTCGCAACAAACGAACTAGCGAAAAAATATAAACTTCTACTCTGAGAACCAGGGGTCATTTGGAGCCTTTTTAGTTTTTAGATCCTCGCTGTTTGTGGGTGCAGACGGTGCATGGTGGATGAGAACAAAGTTCAGATTATAGCAATGAAATTTTGGATTTCCAAGTTTCTTCCCATAGTTATTTGTGCCAAGTATCGTAACTCGTAAATTAATTAATAACAAGACACTGTAGGTTTTCGCTTCAGTTCAAGTGTAAGTGATTTCACAATAAAATCATATTCGCCTTACTCTCATCATTAGCGAAATACCCAGGATTACTATACGATAACATATACACAACAAATACAAGACAACATCCACAGTTTTACTGGAAGAGACAGCACACACAATGTGACAACTGACAAACACGTGTGACAACCGAAACACGACGCCGTCTCTGGAGCAGCAATTCAGATTGAAAACTTTTGAAGCACATTTGAATACAAATATTTTATGTATTCTTCACTATGCTTATTCCTCATGATTGCTAGACTTATCCAGAGTATGTAGCGCTAAAAAGACAACAAGATGAGAGAGACAATAACAAAATATAAACCATACAACCACCACTGCATACAACCCACAAAACTGAACATATGTCACATATAGTGAAAGTGTAATGAAAGCTCGCAATGAATTACTAACCAATCAGATTCTCGAATTTTGGTAATTAACCAATCAGATTGCAGTATATTTATCGATCCCAAGCTTCTTTAGGGGTGTCATGCAGTTAGCAACCAAAATGGCGTCCGCGTGGAGTGGGAAAAACACAAAATTTAGATTACTTTGAATATAGTGTGTTCAACTAGAATGGAACAGTATAGAATTCTTGGTCGAATTGGCGAAGGTGCCCATGGCATTGTTTTTAAAGCAAAACATATTCAAGTAAAATATATATATATATATATGTATTTCTCAGATTTTCTCATTACATTTTAATAAAAATGATTTTATAAGGCTCATATCTTTATTAAACATAGACATTTGCCGTTGTTACTGTCTTTAGAGTGGTGAAGTGGTGGCAATAAAAAAGGTTCCTTTAAGAAAACTGGAAGATGGTATTCCAAATCAAGCATTAAGGTAGAATATTGATTGTAGTCGTTTATATACAATTTAAAGTTTAAACATACAATTTTGTCATTTTTTATTTTTTTTGGACTTCCATGATTAGTGCTTCCATAATTACTGTGATAAATTATGTTCAGTTTATGCTTTAATTCCTTTATTCACTTTACTCAATGCAACAGAGCCTTTGTCAATAGTGAAAGGTGCAGACTGTGCAGTGCAGTGATTAGCTCACAATGCCCAAGGGCAAGGCTCCAGGCACCCTGACTGGAAAGTATGCGAACTGCACAACCGAGATTTCAAAAAAATACTAGTAAATAAATAGGAGTTTCGAGACTAACAAACTTTCCACACTGGCTAGATGCAATGACGAACAACACTTAATTAAATATGTATATATATTACATATATATATATATATATATATATATATATATATATATATATATATATATATATATATATATATATAGTCAAACAATAATATGGTTTTCGTATATCGAAGAGTGCTCAATACTGTAAAGTAGAGCTATAATATAATTGCAGTAAAGACAGAAAACTAAGGTTGCATAATTACTACAGCGCTGTTTCGAAGGAGCAAGCTCCCTCTCATCAGGTGTATATAAGAATTTATTATTAACAGGCACGCCTTAAATACATCAGAGTCTAATTTACATGTTAGATAGAATCTATAAGTTCTTTAGAAGATATTTGCTAGCGTGACGGCATGTGCTTGTAAGTTCGTTCCTTTTGTTAAGTGAGCATAAGTTTGTTTTGCAAATGATGTAGTATTTCTCTAAGAGGCATAAGTTGCAACGCTTCGTGGCGTTTGAATACGGGGCGGCTCGTGCGATGATCTTCCAGCTTACTTTGAATGGTACTCCGTCATCCTTCAAGGACCAGATAAACTTACTAAGCTCGGTTGCGTTCTGTTTGTTCTTGTGCCTAAATGACGCTGTATGATTTCTATATCTAGATTTGAATTCATCACTAGTGAGACCAATATAGGTTTGTTTCTCATTGTTGCTCTCGACGGTTGCTTGATAGATTATGTTCCTTGTTAGGCATTCGCCGTTTAAAGGGCAGTTATCTCTGGATCTGCAGTTACAGGTTTTTTGCTCTTCTGGTGTAGGGTTGTTTTTTCGCAAGACTAACTTGTTGTGGGCGCTGATCTTTTTCTCCAGACTTGGCATACATATATATATATATATATATATAATATTTTATTATATATATAATATTTTATATAATATTTTATTTTTCATGCTCAATCCTAAATATTTTAAAAGGTGTGAGATATGTATATTATATACTTTCATTGTGAAATGTATTATCTGTACAAGGCACATAATCAGAATTACTTGATTGTTTTATTCATTTTGATAATAAAAGCATCTACATTTATATTGATCCATCTTTTCCTCAGGGAAATAAAAGCTCTTCAAGAAATAGAAAATCAATTTGTAAGTAGGAGCAATTTCATTTTGTCATTTATTTTGTTGTTGTTAACCATAAAATTTACTGTGTTGTAATAATTACCATGGCAGGTAGTTCAACTGATTGATGTGTTCCCAGATGGTGCTGGGTTTGTTCTGGTGTTTGAATACATGTTATCTGATTTATCTGAAGTCCTGAGAAATTCAGATTGTCCTCTTACTGAGGTAACTTGAACCAGATGCATTTATATTATTATTATTTAAGACACAGTCCTTGTAATTGTCCTACTTTAATCATTGGTAATTTCTAGCTACAATTTTTCATACTAATAGAAACATTGCGAATATCTTGGTATATGCTTTTTTATGCTATTACCAAGGTCTTATGTGCAAATTCAAATAGATTTTCTGTTCTATGATGGATGGAAAATAGTTGCAATTTCATGAAATATCCACTGCTATTCCTGAAATTATCTAGTCCCATAAAATAAACCCCTTCTTGGATCGAACCTCCAATATATTCCAAGAAAAAGCCTTTTTTCTATTGCTTTTTCAATGTTGAAAACATGGTGTTTATTCTGGTAGACTGCTTTTGTGGTCAAAAAAATATTCAGGTCTCTCAATTGGTAATAAAAACAGATACCCTACCAGATATTTACAGGATATGCTATATGATATGTTTGGAGTTATTAATTATATCCATCATACAAAAAACAAGTTTATTTTATCAGGCACAGATAAAGAGTTACATGGGGATGCTTCTTAAAGGTGTAGCATATTGTCATGAAAACTCCATTGTTCACAGGGTAAGTACATGACAATGTGGAATTCAGATTCCTTGGCCCTTAGATACCAATCTTAGGTCAAAATGTGGGGAGGCTTTGTTGTCTATTTTACCCAGTTGTTATACCATATTTATTGATGAGATCTAATAAGGACTTCAATTAAGGACTTGAAGCCTGCTAATCTTCTCATAAGTCCAACTGGTCATTTGAAAATTGCTGATTTTGGCCTTGCTCGGGTGTTTTCACCAGAACAGGATCGTCTTTACAGTCATCAGGTAGCCACAAGGTATGGCAATTAGGTCAAGCTTTATGTCAAAACATGGGATTCAAGTTGCACAAAGAATTTCTTGCCTAAGGCTGACCTGTGCAATTTTATTTTAAGATGGTACCGTGCACCAGAACTGCTTTATGGAGCAAGAAAATATGATGAAGGCGTGGACTTGTGGTGTGTAGAAAAAACTTGATTTGTGTTTTGTAAACCATTTATGCTAAAAATGTGTGGAAATCTATTCCATTTCAGGGCAGTTGGATGTATATTTGGTGAACTTCTGAACAATTCACCACTATTTCCTGTGAGTGCCATTAATTTTCTATTATTATCTAATCCGAATTCGTTCATGATTGGTAATTTTTAACTTTCTCGGTTTCAGGGTGAAAATGACATTGAACAGCTGTGTTGTGTTCTTCGCGTATTAGGAACACCTGATGAAGCCAGTTGGCCGGTTGGTTTAGATTAATTTTTTGTCATTGATGTATTAACTTTTATATCAGTATTCATATCAAGACAACTGTGTTATTTCCAGGGAATGACAGAGCTTCCTGATTATAATAAAATAACCTTTCCAGAAATGCCACCGATACCTCTAGAGAAACTTGTACCAGATGCGACAGTCGAGGTCAGTATTTATCGTCTGAGTTAATTGGTTTATTCAATACATGTTTCGTTGTCTCTATCTTATTCTTTCCGGAATCTAACTATAGACCGAATACATCATGTTTACAAATCTCTACAAAATATGACTTCTATTGAACCAAAAAATACTTTGTATAAACAAGCGATGAGAAAAATCAATGTGAAAATTTGCGTTAACCCTGGGTTAATTTAACCTGATTTTGAACAACCGGTCCCAAACAGTGCAATCATCATTAACCTCAGTGCAATCATCATTAACCTCAGTGCAATCATCATTAACCTCAGTGACTGGGGTTAATCGGGCCCAGTGCAATCATCGTAGCACATGCAACCCTCGTCGCATCTCCAGACACCGCAGCTTTTGTTCATTACAGGCAGTGGAACTGTTAAAGAAGTTTCTAGTTTATCCATCAAGATCAAGAATTGCTGCTTCTGAGGTACTGTATGGTCCGAATCTTGCATTTTTCACTTGATGTATTGTGAAACATTTTTTCTAAGAGCTCATAACTTACCTGGGATATGAATGTCTCCTTGTCTTTGATTTGAAATATGTGAGCTCATATGTAGTTTTCTTTTTCTTGGAAAGCTAATTGTTTTTAATGATTCTACCAATTTAGTTTCTTTGCTTTAATATATACCTTGTGTACTCCTTTTTTTTCGTTTCTTATTTTATAAATATGTGATCAAGAATTCACTTCACTTTCAGGCGTTACTTCATCCGTATTTTTTCAAAGAACCATTACCAGCTCATCACTCGGAACTTCCTATCCCCGCCAGGAACTCTCGACGACCAGGTGCTCGTGCTGGGGTGGGTAAGTTGTTTGAAACAGAAACACCACTTGAGAAATCTTTGGTCCAACCGGACGAAATTAAACCTTACATCAGGAAATACTGAGGCAATATGTTCATAAAGAGAATATCTCACTAATCTCGGTAGAGTAATCCGCTCAGTAAAGTAGTTTCTCAACAATCGGTCTATGGGTAAACAACCTAATACAGAAGACCCGTTTGGCGAGACCATATAAGCCATGTCAGAAAATACAATGTGAGGCCTCAACATCGAGGACATTATGTTAGAAACATACAAGACCTCAAAAGACGTGCGTCTACCTACTGGTCGTAGAGATGATGGTACCACTATAGTTGATACTCCAGTTATGACTGATCTACTATGTAAAACTGGTATCAATGAAGAATAAGACATGAATCTTAAAACAGTCGTATCTCAAAACATGAGGTTTGGAGCCCTCACGTTTGGTCACACAAGAAGAAAAGATGCTAGAGTAGAGCTGTACAGCCAACGTGTCTCACCACACCTTATTAGTTATGACCTAAATTATTTTGTGCAGACCTCGCTTTTGAGACGATCAACGATGCGGCCATGCGGGGCTTTATGAGTGTAGGCTGGGAGTGTGATAAACATTACAATATTTATGTTGTGACTTAAAATGCCCCTGCCTGTAATGGCGTTAGACTAAAGAAAAGCTAACATTAGATGCAACACCTCACAAGTCACATCTGCATGCTGCAACATGTTGCTGTAGCAACAGGGTTATATTATTTGTATAAACTAATAGTTGCCATAACAGCTGTTAAATATATATCCAATATGGCGAATTACTGCACCTTTGAAAATTTTCATCAAAATCGTTCTTTAAAACAAAATGAATACGTCAACGCTTCCACCATTATTGACCATATGTTCTGTATTACATACTTTATCATAAAATTCATTGCTAATATTCTCAGACGATTGCGCCGACGATTATGCTAAATTTTTCATTATGCTAAACTTTGTCCGAAAATCTGTAACTTATGCTAAACTAACATAATAGACCTTATGCATAATGACGTAACAAGCCGTGGCACCTGCAGGGAATTGTGATCTTAGTAGTCCTGGCGGGAAATTTTGAAGTTTGAATTTTTCGCCGTGACTACCACTGATCTTATTTCAGATCAGTGGTGACTACTAAAACCAAAATTCCCTGCAGGCGTCACTGCCCCGGTTTAAGGTTAAGCGAAAGTGAAGCTGGCGAATACAACAGAATACAAATATTTACGATTGAAATCATTATTTTCACGTTTCCACAAGCAAAAAGCAGTGTTTTCAAACTTTTTTCTCGAATTTCGAAGGTTCTTTAGAAAATAAAAAAGTTGAAGTCGGACGCTACGCTCAGGTCGAGAGCGGACGCTAAACAAGTGATTTTTTTATGTAGCAACTGCTGATTTAGGGCAGGGTAAGGCCTATTATTTCGAGTTTCATAGCAGACGATCAAGGAAGTCGAAGCCAGATAATGCAAACAAAACATTTTTATTTCTCATTGCTTTTACATGATATGCTTAGTAATAAAAGACAAAAATAAACAGTTATTAATCAAACTTATTACGATTATCGTTAATGTTCTTCATTCTACAGTCCAGTAATAAAAAAATCGAAATCCAGCGTTTTCCATTATCATTAAACAACATGCCAATGATGCCATCACTTCAAGAATTTCTTTACTTGACAATGTCCGACATAACGAGCACAACCTTTATCTCCTCTCAACTCTGCGTCGACTCTTGCGGCGTTTATGGCCATGTTTTTGCTCAGGCCAATTCCGTAAACGAGGGGTAAGGCCTATTATCTCAAGTTTCATAGCAGACGATCAAGGAAGTGCGGCTATTCGAAGCCAGATAATGCAAACAAAACATTTTTATTTCTCATTGCTTTTACATGATATGCTTAGTAATAAAAGACAAAAATAAACAGTTATTAAACTTATTACGATTATCGTTAATTAATGTTCTTCATTCTACAGTCCAGTAATAATAAATCGAAATCCAGCGTTTTCCATTATCATTAAACAGCATGCCAATGATGCCATCACTTAAAGAATTTCTTTACGTGACAATGTGCGACATAACGAGCACAACCTTTATCTCCTCTCAACTCTGCGTCGACTCTTGCGAACTTTTTGGCTATTTTTTTCGTCGGGCCAAATCCGAGAACGACTCCAGGGCAATTCATATGAGAAGGAACTTTAGGCGTATTGCATTTGGCGTAATGCATATTCTTAATCAACTTGTAACCCAGACGCACAAAGATTACGAAAAACCGAGCCACAGCTTGTGTTTGTTGAAGAGAGACGATAAGGAGCAACACGATTGAGAAAGCGAAGATTTTCATGACGAAAGGCGAAATCTTAAAAAAAGAATATTTTAATGTTGCGCAGTTTGGCACCACGGAGGTTGTTTTATCATATAATCAAAGCCCACTGGTAGTTCAAATGTAACTTACTGTCAAAATGAATTGTCCAAATGAATTGTTCGTCTGCTGCTTCACCGACGTGACGCTAAGTTCTTCTTTGGTTTAACCCGAGACAATACTGACGTTTCGGCTTCCTAGCTTCCTTCAGCACTATTCAAAAACCTTTCCCAGAATGGCTGACTCTGTCTGAGTAGTAATTGTACATCAAAGGTAGCGAACCAATAAGAAGCCAAAAATAAATCAACACTGCTTTTGAACTTCCTGTTTTTGTATCTGCGAACGCAGATATATTGCTATCGCGAGCTATGTTAACATATAGCCATTCAGCGATGCGCTTATATAATTAGCCAATCAGCGATTAGTTTATTACCCGCTCACACCATAACCTAAAGCATGCAGAAAATATAAATCGTTAATCGTTATTGCAATTTTGGCTTCAAAAAATCTTGTTCTGTGTTTTTTTTTATCCAAGTTTTTCTGAACATGGAAACTTGTCCCCATGAGGTAAATAATCAATCTCTTCGGAGATCAAAACAATCTCTTCGGAGATCAAAACAATCTCTTCGGAGATCGAAACAATCTCTTCTTAGACGATTAACGAAACCTAAAGAAATTCACCAGCAAACCATTATACAATATACATTTGTATTGTATAGATAGCAACTGTGTTAGGTGTATAAATTCAGATCACTATACGCGTAGCTGCTGTTGTCGCCACCGACTGACTACGGAAATTGACAAAGCAGACAAATACCAAGTGATCTAGAGACCGTGCACCTTCCAGGTTGCCTTTAAAGAGAATTATATTGGCTATGAGAAAGAGAAAAAGTAGATCCACTTTAAAGCATTATTTTGTAAGAAATGCCCCTAGGTCATCCATTTTAAATAAGATATATAGCTAGTAATTTCAAGCAATGCTGTTTTCAATTTGTGCCAATGCGACATATTTTCAGGGGTGGCGCCGGGGAACTCAAGCCCCCCTGTCGGGGAAAATTTTACAATTCGTTGGGGAATGAACGGGAGATATATTGAGTCGCCCTCTATTGTTTTTAGTTCTCCCAAATAAAACAGATAAACTGCTTCAAAATTTAACTTAGTATTTTACATTGTACATGGTTTGTTGCATAAAAATTTTCATGAAAAAGTCCGTGATAAGACTCTGAAATGCTAATTTCCAAAGATCTAGAGCAATCAAATTTCAAAAATTTTCTTCCTCGGCGCCAACCAAGGTGGCGCCTCGTGAGCCTAGGCTGCAAATCTAAGGCATGGGACTGTAGCGATAAACCGAAAACTGTGCTTCCTACAATTACACGTTAAATAACAACCAGGAGTTCAGCCCCCAGCCCCCCCTGACGGGGACCTTAGCCCCTGTGTCGGGGAATTCCTGTTGCCATCCCTGCATATTTTTATCAATTCATTCGGATATTTAAAGTCTTTTGTCAACTTAGTAGAAAAAAACTATATAGTAAAAAAATCATTTTGTTTTATACAGTCACAAGATAGCAGGCAATATTGCGAGTAAACAATATCACATATGACATATCTCAAAGGAAACTAATGTTTTCAGATATTAAAAGAAATCCTGGTCCTGTTCAAAACAACAGTCCCACTAGACTGTCATCAAATGTAGTAAAACGCTTTCATGGTCTTAAATATAATGTAGTACTAGTAGTAGTAGTTGTAGTATTACTACTACTACTTCTACTACTATATTATATTTACGACCATTTGAAGTTGGTGGTGATGGTGACTGCCTTTTTTGAGCTGGGTCTCATCAGTTGTATGGTGACCCTGATCACCATCTACAAGCTCGAGCATTTGGTATTGCTTATATGAGGGGTAATCCTGAGAGATTAATTGAAAGTAACACTGAAAACTCATGGTTATAATACCTCAATAATATGTCCATGCAAGGGTCATGGGGAAATGCTATGATTATACAAGCTGTGGCTGATCAGCTGAAGTTAAAGATAGTCATTAGTGAGACACATGAACAATTTTCTGAATTATTCACCAACAGATCAACTTAGAGATATTTATTTAGGTCATATAGATGAGTATCATTATGTATCAACTTTGCCATCAGGTACTTCTAAATCCTGAAGACCTGAACAGTCAAATAGGAGCTCTCAGTCTGAGCAAAGAAGAACAGAATATATGAAAAAATACATGAAGGAAAAACGAGCTAATGAAATACAGAGCCCTGATGCTAAGCAAAAGCGAAGAGCATATGCAAGGGAATATAGGAAACGCAAACAAGCCAATGAGACTTCTCAGCTCTCAAAACAGAGCATGTCTATATTACTGTCATGACTGACATTACTACATATTACTAAGCATATTTCCTATTGCTTGAACAGCGGTAAAAATAGTGTAGGTAATCATCAAGCCCCATTCACCAGAAGATGGAAAATTAAAAAACATGGCCAAATCCATATGGTCCATTTGCTGTCCAAACTAGATTGTTGTGAGCAGATACACGTACGCTTAGCGTACCTATTTTTATTTATTTTCACTGGTAATTTTCAGCATAGTACAAAACATGGACTTGGTGGGACACGATGACTGGACTGTTGGACTGGACTTGGTGCCGTTGGCGGGACGCGATTTCTGCAAGCAAAACCTCGTACAAAACTGTATTTTAAGTATTGTATAAATACTGGCTGTATCCTCATGAGGTCTCCTCACTCTCCTGGGGTCACTGGAAATGAGGCGGCGAATCTGACCACTCTCGACAGATTTTTCGCCAGATGTATAGGAGTATGCCTGGCTGGACCGGATAGTCCAGTCCAAGGGACAAAACACTGATTTAAATCACGTACACCTTCAGAAAAATCCTAGAAAAATCCTAAAAAATTTTTGAAATCAAAAAATCATAAAAAATGCAAAAAAATCACGTAGAAAAATAAAAAAAGTCACGGAACCGAAGTCTTCATCACCGAACCGAAGTCTTCATCAGAGATGAAACATTCAACCCCGATATATTGCTGTAACAATGCTTCCTATCTTCAAGTTTTAAAGTAGGATTCTACACACAATCCACACATCACTTCGACAGAAAAGGCAAAGTCTTTCGCCTCTATTCCAACAAACTATCATGCGACAAAACAAGTTCCAGCTCGATCTCTAAGAACCACCGCAATTTAACGCCTTTATCTCGAATATACCATAGGGGCGTTGGAAACAATACGATAACAATTGGTGGATAAATATCCTAAACCGAATGCATAAACATCTATGTTAGAAACATGCATGACCCAAGACGTGTGTCTACCTGGTCAGAGAGATGTTGGTACCACTATAGTTGATATCCCAGTTATGACTGATCTACTATGTAAAACTAAAACATGAGGTTTGGAGCGCTCACGTTTTGTTCACACAAGAAGAAAAGATGCTAGAGTAGAGAGGAGCTGTACAGCCAACGCGTCTCGCGACACCTTATTAGTTATGACCTTTATACTCATATTTTTGTGCAGACCTCACCATTGAGACGATCAACGATGCGAGGCTTTATATGATATGAGTGTAGGCTAGGAGTGTGAATACAATATTTATTTTGTGACTAAATGACCCTGCCCCTGTGTGTAAATGTATTGCAGTCTCAATTAATTAAGTAAAAAGATCAAATAATTGCAGTGCAGTAAGTAATGACGTTAGACTAAAGAAAAGCTAACGTTAGATGCAACCACTGATGCAACACCTACAAGTCACATCTGCATGTTGCAACAGACACCGCGGAAATTGGTATAGGCTTAGCCGCAATTCTCGATACTTAGACTTCAAACTTGGTGAGGAAAAAGATTTATAAATATTCAAGAAAATATGTCTTGCACAAAAGATTTGAAGCTTGCTCACGGTAAAAACGAATCGTCTGAATTAATAACCTTGTGTATACTTTAAGCCTCAAAATGGCCATTTCACAGCTGTCAGATGTGTGTGATGAGCTGTCAAAAGATTGCAGAATGCGTATTCAGAAGAAAAATTGAACTTTTTTAAGATATTCAAAAGGTTTCTCTTTGATAGGGCGATACAGAAATGCACAATTGTGAACCAGCGATTAGATTTTCGGGTTGAAACGTCTTAAACACCAATTTCTTCGGTGTCGTTGCAACATGTTGCTACAGCAACAGGGTTGTATAAACTAATACAACCCGCTGTTTGGTTGCCATAACAACTTTTAAATATATATCCAATATGGCGGATTACTGTACCTTTGAAAATTTTCATAAAAAAATCGTTCTTTAAAACAAAATGAATACGTCAACGCTTCCACCATTATTGACCAACTATTCTCCTAATTATGAACAGAAACAAACTGGTTGTTTGACGGGGTAAGAAAAACACTTGCGATTATATTTAAAACGCTAAATTTTAATCCTTTAATCCTGTATAGGTTTTTGATTTTATAAAACAAACATTATATTGTGCGCAGTTTGCAAATTCGTTACTTCGTTTTGAGATAATAGATTTACGTTTTGAGAAACCAACTTGTATCTCTTATTTAAAACTCCTGTAGAACTGATAAAGACGTTCAGTGGTAAGGCTTTATAATAAAATTTTATAGCAGGAGTCTTCCTTCATGGTTTATCTGCTAAATGGTAGTTATATAAATTTAGTCATATACTATTTCAACTTTATTGGTGACATTGCAGGGCTGATGAAGTATCTCCAATTAGTACACAATTAGAACAAGTTAATTATGGTTCTAACGAATTAGAGAAAAAACCAAAACATATCAGAATGATGGCTCACAGGCGTCATATTGAGGCTGAAGAGAAAGCTTCAAAGGAGAAGCAAGAGGTCAGATGCATGCCATAAGCTTGCTAATTGACAGAATATAGAAAAATACTATCCGGCCTATGTTCCATCATGATTTAATTAATAAAGACCTATTTGTTGGATACTTTTAACATTTCTTCCCTTAACCCCAGTTCTGGCAAAGTCAATGTATTTTTATTCAGTCAATTTACATTTACATTGAAAATGTAGAAAGCTCTCCACACATTGAAAATGTGGCACATTGTCAAAGAAAATGAACATAAAAGGAAGCAGAAAATATTAAAAGATCGGGTGAAATTGCAACATCACATGATCAAGAAACAAGATGAACTTATTCATGAAAAGCATGAACTGAAAAATAAGGTTAATCAACTTTTTTCTTATTTGGGAGATAATGTATGATCTTTGAAGCAAATAAGTTTATAACTATAAGTTTATAGCATTTATAACTTGACAAATCAAACATTTCTTTAAACAGGAACAGCAAAAGCAAAATGATCAAGCTAGATATGAAAGACAGAAGTTGTTAACTGGGATACAAAAAAAAGGTAATGATGACTGTGAATTGTGATTTCTGATTTCATTCAAAGTCTCAAAGACAATAACTTTTGCGTTTAATATACCCAGTAATTTTGAGTAATAGCTACGGTAATAATGAATGCTTCATGGTTTCAATACCTTTACCCTAGCCCTGGATATTTTTACTTTAGTTCAACTGAAAAGTAAAACCCCATTGAATGTAAATAATGGCAAACCTAAGAAGCTTAAACCACCTGTCATGAAGCCTGAAAATGAAGAAGCACCCTGCAAAACATGTGATGAAGAGAAACTTTCGGAAAAAGCATCACAAAAGCTTGATGCTTTTTCTGAAGAGGACTTGTCAGAACTCTTAGAAAACTCAATGATGGAGAATGCAGATTTTCATGAATTACGTTACCAACCATTGCAAGTCCAACTGGAAAGATTGTTTGGTGATGAGGCTGAGGGATATTTGAATCCAGAAGTTAAAGAAAGTCCAAGGAAGGTCTTTGATCTGTCAATAGCAAGGAAAAGTATGTTGATTACTTTCATCCATTTTAGTTAATAATTGTTCTTAATGCAAACTATCACAGAACCATTAAATAATTTGCTTAATGAAGGCACGGTATCGCAGGTTGTTATAATCGAGGAAATTTTGTTGTATTTAGAGGGCCAGCATGGTGCTGCTGCATTATGGGAAGCATTAAGAGCCTTTTCCAGACAAAAGTTGGTCAACAAAGATGCTTTAATTTTACCTGATGTCAAGGTGCAATAAGGTCGTTTTTTACCTCAAATAAAAATCGGCGATTTACTCCAACATGAGTGTTTACTTTTAGAATGCCTATGCATGTTTCATGCGAGAATGTCTGCGGCGTCATGTTACGCCTGTGGAGAGATTTTTTGTCAGCGAGGAAGAGGTGGGTTTGCATGAGAATTTTCTATACGCTGTTTTCTGAAGTAAAAACTACTATTGTTATTATTTCAATCATATGTATAAGGGGATTAGGGGAAGTTGTGCCATTCGACGGCTAAAAACCTGATCTGTCGCGTTTGATTTATAACTCTAAAGGTCCACACAAGCGGACGCGATGCGGCAACGCGACGCGAATTTTGAGTTTTCAGAAGCATATAAATTACATTCTGGAAGTAAAATTTGGAAACTATGGACGCTAGAGCAGTCAAAATGTTTTATTGTTATGTAATCTACAAGAATATTATGATAGTTCAAAATTTATTTGATTTTGAAAAATTAAAAACGTTGAAAATTTGCGCCGCGTTGACAATTCGCGTCCGGTCTGTGTGGACCTTAAAGCGTTCCGAAATTGGGAACAGTTGGAACATTTTTTTGAAGTACTGGTTACTGGTTGATGACCAAGAACGGTGCCATCTCACATGCATGCTACCCACTGCATTAGTAAAGAAATTATTTTGCAGTGAGTTTTATTTTTTAACATTCATCTGCTAAAAACTAAATTTCAGGCTCCCGTAAATGTTAATCTTGAAGAAAGCGATATTCTAAAAGATGTGAAATATCGCAGGCATCGTCAAGAGTTGATGTATCGTATCGCACATCTTAATAAAGATAAAACCAAACTGTTGTTTCAAGTTATTGGACCGCCACATTATTCTGAAGCCAAGGACGAGGATGGTATAAGAAGATACTACCCGGAGATAATACAGGTATTTATTATTATGGTTATTGTTAAGAGCAGTTGACATAGCCCAGCCTTGATTTTTCAACCATGGTAAAAATGTCTGAAAGGCAATAAAACTGTGAATATGGAGGTGAAATGTGTTTACGACTTGCAGAGTTTTAGGACGCTATGTGAGATCAAACTTAGTTGCACAGCTAAGAAAACGAGATTGCTGCTTTCTCCTTGCTCCAGTGTAACAGTCCAGTCCAATTCAGCCACCCTGGGCTTGACGACATGGCTTGATTCCACCTGGTCGAGCGAACTGACTTGGCTTGATTTCCACTTTATTCGTAATTTCGTATTGTAGCTAAACGTAGCGTATTTCAGTTTCTGAACAGACAGCAAGAAAACAGTGGAAATGCGGCTAGGCTCAATGCGCCAGATATATAGCTCAAGTGTCGACGTATCGCGTTGTGTGTTTTCATATTACCTCCAATTCCAATGGTTAACGAATTATATTAGATTCAGTGGTGAATTTACAGTATCATCATTAGTTATAATTTTTAACCAGGAGAAGAAGCCTTCGTTGAAACTCCCAGAAATATCCGAGAACTGTGCTTCTGCAAGAAACACCACCATAAATGTGAGTAATGCGCAGTCAGTTGAAACAAAAGAGGAAGAATATCCGGTAAAGAAGCCTCAGTGCTCAAAACTTGTTTTCTTAACCGAAAAAAAGGCAACATGCAGAGGACAGTTTGCGAGGCGATTGAACAAAGAGGAAACTAAACAAGAATCGAAACTAAAACAATCAGATGATGTTTTGCGTCACAGGAAACACTCTAGCCGTTCAGAATTTCCACAAAGGTTGTGGGAGCCACTGAGCATGCAAGCTTTACTGGATCATCAAAATGCTGTATCGGAAAGACGGGATGAAATATCTGCACTTGATTCGTCTCAAATTTGGAACGTATCCACGTGATCGTTCAGTTAAGGTTGCTCTATTCTTTTCCCTCTTTTTGAGGACATAAAGAAAACCAGTTTCCTGTTCATGTTTGAAGTGGTGTTATCTCTGATAATACTCTTCAGTAAAATATCAATACTTTCACCTAGCCGGCCGTAGTTAGGAGTGCGCAGGCCCCGCAGATGAACCAAAGCCTGTTAGATAGCCTAATGTGGGACAAATCTCGCCAGGTTTCTCTGTATTTCCTAGCCATAGTGGGAATACAGGAAAACACAATTTTGTTGTTTACACTTTTCCTTTCAATTCTCAGAGAGCAATTTCTTCCTGCAGTATTGGTTTCATGCTGAAGGGTGGGCCAGCAGGAAGCATTTGGCAAAGTAATGCAGAATCACAAATTAAATGTTTCTATGGCATTTGCTCAAGGCTTAACCTAAATTTAAAAGTGAAATTTTCCAACATATCTGTCAGGTTGAATAGATTTTTTAAGAAATCTTTCCCACTTTCTATTTCAATAAAAGTATTCGTAGTGTTGAGTACTGTGGAAGGCTATGTAGAAATACATACAAAAATCAGGGTACTGGTTCAGTGACCAACAGAAATCAATGATTTCATTCTTATTTTAATAAACTAAATCTGCCTGACATTTAAGCAGATTTCTGACTCTCTATTCCCTTACAAAAAGAGCAAAAATGCTCCTAAAGTTTGAAGGCTTGTGCAAAAGGGAATTTAACCATAGATACCATTGCTTTTAAAGCTCGCTACAAAATCCTGCACCCTTTCTAAGTTATAACATTTTCGAGAAAATATCCACAATCTCTTGCAGTAGCTTGAAATGTTTTATAATTCTTGAAATTACTTGTCACAAAAATGAGGATTATTCTACTTCTACCAAATACAGACTAAACTACTTATTGTTATTGGTCAAAAAAGTGTAAGGAAAAACCTTTCATGCTGTGCACATCAGAGATACATATATACTTTTTTATATATATACCTAGGATAAAGGGTAAAGATGGCAAAAAGGAATTCAGGAAAATTTCTCATTTGTAAGAATTAAAATAGATTATAGTTGAACAACTTGTCGGTGTGTGTAATTACTAAAGGGTAGTTGTAAAAAATCTGAAGTCATAGTTGTCTATCAACCATGAGTAATTTGTCCATAAATCAGTATTATTTAAAGTTTAGGGATTTCAAATAAATAATTTCCCCAGTACATTATGTAATAATACATCATTTATTGCATTGCGTTCCATAATGCTTAGCAAGCACAACCACCTTGTGGTTTGTTGGGATTGTTGTCTAGTTTGATTTGGTCAGGAAAGTCATTGTATAATTCCACCTCGGTTTCTTGTGCTAATGCATTCTTAGCAATCGTCTGGAATGCTTGTTCAACATTAATGGCTTCTTTTGCACTTGTCTCAAAGTAAGGAATGTTGTTCTTAGATTGACACCAACCCTGAGCTCTCTTTGCTGAGACCTGGAATGTAGAACAATTCAACAATAAAGGCAACTATTTTGCAACAATTTAGACAAAATTGCTGCAGGATTAGAACATCTCTACTAATAGCTTATACTTTCCCCTAGCTACTACCTACAACCTTTTTCTCAGAGTTAAGAAAGACATTCCAATTAATCTATGTTGTGATACATACCGCTCTATTTTCCAAGTCAACTTTATTTCCCAACACAACAAATGGAAAGTTTTCAGGGTCTCTTGGACTAGCTTGGATTAAAAACTCATCCCTCCAGCTATCAAGTGTTTTGAATGAACTAGGTTGTGTGACATCAAAGACAAGAACACAGCAATCTGCACCACGATAAAATGCAACACCCAAACTCTGAAATCGTTCTTGACCTGCTGTGTCCCAGATCTAGGAAAGAGGGGAATTGTTTTCTAAAATGTTTTTCATAAGCAAGCCAATAAAATTTATGGTGATAGAATACCTGCATTGTGACCAGTCGGTCATCAACCATAACCTCTTTTGTAAGAAAATCTGCTCCAATTGTAGCTTTGTATTGATTACTAAACTTTTTATTCACATACTGATTCATTAAAGACGTCTTCCCAACTCTGCAATTAAAAAAGAGTATTTTTAAATAAATTTCCACATTAAGTAGGCTAGCATTTATTATCTTTAAATTATCAACAAATTCAGACAAACTACATACCCACTATCTCCAAGGATTATAACTTTTAATAGAACCTTCTTCCGTGATGACATACTAAAGCATAAGATAAAGAGATTGAATAAGTAGGGGCACTGATTTCCCTATTTTATTCCATGAAGATAAAAATTGACAGAAGGTTAGAATTTCGGGGTAACTACTTTAAACAAATTCAAGTTCTTGGTGCATTATAAAAATGATGGTATAATACAACAATTAAATATTCAAACTAAGTCTGGGCCAAAGTGTGAAATTGAAGAGAATTATCATGAATTTTTCACACTGCAATGATTTTCATTTTTTATGTTTCATTGCGTAATGATTGGCTAGCCTCGCGGGCCATTCGTATGGCTTTATAACTTTCGTATTTGAAGTTTAAAAATATAAAGAAAAACATTCAATATACCACACCATTAACCCCAATGTCGTTAATTTTGAGAAAATACATCGCAGTTGAATAACATTAATAGATCTTATGAATGGGAAATCTGTTTTCACCGAAATGGAACGAAGGACAAGGCATATGCTGATATGCATGAAATAATATCGACCTATCAAGAGTACTAATATTTTGGGAGATAAAACAAAGGAATAAATAGTAATTTTTATGAAAATTTACTTACCTTTTAAAGCCTGATGGTTAAATTTATGCGTAGCTATATTTACAGTAGGGTAAAGACAAGTTTTGCTCACAAATAATGCGAACAAACGCAAGAAATTGAACAGGTCTTGACAACGCAACTTGGTTGTGGATTGAAGGATGTCTCGTGATCGGGGGCGAATTGCTGCGACGTCATTACGTCTACTTCCGCCACTGATCTGCTGAATACTGGAGTTTGAAATTACTTTTGTCACTTGTAACATAAAGTATTGTAACAAAACTCTGCATGAAGAGAGTAAGGACGAAAGAAACGAATAGAAGAAATTAATTTGTTGGATATTTTATTAGCTTCATTTAGACGATGAAAAAACCTTCAGGAAAACCTAGTATAAAAGACAAACCAATGGGAGCCATTGATCATGTTTTAGATTTATACAGAAACCCAAATAAATGGTGTGTTCACTGAGTTAACTGACTTGACTGACTTGCCTCAGTTGCCTCAGTTGCCTGAGTTTCCATAGCTGATGTTTCACTTATATTATTTAACCTCATGTATCATGATTGATTTTTCAAGTTGTGCAAGAATATGAATTATTTTATCATAATTTATATAAATTTATTAATGGGTTATTAATAAATTTATTAATAACTTAATAATAAGTTCATTTATGTCAGGGATTTTATTTTAGTGGGTGGTGAACACATTTCTGTATAGCAATTTTTGTGGTACAATCATGTGATTGATTAAATTATAAACACAAATTAGACTTGCTCAAAGATGTTTTCAACATCTAACGGTGCACCAAGGTTAGTCTGTGTAGCAAGCTAATTAAAACCTGTTCCAAAGATCTTTCATGAAACCCACATTAATTGCATATAATTTTGAACTAAATGTCTGAGGTACATTCTTCCCCCTTATGATGCAATTGTATTTTTTGTTTCACAGGAGACTTATCAAACATACAACAATATTTATACTAGCAGTATATGGGGCAAGATCATTTTCTGACATAAACCTTATGGAACCACCACAATCACTACAGTAAAACTTTTGTACCAGGTACGGTTTAGATTTTCAAAACAAATTCTTTTTTAATAAAAGCTTTAATTTATGACTAAGCTTTAATTTAAATATTGTTTGGATGACGTTTTAAAGAAAATGTGATGTTCAAAATCTAATTTGATTTAATGAAGAGATGTTAGAATTTCGAAGAAAGTTCCACAGTTTTTAGAAAAAATTTCATTATAAAATTTTAACAAAATTTTATAAAAATTTTGACAGTATTGTTATTGTCATTAGTGTTGATCCATGCACTTGGAATGCTGCAAGACTTTCTAAAATTTATGAAAGTACATATGCACAGCTATTAACCAATCATGCTGCAGGTTTCACTATAATTACATAATGCCAGTGTACACTGATAAGGCTTACCACTTTTCAAGGCTCATTTTTCTGAGGAGTCTATCTATTTATTAGGTTTAAAATATTCTGCTCTTTCCTAATACATCTAGCAAAATAATTGCTCATACTTTAATATTGCTTTTCAATTCATTTTCAGCCTTTTGAAGAAAAGCAACAAAGACCCAAAAGGATATGAACTTTCTGATATATTTCAACTGTCATAGAATATTAACCAGAATTTATATAGTGCATACTATTTCTTGTGTGTATTGAATGATAGGAAATATATTTTATTTTTGAAATATCCAATTGGGAGGAATTGGGAGGGATTGAAAGAGATAAAAATGATTAGTTATCCTGTTTCATGAGTTTCATCCTAAAGGCTAGTTTCCACTCAGGAAAAATCTCCTTTGGATCGGAACGGACAGGAAAATTTCCTTTGTCGGTGAATTCTCAGGCAGCGTTTATACAAAGGAGAATTTTCCTGAGTGGAAACTAGCCTTTACAAAGCACTTGTGCGCACTCTTTCACACAATTTTTTTTCGTTTTTTGTACCCAAATATACGGTAGATACCCGTACAAGGCCATGTCTTACCACAGTCTTACGTGACGTCAAGTTAGTTGTTATTCAAGAAGCTTCACGTGATAATACCATAGGTCTTGTGCAGTCTACCGAATTCTGTGATGTCGATATGCGTCTGTTGCATAGAAAAAATATTTTGTGTGCCACACTGGAGATGGGAAGGCTGAAGGCATCTGCACTAAAAAGACGCTTACCCTATAAAATAGCTAAATTAACTAATCTCTTTATCGAGTCTAAATAACATTTAGCAAATCGTTAGAAAAAGACGTAAGAAATCTACTTGAGAGAGAAACCATTTTTTATACAACCATGCACATGGATCTGCACTCAGCTTCTAAATCAGTATTCCAACGAATTTATTAGCTTCTAAATCAGTATTCCAACGAATTTATTATCGTCATAACGAAGCATGGCCATGGGTCAAATCACTCAAATGGGATAAAATATTCCTCTGGACCTAGCCACGCAGCGGCTTTTTCGCGTCACACTGGCATTTTTTTAATCACTTGAACGGACAATAGAAATATGCAAAACATATTGCCCTATAACTGCAAGTTTGTTTGTTTTAAGCGTCGTGCTTCTTGTGCATTTAAAACAATACTAGTTAATCAATTGAATACTTCGATCGTAATCTATTGTTGTTAATGCGTTCATCACATGGGGAGCACGACGTTTGAAATAGGCCTTACCTGCATTGTCCATTGGAATGTTTTTCGAGGTAATAAAAGGTGGTTGAAATCTAGAAGAAACTCAGACTTGATACTCTCGAAGAAGAAAGTCAGGAAGAAAGGATCACTTGAAGAAGTTTGTAGGGAAAAGTTGAGAATCTTGCTCAGGTGCAGTCAATAGTCATAGTTGGTTTAAAGAGTCTGTTGGCTTGATCTTTGGCTTTGCAAATTAATTCATTGTCATGTCGATTTGAATAGCCAGAAGGCATTAGCGAGTAGAGGCATATTCTTGCTGATTTTCACTGCCTGTATCTTGTTTATTTCGATTCAAACTGCGAAATGCAAGTGAGCTAGCTGTTAACTTGAATTTTTTCTTCCTTCCTTGTTTCAATCAGAACGAACTACGGCACAGAAAGATGGGGAAGGCGAAACAAACGTTTGCTTGCAGGGAATAATAGGTATTGTTTTATTAGTATATCATTTTATATGCATGTGTATTTCGCATTTGTGACTTGAAATCAGACGTTTGTACACGGTGGGCGAAACTAAAATATGCAGTAAATCAATTGTGTTTTTTGGCACTTCACTCGATGCACCTCATGCACGTAAATTCTAAGGTTTAAAGAGGGTCTTAAGTTCAAGTGGAGTTAATACTCACTTCAAATTCAAGCCAGGAACAGTTAAAGGAAAAGACCCTTTAAACCCTAGAATTTACGTGCATCGAGTGAAGTGCCAAAAATCACAACTGATTTACCCTCACCTATTCCCGGCATTACCATCCTGTACACATTAACCACGCTTGCTCTTGTCAGCTACCTCTGTAGCTCAGTGCCAGTGGCAAGAGCATTGCACCGGCATCGCAAAAGCGCGTATACTACCGTATAGGTTCGACTCCTGCCGGAGGACCGATAGTTGACTCATTCTTCCTTGAATTTGAAGCGTGCATATTCCCACTCAAACTTAAGACCCTTTAAACCCTAAAATATTTAGTAGTTTAATCGAATTTTCAGTCGAGTCTTTATTCTATATTTTTGCAACTTGCAAGAAATGGTTGAAACTTTCCCGTCTGGTACCGTAATGCGTTTTCCGTACACGCGGTGGTCATAAAAGTGAAATTGAATAGCCCCTATAATTATCCGTATTGCCTATTGGTATATATATGCACTTCATGCTAGACTGGTTGTTCAAAGTTTGGAGCGTATTATATCTTATCTTATCTTGCTCTAGTGATTCAGTGACTTTAGCTTTCCATGTCAAGTTTAACCACAAAACAAAAAAAAGTCAGAGAGTAATATTGCAAATAACTAGCCGCTTTATATGCCCCTGAATATTGTTTTACCAGGGTTTTCTTTTTTTAGGAAGAAGGAATCGTCTGACGGAGTGGAGAGATGTCGGACCTGCCTTGCGACATTTATGCACGCAAATACAAAACTCTATTTCGATAAAAATATGCATGAAATAAAATATGCATGGGATTTGGCTTTTTAGCTTAGATCTGCTGAACACTCTTCTGTTTACCTCCTTGATTTTCAACTTTTCGGTTTGCGGTTTTTGCATGAGTCAACCTGGTCGTGTCAAGTGCATGCGGAGGAAACACAAGTGATTCTGGGGCCCCATCACTTGTATTTTCTCCACCTTGAACGACAATATAGTCCAGAACAAAAATATCGCTGACAGAGAACCTAAAACATTAAAATGCACGAGAAAATGTGTTTCTAGAAGGAGATAATAGTGGAGTGTTTTAGTTTTCTCGAGACCATGAAGAAAACGATGATTATTTCCTATACAAAACATGCATGTGACATAGTTGTATTCGCGTGCGCCATGCGAAGGCCTTGGACGAGTGGTGTTAAAAGATGTTGGAGGTCTATAATCTGGTTTTGAGTGCTTATCTTGAATGCTTTCTAATAAGTGACATTTCTCTCGGAAATTAATGATATTATATTTTTGTATCTGCGTTAAGGGATCAGATTATGAGGGGTCGTCCACTGATCAGAAACATGATGAAGGATCTGAAGGATCATCGCAGGATCAAATACATGATGAAGGATCGTCGCAGGATCAGATGCACGAGGAAGGATCATCGCAGGATCAGATGATGAAAGATTGTCGCAGGATCAGTTGATGGACGACGAGACGGGTGTACAAGTGGAAGCTAATTTGAGGTACATACTATAGGTGTACTAATTCAGTAGAATAACGTGGAAGGAAAATGAAGGAAATAAACGTAATTTAATCAGTGATTTTAACTATCTTAAATGAAGTTCCATAAGAAGAAAATAGACCTCGTATATTAACATGATATATTACATGAATTGCATGATAACTAAACCATTGAACCACACCTATACATGCATAATGGAGGATATCTTGCCAATCTTGGGACATAGTGTTCAATTGTAGGTTAATATGGTATAGCACCCTCTTGCCTTATGCATCCTTTAAAGAAAAGCCTTTGCATCTTGACACACTTACTATGTTCTTTAATTTCTTGCACGCCCCATCGTCGAGATGAACTTTGTTAAAGAAGAACGCAACTGTTTGGAAATGGAGCAAGGAAGCAAGTGAAACTCTGGTACACTGTCTACCGAAGGTAATTATTATACGTTGCGAAAGGTAAGGGACATTATTGATTAGCCATAATTTTTATTGAACTCGTATAAGTTGTATGTTAAGCCAGATTACGTTTATTTCCTCCATCTTCGGTCAACCGTAATTCAGAACGTATAAAAAGATAAACAATGAATGAGATGCATGTCGTAAGAAAGGGATAGTAGAAGATTATTATTGTCTACATCGGTTTTAAATGAAAAAGCATGCAACTCGTGAATACGAAGCATTTCTTTCCAAAATCACAAAATTTCCAAAAAAATGCATGATCATAACATGAGCATTTGAATATTTGTTATAATTTTTGTTGCCCTTGTCGGACAGAGCACATTTAATACAAATTTTTAACAGCTCCGCTGTTTTGCAACGGACTATGAAATTCCTGAGACTCAGTTCGGATGAGTGGAACTAAAATGGTGAAATATAAATAAAACCTGAACTGTCATTGCGGACGATTTCTAAATGAAAATACCAAATTCGGACCGCCGGTCAGGTAACCTGAAATTCAGGTTACCTTTGGAGGGTTTTTCTCCGGGCACTCCGGTTTCCCTCCTTTTCGTTTGACTGTAAAAAACAGTGTCCATGTCTGGGGCCAAACTAAAACGTGTTCGTTGATAGTGAAAGGATTTCTTGCACATTTTACAAAATCGAGAAATCCTATTTCTGCATGAAGTATTGAAAACGCGTGTGCTTGGCTTCTGGGTTGGATTCCCAGAACACTGGCGTAAATTTGGAACTGAATTCGTCGACGAATAAACCGCACAGCAGCAGAAAACATCACGTTCTTTCTTGCAATAGGAACTTGCAAAATATACTTTTGACGAAATTAACAACTGCATGCAATGGACAGTCCAAAACGAGATGGAACTTTCGCAACAACTGCCCCCGGGCCCTGCTAACCGTTTTTCTTCAAGCATTTCCAACACGCATTTTCAACACACAAATTATGTATCACAGAAATGTTTAACACAAATTATCATCCCTCAAAATTAGAATTGCATTGCAACTGAGTTGCAGAAGTGTAATGTTTTAAATTGATATAACATGGATAACATGAACATCAAAACTGTGCCACGAGGCAACCGCGAGGCAGGATAAAAGTATTTATATTTGTCACTTATTTATTTTAGTGATTTCTTTTTCCATTCTTAGACATTTGTCTTATGAATATTTTTAAGGCCACGAGGTCAGTATAGGTCGACATTTCGCATTTGTTACAGTGATTTGTTCATGAAAATTGTTTTTTCAGAAGACCTTTTGTGTGGTCTCAGTTACTGATTAGTTAACCACAAATAACTAATAATTCAGGCTTCTTTCCGAAAAAAATCATTCAGTCATATTGCAGTGAACAATATTTTCTCCACATGTTCCGTAGCGGCGGATTATATTGCAGTGAGGCGGCGTTGTACCCTGGCGCTTTGAAAGCTTTGAAAATGGCGTGCGTGAAACAATATTTTGTCGATCCACATGGTGATTGGTCTGACATGTCCGTGAGCGGCGGATTAAGATCACGCGTGATGATATGCCTATTGAGTTTGGATTAATCGGATTATGGCCTGTACCCTTGTATTTATAGGGGATTGATCGGATTTGATCCTGACTTGTGCTGCATATTTTCGTATAATTTTCGTACAGAGTACAGACTATGTCCACTAGTACAGGAAATATTTCTCGTTTCGTTCGAACCGAAGTTCCTTATTTGAAGAATTATAAAGCGTATATAGGAGGAAAATGGAAGTCCGCAGCAAGCAATACAACGTTCCCTGTATATAACCCTGCCAACGGCGTCAAACTAGCGGACGTTTCTAATTCTGGTGAAGCTGATGTTAAAGATGCCGTTCAAGAAGCTGCACAAGCATTTCAAAGTTGGAAAAAGAAAACAGCGAAGGTATGTATTGCTTACTACAATGGAATCACTTGCAGATTTAACGCGCTATTAGTTTTTCATTGGCATTTTCATTCTATTTGAAACTCCCCCCCCCTGATACGCTATCCAATTTTTGAGTTTTAAAAAATACAAATGCTTCCAATTCTTAAGTCTGGATATCTCCTCTCAGTCCTTTTCAGCTGGTAAATGGAGCCTAGGAGGATGACATTTTTTAATGTCATTCAACTGCCCAACAGACTATAAACTAAAACATAACTAAAAGCAGCTTAAACCGGCTTGGGTAAGGGGGGTGCTATAAAAAGTCTTTCATTACTAGGTGTGAAAGAAGGTTTTCCCCCATATTTTCCTATCCTCATAATATTTCATTCCTAATTTTAAAATACTGCATATTTTGGTTCATTCAAGGAAAGAAGTCGTCATCTTCAAAAATGGAACAATCTTCTCATGGAAAAAAAGGAAGATATTGCAAAAATAATGACATTGGAACAGGTTCATATTATTTCTAATTTATGCAAATTAGTTTATATAATTTGTGAGTATGGTTTATGTTACTATGTTTTATTATATCTGTCTAATTCTCCTTTAAAAGGGAAAACCTTTGGCAGAAGCCAAAGGGGAACTGATTTATGGTGCTTCATTTATTGAATGGTTTGCTGAAGAAGCAAAACGAGTTTATGGTGACATCATCCCAGCTCCAGTGGCCAACACAAAAGTTATTGTGATGAAACAACCTATTGGAGTAGCAGCACTTTGGACTCCAGTATGATTCTTTTAAGTTAATTTATCCTTAAAACTTTTAGATCTGATGACATGATTCCTAGAATAAATACTAGAAAAAAATCTGCATTGGGGATTAGATATAAGGCATACAGCATGGCATAGATTAAATTTAATAACACAAACAATATATAATATTAGAAAAGGTCTATTTTGGATTTTATTTGCATTCAAGGTCAGCGGACCTGGGAGGGCAACATTAGGCAAGCAAGGTAAAGGGTACCCCTTAGAAACATACCCTATTGTCAATCTACTTGCAGCAGGTCTAATTTTAGATCAACAAAAAAGGTTGCTGTAGAAATACAGTCAATGAGCTTTACAAAATTGTATACTTGCACTTCTGTGCAAAACCTAGCCCAGACATTAAAACTATCTGAAAGAGAGTTTATATGGATTGATACTGATGTCCCTGACCGTATTGCCTTTTATTACAGTTTGTATTGTTTCCATTACTAGTGGAACTTTCCCTTGGCCATGTTGACTCGTAAAGCTGCAGCTGCCCTTGCTGCTGGATGCACTGTGGTCTGCAAGCCTGCAGAAGATACACCACTAACTGCATTGGCACTGGCTCAGGTTGTGTACATCAGCTAGGGCCTATTATTAAATTAAAGACTCTATATATTTTTGGCTCCATTTCCATAGTTATATTACTCATTATATAGGCATATTTACAATATGGTAGAAAAAAATCACTATATAGTTTGCCACAGGCCTGTCCAGTCTTCCTACAACTGGCTATCTCATTTGTCAGTGTTCTTTATGTGTATTGTGCCTGTCGACTGTCATATTGTGGGAACTGTGCATTGCTAGTGTTAGGTTCAGGTATCTGGATAAAAGCGAATATATATTCTTGAGACATACCTAAAAGCTTATTCTGACCTAATAGACATCCTTGCAATAATAAAACATATTTTTCCTTGCAGTTAGCAGAAGAAGCAGGCATTCCTGCAGGTGTGTTTAACATAGTGCCTTGTTCACGTGATAATGTTGATGAAGTCACTGATGTTGTCATGGAAAGTAACTTGGTTACAAAATTTTCATTCACTGGATCAACTGTTGTTGGAAAGGTTAGGCACACCAAGCTTGCTTCGTTTTCTGTGAAGCCTGCACACAGACTGGTATACAGTTTTTCAAAAAATGCGTGCAACTGCCATTTACTGATTTAGTGTTTAGCATCATTCTACTAGATTGGACCATTTTCATAGGCGTACGGAAGGAGGCGACTGTAGCCCCTCAGATAGAGCAGAATTGCTAATTTGGGGAGTTTGTACTCAAGAGTTGGGCATTTTTTTTAAATAGCTAGCTCCGGAAGGGGGAGCATTCCACGGGTAGCTGGCAGCTTTGGCTGGCTCGCGCATCTGACGTTCTCACCCCCCAAAAAATGTTTAATCGGTTCCTAGTGCTTTATAAACAACAAAAGCATTCGACGATTGGACATGCAGAGTCACAGAGAGCGCCTTGGATGATTAAATGTAGCTTTCCATGTTTTTTAGTTGTTATTGAGGAAATGTGCAGACACTGTGAAGAAGGTTTCTGTTGAGCTTGGAGGGAATGCTGCGTGTATTGTGTTCAACAGCGCTGATGTTGACCTCGCTGTGAAGGGGATTATGTCAGCCAAGTTTAGAAATACCGGACAAGTGAGTGGAAAAGTGCTTATACTAAGGGCCATAACTGGACCACTCAATATATAGGCGGGGTATTCATAATATGTTCATGTACACATGCCGTAAGAACAACTGATAGCGTTTAAAAGAAATCAGTCGAGCGTTTTATGAACTCGTCCAGGTCGTAATTTAGAATAGAATGTGTGATGAAAAAGACGGGTCAAGCAAAGCGTTCTTTTTTTCCATTTTTTATAGACGTGCATCTCGCCTAATAGAATTTTTGTTCAAGAAGGAATTTACGATCATTTCTCGAAAAGATTAGTGGAAGGTAGTTTTGTGTGTTATTGTAGTTAAATCTTACGCGGTTAAAAATCTAGCTGGACTTGGTTTGCCATTAAGGATATTAAATTAAAGGGACAAAACGATCTGATGAAGTTAGTTTAATTGTTCAATCTCACTAACTGATGAAGTTAGTTCAGTTGTTCAATCTCACTAACTGATAAAGTTAGCTTGTTCAATTACTCCTGTGTTTTTACCGTTTAGAAATGAAACGTTTGATTGTTGGAGATGGTTTAGACAAAAGCTCAAGTCAGGGACCTTTGATTAATGAAAAGGCGGTGATAAAAGTTGAAAGACATATTAAAGAGTCTGTAGAACAAGGCGCTAAAGTAATCTGTGGTGGAAATAGACTAAATGAACTGGGTGGGACGTTTTTTGAACCCACGATCCTCACAGATGTTACTAATGAAATGCCTGTGAGCCGCGAGGAGACCTTTGGGCCGATAGCTCCACTTTTAAAGTAATACAATTTATCGTATGGATTTTGTTTACAGATCAGAGTGTTTGTAATCGTGGATTTCGAATAATCATTGCTTTGATTGCATTTTAGGTTTGAAAACGAGGCCGAAGCCATTGCAATGGCAAACGCGACGTTTTCTGGACTAGCTGGTAACTTCTTAACGAGTCATAATAGAAGTTAGATTGTTTATCTATCTCATATATATATATTTGGAAATTATTTCCGAGATCGTTAGATTATAAACGTTATTTTGCTTTTTTTTCATATCTGATGTCATGTGATGTTGATTTTTTTAGGATATTTTTATTCCCAAGATTTTAAACAAATATGGCGAGTGGCCGAAGCATTGGATGTAGGGATGGTTGGAGTGAATTCTGGGCTTCTTTCGTCCGAGGGGTCGCCGTTTGGAGGAATGAAACAGTCTGGGATTGGAACTGAGGCATCCAAATACGGAATTAATGAATATATTGAATTGAAATCTGTCAGTTTTGGAGGAATGTAAACATAATGGCAACGTGGTAGTATTGGTCTGAAGTGGTAAATGTTTCTGATAGAGCCAGCAGGCGTTAAGATAAAACTGTTAAAAATATGTACGATGTATCTAGCTATTAAAATATTATGTATAAAGGGTCCCCTGACGAAGGCCTTTAGGTCGAAACGTCGAGAAGTGTTTCTGTCTATTTTTAGCAGTTGTTATACCATATTTGATGCGAAGTAGTTTGAAGACGCTTCTACGATGCTTCCTGGTTTTATTGGAACATATATTTCATTTAAGGCTTGCCAGACAGCGATCCTCTTTGTCGGTGACCATTGAGACATAAAATGTTTTGTCCATCGGAAATGACCCTTCAGGCTACATCATTGGACTCAGACTATGTCGCAAAGTGTCGGTTCTAAGCATAGATATCTATGTTTCTAAGTTGCAGTGAACCACACTATGAGTCTCTATCATCTCTGTAATTATCTTACATGAGTTACCAACAGATTTCAAAATAGCGTCTAACATGAGTAGGACTTGGAAGTTGGAACAACCTCGCAGGCCAGGCTTTTCTACCCACACGCGTGAAAATCGTCATGTCGATGCAAGTTGTTAAAAACAGGAGTGAACAATGTTGTGCTGCACCCTGTGAACAGTATTGTTAACTCTGTTGTTGAACCTTGTTGAATCATCAATGTTGTTGCAACTTGTTACTACAACATTGCATCATGATTGCATCAACATTGATGATTCAACAAGGTTCACCAACAAATGTTGTTAACAATACTGTTCCCAGGATGCAGCACAGCATTGTTCACCCTGATGCGCGAAAATGATCCATTTTTGGCGTGACTGACCCTGGTTAAGGCTGGTCATGTGACAGTGAAAAATCTCCCAAAATATGTGAGATTTTTAATTAGCGCTTAGTTCATATCAAAGGGAGGGTGGCAAAGTCAGTATTGTCACAAGTTCTGTTGATATTCAATAGACACTTAGCATTGTACTCAGGTGTAATAGTAAAATATATAATGTTCCATTCAGTTATTGTAGAGAGGTCAGTTGAATAAAGGCGAGCGCGCGGGGGTGATGAGGTGATGAGCGAATTTATAAGTCAAATAACAATAACGACACAAGTTATTTCGCTTTGCAGTACAACAGCGCTCTATATTCAGTTCTTAGAAACACGCTATTTTGACAGATGTGATTTATCACTGAGGTGATTTATGCGCTACTAGTGTCCCACCAATCCCTATACGGGAGAAGCGTAACAAAAGAATCACATGACCCAACACAGAAGGCCCTGGGCACAAGGTTGCACATGACCAACCCACAGTAACCAACCTTAATCAGGGTCTTCGCCGCAGGGTGGGCCGTGGAGGTGGAGCGTTGGTAGAAGAGCCCGGCCTGCGAGTTTGGACTTCTGGAAAATTTCGTTTCTTTCCAGATAAATATGTCTCATTCGTTTCTTACGTCATTACTGGTGAGTTTCATTTGCTAATACTAGTACTACATCTGCTAGAGATTGTAGTAGATATAAATTGGAAAATTAGGAGTTTGCACTATTTGCACGTCGCTCGAGGCGTGTAAATTCTAGAGGTTTATAGGGTCTTGATTTCGAGAGGGATTATACACACTTCAAATTCAAGCCAGAAACAGTTGATGACAGTTGATGTAAAATGAGCCAACTAGATGCTGATGATATGCTCTTGCCACTGAGCTACAGAAGTAGCTGACAAGAGCATATAAACACTTCAAATTCAAGCCAGAACAGTTGAAGGAAAAAACTATCCTACCTGACCTACGCTTTTGCAATGCCAGTGCAATGCTTTGCCACTGAGCTACAGAGGTAGCTCACAAGAGCAAGCATGGTTAATGTGTATAGGATGGTAATATTTGCATGTGCACACTTCAGCCTAACAGCTAAATCTAAATGTCTCCATACATAAGTTTCTAGTGTACGTAGCAGTTGGCATACATTCTGCAGACTAATTTTTCACCAGGACTTGCTTCCATTCTTAAAATTAGATACAAGATTCGATCCAATTTTGCTGTTTTAAATTTGGACATCTAAGGCCACATAAAAAAATTCCTTGATTCTCATCACCTCCCGACCATATTTTAAAGCCTGTGTGCATATATAGTTATATTTTAAGTGCCACCCAACCAAAAATCGCCCGAAAAACCCTTATTTTTTATTTTATATTTGGTTCTACATGGTCGAACTCTAATATTTCTACAGCAGAAGCAGGACAATAAATTTTGGGTTGCCACTTGGGGGTGTGAAGGGACTGTGTGTGACCTTGTAGTACAAATTGTGAACCCTTCAATTTAGTAACATTTTTTTTGAGAGTTTCAACTTTTAATTAAGGATGTATTGTCTCAGACTTTCAAGAAACTCTTGCAGCACTAGTAGTTTGTTTACTTTTTCAACATTTGTAACAGATCAGACACGTTATTTATGTTATTCTAACATTGGAGATTCGTATTTCAATTTGTAGATCCAGAGTTTTTTTTATTATCGGGAATTTCGCAAAACAAGGAAATATAAACACAACTCCCTCTCCAATTTTGAAATTTATGAGATATTTTCTTCTATTTTTATATTAACTATAAAAAACAAACCCTCCAGCTGCCTGGAAATTTTCAAAATTTATTGATGAAAATCCAGGAATTTTTTTATGTGGCCTAAACAAAATTTATCCATTTCTGTAATGCTTATTTTGAACTTAAGGCTGGGGGAACTGCAGGATTATGTGTTGATATTGTATTGCACCCATTGGATACCATCAAAACTCGGATCCAGTCATCACAGGGATTTCTTAAATCTGGTGGATTTCGTGGGGTTTACTCTGGCCTTGGTTCTGCAGCTGTTGGATCAGCTCCAGCAGGTAGTTCATGGTAGTTGCATGCCTTTTTGCAATGTATCACTTCACCAGCATGTTTTTAGTGTTAGAGATTTTCATGTTTTCAACATTTACCCATAGCCCACTTTGCAAACAATGTTCGCTTGTAAAAAAAGTTTTGTGAATTTTCCAGCGGCAACATTTTTCTGTACCTATGAACTTGTAAAGAGTTTCTCTGCTTCATGGTCTCCAAATGTTTCAACACCATATATTCACATGGCTGCTGCATCTGTTGGAGAGTTGGTAATATTTTGGGACATTGCATTGGTGTTTGTAGCATTCAAGAGAACAATTCACAATTGCATAGATAACTAATTTTGTACTCATTTTATAAAAAGACTTCAAATATTGTCAGAGTTCCTTTTGAGCTGGTAAAGCAGAGAGCTCAAGCTACTAAGAATTGGTCTAGTAAAGATGCTTTGAGATTTACATGGAAACAGGAGGTACAATCATTGAAATTGTAATTTTTGCTTGTTTTATTTCAAACTCTTTGATTCCAAGTAGAATTATGGATGTTCTGTGGTTATTATTGAATAGGGGTTCAAAGGTTTCTATAGAGGCTACTGGAACACAGTTTTCAGAGAGGTATGACAGTAAGAAATATTTTTCGTATTTCTAACTTTCTATACAGTTTTAGTATACACCCGACTATTGTCTATTACAATTTTACATTCTGATTGGCTACTCAACCATTGTCTATTCGTGATGGTGAATGTTTGGGGAAAATTCGCTCGCGCGACCGTATAAAATTGACTTAGTTAAATTATTTCTCGGTGTAATTGCGGTGTATCGATTATTTTCCCGAAATCAATATATCTAGGTACAGGGTGTATACTAAAACAATTAGACAACTCGCCTTCGTTGTCTATGAGCGAATAGTCAATTCGGACTCGTTGTCTAATTGTTAAATATAGAAACACGCTTCTTGACCATTCAGCACGTGCATACTATAAATGAGATATTATAATCATGTGTTCAATATATAACACTGTTATTATTAGAAAAGTAATATTGATGACTCAAATACTTTGTATATATACGTATTTATTCACATACACTTCTGCACTATGTTGAAAAGCACCATTTTTGTTAACAATATCCCAACTGATTTTCATTTCACTTGAACCAACTGAAATGGTACATTTTAGGTTCCATTTTCATTCATTCAATATCCTTTGTGGGAATTTCTAAAGGTGTGTTATCTAGTACATTTTGATTCAAATACAACCAGTACCCAGAACGACAGACAGTAAGGCTAATATAACACCATAGAACACCCACTTCCTAAGCACAGAGTGTCATATTTGGTTAATGATGAAGATAATGTGATCTACAGATGAGGTGGTCAAAATACCAACTGCATCCTGTCCATGCTTGGCAGTCTAGTATATGTGGTGCTATTGCAGGTGATAAAGAAGATTAATCTTGAAGTTGGATTTCACTGAGATTATGTTTCTCTGTTTATCAGTAATCTATATCCATTGGTTGTTTCTTTCCAGGAGGCGTTGCTGCAGCTCTCACCACTCCCCTTGATGTTGCTAAAACTAGGGTTATGCTAGCTAAGGTACAACTTTCCTTCATAGCTTTCATAGTCTGCAAGGCTCAGCTGTTGGATAATATCTTTCAGTTTAACTGGCTACCTTCTGATCAACGTAAACTTTCTACTACAATCCAGTGCCGTACAACATGCTGTCACTTGTCTTGTTAGTCAGTGTTTCGTAATTTAGTTAGGATCACCAGGCATAATTAAAACTTTGTGAGAGATTAATGTGCCTCTAAGCTTTTAAACATGCAATCGTCAAAAATCAATAGATATACGCAAATAGTAGATTTGTCTTTCCGGTTTTCTTGGGAAGAGCAGTTTAAAACTAAAAGAGGCACTTATCTATTTTAAGAAAAACAGTTCAACAACCAAAGTAAATCCTTTCAAGGTTCTACTTTTAATAGCAAAAGATGATGGAGTGAAGAAGTGAGTGGTGATGAATTTACTTTGTTAATGTATGTTTCGATCATCCGTCCTAAACTTAATATAAGATAAATGTGATTGTAGATTATTTTCTGGTGTTGTACCTCGAGTGATGTGGATCAGTATTGGTGGGGCAATATTTCTGGGTGTGTATGATCAAACCAGGACACTTCTTCTCAGAACTATTTAATGAATTGGAAATTTAATGAATTTATAATGCATCGTGCTTCCTGGGTAGGAATAGAGTTGGATTCAATGAATTCAACAGTCGGTTGTGTGGCTTGAACTTTAGCTGTGGTAAACGTTAGGTGTCAATCAGATAGGTTCGTCTCTATACAGGGAAAGATGCAGGTGCATTAATATTAGTTTTATTATATTGTAATTATGGAAAAATTTAGAGAGACTACCTCATAGTTATAGAAAAAGTTACGTTACCCATACGATAACCTCATTTTCAAATTAACGTGGTTTTATAAAAAGAAAGCCCTATAATATTTTATATTTTTGTATCCAAATTCAATTGAAGAACTGAACCGACTAAAGTTTTAATCAAAACATTTTTTATCTATTGAAGAAGAACAAAAAGGTATAATTAAATTCATATTGGATATTCATTACCAATTTGCAAGTTTGGAGATTTATCGAAATGCTTTCTAATTATTTGTAACAATATGCGTGAGTAATATTTTTTAAATAGAACTATGTGATATTTCATATTTAACATAATATTTCATTTTTAAAAAATGCATATATAGGAATATTAACTGTGTTCTTAATGCATTATAATCATAAGACATAACTTGTTGCAAATCAACGTCTCTCTTGAAGTGTGCTATAACTGCTATTCTCGTTTATTATCGCAGTATCTTTAGAATGCAAGTTTTTGCAACTTTCCATATTTTTAGGTAGGTCATATGGTGTGGTATCTTCATTCTCTCGAGGCCTAACTTTGCTGTCAATTGTGTCATTCTTCTCTGTTATATTTTCAAGTGAAATTGTTGTTTTCTCTGTTCTGCTGTCAATAACTACATTGTCGTTGCATTCCAAGGTTATGTGATTATTTTGTATAGCAAAAGGTGAAATTTTCGGTGAAACCTTAGATACCTCTGATACATTCTTCCCAGGGCTAGCGTGTTGAAGGTGTTGATCACAATTTTTTCTCTCGATGCCTCCGTTAATTTCTGGGTTATTTGAAGTAGTTGTATCATTCACGCTATTTGTAGATATTTCAAGTAATGGTGGGGTTGATTTCCCGATTCCAACAATGCTTTCACCATCTGTTGACGTCACTTCGGAGTCTCTCTCCAGAATATTTCGTTGAGAAACTGTGTCCTCACTTTTATTTTGTGCCGTGTGAGAGTGAGTCTCGCCTACATCATTCTGTTGAGGATCTTCTTCACCCGTTTCTGGATCATTGAGAGACACCACATCGAGCTTTAAAATGCTGCTTGATTTGATACTTAGTCCTGTCTTGTCTGGAAGACTCTCACTATCTGGAGATCCTATACAACATTCCAAGATGGTTTGTTTTTCCATGTCTTCATCAACGAATGATCCCATTACACTCTTCAAAGTATGTTCTCTAGTATTTGTGTTTGGGTGACCCGAGTCGTTGGAATCCACTGTGGCATTAGTGATGGATATCTTATCTTCACATGAATTACCTTCTGGATAATTCAATGTATTTGATGTCCATATTTCACATTGTATTGCCTTGTGAATAACTGTAGGCTTTGTACTATCTACTAAAAACGTTTGTGTAGATTTTTCTTTCGATTTGTTCAAGGGATATATTCGAAATACAGTTAGATTGGATTCTTCCTGGTCTGTATTTCCGACTGGTATGTCTTTAGATTTTGACAAGTGTTTCAGTCCGTCTGTTACGCCGAGTGTGTAGATCTGTTTCTGAATGTTGTTTTGAAGATGTTTTAACGTTGAAGTGCTTGGTAGGTCCTGTGAGGAGATAGGTACCTCGGATGTATCTTTTTGATCGCTTTTCATCACCTGTGAATAAAGAAATGTGTACCGAAACCCGTGAAAAAACAAAGACCTGAAAAATTCAGTGCTGTGCACACTGCACTATACATCACTGTCTACATGATGTGTACCTCACTCGAAGCCAACTTTTCAGTAGTTGAGGTTTTTTCATTGACCTCATTTTCTACAAAATTGAATAGTGACAGTTGGTTAAATACACTCCGGTGCTGCGTCCTGCTTTTTTGTGCTATAGGCTTACAATGCGTACCTGATGCCGTAGATGACCAACTGGAATAATATAAACTTTCCTGACTGCTCTGATACTGTTGTACTGCTAAGACCTGTGAAAAAAAATTATGAAATATGTTTTGACCTTTTCACCAAAAAACACACAAATTTAAACTTGGTACCAAATGTATTGCTGTAAATATCACTGCATGCGATTGATAGTCTATATTACTTGTATAACTTTACCTCTTTTAATTCTTCAGCTGCAATCTTTGAGCGTCGTGGACTACAACATTCTGTGTAACAAATGACACAACTGAAAGCTAAATGTTTGCTTATCTAGTATAGTTTCCGCAAATAGCGGGGAATTAAGAAGGGTATGTCGACACTGAATGGGTTGACTGAATGGGTTGAAAAGTTGCATTTACCATTGGTAATATTCGCCGCAATTGGCCCATTTTCATCGTTTTTATGTGGTGAATCCTGCGAGAAGTGGGAATCAAGTTTTTCAACTTGAACAACCTGTTTTCCATCTTCATTGGTTAGTGTTTCTGCATTTTTTTGTTTCGGAGTGGTAATAAAATTTTTCCAAACATCTGATATTTTTTCTTCGATTTCGCCAGCATTCCGTGTAATTCTATGACAATCTATCTTTTCCTCCATTTTTCTTGTATAGTGTGGTGATGGATGTTGTATGTTCATCGTTTTATCTGGGCTTGCCTTGACAGGTTCGCGCTTATCTTCAGAAATAATTTCTTCTAATATTTGTAAGTCTGTTAGAAATGATTTGGGATCACTTTTGTTGAGACACTCTATGGTGATTTTGTTTGTAGCTGGGGAAGGTAAAGGGTAGTCATTGATGTTCTCCTAGAAATGAGACAAATTTTCAGAGGCTAGTAAAGACTGATATTCAGGCGTTTCCTATAAACACGTTTTTTCGGAGTCGGACGATGATGGTGGTAATGATGGTTATAATAATCCACTGTGATTGTAATATCACTAATATGCATGATATCGAGGGTAATAATGATCGTAGTGGTAATGAAAAAACGATGGTAAAAGTGAATGGTGATGATGATGGTTGTAAATATACGCAGACACAAAATTGAAATACCATTGTGACGTTAAAAGAATGACTGTTCTTCTCATTGCAAATATTTCCAGTTGAATATCTAAAAAGTGATGCAATGCAAAAGTAACTTAGCATTCTGATGCTAAGGTAGTTAAGGTAATTTCAATATGTTTTAGACTTACAATTTTTCCTTTTCTGTATTTTGTGATAAAGGTTGAAACATCTCTGTTTCTTCTAGTTTATTATGACAATCAATGTAATCGTCTTTCTTACTTCTTTCTATTTTTGGACTAGACGGATGACTTATCAAAAAGTCAGATTTCAGTGGGGTTGGAAAGCCTGTATCCTCGTGACTAACATGACTGGAGTTTCTGGAGGCTAATGAGCACGGAGCAGGGGCAGCATAAGGAATAAACGGGGACTAAAAAGTGGAAAATAAGGATTAGGTTCTACGAAATTGCATTCTTCAGCCAGCGATCCCTCACCGTCCACTAGAGTTTTCGCATGTGCCGATAGCTTTCGGGCTGTTTTATGTGGCTAATGAAGTACACTCGTAATCTGAGTGAGCCATTGTCTACTGTGGGAAAAGAGGTCGAAACGAAGGGATTATTACTTTATAACATCCTGCTCCAACGACCCAGTCAGGTAAAAATCCGAAAAAGGAAGATGAAATTAAGAACATGTACCTTTAATTCAGTCGTGTGGTATTTAGGTGTCAGTCTGGAGTAATGTCGTTTTTCAGGTGGCATGCGTTTACTATTCAGATGTCTCTCTTTTTCTTCATAAATAGTGGCAAGAGTTGTCTTTTTGGATGAAAACATTTCTTCCTGGCGCAATCGTTTCACATCCTCAAAGTTATTCAACTCGAACGAATCAACTCTACGTTGTATGAATTGGCGATGAGCTGATACCATAGACCTGTGCTGATCTAAAGACAGTTATAAAGTAACATAATCCAAAACATGATATCAAATCACACATTTCAATCCAACTATTCCAATTTCTCTCTCTCTCAAGTTCGACACCCAGATCATCGATACCTTTGGTTCCTTTGCCCTGCTTAAATCTTGCACTAGGCTTGTCTGGATTAGAAATAAAATCAAAAGCATTGGAAAGCTCAGGCTTTTTTATCTGTATCAGTTCACAGGAGTCTGAATTTCTAAAACGTTTCTGAGATTCTGGGAAATCAGATTCGTTTGAATCCGGTCTTTTTCTTTGGTGCCGATGAAGGTGACATGGGGTAGATTTATGTGATTTATGTTTTTCCTGATCACGGGCATCAGATAATTCTAGTGTTGAGGGCTTTATCGTGGATGGTAAAGGTAGGTCTAAGACTTCTTCGTTTTTAAATTTCGGTTCATGGCGATTGGGGTGATCCAGATCAACCTTTTTTGGCAGTCGAATTTCCCGATTACCTGAAAAAAGAGGTATAAAATTAGTGAAGACAAAATAACACAGCTTTATAAATCATATATGCATAGTTTTCTTGTTGTGTAGCAAAGAAAACTCACTTCCATATGGTTTTGCATGTGTCTTAGTAATGACTTGAAGTGCAAGTAAGTCTTGGCTAATTGATGATGGCTCATGAGTACTTCCATTTGAAGGAGTTGAGCTCGTCTTTACAGAGATAGGATTAGTAACATTTTTAAATTTTCTCTGCAATCTTTTACGTTCAAAAAATACCTGTAAATGTATTAATTAAAGGTCAATATGAGCGAAAAGGTAGTATAAATAAAAAAGGCTTAATTTTCCTAAAAAATACTTGCGTAGGGGCGCGGAATTGTACAGGAAGCAGGTCATTTTGTATGTCATGGGCACAGGATCGTGTACAAAAGCTATCCGAAATGTTTTTTGGAGGTGAATTTCTTAACTAGATATATTTAACATAGAATTCAACCTTTTGAAGTTTTTTCTCCTGTTTCAGTTTAACTCTATTTCTGTTAAAAGATAAATAAAAACGTTTGGACGGAAAAGTTCAAGATTAATGCCATATTGTCAAAACAGTTATTACCACAAATTGAAGCCAATGTACTTACCTAATTCCGCCAACCCAATTCATAGTTAAAGGGAAAAAATAGTTTTTATATTCCAAAATTTAAAATACCGATATTTTTGTCTAAAACATCATTTTGAGCGGAAATAAAAATAATTTTTCGAAAGAGTTTACAGTTTCAAAAACTTTCCCGCGCAAGGATCGGTTGAACGTCGGAAAGTCTCGATATATCGTCGGCTAAAATAAATGACCGCAAAATGCCGCAGGTTGTTAGTAAACTGAAAGAAAAGATCCTGACCCCCCTCCCCCTTATATTTAAAAGCAAGGCCATACCGAAGGGGGGAGCAGGTGTCGCACCCATCCCTGTCTTAATGTCTAAAACCACTGATCCTGAGATATATATAATAATTCCTGGAGGAAATGCTCTTGTGCTGACCAGATCGTATAGTTCAAATTTATCTTATTGCTAAAATTTTTCGTGAATTGGTTATTCTTTGCATGAAAAATGAAAGATTTAGCCTAATTCTACTTTAAAACTTGACGTAGTTGCAGATCCGACCTATGTAAAAACATCCTGGCTTCGAAATCGGGTGACTGAAGTCAATAGGATGCGTTATTCAGTCTCTCTTGCAACATGACGTGTCCACAAACGTAGTTCATTTTATTGTAGGTTTCAAGAGCTATTGACGTCAGTTTCAAAGAGACTAACGCCTGTATTCTAAAAGCTCACTCAAAGTTCAAACTCAAATAAGAGCTTGATTTTCACTGTTGAACCTTACATCTTTCCATTAATTAAAAAAAGAACTCATTGACCAGTGATAACACAATTGCCATCGCTCAACGAGTATCTTTTTGAATACAGGCATGAGCAACTGAGATTTCATTACTAAATTGAAATATTCAAAATCAAATTTTGCGTTTTGGATCTAAATTTGAGAGGATTTCAAAATGGCTTAGCATAATACTCTTTTTTCTACTTTGAAAGCTTTTCAATCATGACAAACATTTCAATGGCTGCGTCAGTGTTTAAAATGAAACCTTGATCTCAAACAGTTATTTCGTAGACATAAAGAAAAGTGATTTATTTGCTAATATGGAAATGATAACAGAATGATATTCATAACATGCATATAATTCACAAGCATTGGTTAATGGTTAGTATTGATAATCTATCACAGTAAAAACCATAGAGATTGTAAAAACAATGAGAGTTGTCACAGTTATTACACACATGTCCATAAATGATAAAACATAAAATACTACTTAGCAATGACAGTTGATACATGTCGGGCTATGAATTCTATATAATAAAAAGCAATACAACAGTGTAAACAAATGTAGTTAAAGAACCTTAATTAATGAAAGAGTTTCTTGAATATTTTTGCACCTCTTCATCGCTTCATTTGCGCCGCTTCATCTCGCCTCGCTTCATAACAGGTGGAATATAACGTAGAACATCATCAGGATTCAAAACTCGGTAGGTCGGAAGATAGGTTCGGTACGCTATGCGGAAAAGGGTGTTTGGCGTTTTAGGACAAGGAAGCCAGTTGTTTCTCTCTTTGGCACTTTCTGGTGGTTCAGCTTGAAAATACAGATCCAAAGATCCATCCTCGTTTATTTCAATCCCTTTAGTTTGGAGACTGATTGAATACCGATCGATGTCATTAGCAACCAACTGGAACGCGTCATTATACATGGTGATGGACCAGAATCCATACGCCTTGGCCTCTGGGATCTGACTCTTTTCGATATGCATGGTGTACTTGAAGCTGCTGTTGAAAAATTCCCCGGTTCCATCTTCTCCCTCGGTTGGGTTAGGAACGTAAGACTCGTAGGTACTGTAGTAGATGCATTCTTCATAATCGTGAACAAACAATCCTTCCAAAGTTCCAGTTGCCCGGTCAAAATACTTAAAGCTGTAAGTGCCATCTTGTATTTTGTTCCAGCGAGTTTCATAACGTGTACCTTGAAATTTCACTTTCCATTGCATGAGATCTGGGCCGACTTGGGCGGCACGCGCTAAACCACGGTAAGTGGGCTTCGAGAGTCTCTCGGGTTGAAATTCTTCACCAGCAACGAGTCCAACATAACGATAAGTGTCCCACTGTGCGGCGTGCTTCTCTGCGGGAGGATTATCTACCATCAGTGCAGCAATCAATTGGAAGACGCCAAGAGGACCTTCATAATCGGGCTTTGCTTTAACACTGGCTGGTACATGGGTGACACCAAGTTTTCCGTCGTTCCAGTTGCTGAGAGAGGTAAGTGAGAACTGCTTCTGTAATTCTTGAACCTTCTTGGTGTCCTCTTCTATGTTGGTCTTATCAACCTCCATTCTAAGAGCGAACATCGCACTGTTATATGGAAGGCGGTGAGCCACGACATCATCTGGGAGATCACCAACGAAATTTGGTCCCACGAATGCAAAGTTTCCTCCATAACCGTCCGTGGTTCTTGAACCAATATAGAAACGGTTTTCGAAGAATGTATCAGAAACTTGTATGCTCCAGTAGCGATCCAGAATTTCCGACGGTGTTTTCAGAATGATAGGCTCGTCAATCAGCTCCAGCAGAGCACCACTGTAGACCGTGTCATTGTTGGGTGTGTATGGAATAATATCATCAGGCGTGGTGAGTCCGTCCAAGTGACCAAGTTGATTTATCGGAGCCACGGGTGACAAACCTTCCTGCTGCTGCATAAGATCTGGATCCAAACGAATCTTTCTTTGGTCTTCAAAAATTGTGAGGGGTAGGCCAAATACGTAGATTTGAATTCCCATAGAGTAGGCAAACTCTTCTTCCATCTTATCATAATCAATATCGGAGGACGACATCTTGGCACCTTTCAACATAGAGATCTGAAATCATACAACTTTCAACTGCTTGTGTGCCCAAATTGAAGGGAACGTCATTTTTATACCTTCTTAAGGAAGGCGCGCGCAGGATTTTGCCTGGTTGACGGATTCTAAAGTGTTAGGTAAGGCGTTGGCACGAAAAGGCGTCATAACTACACTCGACACCGAACATCATATTGCGGTACACGATATGGCATAACACGATACAGGTACACGATATGGCACTTACAACATGATACATGCATGATCTGGTACATGATCTGGTACACGATATGGTACACGATATGGCACTTACAACATGATACATGCATGATCTGGTACACGATGTGGTACACGATATGTTACACGATATGGCACTTACAACATGATACATGCATGATCTGGTACACGATGTGGTACACGATATGTTACACGATATGGCACACAATCTGGTTAAGGATATGGCATATGATCTGGTACACGCACAACATGATTCTTGTACACGGACACCAGTGTCCTCCAGCTACGAATGAACTCTGATTTCAAAAGAAGGAGGATAGTTGTTATATCTCTTTTAAAATAAAGTATTATGGATTTACGGTTATTTAAATGTTTATTCAGATAGAACTTCATTATAAGATAACAGCACCTTCCTTAGAACAATAGTATATCAGATCCATATTTAACATTATTTTCATATATACTAATATTCTTCCATCAGTTATTTAGTTCAGTATATCTTTATGACTACAGTCCCCCGCTAACTGGAACTCGCTTAACTCGAACTTCTCACTAACTCGAACTAAATTCAACTCCCCTTGCATGGATTTGGTAATGTTCTTTATAGTAATTTACTCCGCTTAACTCGAACTCCTCACTAACTCGAACTAAATCCAACTCCCCTTGGATGGATTTGGTAATGTTCTTTATAATAATTTACTCCGCCTAACTCGAACTCCTCGCTAATTCGAATAAATTTTGTTTTCCCTTGGTCGAATATATCCGGTTAACTCGAACTTTGGTTTTGAATCATAGATCAGCAAGCTTTAAAATGTGAGAAGATAGTATTTTGACAACTGGAAACTATAATGTTCGCCAATACACCATATAGAAATACACCGTGTATACATCACTATAGAAACTATCAAAATAAAAACAATTTAATTGGTATCATGGTGTATATAAATGATTATAAATTTTAAAAGATTATCTGTAGCGACACGAAGCCCACGATTGTTATTGATCTAGCTTTTTCAGTTCTTTTTGTAACATCTTTACACATTAATTTCACTTAACTTTAATGTCCAGTTAACTTTTACAGTATTTCAATAATTTCATTATTATAAAAAAAAAATTTTTAATTTTTCTTTCCCCTTGGGAGTTCGAGTTAGCGGGAGAATACAGTATATCATTCTGTTTTCCTTGTCCTTGAGATTCTCGTGCTCGCAAATAAAAGTTTAAAACACTTCGCTTTCTGTCTACAAATAACTGTTAAAACCGGGTATTTTACCAAGCCATCCTTTCAAAATCCAGAATTTCAGAAACTCCGGCTCTTATTTCTTTGCGGACGAAATTTAAAAGCATAATTTTTAACGCAAAATTTATTTTTGAAACTGAGTACGTAAATTTAGTAATCATGCAATCTCCGAAGATTCGTGTCTTGCCCCCTTGCGACTGACGTCATAGTTCGTATTTTTGGCTTTCCGCTAAATACAAGCAATGACGCTTGAATAAAAAGCTCTTGAAACCCACGATGACGATGGTGAACTACGTATGGGGATACGTCATGTTTGCTCGCATTTCTAAATTTGTCAAGCTCTGAATTAGAACCAGGTTAAATCCTTTGTTTCACATTTATACAAAATATACAAGCCAGGAACACTCGATGAATAGTTAATCTAAAAAATCAAACAAAGCTACTGAAAAATATGGAGAGCACTTCATAACAGGATTTACTATATAGCTGACTGGATACAAGCAAAATTGTTTTTTTAGAAAATATCTTTTCCAAGGACTTTTTTGCGAAACGGCGACTGTTTTTAAAATTGTCAAAATAGGTCATTAGTATTAAAAGAGATATGACCACTATTCTCCATCATTTGTTACTAGGGTTCTTTCGTATGAGGAGGATGCCTAGATTGGTGTACCATCTCGTGTACCAGATCATGCATGTATCATGTTGTATGTGCCAGATCGTGATCATCGTGTACCATATCGTGTACCACATCATGTACCTGATCATGCATGTATCATGTTGTAGATCATGTACCAGATCATGCATGTATCATGTTGTAAGTGCCATATCGTGTACCTGTATCGTGTTATGCCATATCGTGTACCGCAATATGATGTTCGGTGTCGAGTGTAGCTATGACGCCTTTTCGTGCCAACGCCTTACCTAACACTTTAGAATCCGTCAACCAGGCAAAATCCTGCGCGCGCCTTCCTTAAGAAGGTATAAAAATGACGTTCCCTTCAATTTGGGCACACAAGCAGTTGAAAGTTGTATGATTTCAGATCTCTATGTTGAAAGGTGCCAAGATGTCGTCCTCCGATATTGATTATGATAAGATGGAAGAAGAGTTTGCCTACTCTATGGGAATTCAAATCTACGTATTTGGCCTACCCCTCACAATTTTTGAAGAACAAAGAAAGATTCGTTTGGATCCAGATCTTATGCAACAGCAGGAATTGTCACCCGTGGCTCCGATCAATCAACTTGGTCATTATGACGAACTCACTAAGCCTGGTGATGATATTATTCCATACACACCCAACAATGACACGGTCTATAGTGGCGCTCTGTTGGAGCTGATTGACGAGCCTATCATTCTGAAAACACCGTCAGAAATTCTGGATCGCTACTGGAGCATACAAGTTTCTGATACATTCTTCGAAAACTGTTTCTATATTGGCTCAAGAACCACGGACGGTTATGGAGGAAACTTTGCATTTGTGGGACCGAATTTCGTTGGTGATCTCCCAGATGATGTCGTAGCTCACCGCCTTCCATATAACAGTGTGATGTTCGCTCTCAGAATGGCGGTTGATAAGACTAACATCGAAGAGGAGACTAAGAAGGTTCAAGAATTACAGAAGCAGTTCTCACTGACCTCTCTCAGCAACTGGAACGACGGAAAACTTGGTGTCACCGATGTACCAGCCAGTGTCAAAGCAAAGCCCGATTATGAAGGTCCTCTTGGCGTCTTCCAATTGATTGCTGCACTGATGGTAGATAATCCTCCCGCAGAGAAACACGCCGCACAGTGGGATCCCTACCATTATGTTGGACTCGTCGCTGGTGAAGAATTTCAACCCGAGAAACTCTCGGGGCCCACTTACCGTGGTTTAGCGCGTGCCGCCCAAGTCGGCCCAGATCTCATGCAATGGAAAGCGAAATTTCAAGGTACATGTTATGAAACTCGCTGGAACAAAATACAAGATGGCACTTACAACTTTAAGTATTTTGACCGGGCGACTGGAACTTTGGAAGGATTGTTTTTTCACGATTATGAAGAATGCATCTACTACAGTACCTACGAGTCTTACGTTCCTAACCCAACCGAGGGAGAAGATGGAACCGGGGAATTTTTCAACAGCAGCTTCAAGTACACCATGCATATCGAAAAGAGTCAGATCCCAGACACCAAGGCGTATGGATTCTGGTCCATCACCATGTATAATGACGCGTTCCAGTTGGTAGCTAATGAGATCAATCGCTATTCAATCAGCCTCCAAACTAAAGGGATTGAAATAAACGACGATGGATCTTTGGATCTGTATTTTCAAGCTGAACCACCACAAAGTGCCAAAGAGAGAAACAACTGGCTTCCTTGTCCTAAAACAGCAAACACCCTTTTCCGCATAGCGTACCGAATCTATCTTCCGACCTATCGAGTTTTGAATCCTGATGATGTTCTACGTTATATTCCACCTGTTATGAAGCGAGGCGAGATGAAGCGGCGCAAATGAAGCGATGAAGAGGTGCGAAAATATTCAAGAAACTATTTCACTAATTAAGGTTCTTTAACTACATTTGTTTACACTGTTTTATTGCTTTTTATTATATAGAATTCATAGACTGACATGTATCAACTGTCATTGCTATGTATAGTATTTTATGATGTTTTATGGACATGTATGTAATAACTGTGACAACTGTCATTGTTTTTACAATCTCTATGGTTTTTACTGTGATAAATCATCAATAATAGCCTGTAACTAATGATTGTCAAATATATGCATGTTATGAATATCATTCTGCAAATAAATCACTTTTCTTTAAATAACTGTTTGAGATCAAGGTTTCATTTTAAACACTGACGCAGCCATTGAAATGATTCTCATGATTGAAAGGCTTTCAAAGTAGAAAAAAGAATATTATGCTAAGCCATTGTGAAATCCTTTCAAATTTAGATCCAAAACGCAAAATTTGATTTTGAATAACTCAATTTAGTAATGAAATCTCAGTTGCTCACGCCTGTATTCAAAAAGTTATTCTAACTCGTTGAGCGTGGCAATTGTGTTATCACTGATCAATGAGTTCTTTCTTCATTAATGGAAAGATGTAAGGCGGTTCAATATTGAAAATCAAGCTCTCATTTGAATTTGAGCTTTGAGAATACAGTCTCTTTGAAACTGACGTCAATAGCTCTTGAAACCCACAATAATGAACTAGGTTTGTGGACACGTCATGTTGCAAGAGAGACCGAATAACGCATCCTATTGACTTCAGTCACCCGATTTCGAAGCCGTAATATTTTTACATAGGTCGGATCTGCAAGTACGTCAAGTTTTAAAGTAGAATTAGGCTAAATCTTTCATTTTTCATGCAAAGAATAACCAATTCACGAAAAATGTTAGCAACAAGAATAATTATGATCCTGTCAGCACGAGAGCATTTCCTCCAGGAATTATTATATATATCTCAGGATCAGTGATTTCAAATATTTAAACGACATTAAGACATGGGTGGGTGAGCCCCCCCTTCGGTATGGCCTTGCTTTTAAATATAAGGGGGGGTTCAGGATCTTTTCTTTCAGTTTACTAACAACCTGTCCGAGACCGAGGTTTCTGATCAATATGGTAAACACTAATGCGGCCTTTTAGGGACACGCACATCACTCCCCAAATCAGTATTCTATTTCTTGATCCCCAAATTTTTTCTCAAATGTTCCCTATTAAGACCAATAGTCCGATACACACCTTACGTTCTAATTCGTTTCACTCAAACGAACGTAAATTATTTTACCCTTTCTAAACTGTAATATACGTAAACTAAACAAGTTGTTGGAATATGCTCAGGCATATCAAACCGAGAGAAATAACAAAGAAACAAGACAGGGCTGGAGAAGACAAGGCTTACCGCGAAAAAGCTGATTATCCCCAGCAGATTTAAAACGTTTAGCGTCGCTTGACGAAGACTTCGAGGATTTTCGTTTGTTCTCTGCTGCCGTTTTAGCCTTCTTGAGACGTTTCTCATCGGCCGAATCTGAAGCCAAATCGTCGGATTCATATTCGTCTACCACTGCCCAACCGTCTTTACTTTTATCTGCTATAGGCGGATCAATTTCTGCCGTTTCTTTATCACTCGTTTTCCTTCCGAGACTAACTCGATGACTTTATCGGGATTCTGTGCGGCAGAATCTATCTTGTCAAATATTTCTTCAAGCTGAACGTTGACTTCGAATTGCTTTCGGTTGCCTTTGTATTTCAGGCTCGAGGCTTCTTTATCAATCTTCGATTTGGACTGTAGATGCTTCCCTTGCGCGTCTAACTGGGAAGTTAAATACCCTTTGAAAAGCGAAAAGACCTGATTCACAAGCTCAGTATTCTGTGCCTGTGGCTGCGTAGAATTAAGCTGTTCTGCCGAAAAGGTGTCGCTGTTAAGCTCGTTCTGAGTATCGGTGGACATGACTGATATACGAGACCGTTTGAATGATATAGCAAGAGAGCGAGAGAACTAGATACTGAAAACCTGAATATATATACTGCTAATACTGACACGTGATAACCTTAAGGGACTTAACTGCATTATATACAGTATAATGGGCCACGCCTGAATTAACCTGTTTACCAACGGAAAATACATTTACTACTGGAGATAATTACTGAAGGATAGCACATTTTCAGATGAATTTAATTTGCTTCTAAAAATGGAAAGTTTGCGTCGCGTTAGTGAATCGCGTTCAGCGTGTGTGAGCTTTTAAGGTTGACACAGACCGGACGCCATGCGGCAATGCAAAGCGAATTTTCAGCTTTTAGAAGCCCATAAATTAAATTCTGGTAGCACAATTTGGAGAATTATAGACACCAAAGCAGTCGAAATGTATCATCGTTAAGTAATCTACAAAAAAATTATGATAGGTTAAAATTTTCTTTGTTTTTGGAAAATAAAAAACCTTAAAAAATTGCCCCGCAAATTGTTCATTATTTAACGATAATACATCTTGACTGCTCTGGCATCCACAGATTCCAAATTTTTCTTCCAGAATTCGCGTCACGTTGCCGCATCGCGTCGAGTCTGTGTCGACCTTTTTCCTGTTTCTACTGAGACTACTGAGTCCTCTAATGCGTTTTGCAGCTGCTCACCAAACGCCAGGTAAAAGTGGGACACTGACAGTTTGAAATATAGATACTGCTGATATTGATTGCTACAAAGATACCAGACGGAAAAGGTCTCAATAGGTCTTAATACTCCCATTCTTTTATAATAGTGAAAGAAAAAGAATATTACGCGTATTATACCGGCCCGTGTCGGAAACACTGACTTAACCTTCGTGCAGACGTAAAAAATATCCGTGAAAAAGGCGTGAATTAACGTCTTCGCGCAGGCTAAAATGACTTCGAAAGTCAGTGCGTAATCGGAAACTTCTTAGAAATACGGGCCTCCCCTTTGTTTTGGAGTTTAGTGTGGACTTACGCAATTTATAAGAAAAAACATGTTCGGGAAAAAATGTTGTGAACTCAGGATATAAGATATATAAAACAAGACGATAATTTGGTTTAAAGTCATTCTCAATCCAGTGTGAATATTTACAAGCTTGCTATCATGTAATATAGTACCATAGTATCATGATTGTATCGTAGATGACTATCTTAATGTGGTTGGTGCAAAGTTATTATAATTTATTGCATTTTGGTAACCATTTTACACATTCTTCAATCCACTGAGCTGTATAAATTCCTATGTCATATAAGTCTGTGCTTCTGTCAGTCTCGCGTTGCAAAAACAATGAACTATTGACATTTCATAACTAATCTCTCCAATCGGCTCCAAATTTGGTATGATATTTGAGGATGATTTTTGTGACCAGACAATACCAGGGTTGTTTCGCAACCCAAGGACACCGGAAATGTAGATATAGGAATGTAGCTATTGTCTACTATTGACGTTCCATTCCATTCGTGCACACAACGTATGAAAGTTGGCATAACTTGATAAGCTCTCTAGATCAAAGGTACAAAAATGTCATCATCGGATGTTGATTATAATAAGATGGAAGAAGAATTTGCGTATTCTATGGGGATTCAAGCCTGTATATTTGGCTTGCCTCTCAAAATTTTTGAACGGCTACGAAAAGTTCGTTTGGATCCAGATCTTATGCAAAAGCAGGAAGGATTATCACCTGTGGCTCCGATCAATCAAATTGGTCATTTGGACGGACTCGCTACGCCTGACAAAATTCCCTACACACCGAACAATGACACGGTCTACAGTTCGGCTTTGGTGGAGCTGATTGACGAGCCTATCATTCTGAAAACACCCTCACAAATTCTGGATCGCTACTGGAGCATACAAGTTGCTGATGCATACCTTGAAAACCGTTTCTATATTGGCTCAAGAACCACTGATGGTTATGGAGGCAACGTTGCATTTGTGGGACCGAATTTCGTTGGTGATCTCCCAGATGTCGTGGTTCACCGCCTTCCATATAACAGTGCAATACTTGCTCTTAGATTCGCTGTTGATAAAAATAATTTGGAAGAGGACACCAAGAAAATTCAAGAATTGCAAAAGCAGTTTTCACTGACCTCTCTCAGCAACTGGAACAGTGGAAAGCTAGGGGTTGCCAATATACCTGCCAGTGTTAAACCAAAGCCCAACTATGATGGTGATCTTAAAGATTTTCAGTTGATTGCTGCACTGATGATGGATAATCCCCCCACAGAGAAACACGCTGCACAGTGGGAAGCATTTCATAACATTGGACTTGTTCCTGGTCAGGAATTCCAGCCTGAGAAACTCTCCAAACCAACCTATTGTGGTTTGAAACGAGCAGCTGAAATTGTTCCAAAGCTCATGCAATGGAAAGTGAAGTTTCATGGGACAAGTTATGAAACTCGTTGGAACAAAGTACAAGAGGGCACCTACGAATTCAAATACCTAGATCGAGCTGCTGGAGCTTTGGCTGGACTGCTTGTTCATGATTATGAAGAATGTGTCTACTACTGTACATGTGAATCCTATGTTCCTAACACTACCGGAGGCCAATGCGGAACAGGTGAATTCTTTAACAGCAGCTCCAAGTACACCATGCATTTCAATAAGAATCAACTTCCAGTCACCAAGGCGTATGGATTCTGGTCTATCACCATGACTAATGAGAAGTTCAATTTGGTAGCTAATGAGATCAATCGTTATTCAATCAACCTCCAAACTAAAGGGATTGAAATAAACGACGATGGATCTTTGGATCTGTATTTTCAAGCGGAACCACCTGAAAATGTCAAAGAGAGAAACAACTGGCTTCCTTGTCCTAAAACACCAAACACCCTTTTCCACTTGACCTACCGAATCTATCTTCCAACGTATAGAGTCTTGCATCCTGATAATGCTGTGCAATACATTCCACCTGTTATGAAGCGGGAATAAAAACAGGTGTAACAATGCCCACAATATTTGCATGCATAATTACTGTCATTGCACAATTTTCAGTATTATTCTTTTATATGGACCATGTATGTAATAACTGTCCTTGCTTTTTATTTTTATATTCTATTCTATATAGACTATGGACCATGCATATATATAGACGGTAGTATCAATTGTTGCTTTTTACTATAGTATGTTTATATGTACTAGTTTATATGGACCATTTTGTAGTAACTGTCGTTATGAAATTTCATCCTGCTTACATCGAGAATGATGTCTGAGAATGACTGAATGAGATGCAAAGGTGTTTAATATAAATCACCCTATTAAAATGTTCTTAATTTTTAAAATGAAGGAAGTAATTAAATATTTCATATCAAATGTCTCTACCTGTATTATACGAAGCCTTTCTGTCGTAAATCAAAATGCATATAAAAAAACCATGATCCACGAACAATTTAAAAAAATTCCGAAAAGACAATCTTGACATCTTGAGAGTCAATCAAAATCATGTCATCATCAGTGGACTATCCAGTATTCTTTTGAGATCAGTCTCAGTAAGAAGAAATATGAAGAAGTGAAATTTTCATCGAACATGGAGTCGGAAGTTGACAAAAGTTGGGCATTTGATGCGTTTAATGACGGGTCTATAAGTATGTTTTTGCTAATATTTTACTCTTAACCGATAGTATGGAAACATAACTTTGTATTTATTCTTGAAGAAATTGTGAGTGAAGTTCAACTGCGGAAGTATGGTCAATTTTTGGAGGAATATGCGTCACAGCTAAAAGGTATCGAAGATGCGCTGGACGAGTGGATTGGCGAGTCATGGGATTTCTCCCTTGATCCGATTCAGCTACAGGTATCGTGGTCTAAATGTATTGTAAATATTTTTACGACTGCAACAAGTGTAACATGGTACAGGTTGCAAATATGCACTGGTTAATTTATACTGGGAAATATTGCACAGGGGTGCCCATGCATGTCTATTAAAGACCTTAATTGTCACCAAGATAGCAAAAGGAATATATATTTAAGTTTTATTATGTACTTACCAGTGAGAAACCTCATTGTATTGGTGTTCTATTGGTGTAGCAGATATTTCATAAATTTATATTATATTTGAAATTTGTATGCTTTACCTAGGTATTACCTTACGAAAAAGCAAAACTAAATGAACTAATAAAGACTGATAACAAGGTAAAAAGCATTCCTTCACAATAGTTCTTATAGATAGGAATCTACTCCTCCTCCCTCCTCCCCCCATAGAGGCAACAATCCCTCCAGTAAAGTGTAGGAGGGGTATTGAGTCTGTGCACTGGCTTATCTTTGGCCTGCAACCTATTGTGTTGCTGTTTCAACAACTTGTTATCAAAAAATGTTTACTAATTGTATTGTCAACTATCTTGTGAAAGACCATCTCATTGACAAACCATCAAATTGTCAAGTTGTACTTGAGGTATTTGGACATGTGATTGCAGGTTTTTAACAAAGTAATGATGGTGTTCTCAGCACTCTGCTCAGAAATTAGTGAGCTCAAACATGAGGTACCTTTTCCTGAATCTAAGACCTAATTTTGTAACTGTATTTATGGATAATTCTTTATGTGTCTATATGATCAGTTGTTTCCCTGTTAGTCATTGTTGAGGATATATATCTATAATATCCAGTAATACAGTGTTTTGATGTTTGACTGTTAGGCTGTGAACAAGTTTTATTACCCATTATTGCTGTTTGAAGAGTCAGGTTAGTGAGGAATTAAGATCTAGACTACAAAAGTCTAACACCTAAAGATTGGTGTGCGCAAAAATAGCAAAATAGTCTGAATAAAAGATAAACTTTAAACTTTTCTTGAAATTCCAGTGTCAGATGCAGCTTTACCGGAAGGCGATGCTCAGGTGAAACTTGGAAGATTACTACCTTTGCTGCAGGTATGGGAAATATACTGCATTTCATGAAAACATTTTTGAATCTATGCTTCTGCTGAAAAATCTGCCCAGAGGCACTGTAAAAATGGTTTCCACTAACTTATTTTCTAGGAAATTTCAAGTTTTGTGTATCGAGCCAATGAAGTGGTCAAGCATGTTGTACAGCAGTTGTCTTTGTTATATGCCAAGTATGTTTATTCTGTATTGAACTGATCTGAACTGATCATGTGCCTAGTTGCTGACATGTAACTTTGTGTTGTGTAGGTCGGGTGCAAGAGTACTTGATGTTTCTGGTGTCCACCTCACAGTAAGTTGAACTACAGAGGATCCTAAATCATGGCTAAATGACAATGTGAATGTACAATGCATGCAAAATTCGGAGAGGTATTTCACTGCTTGCAGCTGTACTTGTGACTAAACTACCTAAATGAGGTTTATTTTTTAGACTTCATGTAAGAGAAATCTCCAAGCTTGGCAAAGAGGATGCCTTTAGATGCCAATGTTGTGTTACATAGCATAGCATAGTGTGCTGATTCTGTGATTTTCTTTGCAGACTGTATTTGAACATATTGGAGAGCTACTGACAGTTCTTATCACTCTTGATGAAATTATGAATGAATGTTCTGGAATTCATGAAAACTGGAAAAGATACAAAAGGTATAAATGATTGATCATGTCATAAGTTCTACATACCGGTACAGTGACTGGAAGAAACTTTTGTTGAGGTGTTATATATACTAGGGTGTTGTTGTGGACCTCTCTGCAGAAATTCATTGGAAAATGTCTTTGTTTGAATAATTAAAACCCATCCTCAATAAATGAATACATGGTCTCATTTTAAAAATATGAATCGTGTCATGATACTGCCAGAAGCACATTTAAACTTGAAGAGATTATCATGATCAATGCAGGAGGGTCTGCCTCACTTCATTATTTCTGTGCAGGATGTTGAAATCAGTGCAACACAATCCAAGCGTGTTTAGTGTCAATCCAGACAAGTTGAGACCTTTAGAGAAATGGATAATGAAGATTGAAGGACAAATCTTGGATGGCTTGATCTTTGATGTACGTAATCAGACAAGTTATGCTAAATCCAGGTTCAAGAAAATAGTCATTCTTATAACGATCACATGGAGGCTGCTTTTCTGCGAACATTGTGCTGTGTATACGCGCGTAAATATGCGCACCAAAATATTACGCATCACGTAGAAATTGAATATAATCTCATATATGACATATTAGTTTTTTCCTAGGAAACCTATATACGGGTTCATGCGTTTCTCTTGCATATAACGTACATACAAAAGAATAACTTCGTAGCTGTAGAAAGTACGGAGTTATGGAGTAACGCTACCTCGAAAGTCGGAAGAGATAATCCGAATAATGCAAAACTGAGTAGAATTGGGAAGAGCGAGAATATGGCATTACGTACCTAGCTTCATTTCAAGATTGGCTTCCTCCACAAAAATGAAATCTACAGGCGTTTTCTAAACATTATATTCACACGGTGTTGTTTTATTTAGAACTGTGTTAAACAAATCTTTGACACGACGACAATCCCAGTGAACAGTAATCGTGGATTTTACGACGAGTTTCTTCATAACCTTCAGGTCATTTTCACAAGCATAGAACCAAAGCTTGGTAAGTGTCAACCCAGAATAACGTTTAACTTTGGTTCATTTGAAAACATGTTATTTGTGTGATAAACATATTCAGATCCAGCTATTGAGGCAGGTTTAAACTGCCCCGAGTTCAAATGTAACACCCAACCAAACGTTAATGGTAAAATTAACGAGTTTGTAAACCAACCTGATGGAGATTGCAAAACCAGCATTTGATTTCTATACGATTGCTTTCCTCTCGAAAATCAAAGCTCTCGTATCAAAATATGCTGTAACAATGCATGGGTTTGGGTCAGGGATACCTTTATTTGTATAGGAAGGGGGTACAGAAGTTTAGCAAATTTGGATATAAACTCGAACATATTAATACCGTACATACCTATCTGAGTACTTGGGAGTTGGGATTGATAGTCTCATCTAAAGATCTGATCGGTTATCACGTAGCTGTTTAGCACCCTATGAAACAAACAACCCCAATTGCCTGCAGCTGACCTACACACTCCGAACAAACCAAACTGAATCTATTCTTGCTCGTATGGCGAAGGAGTCAGCATGGTTCGGCGTGTTAGACCATTTATCTTCTTCCATCTTGCTGTGTTTCCAGGTGAGAGCGGTGAGATTGATCAACGCCAAGAATTTGTTGGTTTTCTTGGACTCTTCAGTTTATACGTTCAGATATTTCGTCAAATCGATAAGAAGTTCATCAGGCAGATTTGGGATGTGCACAGAAAGGTAGAAAATATTGCATACCTTCAGCAATTTCACATTAATATCAAAAAGCGATGCATGATGATATATATCGCATTTGATGAGAATATACATATGTACAAGCTTGCTTTGACGGAATGGGTCAACGAAGCCCCTATATATGGCTACCAGCGAATATTTCATTATATCTTAGTCACAGTGTTTCCATACAAACTCTTTCAGATACCTGGTATTCATTTGGTTGGAAACATCATGTTTTTTCCAAATGAATTCCTTCAGTCAAAGATTCCACAACTGCAGAAGTTCATTGATCGCAAGCAAGAAGCAGTTGTGACATCATCAAGAGAGAGTTTTCTTTCGACTATGAATCAAAACTTACCCAGGTAAATTACGTATACACACCAGTCGACTCTGTAAACACTGGAATGATAACTGACGGTTATTTGGCTGCCGACTTTGAAACTAACTTAAAACTGAATTGAGCATTTTAAGAACCATTGCCAGTCTTTCTTTTTGTTGTTTTTGTTGACGCTCATTTCAGTGAATAATTATTAAAAATAATTTGTTGTTGTTTAACGTTATTACCTTATAATATTGACCTTATAATAGAGAGCACTAGTGTTTTTGCCTTTGATTAAATATCGATGTTAACGTTTTGCGATTACGCCCCTGACTTGATTAAAGCACACAACATCTTATAGTATGCGCGTATAAAATGCTCTTGACTATCTTCAGGGAAGCAAAGAATTTCAATCTTCAAGTTGGTTCATGGATGGTGTTAATGGAATCAAGTTTAAGTAAAGGAGAAAGTCTGACTGAAAATTTGAATTCACGATGCTCATTGTTTCTCAAGGTTAGTTTACACCAGGATTTCGAGACTATCACACATAAGCATGCAGCCTTAGCGGAGTAAAGTAATCCACTCCAGGGCGCTTATTTATAGAAACGCCTTGATCCACTTTGTTTATTTTATTCGATACCATACACCAGGAGAAGAAAATCACCTTAAAAATGAATCGCCGTCAATGTTATTAAAGCCATTGTTGTATATAACAAGATTAATTTAACATGAAGTGTTGTATAGTTTTGTCCTGGTGAACAAAACCAAGCTTGAACACAACACCCAAGAATTTTTGTATTACAATACCATCTATATCGGTCAAACGTGTGAAAATTCAGCTCTCGTTGAGCTAGCTCACATTCGTTACAGTCTACAAATTGCAGTCACAGTCGTTGAATCTTATCAACTGTTACTCTGGTTCAGCCCGCTTCAGTAATTAACTGCACTTAAAAATCCACATGAATTAGAGTATCTCATGCTTCAGTTATTTATTTGCAGGGAATTTTGTATGCGTCCACGATAAGCCACCGTGTGAAAACTGTGATGAATCTTCATCTGGCGATGAATGTCCCAATGACAAAGACAGCCGTGTTAGCGTTGTGTAAATTAGTTGAGTTACTCAAAGCTATTGAACACACGTTTCATCGTCGTAGCATGTTCATAGCAGAAAGTCTTACTCACGTAATCCAGTATCTGTCATATCTCGCCTTGATCTCGCTGGAAACAGCAAAGGTTAGTTACCTTCAATCTTGGTACCAGGGTGTTTGCTCTATCTCGTATATGTCAAAGCACGGAATAAGACCGGGATTAAGGCTCAAGCTCAAGTTAATCTGACCTGCATGATCTTGGAAAAATACCAGTTGTGAACAACTCGCAGCCTCCTAACTTTCACTTTTTTGTGCAGAATCGTGTCGCCGCAGACAAGAAATATACACACAAACGTCTGGTAATGAATTTTCACCATCATTTCACTGAATTTTTACCATCATTTCACTGAATTTTCATCATCATTTTACTGAATTTTCATCTTGGGCACGTAGTATTTTAACATCTTTTGTAACCCTGAAATACGTTTTGACAAACGCTGTTTTTGTTCCTGTACTTCATGTAGGATGTAATGGCTGCACTTCTTATGGTTCAAAATGCGTTGAACGGAATGGGTAAGGTCAAGAAGGGGGTCAGTTGGGAATAAACGTTTCTCATATAATGACGTCAAACGCAGAAAGCCTGATGTTACACGAGGTTTGGTTGGCTCCGCATAAACTAACGAACCAATCAAACTTTGTGTAACATCAGGCTTTCTGCATTTGACGGCACTTAGCGTCCGTTCCTTATTCAAGGCTACAAGCTTGTCTCCAGGCTACAATTCCGTGAGTTGTATTTCCGAGAGTTTTGAATCCCGGATCCTGGTGATATGACATGTCATGAATATCATGCATGCGTTAATCCTTCATTTATCTGAAGATGACTGAACCATTTCACTTTGTTGGATTTTTAAGGAACCCGGGAAAGACGACTTGTGATGAAACTTGGTCTTCACGTCGCCACTCAATTGGTAGTTTTATATAAATCATTTTTACCACAATCGCAACAGGAACTATTTTAACAAGATTGAGCTCAACCTCATCCTGTCATAATCATGTTAATAATGAAAGCTTTTTGTTATAGAAAACATTCAAGGATGAAGAGTTGAGTAATCTAAAATCAGTCATGAAGAAACTTGAAACAATTTGTGAACTACGAAACAAAATGCGAGAAGTATGTGATTGCGGCTTTCTTTACTGGCACAAGGTAAGTTTCATTCTTTTCAGATAGCGTCTCTAGAATTTTCCCCTGATCATAATTTTTGTGTTCAGATTATTTTCCCGATATATTTGAATGATATTGTCGAGAAAGTTACTGACGCTCAAAGAGTTCATGTAAGTCAGAATGTTATATTTAATCGTTTTGAAATCAAACCTTGTTTTCTTGTTTTATTGGTTTTATTGCTTTTGTTTTATTGCAAACCTAGTTTTATTGCTTTTTAAGCGTTTTTACAACTGATAAAAAATGTTTTGCCTTACAAAATTCTATAAAGATCCAGTGCTGTCTACAGCTCTCCCACCAGTACCTCTGCTCTCTATACAACCTAATATTCCATTTTCCTGACCTCCGACCACTTTCTTGCAGTATATGTTTGGAGCTCTTCGTGACTGTGTCCTGCCTTTGAAACAATCACGACATGATCCGCCAGACGTCATGCTGGAGACTTTTAATCAGGAAATTTCAAAAAATTTTGATGAGGTAATTGACTAATTGCGATAGTGCTTCACAGTCTATTGCATGATGTATTTGATTCTAGGATTTAAACTCGAGCAAGCAATTGTTACACTCTTTTCCACACAGATTACCACCCAGATTTTCATACATGCAGATTTTCACACAGATTTTCAAGATTGAGTTCATGATCTTATTTTGTTTTTCTTTAGCATTTTCTAGCTCCAGTTTGTCGTCAAATCGAGACAGATCTTCGTCTCCACATTCACCAACATTTACAAGTTGGGGACAGAAATCCCTTCAGGGTAAGCTTGCATGGGCTGGAAAGGTTTTCAAGAAGCTCAGATAATTTTAATCGTAATTCATTTTTCAAGGTTGGTGTGAAGGACTTGTCCCAATTTCTGAAAATCAAACCAATAAGATTCTTCGATCGGCTGATCAATGTGAAAGGTAATTCTATTATATTTGTAGGCAATATTAAATGTTATTTTGTAGTGCGTCACCTAGACTTGTCTGTTTATTAACCCACAGAGTCGCGGGTTTTTTATTTAGCAGATCATAGATTATAGAAACGAAAGAATTGTTGTTAACACGGTTGTTTTTTCGGAAAAAAATAACTCGATTTTGCCTCAGTATTCGATATGTAAAAGTGGGCCGAAGGACACAAGCATTGCAACACTGAACATGTGTCGATGAATTGACGTAATAATGCCGTAAATGTGCATAAACTCTGATAAACGAAGATAAAAATATCGAACAATGAATTGTTTATCAGTCTCTACCTTCTATAATCTACACAGATTCTGTGAAGGCGGGTTTTTTGAATGAGAAATTATTGAATATTTAGAACATGTCGCTCATTATTTGGACTCGACATTTTATAACCTGACGACAGTAGCTCTTCATGACTGGAAGACTTATGGCGAGATGAAGAATTTAGCTGCTCAGCGATACGACTTGACCATGACCGAGGCTCATCTACCCAGTCAAACACTGGAACAGGTTAGATCGTAAAATATTTATTGGCATCTAATAGTTTATTGGCTCTTCATTTAATTAAAATGCTCTTCAAGTTTCCTATGCACTACCCGTGGTTGAACCATTTTATAGTAATCAGAAACTCTCGCATTTCTGTTTGGCTTGCTTGCATCACAGTTCCCGTTATTTGTATAATCGTCTTGGCTGACCTGTGCCTGTGGCGATACAGTTTTTCGTGATGAGAAGAGACCAGTTTTCCAAAATTTCAATTTTGACCAGTTGCTCTGACAGGTACCTGTTGGAAATCCAATTTCGAGCGTTTAAAAATAAAATATTTCTTTGAATTAAATGTGTTTCCATCACTCGTCAATGTCGTCATATCGTCTACTTCTTACAAATTAGAAACAATATCGTTGACATTCAACGTCAAAGAAAACATGTGATGCTCACAGATCAGTCAGAAAACTACCGTATCTCACGTCACTTTAGACAAATTTTTACCTAAACAGTTTATGTGCATTTTAAATTTTCAGTAAAATATAGTTTTCTCACCCCTCTCCATGTCGTCGTCATCTGACAAACAAGGATCAAAAGCTTCAACTTCAGACGACGATTCCATCTCGTCACAGACGGAATACTTATCAGCTTTGACACCATATTTCTTGTAAACACATCCACGATCTAGCTGTGTGCTGGAATTCGTCAGGAGTTCTTCATTTTTTTGTGCTCGGGAAGGTCTGCAAATCGCATCTAATTGCACGAGTGGTGTTTTAGAAACGAGTTTAAAACCTGGATTAATCGCTAGTAGGTCTTTTTGACAAATGGCATTTTTAATTATTTTGCCAAGAGACTCTCGCTGTGTCTCGAAAGTTTTGCTCTCTTGTTCATCAGGTTTGAAGGCTTCTGTGGAAGGTGTTTTGAAGCTTTTATTCTTGGAACTGGATGTAAGCCAGTTTTGTAGCAGAGCTTTTGAATTTGGTTTATTCTTTGTAGCTTTTTCAAAACCAAGAGTATTTCGAAATACATCTGATGTTTTCATCAAGTTCTTGTTTGGTTGATGTTTCACACAGAAGCTGGCCTTCAACAAGTTCGGGTTTTCGTCTTTTCTGTCTAATATGTTCTGTGAACATATTAATATTGTAAACTATGTGTAGTAATGGTATGATATGAAAATAGTATGCTGTATAGTGTTGTATGGTTAAGCTGTGGTATTCTTTGTTATGAGTTATGACAAAGTTAGTACAAGGTAAACAAAGCATCCTTTACCCCAGAAAGATCCGTCATGATAAATTGCTCATGTTCAGTAGGTTGAAACGACCAAGGGTGTTGCGTATCGTAACTATCATCGTCTTGCCTGTCACAGGTCTCCGAGGTTAAACCTTGACTCCTACTGATCTTGTTCTTTGCTGCTTGTTCTTTATCCTCGTCCAAATCTTTGGCAGAATTGACGTCGACTTTCTTTGGTTGTATAAAGATAAGTTGCTGATGTTTGAATCTCAAATTTCTTTCATCCTACAAAAAAGAAAAGACTGTCCATTTTGGGGGGATTTAACGTCGTCAAACTTGTTACCAGGCCATTCAAGAGACATTAAACTGTTTACACTGCAGAAAGGTGTTAAACTGTAAAGGACCTGAAAGAATGTATCTTCCAAGTGGAGATTTTGCACTTTTCTTTCCCGCGGAATATTCTTAAGGATTGTTTTGCCATTCTTATCGTGGTGTATTTCCGCCCAAATTGATTCATTCGAATATTTTTCCTGCTCGATTTCGTCGCATGGTTTCCTCTGTGATGACGTAGCACTAAGTTTATTCATTTTGTCTTTTATTTTATCTCAATATAGCAAAGGATATAATTGTATGTTCCTTAAATCTACTTGCACTGCCTTTTGCATGAATTCTAATCGGAATTTTTTTTCTGTTATACGTCACGTAATTGGATTACTTGTGGCTACGTAGGTAGCCTTTTAATAGGGCAATTTAGCACGAGGACGTGAACGTCAAAGACGATGTGAAAATGGCGAGTAAATGGCGTGATGCGCCCAAATATGGACATGCCACGCCATTTACTCGCCATTTTCACGTCGTCTTTGACGTTCACGTCCTCATGCTAAATCTCCCTAATAGCAATATCACTACGCACGTATGTAGAAATCTAGTTGAGCCAATGTTATCACGGTTGTACCGGTGGACTCTATGCCAACAACTGGAATGATATCTGTAGATGAACATGTTACATTTTCCTGAAACTAAATTAGTTCTCCAAAAATTCATAATCTGGGTTTGACAGTCTTAAAGTGACTTGATTTAAAATATCAAGTATTATTGTTACAACACCTTGTCGAAATACCAGTGTGTTACGAACATCGTGTTGATTGTACTTTGTGTGTGATCCAACCTTCTTTTTTTGATATAGGGATTAGATGTTCTCGAAATTATGCGAAATATTCACATTTTCATCTCTCGATATTTGTACAACCTCAATAATCAGGTAATGAATACAAGCGCAAGCGCTCTTAGAGAGCTTTCTGGACCTAGTATTGTTATATTCCATACATGTTGGTTAATTTCAAAAATCTAACTACTTGGAAAATCTGGAACAGATTAAGGCCCTGTTACACGGTGCAATTTTTCTTGCAACTTGCAATGCAATTCTACTTTTGAGTGATGTAAATTTGGCAACTACGAAACTTTTGTGTTTATTACACTTCATCTGTGACTTCATGCACTTTTCTTCTGCAAGACTCTTTACTAATTTACATTTCTTAGAAGTAGAATTGCATTGCAAGTTGCACGAAAAATTGCACCGTGTAACAGGGCCTTAGCATCTTCTTTTCCAACTATGTCAAACAACTATATCAGTCTCAAAACGTTATTTTGTTTAATGCGTCATTACTTTCTAGATTTTCGTGGAACGTTCGTCGAACAACAAACATCTAAACACCATCAACATTCGCCACATCGCTAACTCAATTAGAACTCATGGTTCTGGAATCATGAACACCACTGTGAACTTTACCTATCAGTTTTTGAGAAAGAAATTCTTTATTTTTTCACAATTTTTGTATGATGAGCACATTAAAGGCAGAGTTCTAAAGGTATGTACTGGGCATGTAGCTCAATGTAGGCCATGCTGGCCATGCTTATACTTTTTAGTTATCTATATTTTAATAATATTCTTGTAAGTTTGCATGGTGGCATCAAATAAGTAAGTTAAGCTTTGCAGTATTAAATACTTACGTGGTGTACCAACAAGCTAATTTACTTATCTATATTCTGTTTTGTAATCATAGGATATTAGATATTTTAAAGAAATACGCGAAGAGACAGGACAGAAATATCCGTTTGAGAGGGCAGAGAAGTTTAACAAAGGAATTAGAAAACTTGGTTTGACCCCGGACTCCTTGAGTTATCTTGATCAATTCCGAGAACTTATTACACAAGTTGGTAAGGGGCTGTTTACATGAGCCCGGTTACCCGAGATTCAACGAAGCGTGAGAGGACTTTGAGGTATTGAAATAAGTCTTTATGGCACCAAACAAGCACATGCTATTTTTGTGGTGATTATACGACTGCCAGGATCATGTTATCTGCTCATTTCAATACCTCAAAATCATCTCACGCGTCGCTGAATCTCGTGTAACCGGGCTCATGTAAACAGCCTCTAAGAGTTATAATAGAAAACTAGAAATGTTGTTGATTTTGTAAGTTCAAAAATAATTTGTTTCAGGTAATGCCATGGGCTACATTAGAATGGTCAGGTCTGGTGGACTGCATTGTGTATCAAATGCCATAAGGTATTTGAAGGCGTTTGATATTTATTTAATTAAGTTATTGCTTTCTTTACGGAGTTGACTCACATGCATGATGTGTTTCTTATCTTTGTTATTTAGATTTGTTCCCGATCTTGAAGACATTATTTCGTTTGATGAACTCGTAAAAGATGAAGGGCTGTCGGACGAAACGCAAGAAGCTGCAAAGTGAGTGAGCCAAACTAAAGACATCTGACAGCGGGAATTTTTAACTTTTTTCAGGGAAAAAATTGCAGTTTGCCATTCGCTAAGGAGTTCATTATAGTTATCAAATTCTCCATCATAGCACGATATTTGGATTGATGTAATCTTTTTTGACTGAATGAAACTCATGTTCTTAATTTCTAAGAAATCTTGACGCTGCCATTGGTAATATGGCCAAGAATTTTGCCGAAGGAACAGATTATTTCAAGGTAAGAATAAGTTTGTTGCATTACCCGGGCTCAATGTTCGCCAGTCCTATTTCATGTTTATTTTCTATTACTAGCTTTTAGTGGATGTGTTCGTTCCGCAATTCAGAGATTTGAAGAATATGCATTTAAGAAATTTCTACATTATCGTGCCTCCCTTGGTAAGCTGTTCTCTGTATTGCTCTGCCCTTTGGTATTATTTTTGCCTTGAAATTTCATCACTTATATCGTGTTAAATTAGCGAGTTATCATATGCTGGGTGTCCTTTATGATAAAGTTGAATTGAGCTGCATTGACATCAGTTCTGTTTGTTAAAAACCATTTGTCACATGGCGTAACTATAGAACTATATCAATAACACTCATAACTTTCGAGTGCTGAAAACTTGTTTTTGCATACCAACCAAGCAACCTCTGTGATTGTTTTTAGACGTTAAACTTTGTCGAATATTCTATGAATCGTAAAGAGAAGATGACCAAGAAAAACAAAGAAGGAGCTGCTTTCACGGATGATGGCTTTGCAATGGGTAAGGTTTTTATCGATTATCACTCTGGCCAAAAGAAAACCTCAGTCAACTCAAAACTGACCTGGTGTATTTACTATAATTTATTTTGCTTTATTGTCTGATTTTTAGGCGTTGCTTATATTCTAAAATTGTTGAATCAATATAAGGAATTTGATTCTCTTCATTGGTTCCAGTCGGTTGATCAAAAATATCAAACTGATATGGTGAGTATCTCAAGTTCACAAGGACCTCAAAGTCGATTGTCTAATATGGAGCTTTATTGATCTTTGAAATGCCTAGGCATGCAGACTGTTCAGTCGCGCGGAGAAAACTATTGTCAGGCAATTATTTATTTTCTTCACGCTTTTTAAACCAATTTTAGCGTAAAGTATCTCAGTCACTTGATGGACGAAGCGGTAGAGATGAGAAACTACAACAAACACTTAGTCTCACGCAAAAGAGATTAACAGCCTATCAAAGAGTATGTATCCACGTTTAATCATGGTCAAATTTATGTCAAGATGTCCAGAGTTATATTTATGACAATGAACATGCTGACATCGGTTTAGAAAATGACTTCTCTAGTATCCACTGATACATAAATTAACCTGGATTGCGCGGATTTTTTAGGAGTTTGAACTATTGTATTACTCTCTGAGCAGTGCTCGAGTTTTCTTTCGTGCTGATAAGACTGAGGCTGAAGAGAAAGAAGAAAAGGAACAATCTCAGGGTAATCTCATTTTTACAATGTTTTATCCAGGTTCAGATTTGACTGTTGTTACCTTTCGATAACATTTTGCAATCTAACACAGTTATCGTATTTGATTAGTTCATGTTTCTCAAAGGTAACGATCGTGCATGGTAGTGTAATATGAACTTCGCAATTACTGTCGTATCATTTGGTAAATAGCCACTACTGTAGTGTGTGCGTCTTAGCTTAGTGAATTTCATAATTTCATTTTTAGGTGAAAATCCTGAACAGGACAGCGAGGCCTCGACTGCTGCCAATGATGAAGGTTAGATAACTCAGTATGACATTAAGACGGGAATAACCTAGCATTCCTCCCAGACGTTTATAAAAACCAAGTTCCAACGGTTGCTTTTTCCTGTGTGGATTTTCTTCTTTTGACTGTCTAAAGGTCTGTTCACACGATCCAATTTTGTTGGATTTTGCTGCTCATATACATTACGAGACAACAAACTATAAAACATACATCAGAGGTGAATTGGATCCAACAAAATTGGATGTGAACAGACCTTAACGATTCAGTAACTAACGACAGAATTATTGTATTTTTAGGTGGTGCCTCTGAACCGCCGCCACCCCCTCCCCCACCTCCACCGCCGATGTAAATGACTCCTTCGTGACACTCGGCCTTAATTAAGCGATTTTAGGAAACAATTATGATTATAATGAATGAATAAAAAAGATGAAAGAGAAAATGGGATTGGAACCCCCCTTCAGGACCCCTGCATAATTTGGAGATATATTCAGGGCGGCGCTAGCCGCTATAGAGGGTGTGTGTTTCATACATTCATGTTTATAAAAGTGTAAAAACAATTGCTATCAAAAGAAATCATTCGGACATAAGAAGGATATATGAAAGTACAACACCCACAATTAAGCTTCTAGCGCCAGCCCTGGATATAGTCGTGCAAATTATCCGCTATAAGGAGACTGACGTCTTTGGGAAGGGGGAGGAGAATTGCAGTCAGCCGGTCATACCTTGTAATAAAGTGGTGGCAAGTATTACACCAGATTATGCAATTGCTTGAAAAACGAGTTTCTAATTTCTAAATTAAATTGAAACACAAAAATAATTGTTGTGTATAACTGACCTAACTAGTAAACTAATATGTTTGTGGCCTTGTGTGAACAGGGTTTGCAGGTTTTGGCCCAATTGGGAATGTTCAGTTTTGAACTTTATTCCGGAAATCGTACTGGTATTTTAATACGAAATTTCCGGAATAAAATCATTTCATTTCGTTAGTTAAGAAAGTGGAAATATCGTGGGTACACGTGAAATGAACAATTAAACATTCCCGATTTCTTTTGGTAAGCAGATGAAAGGACAACATCTTATATTATTTACGTCGTACATTTAATAAACTGGCCGACTGCTGTCGTATTTAATACTTGGTAAATCATGGCAGGCATTGAGTTTTGGACGTGGGAAATAATTTGCTTCAGTTTCATATTTCTGGCAGGTGTGCTTGGAAACTTGACTGTAATTCTAGTGGTTCTGAAAAGCGGTTCAGCCAGGCATCGACTCCGTGAAGTTCCTTTTAATATTTACCTCATGGCTTTGGCTATCGTTGATCTAACTTTTGCTATAACCTGTTTACCAATTTATATTTTGTCCACAAATGTTTTTAATCATCCTTCTGGGACGAAAGGCGATGTATTGTGTAAGATTATTACAGGCTACTTCATCCCATTTTGGCTTTGTGATGTGTCCATATATATGCTAGTTATTATAAGCTTTGAAAGATATGCAGCAATTTGTAAGCCATTCCAAGCAGTGCATCTTGGCATACCAAGAAAAACATATTTCTATATTGCTGCAGCTTATTTAGCAGCATTAATCATCCAAATTCCTACTATTGTGGGAATTCGTTATGCTGGGGTCAATGGTACTGTGAATTTTTGCACCTATGTCTGGCCAAGTGAAACAGTAAGCACAATTATATACGCTGTTGTGTTCATATGTCATTTTGTAATTCCTGCTGCAATTTTTATCATCAACTTCTACCGAATAAAAAGATGTTTAACCAAGTTGGATGAAAACTTACGACGATCCATTGGAGATGCCAAAGGACGAATAAAAATCATGAAAAGCAAAGAAAAAACAATAAGGATTGTATTTGTAGTGATGGTTGCATTTTTTGTGTTATGGACTCCAAATCATGTGATGTACTTTCTATTCCAGTTTGGTGAGATACATAATCTCAGGTGGAATTCTAATTATTATCAAGTTGGAATTATTCTTGGTTTTTCATCGTCTTGGCTCAATCCGTTTTTGTATGCATTTCAAAGTAGGGACTTTCGATCTCACTGTCGTAAAGTGTTTAGAAAAATGTTTGGAAAGTGGTTTGTTGGGCAATTGAAAGACAGCAGTCAATCTGGCAACACATCTTCAACTTTGAAAACAAATATAAAATTCAAGAGGTTACAAGTTCAAATGGACAATACTGCAGGAAATGCGCAACAAAACTAGTACTATTATTTATATTTTTAAAAGTAGGACTAGATGGCCTGGTTGTGAAGTTGCATCTTTACAATATTTGCCTAACAAATACCTGACAAAATTAATTAGTTAATTAGTTGCAAGATCTTATTAATAATGAAAATTGTTTTTGGTTAATAATAATAAAAAATAATTAATAATAATTAGGTTTTCAAAATAACAATTTAAGTTTACAAACATTAGAATACAGTCTAAAAAATAAATGAAATGATATGTTTTGTGTTTGCCAAATTCACATACCTCGAAAGTAGAATTGAAACATCGTGTGACGCGCCTAATAAAAATACGAGGTCAAAAATACGAAAACGAGGCTAGCAGGTAAAAATAATTTGTAAAAATATTGTAAAAAATCGGAACATTGGAATCATTCTCAATCATTCTCAATGATGATATTTGTTTGAATTTAGTCATACAATGGAAGAGATTGAAGATCAGGTGTCGACGACTAACAAGGATCACAAGGCCAGCGAGCCTTTGCTAAACGGCTCAACGCAGTGCCAAAAACCTGGGATTTTCGTTTATATTTTGACATTTTTTGCTGCGGTCGGTGGCTTTCTTTTTGGTTATGATACAGGCGTCGTTTCAGGTGCCTTAATCCTTCTGAAAAAACGTTTTCAATTGACTTTCTTCATGGAAGAACTTGTAGTGAGCATTACCATTGCTGGGGCGATCATAGGGGCTCTGTATGCAGGTCCCGTGAGCCAATATTTAGGTCGGAAATTTGTTTTGATATCTTCAGCGATTATTTTCACAATCGGTGCTCTATTTATGACATTAGCTGAAAATATTGGTGAGCTGCTTACAGGCAGAGCTATAGTTGGCCTCGGAATAGGTAAATATTTTTAATAGTCATATTATTAAATGCTACAAAAAGAATGTTTTTAATATTTTTTTTTTTGATGCAACCCGTAGTTTCGAATTAGTAATTGCTAATTAAAATATATTAAAACCTGGGCCCTGGGCACTTTTATAGTCAGAGACTGGTTTATTCAAATCATATCCACCCCAAAAAATGTTTGCGATCAACTACAGATGTGTATTTTTTGTATATTAGTCCACCTGGACTAAGTGCTTATGATAAACATAGGTCTTGTTTGTATGCTGTTCAATGGCTTAACAGTTTAATATTCACCATCATAAAAGCATTTTAAAAATGCAGCCACAGATGAAAAATGTTGGTTCACGTTCTCTGAGACCTACATTTCTTCTGGGTTAATACAGACACAATTTTACTAATAAACCAGCCTGATGAACTTTGCAAGAGCTTTTGATGGATATAGATTGACTTGTTATACTCATGTAAATTTTCTAGGATCTGCTTCAATGACGGTCCCTGTGTATATAGCCGAAGCTGCCCCAGCTCATATGAGAGGAAAACTAGTGACGTTAAATAATGTCTTTATCACTGGAGGTCAATTTATTGCAAGTATTGTGGATGGAATCTTTGCCTATGACAAAAGAAATGGTTGGAGGTACCTTTTGAAATTTAAAATTTTATGACATAAAACTGCAATGCGTGTTCAGTTGATTGAGGCACAATTTATAAAGATCAGGGAGGGTAGCCGAGGATGGACTTTCAGAAATGCGATTTAGGAATTTGGGGCAGAAATCTTCTATGAAACTGGCTCTTTCAGAAAATGGCTGCTGTCTAGCACCCCATCCTGCTTTAAATACCGATGCATCCATATGCTAACCTTTTTATTTTTTTAGGTATATGCTAGGTCTGTCTGGTGTTCCAGCAATCATTATGTTGTTTGGTCTTTTTTTCATGCCGGAAAGTCCTCGATGGTTGGTAAGCAAAGGCAAGGTGGAAAAGGCCAAAAAGGTTCTGAAAAGAATAAGAAATTCCAATGATATTGATGATGAAATATGCGACATCTCACAGACGTTACAAAGAGAACGCTTGGGTAATAAAATGCGGTTTGTCAGATGAATCACTTGCGTTGATTTAAACTACCAGAGTATCCACACTTGTGTATGGTAGCTCTACTGTCTCTCTACAATTACCTGACTAAACATAAAATGGATCATGCATGCAATTATTAGACTTAAAATTTTGGGAAAGAAAGGCAACCTCATTATCTCATTCCAAAAGCTGATCCATCTTCTAGACTCCAGATGAGTTAATTTCCAATCTGTCTTGTACAAAACAACAAACACTGCATATATGAAAACATGTTGCCTTTATTTAACTAACATCACAACATGAGTTTTTCTATTATTCATGCATGTTGCTTTAATCTCTAATGGACCTTGATTGAGGTAGTAATAAGTAATAACTTTTCTCTCTCAATCTGTTCCCCTACAAGCTTTTTTTGTTCAGCATGACCATCCTTGACATGCAAAATTTGTGGTTACTCCATACTATGAATATGTACTGACAAATAAATGGACAACTGTTATGGAAAATATTGGCCAGCATCAATATATATGGCTTTAATTACCTATATACAAATATGTTTGCCAATTATGAATAATATAGCTAGACCTGTTTATTCTTGATATAGCTGAGAATGATGGATCAAAATGTGGCATTCTTGTTCGTATATGGCAAACTCCTTCAGTAAGGAGAGCAGTTTTTGTAGGTTGTGGTCTACAAGCTATTCAACAACTTTCAGGAATAAATACTGTAATGTAAGCACGTTTTGTTTGATCCTTCAGGTCAATACTTAGGTACAAGAGTTTGCTAATTTGACTGACAATTTTCTACCGTGTCTGTAAAGATTTTAACAGTTGGTTGATTTTGTAGGTATTACAGTTCAACTATCATCAAAATGGCAGGTACCAAAAGTGATGAGGATGCAATATGGCTTGCTGTTCCTGTTGCTTTCACAAACTTTGCATTCACTTTAGTTGGAGTCTTTTTAGTTGAGAGAATGGGGCGGCGGAAATTATTGCTTGGTAGTTTGGGTGGTGTAATCCTTAGCCTTTTATTGCTAAGTGTAACATTCCTTCTAGAACTACAATCTTCTCCTGACGTTACACTACGTCCAAATATCACAGACTCCTGCACAACCAGCTATGACCATTGTTATTCATGTATAGAAGACCATGGGTGTGGTTTCTGTTATAGTGAAATTGGCGGTGAATATATGAATGGTTCATGTCTTCCAGTTACATCAAATTATAACACAGACCATGATAAGTATGGTTTATGTAATGTAACGACCAATAGTAACCTACACTGGGGTTATGACCATTGTCCTTTCGCCTTATCCTGGCTGGCTGTGCTTGGGTTAATTGTCTACTTGGCATGGTTTGCACCAGGTATGGGACCTATGCCATGGACAGTGAATTCAGAAATCTACCCACAATGGGCAAGAAGTTTTGGGAATTCAAGTTCAGCTGCAACGAACTGGGTGTTCAATCTTTTAGTTTCGATAACCTTTCTTCATTTGACACAGCTTCTAACAAAAAGTGGTGCGTTTGGTCTGTATACTGCACTCGCCTTCTTGGGATGGTTATTTATATACGGCTTAGTACCCGAAACTAAAGGGAAAACTCTTGAAGAGGTTAATAGATTATTTGAAAGTGCAGGAAGGCGTAGCTATGAAAACAGTGTCAACGGACTTGATTCTTCATACGTCAATAGTGATGCCTGATGACACATACTTTGATTGAATTAGAACTCTATTAACTGAGAATAAACCTATGGCCCTGTGATTTATTTACCTTGGAATTCTGGTTTGAATGTCGGTGCATTCTACTTAACTTTCCGGTACGTTTGCCCCAGGTTTCTCAAGTTCAATGAATTAAATTGAGTAATTTCTATTATGTGTTTGGCTGAGTCTAGAGTAGAGAGGCATTACAGACATATCGATTACCTGTCATTTGGGAAAATGGCATTTGGTTGCAAACAAACATGTATTAAGAAATAAGAAGCATGCATTTATGACTTCATTTTGAAAAAAGGAGCTTTCTAATAACCGTAGTATGGTCCACCCTGCCGTCGCTATAGCGATGTGTGTTAGTCTTTAAAGAAGGGTGGATCGCCATCCTGTTCGGCTACTCCCTTATCCCAACAATAATAACCTTTAATAGGAATAGCTCTGGTCAGATAAAGTGAAATTCAAATTTTAAATAGTTTTGGGCTTTTTGGGTCACCCTGTAGTTTCGGCCCTGTGGGTTTTCGCTTCGAGGTGACACACCTAGTTACTATGCCAAAATGGCTTATGATAATGCTTATGGTTACGCGTGACCAGCCGTGCATACTCAATTGCAAAGTGCCATACACCATGTCACCATCGTCATGAAAATTGAACTTAATTATCCTTATGATAGATAAAAGATGGATCATAATAAGTATTCTAACTATTCTTTGCTCCCATTGTCAATGTTCATGCCTTGGCGATTTAATACATACCGGTAATGGCGGCTGAAGATATGTTTGATGAAAACCTAGAAAGACAAGAAAACCGGTTACTGCTTGATAACCCTGGTGCAAATGATGGCAGCTGCGAGAAGGAGCCATATTTTCTATATATCTCATGTTTTATTGTGTCGTTCGGGTTTTTTACATTAGGCTACGATATCGGCATCATATCTGGTTCAATGGTTTTTATAACCGACTATTTTTCCTTGACGTATTTGTGGCATGAATTACTTGTTAGTTTAGCAACTGGACCTGCAATTCTTGGGTCTCTATTTGCTGGATATTCAAACGAAATTGTTGGGCGCAAAAGGACTTTAATGGCATCTGCAATGGTGTTTGTTATTGGTACATTAGTCATGGCTTGTGCCTTCTCAAAGAATGTGCTGCTGGTGGGTAGAATTTTGACTGGAATTGCCTATGGTATGTTTGCTTAAATTTTGGCTTAAGGGTTTCAATATATGCTTGTACATGGTAGAAATGTTTTGCTAATTTTTTTTTGGGGTGGGGGGATTAAGAATCAAATGAACCTGTCAATCATTCAATGAGCATGACCAATCACAATTGCACAATCTACATGGAGCAACAGGGTGGCTGCCCCCACAGGCAGCCCGGTCACTGCTGTTACGTCTATTAGCATGACGTAACAGCAGTGACCGGGCTGCCTGTGCTGCCCCTTTACCTTTTACCACCAGCAAGAGGAAAGAGGCAAAGGATGCAAAGGAATTTTTTATATCATTTTAGGAATTGTATAATAATTCTTGCATAAAAATTAATGCTCACCAATGCTCAAGCTTCCTCTGAGTCCAATGCCTGACTAGCTTGTTTAACTTGTATTCTAAAACTTGGGTTGTTTATTTTACGTAAATGTTTATGTACATTTTGTATAATAGCATAATTTTTGCTCTGCAGGTTTTACCAGTGTATCGTCTAACATGTACATTGCTGAGTTTGCACCAGCTAGAATACGTGGAAAATTGATATGCTTTGCAGGAATCACAGTTACTGGATCGCTATTTTTTGCAGCTTTGGTTAGTGGAATCTTCAGTGGAGACAAAACTAATGGATGGAGGTTTAGTATTTCACTTTAAATTGTCAGGCTTCTCTAGTTATCTGGAGTGCTTTATAAATAAAAATATTTCTCCCAGATACATGCTTGGCCTTGGGGCAGCCCCAGCAATGCTGTTGTTCCTTGGTGTCATATTGGTTCCTGAAAGCCCCAGATGGCTTATTCGCAAAGGCCGCAGCCAGGATGCTGTAAATGTTTTGCAGAAATTACGTGGAAAAGAAAATGTTGATGATGAAGTAGATGAAATTAAGCATTGTCACAAATTGGCAAGGAAAGGTTAGCTTAATTTTCATTAATATATACTATAGTAGAGTGGTGTGATTTTTAAGAAAATCTCATTGAGATTGAAGTTCAAATGTAGTTATTTGATTTTGTGAATTATTTACTTTTTATTGACTTAAACAATTTTTTTTCAGAGGGAAGCACCTGGAGTATATTTTTTCGTATGATGCAAGATTCAAATGCAAAACAAGCATTGTTTATTTCTTGTGGTATTATGGCAATTCATCAACTGAGTGGAATCAACACGGTCTTGTAAGAAAAATAATATTTTTCTGTAATAAACACTTCTCGTTTTGAGAATAATACATTTTTCAACACTAGATATTACACTGCGACCATCATCAAGATGTCAGGAGTGAAAGATGAACGTATTGCAGTTTGGCTCGCAACCGCTCCTGCATTCACCAACTTCATTTTCACTTTTGTGGCTATGTTAACCGTCGAGCATTTTGGACGTCGTAAACTTCTCCTCGCCAGTACTGCTGGTGTCTTTGTTTCACTTGTGTTGCTCACAGTTACGTTCTATATGCAAGCCCAATCTTCTTCTTTAGTATCACAAGTGGCAAGAATCTCTGGAAATCAGTGTTCTCTATTGAAGTCATGCGACAAATGTTTGTATAACGAGATGTGTGGCTTCTGTTATTATGAAAAAGGAGCTTTAGTTCAAAATTCCTCGTGTGTACCGTTAAAAAGTTATCCATCAACTAGCAGTCGATATTGTGACACAGAAGATTTTGAATTAATTACATCCTATGGATGTCCATCGAGTCCTGCTCTTCGTGTTCTAACTGTCCTTGGTTTAGTGTTGTATCTTGTATTTCACGCTTCAGGACTTGGACCTATAGCGTACGTTGTGTGCTCAGAAATATTTCCACTTTGGTCGCGATCTACTGGTATTGCCTGTGCTATGTCTGTTTCCTTCTTTTTCAATCTCCTTACAACGATCACATTTTTGCATGCTAGTGAATATCTTACGAAAGCGGGATGGTTTGGTATAATAGCCGGATTCTCGCTGTTTGGTTGGTTTTTCATCTACTTTTTACTGCCAGAGACCAAAGGCAAAAGACTTGAACATATGAACGAGATCTTTATGAAAACCAGTGATTATTATGATTAAGAACTGATTTAGGTTACTTTTTAGTTTACGATAAACATGATATACATTTTGAATACACCTTTCCTGTAATATACCTCACAAGTACTGAGGTACATGGAAACGAGGTGAGCGGCTAAAACGAGTAGAAAGTCCTTGATTGGTAGGATTTCCTGCTATGACTATGTACGTAGACCTGAGGTAATTACTAAAAGGCATATTGGATCGTTCTCTATCTCTATTGGTAATCAAATATATTTATTCACAACCTTGTAAAGTGTTTATGCCACATTTTTCTCGAATAAGTCATAATGATGTAAGAGCCATTATTTGTCAGGCAAGCCTGTGAGAATTCAGGAATTTGTTCTCAGTTCTCACAAAAAGTAGGATGTAAATGAGCAGCTCCCGAATGGAATGTTAATGTCCGTTTGGGAAGAGCTTTGGATAAATTTGGAATTTATTTGGAATTTGGATAAATTTGAAATTTACTATTTTGGAGATATTTTCACTGACTGTTCTGTCAGTTCAGAGTCAGACAGTTCTGACTGCAAACCACTAAGCTATATAATTCCTGGAGGATTTGCTCCTCCCATTTCAGTAACTTTGTCCGCAATATGAATATATGAGGTCGTGATGAGGTCGCCATGGCAGCGCTTTATACAAAAAAGCAATATGGCGGATAAAAATTTGTTGAGGAGTTGCATAAATTGCATAAAAAAGCTTCAATAAAGTGATTTTCTGATGGAGTTGAGAATAAAAAACCTAGGTAGGACCAAGGCATATCGTGATGCATTGTCCAGGTCAAAAGATATTCAGAGTAATGGGACCACTGTTCCAAGAAAGCGTGTCATCATAGCTCCAAAAATGGCATGTGTTCCCGAAAGATGCAGTGATTTTTCTGCCTTTCCACCTATCACGCAAAATAAGACTTCAAAGAAGAAAGACCAAATAACAGACTGTTACTTCGACCAAAAAAAAGCCACAATCTCAGAATTTAACAACTACAAAGCTTGGGTAAAGGCAGAGGCCGCGGAACCGGGGGGGCATTGGGGGCAGATGCCCCCCCACTTTTCGTGCAAGGGGAAAATGTGCCCTTTTTTAGAAGTAAAAGTGCCCTTTTTCTGAAATGATTTTCCCATTTTTTTTGAGATGAATGTGCCCTTTTTAATTTTAAGAAATAAAGTGCCCAAGTGCCTTATGTTTAACTGGCCTAATATTCGAGCACGACGAGATTATCTCAGGTGCATTCTTGTTTATAAATAATTTTTCGAATTATCACCGCCACCGCCGGTTTATTTCAAATCCGCACTTACAACACTAGACGTGATCTCTTGCAGTTATCAGGGCAGTTTTAGACAGGCGTTGAAAAACAGAGTAAAGCGTCGCTTTAGTCATAGGTGATAGGCTATACAGTGCAATTATTTGCTCTGAACAATTAATAAAATAATTATGTTTTATAAACTTGTATTTTTAGTTGATAAAATCTAAAAACGGAGGGTACCGTATCAGTAGTTTTGGCTTTTACGGGCTATGCCTAAGGCAAAAAAATTCTTTGACCTTGATTGCCAAACCGGATTAAAAATCATTGGGTTCGCATTGGTCAAGTGAAAAACTGACGCCTTCGCAGACGTCCGACCGCTAGCTCGATCCGTCTATAAATAGCACGTGTGCGACGCAACAATGACAAGTCATTGACAACATATCGCATATTTTCACTTATTATCATTCACGATTCATTATTTCAACTTCTTGCAAGTCTTAAGTCTATAAAGCTTACGAATCATCATGCCACGAGCAATAAGGCGCAAACGAGAGAAAGAAAAAGAGCTTTTTGAAACAGCTAAAAAAATGAAAAAACTAACAAGTTTCTTTAAAAGCGTTCCAACGGGGAAAGTTAATGAACCTGAAATCGACTGCGTGACACTTTCGGAAGCTACAGAAATTCCATCAACCGGTTTACCTGATCACCCCAATTTCAACTCAGCTTCTGATGATCGTGTCCCTACTGGCCCTACATCCATGTCAGAGTTAGTATTATCATTGCCTTCTGCCTCTACAACGAATTCTCACAACCCAACAGCGTTGCCCAATTCGACGAATACATTTCAATTTATGGGACCTACTGCTATGCCAATTATGCAAGCAGAATGTTCACTATTGTTGAACTGTCAGTGTTCGTGTTGTATGGACGAAAAGCCTCACCATCCCAACCCTGAAGACTTAAAGCGTACATCCACGAAGCAAACCATCAAAGGATCGTCAAATGTACGAACTTGTCCGCCGTCAATATTTTTGAAATACGCCTGGGTGACCTACTGCATGAGGAAAGGAACTATCGCCTGCTATTTCTGCAGAAGGGCGACCCGTCAAAACCTTATCACATCCAGTCACAACGGCGAGAATGCTTTTTGCTCAGGTCAATTTAACGACTGGAAGAAATGCTATGAAAAACTTAAAAAACATTCCCAGTCTAAATTTCACGCGGAGGCCACTGATAAAGTTTTATGCTTTGATGATGCAAGAAACGATATTGGAGCAAAATTGGTTAGTGAATTGAAGGCAAGCCAGGAAACTCGGAGACGAATGTTGTTGAAACAGATTAGCAGCATCAGGCATTTGGCTCGCCAAGGCCAGAGTTTACAAGGGAAAACTGACATTGAAAGTAATTTGTACCAGTTGTTAAAATTAAGAGCGGAAGATGTACCTGAATTATTCGATTGGATTGAAAATGGAAGATATCTTAGTCATGACATTGTAAACGAGTTGATCACCATGATGGGCAACACAGTTCTGCGGGCTATAGTTGCGGACATACGCAAGGAGTCACAGTTATTTAGCATGATTGCGGACGAGTCTAGAGACGTCAGTAATAAGGAACAATTGACTTGTGTTTTGCGCTGGGTATCTACAACCGATTTATCAGTTCAAGAAGAATTTCTTGGAATGTATCAAGTGGAGAAAACCGATGCGGAAACAATAGCCACTTCTTTAAAAGATATTTTGCTGCGATGTAATTTGACGATTGCGAACTGTCGGTGGCAAACATATGATGGCGCAGCAAATATGTCCGGCGGCATAAGCGGAGTTGCAACCAGAATATCTTTGGAGAATCCCCGCACCCTGTACATTCACTGTGGAAACCACGCTCTTGATCTAGCTTTACATGATTGTGTGAAGGCAAGCCAAATCGTCAGTGATTCGTTGACGTTTGTGCAAGAGTTGGCCGTATTTGTTCGAGCTTCACCAACACGAATGGCTCAATACCAGGAAATCGCTACAGAAATTAACGACGACGGCTCGAAAGTTGAGAACCCGCATTTGTTATGTCCGACTCGGTGGACGGTAAGAACCAAAGCCATCTTCGCTGTCTTGCGTAATTATGAGTCCTTGCATTCCACATTACTGAAAATTGCAAAAGAATCCTCCAAGGCTACCGTGCGTGATACCGCTTCAGGGCTGGCCACCAAGTTACAGAAGTTTGCCACATACTTTGGATTACGTTTTTCGCAGAATATCTTCAGCGTCTGTGAACAAGTTGCATCTACGTTGCAGAAGCCTTCCATAACCGCGCAAACAACAATTACTTGTATCAAATCCTTGAAGACCAACTTACAACGCCAACGAGATGACTTCAACCTGTTTTATGACCAAGTAGTTACTTCAGTCAAAACCATCGCCTTCGTAAACGGTCCCAAACTTCCGAGATCAAAGCAAGTTCCTCGGCGACTAGAGCATGGAAATGGCAATCAGCATAATTTCCAATTCGCGGAAGAATTCTACCGCGCCCAATGTGTTGAAGCTATTGATATCTGCATGGCAGCATTGCAGGACCGTTTCGCTCAAGACGTTTACTCAGTGTTAATGAACATTGAAACTGTGCTCATTAACGCGGCAAATGGGAAAACATTCGTATTAGATGACGAAGTCAAACGCCTTTATGAAGAAGACCTTGATTTTAACCAGCTAGAGGCAGAGTTAAAGCTTCTCGAAGGAATTATCTCGCAGAGACTTCCTGAAGTTAAGAAGGTAACATCAATTGACACCATTATGACACTATTTTCAACCGATACCACTCACAGTGCGCAGATCAACATGGCAATGTCAAACGTTGTTCGACTTTTGCAGATTTACCTTCTTGCTCCAATGAGTGCAGCCTCCGGAGAAAGATCTTTTTCAACCCAGCGCATCGTGAAAACGTATCTAAGGAGCACGATGACGGAAGCACGCTACTGCAACCTTATGACTTTGAAAGTAAACAAAACAAGAACCGATAAACTAGATTTAAAGTTAATTGCTAAAGACTTCGTTCTCAAAAACGAAAAAAGAGTTAGATATTTTGGAAAATTTCAATAAAGTTACATTTAACCAATGAAATTTTTGTTCTAATTTGTGTAACATATATATATATATATATATATATATATATATATATATATATATATATATATATATATATATATATATATAGTCTGATGGTCGCCTATGTGTGTGACACGCGATCGAGTATACATATTGCCCCTTTTCGTCAGTGCCCCCCCACTTTTGACATGCTTCCGCGGCCTCTGGGTAAAGGAAAGAAAGCGGCTGCGAAGAGATTTAGACCAGTGTGAAATGGTTTCTGATTGGCTACAGAGCAAGCCAAATTTGACAGAAGTTGAACAGCGTGTTCAAGACTCGTTGACAAAGATATCTGATAAGATTCCCGCGAGCAGGATTAAAAACAGGGTACTTTTATAACATGAAATATATGCTTACTTTTTTTGTTTATTGAGATGAGATGATATTGACAGCAACCCCCCTGTAATTGCCTGTATGTAGCTAAATAAGCTGACAACTTTTTCTAAATTGTAGGAAACAAGTAATGGTGGTCAGGTTTTTTTTAATAATTATGACTCCAGGTTTGCGCCAGTCATCAACCAACCTTTGCCAGTTGCCTTTGCAACGATTAATGAGTATTTGGCAAAGAAGAGGCTTCGATTTTATGATTTGTTTGTGCAAGCAGATCGCGATAAAGATTGGCATGTCAATCGTGATGAGTTAAAAGATGTAATGAAACAGCATCGTATTCCTCTTAAAGATGCAGAAATTGATCAGTTCATTCAGGCACTTGATGAGAATAATGATGATGTACTTGAATATAAGGAGTTGGTCCATGGCAGGGATTTGTTTATTCTGAGTGAACGGTAAGTGTATTCAGCTAACTGGACAGGAAGGAAGGCAAGCATGACTGTATCTTTAAATAACCTCTCATCAAATGTAGCGTAGATTCAAAAATACATAAAAAGAAACACAATCATCAGGCTTTGGGTAGAAACATATATGAAACTGTAACAATCTAGGATGTATGTTAACTAAACTATCTAGGATGTATTGTATTCACACTGAACTATCTAGGATGTATGTACACTGAAATATCTAAGATATATGTAAACTGAACTATGTATTATATAACATATTATATTTCTATAGCATAAAGAAGCATTTAGGTGAGGAAGATGCAGTAATAGAACCATCAGACAATTTGGGGATAATACAAGGAGACACTTTAAATTGTACCAATCAAATAGCTGTACAGTTTTCATCTCAGTCACTGCTCAGTTTGCCTGGGGTGTCAAGTAGTGACCACATTTTTACCACAAGTGACCAGGTTAGTTTTGGTACAAAATTCATGCGGAGGATCAATGAAAGCTGGTTGTTATCTGCCAGCTAAACTCTACTTATTTACTCTATCACTTCAATTGGGAAAAAAAGCTAAAAGGAGAAAATAATGGACCTTATGCATATAATGACATCATTTTGTGGTCACGCAAGTAAGAATATTTGAAAATGGCTGCATTGTTTATGATTTGAAGTTTAGTTCGAAAATAAATAGTCCAACTTATTTGCTCAACTTATTAATTTAGGCCAAATAACAACTTCAAAACATTCAACAGTAGCCACTTTCATACATTTCTACTCCTCGTCACCACAAAGTGACGTCATTATGCATAAGGTCCATTAATATAATCAATTTTAATATAAACTTTTCGGCGAATGATATGCTACAATTCTGCGATCAAAAATGATCGTTTTCAGTAGGTACTGTACATTAGATGTAACGTTCACGCCACACTCAAAATTTGGCGACGCAAACTCCGCAAATATTCATTATTTTTTTCCTTCGTTGATCGTATTAACAGTGATACCTTGAGCGTTGATCTCTTTCATGTTTTCAGGACGGCGAAAAACGTTTGAAACGACAGAAAAAAAGGGAGAAACATCGACAAAAGACGAGATCACCAGAGAAGGCTGAACGTGAGAGTTCAACTATGGGAGGGGTAACAGGTGTGCTTGTCGATGCATTTCAAAGACAAAAAGAAAATGAATACGAGAAAATCTTGGAACTGTGTCATTTGCATGGCATACCACTTTCCAAGAATCTTTTAGAGAGAGGTAAGAAGGATTCTGTCCTATTTGAACCTTGCAAATTAAGTTTCCACGTTGATTATTTCCAAGTTGTTTTCCAAGATAGTGATCTCGAGTCTTTAGTTCGGTTGGCCAGCCATTACCCGTAAGAGTTAAAACGATGTTGTTTTTTTCAGTTCTCTTGCATCCCGAAGACAGGGATCTCGACACGTGTATCTCATCACTGAAACCTTCTGATCGATATCTGATGTCGGAGAAAGATCTTTATCGAAGGCTGGAGCCTAGCAACGCACCAGGTCATGCCGAGCGTGGCGGGAGAAAATTTAGTAAAAGCAAACGTAAAATTAATTTTTATTCTTGTCATGTTTATCCACCGGCTGCGTCAGTCACACCAAAGAGCGAAAGAATGAATTTGTCGTCTGGGCCGGCTAATATTTCACGGAAAGCAGACTGCTGGATGACGTATGAAGAGTATTGTAACTTGACCAGGTATTCTGAGAATCTTTATAGTACAGTGTGTAAAAATTGAGCGTAAATTAATCAAGAAAAAAGATGCTAGTGGCTGTCAGTTTAGCCAGTTTTACCCCGAGAAACCAGGCTAATTTCACTTTCTTTTCTTCTTCCCTTTCCTCAACATTTTTAGGCCAAGTTTGCATCAAACCTATAAATGAGGCTTATCATTTCAGTTTTATTTATTCCACGCGAGTGTTGCACCCCGATAATAAACCCTACTGAGTCAGACTAGACACGAATTATTCGTCTGAAAACGTTTTCGAGCAGAATATCACCTTGAATATTGTGTCTTGTTTTTTAACAGTTCATACCTTGAGTTTACAAGATGTTTATTTTCGGAGTATGTTTTCTCTTATCTTATTCGTCTGCCCCCAAAATCAATTTAGGTCAGTCAGGTTCTTATCATACAATATTATCACGCCCTAGGCACCTTGACTCGCGGTTTGACAAATCTTGGAAGCCGACGGAAGAAGACTCTTATTGGCCATCGTATGTTCTTGACAAGGTTAGACTCTACTTGGAAAGACCTCGAACACAAGTGAGAAGCGAAAACAGTATTTTTGATGTTATACACAATAGAACGATACACTGATGAAATCTAAACAAGATGTTTCGTCATGATTTGTTTTCCAGTCGTGCGTTGGTTGCCGTTTTTGCCGGAAAATATTTATTTTGCCATTTTGTCTGCAATAATATTTACGTACAACGTAAATTTATTTTAAAACTTAATTGATTAATGATATATCTAATAGTTTACTTTATGATAAATTGAATATCCCCTTTCGACTACATTTTATTTCCACAAGTTACGAAAAAGTGCTTTACAGAATATTTTGATTAGGGCCAGGCTAGTTCGTTGTGATAGGTTGATTCAAGATTTATACTCAATGTCCAGTTTATATGTTCGAATCTCCATTGGGTTCAAAGTGATCTCCAAATCATCATCATTAGGGAAAGAATTCTTGTTTCCTCTTTTAACTCGTTCCCGCTGATTCTTCACCTGATTCGCACTGAGGTTGAGCTCAGTTATAGCCTGGATGGTGAAATTTTTAAACAAACCTCTCAATTGCACTGTGACAGCTTTTGAAAGTTCGTCATCTTCTCCAACAGCAAACTGATGTTCAAGACGTAACAACAGAGACTTGTCAAATTTCTCTAATGTTAACAGATGAACATTTGGTGGTAAGGATCGAGATAAAGCCTGGTAACCAGCTTGGTAACCACTACCAGCTGAGAAGGCCAGAGAGGGGCGTAACATTTCTTCTTCACCAATAACACGATGAAATTTAGCCGACGATTTTGCCGCTTCAAGTAAAAGCAAAAATTTTCCTCGCACAATAAGACCGCGTCCGTTAATTCCCGGTTCGTTCAAAGCTTCACTAACACCTCTTTTGTCATCATGTAACAATCTTCGATGAACCATGAACTCTAATGAACCATCTTTTATGCTAGAACCACCCAACGAACGGTCTGTCATTACGGTCAGTTGAATACCAGACTCATCTTTGATGTAAGCTCGACTATTGATTGGGTAATAATTCCCTGCCACAGGTTCTGTGTCTAATAATAGTAAAAAGTGTTAGCTTATAATTGTTTAAAACCAGCCTGTTTTCTATCACGCAAATTTGTTCGCGCGAAACGACAAGAAATAGGACACGATTTTCTACCGATTTAAGCCTTGAGGCTCGTAGCTCGTGTCCGGCGAAACTCAGTTTCATGCTGAATTTATTTTCGTCAAAATTTATTAATAAAATAAAAAAAGTTATTCTCCTGGCTGGAAGTGCGTTCAACCTGGAAGTGTATTTCAAAGTGTTGCTATCATGTTTTCCAACCGCTATCTTTATTAAGAGTTAGTATATACTCACTATTATACATCCATGTTGGTCGATAATTTCGTTTTCTCAACTGCATTTCTCGTCCATTTGCGTCTGTATAGAAAACACCATTTGTCTTCAAACTTGTGTCAAATCTCGATATTATTTCCTTTCCAAGATCAGGAGAGGGAGCCATTTTGATTGGACCAACAGTGTATTCAAATTCTGCGTAGGGTTTGTTTGAATATAACCGGACAGTTTGGCTTACCCAAGGTGAAAAGACCTGATGAATCTCTTGAAAAACCTCGTTTTGAATTACGCTTATGCTGCTTACTTTGTTGTTCGTGCTTACGTTTAAAGGTGTGCTTGAATTTGGTCTGAAGATATAGGCTCCTGAAGCTTGTGTACTGTCTTTGTTTCCAACGCTACTAGCATTATACCACAAAAATTGCTGGTCAACCGGTAGACTTATTTTAGATTCAAGGTTTTCTACTTTAGTCAAACGTCCGGAGTCATTGCTGAACGTGAGGCGAAGATGCTTGTTCGCAATAACATAATCCTCGTTACTTTTCTCACTATTTGCAAAGCCTGTTTCCTTTGGTACTTCGGGAGCTAGTGTGGAAGTGTGTCTTCTTGTATTTGATGTTGTATTTCCGGTGTAGGTAGCAACACCAAGCGGTGGTAGACCTGTTGCAGTGAAGGTTAACTCGTACGGGGCATTGCCAAGACTACCACGTACAAATTCAGTTTCCTTCGAGACAGCTTGTACCACAGAACTAACTTCTTTACCATCCGGTCCAAATATTTTGACTGCTTTACTCGACACTGGGATTCGGATATTTGTATCGACAGCCCGAGCAATAGGGTTGTATACAGTGATAGTAAATGGTTTAGTGGCCTCTGTAGCAGGGCATACGCTGATATTAAGATAATCACAAAATGTGTACTGAACGTCCGTAAGATGTGCTGGTTGAATGACTTGGTTCAAAGCAGAGTTTATCGCCATCTAAAACGCAAAATATTGACGATACTTTCTGGAATTCCTTCGTCTTTTATACCAGGAAATATTTTGCGGCAGAGAAAATAATCAAAGAATAAAATATAATTTTTGTCTCTATACCTTACATTGCTGAGCTCCCATCGCCAAACGTTTGGCATAATCATATGCAACATGTTGTTTTTCAGTTCCGCTCACAGCATCATGATGTTGCGCAACACCCATTGCATCTCGTAACATCTCTGAACTTGGATCTGACTCTCCAAGCTTGCCAAGAACTTCAAGTTGTTTACATACCTTGTGTTGTAGGAATGATAAAAATAACGGTGGTTGTTGAGAGGAAACAAAGTGATTACCCTGATAATGATGGTGTGTCTTGGGTATAAGTGATGATGATAGTGGTGGTTATGGTGATAGTGGTGGATAGATGAAACATGAATTAGTACCTGCAGTAAATTATTATTTCTTCGAACATAGCCTTTCAATGCAGGTCTGCTGGTAAAATAACCAGTCCAGTAACAATGTGGACAGTCCGCATATGGAAAAAAGTCTTCCGTCCTTAATTCCACATCCATTCCCTTTATCGCATCAAGATATTCTGATGGTGTGGAGTAAAATGCATTCACTCTGCCGTCCTAGACAACAAACACTTTATTTCGTTGGTCTAATTAAAAACGTCCTAGAGATTACTTCTTAAAAAACGGATTATGTTCATTTTGTTTAAAAACGAACGTATATATTGCACCGCATTATTTGTAACTACATTCTGAAGTCTGAACTGTGCACTGTTTTGATCCTGAGTTACTGTACAGTAACTAACTTTTATTTTTGTTTTATTGCCGAGGAAATCTAAGATAACTAGGTCCAATGAGGTGAGTAAACTCTCTTTTTTAAGATCCTAATCTCTTGACATACCTCGTTTACAAATGCAATCAATTTATCCAAATTCTTAAACCACGTATGAGCGTTTTGATAATTAAAATCTGATCCCATCGTGAGCATAATATGTCCGGATTTGTAGTGCGACGCTTGCTCTAGTGCAAGCTTTATGAATAAATCTACTCTTTCCTTGACATTAAAGTCAAACAATCGAGGATCATCCTGCATTGGAGGGTCACCACAGAGAATATCAAAACAGAAACTAGACGGAGGACCGTAACCATTGTACAGAACTCCAGTGAAGATTTCGCTTGCTTTTCCGAGACTTTGGCTTCCTCGCCATTTAAATTCCATGAGTTGTTCTTCTCTGCGCTTTTTTATATCAGCGTAATGAATGCGCGCAAAGAAGAATCCTTCGAATGACATTTGCGCAAACAGCGATGCTTGTTCAGCCGAGTGTCCAAACGGGTCGATATGCCATGCCACTCTTGGCCTAGCTTTTGAGCCAAAATTTCTATCAATAAACTGTAAACCATGAGTCATTTGATCTATGATAGCGTTATAATGAGTTGTTGCCTCGTCGTTCATGCACCATCCACCATTAATGAACTCCAATTGTCCATTATTGACAAGTGCTTTTACTCTTTCTTGCATTGCCGGGGTTTGTTGAACCCACCATCGTTTAAAGAACGCCATTTCCACGTAGATAAAACGTCTCAGAGGATTCGCTTCCAATGCAGGTATCACTGAATCAAGGATATATTGTACACCGGCAATTTGAATGCTGTTATTAGCTCCGTAATAATATTCGTCGACTGTTTTGAGCCAGCCTACGTCGTCATGGGTGTGCGAAACAAGATGGATTTGTAATTGCTGGATTTCGTTTTGGTTTCTTGGCGACTTCGGGACGACGAGAGCATTCGAAAGCACGGAAAAACCACATAAAAACAAGTATAAGAGTGCCATGGCTAGCAATGGTTCGACTGCTCGTAGATCACAATAACAAGTTCAGACTTGCAACTATAAATATTCAATTTTTAAGTAAATTTTTAAACAAACAGTAGATACTTCCTGTCAGTTACGAAAGACCAGCAGGTGCATGTCACATGATATTTAGGTTTCGTTTGGTGACAATTGACATGTACAAATGTTCACATTAGGATGTTTTCCATTAAAAGAGTGTAATATACGGGTTCGTTTATGTTAGCCTTTCATCCATAAGAGGTTGACCAATTTTTAATATAGTCGGCTTTTCAATAATTCAATCCTACTTTGCACTTGCGGTCACCGTTGACGTCATAAAATCATGACAGGTAACATCACGACTGAAGCATGTGATCGTTGTTATGCACGTGAGTAACGACCTTGTAGAAACTTGATGACATGGCGTTCCTAAAAAGATCCTCGTGATAAAACCATTTGAAGCCTGTTCGCACTGAATTTGAATACTGATATCATCAGCCTCTTGAAAACAAGGGAGGCAATGTAGAGATTGACCAACAGCCTCAGACAAATAATTGTTGGGGCATTTTCTTGTAATCCACTCATTCGTCCGTTTCGTCGAATCCCACTTTCCTCAATGTTCGTCAATGTATTCTTGTGTACGCGGGTGCACCGTGCACGGGACAAACCTTTGGTTGTCTTTTCCGCATTTTTGACGGAAATTGTAACCTTGGGTATATACACATTAACTGCAGTGCTTGGCGTAGTTTCAATACAATAAATATTTATAAGGACGTCATGTGCTTGATAAACTCGCAAAAATTCCATGGCTGAATCTGTTTGCCTCCTCAAAAACGAACCCTGTCATAAAAAATGAAAATGTAATGCTAACTCGGTGATTCCCTCACTATGTCGATGTGATAAACGTTCTCAATTCACGTTAAAGCCAATAAAGGTATCAATAAATCCATCTATAAAGCAGATCAGAAATTCAATACTGCCATAATGGAAAATATGGTGCGCAAGTTATTTTAAATAGCGTTTGGCGTTTGCGGCATATACGTCACCCTCTGGTACGCACGGAGTAACCCTGTCACACAAAGTAAAACTGTTCTTTTAGTAAATTAAATGGTACAAATTGTTTCTTACTGTCCAGAGTGCCATGGCTGCAATCTATACTATGACAAGCGACTGTTCAATAGATCACAATAATACTTCCAGACCATGTGGACATAAACATACAAACACCTTGTAGTAAACAAGTTGTTGATACCCCCTGTCAGTTGAAAGAGTAACAAGGGCACGCCACACAGGATATGGTGGTGCAGGTGACTATGCTGGTGACATTGTGATGCTTTTCCGCAGGGCCGTACAGAGCATTTGCATCTATGGTATCATTGGTATCTAGTTGCAGTAGTTGTAAAGTGGGTTAATTAATTACTTCGGTGTTAAACAGCATCTAATGCTTGATAAACTTATGAAAATTGATTTACTAGGTTCACCTCAACCCTTAGGCATGAAATAAAGAGCTTTAACTCGTCGAACTTGAACCAATGTCATTATGAAGTGTGTCGTTCAACCTTTTGCGCAGATTAGAAATTCAATACTACCATAAAAATCTATAATAGTGAATGGTCCTGGCACATGAGTTATTAATCCTCGTTTGTGATTGGTTTAACTTCCGCATAACACTTGGCATAAATGCTTTTTAAACAAGCGGCAGCCGGCAGACAAAAAAAAACTGCTCCTAAGTCCCTAACAATGGTAGCAGTAATCTTACTATTGTTCCTATCCATTTTCCCCTTCCATTCAAGCGCTTTCGTGTGCTCAAACTCGTCAGGAAGCCATGAGTCCCATGACGAAGTTCTACAAATCCATCTTGTTCCGCACACTCATGACGACTTAGGCAAAATCGTCGCCTAAATTTCATCGTGTTACTGGTGAAGAAATGTTACGCCCCTCTCTGGCCTTCTCAGCTGGTAGTGGTTACCAAGCTAGTTACCAGGCTTTATCTCGATCTTTACCACCAAATGTTCATCTGTTAACATTAGAGAAATTTGACAAGTCTCTGTTGTTACGTCTTGAACATCAGTTTGCTGTTGGAGAAGATGACGAATTTTCAAAAGCTGTCACAGTGCAATTGAGAGGTTTGTTAAAAAATGTCACCATCCAGGCTATAACTGAGCTCAACCTCAGTGCGAATCAGGTGAAGAATCAGCAGAAACGAGTTAAAAGAAGAAACGAAATTTCTTCCCCTAATGATGATGATTTGGAGATCACTTTGAACCCAATGGAAATTCGAACATTTAAACTGGAGATTCAGTGGAATTGATTTAAATATGGTTGATCTTTTTTCTAATTAGTATAAACAACTTGCAATTATTTGCAAGGTTAGTATTTCAGTAACTTGTTATTCAGTTATCATTTACAATACATTATATAGCAAATATACGGACACAATTGTCCTATTGCATATATTTGATTGCAATCCGTCTATATCCCGTTTAAAAACCTTAAAAGCTATCTTCGTTTTGCTATACAGTTGACATATATAGTTCTATATAATATTGATAATAATTATAAATATCTAAGATATATAAAAAGCAATCTTAACTTAAGAGTTTCTGCATCACTCAGCTGACATCTTAAAACTGGTTTCACTGAGAAAGTACGTTAAGAATTTCACTGTGACAAATTCATTTGTATTTTGTCATTCCACGAGGACTATCTACAATCGACAGACATTAACTAGACACGAGTACTCGGTTTTGACTGCGCTTGTTTGAAGTTCCGTCGTGTGTATGCACGTAATCTCTCTCGAGCCAACTCGAAATCTTCTAATCTCTGCGTAAGAGCAATTTTTTGATGAATGGCTTGCCTCAGTAGATGATTTAACGTCTTCTTCTCATCCTCTGCGGCCGTGAGACGACGCTGTAAGTCATCAACTTGAGCCACATAATCCTCACACCTCTGAGCAAACATACTGCGCAACGACTGAAACGTCGCCGACTCTGCCTGCATTGATTTTAAATTCCGTTTCAGCTTGGTGATGACCTCGTTCTGCAGAGCTTTATCGCTTTCATAACGACTTTTCAAGTTCGCCAGAGCAACCTCGTAAGTTGACTTATTCGCCTTGAGTACGGTGCGTAAAGTTGTGATCTGTTCGCGTTTTGTTGCTGCAAGCTTTTGGAGTTTTAAGATCTGATCTTGAAGTGAACCGCTGTCCGCAGTAGACACGTCATCCACTTCGTGGGCACCACCCGCGGGATGTGTGGGACCTTCGCGACTTTCGCGCGAGATATCAACGGTCTTCTCGACAGCTTTTCGAAGGAAACGAACCTGATCGCGGACGGCGGTGATAAGTTTATAACAAGCCAGTGGATCCCCGGACTCCTCGGGATTTTCGTCGTCTTTTCGGTCGTCGCCATTTTTGTCGGGGACATTTTTTTCCTCGGTGATATTTTTTATCTCTCCGTTTATAAGTGGAGAAGTAATCATTTGCTTCTTTGATTTGTACCGGGGAGAGAGAGTCTTTAGATGTTCCAGCACTATTTGGTTCGGGGTATCACCGTTAGCCGTACAAACTTGTTGATAGAGCTTGGCTAAATCTTCACTGACCAACTTCAATTCATCCTGTGTGCAGGTTAGACTGCCTTTCGCCTCGCCAGCAAGTGACGTCATGGAATGAACATCTTCTCGAAGAGTTCGTATCGTTTGGTCAGATTCTTCTTCTTTTGTTTTTAAATTTAAAATCTTTTCTTCTAATTCTTTGACACGATTACACAAGAAATCGGCTTCTTCAGCTTTGCCTTGTAGGGAAGCGTTCTTACTTCGAACTTCGTCCAACTCAACATGAAGATTTTTTATAACCATTTGAGTCTTAGACTCTTTGTGATGATAGTTCTTTACAATCTTTTTAAGCTCTTCAAGTTCTTTAATTTGATTATTCAAAACAAATACATCGTTCGTAGAAGGTGCAGCGTTCCCACCTTGGATCTCTTTACGAAGTTTCTGAGAATCTTGTATAGTTGAGAATGCACTGAACTCTTCTTTGAGTTTTAGAACCTCTTTATTCCTTTGCGCAAGTGCGTTTGTAAGCGCCGCTTTCTCGGAATTCAACTGCACCAACTGATCCTCTAAATCCCGTAATTCTGAGAACTGTAGTTCCTTCATTAAATCGTCAACCAACCCGGGTGCAGGTGACTTGGGTTCTACCGTAGTCTGATGGTACTCTTCTGTGATCTTTTTAACCAATGGGTGTTCATCATCTGTCATATCCTCGTTCAAGAAACTTTTACTCTCCATATCCCATGTTTCAGCGCTTGGTTGCTGGCTTCGTTCTTGGATCTCTTTTTGTAACTGGCTGTTGCGTTCACGTTGTTTTTTCAGTGTATCCAAGGTCTCATTTAGTTGTTTTTCAAATTCTTCAGTTTTTCCCGTCGACATTTGTAATTGCACTTTCATAACATCCATCTCCTCACGTAGCGTGTTGTTCTCGACTTTCAAAGCTTCGTACTCAACCAGTTTTGATTTCAAACCAGATAATTGAGACTGTAAACTAGTATTTTCTTCCTCCAACTCAGCATAATCCTGATTATGTCTGGCATTCCGTGTTTTAATCTCTCGAAGATCACCTTTAACCTGAATTAAAAACAATAGTACTGTAGCAACACATTATTAACATAACGTGCTGGGGCCAGTTGTTCAAAGCTGGGTTAGTGCTAACCCTGGGTTAAATTTTAATCCACTGTTTTGGTTTAAGTGCTTTTGAACTGTTGTTCGTTTTAAAACCTTTACAAAATATGGCTTTTGTTGGTCCAGAAAACATTTATGGAAAAAGATATTCAACTTTGTGAAAAAGCGATTAAAAATATTGATGTAAAGATTTTCTTTAACCCAGGGTTAAGCTAACCTGCTTTTGAACAACTGGCCCCTGAGCTTCAAAATTTAAATAATCCTAAAGCAATTGGCATACATGTACCCTAATCTATGGCTTATTGCTTTTGGAGGGGTATGACAGCCACGGACATTCTAGAAATGGTCTCCTTTACCTTCTTTAACTCTTCGTGTTGTTTTTCAACTTCTTTAAGGAGATTGCCATTTTGGGAGGAGAGTCGGTCTACTTCGTTCATGGCACGACGTTCTCCTTTGTTTGCAACTCTCAGGTCTGATTCAAGTTCAGTAATCTTTGCCAGAAGTCCTGCCTCCCTCGTCTCACTTTCCTGTACAAGGTTTTCTTCACGAACATCACCAAAGCGGTTCCATTTTGATTGCTCTGATTTTAATTGCTCAAGTGTCTATGAAAAAAACAAAGTTCTGGGTGAAGGCAGGCTTTCACTGGAGGAACTTTCCAGTTTCCAATCAAACAAAAATTATTTCCCACAATAATTTTTCCAATAAAATATTAAATATTACCAAAGCAGCATCACTTAACTGATCACAATTAAGAAGAAAATCAGGCGAAAATATTATTCAATCAAATAATTTTGCCTAATGCAAAAATGACTGTTATTATTGCAATACAATAATTTGAATTCACTGGTAGATTTCCTGATTTTCTTCCTAAATTTGCAGTCTGGCAATGGAATCTGCTCATTTTGAAATTATCAAATACTTTGCTATTCTAGTGAATTCTTAAGCAAGAACTCAATATTGCAAGTTTTTAACAAATCTAATATGACATCTCCCAATTATATCCCGCAGGCAATTTTTCAACTTTATTATTAACAAATATATATTAAGATTCCCAAATTTTTGACAATTAATTAATCTGAACCTAGACTCTTAATTGGGAGATGTTTTCAACTCTCATGTTATCATTCATTATCAAGGGATGGCAAAATGATATTTAAAACTATTTTTTTTGTGATGGTTTCCTCTGCATCTCATTCAATTGTTATATAATTTATCAGGTACCCTTCAAAATAGATTTTACAATCCATTTAAGCTTTATGACGTACCAACATACATCCAGTAAAAACTATGCCTATGTGCCGTTGTATTTTGAAAACAGCAACAAAAAACAACCAGGATTCAAACCTCATATAAAGCTATTAGGTTATTTAGACCACGCACATATTTATATAAAATTCATATTTAAATCTTCGGTCAATAATAACAGTCTTCTACGGGATGTCGACAAATAAAAAAAGACTATTAAGATTAGAATATTCAGAACTTTACAATTATGGTTTTATTTCCCTAGAATTAGAATAATCTTGAATTTCAAAGAGCAAAACGTGAACAAAAACCCTAGGGATTTAATAATTCAATTGATCAAATTCCAGTATGTGTTCGTATTTTATATTCCTTTATTAACAGCCAACTCTGAGCTTCAATTAAATTTGAATAATGTAGTAAATATCATGCAATGTTTTACCTCTTTTGAGCTTTCAAGCTCTTGTTTTGTGTTTTCAAGGACCGTTTCTAAGTCATCGTATTGTTCCTGCAGGGTCTGTTTCTCTTCCAACACGGCTAAGCCATATTCTGCGGCTCGTATTTTATCGCAGCTTGCCTGCTGTAATTCTTTATTCAACCGTTCAATTTCTGTTTTAAAATACTCTATCGATGTCATACTGTCAGCTCTCTCACAGAGGATATAAAATATTGACACAAAAGGTTTAAAATTTTAACATTTGCAATGAAATGTTTACACTTTTAGAAACATTTTGTATATAAGAGCAGTCAGCGGGAGTTAAAATAACTTCACCCCCCTATTTTCCAGAGGATGTATTGTGTTTACGGGGGGGAATAAGCTGGCATGAAAGAATTGTTCACAGTGGTTCACAGTTACATTCGTAAATCAAAAAATCATTACACATAAGCTCACGATGATTACAATAATAAGAAGAAAGTATGCATTTCTATAGTTTATCAATGAACTATACATCCAAAAAAAACTGAGGAAGCGCTCTTTGACAATGTCAGGATATTTCATATATTTTCAATGAAGCACATTTTTTGTCAAATGGAAACAACTACACGTGTTGCAAATTTAATTTTTTTTTAATTTGAATGACTTCACACTACTTTGTTTTCTCGGGTTTTGATGGCTTGTACATGAGTTGAGAGACATTAAATTGGCTTATTTGCATGCTGTTTACAGGACACGTGTCTTGTTTTTGTTTGCATAAATTGAAAAAACCTGGTTTGCAAAGCTACACCATGGAACGTCAGGTGCGAACAGCGATAATTTTGATGCTATTTTTCATCAATATTTTGTCTATTTGTGCTTCTTTGGACGACGAATATGGCGTAGATCATGACTTGGACAGAAATGATCCTAGTTATAAGTATAAAATGCGAGGTACTGCATATGCAATATTTGTCAAAAACAGTTTGGCATACTTGTTATATGTGGGTTGGTCTACAATTCTTGTGGCTCTTTTTCTGTTAGCATTGACAAAATCTATTGTACCCTGCCAGCTTTCTATGTTTTAGGCCACCTTAAGTCAGGTCAAATTTTCCCCATTGCTTCTCTGGAAGACCTAGACAACCATTCTGAATTAGCTAGGTTCTTTAATAGTTTCCACCACCTGTCATATGTAAGTCACTGACACTATGAAAAATCCATTTAGAGCACAATGATAATTCTGTTTTATCATTTAATAAAATAATTGTGGCTGCATGTATTAACAAGTATTCAAGCTTGTTGAAATGACTAACAGATACATTCATCTTACAGTAAACTGGCCCTTTCAGTTTGATAGAGGTAGCATTTCTTTGATTTAGTCATTAAGTTCCAGTCACAGGCAAGGAAAGTATTAGCTGTTTTTAATGGTAATGTTAATATTTTAAGATTCATGGAAAGCATATCTGGACAAGATTAACAAGAGTGTTTCCACGTATGAAGATTGCTCAAACATTAATAGTGGTTGTTATAAAAAAGTCATTGATAATGATTTGAAGCTTTGGAAAGATAAAGGTGGGATTACCAAATCAAACTTCGATAAAGCAAAGACAGAAACAAGAGGAACACATTATCAGATTATCAATCATAAGTTGTATCGACAAAATGATTGTATGTTTGAAGCTCGGTAAGAATGCTTAGTTATAACAACAATATATAAGTTAATCTATTAGCACCCTACCCTGGGGCTGATTGTATGAAAGCCGTATAGCGCTATCCACTGGATGGTGGTTTTTTCAATCACTTTAAAATTGCTCATTGTTTGCTATAACTTTGACTATATAAATCTTAATATATTCCTAAATTGAGGGTCCTCTTTAATAATTGTTTGTTCCAAAGATGAAATGTTATTGTTTTTTGAGCATTTTTAGAACAGTAGATAAAATCACTATCTGGTGGATAGCGCTATCCAGCCTTTGCACTACTGGCCCCTGATCAGTATTTAGCAATGGTTAGAATACAGTAGTTACGACTTGATTGTGAAATGCTTGTAATGCTAATGGTTGGTTCTATGGTGATGATTGTCAGTAAATAGAAAGAGTATAAATAATACATTGATTGGTTTAATGTTTCAGATGTAATGGTGTTGAACATTTCATTTTGAAAATCATTAAGAAATTGCCAGATATGGAGATGATAATCAATGTTCATGATTATCCACAAGTAATTTCAATCAATTTAATTTACAATTATTTCATTGAAATGGCCAATTTTAAAATCTTTATTTTTGTAACTTACACACACATATATTTTAAGACAGCCAAATGGATGGAACCAGTTCCTGTATTTTCATTTAGCAAGGTGAGTGGTGGTTCGAAGCCTAAACCTAAAAAACTCAAGAACAGTTCATCCTTTAATTACTACACGTAACAGTGAAGCTTTAAATGTCTTGTTACTGATCTTTACCTCTACCATCTTTACCTAATAAATTCTGTTTTAATTGTTGTGTACATAAAGTACACAGCAAACTCAGCTGGACTATAATACATGTATAAATACTTACCACATACTACTTAATCTTATATTAACCCTTGTATTTTGTCACATTATAATGTTCAGACAAAGGATGAATATGATATAATGTATCCAGCATGGACATTTTGGGAAGGAGGACCTGCAGTTTGGCCAATATATCCTACTGGTTTAGGAAGATGGGATCTTATGAGAAAAGACATTGAAAAGTAAGCAGTCATGCAACAATTACTTAATTATCAACTATGAAGAAACAACTTGTACTAACAAACTAATACATCACTGTGTTCTTTGCCAGAAAAGCAAAGCAATTCCCATGGAAAAAGAAAGAACCCAAAGGGTTTTTTAGGGGATCAAGGTAAGCTTGTTTCTAGAAGAATTCTTTCTAGTTTTAAAAATATCTTTTGTCGCTGAATTGAATATCATATGGTCACAAAGACCATATGAGCTCATTAAAAAGGGCTACCTTTTTCCCACATTTTAAAGAAATTTAGTAGTTGGCGTTAAGTAGAGAGTATAGCTTTATCCTGTTACTTATTAACAGCAAGATCATTGACTGAGTGATGGAAAAGGACACGTTTTTTCATCATGTCAGAAAACGACCCATTTGAGCGATAGGCATCGTCTTTTTCCGAAAAAATAGAGATATTGTATGTATTTTAGATATACTGGAACTTTGGATTTTGGAACTATTCTTTATATTGATTCTTGACGTTTTCAACTGGTGTAGCCTGCTCACAGATTGAATTAGGAAGGGAATTTTCCACCTTTGTTTTCTCCCCTAATTCAGTCTGCGAGCATGAGGCATCATCAGTTAATATATATACTGGTGTTAATATACACATGATGAAGTCATAAGATCCATATTTTATAGGACAACTGATGAACGGGATCCACTAGTTTTACTCTCAAGAGAGGATCCGAAATTGGTTGATGCACAGTACACCAAAAACCAAGCGTGGAAATCTGACGCTGTAAGAAAATAATTGCATCGCGTTGTTACGCTCTGGTTAGACAAGAAACAAAGTTAATGAAAGAAATAAAGAACGCTGGCATGTGTTAGAACTCGGGAGGGATTTCTGGCCTATTGAAAATTGCAACGGGAACAAACGTTGCATAAGAAATATAATAGACCTTTAGGCTTTGCCCTAATTTGACCATGCCTTTTTTAAACACACTAGTTTAACTAGGTATAAACATTGGTGAATGCTGACGTCTTATCTGTAGTGTGACGTAAGCACTGCTCGTATCTATTAATAACTTCAGTCTGTTAAATTTTTTTAGGATACATTGCATGCTCCAGCTGCCAAAGAAATTCCTTTACAGGATCACTGTCCATACAAGTGAGTGCTATAATGCTAGTTAATCTTTTCAGGTATTCAAGGTAGTTTGTAAGCCATACATTACAGTGATTGATCGATATCCCCGTAAGATGGCCCAACTTTTAAAGATTAAGACAGTTACAGTATTACATTATAATTTTCTCTGGTTTATACACTATATCAAATCAAAATCAGTCCCATCATACATACTACATTTTGCCGTGTTTCTTAAAGTGCCCCTGACACAAAATGCGATTTTTACACTGTGTAAAGGACTCGTGTGTCCGAGTATTTCGCTGAAAGAATTTTTCGATTTCATCAAAACGTCGCAATTTTAGAGCCGTTTGAAAGCCTCAAATTTGGGGTTTCCAGTGGTACATGTCCGTGTTATAAGGAAACTGGAACGAGGGTAATTTTTGACGTCATACAAGTGAGTCGGCTTTTGAGTGCTTTTGAGATATAACTATGTTCAGCTATATTCTGTGTAAGCATACTAACTTATGTCTATCGTTGAGAGTTTTATGCACATGACGCAGAAACCTGTCTCATTACGTGAACGCACATTTTAAAAGTTTTTTTGTAGCTATAAACATAATAACATACCCGATATTAAATATAGTTTCAGTGAGGATTTAATATATGCCCGTACGTAAATAACAAAGAACTCTGGTGTAAAGTTACGTATTTTAAATTCGCGTCTTGGTCGCATATAAGTGACTCCGTACATTTATCTATCTGTAAAAGTATAAACAGACATTTCGCTTCGTGAGGAGATCGATCGGTTTCGCATTTTACACGTATAAAGACAAAAGACAACACACTGCATGATCACGGTCAAAATCAGTGTATTACAAAATCGGCATGTCGCGACTATAGGTCGAAACTGTGATGACTATTCGCTATATATAACCCGTCTGGCATTTCATACATTACACGCAGTTTGTTATGAGATCTTTCTGTGCCTTTTGCTTTTGGTAGGCTTCTGTCTATTCATTGTCATCTAGAGGCTTTTCACCAAAAACGGGTTAAATTCTGAGTCGTCATCGCGACTCATCATAGCATGCGCGCTTCAAATCGCGCTTCAAATACCCTTATTCTTCAGCATCTTCTCTTCCGACGATGCAACGTATAACATTTAACCTTAATCCTGATACCTAGTATAAAAATTGAATCCTGCGGTCGACGAGATTTGAAATAATGTGTATTAAAAACAGCATAGAACCCTAGGAAATACACTGTGAGTTTGCAGCGACTCACTTGCGTGACGTCACGAAAATCGCTAGTCCCAGTCTTCTGTTACGACGGCCATGGGTTCAAAAATATATCGATTCAAGAGGCTCTAAAATTTGTTCCTTTTTTTAAAATCGAAAAATTCTTTCACCATAACACTCGGAAAAAATGCGTACTTTCCATGGTGCAAAAATCGCATTTTGTGTCAGGGGCACTTTAAAAAACTATATCAGATACAATAAGGCAGGAGGATAACATTATTCCTTGCTCTAGAAGTCTTCTCGACCCCAATGGGAAACAATGTACAGCAAAGTTAATAGGCCTAGCATAAAAGCACACTTTAACTTCTTTCTTTTTCAGGTATCTATTCAATTTTCGCGGTGTTGCAGCAAGTTTTCGTTACAAACATCTTTTTCTCTGCGGATCTCTTGTGTTTCAAGTTGGAGATGAGTGGTTAGAGTTCTTCTATACGGCTTTAAAACCATGGGTTCATTATATTCCAGTTAGAACAGATCTCTCGGACGTAAGGTGCGTGTGTGGATACTAGTGCCACAGTGAAATCTTTTCTGTTCACCCGAAAAGAGCTTTGCACTATTCAGTTGTCTCAATGGAAATTCACCATGTTCAAACATCACAGTCAATTTCTCCCAGATTTCTTTTCGACATTGTTTTAGTCTAGCTGGAGCACTAGGCTCTGTAACAATATAACAGGAATTATTCTATAGTGGCTGAGTTAGCTGGAGTCATCCATTGATAGAATCTGAATTATTTTTTAGGGATTTAATCGAATTTGCTCGAGCCAATGACGAAGTTGTTCACGAAATTGCTAAAAGGTGCTGTATATAATAATGTCTTCTGAAATAGTGTGTGTGATTCAGTGTGATTATCTCAGGCTGATGTGCCAGGCGTTTGAAGACAGCAAACAGAAGATGATGGATGTCGTTCTACCCTGTATGCATTGGTCATACGCATTTTGTGGGAGCCCCCCCCCCCACTTTTAAAGTTTTGTCGCACATCTTGCATAACATCTGTCGTTGTTCAGAGCAGCTTGAGCATCAAATGGCCATTAAGGGCCTTCACTGTGTTGTGGTATACTATGTTCTTTAACTGGAAACTTATTCTTTATCAGGGGTGAGAAATTTATTTGGGATCATTTACGAATGGAAGATGTGCAATCCTATTGGTTACGATTGCTAAAGAAGTACGCGGAACTTACTAAGTGGAAGCCACAGTTGAACAAGGATTTTAAGAAAATAAAAGAAAAATCGACATAGTAGTGTGTACTACTTTTAGTTCTGTATCATTCTTTCATTAACAATCATACAACGATATTTAATAAAATCCAATTTAGTAATGCACAAAAGGAACGAAAAAGTGTCGTGAGTGTCCCAGGAGAATTACAAACTTCACTGACTTTCTCACTTACATCTGCCGCGTACTGAAAGTCAATTATGACCAAGAAACAAAAAGTAATAGGAAGCAAGTCGTAAATTCATTTTGGATTTCGTATCATGCTTGCAAATACTGTACATAAATATTAATACGAAACATTGTGATACTAAACAGGTTTTGGTATGCAGCCTATGCTTTAGTTTTATTGTAACTATTTATCCGTATCACACTTGTGACTAAAATGATTAAAAGCCTAATATAATGTTGTAGAACAGTTTCAGGTATGAAGAAGGTTTGTTGTGATCATCTGACACCGTTCATTGTAACACATGAGAGATTTTTAAGTTCGTTTTTCCGCCCTAATGTAATGAGCAGACCTGATGAAGCGGAAGGTCATGATGATGATTGGTTATTTGCGCTTTTTCGTTTAGTATCACCTGAAGTAATTATTGATGGTAGCCAGTTATTACTGGAGAATTTGGTGGACATAGAAACAGAAACATGAGAAGAATGAGAAAATTCTTGGTTCGAAATTTCAACAACTCCATTTTTAAGCTGATGGTTGCCTTTTTCCGTACCGTCACCTTACTCGCCACCGAGACCACGACACCGTGCAGTGCTCTGTACGGGAAAAACGTGTGCTTAATTCTCAACGGATGAGATTTAGTGAAAATCAGTTATAAATCAGTTGGTGAAAATAACTACGGAGTTTTTACATGTTTGGTATAGAAAATTAGAAATGATATAATCGCATAGAACCGCACGTTTCTCCGCCTTTATTTGACCGTTAAGTAACCCGCAAAGGTTCACACCTGAATCTGCCTGTTATTTAAAGTCCAGAGAAGGTCAAATAAGATGATTGGTGTTTGGTTGCATAGCTACAGCCAATAAGATTACAGGAAAGTATTAAATACCATCCGTTGTTACAGTATGTTACTCCATATTATTTTTTGCTTCAGTTCAATGACTTCATCTATAACAGCGCTGCTGGAAAACGTTCATTTATTTGAGGTCCTCTGTGAATTTGTATAAGTTCATTCATTTATATTTCTCATAATGTCAAGATATCTACATCCAAGTTTTCAAGACAAAACTGTTATTTATTTGCGTTGCAAATGCTGCAACCGGTGTGTTTGTGCCCGTGGTATGAAAGCGATTTTGTTAGCCGACACCAAAGTGGAACTTTACTCGACAGATTTACCCCCAGAACAGTAAGTAAAACGCATTAGGTTAATTAATTTGTTTCAAATATACCTTCATGAACTATTCCTCAGATATTATTGCCGTTTTAGGTCTATTCAGTTGATAGGACAAGATTACAGAACGAAAAATTGTTTTTGTCGGATAAAAGACGTCGCCTGCTTTGGATGGTATGGAGTCATATTACTAACTAGCACCATATTTCTCACGTGCTATATTAATACAGCTAATATAAAATTGGAATGTAACGTAATTATTTTAAACTACTAAATATCATAAATCGATAACAACAACAACATTACCAAAAAATTCTGGCCTTCAACTGGTGTTTAAAAGTATAATTATTCGTTGATGATCCAAATGAAAGTACATCACAAACCAGTTTGCAAACAAATGAAACAATGTTTCAGATCAAAGTTTACTTTGCTGTTTGGTTTGTAAAGCAAAACATCTCAATTAATTCACAACTTTGGTGTATTTTTACACCATGACACATATTTCACATAAATATAATTGCACACATATTGTCATGAAACTTCTCATTTCATCTCTCATTTCAGTAAATTTTTTTTTCATATTGTATAGTGGTTGCATTGTGGGTTATCATGTTATATTACCATGTTCATCGTGCCTGGGTTCATGTAATAATGGTCATTTCTGGATGTTTCATTCAGATGTCACATATCCAGTGGAAAGACTTGATCCAACAGGTACTATACATTTGTATTCAAGAGAACAAACCACAAATTTTAGACAATTCCACATGTTTGCTTACTGTTAGGCTGGGGTGGTTTTTAAAAATAACCGAAACCGATAATCAAATAAAAAAACCCTTTGACTTAAAAAGACTTTGCATGCAGTACAACTTAATTTAACGGCCAACCTATCTATACTTAGCAATGCTCATACTGTCCCCAGTCGATCTTCACAGACATCCACCTTTTTGTGAACAAATCAAAATGTGTGTTTAGTTGATTTGATACCAGCGCCTATTCGCCGCAGTTTAGCGACGTAAAATTAAGCCTTATCAATTTATCGGTTTTTGTAATTTCTGTTTTTTTCTCAGTTTTTAATGAAAAACCGATAAACTGATATTTAAAAAAAAAATTTATTAACGGTTAACCGATAAACCGTCCCAGCCTACTTGCTATCAGGTTGCTTTTCAGTCATTGTCAGCTTATCAAAGTCTAGTAATTGTTTTTTTTTTGGATGAAAGAGAGATGCAGTTGATAGTAAGGCAAGGACACTATCAACCTTATTGTTGACACATTATATAGTTAAAGATATGCTCAAGCACTCTGAAAAATCATTGCCAGATTTTGCTATATTAATACTGAAATGATGCATTATCAGTTTCCTATTAAAACAGCAATGTCACCTAAAATGACCTGTTTTCTTTTATAAATTAGGTAGATTATGTATGATGTACAAAAGCATAGTAATCTTTCATCCAATATGCATTAAAATCATAGATGAGTTAAAAGGTACATTTATTCTATACTGTGTTTCTTAATCTTAAAGGAACAAAAGTTATGCTTTGGGGCACTTTACCAAGTTGTACAGAAGATACAGAAATTAGAGACACTGAGCTTGAAATTGAGTGCTTTCGGTAAACAAGGATCACTATATTAAGCTGTTGGAAATATGTGTTTCAATTCAATATTGTATATTTATTAATTTTGTACAGCAAAAAATAGGTCACCTAGTGACAGGTCTTTGTGTTTCTGTATTTTGTAATTTATAGAAAACAGGCCACATCAATATTTTACAAATATATTAAATGGTATTATGTATATTATCAATATGTAGAATTTATTAGGTGTGATATTAATAAAATTATGTGGCTTGGTATGAAAGCATTAAATCTATTTGTTTCAACACTTCCATGCCAGTTGAAGAAAAGCATTTGTGAACCAAGTGACAAGAAAAACACACAAGTAACAATTTTATATTTTTATATGCATGTGACAGGGTGTCAACTTTCATGCATTCGAATTTTGAAATCCTTCATACACAATTTACACTGTATTTGAGAATAATCATTTTAAAACATACATGTAAAATATTTTCTTCTAAAGATGTTTTTTACACTTGTCCATAACACAATTACCAAATATTCAGTAGATCTTTAAAATGAACACACAACCCTACCCACACCCACCATGTCCTTTAAAATGCTAAAAAATTCTTGGAACCCAAATTCTACAAAAACTTTTTTGTACTGATATCAAAGGCATGAAAAACTTGTGATGCATTAAAGTCTTATTGGTCTGATACACTGACCATTAATATTATATTGCAGAGCCAATTAAACTTTGACCATTAATATTATATTGCAGAGCCAATTAAACTTTGTGTAATATCTCACCTAGTGTGTAAAGTATTTACTGCATGCCTGATAACTTTGGTGTTCAATTTGAACTCTTGCTAATTTGGCATCTTGCTTTAAAGGCATTAGGCATTGCAGCATATTTTGTAAGCTAATATAAGAAGATCAGCAGGTGAAGATATATTTCAACCTACTAGTAATTAATGAATAATTATTTGACAGTGGTGGGAAGACATCAAATGGCATTAAATTTTGGTCTACTCAGCAAAATGTAAAAGTTACACTATTACTATAATATAATACATTTCTATCAAATTAGCCAATCAAAATGTCCATTTCTATTGAAGTTGCAATTGATTCCAATTACCAGTCGAACGTATCTCTATGAGTATCTTATAAAACAGCACACGGGTAAAGAATTAGATTCGTATTGGCGGTATTGCATCACAGCTTTTTATATAGAATTCCAGACAAGGATACCCAGTGAACATTTTTCGTCTGGTGATAAACGGAAAGAAACCACTTCAAAATTAGTGTAAACATAAAGAAATGCTAACCCGTCCGAGAATCCGATCTATATTTCACTAGTCATTACTTGCTTCCACCTTCACTGTCACGCTACACTCCGGTTCTGTGTCGATTTCAAGCGTTTTTTCAACAGTGACGTTTTCGGGTATCGTAATCCCTCCGTTAGCGAAAAGCGATCTAAGTACGTTCAGTTCCTTCGTTAAAAGCGTGACCTTGGTCTTCAACTCATTGTTCTCTTTCGACAGCATATCTACGCGATGCTGTGTCTCTTCAATTTTCCTCTTAGATTTGACGCGGCTCTTTCGAACGGCTTCATTATTTCTCGCTCGCTTACGAAGGTATTCGTCACTGCCCTTCGGAAGTGATGTTTTGCTTGAGCCTTTGGCCTTCTTTCTTGAAGTATCTATCATGTCTGTGTCGTTGTGTTCGCAACCTGACAAGCTTTGCGCGTCGATTTCCCCGTTCTCCATCGTTGCGACACACTGCCTTTGTATTGCGTAATGGCGTTGTTGTTTTTCAAACACGAATGTCGAAATCGAAATACTGTTTCGAAATCACACGAACACACGAATACTATATATGGAAATATTAAAAACCATCCTCCAAAAGGCGTCACCAAGGAAGCGCAGCAACAAGCGGATGAGCAGGTGTGAGCTGTGGATCCCAATTAAATTAAAACCTGTGGTGAAAATACACAAAGCAGGTTCTACTAATATGAATTTTGAGACTTTTGAAATCTAAAGTCTGATAACTTTCGAGTAGTTCTACGATAATTGATTTGTAAAAACTGACGTGTGGGCAGGCAGTTTTCTCAAACGTCTATCAAACTGAAACATCAGTGGGTGTTCTGCTGTCAGTTCCCACATCCACTATGTCCTGCTTATCTTGATTGCCAGATGGTGTTGATACAAGAACTTCCAGCGAATAGCTACCCAGTAACGGAGTAACCAGGGTAGGCCAGTGGGTGCGCCTTGTGCCATCACAGTGGTGCCATACGATGCTACAGCCTACAGGGTGTATCAAAAAGAAGACTTTTAGAAATTAAACTATTGTTATAATTTAAATCCCCGTCACAACGCTAAGCCCTTGGATGCGTAAAATATTGTCAGCTTTGTGCATGTATTACTATCTTTGTCACAGGCACAAAAGCCTTTCTGCTCCTGGGAATTTGACATAACTTCTTAAAGCAAAATTCTGCACACTAATGCATTGCAGAGAAACGTTTTTATCGTCCAGACGTATATCCAGACGTAAAAAATTAAGAATACGTACGCGCAAAACACGATTTGGGAAAGGCTCTTGATCGAAATCCACCTCTGAAAAGCACAACCTTGAACAACGCCGGTGCGAAATTAATGAGCAGCTTTAATTCGTGCCTGCATTAGATTTTTTGGGCTTAGAAAATTGATCAGGCATTTAATTATAACAATTGTTTGATTTCTAAAGGTCTTCTTTTTTTATATACCCCCTTGTAGTAGTAGTATGTAAATTTAATTCAGCAAACCGTACACCTCCAGTGCAATCGACGGTTTAGGAACTCATCGCGCGGGTAGCGTGGAAGTCAACGCATTCAAAACAACCCAAAAGTTCCCGAAAGTATTGTTTACTCAAGATGAGTTCAAATATGAATCGTAAAGGTGAGATCTTTCTTGATAGTTCTAATTGCTTTGAAAATAAGGGTTATAAAATTTTTATAAGCTTCTAAGTTTTGAAATCCTTTGCTTAGTTTTGGCAATTCAGGCAAAGAAGAGACGAGGTAAGGGAGTGAAGAGTAAACAACTCAAACGGGACGCGGGAAAACCGGACAAAAAACCTCGGTAGGCATTAAAATTTTTCATGCAACATGGTATGAACTTACGACATATGTTAAGCTTTGTTTTTAACATGTCTGCAGCCAAATACAGAACCCTCCGCCAAAATACGAAAGCGATAATGATGATGATGATAATAGCGATTCAGAGGAGCAAGAAGATGTCAGTGATTATAAGAAAGGTATCGGAATTTGTCTGTTCAAAAATTTGAAACTCTTAATATTTTGGGTGATAGATTCTTTGAGTCTAATCCAAATTGTGAGAATATTTTTCAAGCTCGGTTGGTAGGCATTTCTCTTGTGGGAAACGCAATATAATATCGCTTTATGTCCTGCATAATTCAGCTGGTATACTCGAAAATGAAGTCTTATTGAATTTGTGTAACGGTATCGAATAGCACGTGAAAGGCTTGACAATAGAGTGAAACATTGTAAAGTTTAATACAATAGTCTATTGAATTCCAAAACAGGGTAATTGTAACTTTGTTTTACAGATCGGATTGTAAGTGTTGTAGCTTGAATGTTTATGTTACTTCGTGGGTTTTGTAGAAATGTGTTGTATAATAGTACAATTATTAAATGTCATTGTTGTTATAAATTATGTATTACATAAGGCAAACCTTGACGAGAACATTGTTATGATATACTTCATAAAGAATTATGTTCACTCCCTGTAATGATAACTTTGTTTAAAATGAAACACTGAGGAGACAGGTTTTTGGCCATCAAGTATATATAGGTATCAAAAAAAGAACTGCAGTCATAATTTCCCAAAAACTAAAATTAGGGACCCTTTAGAAATGAATCCTACTTCATTCCAAATTGAACATCATTAACTATATTGATTTTATATCTGCTCTCAAAGAGGAAATATTAACTCCGTGAAATGATATCTATTTATTATTGATACTATATTGGCATGGAGATGTTGAATCATTCTTTTGATATCATGAGTGCAAAGTAATCAAATCTCAATATAATTATCAGTTTGTAGGTACACCACATACATTTATTAATGCGAAGCTTTCAGTCTGTTAACTTGGGTTTTTATCAATTACACTGGCCCGGCCCACTGAAAGCTTTGCATTAAATAATAAACACAGTGTACCTACAGACTGATAAATTTATTGTTGTTCACTATGAATACTGTGATCAAATCTCATCCCAGGTTTTTCTCTTGAGTTGATCATATGATCATTTAGAAACAGTATTGTAAAAGTAGTTTTGAAGTGGAGTAGTAATCTCATTGGATTATTGGTGTTCATATTGACTGTGAAAACAATTATTTTTGTTAGACATCAATAATTGTAATAAGTTGAAATTTACATGGTTGGCAAAATCACCAGGCTGGCTACACCACTGTTCCTATGCCTGTTAGATATCCTAGGGACTTTGTTACACATTGTTTCTTCGTAGCAACATGTTGAAAAAGGGGCTGCCATGTTTGTAATTTCAGAGCATGCAGAATTTGGGTTTTTGGCATAATCAAATTGCTGTGGGTGTTTATTGTTAAAAGATAAGCAGTCAATTTATTTAGGTTTATTGCATGGGTAACCTTAGAGTTAGATAAACATTTGAAGCAGCAGGATTATTTACCATTATTGAAAATCTTTTAAATAATATATTCATGTTTAGGTGGTTACCACCCAGTAAAACTTGGAGACCTCTTTAACAGCAGATATAGTGTGATACGAAAACTTGGATGGGGCCATTTTTCAACTGTATGGCTTGCTTGGGATTTAAAGTATGTAATTTTTACTTTGCTCTTGAGCCATTAGTCTGGTAACCTCATAGAAGAATTTAATGTATTATTAATTGTATTTGATTATGATGATAATTACTAATGATATTAAATATTTGCTAATATTATGGTGTAACATTAGAGAAAGACGTTATGTTGCTCTGAAGATTGTGAAGAGTGCATCACATTACACAGAAACTGCTTTGGATGAAAAGAAACTCTTAGAGAAGGTGAATAAATTGACAGACAAGTGAGCCTGGGCCAGAGGCAATTTGTTACACATTTGTTACACATTGTGGAAAATTTCACCTCACCACCATGGTATTGGCCACTGCACATCATGTAGATAATATTAATACATGAAGAATATGAATGGAAAGGTTTAATAGTAACACGTCATACCAAATAACAAGTTGATTATGTTTTTAGGTTCACACCACTGATCCCAATCATGCTGGACATAAACATGTTGTTCAAATGTTGGATGATTTTAAGATCATTGGAGTTCATGGCACACGTATCCTTACCATAACATTTGTTCAAGATACATCATGGACTAATATTTAGTTGTATTTTAGTAAACCATGTAGCATCAAATTATGTGGTATAACAACTGCCTAAAATTGACAAAACATACAGGGCCGTAGCTAGAAGCTTAATTGGGGGGGTGCATATTCACATATTCGTCTTATGCCCGAATGATTTCTTTTGTATGCTATTGTTCCTATGCTATATAAACATGAATATATAAGCGGTCTAGCTACGGCCCTGAAAACATAGGCAGTTGTTATACCACATTTGATGCTAAGTTGTTCAAAGATGCTGCCACGCTGCTCTCCGGTTATATTGGAACTTATAGTAAACCATGTATAAAATTAATCAGATTGAAATGCTATTTCCTTAACTGTTTGCAGATATATGCATGGTTTTTGAGGTCTTAGGCCATAATTTATTAAAACCTATTATTCATTCAAATTATAGAGGTCTTCCTGTCCAACAAGTGAAGTCGATAATTAAACAGGTGTGCCTATAGTGTATAGATCATATCATATAGTTTTGGTTTTGTTGTTTGCAAAACTTTGAATATAAACAAGTGTGTAATCTTCAGAGGTGCTCAGAGGAAACCTCATCTCCTAAAAACACAGATACAGCAAGTTATTGATTTTAGACTATCAACTCTTTCCATAATTTCGTTTGCAGACTCTTTTAGGCTTGGATTATCTTCACACAAAATGTGGAATTATACATACAGATTTAAAACCAGAGAATATATTATATTGTATAACAAATAAAGAAATACAAAAGATTGCTCATGAAGCGAAAATAGCATCTATGAACGGAAATCTATCTTCGGATATTAGTAAGTTTTTTCATTGATGTTTTTGCCTCGCATAATTTTAAGGTTTTTTAAATGTATTTTTTATATTTTCAGTTGCAACGGCGCCAGAGCACATAATGCAAGTAAGTAAAACAGTTAATTTGTATGAAGAACTGAAATGGAAATTTGGCAAAAGTGGTTTTTGTTGTAGAGTTTGGGACATTGGGTTTATATAGAGATGAAAGTGAAATAACTTATTTCCGGAATGATTTTTTCCCTTCCCCCTGTGGGAAACAAACGTACCTCCATCTCATTTGAATTTCATTAGCAACAGCAAAGAAGTGGTGAAAAATTGTCGAAAAACCAAAAGAAAAAACTTAAGAAACGATTAAAAAAACAACAAGAAAAATATTTGCAAGAACAGGATGAACAGGAACAAAAAGACGAAGTCCCGACGCCTTCAGAAAAATGCCAAAGTTTGAACGATGAAGCTGAAGTGAAAAGCGAAGAGATTGAAGAGATTGTTGAAAACTTGAAGGACGCTGAATCTTGCGATAAAAACGTGGATTGCTGCGAGGAAAATGCGGGTTGTCAGGATAAAGTTGTAAATAATAATGGTAGTTCAGGTATAATTTTACATTATGTCCTAAGGCTGAGAGATTATAGAAGGCAATTGTTACTAATGTTTTAATATCATTGTGTTTTAATGTTTACCAGATATGATGGTTGAAAACCAAAGTGATAAATGTGTAAATAAAGAATTAAATGAAACAACTAAAACAGATGCCGAAATCTCGACTCAAGTAAATTGTGGCGGGAATGACCGAACTGTGGCCGAAGCCAAGGCGGCAAGTGTCAACGACGAACAAATGCAGTGGACCAATGGTGAACCAGGGAAGGATTGCGTCAGCAAAGATAGCCTGGCTGATGATAGTCTTGCCGGCATTCAGAAAATGGACATATCACCCGGGAAAGATGCGAATCACGAGTGTGGTAATCTTGTAAGGTGTGTTGGTCTGTAGTCTGATTCTAACAAAAAGCGGCAGTAAATAATATCTACTATAATATTTACCACAGTGGTAATGGCAATTTTCTCCGCCCAGGTAATGTTCTCCACCCAGGGAAAGACCGCTATACGTTTGAGAGGGATAATGGGGAAATGGAATGTATGACACGGGGCAATAGACCCTTTGCATGTTAGACTACTTTTTGATCTGTGCTGAAATAATCCAATCAAATCACCACAGCTGAAAAGAGCGTACCAAAATTAGTAAAAATGCAAAGTTTGGTTGCGAAATGTCGTAAAATACGGAAAATATCGCTTTGCAAAGTTTGCAAATTTGTATACTTTAGTTTAACGCACGCAAAAAATTACCATTTTGGGCCCGAATGTGGTAACATTTTGCGTGCGTTAAACTAAAGTATACAAATTTGCAAACTTTGCAAAGCGATATTTTCCGTATTTTACAACATTTCGCAACCAAACTTTGCAATTTTACTAATTTTGGTACGCTCTTTTCAGCTGTGGTGATTTAATTGGATTATTTCAGCACAGATCAAAAAGTAGTCTAACATGCAAAGGGTCTATTAAGGATACAGTTATGCTACTTAGAAAGTCATTGCATTCCTACAAATATTGCGTCGTTGCAGAGCAGTAAGTACAGTGATTTTTTTCATATTTTTAGGAGTGGCGAATGTACAGAGAACGAAGTCAGCGTTAACGAGACGGTGGAAATCGTCGAGAAATTGGATGTGAGCGAGTGGAGTGGGAACGAGATTGAATCAATGGAAACACACGCATTAAGTACGTCGTGTAAAATTCTCATCAATAAACCTTCAAAATTACTCCGTCATGTGTGTTTTCCGAAGGTGTTCAAACTAAGAAACTTTTTTTTATTAGACAATCAAAATGAAGAGGACGTCGGTGTGAAAATTGCTGATCTTGGCAACGCATGTTGGGTGGTAAGAAACTGAAAATAATCACATTAATTTGGTTGACGCCGTTTGTTGTCAACTTGAAAGTTACTAAAGCTCAAAATTAGTGTCGATCCACACATTATTTTTATCATTTGTCTTTGAGGATCATCATTTTACAGATGAAATTCAGACACGTCAGTATCGAAGTATTGAAGTGTTAGTTGGTTCAACGTATGGACCTCCAGCTGATATCTGGAGTACAGCATGCATGGTGAGATATTTTGTCATTCCTTACTGCAGGTAGACGGTAAATGTGAATAGTTGTTTCTAGGCAGACATTGTCACGTTTCTAGGGCGTAGCTTTATTTTTTGACATGCAGCAAGGATTGCAATCTGGTTTATATATATGCGATATATGTTCAAATTTTTAGACATTCGAGTTACTGACGGGTGACTATTTATTCGAACCACATTCTGGCGATAATTATTCCAGAGACGAAGGTAAAGTTAGATTTATTAAATAATCCATAACTTTATTTATATGTAAGAAATGCGTGTAGGAACTCTATCGGAACACGTATATAAAGTTCTTTTCAATCCCACTGATGTTAAGATTAGTTGTATTACAAGAGGTAACCTAACACTACTATTATGAAACATTAACTACTACTACTACTGTGCTTCTGCCCATTCCGTTTGCTTTCATCAACAGATCACATTGCCCATATCATAGAGCTGCTGGGAAAAATACCAAAACACATTGCGTTGGGAGGAAAATATTCATCAGAGATGTTCAATCGAAAAGGTAAATCTGCATTTAGGTGTTTTCATCATTTGAACGTTATGATAACCTTAGGGTATATTAGGGAGAAAGAGCAATAACCATGGGTTGTGAACAGTTTCTAATGATATTTACTTAAAACAAATTTAGTTTCGTTTAAAAGTTCACCCAACCCAAGTACCTAAGTTTCCTTGACCCATTATTGCTCAGCAGGTTTGAGTAGACAACGAAAAACTTTGACTGTATGTGTAAAATATTCTCACGTATTCTGTATTTATTCATTTAGGATTGCTAAGAAATATAACAGAGTTGAGACCATGGTGAGTTTAGCTGATCTTTGAGTCAAAGATCAGCTAGTCCTTTGAGTCCAGAATCATCTAGTTTGAATTATCCCTGGTTAGATGTACTCAAATTCTTCCTTTTAGGCCTCTTGAAAACGTTCTTACTGAAAAATACGAGTGGAACGAAGCAGATGCAGAAGAACTGGCTTCGTTTTTACTGCCAATGTTGGACTACGTTCAAGAAAATAGGGCAACAGCTGCTCAATGCTTGGAACATCCTTGGCTTAGTAATATTTGAATGATGTCTTTGTGTAGCTTTCTTCATTTCGACATCACATATGGCGCAAGCAGAAAACACTAGTTTAGCCATTTCAAATGGAGTGCTGTCGTTACCCTTTCTTCCATATACTTGTCTTTGATGAGATTGAGGGACAGAGGAACTAGCAAGAGCACACGCCGGGGAATGATAAAACAAAGAGAACGAAGAGATAATAATTTGAGATGCAGGGGTTTGTTTACAAAACTACGACTTGTGGGGCCGATTTTTGATTTTGGTAAACGTCGATGACCCAATTTTAGTGCATGATGATGTCTCATGCTGACATTTGTGAATACAATCTTAAACGTATCATTAACGTACGTCTGATTCGGCTCCACAAATCCCTTTGTGTAAACGTACCTTTCCACGGGGATGCCGGAAGTTAGTCATAGCAAGAAGTGCAATTTCACTGATTTCGTCGAACAAAAAATGTCAACTATGTATGGCACCTCCATCGTGGCTCCTTCATGCCTCTACACATTTTTATACCCAAAAAGAAGCAGCTGCGAAATTTTTTTTCCTTGCTTGATATACTGAAAGTTGTTAGTACCAGTACTAAAAAATTTTGTAATTGCTCTGGTTTAGGTCTAAAAATGTTTGTAGTTTTTCGTTAAAGCATAACTGAGGGCCTGAGGTATCTATTGTTTCTTAACATATACTATCAGTAACAGAGGTTAGGTATGTATACGCTTTGAAACATGTGACAGTATTTGCTAAAATATTAGCTTATTTCATCAGGCTATGTGCACACGGTAACGTTTTTGAGAGTTTACATTTTTGTTTCCTGGCAAAAACGGTCGCAGACACAATATATTTAATATATTGAGCATTTTACCCCTTGGTTCCATGTGAACAAGAAAACGATAAACAAGAACCAAAACGATTTTAAAAACGCTCGACTGACTGACGATGCTCGTGTGAACATAGTTCCAGTGCATCCAACTGTGGTCCATCTGACGTCATCATACAGTGTGTAAACTAGGGAGAGAGATAGAATATATTATATAAGCGCACTGGTGTAAAGAGTTGTGTAATGACGAGCCAAATAAGACCTCACACTGTTTTAAGATCATATCACTGCAGCGCTTATATAAACCCTCTTCTGGTCATACAATACAGTTAATTCAATATAACGGTAATGAATGGTTTGATTTATTCAAAGCAATGGAGAAAACCCTAAATGCTCCGCGCGCAATGGATTATTTGAGCCGTACGTGTACGAAAGCTTCGAAATTGCGGTTTTTCCTCCCAGGACAAATCATCCAGGTACAAGGCTGCTTTTGGAGCCTGGACGAGCATCCTTGCGCACGCAGAGTGCAGGGTTACAGGCTTATGGCGCAGTATGAGGAATATTGTTTTGAAAGACTGGATAATATTATTACTCAGTAAAGCTGTATTCTACAGTATAGTTTATAGCATCATTAAAAATGTGTTTAACGGATTTTTGTTGCAAGATTTACGATTTATTTTGTGGGGTTTTTTTAGAAAAACAGTAAAAACTATTAAAAGATGACAAGTACTTGGCATTTTGGACGTATAAAGGTTTAATTTGGTGCAGGGGTTTAAAACATTGGATTCTAGGTTGAGGATTTAGTGGATTTCGGATTACAAATCTCAAATAAGTTATAGGATTAAAATTAGTGTAAGATTAAGATGCCGCCATGCTTTGTTGATTTCTGTATTCGTGTGCATAAATTTACGAATTTTTTTTCACATGGTGTCTCCAGAGTCTCAAAATACTGTAAAAAATATTCTTCACGATGGCAGAGTCTTTATTTCGTAGAACAGCAAAAATTGCCACCGTTGTAACGGTGTACTGGTAGGCGAATAAGCGTTGTTTTCAGTGCCTATGTGGCTGTTTTACCTGTTTATATTTAATAACTTGTATATTTAAAGCTCAGATTTGGATTTTTCTCATAGGATAATCTCCATTTCAATGGTGTTTTTGAACAAATATCTTTTAAGTAGTCCCGATTTGAAGGTATGCCATGTTTATTTTGTATGAGAAATGTTATATAAGTACATTTTAAATGTAGATTTAAAAAAATATTCCAAACAATACGACGTTCTAGCACGTTGCTGGGACTGCCCCAGCTGCTGTCTACTGCAAATTAACTCATTTTAGTCAAAAACATGTTACACAATACACATGACAAACGTATACTAAAAATCAGTTTGTACGTAAAAAACTCTAGCATTGCAAATTCTAATATTATCATTGAATGAGTCAGAATAAGTGAGGACTGAGGGTGGGCAGCTAGGGTGCTATGCTAGGGTCTAGGGTCTATGAAGAATTACAGCTAGGGTCTATGAAGAATTACAGGTGCACTGTAAACAGCATTTGAACAATTGAATTGGGCATGCATCAACATGCATTGTAATTTCACTTCCATGGAGGATCTGTAGTGTACACTGGAACAAGAACAAAATGTACTCTCAAAACTGACAAAATTATTCCAGGTGTGCCTAAGAAAACATTGCTGCTCATTTCATTCTTTTGTCAGCAGGAAAATGTCACCCCTGTCTACACAAATGTAGATGGTACATCCCCAACTAAATCATATATATATATATTTTCTAGCTTGATGCACCATTGTTTGTCACCTGGTATCAATGTGTTGTGACGGTTGTATGCATATACTTTCTCAGTTTCATTGGAGATAAATTTCCACAGATTGAGAAATTCCCAGCATTTTCAATCGACTTAAAAGTTTCAAGACAGGTATACAGTTACACAAATGGCAATTTAAATGCAATAATTTAGTCATTGCAAAGTCATTACCCCTGCCCTTTGTGCATTCTTTGTGAACTCTGAATGTAATCAAAATATATGTACCAGTACCTGACCTAACTTTGTTTGCATCCTGTGCAAATTGTTTGGAGGAATTGGAGCTTTGTTTGACACAATATTCTAGGATGCTGTTGTTGTTTGTAAGTAAGAGACCCTAACTTAGGCAAACGTTTTTATAAAATATTTTCAATCAGAAACTTGGTTATGTTATATGCTAGTGTTTCTTCCATTTTAAAATGTTTTATTATTGAATAGATCCTGTCTCTTTCTGTTGTATTTGTTGGCATGATCACGTTCAACAATCTTTGCCTTAAGTATCTTGGTGTCTCATTTTACAATGTTGGCCGTTCGTTAACAACTGTATTCAATGTGGTAAGATAAACTGTGAAAGATGTTTCTGGCGTGTTACATTCCTTTCTGTTTATAAAAAGCTAGCCCTCTTTTCTGATAAGTCATGCCTATTTAATTTGCTTATCATTAATCTGATATCCTATTTTATTTACATTAGCCTAGTTGTATTTCTCACAATATGAGAAGGAAGCTCACATTTATAGGATTTGAAGGCTTTTTCATTCACTATTTTAGTTGTTCACATTTGTTGTACTTGGTGTAAGAACATCTGGAAAGGCTATTGCCTGTTGTGCAGTAATAATCAGTGGTTTCCTGCTTGGCATTGATCAAGAGGGAAGTTCAGGAGAACTGTCATATTCTGGTGTTGCGTTTGGTGTCTTAGCCAGTCTCTGTGTTTCATTAAATGCCATTTATACCAAGCGTAATCTTGGTGTGGTGGACAACAACATTTGGCGACTACAACTGTACAACAATTTCAATGCAATCATCCTGTTTCTACCATTGATGGCCATGATGGGTGAGTTCCAGGTTATATATAACTTTCCTATGCTCAAGAGTGCCTACTTTTGGGGTGTGATGACCCTTTCTGGATTTTTTGGTATTGCAATTGGATATGTTACTGGTCTTCAGATCAAGGTGACTAGCCCGCTGACACATAATATTAGTGGGACAGCAAAAGCATGTGCGCAGACAATATTGGCAGTATCTGTGTATCATGAAGTGAAGACTCCTCTTTGGTGGCTGAGTAATGCATTTGTCATTGGTGGCTCAGGCATGTATTCTAAAGTCAGACATGATGAAATGCGTCAGAATATGAATAAGTTACCTGTTAGTAACGCAAAAGATAGTGATCCTGGCACAGAGACTGCTGATGGCTCAAAACATTAGTGGAATATCAATAGACGTCCATCTACTCAGGCTAATTATCTTATAGACGTTTCTAGCTTTCTAACTTTTTTCTATGTTACCTTGGTAATAACCTAATGAACGTGTTATTAGTGCTATACTTGTGAATGCATGTTTTAAATAAATAGCATTTATATAAATAACCCCAACTCACCAATTATTAATTTGGTCAGCAGTTTAATTAAATAATTGATACCCTCCAGCATAGGAACAAAAAATGTACTTAGAAAGAATTTTGGAGGCCATGATGATTGTTCAACAATCTTTTTAACTAGTAGCAGTAGTCCTAGAGCATTGTTCCTTGGCTATATGCATATATATGCTACCTGGATGTTTTTTTCACAAATCAAAATGAATAAAAGTGTTTGATAAAATGCTATACATAATGTGTTTTGATAAATCAATGATCTTTTTGCATTTTCTTTCCTTCTTTCTACTCAGTCCTTTAGAGTCTTTACTTTCCTTACAAAGCATGATTGGTAGTGCCACGATTATTGTCCTGTCTTTAAATAAGCCCAAAAGGCAAAACCTTTGATAATTTCTGTGCATTTTGAAATGAAAAAGTGCTTGGTATGAACAACATTTTTGAGATTTTCAATCAGGAAATTTTTTTTGAAAAAGAAATCTGACAAGTGATGATTGCAATTTCTATGGTGAAAAGTACGTTCAATATTTTAAAGGCGCTGTTACACTATGCAATTTTCCGTGCAACTTGCAATGCAAGTTGAGACATCTGAAGTTGGCAAATACAACTTTTTATTACGCTCTGCTAACTTAACATTTCGAACACTCTTTACTAATTGCCATCCCTCAAAATTACAATTGCAGTCACTAACACGCACGTGTTTACTGCGTAGAACACAGGTTAATTAGTAAACGTCATCCAATTAATAAAACTCGTAATGCACAATTAGAACACGAAAACATCAAAAAATGTATCAAAGCATGCAAAATCCTCAGATAACAGGTCTATTACGCTTCGTTGGTATTCCACGCTAATCAACGGCATAACTTGAACCAACGGATAATGGAGGAATCTGAAGTGAGAGACGAGGAAGGAACAGAGGAGAATGAGGCGGAGACTTGGCAAGAGACGTGTAGGAAAATCTTGGCAAAAGAACGAATAGGATTGGATGATATGACGGAGTTGACACATGTTGATGATCACACTATTGCTGAGAACTTGAGAATACGTTTGGTTGAAGAACAAATTTATGTAAGTTTGTAAAAATAAAGAAGGAATTTCCAATATCACGTCAGGTAGATTACATTTTTGCACGAAACAATGGTCAATAGATGTCGATCAAGTTTAGCCACACGTAACTCTTCTCAGTGAACAATTTTGATCGGGGGACCACAGTCTGAGATGACTCTCACTCCATAATCCCAACATTGCGTCTAATGTTTATTTTCATTTATCTAGACATGTATTGGTCGAGTATTAATAGCTGTTAATCCTTTTAAGAAATTGAACATTTACGATAAAAGGTAAAAATCAGTAGAATTACAGTTGTCATTTTGTTCTGTTGATAGTTGGTTGATAGTAGTCTGAAGGAGTGGATTTGTTCTTTCCAAGGCTTGATTCTAGCTTGAAAGTAGAGTTTTAAAGTTTTCTATATTTTTCAAAGCTACGTTGCCGCGTATCATTATTTCTTGGAAATGAAACAGACGAAGAAAAGGACACAAACTTTAAACCACGAGGATGCGTTGAAGTGTTCCACTGCGAGACTTCCAAGCCTGATACAATGCGATAACACAAACAATGAACAGGTTCGTAAAGTGTTATTTAAAGTTTTGCATGGTGTCAACGCCATGGTGTATATGACACACATTTTTTGACCTGGGGACGGTTGTATCAAGCCCGTTTAGCTGAAACGGTGGTTAAGTTTAAAATCGAAAGCAAGAGAGATGTATAAGCGTGTTATTTAAATTTGACTTATCCACCGTTAATTTCCAACAATCATGATGTTGATAATCATGGCCAGAAATCAGAGAAATGTTCTTATAAATGTCTTTTTTCCAATTCTAGAACCCAGGTGTTGAGTTGCCACCTCATATTTATGCTCTTACAGACAACATGTACAGGAACATGATGATTGAGAGTGAAAATCAGTGTGTGATTATCAGGTGCTCGTATTTTTTTTGTGTTTTTTTTGGGCTAAGCTTAGTTCATTATTTTCATTCAAGCTTATACTACGTCTTTTATTTCACGAGTTTAGCGGGGAAAGTGGCGCTGGAAAAACAATATCAGCGAAATATATTATGTCATACTTGTCAGAAGTTGCCAGTGGGGGAACACAGAAAATTGAGGTGATCGAAAACTACACTCAAATATCGATTAAATTTGTGCGTGTCGTAGATGGTGGGACCAATAACTGCTACGATTTTTTTTTATCTTACAAGAATGTTCTTTAGAACTTCTTGCTGTATTACCCATGACAATATTTCTTTTTCTTCAATAGGAAATAAAAAATATTATCATTCAATCTAATCCTCTTCTTGAAGCATTCGGAAACGCTAAAACATTGCGCAATAACAACTCTAGTCGTTTTGTAAGTTTCACTAAATCAAGTGTTAAACAATGTTTAATGAATTGTAGTTTTTAACTTGAAAAGCTATTTTTTATTCAGGGCAAGTTTGTCGAAATTTTATTCAACATGTCTGGACAACCTGATGGCGGCAGGATCTCAAACTTTCTTTTGGAAAAAGTGAGTTAAACTGAAAAAATCACCGAAAAAATACACATAATATTAATACTGCAATTTTAACGTTGCCTTGCATACATTACATTTATCTTCTATATTCTTCTATTTAGTCACGTGTTGTGTCCCAGAACCCCGGAGAGCGTAACTATCACGTGTTCTATCAGCTGCTCAGAGGATGTTCTGAAGATCAGGCAGGTAGGATGGAAACTTTGATTGTAAACGGTTTTTCTGTCGACAGGGAACTGAGTATACATGTTAATAAGTCATCTTTATAATAATCCTGTTTTTGACTTGGACCATTAGAGAAAAAAATAGGAATGATAAAACTATTGGTTATAGAGTTAGTGAAGTCCTAGTTTCATCTCATTGCTACATTGGACAAATAAATGTTTCCTTGACTGAATCTCAATAATAACGGTTTAAAAATTATAGAGCTGTACAGTTCAGGTGATAGTTATAGCAATGGCGTCAATCAAAAGTTAATTGAAGGAGACCATATATTCTCCCACATGCCTGGCTAATTTCTTTTGAAAACAATTTCACTTTCAATAGAGATCAGCCTGGCCTAGCAGAATATATGAATGTGGTCCGCCTCAATTAACGTTCGATTGACGCCCATGATAGTTAGTTACAACAAAAGCCAAGGCAGCGTTCTGATGTCCCTTTTCATTTTCAGAATCACTGGGTTTGCAACATTCGGATCCCGCAGAATATTATTATTTAAACCGCACTGGTGGAGTATACGATGTACCAGATGCTGATGATATGGAGGAATTTCACGCTACTATGGTACGTTTTAACGATAAAACATGGGAAGAACAGGCACACAAGGCAAAAATACTGTCGATTCCCTCAACTTTCAACGTGAACGTGAAAAGGTTTTAATATCAAGAAAGTTGTAAATAAGAAAACATTTTATTCTTTTTCTAGAATGCAATGAGTGTTGTTGGGCTTCCTCCAGAACGACAAAATAATGTCCTGGAAATAATCTCAGCCATTTTACATCTTGGTAATATTCAGTTTATTGAGGATAACAATGTGTCGGAGGTTGAGAATCCCACAGGTAGGCGATGTTTTTCACTTGTGTTGATTCCAGACGAATAATTGGCTTTTTACTTACGACATCACACAAAAACCATCCTGTTTTAAATAAAGAATATTAAATATATCCATCTCGTTTTTACCGGACTTTTTTAATTCCAGATTTAGTCATTCCCGCACAACTTTTGGGAGTAGATAAAGACGCTCTGAAAGAAAAATTGGTCAGGTACTAGCATCTCTATATTCTTTCTTGCTTTAAACAAAAGAATTGAAAAAACTGCGTTGTTTGATCAAGTCAAAATTAAAGTAAATTTTACATTTGGGTAGCAATGTACTGAATAATATTGCGTATTGCATGATTAAACAAAGGGTTTGTTTGCAAACCTGAAATTAAGCTAAACGACTATTCGGATCAAAACAAAAACTAAACTAGCCAGATATAAATTAGCGCGGTTTATAAAATGTATGTAAGAAAACATGCGTGGAATGTGTAAGTTTCTCTGTTACCAAATTTGCATCTCTCAAAAGTTGAATTGGAATGCAAGAAACAAGGCCTTTAGGGTCAATCACTTCTTCAAAAATAAAGACTGTATGATTGAATCTTATAGCCGCATGATGGAAGCACGTTGGGGAGGAAAAGTTGACATTATGATGATGACGCTAAATATTGAACAGGTACTTTCTCAGAACTGTTGAACTGTTTTTCCACGAAATGCGGCACTAAATCAGATGACGATCAGATTCGATTATTGGTGGCGCCAATCATTCATAATATTTTCGAAGTTTACTACCAGGCAGTTGTGGCAAATATAAATATTATATGAGAGCATTGCAGGAAACCGTTATTCGCGTTAGGGGAATGGATGGCGGGCTTAAATTCGCCTTTAATTAGCTTAATAACTCGCAATACTCTTCAAATGAGTACAAGCCCGTTTGGCGTTAGATAATGTGAAATACATCCTGTATCCTCGCCGTAACTGGCGACGATGCCTATATATATACATCAGGTGCACTGGTTTATAAGTCATTATTAAACCTGGAATATTTCACGTTATTTTATCAATTTCTTGTTAGGCCAGTATCTCGAGAGACGCCTTGGCTAAAGCATTATACGCTCAACTTTTCGACTTCCTCGTCACGGTGAGATTTTCTTTGTGTGAGATGAACTACTCATGGGTAGCTATAATTGTTTTAATTCATGCACGCAGCGCCTGATTCATCTTTAGATAATCTTTCATAAGGTCCCGGTCATGGCTTACAAAAATATGAATAAGGTCCCGGTCATGGCTTACAAAAATATGAATAATATGTAGGTGTCTGCATAAATGTGTCTGATCTTCCCTTCACGATCAGAGTATTATTTGAAGGCTCGGAGGAAAACGAGCTATTTTTCTCAACCATTTTTCTGTCGATTTTTTGGGCCAGCATGCAGTGAAAATCCAGGGCCGGGGACACAATCCTCTTCGCCCCTTCGGTAATCCGGCACTGCATGCATAACGCGGCCGACTATAATATGTTGACAAAAGATATTACATTCTGATGTATATTATGTTGTTATATTGTAGATTATCAATAGTGCAATGCATAAGGAAAAGATCGAGTTATGTATTGGTGTCCTGGATATTTATGGTTTTGAGATATTCGAGGTAACTGTTTGATTTTGTGATACAGTTTTGGTTCTAAAGTTTTGTTTCAGAACTATAGTCGAGAACTAAGGAGACCTTTAGAGACATCAAGCTATTTTAATTGCGGGAACCACTGAGTATTTTCATAAAATACACAACAATAGTAACTCCGAATAAAGTAAACATTTTGATTCAACGTTTTGACTTTATTCCTGATGATGACTAAATAAAGTCGAAACGTTGAATCAAAATTTTTTCGGAGTTACTATTGTTGTGTAAGCTATTTTAAAAACATACCTTATATGCAGCCTTCGGTCGTGATATGATTAGTTTCCAGGACACCAATCCACAACTGATCTCTTTTTCATTTAGACGAACGGTTTTGAACAGTTTTGTATAAATTTTGTTAATGAAAAACTCCAGCAGATTTTTGTCGAGTTAACGCTCAAAAGCGAACAGGTATATCACTGCATCACTGATTATCCTGTGGTTTATTTTTTTAACAATATTTTTTACAAGATTTAAATGAATTTTATTATGTACATTATCAGGAAGAATATTTGGAGGAAGGAATAACATGGACACCTGTGAAGTTCTTCAATAATAAGTTGGTCTGTGATCTCATAGAGAGCAAGGTATACCGTTTATATCGTATATTTTGTATATAGTTAGGATACGTTCACACGAGACCGGACGAATTTGGAACCGTGCTCGTACTCGTCCGGCTCAGGTGTTCACACGGTGAGATGGATGAAATTTTGACCGGTTCTACGTGTTCACACGAGGGGACCAGACGAATTCAAGCACGGTTCCAAATTCGTCCGGTCCCGTGTAATCGTAGTCTACTTTTGGAGAGATTTAGACATAAAGGTGGGCAGACATGCAGTTATACTTCGCATGGTTTAGAATTTAAAGATACGCGTTCTTTACAGTTTTGCTCCGTTCTCGTCTTTAGGATCTCGGGAATAAATCTTAAATATTCTGTCTTAAATATTCCTGGTTTTCGGTTACCCAGTACTTTTACTAGACCATGCCATGAAGGATGTCTCCTACATAATCACAATCTATACATATTTTAATCATAGTTTTTATGCATCTCTTGCACTAGGTTCCCCCGGGTATAATGAGCGTGCTTGATGATGTCTGTTTCACAGTTCATGCATCAGAAGGATCGGACAGAACGCTAATGGAGGTAAAATAGAGATATTTGACGTTATATTGTCGGTCCGGTACAGAAAAAATATTACGATTTTGTTGTAGAAACTCAAGGCGGTTGTAGGATCGGAAACCACGTACTCAAGATATTTCCGTGGACTTTCAACTCATTTTGAAATACATCATTATGCTGGAAAGGTAATCTGAAAAGAAATAATTAACATAATAATAATCATTATGATTTTTTTCTAGTCATTATTTTTGAATTTCTAATTTTTTTACTCCTCTCCGCTTGGGCTTACCAGGTCCATTATGAAGCAACGCATTTTTGTGAACGAAATAAAGATTCGTTATTTGATGACATTATTCAGCTGATGCAATCAAGTCAAAAGTATGTATCTTATGACACCTTATTTGTTTTCTGCTTGAAAAGTATCTTGGCTTGCTGGATATCATTTCAATTCCATCAAAGCCATTTGTTTTATCTGAATATTGAGGAAAAAACGAGTGCGAATGAATTCAATTTGAATACGTAATTCAGTTTGAATACGTACAATTTTTAAAGCCGTAAAAATTTTGAGCAAACTTGAAGCTTATGACATCGAGAAGACACCGGGGACGGGACATGAATCTATCTATTAAAAATGGTTTTCTGCTCTCTACAGTGAGTTTATTCAAAGTCTCTTCAGTGATATGCCCGTATCATCTGGTAGACGAGGTCGCAGCTCCACAGGCAGCAGTAAAATTAAAGTATGTTGCATGATTTTCTTGTATGCAATTTGATTAAAGCTAAAAGTTACGTCATATATACCGTTCCTGTATGTTTACAGTCTCAGTGTCAAACCTTGATTGATCGAATTATGGCTTGCACTCCGCATTATGTAAGATGTCTTAAACCCAGTGAAACAAAGGAACCTTTGGATTGGCACGATCACAGGTGCGCACGCAATATTTCTTTCAAATTTTTCTTCATTTTTGTTTTTTTAACGGTCTGTGGATTGTCGATTTATCAGAATTCTTCTTCAAATCTCTTATCTCTCAGGATTCTTCCTCAAATATCTTATCTTGGTCTTCGTGAAAACATTGATGTTCGACGAGCTGGATTTGCTTTTCGTAGACCTTTCGACAAAGTGATTGACAGGTAATGTACGATCAAATTTCTACAGGTTGTCTTCTGTAGCCTTCAGAGACGGGTTGGGAATGCAACAAATCCTTGTATGTATACGCGTACAGGCCTAAAATATTTTCGGAAGGGGAAAGACGAATGATTTCAGCAAAAATTACTCAACCCGCGAGAACGAATCACCCGACTTATCACAACTTTTCTAGATTAAGACGTTTCTGGAGGGCAGCTGTCACCTGTTCCCCCTCCCCCATACACCTTTGTAACCAGCTTTTCGACATGTTTGTGTCCCATTGGTTAAAGTATAGTGTTGGTGAATAGCAAGACACTTTTTGGACAATTCATACATATTGTTTTGACGGGTTTAGATATGATGTCGTTTTACCAAAAGATGTGTTTGACGGTGCTCGTGATGACAAAGCTAATACCTGTAAGGCTATAATGGAAACCGCCCAATTCTCGCCCGAAATTTGGAGAATTGGAAAGACTAAAGTCTTCATGAAGGAATCTGATATGGTAAGTGGAAAAGGAAAGTCATCGCACCCCTGCAATTCATAGCTACAGGCTTTTGCAAAGATTTAAGAGTATTTCGAGACAATCACTCAGACTAAAATTAATCTTGAGGTTAGCTTTAATTTAAAGTTTGTCATTTCTCTTTATTCTTCACAAGATAACACAACTCGAACATTTGCGCAGTGATGCGTTATATGGTTATGCTGCGAAAATTCAAGCTGTTGCACGCGGATTTCTTGCTCGACAATATTGCAAAAAGTTAAGAGAAAGAATAAAAGGTTGAAATGCGTAATTCCTGAATTTATTCCGACGTATTTGCTTCGTACTTTGATAAATCGCATCCTTTACTTTCAGCAACTAAGACACTTCAGAGAGCGTTCAGAAGTTATGGAGGGAGGAGAAGACTTGACTACCGTCTTTCAGTAAAGCAATGCTTGAAAAGTACGATGATTGTTTTCACAATTTTAAATATGACAAGCACCGCTCAGAGTGAATACCCTGGGAACGAGGTTGGCCCTCCCACTCTTCATACCCTGGGAATAAGGTGGCCGTCCCTAATTGGTATTATCGTTACCTTGACATCACCGTCATTACTATTAGTACTATCCTCCATCATCTTGTCTCCTCGTGATTTAATCCCGAATGACTTGCAAATCCACTTTCTACATTTACGTGAATTATTCACGCAGTAAAATGATAACGTTCTTGTTTGTTGTAGTTGTGATCGACTACCTTATAACTGAGAATGCGAAGTCTACAGAAGGAACTGCACATGATGAATCAAACGAGATTTCTGAATCGAAGGAAATAAATTATTCGGATGTTCCAAACGAGGAATTAAATGAGATTTCTGAATCAACGGAAATAAATTATTCGGATGTTACAAACGAGGAATTAAATGAGATTTCTGAATCAACGGAGATAAATTATTCGGATGTTCCAAAGGAAGGATCAAATGACATTTCTGAATCAACGGAAATGAATTATTCGAATGTTCCAAACGAGGAATCAAATGAGATTTCTGAATCAAAGGAAATAACTGATTTAGATGTTCCAAAGGAGCCTACACCGTGTATATTCACTCATGAAGAGACAGTAGATCACGTTGGCTATTATTTCAACAAGACATTGCAGAATATGACTGGTGAGTACGTGGTTTAAAACCAGATATTTTAAGAGTATCGAAATCTCGATAACACGAGTTGTTTCTCTTGAAACAGGTGATCGTAGTATATTTTTTAGCTGTCATGGAAAAGTTTTTGGCAAAAATCGCAAGGTAATTATGAAGTATTGTCAATTATTATGAAGTATTGTCAATTATGATGAAGTATTATGAAGTATTGCAAATGAATAGAGACACGTTTTGTATTCTGTGATCTTCGTTTAGATGGAAAACCAGATTGTTGTACTCTCTTTGCATAATCTTTTAAAACAATCAGTGGGGTAAGCCTTGTTTAGGAATCGATTTAAACCCTTTTGGTTCTGACGGTTACATGCCATGCCTTAGTGTCTGTACACTGTACCAACTCATTATAAATCAACTTTCCTTTAGGAAGAAAGCTCCGGTATTGGCTATACTTTAGTGCATAAGCTGGACTACACAGAAGTTCAAGGTTTTTATGTCAGGTAAACAAGTCCTATTCAGTCATTAAAACAGAAAAAAATCAATGTATAAAATGTAGAAATATCGTAAGTTTTCTGTGTGTGAGCTTTTCTAGGGTTGCTATACCTTCCCCTCCGCACCTGTTGACCTGAGGTTTATGATTAGCCCTACCCCAAACCACCAACACATGTTTTTTATGTTCAGCATTCTAGATACAGATTTTCTCGTGCTAAAAATGCAGTCGTTTGATATAATCTTGGACACAATTCACAAGAATAGTTTGATTGCCTTCCTAATGGCCATTGTTAACGTTGTCAAGCAAGTTTGGTTACCGTATGAAAAGTCAGATGTGTAAGTGGAAGTGTTATATTACTATGCAGTATAGAAATAAGCTTAGCTCTGTAGAAACAAAACATCACTAACTTGTTGCGATAGAAAGTCAGATGTAGAAACAACGCCGAGAGATCGTATGATACTTATAACTAAACACACAAACTAAAGCAGTTTTCTTGCATGATATTGTATGCCAATATACTGAATGTAACAATATAACTGTGTTAACGACATTGACGGTTTTAAATTTTTCGTAGAATTGCCATTAATTCAGAATCAGGCCAGCAAGTTTCTTTGAAGTTTATAATAGAGGGAAGGAAAAATTACACCGAACCGAGCATTTCCAGTAGTGGCAATGAAATAGCTGTTGTATTACCAAATATGGAAGAAGGTATAGGAGTAGGTAGATAGAGGTAGTTAGGGACTTATGGGTATAAAGAGAATCAGTAGGTGGAGACTTCACGACTGTGTAGAATATGAATGATCTGAATCACTCACAGCATTCTGATAGAACTGTGTTTTAATTCGTCCTATGATTTATTGAAGATGATTATCTTTTCTAGCTGAGGAAGTCTTTGAAGATGTTGAGGAGTTGAACACCGAACAGACAAAATTCCAGGAAACTGAAACGCAAGATGTTGAAGAGCCTCATAGTGCAGAGTTGAACACCGAACAGACAGAATGGCAGGGAACTGAAATACTAGGTGCTGAAGAAGGACAACATGAGGTGACAGGGAACCAAGAATTTCAACAAAATTTTGAAGATCAGATACCAACAATCCAAAAACGGGAGTCAAATTTCTGTTTAAAAATGGTGTTTGGAAAATGTGGTGGAAGGGTGTCGTGCAAAGGTCAGGGTTTATGTGTGAATTATTTGTGTTAAATGTCTAAGTTACACTTCAGACTATATTGCATAAGTTTGATTTCATCTTGAGAAGGTGAATTAAGTTCGCAAGCCATGTTGAGTAAACTGGCTTGGGGAATATTGGTTAACTCCACCACCATTCCATTTTTAGGTTTTGATGTTGTCATCACAGAAAGTTGTTCAGAAAGTCGTTGTGAAACCCAACCAATCAGTTTAAAAATTCTCTACGAACTTCCCAGCGCCTCCTATCGGAAACCGGACGAAATTCTTCTTTCACCATTTATTATGGTCGGAAACATGTCGGAAGACGTATCTGAACTACGACTTACGTTGCCATTCTTACGAGATCTACCCGAAGATACCGACTCCATGGCGAAGTGGATCCGATTCTACGGCGCGCCGTCAGGCAACGACACTCCCGTATGGCGTGACATAAGGACAGCCTATGAGATGGGTGCTTTCATGGTGGAAATAAGAAAGGATCACGCCAAACTGTGTACCCAACAAAATGTCACGTTCTGTATCATGGGCTCAAGAATTGAACCCGCTGTGGTGTATGATTACGACGCAGGTTTATAAATTAAAACTTTTGGTTAAATTTTACTTGATAATATTAGTTGATTATTGTTGTTATGTACGCCATAGCCAGTTCATCAATTGCATTATCTCATTTATCTGTTTCAGGTTTGGAAGAGGAGAATTATGGGGCCCAGTATAATTACAACTTCGAAGAATACGCCAGTTACTATGGCGATTATGGCGCAGAAAATTATGGCGAGAATTGTTACAACGAAAGTAATGATTTTGGCAATATTCCCGTTGGAAAAGTGAAGACATCCGCTGAAAATAATAACACTCCCGATAACTTTTCATTAGCAAGCATGGGGGTTCAGAAGGCATTGGAAAATCCTATCCCCCGGCCTGCTCTTGGGCTTCCCCCTGAGCCACCAACCAAACCGCCACCTTCTAAACCCAGCAGCTCGACATTTGACGATGCTCCTGTAAAAATAGAAACCAGGAAGAAATTTAAAGTGAAAAAAGTGTGGAAAACAACCAAGTCTAAAAAGAAAGATAAATAGAACAAGCATCAGTTTAGTTTCTCGTGGGCATTGAAGCGAGAACAGTCGAATTTTGGCGAAAATAAAAGCTTGTATCAAGTATTTTGCGCAGTCAAGAGTTCCAAAGGCGCTGCTGTCTTGTGTCAAAAAAAAATTGTTTCGAATACGTTTGGCGCATAAGAAGTCTTGACTGGTTTGACCGTAATCTCACAAAAGGTTATTGAGTCAAAGAATATGAAATAAATAGTAGGATCAAGTAAGAATATTTCAGTGTTCCGCATGTATCTTACTACGCGTGGCAACCAGTCAGTCATTTGCATTTTCCAGTCAATCAGAACTCAAGATATCTGACCACAGCCAGTAACTAATTGCACAAAGAAGTGGCTTTACTGCTCGCCTCCTTGGCTCATACACTGGAGTATGAATTTGCAAAAAGTTGCATATTTGTCGAAGTTACAGCCATCTTACAGCCCCCAATATTGCGCCCCTAGCCTGGCATTTCGTCATCTCGGCCTAAGTAACCTAAGGTTTCTATGTCACTTTGCCACAACATACACTGATACACACAGTCGATATTCGATGTTTTGAAAAACTGGACTAATTTTTGAATTGTGAATTGGACACTTCCACATTGAGTGAAGTGAAATTATGGAACTGGTAATTTTATCCTCATGTCCTTCTTCATGGCCCGATCCAGGGGCCGAATCTCGTTTAACCGAGCCAGCGATTTCCCAGTGGTCGCGTTCACTCTTCCCAGTTTGTTCAGTTTGGTATAGCATAAAAGATTCGCGAAAGTCTGAGTAAAAAAATGCCGATGAAGAATCTTTGGATTTTAATCAGTTTCATGTCAATTTCTTATTTCCACCTTCAACATTAGATTTCCTAATGATGCAATTATCATTTATGAGTCTCAATTTTCAACTCGTTCAGAATTGAGGGACTTGGGCCAAACTAAATAAATCATACTTCTCCCCCCCCCGACCGAATGATGGATGATGGTACAGTTGATACTTGTTCTATATCTTGAATTTTGGATTTTGAAATAAAAATGGCGAAGAATTTAAAAGCAATAAAATCGCCATCAGACAGACTGTCTCTCTCAAACTGTTTTATTGTAAACGAGGCAGACTTTCCCAGCGAGGAAATACAGTAAGTAGTCAAAACTAAGGCGGAAATTAGTGGGATACGTTGACAATATTCGAAACCTTTTCTAGCAGAGGAATCATGAATGTGAATGATTTCCTTTCTTTAATAGACATGTCAAATTACGTGACACAGGACATCGGACACAGGAATATATATATTCTTTATTAAAAACAGTGGAAATTAAAGCAGGCTTTGTTGGTGTTAGTTTAATACAGGTTGGTACTTGCTCTCAACCTTTTGACTATAAAATATAGTAGTATACTTTCTATGATCTGGAAGCCTCGTTTCCATGAGTTATGAGTTCTTTATTATTGTGAATGAGGCTCTAAAATGACATATAGAAAAATACTGAAATTGTATATTTAGAATTAGAAGACCTGTAAATTACTTAAATTTGAACCAAAATAATACTAGGGTAGGTATGGTTTGGGGTTAAGACCACTTTTTCTTACCATTTCTGTTGGTGCTGTTTTGCTGTTGAGGATGTTATGATGAAGTGTAAACATGTATCAGTATAGGTTAGTTGTATACAGGTATGTTTTATTTATGTTTTTTGCTGATTCTTGTGCATCTTATTTCAGAGAAAATGGACAAACATAGCTTTAAATCAAGTTTTAGAAGGTAGGAATAATGAAAGTTAAAACTTTGTGCTTTTATTTTTAGCTATTCATTTCAACTTACTTAAATGAGGCTCAAAACATTTAGGTTGGGGATAGCCTGTATTTTGAACCTGAAATTGAATCTCTAAGCACCTTATTACCTATTAGATTTACATACATGGATTCACTACAGCTAAGTAGAGAATCTGACCCTGCTAACCCCCAACCTTTTGTCTTTCAGTTCAGCCATTCAAGTTTCCTCCAAATTCAAATCTAAACAGCATCACTCTAGAAGCAGATTTTCTTCAAAAATCTCGGTAAATGAAATAGCTACATATTAGACCAAGTGGATGAAATACTAAATATTCTGTGATAGCTGACATAAATAATTGTTATATACTAAGGAAGAACTTATATTTTTAGTGTTACCCAAGAACCGTATGATACAGACAAGATGTCTGAAGTGTTTGTTGACCAGTTTTGCAATCGAGCATTCTCTGTAGACCAGCCGGTAAATACGTCACCTTGTTTTTGTATAAAAGCTTTAAATAGTTAAACTTGATCTTGCTAAAAATTGCAAATGTCTTCAAGCAGTGAAAATTTTTCTTAGTTTGTCTTCACATATGGTGATAAGAAGTATCTTCAGCTTATGGTGATAAAAATGGATGGTAAAATACAATAATATTACTTCCTTTATCTTACTTTGGCATTTAAGTGCAACAGTTAGTTCAATAGCAACTCTATTAATCAGTGGGAAATATGGGGAATACTGCATTTTCTATAATTTGTTGTTTTGTAGTCTTAGATCCTAAGAAAGCCCTTGCATCAGAATCCAACTTTGAACTTGTGGAGGTAAGTTATTTTTTCTGGCATCTATATTTTTATATACTATGGTATATACAGGGTGTATCAAAAAAAAGGTAATCCAACTTTGGTGCGCTATTGTACGTGAACTACTCATTCTATTAACGAATTTTTTCCACATTCCGAAAGGTTATGCTTTTAACTATCGAATGACATGTTTTTGATACCAAATGGTGAAAAAATGAGCAAATAGGAGGCTGATAAAAAGTGTTAGTCGAAATCGCATGTTTTCACCTCTGAGAGTTGGGACTAAAACCATTGAAAATTAACTCTCTTTGGGACTTAATTGAAGAATTTTGCTTTTGAATAAACTACCCGCATATGCATATTAAGTAGGAATAAGGAAAACATTCCAAGCAATGCGGCGTAAAACCAGTGCAAGCTGTGACATGTTCGTGATTAATTGTTTTTTTCTTTTGTTATGCACTGCTTTAATTAGGCTCAAAGGTGAAAATATGCGATTGCGACTAACATTTTTTATCAGCCTCGTATTTGCTCATTTTTTCACCATTTGGTATTAAAAACATGTCATCCGATAGTTAAAAGCCTGATCTTTCCGAATGTGAAAACAATTCGCTCATAGACTGAGTAGTTCATGTACAATAGCTTGTTGAAGTTGGATTACCTTTTTTTTGATACACCCTGTATAACACTGTATATATATACACTAATATACTGGTAAAGAATATATAACACTATCTTCTCTATTCTAAGGTCAAAAAAGGTGTCATATCTGGAAATACAAGAATAATATTTGAGAAGGCTGAGGTAGGTTGCATTGTGAAACTATCCTTAATGTTTCCTGATCTGTATACTCATATTATCTAGTTTCCTCCATAATGTTAGGTGAGTTTCTGTATATATATATATATATATATATATATATATATATATATATATATATATATACTCTAATACTCATAAGCTACGTATCCTTTTATCTAAATGTTCTAGGGTTCTGCGCTAAATTTGGTTGGAAAATCCAAAGGGTAAGTATCACGACTAACACTGAAGAGTTTAAATTACCACACACTTATACTGGTAATGCCTGCACTAGTTGAACTAACGACCTCGTGAGGGACGACCTCAGTAAGTCTTTCCCATGTGTGGATAGTTATCACTTCGAGGGACGAGTGTTTCTCGTATGAAGATAATCACGTATGAGGAAATCACCTCGCGGGACTGGTGTCTGTCGTGTGCGGATAGTTATTTTGAGAAATTCACCTCGCAAGGCAAGTGTCTCTCTGTGCGAATACTTTTTGGCAAGATTAACTGTCCCACGAAGTCGTTAGTGGAGTGTTTCTTCGTGTGCGCCAGGCTTGAAGTCTAAAAACATCATTTCTCATTCTTTTGCACGAGGTTGCTTGCAGTCCGCTGCTACATATTAATTATCCTTCATTAATTACTGTAATAAACACTGATTATTTTTACCATAAAATCTTCCTCATTCAACAGAAAATCAGCGACACAGTCCATTATTAACACTGAATGGGATTTTACCAAACTGGGCATTGGAGGATTGGACAAGGTAAAGATTTAGTTGCGGGATTTTTTTGTGTCTTACGTAATGACGCCATGACTGACATACTAACAACTCCTCTCTCTCTCTCTTCATGCCGCTTTGAACCAGAACTGATTATACAATCCAACCTATGCCTTTCTTGCTGCATTTTTTTGCAATGTTTTTGTGTGAAAATCATAGAATTCTGATCCCAACAAACCACCATATGTACATAGAACTTGAAAAGAAACAAAGAAAATGCACATTGATCAATAAACGCTTTTGCACGTGTTGAAAAGTAGTTTTATTTCATTGCCCTGTGTCCCTTAACTTGTAATTCACCTGTTCTCTTTCCAGGAATTTTCCACCATCATTCGAAGAGCGTTTGCGTCAAGGCTTTTTCCTGCTGAGCTTACTGAGAAAATGGGTGAGATTTCTTCAATATTGGCCAAGTTTGGTTCTCGTGTGGGCAAAAACGTTGTATACACGACTACAGTAACTTCTAATCAAATGGAAGAATATTTGTTTTATTTTACTATTCTGTAACAATTATAATTTGGATATCGAATGATACAAGGTACTCGTTACAGTTGACTCTAACGTAACCCTAACCCCAACCCCGTAACCCTAACTCGCTACAGTTGAAGTAGAGAAACTCTTTTGTGTAAATATGTCCATTTTGTCGAAATCCCACAGGAGTGAAACACGTCAAAGGGATTCTGTTATACGGACCTCCAGGTATGACTGGCGCTACACAAGAATTTCATAGAAATGATATTAATGATTATTATTTACAACTTGGAACATTACATTTCTAGGAACTGGTAAAACGTTAATGGCTCGACAAATCGGGAAAATGTTGAACTGTCGTGAGCCAAAAATCATCAGTGGACCAGGTTAGTTCTGAGTGGAACCACATGAGAGTTTTGATGTTGTATGATGAGAATTATATAACAGGGTTTAAATGTATTCTGGTTATGTTTTTTCTTAGAGGTCCTAAATAAGTATGTTGGAGAATCGGAGGCTAATATCAGGTATGCAACTAGGCGCATGCGCTGTGTCAGTGCAGATCAGCAAAACCCGAAACATGTTCTCGTTCAATTGCCCTGTCTTGGAAATAAAGTACATGTTAGGTTTTCACTTCGAAATATCAATGAACTAAAATCTTTTCCATAGAAAATTGTTTGCGGAAGCCGAAGATGAACAGAAGAAGGTTAGAACATAAAACGCGTGACACTTCATTGATCCGAGTATAACCACAGTTAGATACTTAATTATTTTAAACTAACTTTATTTATATCGCCGGAAAACTGTGTCACTTCTGAAGTTTTCCTACGGAATGGAGCTGATCAGTTTGTCAAAGTGAAAGAAGGAATTGAAAGTGCAAAAAAATCTTGGATAAAATTGAAACTGCGAGCGCCTTTTCTTTTAACACAGATCTTTCTCATAATGACGTCAAACGCGGAAGGCCCGATGTTTCACAAAGTTTTATTGGCTCGTTAGTTTTCCTGGTGCGACCAATCAAACCTCGTGTAACATCAGGCATTCCGCGTTAAACATGATGATGATAAAGGTCTATTGAGAAGTTTACTTCTGAAGGATTTCTTTAGACTCGTTTTTCTTTATTAGCACGGTATTAACAGTGGACTGCATCTTATTATTTTTGACGAATTTGATGCCGTTTGTAAGTCAAGATATAGTTATGGTGTAAGTATCTTTATAGTTGCAATCACATATATACTTGTCGTGTTTATGCACTCCTCTATCATTCTATAACTTGTATTGCGTCTTCGGAAAACTGTTCCCCAAAATTGAGTTATTTCTTTTAGTCATGTTTCTATTTTTATCACCTGATAATCTTATGCTCTGCTTGTTAATTCCTGTCATGTTTTTTCTTGTATCATTAATTAAACCAGTTTTCACTCGACGTTTATTAATTCCTTATTTTTCTACTATAGTCTGGTGGAACAGGAGTTCAAGATTCAGTTGTGAATCAATTGTTAGCCAAAGTAAGTCCGCCGTGAGGGAAAGTGATTTAGATATGCTAAGATGAAGATATTTTAGTCGATCTAAAACTTTTGATCATTTACTTGTTTACTTTAACGCTCTTTTAGATTGATGGTGTAGAACAACTAAACAATGTTTTACTCATTGGTAGGTAAATACAAGAAAGGTTGTGCTACTGTTTCTAAAATGCTCCACCTTGTATGGTTATATCGTTTATTTTTCTGAGTCTTCACTGCTCGAAAATTGCCTTTTGGTAGGAATGACGAACAGAAAAGATTTAATCGATGAAGCTTTGCTAAGACCTGGGAGAATGGAAGTTCAAGTAGAAATAAGTATGTTTCTTAAATGCCATGTTGCGCCTGTTAATTTAAATTCTCAGGATGTCAAATGAGCGGCTGGAAGAGGTCTTTCTTTCACCCCCATTTCCCTTCTTACATTCCTCTTTTTACCTCCCCCTCTCATCTCCCACACTCTCACCTTACTTTTCTCACCGTCCACGCGTACCTTTCCATCTCTCTAACTTCATCTCTCTCATCTGATGTTCACCTCCCGCCCCCTCTCATTTTACTCTCACTGTTCGCGCACACCTCTCTACCTTTCTCATTTCATCACTCTTATCTCATGTCCCCCTATCACCTCCCACCCCATCTCACCTTACTCTCACTGTTCACGCGCACCTCTCACTTCATCTCTCTTATCTCATGTTCACCTCCCACCCCTCTCACCATACTCTCATTGTTCACACACACCTCTCACTTCTCTCTCATCTCATGTTCCCCTCTCACCTCCCACCCCCTCTCACCTTACTCTCAATGTTCACACACACCTCTCACTTCATCACTGTCATCTCATGTTCCCCTCTCACCTCCAACTCCCCCTCAACGAAAATCCTCCCAAGTTGTTAATTCTTGTTATGTATCTCTCGTGCCAGGTCTCGCTGATGAACCCGGTCGTCTTCAGATTCTCGAGATCCACACACGAGCCTTACGCGAGAACAACTTGTTAAGTGAAGATGTTGACCTTGGCGAACTCGCTGCACAAACCAAGAATTTTAGCGGAGCTGAGATCGAAGGCCTGGTGCGAGCAGCACAGTCGAACGCTATGAACAGGTTTCTGAAGGTACAATCCCGCTGATACTTCAGGGGGTTTCTAAAGAGCAGCAAAATTCCTTGGCATGTCTTTGATAGGAGTATGTTAGGCTATATAGACATGCATTTTAAACTGCTAAAGGCGTATTTAAATAACCACTCACATGAACAAATTTGCTTATGGAAAATTGTTGGCCATCAATTCTAGTCCCTTTACTGTTTAAATTTTATTTTATATTTGTAATTTCACTCAAGACTATATTCACTTAAGACGAATGAATCTTGTTCGGTGAAAACTCTGTCCAGTCTAGTAATTTATTGAAATATAAACCTTAAAAAGAAAATAAGTTATTCTTCATTTTAAAACAGATGACAACGACGTTGGAAATCGCCCCAGATGCCGTCTCCAAGGTCCTGGTGAGACAGACAGATTTTTACCATGCGCTCGAGCACGATATCAAACCGGTATGTCGTCAACACGGTTTTCTTTGTGTATCCTGGACGATACAGTATAAGTTTGCCCCATTTTTTCTTGAAGTCCCGCAATAAACATCCTTTTATCTGTCTGAGTCGGCCCAGCAGGATATACCCAAATTATATAACTGAAGTGTTTGGTATAGGGGTACATTTCAGACATGTGCTGATCTCTGAACCAATAATTGTATATGCATGTAATTGTATATCATTTGTGCTTATTCTTGTACTGTAAGTTCGTTTGTATCTGGCAAAGCATAATAAATAAATATTCACAAAGTATTGCTTATCACAATGGTCGAACCCAGGCGAGAAGCTATGCAGAAAGCTACACAAACTTCTGTAGTCCCGACAAACACAAAATCCTACAAAAATACAGTGAATAACTTAGGTTCGATCGTTAAAGCAAATGGCTTGGTTTTCATTTAGGCGTTTGGTGCCAGTGATGATGATCTGGAGTATTTTGTTTCTAATGGTGAGTTACTACTAACCGACCTTTTGCATCGATCATAGAAATTCTTTATACATACTTATTTTTTATACTGTCATACATTTCGAAAACTCTCTACTACTTTACATCTCTCCAAAGTGGAATTAAAATTGCAATTATTGATGCGATTCCCTTCTTTTGATAGATGTGAACGAGTGAATTAGTTACGGATGTTCAAATAAGAGCTCTTATAACATCAAAGCATTCGTAACTAGTCACTCATTCGCATCTACCAAAAGAAGAAAGTCGCACATAAAAAAATAACACCAAAACTTGCGAGTGTAAACGGGCCTTAAGAGTGGTTTAACGAATCGGAATAATTTCTGATTTTAGAAATAATTCGTTGGTGTCCTATGATTGAACAGATCATTTCTGATGGCAAATTGCTAATAGAACAAACAAAAGTTCATGACAGCTCTATGGGACCTGTCAGTGTCTTACTTGAAGGTAAAGTCTGCTAGAAAATCTGGGGCCGGTTGTACGAAAGCTGGATAGCGCTATCCGCCGGATAGTGATGTTTTCAACCGTTCTAAAATGCTTGAAAAGCAGTAATATTTCTGTTTTGGAACTAACAATTATTAAAGAGGATCCTCAATTTAGGAATACTAAGATTTAATCAAAGTTATTCGTCCAGTGTTATTACAAGAGATCAGAGTACCTGGAAGGAGATTTTCCAAGTGGATTTTCCGTGCTCATTCATTGTCTGACCATGCAATCGTTTCATACAATCGCCAAACCTGAATATTAAAGAAAAGCGTATTGCAGGTATCTTGTGTGTAGAAAGACAACGTCGCTGAAATTTTAGTTTTGTGTATAATTAGGTCCTGTTGGTGCTGGTAAATCAGCCCTTGCTGTTAATATGGCGCTTGCATCGGAATTCCCTCTCATTAAAATGTGTAGTCCAGAAAGTATGACTGGATTCTCCGAACAAGCAAAGTGTAATTCGATTAAAAAGGTGAACTAAATTAAATTGCTTTTATTTATTTTCACAATCACTTTATCAGTTTGGTTTGGCCTTTTTTGAGTAATTCATATTTCATTAATAAAATATACATTTTCAGGTGTTCGAAAGGCGTTTAGCCTAAACAGTGGATAAGTTCAAATTGGAAAGCAAAATGATCTATTTATTGAACCGATCTGAAATATTTCGATGTAAATAGTTTAACTGTCAATGAAAGTACATATTTAATGCATATTGCATAAGATGCGAGTTCAGCCATTCACAAGATCTAGGAGAGTATTTTTAAACTTTGGCTTATCCACCGTTTAAGCTAAACGCCTTTCGCACAACCGACCCCAGTACGTTAATACAGAACGTTTAACGTTTTATCTTCTTGTGAAAGGTCTTCGACGACGCTGATAAATCCGAATTAAGTTGCATCATCATTGATGACATTGAAAAATTATTAGGTGAGAAAACGTCTCTTTTTACGCTCTTTTCTCGTCAATTTTTTTTTTGCACAATGGATATTTGGATTTTAGACTACGTTCAAATCGGGCCGAGATTTTCAAACATGGTGTTACAAGCGTTGTTGGTTCTGCTCAAGAAGAAGCTACGAAAGGTTACACTCTTTTTTTAAATCCTGCCCTTTGAGAACGCAGCTCTTGAATATATTTTTTACATATTTATTTCAGGGCAAGAAGTTGCTTATAGTTGGCACAACAAGCTGTAAACGTGTCCTTCATGATATGGGAATGGTTCAAATATTTAACATGGTGCTTCATGTGCCTGGCTTGTCTAGTTTGGATCAGCTTATTACAGTGCTGAAGGTCAATATATGATGTATTTAGTTGGGGGTTTTATAACAGCAAGTGGTAATTGTATCATTTCTTTATCTGAAATTACTTGAGTACAAGTCTATTGATATTTATCCAGGAAAAAAATTTATTTGAAAAGAACGAGTTGGACAAGATACGAAGTGAAATTGGACAGCGAAAGTACGTAAGATTTTTGATATTTGGTAAGGTTCGATCGCTTGATGTTTTTCATCTTACCTTTTTTTAAATAGGTTATGGATAAGTGTCAAAAAATTGCTGATTCTTGCTGAAGTTGCCATCAGGGTAAGATGCATATTTGTTCTGCTTTTTTCTAATAAACGTGTATCGTTTTAATTGTTTTGGTACTTTCACATTAGACGCAACCCTCGTCAAGAGTTAAAAAGTTTATTTCCCTGTTGGAAGCCGAGGAATGGTAAGCAATGTTTCATAATATTGAGATTTTACCGCACTCTGAGTCGACTGTACTTGTACATGTAGGTCTGTCCCTGGAAGCTTAGTTAGAGGGCGTATGCTCGTAGGGATGCCCGACTGATTTCCTTTAAAAGTTATTGCTCTTACGATATGTGAAAATGATGAAATGAATATGAAAGAAGAAACGGCCTGTAGGAACGACCTTCATTGACCGTCAGTTCTAAATAGCTCTAATTTCTTGTCTTGTTCTTTCGAACGATGTTTTATACTGGTTCATTTCAGTGTAAATGAAACATTCACAGACGCCTGTATTCGTTCTCGACCCTATACTCTTATATACTACAGCAGAATAGAAGATTTTTGACACCATTTAATTATTTTTGTAGCCTAAAAGATTTTACGTAAGAACAAACAACTTCACGTGAATAAAAAGTATGTATGCTGTCTCAATCACCACGCACGTTCGAACACACTCGATAATGATCATAAAACGATGATTAACATAATATGGGCTGCTTGCACAGCTACGAATTTGGTAATTTATGAAATTTGGTAACGTAATAACTCTCAAGGGCGTACTGAGGTCATTAATGACCCGAAGCCTGGAGAACATTGGGGTCCCGAACTTTACTAGATTTGTTTTTATATTATTTCGTTCGAGTTTGGAAGAATCGAAAGAGCTGAAATTAGGTTTGTATAGATGTCCATCACATGGACAATCTTCAACCGGTTCAGATTATATTTCCAAACGAGGTATACGGAAGTTATCAGTCCGTGCCTAACTATACTGCAGGTCGTCTACCTGAAAATAACGTTACAAAAAAAAAGCAATATACTTTTCTTTAGTTTCTTATAATGGCCTCAAACGCGGAAAGCCTGATGTTACACGAAGTTTGATTGGCTCGTTAGTTCTCCGGAGCCAATCAAACTGCGCGTGACATCAGGCTTTCTGCGTTTGACATATACTTAGTGTATTGAAATTTTGACATAAAAACTATCTTGTGAAGACAGTTGGGATATATACCGATTAGAAGCCGTGGGCGGAAGTTCAGCTCGTAAACGTTCCTGGGTACGCGGGGGGGGGTGGGTGTAGTTATACACTTGGGTTATACATATACACAGGGGGGGGCCGCAACGAAGGTTTACGGTATACAGCTAATTATACTCAAAATTTTCCAAACTCATTAGTTGCGGGGATTGAAAATTCGAGACCTTTTTAGTGTCTCCTGGTATAGCTTCATAAGCCCCGCTCCACAAAATATTATTCATAGATATTCAATATTAAAAAACCTCCCTCCTTTTAGTGTACACTTATTCGAATAAATCTTTAATCTATGCAGATGGAAATAGGAAATTACGGTATTTCATGTGTTCATGTTTTACAATAGCTGACAATTTTTAAACACTAGTCCTCCTGTCTCCCGAAATGGATTTTTTGAGGAAGGTATTTTATTCAGAAATGCATCGTGTTGAACATTCTTTTGACAATACTCGATCAAATCTTGTGAACATTCACTGATACTTCTTCGTTTGATCATCAAAAGTCGACGCAAGCGGCTCACCTCCTTTTCCATTTTTTTGATCTCTTCACGGGCCTCAGTTTCTTGGTGATAATTCATTGCTGTTTTACTATATTGAATAAAATTATGTCTTTTATGCTATTACACCTGCCCTTGTGCAATTTTCACTTTTCGTATCTTCAACTGTTTTATTGACGAAGTTTACTGCGTTTAGTACAAGTTAAACCTGAAATCATGTTTGAAGATAACTATACCTATAGATCATCAATATCATTTACATTTGAAAATCTCATTGAAACTCGTAATGCGATTTCGGATAGTAAAATGATGATAAAAGATAAAAGATGTTTTATATTAAACGGAATGGCAAAAGAATTAATGATAAAAAATATAATGAATATAATAAAAATATAAGTACGAAGAACAAAGGTAATAATATATCGTTGAAAGGCAGCTATGTTGTTCGCAAATTTCTCTTCATCAGGCCTGTTTTGAAACGCAAAAAGCCTTCTGCAATTCTCATGTATCTTTCTAACTCGTGTATAACAACCGAAAATAATTTAAATACCTTTTGCGATGACTCTATACGAATATAGGAATCTATCTATGTCCAAGTTCTTTTTCACTAATTTACAACCTGAACTTTATTTCTTCCAAAATTGGGCAATGTTTTCAATGTAGCGCCGTGTCGGAGTGTGATGATCATCTTATATCGGAAGCGAGATGAACCTGCTTATTATGCTTATGGTCCGGAAATAATGCATTTGTGAAGTTCATTTAGCCTGGATTCAAATTTTGGACTTCGGTAATGCTATAGCTCAGCATTCCGGCAACATTCGCAATGTTTTGTGGAGACTTAGCCTTGTGTCATGAAATCTACTGCGAAAACTTTTACAAGTGGGTGCTTCTAATAGACATTACTGACAGAGCGAAAAATATCCAATAATTATGAAAGGGGACTGAGTCTTCCCTGCTTGCCATGACGTTTTAACAAGGAGGTGGAGCCACCACCTTTTATCGTTCGATCATAACAGGCCACCGTTCTCCTAAGCATTTGAATCAGACTATTCATATATATGCTGTTGGTCCAGTTGTTTTGAATTATATTACAAATCTGCGATTCTCTCCGAATGGGTCTTTAGGTGGAGAGGAGGTGTGAATCCAGGCTTTACTAAGACTCGAACTACACCTGTCCTATAGATATGCAATTAACTTGCTTTTAAAGTAAAAATATCATGTTGACCAATGATGTGTTAGCGTTTCATATATTAGCCAATATCGTTTTGCCTTGTTCAATAAACCTTTCCCCTTTTAGCTTTCAAGCGTGCAATACGTGATGGTAGTTGATTATCAAGCAACTTTGAGTTGCGATATCGCTCAGCTTAGAAGCGATTTTGTTTGCAAGAAAACCTTGCCGATTCTTTTTGTTTCTTTGTTAAACTTAATCGCCCCTGAACATGCATGGCGAAATCACAACTCAAACTGATCTTGATAATCAACTACCGTCACGCATTGCGCGCTTAAATGTATTTTATTTTTGCCTATCAGCTTTGAACGTGTGAGGTATCATTTCACTATCATAATACATTGAAAAATATTTAACTGCAAAAGTAGTTTATGAGGTAAGGCGTTTCTCACAATAAATACCTTCCTTTAATGATTGCGGCATGCAGGTAGTCCAGAAAATGTTAAATATGAATATATACCGGCGCTGCCAGGAAGCACTACGTAAGTGACTACGAATAGACTAGATATTCTCCGTAGAAAACAATGTGAAGGACATATAACTAAGGTTACACAAGACGTCTGTCTGAATGGAAGCGAGGAACCCTAGTTCGGATCGTATATACGTATATACGCAACCACGAAAAAAAGGCTATAGGTATGTTTACGCCAAAAACAACGATTAAATAAGATGACCACACTTAAATCATGGTGATTTTTCAATGCTCTTTATTACTTTTTCATGTCTAATACACGTCTTTTTTCCCCTATTATCGATTGTTGTCCGTGTATTTCTCTATTCATCGACCTCAACTTCTGTCGGGGGTTCCACCGGATCAGTGATCTTTCTACACATTTTTACTTCTATTGGTTTCTTGGTTGGACCCCCTTCAGGGCCAGTGGTCACATCAAAGACACTTCTACATTCCAGACCAGACGCGCAGCAGTGAGACTGAAAGAAAATCAAAATGTCTAATATTATGTGTTTTGTATAACTGACTGCGATCTTTCGCAATTTTTGAAGCAAAGATTTGTCTCTGGAAAGAAATTTTGTAAGCTAGCCGAGCTAGCCTCCCTTGCAGCCGCTTTTTTGACCACTCCGAATGGAAAACTGAAACTCCGCTGGCGTTAGCTTTGAGAGCGACGACACGATAGAGTCTAGTGTAAAAGTATTATATAGTATAATGTACTAAGATGTTGTGACTTACATTGACGTGACACGGCACAAATTCAGGATATTGCAAGATGCACCTTACCCAAAATGGTACGCTATTAGAACAGCAACGGTTGTTTCCACACTCTGAGGATGCACTGCATTTCTGTTGAACGTACCCAAATGTCAAGCTTTCGTAAATACTTTATTATAGAAAGTTAAAAAGCTCTATGAAGCCCTCGCACTAATCCTCACTTTCTTCAAAAGGCCCCTTTAATTCTCCTCTAGCAAACTTTAAAACATCTCGACTTATCTAAAAGCCCTCACTCTTTCTATTAAAACCTCGCTTCTTGTTAAACTTCTATTAAGCTCCTCTACGGAGCCGCTCTTCTATTGTTTGCACATGATATAGGTCCATTATCAGAGAAGTATCCTTGACTATAATAACCTCTTTTTTGTAGTAGTGCATTGTCAAATAGTTTTTTGTTCACAGTGATATTAGCCCCCGGGTAATTAGTTCCTTGATGTCCAAGTTGCATCAAGTGTTAACCCTTTGTATTGATAGCTCTAATCATAACTCTAATAGATAATCCTGCTTGGTTAAATCATGAATGACCATGACCGTATTTAACGTCATTTCTCGATTCATTTCAATTCTACCTCGCCTTGTGTTAGCATATTACCTTTAAGGTATACTCACTCTGAATAATTTATCAAAAGCTCCGGTGATGCCGTTAGTGACGGAACTCAGAAAGCGTTTTTTTCCTGGTTCAGCGTTGTACTTTACTTCCCTGGGAACGACGACTTCTTCTGATGCTCTGCATTGTCTGATCTTAACGACCTTTTCTTTGTCTGCAACCGTGACGGTAATCACCTGAGTAACCTTACATTCCAAACCATCATCGCAACCACATTTGTGTATGCCCTGACGAATATAATATCGTTAATGCTGCATTGTTAGACTCTATTGATTTAATTCAAACTACTAATTAACCCCTTTCGTAATAACACATTTATCGTTGGTCCAGGACTAGTTTTTATAGTTTGCCCATCCAGTGTTTATACTTCATCTATTCGAGCTTATCCCACCAACTAATTCTATTACAAGAAGAGCGATATTAAAAGTAGGGTTCTACGCTCGTGATTAGAGAGAGGGGAGCTAGGGGGGAGGAATTCATTTATTCTTCATGTGCCCGACTGATTTCCTCTGATACACAACAAGTTTCGGCCATAAGCAAGGTGTCTAATTTTAAGCATTGGCAACTTACACCTAAGCGGCCACCACACGGGAGGTTTGCGCCAATTTTTGGCAAGCAAACTCTGCCAAAAGCGCAACATTTGTGCGCTCCGCAATCCTTGTCCACCTTGCACAAAAAGGGAATCTACAATAAAACAAAATACAAGCATTTTGTCGCCAGGAAGTTGCCGAATGTTAACCACACAATGGAAAAGCTTGTACGATGCACCTGGCACATCAAATAGATTACCCAGCGAAAGCATTTCATTTCAGCCATTAACTTAACTCAACTTAAATTAACTCCAATCAAAAGGCATGCATGCGGGTGTTTGTAAACCCTGTAAAGAAGGCAGGTAGATTATACTGACATTGTCTATTAAGAAACCATAACTTGCTCCAATAGCAACCACAAATACAGCAACAAATAACTTGTTCATTTTCTCAGCTTCTCACTCAACGTTTGGATATTTCTTGTGAACTTGACGATTCTCCAAAATAATGTGCTTCATCGTGCATTAGGCCGCCCTTTTAAAAGCACTCACCCAAACCATGCTTGCACATCTGCAAAAACATAATTTTCTTCAAAACTAATGTTCCAGTGGTTGTTTAAATAGTAAAAATTGGATTTTTAATTGTGTGCCTAAAATGTTTACAGGAGAGAATTAAATATTATATTTTAATTAAGATTTGTTTCTAGTAATGTGACAGTTGTTTGTCGAGGTCAACTTTTCAAAATTTCCTATCGTAATAATTGAAATGCTCGTGAGTTGAGCTGAGCACACGAAATCATTTTAAAGATGGTGCATTTGAAACATCCTATACGGTTGATTCGACATTTTTTCATTTTTAAATAAGTAATCATCTTCAATGCCCGCTCGAATTTAATGAGTATATTTTCTTGCCTCGCGGATAGAGTTGAAATTCCGATTAACCAATCTTTATTTGTATTAGATAAAATTGCTTTTTAATTAATCAACCCACCAGGTTACAATTGTGGGGTGTCGCCCTCTCCTGCCATAACCAGACATCTTTCAGACAAAGACTTCCCTTGGAAAGGTAGGGGCGGGCGACAGGTGAAAACGGGCCAAACGTGGGAGTTAGTCATTTTGTCGTTTTGTTTTAGTTTCAATTCTACAACGCTAACAAGACAAACACGTTTCAGTCTGGCGGCTATTCCAATGAGCAACAAGTTAATGAGTTCTACGTTTCAACCTACTCAATATTCTGGGCGTTAGATAAGTTAGTTCATATGAACCTGCCGTACGTACACTAGTCATGCACACTTAGGCTATGTGCGGCACACGATAACGTTTTCCACCGTTTTCACCTTTGTTTTCATGACAAAAAAGTCCAACACCGGCAAACATTTAACATATGCTGATTTAGTTGAGCATATTTTTTCCTTTGATCGTGTGGCAAGGATGTCAAAACGATAAACTAGCTATGTGTGCTCGAAAACGACGCTCGAGTGCCCACAGGCTTCTCTGCTGACAAAGGTTTTAGGTCGAAATGGGAAGTGGTTAATCAAACCCGTTTACACTACACTGAACTTATTTGATAGAGTCTCCTGCCGTGTCGCTTCTTCGAGTTACATCGAGTATCGACGCACATTGATACTGAAATTATCCCTATTTAGTGCCTTAATTTAACATATGTTGTGAATCATTTTTGTCTGATGAGTAAATACTTGTATAAAAGAATGGAATATATAAGTTTCATATGTTGTGGAATACATATGTGCCAAACCGTTCTTTTCAATAAGTACAGGATTTTTTTGATCTTTGAAAAAAAAAAGTCTTAACAGGTTTCAGTAAAATTTCACCGAGATTTGGAAAATTTTAAAAACAATGCCATGTCTAGTCGTTAAAACAATGTTTAGCTAACAAAGCCATTCAGAGCAGCAAACCTAAAAATACATCGGCTAATAAAATTTGAGCAAATATTTGTTACTTCATCCTTTTTAACCCTGCGACTGAGGTTTGTAAATGTTAACTATCAAAATTACTTCTATGATGTTTAAGCTAAATGAAGTAACTAACCATTAAATTAACTTTCAAGGTTGACCCTCGCCATTAAGAACGGAAAAAAACCTTCTGGTTGTTCAAGCTGGCTTAATATATGAACCAACCGGGATATAAACATTAAACCTCCTGTAATTCTTGCAATTGTGATAAACTGAATTGCTTTCGACCTCGACCAAAATCCAAACTCATCGAAAAAGCTTTGCTTCCTTGCAGAAAGCCATTTGCTAACATATAGTATTAACATAATTACACTGAATCAGTCTGAGTTGTAGGATAACTGGATTTTTGGGAAGGGATTTCTTCCAGAATTCCCACCGACAGAGTTCGCACGACCAACTTTGTCGCATCCAATTCACTTCTGAGATATGGAATGTAGTTTGTTATTGATAAAGCAGTACTTCATTGGTTTAGTCAAACATCCATCAGAAGTGAATTGGATCCGACAAAATTGGATCGTGTGAACAGACCATTAGATCGTTAAGGGTCTTAATTTCGAGTGAAATTATACACACTTCAAATTCAAGCCAGGAACAGTTGATGGAAAAATGAGTCAACTATAGGTCCTCCGGCAGGAATCGAACCTTTTGTGATGCCGGTGCAATGCTCTTGCCACTGTGGCAAGAGCATTGGTTCAGCGTAGGTTTGATTCCTGCCGGAGGACCTATAGTTGACTCATTTTTCCGTCAACTGTTCCTGACTTGAATTTGAAGTGTGTATAATTCCACTCGAAATTAAGACCCTTTAAACCACTAGAATATTCCTGCATCGAGTGAAGTGCCGTAACTAGAACGATAATTGGGGGGGGGGGGTGCTTATTCATATATTCAGTTCTGCCCGACGGGGTTTTTTTGTAAGTGCAATAGCTTACAATAGAAATCCGTCGGGCAAGACTGAATATATCAATAAACACCCTCCCAATTATCGTTCTAGTTACGGCCCTGCGAGTGAAGTGCCAAAAATCATTATTCATTAGATCGTTTAGTATTTAGGAATGAAGGAATGAGTTTCCAAATTAGGAATCAGCGTAGAACCTCCAATGTATGTCATTACCCAATAGCTATGATCAATATTCAATCACGCCGGAACAACTGTTGCTAAATTAAACTTTGCCTGCCGGAATATTTTGAAAAGGCAGCCTAAACAAACTGAAGAGAGTAGTACAAATAAAGAAGGCGGGAATCGAGTCACAGCTTTTAGCTTCTCAAATAATCATTTAATTTGTGTATTCATAATATTTGATGTAGGAACAACATATTTAGCATTTTAATTACAGTCTTAATTAAAAAATTATTCTTTATGGTTCCTGGTGGCGTTTTTGTGCGTTTGAATCGTTGCTAAGGAAAGGGTCGGTTAACCTTTCTTCACTAGTATTTACATTTTTCTTTGAGTTTAACGTTCATCATGACAACGGTTTATTATGTTATTCATTCAGTTCCCTTGACAGTTTTATCTTCACTCCTTTTTAAGTTTCCTCTTGTCTAAACGAGAAACTTGAGTAAACAGGAAGAGATGCGGAGATCGGAAATAACAGCATTTTATGAAAAATAAATATTACCAATCTATCTCTGTCCCATAAGGCCGTCAATTCACATAAAATAGACATTGACTGCATGCATCCAACCTCGTACCCAGGGTCTTTATTCAGGTAAATTGTAAATCAACTAAATCTACTTCAGGACCTTAGCCCGAATTCAGCTTCATTGCTATTTTACGACCTTTTTACCAGCTGACTTAGCGCTGCAATTTTTAGAATTTGTTTTTACTTTCTCTTGACTCTTTTGTACTACCTGATCTGAGTCACAAGCAACGTCTATCAAGCATATCACCCACAATTACGATTCGACGGAATTTTGACCTTGGAGTTATGGAGTAATCAGTAATGTTGTTGTTTTGGTGTAATGATGATGTATGATGCACGCGTAAAAACGCTCAGGTTGCTACAAGCTGATATAAACAGGATGGAGCAATGTTGTGCTGTGCTGCCCACATTGTTCAGAGTTGTTATCACATTGAACAATATTGTTGAAACGGAATCGGGTGTAACTATATTGTTCAATATTGATAACAACTCTGAACAATGTGGGCAGCACAACATTGCTCCATCCTGTTTATATCAACTTGTATCAACCTGAGCGTTTTTACGGGTGCACCATACATGTATACGTGTAAATGGTGTGAATACGACACTGCTGACATATCCACTTTATGCGTATCTTACATGACGTTTGAACAAAAAAAAATCAAGATGGCGGAAAAGCCAAATCAAAGATCAGAAAGTGACTTTGTGCGACAAAGAAGAACTCCTCAACACCATACTCCGAAACAAAAGAACGACATTTATGTTAACAAACAGTCAGATTTTAAATGCCAACTCGAAAGAGCCCAAAAGTTATTAGATTCCGGATACAATGAGATCTACATTCACGGATTAGGAGCGGCCATAAATCGAGCGGTTAATTTAGCGTTGCAGCTGGAGCAAAGAGGACATGGGAGTATTGAGTTATCAGCACAAACATTCAGCACTCAAGTAGTAGATGATTTCAGGTCTGTGAACGAAGAACAGGAAAGTTACTCTGAAGCGAGAACTAAATCTTCAATCAAGATTAAAGTTTATAGAATGTGTACAGATGAAACTGATTAGTTCATATAAAAAAATATTCATTGGAAAAAACGTCATAGTGATTAACAGAAGATATTGTGGAATATAGCTGTAGGCATGACGAGGATACTGTAACGATGTGAATTAATGTTTATATATAATATAACAAACGTACTTCTTGTCGTTCAGTCGTTGTCGATGAGATATATGAATTGAATATGTTATTTCGCCTCATTAGCTACCTTTTTCAATACCTCTTGGAAATGTGCTGATGTCAATCATGTCATCGTTTTTTTACTTGATCAAATTTTAACTTTAATATTGACTGCTTTGATGGTACAGTTAAAAAACGAAACTGACATATCTGTGGCAGTATTGCACATGCCTTTTTCTTCTGTTGTTCTTCTGTTGCAGTGTAGTTCACGATGATATTTCTAACATTGCCATTGGCAAGGTACTACCTTAATCTCTTGCTTTTTCCTAATGAGGAACTTCCTGTGAATAAACTTAAATGGTCAAAAGCCTTGCAAGGGAGCAAGAACATTCATAGGAGGAAATGCAGCAGACGTTTTAAGAAATGACATATTTCCCTGTTACAATCGGCATGTTTTATCTTTTCACTTGGTAGACAACAACGTGGCATAGGTTTTCTATTCAGATATGCCTGTTCAAATTTACAAGGACGTTTCCAAGGGAAAGGATTTCAGGAATCTTATGTTTACTATCGGTAAAATCAAATACAAATATAGAAAGTTTGGCGTCGCGGTGTCAAAGATGAACAATTTCTCAGCTTTTCCAGTTGGAACAACATTTTGACAGCACCTAAAATGCATAAAATCCGTGACGTAGTTAACCTACGGGATCATTTTCCATTGTGGAACTTTGAGGAATATATCCAGTTGGATTGGGGTTGTCACTAAGGCATTTTGTTCACATCAATATGAATTCATTTTCAATCATCGTACTTCTTTCAGCGATTTGCTTCGCTTCTGCGGTAAGTTTAAGTATTTTCGAACTGCAAAACAGTCAGCTGCTCCATTCGGTGTCAGTAAAATTAACGAGCAGAGTATAAACTCGCAAATGTATATTCCTTGATGGGCTATATTAAAACAACGGGGATAGATCACATAAATAAGGTGCATGGAAGATTTTGTGAAACAATTTTGCCTTAGAAGGCGTGCATTGTTTCACTTGCCGGAAAAACTTTATTGAGACAGTCTTTCTTCTACCTTTGAGCATTTTAAACTCTCCGCAATAACGGAGATTGACCGATTCGTTTAAAAACCCGAAGATGCGAGATTTTATTGTTTTGCAGTTGGCTCGGAACGAAACGAAGATATTTTTGTTTAATTCTCTGCAGTGTCAAAGTTATATGAATTTAAAAATCCGTATTTCTGGAAATAGTTCGTAATCTGTGTTGTTCGCATCGCTGGCCAAAAAACAGGTGGATAAGCTATAAAAAGCATATAGTTATGAATACATCTATCGCATGCGCTGTTTAAATTAACAGGATGGATTCTTTTTAGGAGAGTGATAATTGCATGGGTGGTTGTGCCCCAGGCTATTCATGCCGAGTATTGTTCACCGCCACCATTATGGATCATACGTACATTTACCGTAAATGTGTCGAGGATGGTGAAACTGTTGTCACTCAGGAACTCCTGAAACCTTCCTCAAATAGTCCGGCAGAAAACTTTCGACGAACAATAATCAGAGTAAGATTGGTTTTAATAAGTTCTTAGAGTCTTAGAACTTTATTCTAACCAGAACTTAAATCTATGTTTATCATTTTATTGCGTTTTTTGCAAGAGTCAAATCAAATTAATGTCAATTTCATTTTTAGACGTGCACACCTGAGACTGTTGCTGAAGATTGTGGTAAGAAAAGGTGTTGTCTCGGTGGAAAATATTGTTCCCCTTTCCTTCTGAAATATATTCCTTGCAATTTGAAAGTAAGTAGAAGATAGAGTAAGAAGTAGGTGGTGTTAAAATGAGTATAGAAGTCCCGCTATCTAATAGTTCATTCGTGGTTATAACGTTTGAACAGCGTACAGTGGTGTATCATAGTAGCGAGGTTTAGATTTGACCCCCACAACCACTATCGCTACGTTTGAAGAACCATGAACCAATCAATGCAACAACTCTATCAGTTTAACCAATCACGAGTGTAGTAGATCAGCGAGGAGAGAAAACCTGAACCAATCAAATGCAATAATTCAGTATCAGATTAACCAATCACGAGTGCAGTAGATCAGCAAGGAGAGAAAACATGAACCAATCAAATGCAATAATTCTATCAAATTAACAATAGTGGCAGTAGAAGTAAAATCTGAACCCCATTACCGTTAGAGCGGCGCCGATGTTTTAATAAAAATGTTGTCTAATAATGGTTGCCACATGGAGTAATTGTAATAGTGAAGTCATATATTTCAGAATGCACACAAATGTGAATGTGCTGATGGCCTCGTATGCAAAGATACGTACTCTTTCAAGATCCCAGTAATAGGGATTACCCTGACCCTCAAACAATGCATGGAACCCGAGGAAAACACCGACGTCAAGGAAGTGGAAATGACCGAGAACTGATGGCTGTCATTTGCCTAAGCCTTACTACTAAAATTGTTCGTTGTTGTCCTTGTTCTTAGGCTGAATAAATAAAATACAAAGAATGAAAATATCAAGTGTCTTGTGATTTATAACAACGGCTAAACGTTAATTTCCGTTTCACCTCCTATATAGTTGGTATGTTTCACCAACTGACTTGCAAGCGCGTAGCCGTAGCTGGGGGTGGGCTGTGGAAGGTGGGCTGTGCCCTTCCCCCCCCGTTTGAAAATGAAATTGACACTGCCGCTACCGGAGTGCACCAAAAAAGGAACTCCTCAGCAATTTTTTTAGCAGTGCCGCCCCAGAAGTGGAGATCCAGCCACGAGCCTGCTGACTTTTATATACTAGAATTTAGAAGAACGAATGTTCTAATGTATATAGATCAGTATTAACTGTTGCTTTCAGCTCGTTTTTTTAGATATTACAAACACATCTTACAGGGTTGTCAATTTCTAAATATCGAAAAACAAGAAATGCACAACCTGGCCAGAATTAATATTTTTTTGAAATATTATAGTCCGCAGCCAAAATATACGTTCAATGATGATGACCCTTCGACCATCAGGACTGAAAGCTTGTTGCAATGTTGCAATATTGGTTACTAGGCGCAACAGCATTTGATTTGCTCGTTTAACTTCAGTTGCTCCAGTGATCAACACCATATGTTATAAACCTTATTTACCACTCTGACAATAATCAAACTAAGCTCACAAGCACAGAATACAATAAAGAGAGCATTTAAATGATAAGTTGAATAGTGATTAAGTTGTCAGCTGGCGTAAACATGCTCTATTGTAGTAAACTGATTTGCATCGATTTGCAAGTCGATGCATATCAAATGAACGAGAGTGTTGATGAGATGACAATGAAAGGACTTATGTCATCCAGTCTTAATGCAAGCTGATCAAGACTCCAATTTGTTTAAAAAAAATACCATTTAACCACTCGTTGGGCAGTAAAATCGCAGATTAACTCCAAGATTCTCCAATTTTGATTGGTAATATTATTTACTAACTATACTTGTCGTTAACATCGTTGTTATCGACAACTGGTCGAAGGTTGTGTGTTGACATATGGTAGTTCACATGAGAGTTTTATCAATCCTTACAAATTTTAACGAATTAATAGTTCTGATTCCGACGCTTATCATAAACTCTTTGATCGCATGGGAGTGATGGGACATGAAATTGGCAACTTTAACCCGCCCTTTGGCTTTGAGCTGGGTTTTTGTCGAATAGTCTGACTAAGAATCCTAGAAAGAAAAGTTAGACGCCAATAAATAAGATAAACTGTTAGGTCAAAGAAACTATTTTTAAAGTTGAATCGGTAAACACATAAACAAGGTGCTTGGATAACTTGTGCTTAAAACGAGATAACTGCACAAAACACGAATAACTGCTCATGCACGACGATGTATTATTTGCATACGTAGCAATTGCCAATACTGAGCCTGAAGATTATTATTCACGAAAGACAGAGACCTATGTTATCTTTTACTGTTAGGAAATTTAATAAAATATTAGAAAAAAACACTCAGATGTTGTTCTTTGGAGTATATGTTTTTTCTTTCAACTCCGACGCCATCCCAAATCGGAAGAATTTGAACTGAGTAATAACATTTTAAAATTCATGCTTATAGACAATATAGCACAATTCTATCGCCTATAACTACAAGACAGTGAAACAGTGATAAGCCAGGGAACATGACAACAGTGAAGCATGTGGATGGTGAGGCAAAATGTTACATGGTGTCTGTGGCGATATTTTCGTTTTTATTACCAAGACTGTTCGAGGCAATGAAACCTTTATTCATCTCATGGTCATAGCCTAACAGTAAAGATGAATGCGTTTACTCATGACCTCATTGAGTGCATTAATATCCTCGTATGTTTATAAACGTTTCTTTCCTCGGTGATAATATTGTCAAGGCTACCTTCGTGAAATATCCCTCTTATAATTTCTTATCGAACATTCTTTTTTAACAAGGTAAAACCATTCAGTAATCCAACGAAACAAAATCTTGGCTATACACATTCCTTATACTAACGTCTAGAGCAAAAAGTAATACATGATAACATCACACTGGACGAATTTCCCCGTTGACAATGAAGGGCTAATTTTCGTTGTCAAAAGTTTATATATGGTTTCACATGAAGGTTCACATGGCATGTTTGCATTGTCCCGTATTTGGCTAAGTAGTGGGTGGGATTTGGCCTTATCGGCTTGAAGCACGAATAACGAATATTACAAACCCAACTAATGTTGGCCCTCGGATATTCGCATTTGAATTGCAACAGTAATCCTTTTTTCGAGCCATCAAATATATATTTTATAATTGTTCCTGAACTATCAATTTGGCACCATCAGCGGGTCAATGAAATAATACTATAATGAAAACAATATATTAAACATGATTTACGGGCCTGTGTACATGCATAAATGCATAAGGAAAATACTCATTAACAGTGTTGCCAACACCAGAGAATTGACCGCAGTTGAGTGGCGACATTTTAAAATAGCAAGGTATTGAAATTGGGTGGCTTAATTCATAAGTTTATGGGTGAATAGGGGTAAAATAGGGTTTAGTATTGTTGGGGGAGTTTAATTTTACAGAAACGTGCAGCAGTTTTAACAAAAATCTAAATTTAAATGGTGCCCCGTGGTCGAAGATGTCAATCCATTGTTCAAGATGCAGGTGGCTTTATGCGGTAATTGCTTTCCATAGCTTACAGGTGTGACATGAAAGTGAGGCTCAATCAATAACCATCAACCAACATGGCGTCGTGTTGTTTAGCTGTTTGGCATTGTCTTCACCAAACCGTACTGTATTGTACACCAGAGAAAGGCCTGTAGTCGCTCAGACGTAATGATGGCTGACGAGGACGAATCGAGAAAAGGGTAAGGAAGTCAAAACCTTCATAAACTTGCAGCTTTTGGTTTATTTATATGACATTTTTGCTTGCCACCTTTGAGTTTACGGTCGAGCGACTCGATGAACTACCATGTTTGCGAACCTTAAAATTGGTGTTGTTGTTAAGAAGTGATCTTTGAACACTACATTCTTTCTCTCGCTTTGCTTCAAGGCAAAATTTAGAAATGATTGTGTCCAAGTTGGCGAAAGAAAAACCGGCGAATGGTAATATAATACTGGTAAGTTTCAAAACTCAAAACGTTGTATGCAATGACTGTCACCAGTTTATGTTTCGATGTAACGGTGACAGATTTAAGCCGTAAATTACCTTTAACTTTTACTGTGGTATGTACTAAGGTTGAAGTAAACTTAGTAGGGATTTGATAAAGGAAAAGACTAGTATTCAAGGGGAGTTTACCGATATTTGAGCGGGTTGAATACGGGAGTTATAAATCTTTACCGATATTGTTTTTCTTCGTCGGCTATTTGAACTGGTGGTCAAATTTTGAAGTTATTTTATAATCGGGCGATGGTTTTTATGATATATTTTAGAATTTCGATAAAATTCTAGGCAAGGCAATCGAAAATAAGGCGATAAACGTAGCAGAAATGTGAAATATCCATATTTTCTATTCAGAACTCCAAACAAAAAACTCGCATAATCGCATTGAAAAGCCAACGTGTGTGCCACGCTGGTTAAATGCTAACAAACGATTTTTTGTTTCTATTTGCATACCATTTGTCTGGAGAACAAAGAAACGACATGGTCCTTTATTCTGTAAAACTTACACACGAGTTTTTGGTGAAAACGTTTGGGGTTTTATTACTTGTGGTGCGAAAATACGCTTTGATATATCGAGTTGTTGTTGATATCTATCTTATGAGCAGATGTTTCTTTCGCCTCTCAAAATGTTATTAACATTGTTAATTTATTCAGAAATGAAACTGTGATATATTTTGTGTTTATTTCTTCTTGTCAGAGCTTATTAAAAAGGAAATGAAGCTAAAATATTTATTCTTGGTGTTTTCAGATTTATAGCTAAGTTTGGTCAGTACTACAGTATTTTAACTTGCCATAACCCCTAATATTCTGTTGTGTATTTATTGGTTTTGTATAAGAGCATAGACATAATAGTTATCAGTATTCTTATTTCTCCCTTGAGGCTTTTCAAAATACTCAACAAACTTGCTTTATGTTATTTGTTCAAAGATACAAAATTAAGTTTGAACTAGTTTTTCAGAGATAAATTGGTATTGTACAATATATTATAAAATGACAGCTAAATATTCAAACCTGTCAGATAAAATTTAGCTTTGAAGTCTTTTACAAGATGTTTTTAGTTGGCCCTTTTTGAAGACACAAACTGTCCTATATTCTTTGGTTTCTTTCTAAATACTAGTCTAAAATCTAACCAGTTGTATTGACAGAGTGGTGTAGATTGCACTATGAACTGACAGCAATAAATTTCACAAAACACATTATGCACAGCAGATGTATTGTTTGAATGGCCACATTCATTGGAAAACTATATTTACGGAAATAACAGAAAGGACTTCTATTTTGACTTCAACTAACGTATGAAAGAGATTTTACCCATTTATGCTGAGTCCTGCTAATTTTTAAGTTGAAAATTTTGTGGTGTCATTTAAGTGTCTGTATGTCTTAAGAATAAAGTGAAACAGCTGGTTTAAACTACAGAAACATGTCTCTATGTTTTCAATCTTCAAGTTCTTGACTAATGCAGTTAAATGAAAGCTATCACTGTGTTGTAGATATGTTTTCAATAAATGCACATTTGATTTGTGTTTGGTGTGATAGGTAAAATTTGTTGTATGGGTGTAACATGAGAATCATAAAAATGGGTATATATTGCATATGAGATTGATATATCTTGAGGCTTATTTGAATGACAATGGGTTATTTATTTTAAAAGTGTGCTCTCTGTCACACAGTTCCTAATGTGTGATTGAGTGGCATGATAAAGAATCAATTTTAACGAACCCTTTGGAGTGGTGTTGATGCTCAGGCAAGCTTTCTGAGTATATTGTAAATATTGAATATGTCTTCTTGTATACTGAAATTTATTTCTCATGTAATATCTGGTGTGGAAAAATACAGTTTGAGAGTTGTTTGTCAGCAAGATTATCAACTGACATATTGAATGTTGTATGTGACCATGTATATTGCATTTTCTCCTAATTTATAATTTATACCCATATGTGTTTGAAACCATTAATGCTTTAGAGTGTGGTATATTGCTAAGCTAATTCATATGGATTGTAATTACAACTCACTCATTTTACCTACTCTATGATAATTTTCATGAATGTTTATCAACTACTTTCCACCATTTACTTATGCTGAAATAGTCCTAATCTAATGTTATTATATGTCTCAAAGAATAATGTTTATTACTATTGCCATGCCCACCATTTTGTTATGCTGAAATATATTTGCCAACTGGAAGATTAGCAGTCTCTGGCAGAGTATTCAGCAATTGTATGTTATGTTATTGTTATTTATAATTTATACCATTTGTTTATTTGGGTAATAGCTTTATATTTTGAGCTGCAACTGATTCAGATTTTAACCAAAAACAAAGATCGATAAACAAGCTATCTTCTAGGATAAAGTAATGTATCTTTTTGATAAGTTTCTTCAATTCATTACCATTTATAAAAATTGGTGTTACATGTTCCATGTCAGTTAGGATCTGGGAATATTCAGAGTGATATGCAATCATCAATATTTTAATATTTATTTTGTCCATATTCATAGCTTTACCCATATATGTGTGAACTAAATATAATAATGCCTGCTTCGATCATAATAATGGCATAACATTTGAACTGAAGACCTGGTTGTAATTTTATTATGAAGCTGATATAGACTAGTACTCAAACAATCTGGTAAATGAATTATTATGTTATTGCCACAAGCAGGTGTAACTTAGAAAGCAATGTTCCATTTCTATATTGTGCTCTATCTAACGTTAAAGAAGCCTTTAAAGAACTCATTAAAAAAGCCTTTTAAGCTTTTACAAAACAATACAATTATTGGGAAAAAATACAAAAAAGCATGGTCACAGAATCATCTCTTTCAGCTATAAATATAATTGACTACACTTTTACCAACTGTACTCTCACTGTATTTTAAAATCAACTACCATTGTTGTGACGTACAGGTTGATGTTTTAGCAAACTTTCTTGCACTTATTGGTTAAAAAAACTACCTTAAAAACAGTCAGTAATAGGCAGCTAGATTGCACTCTGTTTTGCATAATTTGGACATGTCCAGTATAAATTAGGTCACCAGCTAGTGTGTTGAATTAAATTTTTTATTATAATTTTAGATATCAGGAGTGAATATTCAAAATTTGTCTTTTCCTGATGGTAAGTCTTTTCTGCTCTTTGTATATTTTGTAGGTTAATGACTCTGTGATGTCCAGAGTCCATGTGAGGAGATTCATTGATCTAAACAGGATGAACTATAGGAATGTTCTTGCTTAATTGTCTCAGCTAAATTGGATTTTGCACCATAATTTCATAATGATGCAGCATTTTCATATTATTACTCTCTCTGACACACACATTTTCCTAAACAGACACAATCTGTCTGGTTATCCATTCTAATAATGAACATATTTTTGTCTTTGATAAACATTGATAATTTTTTATAAAGTGTTTGCAATTTTTTTATATCACCCAGAGTGACCTTAGAGTTGGTTTTCATTTTTATGTTTAGTTTGTCTTATTTCATTGTTGTTGTAATTGGTTGTCCGGCTTTTAGTATTTTTTTTTTACCAAAACCTTTCTGTTTAGATGCAGAAGTGGAGAGTGATGAGTGTGACCCAGATCTGCATCAATGTGGCAAATGTAAACAAATGTTTAGTAATCTTGAGAAATATCTTCGACATCGTGCCAGCAAATCTTGCAGAAAGAAACAAGCTGACTTGCATGATGTTACCAGTGATGATGGTGGAAGTCCCAGTCAGATGCCTGAAGTTGTGCAGGTCAGTACCAGAAAAAGTATTACTTTTGCAGAAAAACTGGGTAACAACTTGCATGAATTGACACAATATTTAATAGAGCTCCCGGGGGAGAGTTCCCATCATTCTTGTGCACAGGCAAGGTTCAAACTTCACCCTGTTGCGTCACTTCACTCATCTTAATTTGATCTAGATGTCCAAAATGTGAAACAACATTAATAATGTAATGACTTAAAATCATTACCAGTGAAAACTAAGGAAAAAACAACATCTTGTGGGACTAAAATTTGAGGTTTAAAGCAAAACAACAAGTTTGTAGTGAAATTTCCACTCTTTCAAAGTTACTGCGTGACATACTGGTTTGACAATGAATTTAGAATAGAGATGTTATATCACTGTAAATTTTATTTGTTCTAAGCATAAAGATTTGGTTAACAAGATGTTGTTCAATCTTTGAAGCATGTCTTTAGACTTTATGTACATAGTGATCAGAAGCCATACATTGAGTAGAGTGAAATATGTGTGCTCTTATTTCTGGAAACAGATGGAAGCATCAGGCAGCGGTAACACGCAGGGAGGTGAAAGTCCAGAACAACAGGATGTCGCTAACAAAAGGTAAGCTGTCTGCGGTAATAATTGGCATCACACTTGACATCACACTAGTTGACATTGACGCTTTTTTTTCAGGAAACATGATAGAAAGGGCGTGGCGCGTAAGAGAACAAACCTGTCAGCCGAACCAATGACAAGCAACATCACTAGTACTGAGCATCACCGCATCAGTATGGATGGTCTACCGGAAATCATTCGACCTGGTTTCACGAGTACTCCAACATTCACAACGATTGGAGGATATAGAACTACCTATGAACATGCATCTGTGCCCAACAATGATCTGTATGCTTTGATGCAGTTGACAAAAAATTCTGGAATAAAGGAAGTTCACGTTGACGAGAACGGCGTCACCACAAGTAGGTCTTATTCTGTTTTTATTAGTTATTCGTATTGTCTTTTAGGCAACAGCTGTTGCCATTTTAGGTCTTTTGTAGCATTTAACTGGGATTTAGTAGCATTTTGCTAGGAAATATTACAGCGCACACAAAATGGCTGCACCCTCAGCCTGTATATCACAACCCAGTCTGTTTTATTCATAGGCTGGTTTAAATGCATCTGCATTCCTGTTTCTATTTGATCCAGGATGCATTTTTAAATTATGTTTTCACTTATTATGTCAGATAATTAATATAATGCTTAAAAATAAAATAAAAATAAAATTTTAAAAAATCCTAGGTCGACCTCGGGAGTTGTTGAATGGCGGAGTTCACTCTATTTACCATCGTTCCCCGCTCAATTCCCCTCCAAATCATCGTTTTCCAGCTCCTCTTGCGATGCATAATCATATCTCAGCATTGCCCCGTAACCAGGAGAATATACACCATGCAGAGAATGTTCTCCACCAGGAGAATGTACTCCACGGAGAGTCTGTTCTCGTGTCTTTCCCGGGGGTTGAAAATCCGGATGCAACCCAGAAAGGCGCGAAACGACGCTACAAATGCGATAAGTGTGACCGCGACTTTAACCAAAGAGCGAACCTCAGGCGGCATCAGTTAGTGCACAGCGGTGAAAAGCCTTTCGAGTGTGAGCAGTGTCATAGGCGCTTCCAGCAACAGGGAGACCTGAAACGACACATGTTACGTCATGCCGAGACCACGTGGTATCACTGCCAACCTTGCGAGAAGAGATTCATGCGGATTGATCGTTGGAAAGCTCATATGAAAACCCACGAGGAAAATGGCACACTTCCCCCGGAAATCGGCGAGGCCTCCATGGTCGATGTGAGTAACGGTCCCTCGCTAGAGACGGGGGAGAATGAAGCCACCGAGAAACCGATGGGATCTCACCATATTTGTTCTAAGTGCAACCAAACATTTATGGAACCTGATGAGCTGCTCGTTCACACATGCGCTGATGGGAATATTCATGTCACTGCTGTTCCTGTGGAAGCCAGCACGCAAGATGGCGCAGATTTGGAGCCTGAAGCGGCAGTTAAGATGGCGGAGCGTTATGTCAGAACACAGGCTGCAGATTCCGATCACTCGCGTGCGTATAGTTCGTCCAGATCCACCAGAGGAAAACTAACAAACCCACACAAATGCCCGCTATGCAACGCCCATTACAAGAACGAGGACTCGCTAAAAACTCATATCTTAAAACATTCCGGCGAGAAGAAATACAAATGCGACCAATGTCCGAAAGCATTCTTTACATCCAGTAACTTGAAGATCCACAGACGCATACATTCTGGAGACAAACCTCTAAAATGCAAAGTCTGCTTTAAGGCATTCAGCGATCCATCGAATTTCAACAAGCACAAGAAATCGCATATCAAAGGTAAGCTGGATCCTCGCGGTGCACCCAAAAAAGGAAGAAAACGCGAGACAAAAGAGGAACACCCGGGATTTAACGAGACATTGGTTGAAGCTGTGGGTAAAGAAGGTGAAGTGATGCAGTTTGGTTCCCCGTCAAGAGAATTTTTGCAAAGCCAGTATGAAGCACTGTTACCAGCGTTGGAAGACGGTCGACACGAAACAAAGGTGGTGGATGGTGTTGATATGCAGCCAAGTGAAGGTATGGAGGGTTCGTTTGGTGATGATAATATCAAGTATTCAGTACCGTTCATTGAATCACCATCGTATTAGATATGGTTTTTTAGCTTGCTTTTCATTCTCTTTAAAATGTTTGTAAACCTGAATAGCGATCAAATTTATTGTTTGTATTACGTGTGTGTTTTCACAAATAATACAAATAATGCTTTATGTCAGTAACGATCTATTCTTTGAGGGAAACCAAGGCATGCAAACGTTCGTTATGGTTTTAGGAGAATAAAATAGGTGTAGGAAAGGCAAGAGAGGGTTTTAGTAGGGTGTAAGAGGGGTACAATAAGGATATGAATGTTGATTGTTCAGTATTCTGTCAACAACTGGCAGATTGAAAAGTAAGCTGAATACGCAAAATGTGATGGTTCTAAAGGCGGTATTAAGTTATTCGATGATGTATGTGTGAAGGATGAAAGCTAATGTACTAATTTAGTAATTGGCTTGATTCATCGCTAGAACATTAAGGAAGGTTATCGAGAGTGAAGAATCGAAATCTGACTTTCCTCAACTTTTGTTTGGCGGAGATGTGAGTTTAGGATAAAGCAGGGGGGGGGGCGGAAAATAGACAGGCACGTGGCCTCGAAGGAGATTTATTATTATAATATGCGGGAGAGTTCAGTGAAACAAAATGTTTCATACCATTCCATGGATCCAGATCTTCAGTCTGATGCTTTGCAGATAATTTATTATCTCCAAGCTTTATCTTGGCAAAACATTACTTCCACCCCAAAATAAAAGTTCGGTAACACGGATGGCCATGTTGCAGGGACAAATCCTTTGACGGGGACACAGGGTCACACGCTTGTTCCCAAATACAACGTGTGCGTGCAACAGGGGCCTTCATGTTACCAAACTTTGAGGATCGAGATGTTTGATGAGGGTCAGATTCAGAATCGGGGGTAGTTCTTGGGTTATTATTGGAATATAAATGTAGTGGGACATATGTTTTAATATATCGAAGGAGCCCCTAAATTTAATAGTTATTTAAATTATTCATATTAAAAATACTAATGTTTTAGCCTGGCCATGGGAAATATTATAGCGATTGTAAGGTGGGTTATGTTTGAAATGTAGTAATAGGTAAGTTTGGTGAATTAACTCTCATTTCTAGCCGTCCTTTTCCCTAATTGTTCGCTTTATCCATAGATATCTATGGTTATATCTCATTCACACCGCAAGCCAAAAATATAGGGTGGGAAATTAGGCTAAAGTAATATACATCAGTGACAGGTATCCAAATGTAAGCGGTAGTAGAGCCTGTGCATACTCGGTGGTTTACTGGGAGAGAAAATCACGCCCGGAACTCGTTTACATTGGATTCACCTGTAAGATCTTGAGGTACCTTAACGCCTTCAGCGAAGGTCCTCAATTGTGGTACTTGTCATGAGAAGTAAGTTTACAGGACAACGGCAAACGGCTCAGTCCATTTTCTTCCTCCGAGTATACTTCCAATCTTAAAGCAACCATATGTGTTGTTTTAGATTTTCTGAAAGCCAAGATTTTCTGAAGTTTGTAATAATAACTAACAGAAAACCTTCTTGTTGCAAAGCTGGAATTATCTTTTTAATTGACATTGTTGATCAATATCTGTAGTTTGTTTACGAGCATTTTGCATTAGTTGAAAAAATCACTACAAGGTGGATAGTCTGCTTTGTAAGACACAACGCAGTCAACGTCCACCACCATGCAAATATCAAAGACAAAAGGCTAGAAATGAGAGAGTATTCTTGGGATGTATTATACGGTACTGTAGCTAGTTCCATATTTGTAGTATATTATATATAAATATATTTAGATGTTAATGTATGCATCAGTATAATAATTATAGTATTATTATTATTATGATCAAGTAAAGGTGCGAAACACCTAACTTTTATTTATTAAGAAATTAAAGTATTCCTTATTTGAAAAGTTTAAACTATCGTAAAGTAATTAGATGTATTAAGTGAATAAAATATTGCTAAAAGGTGCTTTGTCTTTCGTGTCACGAGTTTGTATGGTATGAAGTTTGCATGATTTGGGAGAATCTTCTCTGCTTCCTATGTCATCCTTTCAAGATATAAAGTCAAAATTTGTATATCATCCGACCACTTCTAATCGCGTGTTTTGCGTTGCATGCGTGCATAGCACTTCTATTAAACCGTTCAGACGTGTTTGTGTAAGTAGTAGCATCGTTATACTAAAAGTAATTCAGTACAAGTGCAAATTTCTTTAAGTAGGCAGGCATATTTCGACCAGTCGCGGCCGTCAAAATATATCAACGCCAGTTTTTTTGGTCGTGTCGTTGCGCGTTTTTGCAAAAGCGATCACATTACTTAGAAAAAAGAACGAAGGTGTACCATTTTTGGGTTTATATATGCTAGTCTAGTGTAGATATTCAATCTTTGATAGACCGAAGAGATTCAAAATAAATTATAAGTTTTATTTTGCGTAGAAAATTGATCACAAATACAATCTATTAATCTTATTTTTATATATACAAGGAATTTAAAACGGTAGTTAACTATCTAATATTTGAGGAAGCGGAATAGATTTCTATCCTGTGTGTGCGCGTGTGTACTGTCATAGTACACGGATGACGTCCTGGTTGGAAAGGTAGCATTACCTTACCCACGAGGTGTAGGTGAGGTTTCTTGACTTCGTTTTTTACTCATCTGGCGTCTTCTGCGCACTAATACAGTACGGTACACGTGCACATACACACAGTAAAAATGCCATTTTTCTCTTATTCTTGCACATCAACTGACTACATTTTAAACTTATTTTTCTAATTTGTCGACATTGTGATGTCATTCGTTTATTTAGTAAGTTCTCAACCAACCAAATTGCTAGAAATACTCAAGTTGTTTTATAGTAATTAATAACACTAAGTGAAAACACATTCTGATTATTCTCCTAGGAGAGACCACGCCTGCTAGCAGACTCGGGCCAGCCTGAGAAACCCAGGACGAAAATAGCTACACTAGCTGCTATAGATCAAATCATGTTTTCACACATCGTTCTCATTCTGAACTATCGCTCGTATTCCCCTGAACATGACATCAAAGAGATAAACGAAACTCTCAAAAAATTTGCTTTAAAGTACTCTTTGAAATCAAGCTCAGACTGTAAAAATTAAGCGTTTCTAAATTTTTGTTTAAAAAATTCACGTGGAGAAACGTGTTTAGCTACATTTAGTAGAATACAACAAACTATACTCTTGGGCCACTTCTATCATTCGTTCGAGTCGTCTTTAAATTGTTCTTCTTAAATGAAGAAATAGAGCTTAACAAAGCCCCTCTACCCTTTGTTGAGGGTGGAGGGCCATTAGAGGTGGTTGCAGGGGGTGGTGGTGGTGCTGAAGGTGGGGCAGGGACGGCAGGAGCTTTTGATGCACCATTGCTATCTACCGAATGAGCTTTCTCTGCAAAATTTTCACAATTACATTAGTTTTGGTTGGTAATTTACATGAAAATGGTAGTGTGTTGATCTAGTCTAAGATAATAATTAATGTGCATTTATGTTAGTGTAGTATTAGTACTAAACTGACCTGGATATAATATTTCTGCATGGTGCAGGTTAACCTACGGCAAAAACACTTAGTTACGTCCTATTATGTTAGTTTGGTTAAACTCAGAGTGATATAAAAATGATTATAAAAATAAGTGCAGAGCGCGCCCGAGCGAACGATTTCAATGTTATTTATCTCATTGGAAATACTAATGTTTAGCCAATTAGAAGAGATGAAGAGTTCATTATAGATGAAATTAGAAATCAAAGTAGATTGTTGACCTACTTGTTGTTGCTTTGGTACTGTTTGATGTAGGATTTTCTGCGAGAGATTCTTGTTTCTTTAGATGCTAAACATAGCGACACAAGTCGGAAATATTTACCATTCCAATATACACGAAAATAACAGTAAAATGACTCATAAATGCGCACAAAGAAACATTCAGACAGAGCCAATTAGAATAAATGAGGAGTTCATTAGAAGAAATTCAGTTAATCAATCTCACCTTTCTCTGTTGTCGACGTTTGTCTTTTTCTTCTTTTGATGTGGCTTTGGCCTGGGCTTTAGAATATCTTCGAAATTGACTCAACTGCAATGATATTTAGAGTGGGATAATCTTTCACGGATCTATATTCCTGGTATATTAGGACACATAGTTAGGTTAGAACTTACAAGTTTCTGATCTTCTTTAAGACGTTGCTCAATGCCTTCTTTGACTAGTTTCAAAGCCTCTTTAAGTTTGGAAGGAATCTATACAAAAAGGTTGTGATATGTAGTGTCATATCTGCCCACAATCTATAAATGAAACATATCGCTCTACCACGCAGCCTTACCTTCAAAGACATTTTCTCTTCTGGTCCTAACTGTACTTCGGCAAAAAATCTAAAACACACGAAATATTCGAAACATTCATGCCATATTCACGTAATTGTGCTGTATATTAAATCAGCCAATATGACTTTCAAACTTACGGAAGTTGGAGAAGTTCATTGACGGTTGGAAGACCAGCTTTGCATGCATCTGGCATCAAGATGGAACTTAGTATTGGCTCTTAAAATGAAGCAACACATTTTAAGATTAGGAAATTTGGCATTGAGATCGAATGCTTTTTACGTGGTTAAACTGCATTTTGCTTACTTTAGAGACATGACTTATGAATAAGTGTATAACAGTTCCTTAGGTAGTGGTCAATGCAGGCAGCTACTAGTTAGTTCAAAGAAAACAATTTTATAACAAAATATGGGTATATTACCAAGTAATGGCGGACAATTTGGTGGTATTTCATCTGTGGTTGGTGCACGTAACTCTTTACCAAACGACATTTCATAAAGAACGTGTCCAAAGCAATACACATCCTGCTGATTCAAGTCCTGTTTTGCCAATGTAGAATAATGAGTAAAGAATCGACCGCATTATGCCACTAATATATTTTCGATGAGTCGATCGATCTTCCAGACGCCTAATGAATCAATTCATACGGATATTGTATAATCAATCATCCTGACCTGAATCTTCTTCAGTTCCAGTAAATGATGACGGTGTATTGAAGGCACGCCCAATAAACTATTTTCAATATCCAGTAACCTTAGTACGAAACAAGACGGTACAGATAAATTGAATGACGATAACTAACGAAATGATAGATCCATGTTTCATTTTTAAACACATCAAATTTACCTAGCAACATTTTCCTCCATTAAAATATTTCCAGTGTGTAGATGACCTGAATGATTAAAAATAAGTAACGTACCCTCAAAAACACACCGGAACAGGGGAGAGATCCCCCTTTAATACCCACCATTACAGACGGCAAATGATAAATATTTTACACTAATGACTGTAATGTATTTTGTTTTTTCCAAATTTCAATTACCATATGGAAAGCCTTTGTCCTGGAGAGTTTTAAGAGCTTCTAATATTTGTCTTCCACATCTTCTTATGTCCTCTAGTTGCATAGCAACTGGTAATTTCGGATAACAGTATTTCTTTAGGTGACTTACTTTTGGCTTCGCCTATAAGGATAGGGATTCTCTGTCAAATGAAGATTTTAACACGATATTGTACTGTAATATACAATTTTTACACACGTTATTCAAAGTCTTTCTTAATTTGATATCCGGCAAGGAAACTGCTTGTAACAAAACAAAAGAAATTAACATTTTGAAGAACTCGTGGGAGTTTAAGCGGAATTACAACGGAACTACAAGCGGAACTACAAGCGGAATTACAACTAAAACAGAACTAGACTTTTCTCTATGACTATAGTCGGAACCGTCCACGAAGTTAGGAGTGTCTCAGGTGCAGCTCATAGTTATACTCGTGAGAAACATGTGAAAATTTGAGCGTAGCGGATTCCCTTGACCGTCACAATTGAGAAGAAAATCAAGGGAGAAATTTTGTTCAATCAAAAAATTCCGGCCAGTGGAAAAGGAAACCTCGTAAAAGAGAAAAGACCCGGCGTACGAGTGGAGGCTTAAGCCCTAAGGCTAAGTGGAAATTGGGCATTGAAAACAATAGTGAAACTAAACGTGGTGTATCCAGAATATTGGATTATATCTTTCTTTATAAAATAATTAGTAACAAGGACTGGAAAAATGAAAAAGCACAAAATGGTGTTTTGTAACTGCCACATGGAATCACAGAAATAAGATTCTTTCACAGAAAAGAAGATTTAATCCTTGGGAAAATGCTGGTAACATATTAAGCTGCTACAATCTAAGAAAATTATAATTATAGTGGTTATAAACTATACTGTCAGCTACTTTCCTTTTCATTCCTTCATCCTAAGATTCATACTTACATATATAATTTGTAGAGCTGAATATACCGGCCACCATTCCATACCTTACAAATAAAATCCTTCAATGTTCCTGACTGTCTGAAATCCCTCACCACAACAGCACCTTTCTCATGGGCAGTTGCAATACGTACAGGGCATATGTATGGATGCTGGTAAGAGCACAACAAACAATCTACATAACTATTTAATTCATAGTATAAAATTGACCTCCAAGTTAATTCTTGCTAACAAAAGGGTAGTTCATTACCAAAATATTTGTTAGTAATTTCATGGCAGCAGGAAGGTCTTTATCTTTGGACAAACAAAAATCAGGCCCATATTCAACCTATAACATAAGACTTTTTTAGTAATACAGTAATAATAAAGCAATAATTTTCAAAAATGTAGAAAATGTTGATACCCAAGACAAAATTTGACGATCATTTTTTTGTGTAGCCCCAGCATACTTAGTGAGAAAGTAATGTTTGCGGATCCTCCAACCTAAGAATGGAGTTAATGATTTAACTATGTAGAAGTAAAACCCTTTGCTTGAAACCTTACAAACTTTAAGCTAATAGCAAATTATTGTACTTACCAATATCTGGAAGATTCTCAACTAGCTCCCATGAAGGTTCAGATCGATAAAACATTGCAACTTGTTCTGCAGCTTCATCTAAAGAATAACACTTTAGTCTTAGCATAAGACTGTAATATAAATTGATATAGTCAGGTCACACTAAAGCACCTTGCATGTTAGCAGGGTAGTTTTTTGGATCCATAAATTGTTTGAAACATTCATGTCTAACAAACATGGGTTCTTGAGTAATGGAGTTGAGGTATTGCTGTAACCCAGTAAGTCTTTCAGCAATGAAGGCATTATCCATATTTCCAAACATTTTCTTTGGTGGTAGAGGTAGAGTGGCACCAGATGTCTAGAAATAATCATAAACATGGTAATAGATTACTATCATCAAAGAAACGAATAAAATTGATTATTCATAGAAAATTCCTACCTCAAGAACTTTATTCATTAGGTCAAAATCATTATACCGATGTGAAACCTAGCAGAATATGGGGGAAAACTTAGTAAAGGAAATAGTTTAACATTACAAAACAATTTAAATCAACTATGTTTTCACCTTCCAGTGATTATCTGGATTTGGTCCTCTTTGGACCTTGATGCAGTATTCCTAGAAATGGATGATTACTTTTTAGAAAACATATATTATTCAAGGCTAATAAAAATATAAGATTATGTTTTACAAACTGATATATATAATTCGAAAATATTTTCCTTGTGAATAATATGAACGCAAATCATCCCGCTTGTGCCTAGTTATATTTGCAGAAACAATAATAATACTAATACCAATAGGTATCTTGTTAAGTTGTTATGCAACTTGCCGAACTTGTTACATTTACGTGATGACAACGATTTTGAAATTGCGAATTCAACTTACGACGTAGGAATCTTTCTTATCTCGTCCCTCGATAACGCAACTCAAAGGAATCGTATCATCCAATTTGGATGTAGATTTTCGCTTCTCAAGCAAAGCCATTCAAATTGAAACAAAAAAATAAAGCTAAGAGTGTTCAGACGTTCCAATGCAACTTTATGAGGTAATTTGTATAATGTTTCTTTTTCCGTCTTTGACTGGGCTGTCTAAAAATACTGGATGGATATGGATGCCGAAAGTTGCATGATATTCCAGTTAATGCAGTCAGTGACGTTGACTGCATTGTGACCACTGAGCTATATAATAATTCCTGGAGGACCGGCTCCTAATGTTTTTTTCTCAAAAAGTGAAGCAAAAAACATGGCGGACTTCGCCCTTCTGCGCAACCGCAGAAGCTCTGCTGACGCCACTTGGTTCCTTTTGGCCATGGTATTTACCACTGACCAGGCTCAATAATGAGCCCGCTACAGCAGTATTCTCCCCCCTGGTTTTTGTAAATAACAATTCTCCCCCCTGGTTTTTATATTTTTTTGCCGTGAAATCTTGTTTGTTTTTGAAATATTTTTTGGTTGTTTTTTTGATATTTTTCGCACTGACATCTAATAAAGTTTTATTTTAAGATGAATACAAGTCATACACGCTGTTTTTGCCAGTGCGGGAACGAATATATATTAAAATATCGAAAAATGTGGACAAACTAAAGATTTTAATACTGACACAAACTGACAGGTTTATTATTTTATTAGTCTTAATAATATTTTTGTTATTTATACATTCCAATATGAAAGTTTACAAATGTTTGAATGTTTTGGCACTATCCTCGCATATTTTGAAGACAACTAGGAATTTATGGGCAACAATTTGACTTTTCTAAACCCTGAACTGATGAATTGCGCAGGAAGTATGTAATCAGTATTCAGTATGTGATGCTGTCTTCAAGACTTTATATCTATGCACAATCCAAAATCCAAAAAACAGAGGCCATAGCTCAGGCAAAATGCTGGGCAGCTGACGAATACTAAGTGCAGGAATATAGTTTCAACCAAGAATCATATTTGCATAATATACTTTTCGTACAAGTCATCAACTTGTACCTTAATAAACCTGTTTTCAGCATTCTCTAATTGCATCCCTGGACCCCTGGTCATAGAAAAAATAACATTTATCCCTCCATAGGCTCCACTGATTAGCCTAATGAATATAGCCCTCTTGGAGGTTGATACCATACACAGAAAATTACAAAAGTTGCTGCAGATTGAAGACACACTGCTCAGTCAATGCATGTTTATATTTATTTCATTAATTAATAAATATGACAAATGGTATAAGAACACCAGCCAACAACAAAATCAGATAACATGGAAATGAAGAATAACAATGCACAGTCATAAAATGCATGAACTTCATCCTGAAAAATAAAAATGGAGATATAATCAAGATTTATTCCCAAGGTGCAAGAAGCTAAAAAATAAATTAAAAGCCATGATAATTGATCATTTCACTTTGGATTTGACAAAGTAAACAATATAATATATTAACTAGGCTTTAACAGGGCTCACTATCAGAGGTTGGAATTAATTTACACTGTTTACAGCATCTTTTTATTTTGTATTAGCACCCTCAGATCATGTTAATTAATGCTGGGTGGGATAAATAGAAGAGGGACTATAGTAGACTCACTGGGGGAATGGTTTACCTATTAGCATTGATGTTTGCTATCATGAAAACAACATAGACCAAACTCAAAAGATTGACACTGCCAGGAATATAATTTTTTCCCCACACAAGTTAAGAAAAAATGATAAAATTTGGGTATATAACATTGCATTGACTGTTTGTACCAAACGTTTTGATGGATTTATTGTCTCAGAGGCTTTGGTAACCAGTTTATACTATAGTCCAACTCGAAAGGCCAAAAACGAAATTGTTTATAGTAAAAAAGTTGAAAAACGGCTTACCTCAGTTACCTGGATGTATAAAATAAGAGCAAAATGAGAAAATTCACCCTACCGATAAGTGAATTAAGCCATTCACAACGTCAGACGCAGAGCACGAAGCTATGTGTCCTTTCCATTTGTTGAACAGGGAAAAAGAGAAACACTTTTATCCATTTTATATGAAAAACAAAAAATATATACGGAAAGCTGAAAATATTTTCATAAAATCCAGGAGGGAGACGGACTCAATTTCTCACTTTGTATCGCGGTATGTCAGTGGTAACTACCATGAGCAAAAGGAACCAAGTGGCGTCAGCAAACGCCGAAATCCGCCATGTTTTTTGCTTCACTTTCTGGTCAAGAACCGGTCCTCCAGGAATTATTATATAGCTCAGTGATTGTGACTATCTGGACTGCTGATACAAGATACAACCTATGCGTACAACATAAAGTACATGCACATTGGCGGGAGAAGCCAATGGAGGAACGAGTGTCCCGGGAAAAAAAAGGCGAAAAACGAGAAAACAAATCATTTCTTAACATTTTTAGTGATCTAAGGTTTTAAATTCAAGTATTCAGATATGCCAAGAAGGAAGAATAAAGGTTTAGATACCCAAAATGGTTCCGATGAGGTAAAGTGCGAACAAATATTTAGCAAATTCGTATGATATTTAGTCTGATAACGTATTTATTATAATTATTCAGGAAACAGGTGTTGGACTTGGATCACAAGCTACCCAGAAACGTAGGGGTAGGAAAAGACACGATCCTGCTGAAGACGATGAAGACGGAGGAACACAGTCTTCTCAGGCTAAAATTACTCTCAGCAAAGCCGAGATGGATCGGAAAGTATGTTAGTTAATATTTGAAGAGTTGAAATAGTTGATTAGACCATAAAATCCCCCCCCTGATCAATCGTCACAGAGTTTGACTTTTTGTGTGGAAGGCTCAAATTTGCCATATTTTAGGTGAAAACAGAAAATAATTACTTCTATGTTCTTTTAAAATTTCTGAAAACTTGTTATGTTGAGAGTTCAGTCCTTCTGTTCCTTTGCAATTGAGTGTCAATTTTCAGAGAACTGGAAAGGATGGCATAGACCTTTCATTGGGAAAAGGGGTGTTTATTCATATATTCATGTTTGTATAACCATAAATGCATCCCGCTCCAAATATAGCTTCTTTCCTGTACCATATAATATAATTGTCTTTGTTTAGTTGTTTGTTTAGTAACTTAGCACATGCAAGTATGCATAGTATACAATTTCACTTAATAGAACCTCACTGCAAACTATCTAAGCAAACTTGTTGTATGACTTTTAGGTGGCAGATTTTGTAAGGTATATTTTGTTTATGGATTCAAAGAAGACAGCTGTTAGACGTTCAGGTATATTTAATTTAGATAATAATGAAGCTATGGCTGAAACTATGGCTTTACCGATTGCATATTAGCATTCAAGGTGTTCTACTGTAAAAAATGTGATGTTGGCTACTAAAACTTAAAGTTGAACTTGCAAAGGCATTTTGTACGTTTGTACATATCTGCTACTTGTTACTTACATGTAAGCTAAAGAAGTTGAATTATTGAGATAATCATTTGATAATCGTTAAAAGGTGTGCTACTTTTGAGAAATGTGAGTTTGGCAACTAGGGAACTATTGTGTGTAAACACTCAATGACTGTACCACCTATTTTTACAAGATGCATAGCACTGTGTAACATAATATTGTAATTGATTTGCATATTATTCTAGATCTCAATAAGCATGTCCTCAAAGAGCATACAAAGTTGTTTGTTCCAGTATTCACTGAGGCACAAAACAAAATTAAAAAGGTAAACACAAGGATTTGGATGAAGAATAATTTCTCAAAATTCCTAGCACAAGTAAGCAAAGTAGGAATTACCATTGTTGTTTTGGTTTCAGACATTTGGTTATGAACTTCTTGAAACAGAACTGAACAAACAAAAGGTTTATATTCTGTTAAACAAGATGCAAGAAGAAGCAAACCAAGTTGTTCAAAGGTTTTCAGAGTTGACAAGTTGTTAATACTAATGTTAATTTACCTTACAATCTACAATGTTAATAACAATTAAGTAAAGTCTGAGTTTTAGACAATGGTCTTGCTGGTAGTTAAAAGCAGCAAATCATAGATTTTATGGTATACATTGTTCTAAATTCATAAATTTTCTTTTTACCTATATATTAATTTGAAGGGGTTTTTTGCCATGCTCATCACACATCACTGAAAACATGTCATTTTATATTTGCATCTCTTTCATCAAATATTTTTGCATGTGCTTTTTTTAACTCTCTATATATAGCAATGCTGACGATCAGCCTAAACTGGGATTGTTATTGGTTATTTTGGCAACAATATTTATGAAAGACAATGTTTTGAATGAAGGTAATGCAGTAATTATCTTCACAATCTATAAAATTATTGAAGCAATGAAATGGAAATCACTTTTTGCATTTACCAGGTACTCTTTGGGATACTTTGAAAAGACTTGGAGTTTTCAAAGGGTAAATATTTCAACATTGGCATGGTGTATCCAAGGGTTAATTAGCATGCAGGTTGTATGAATAGTGGATGAAAACCTTGCTTTTTAGAACAACATGAATTATTTATTCAAGATTTTGTTATGTTTTAGTGAAAACCATGAAATTTTTGGTGATGTTGAGAAATTGATAACCGTGGAATATGTTAAGCAAATGTAAGTGATATAAACAAAACATGTCAATATTGTCAGCTAGTGAATGAACTCAATTGTACATGTGGAATTTGTTCTTATAACAAATATACCAATGAGTCTGTTGAGCAAGCATGGATTTACTGGGTGTCTGCTACTAGACCAGAAATGGGTGCAAGAGAGCTAGGTATTGGTGATGTACCTACTAATTGTCTCATGTTTAAAGTTTTACAAAGAAACATAGTATTTTAATAGCTTTGCAACTGCCACTTGTACTCCACCCCATTGCCAGAAGCAGACCTGCACCCCCCCGTCCATCCCAGCACTGGAACATCTATGTTCTGATACAACTTTTTGACAAGTAACTCGGCACATGGAGAGGGTACTGTTTAGGTTCCATATCTGATGGACGTACGCATGATTGAAAATGACAGTAAAGACTACGCATCGCCAACCTCATTCGCTTCGCCGATCTCGTTCGCTTCGCCGTGCTGCCGTCTCTATCCCTACCGATCCGCAGCGGGCATATATAACTAGTTAGGTTACTATAGTTATAGTATTCGCTAAGCCTCGCCTAGCCTCGTTGGGCCTTATCTGAGTATATTAAAGAACAATTTGCTTCCTGAAGTCTTACAATAGAAATATTTCAGGTATTTGGACCGAAAGAAAGTCATCACTGGTGATACCGCAACATACGAGTATAGATGGGGTGTCAGATCACAACATGAAATAACTAAGAGACAAGTTCTTGAATTCGTTGCTCAGGTAAGAATGTTCAGAACAAAGCAACTATTATTTAGAAATAAATTTAAATTTCTTACAGAATGCTCCAAATACGGTGTTAAATATCGTAATTATTTGAATTAACACATCCCCTGGAACAAACGCCTCCATTGAATAAACGCCTCCATTGAATAAACGCCTCCATCGAATAAACGCCTCCATCGAATAAACGCGGCTAAATCTAAAGTGTCAAACTTTTAATAATTAAACGCTAGGTACCGGGTTTAGTCTAAAATGGCTGTTTGATCAATAGCTGAGTGCAACGTTATATATTTTACTACAAAAATGCCTGGGTACGAGGCTGTGTTTGATCTACATCATTCAATATTAATCAAACTTTCTCAGGTCTATGGCACAGAGGTGCAGGCATGGACAGCAAAATATAAGGAAGTTGTACAGGAGGAAGAGGGTGATTCAGGAAGTGATTAGATCTATGGTGTGGTACGTCATGTAGGTGGGATATTGCTTGTAAGAATGTGGTTCTGAACCATCTTCAGTGATAGCCTGAAACACAGACCTTCAGACAGTGATGACAAGATTCATTCTTCAATACCCTTGACTATTATAAAATATGTTTTGTTAATCCAGTTCTGAAAAGCTGTTGAATGTAGCTGAATATAGCTTGTTGAATAACTGTTGGGAGAAAATACGGCGCATTAGAGTGGACTCTTTAGAACTCTATAGCTCTGACATTGATATTTAATATTCCATTTTTAAGGGATTTTCTCTACAAAATTCATCAATTGTACATACACGTGTAAGCATATTGATTCATTATAAACTGTTGTTTGTTATTTCTAACTGCACGCGGCCATTCTCTCCATGTATGTAGTACGGGGATGTTCCCCAACTTCAGTATGTCGTTCTTATAAAAAGTACCTGGGTTAGGTTTCCTGGTTCCTTATTTCTTACATGATCAGCCCCAAAAGTGGCGATACTACATGTTAAGATAATCATCCGTTTTTCTTTCCTGTTTTCCAAGGAAGCTCAGCCTCAATTCCTTGTTTATGTAACGTCTCTGTTAAGCGTTTCTATTGACAGCTGGTCTACGAGCTGTGTAGTAACCCTTATATAAAGATGGATTATTTTTTACGCTCGTTATATATATTTATCTGATACTTGTGTCGTTTAAGATAAGCTGGAAAAGCAATCTAATACTAGTTCGACAATTACTTAGCATCAAATGTGATATAACAACTGCCTAAATAGACAAAACACTTCTCGACGTTTCGACCTGAAGGCCTTCGTCAGGAGAGACGAAAAAGTGTTTTGTCTATTTAGGCTGTTGTTATACCACATTTGATGCTAAGTTGTTTAAAGACGATGCCACGCTGCTCCTTGGTTATATTAGTTCGACAATATGTCAATAGTTCGACAGTTGGGTAAAGTTAGAAAAAGAGAATTCTCTAGAAAAGTCGTTAAGTCGTTCTTTCTGACAGTTTATCTATATTATCGGTTTATGTTTCTCGAACATTGTATAGAAACAATCAACTTTACTGACAGGAAGCAACTCGCTGTAAATACAAAAACGAAAGACATAGCAGAAATTACTTTGCTTTAATGTTTATATAAAGAAAATTGTTGAGAAAGATAAGATTGAAATTTTTGAGTGTGTACGTAACACTAAATCCACTTCGAACTGAAGGAAGTCACGAAGAAGAATTCCTGGACAAACAATACGGAATTTTATCGAACAAAACGTAAAGACAAATAAAATTGAATGAAAGAATGATAGACGACTGCGTGCACGCGTCTATTTACGTTCACTTTATTGACATCAGGCAAGAATTTAAAAAGCACAAAGAACCGTTTAACACTTCACCTTCTTCCCTCTTGTTTTTCGAGTCCCAATACGTCAGTAACACATTTTACGTCCTTTAAAATAACTTAAAATAGCCCAAGGATTGCAGCAAGTTGTAATTTCTTTGTCAAGCAAGAAAACCTGTCAGTCTTCGCTATCATTTATGTTGTTAGGCAGGGCGGATATCCTTCTTAACGGGACAGAATGCGTTTTCCAGAATGCAATTAATCGTAGATGCTTTTAATTTAACTATTTCACCCTAACAAGCTGAACTCTATTAACTCAAAAAATCTCTTTGAAACGTTTCTTTGTTAGAGTCTTTCAGTGATTATTGAAAAAATTTTGTTGGTAAGACTAACTTTATTGCTTTTTGATAGCTTTGGTCGAGTGTTCATCACTTTTTGACTTATAGTTTTCGATTGGCCTAAAAAAATGCCGACTATAAAAGAATTCATTGTTTGGCAGGGTCGTAAGAAACAGAGGGCAGCAAGATTTGTTGTACGTTTACCATTGCCAGTTTTTCAACCTTTTGGCAAAGACCCTGCGAGATCTCCTTAAACTAAACTATCTATCTAGTGCCTTTTTCCTATGCTATATACACAATAAAATGTACCAGACTTTTGCGGAAACCTTACCAACCCCCCTCTAGCTCTCCCTTCCCTGTGTACGTTTTACCATATCAAATACCGTATTTTGTTATACTATTTTCATATAACTGTATTATTTTTTCAACATATATAGTTCGACAGTGTTTTGCGTTTAAACTGAAGCAGGAAAGTAATTGCAATTCCACGTTAATTATGATAATTAGGTATATTTTACCAATTAAGCTTAACTCAATATGCCTATGGCTGCTTCTACCTCTTGCTTTCCTGGTTTCTAGAAGAGGCGTTGAATAAGACTGTCGTACTCTAGACTTGTATTTGATGCGGGAGAAAGACAGAGTTGCAGAAAAGCTGCGGATACGCGGGTGCCTCTCGGAGGAAGGTTTGCTTTGAATGAGGTTTGTGAGGAAGGTTCAAAGTTGAACACTCCATAATTGATCACACGCATGTACCAAAAAACCAAATATTTCTTTTTGCTGGTTGCCACTTGACTCAGTGACGTAACGTCATTTTGAGAAAGGTTTTCAAAACTTGAAATCCTAGCGGAGGAAGGTTGAATTCTTTTTGCAACTCTAGAGAAAGAAGAGGAACACTATCCTCCTGAAAACAAGGAACCTTGTTTTACACCCCCATATGCAAAAGGTTATTCGCTCTTTTTTTACTTAAAAGAGCTTCTCGTCTTTTTTCAGGCAGACCTCCAATAAACCAACTTTCAATATTCCTATATAACTTAAAGCGGTTAGACGGAAGGGTGAGCTGAACCCAACACACTATGAGACTATTAGACCTCATGTAAACACTTAAACAAGCGAGTTTCCGACTACATGTGTTTTTGGCATTGACAGCTAATAATTTGCATTGGTCCATCGCCCGAAATGGAGGACCCCTTTCAGATGAGATGTGAAAGTTCTCGAATAATTTCGTTGACATAGAAACTGTGATTGGAGTGCAATATATTTTGAAAGTTTCTTAAACACTTAGACTGAGAGATTTCGGAAGTAATCGACATTTTACCATATTTATTATGACTTTCGGCATTCGGTAATCATTAAAACATTTTCTGCGTGCATGCTTGAACGAGGAACTTTTCAGGTATGATTCTTTTTCAGAGTTAAACGTTTTATACTAAATCGTAAAGCATCGCAAAATCTTTGAGATATTGAATTGTTTCTTTCTGCTTATTTCAAAATATATTCCTGAGAAGACGGACAATATTGGATTGGATTGAATTATAAATTCTCAAGTTAACACGAAAGGCAGGTTCGTTTTGGGGACGTCTTGTTTTTTACCATCAAAACCGTAAGTTATCTTCGAAGGTGTTTTGTATACAGTAGTTTTCGTAGTGTAATTATGTTGTAAAAGTTTTTTTCGACATCGTGGTGGAGGAGCAACGACTATTCCATGATTTCATCGTCAGTTAAAGTATGCAAAACATGTGTGTTGTGTCGCAGTTCAAAAGTACATGCAGAAACAATCTTAGTAAAAATATTTATGCCCTCTTCTTCAGTATATATACATTTATATGAAGGGCTTTACTTGTCATCGTGTTTTCGTAGTTTGAAAATATAATTTCATCAGGCATTACAGCACATTTTTCGGGCTAAAATGAATTTATTGTATATATTGCGCTTGTAAATTATATTTACTTCATTTACTGTTCAAAAACTTGTGAGGAATTAATGATATTACAGTAAAACTAAAAGTAAGAATGATTAATGCGCGTATAAATACCTTTTTAGCCCACCTAAAAGTTATTTTTTAGCCTTATCTGTAGGAGGATCAAAAGCATACTCACATGCCCACACAATCAAGTATAAACCATATATCATTGGCAAGGCTATACTTAATGCATATTTATATTGCAGCTGAAAAGAAATATGTGTGTGTTTGTCATGAAGACAAAACCAAACATTTATATACATAAATTATATATTTAAATCTGCTAGGAATACAATAATCGTTATACATTGTTCCGGCTGAGCATAATTGGCATAATAAACTGGCAATAATTGTATTCATAGACAAAAAACATCGAGAGAATTCGATAACTTATAAATTGCCTGGGGGAATAAATAGGCCAAATCATCTGTAACCTAAGATTTATAATTTCATTAATTAAAGATATATATTTGTACAAAATCAATGCACTAGATACACAAATTAATATTTGGAAGCACTATTAATATTTTCTTTTCATAACATTCTAGTTTATTTATGAAATATGTCATCTTTTTAAATATATTTATATTGTCTTTATATCGAAACAATCCACGGTCATATAATGATCTGTAATATCAGTTTTTCAGAATGTAATTAAGTTAACCCTAAAATCCCGCCCGTACAGGGTTGACGTAGTATCTTTTCCAAGAATTTTTTCTGGTCCAGGTTTCGCCGGTGTTCTGAACTCTAGTACGCATGTAAGGAACGATCATGCGGAAGCAAAGGCACATCAAAACAGCGTGTTACAACTATAGGGTTGATCTAGAGTTGATCCTGATTGGTCATTGACATTGATCAATGCGGCTCCTAAAGTGATAATCTTTTGTATATAGCACATCGTATATGCATATTTTGAGTGTCGAAATATTGCATGTACTTATTTAGAAACTTGCGTCTTCATTAGGAAGTTGTTAGCCTCAAAGAATGAAGGGTTTTGTCTGGCGCCGGAATTTTCAAGGATCACAATTTTTCATAAATCAATGTTTGCCATAGATACAGCATAAGAGAAATAGACTTGGTCCATGAACCTACGCATTTAATGATCGCCCATTTATCTATGATGAACTAGCACCTTGCGTTTCTGTTACCGCACTTTTTTGTCAGCGGTTTTGATATCTTCTAGAATGTCTGAAATGTGTGGGGCGTGGGAAAGCTTTCCAACGGAAGAGGTGGCTTTCGATCTTTTCATTTTCACACGAAAATGACATCCGATTTGTCGATCGATTGCCGGATTTGTTTCTATCCATGCGAGAAGTCGGTTTATAAAAACAGTAAATCTTTGAATCTAATTTTTTGAAATATATTATATATATACATGTGGAATGCAAGGGCCATTACTGGAAAAAAATGTTGCTTGGGGGAACGGTTTGATAACACATTGAGCTAATTTCTCTTTCGCTTTTAAGTTTTCATGCAATGCTCACACGATGTAACAATTTCAGATTCGCCTAATTCTTCTTTTTCGCTGGACAGGAAATGATCCCGTTGGTGAAAAAAGTTTGATATTTTTTCAACCTGCGTGTGCATGCCTTTTGCGACGATGTCATTGTGGCTGATGTAAAATAGGAACCGTCATTTCGGAGGCTAACACTTGGACCCCGGGCCCTTGACGTTAAAACAAACGCATCCAAATAAATGCTATATTGAAAACTTGCCGTCCATTTTCAAATATGAAACTCCCGTAAAGGACTTTGATTTTTCATCTCTTTTTAATCCATTGCATGCATGCAGTCATTCGTCATTTAACTCGTTTTGAACAGTATGAATTTGATTGAAGATCGCGGCCTTTGAGAGTAAGCGATGCGTTTATCAGTAAGAAAAAAATACAATCAAACCACAACTTTCGTGACAAACGTGCAATTAAATGAACAAATTAAGCATGACCAACTAACACCTCTCTGAATAACAAAGAAAAACACAAGCTAGCCTTGAATATAATGACAATTACGTATATAATTTTTTAAAATCATAACCACATGCACGTTCAAATATATTGTATATATAATTAGGAATGTTGACCACAATTCCTCCCTAGACAGCTTTAAGTGTGTGGTTGCATAACCTGGCCAAAACATGCTAGCGGGTTGAAATTGCGGATGAAAAATCCTTGAAACTGAAGTAATAAATTTCTCCGAATCCGTTAGATTCTATGATAAAGTGCGGATTCAAACTTGTAGACGTGGTGAATAGGTCGATATTTAGTGAGCCAAGTGTTCATTCAGTTTATAAACTCATGCAGGCTGATAGTTGTGTATGCAGTATAAATTTAAAGGCTCTTTTTTGTCAATTTAGCCTACTCATTGGCAAGCTCACCATGAACTAGTGTTTGTGTATATCAAATTGTTCGCTGCAAGCGCTAACAGACATCTTTACAATAGACAGAGAAGCCTTGCATGACACTCTCCTGGATATTGTTGTGGGATCTAAAAGTGTTGTTGATCGACTAAAAATTGGAATTTAGGGGGTAATCATGCAAGTATTTAACAAAATGTAATTCTGCAAACCTTTCTAATACCTTGACCGGTTCAGTTGAATAGAATATATCCGTTTAGTCATGCACTTGAATCTTGATTACTTTCTGGCTGGGTAAATATCTTATCTGTTTCGAAACTGAATTCACACAACCGGTTCCTCTTTGGCTAGCGTTGACTGATATAAAGGAAATTTCTTCTTTAAAAACTAAAGTGGATCCTGATACTTTATATTGAGCATGTCACAGTGCACATGACGAGTATAACGAATATAAGATAAATGTGCATGATTTAATTTATTGCCAAGTTTATTTATTTTAAACATTTCCTGGCCCAATCTAAGTCAAAATAGTAGCTCTTCACTGATAGTGTAATCTCGTATGCAATAAACATTTGGGGTAAATATTGATGAGAATAAATCATAAGATCTGTTTACCACTCAGTGATTTACTGAGTGCTTTCAACCCATTGCCTCAAATACGCTAATTTTTCGTCTTGTAATATGCCGAAACTGAAAGATTATCTTGAAGTAAGCCATCATTGTTGAGATGTCTTTTTACATGCATTGAGTGTAACCATTTGAGAATAAAACAATCAAATTGTCCAAGGGTAATTGTTTGGTTTACCTTTGGCAAATTAGCTTTAATAATGTATTTACTTGTATAATTATTAATATATATTTTAAGTGTTATTGATGAGTAAGTGTGAAGTAGCTGTTGTTGTATTATATGAGATCAAGTGCCTTCCCAAAATGATGAGAATTTGAACAAATTTAGAGAGACTCTTACTATGATATATCATATAAAGAAACTGTGCAGCAATACACATTTTAATTTCAATACTGTCTCTATACTCGACCGAAACACCATCACTGATATCGGTTTTTTGTTACACCTGTGCGTTATAACTGCATGAAATGCTTCAATTGATACAAACAAACTAATATCATATGCAATGCAAATGCTCAATTATGATATTACACATGATATTACCCTCCATCAACTGATTTCATTTTGAATGAAAGAACTCCAAATTGAAAGCCTGGGAAAAATGGTCGTCCATACTTCAAAATAGTATAAATTTGTCGCTGATGACTATTTTTGTTTTTCTGTCGTATCCGGCAAACTGGAGAAAAAAACCAAGTAAATATTGGCTGAATGTACGTGCTGTGGTCTCCACTCCTTGTCTGAGTTGTCTCAGCAAATATCTAATTTCAGAAAGTTGAATTATTTTGCGACACACACACCTTGGGTTTGAAACCAATTATCTTTTTTGCATAATATATTTCCGCAAACGTTGCCTTTTATGGACTTGGTTTAGTTGGATAGCTTAAGGAAACGTTTTTATACGCCTGTCTGACTTTGCGTGTGGCAATCTTCAAGTTGCACGAAATATATTTTATACTGTCATAGCAAAATTTAGATTACGCCATAATTTTTTAGGTGGTCTAGGCCGTCTAGCTTTGACGATTTTGTGAATCTAAGCACTGATGACGTTTTAAATGTCATGAGACTCGGAACCCCGGTGGTAGGGTGTCGTGGGCTGGGTAACCTCAGGTGTAGAGTTGCTTCTGGGGTCAAAAGAGTAAAGCTTTGCCCAACTAATGATTGACGTCTTTCGTCTATCTTCGAACATTTGCCCGATTTATATTATGCACAGATCATCCGTCTGGAGAAACTTTGGCCAGACGAATCATCGATGAATTATCAACGTTTATTTGACGGATAATTCGTCTGTTTATGCGCGTTGATGCAATAAATACACAAATACGGATTACCGAGTCGATTATCATTTGCTTTGCCCAGGCTTATGCAGAGGAATGCTCCGTCGTCTCCTTTAAAATGCACTTGTAAATAGCGTTCTCTGGAGAATAATGCTACAAATGCCGATTCATCACAAAAGGGATGATTTTGTACTGAACCACGTTTGTGTATTATAAGATCATTATTTACATAATTTGTTCCTATCGCCCCCTCATTTCCGGTTCCGCGCTTATATCACTGCACTTTATCTTATATATAGGTCTAATATCTCTCTGCTCTCTTTCAGAATTGGAGTGGAACATACGAAAGGACAGAGAAAAATCATTACGCCACCGAAATAAGTGTCTGGCCTTGTTCGTCAGTCCGCAGGTTTAACCATGATTTACCAAGATGGGTGGTGTTTAACCATTTGCTGTTTCTTGCTATTAATCGGAGAGGTCGCTCCCTCAGGCCCGAATACACTTTCTGAAAATGAACGATTTCCAAATAAAGATGAGACTGAAGTTTGTGGGACAATCCGAGATGTGATTCAACGCGATTCGGGAAGATTCCGACGTATCTTGATTCGAAACACAAACGATGATGTTGATTACATCAATGACGATGCAAGGCGAATGTCGTCGAGAGCAAAGAGTAAATTAGATGTTTTAGCTTCTTTGGTGAAGCAAGAGTGGCCGCCACCTGAATCTGTACGGGTCAGGGTAACCAAGGCATGGACTGATCAATTTGTGGCTTCTGATCCGACATCGTTGCACTATGAAGGTATGTTTTTGTAAGGCATTTTACAAATACTTTGCTAGTTTTATTCGTTAAATACACCTTATTTTAGGAAGGGACTTACAGGTTCATGTACACTAAAATATCATTCCAGAACGACCATAGGATAAGCTCAGTAATATTTTATTATTTTGGTTAGTACCTCAAACCAACAGGAATATCTTGTAAAGTCCACGCGCTTTGCATGATTAACTTTATTATGTTAACGCAAACACTTTAACGAGGGCTTAAAATTTGTACACTAGCTTATAACTTGTACATATTGGGTTATATGTCAATTATTTACTTATATATTGCTTTATGTATATAAACGTATTCTTCAGACCGATGTAATTTTCAGTTTTCTATAAAACGAGTTTGGAGTCATGCTCGGGTCTCACTTTGAGGCGAAATTGCATTTTCAACATGCTTTGTTGCCTAACCGCTAGTCATTATAGCATATATATCGCAGTTAAGTGCAATATCGCCCAAATTTGCCAGATTAATCTCCGGAAACCTAATATTTGGCATAGCTACAGCAATAATAAGTCTTCGGACCGGGAATTCGTTGCTATTCCGGCTTGTTTTTATATGTTTTTGTGGTAATAATGCGATGATTTACGGCGAAAATATATAGCCTTATTCTGTCTAGCCAAGGATAAAAAACTTTGTGGGATGCCGCTTACGAAATTTGCATTGCTATTGTACGATAAATATAGAACTGGCAAACGGAATATACTAGCCATGAAGCTCTTTGAATTTGACATATTTTGTTGTTTTTTTTAGACAATGCATGCATAAAGTACTGCTGGTATATTATTTCAACCTGTTGTTAAATAAACGATGGGGAAAGTGTTAAGGAAAATATAGTTGTTTTCAATCATAGTTGCGTATAAATTCTAATGGTTAGGAATAGAACAGATCGATTATACGTCACGCGCTTTTATGTACTTTTATGGAGTAAATTAACGTGTATATATATATATATATATATATATATATATATATATATATATATATATATATATATATATATATATATATATATATAAATTATATATAACTAGTAGTTTAGTATTTTTAATAGTGCGAAAAATGTCCAGGTAACTGCATGTACAGTTTCTACTTAAAAAACACAGTTCTATAGAAATTAAGGTCAACCAAATAGGAAGATAATAGCTTTCAAAAAACATTGCGTGACTTATTCAATTCATATTTTGCGCAAATATTGCATCTTCGGGCGTGCGTCAAATTTGTATATAGTTGCGACTTGCAAATCGCGTGCATCGATCTTCACTCATTGAGTTTGAGAGAGGCTAATTAAAACAATGTTACAGTATATCATGTTTCAGTTTTAATTTTGTAAACCTACAATTTTTAATTGTCAAACAAATGTTAAAAATGTTTTTAGACTTCGGTAGTAATGCGATATGTCATGACAAGTTATTTAAATGGTTATTTATTATGTAATTATTCATTTTTTGGCGTAATGTCAACTGAAACGGAATGTGAACTTTTGAACGCAATAATTCTGCGATTTTAAAAGTTGTCGACTAGGTATTCAGCTTTAAGCTAGCGTAGCGGGAGGCATACTATAAATGTGATAATAATGTCGTTAAATGGTAGTTAAGATTTCAAACGATGTTAGTATAAACGTAGCATAACTGAAAAACCAATATTCGTTTGCTATTTATGACTTGATCATTAGATGAAACGATGTCTTTGTATCATGTTGTTAGGACAATATAGGGTCGCAATCGCTGTAATTTTATGATCAATGACGTCTTTGAAGGAGAATCATTGCAGTGAAAAAAGCCCTCCTTGGTTGTGAAAAAGACTATTGTCGTTTTTCACTTTGATAGCGCAATAATAATAATTTCCTATGTGCAGCTATGTTGCCTGACTGAGCGTGTCTAAAACGGACGCCTTCGAGCATAATTTTGCTTTGCCTTTGATTGGAAGTCCATGAGGCATGATTACTGGTTGTTTTTAATCATATTAGGGCTGCTTTCCACTGGCACTGTCGCGTTTTTTGCACGCATGTACACGCACGTAAAGGCTCAAAACCTGGTTGTTGTATAATGAATTTTATGCCGGAAAAAACACACCAAATCGTCAACAGATTCCAACCCAATGCATCTATTCAATCGTTGATTTCATAAGTATCATTTAAATGATTTTAAACTTTTACGTGCATGTAAGCACGTGCAAAAAACGCGACAGTGGAACTGAGCTCTTAGTACTCAAACAATTGCTGCTAGCTGCTTCTTCAAACATTCTTCAAACATTCTTCATTGATGTAGATTGAGCACTTCTCGACCTTTCGACCTAAATAAAGACCTTTGTCAGCTTGAGGCATCGAGTCGTTTTCTAAAAGGCAGTTTCTAAACTTCATTCTATGTTACGACATTGCTTGATCAATATATTGCAATATCATTGAGTCATTTGTTTACATTTAATATATTTTGTTTAATTAAAGTAAACTAATTAAGTCCGATGTTACTCAATTGTTTTAAAAAGCTTACAAAAAAGAAATTTTATTAGCCGTGCTGATGTATATATTTAGCCATGCATGTATATAGGCTGTTGGATTGTAAAGTTTGCAATAGCAGGAAACTTATTTTCATATTCCTTTTTTAGTTCATGTTCCGTTTTTTACATGCATGACTCATCTCCCTTATTTTTAGGGGATGTAGGCCCAGCAATTTCATATTATGCGCCGGCGAAGCGCGCTTTGTTCTTGAAGCCCGTCATGCCTGAATGTGCAGATTTTTAGCCTGCCTGAATGTGCAGGTTTTCAGGGCCGCTGCTTCGTCCAGGCTAGCAAAGCAAACTTCATCTTCAAGAAAGACTTGAATTTCATCTGCATTTGTATTTCTCGACAAGTAATATCAGTAAAACTCTAAAATCCGTGTGAATTACCATCAAACCGCTTTGGAGTTCTTTTGCCTGAGTTTTTGATAACAAATTAAGGATTCCTTAGAATACTCTCTGTACGTGTTAATTGATAATCGTCTTTTTCGCTACTTTCAGGTCGCTCAGTGCAAGTTGAAATGTCTGATAGATCAAGCAGCAAAGTTGGACGTTTGGCAGGACTTGCTATCGACGCTGGCTTTGACTGGGTCGAGCGCACAAGTGTCAATTACATTCGGGCATCAGTTATCCCGGATGGTAAGTTCTCGAATAAATTTTATGCCGTCAATGCTCTAACCAACTGTTCAAGTAAGGCCTGTTTTAGACCTCGAACTTTTCATGTACGTAGCTCAATAACAGTAGGTTCAGCACATGAAAAGTTCGACGTCTGAATTTGGCCTAACAATCATGTGTTGCTAAACAGTGTTTGTTGTTTCAGAAATCCACTTGCATAATAACTTTGATTAATTTAACTCTTGATGCAGAAATCATGCCCTATGACATCTTCCGGCCTTGCCTTTCCCCTGTTACATTTTCCCCCCTGGTGGCCGCGTTTATTGCACAAGTGAGAATTATTTAGGGTAGGATAAGAGGTGATAAATACGTACAACAAGGTGATAATAAGTACTTTGTTCAATATTTTCATAGTTTGCCAGACATCGGTGGACCTCGTTTTCGTTCTTGATGGATCAGGAAGTGTTGGGGAAAATAATTTCAAGAAAGTAAAAGAATTCGTCAAACGTGTTATAGATTTCTTTAATATCGGTGTAGATGGCACACATGTCGCTGTAGTGACGTATGAGACAGACACAAACATTGAGTTTAACCTTGTGAAATATTACACAAAAACTGATTTGCGGAAAGCGGTTGATGATATAAAGTATCGTGGGTACTTAACATACACTGGTGAAGCTTTAAATGATGTCAGAGAGAAGGTGTTTACAGCTAGTGCTGGCATGCGCACTGATGTTGGTATGTATGTTCGTTTTGATTGGTTGATTAGAGTTACGTGCTGTGATTTATGCTCGTTGATTGGTCAGTGAAGTTAACGTCTGAGTATCTGAGTAGTGATCGAAACTTGATCAAACTAAACTGCAACTTGAAATTTTCTACTGCATCACATTTTTAGAGATCCCGTGTTCAAGTACTAATGTGTATGTGTGTATTTTCAAGGTATTCCAAAGGTTCTAGTCTTGTTAACTGACGGTTACTCCAATGGTATAAGCGTGTTGCAGCCTTCAGACCAACTACGACAACTCGGCGTCAGTATATTCAGTATTGGTGTAGGACCAAGTGTATCCCAGTCAGAATTGAAAGAAATTGCCTCAGATCCTGACGAAGAATATGTGTTTACGCTTAGTTCGTTCAACCAATTGGCGAGTTTTGTTGACAGAGTTAGCTCTGTTTCATGTAGTGGTAAGCTTTCCCATTTGTTTAGGTCTGTTCTGAAGCTAGTTTGTTGAACGGCTGACAATCATTGTATCTTTCTGTTATCTGTTCTTTCAAATTTAATCACGGTAATCTGTTTACATTTAAACCTGGCATCAGGACCTTTGCTACGACTTGTCTGATAAAATATCCAAATTTTTTTAGAGGGAGCCTTGATTGATTCTTGTAAATCAGCAGAGACATCTGTCGAAAGTGGTTCGTTTAAATATTTCCGAACGACGTTTAAAATTGTAACGAAAGATGAAGTCAGTGTTGAAGTTAGAGACTTGCAAGGTAAGTACAGGATAATAACGGTAAATACAGGATAATAACAATGATCACAATGTGTTCTCCGTTCACATTTACTGTCCCGCTTAGAATATAATCCAGGTTGTGACATAAAAGAAAAGACCAAGATCGCTACATTCACTGGAGTGTCAGCACTATGTGCTCAGATGACGTCATACCCGAAGTATAGAGCGAGCTTCACTGTGTCTTTAGATTGCAATAGATACACAGAAGCACTTTAATCATTGCATTATATAATCATTGAACGTTATATAACTGAATTGGCGTCTATTGTATTGATAAACCACTATGGTTGTCGAAACGATGACAGAATACATTTTTTCGTTGCCTATGTAGGTATTAGTCATTTGTACGTTTCTGCTTCGAGTAAAAATCCTGGTCCGTTAGACCCAGCAAGTATAAAGAATGAAGAAAACACATCTCCCAAGGCCGTCTCAGTTCAACTGGATGCGACGAAGGTCAGCAAAATAAATAGTGTTGGATTTAGTAGTGAAGACAGGTGGAGTGAACTGTATGCAGTTAGCTGAGGCTGAGCTCTAGTTATTTAGCTCGTAATGTATATACGTTCACACTCAATATATCTGACGTTTTTAGACGGTGTATGTTGCTGTGCAAGGACAAGAGGCAAACAATAAGTTTAGGTTATCATTTTTGGATAATTTGTTCACAAGTAACACCTTTCAAGTTAACGTCAAAGAAGGGCTTGATGCTCATGAAATATTAACATTATCCATGGTCGTGCATCCATACAGGTATGGAATACGAACAATAGAATCACTGCAATTCGCAGTAAATCTGATTTCAGCACATATGTTATTCAAAATTGTTAGGTTTCCTTAGACTTGATTGTATAGTCTAATTTATTGAAACAGTTGTACGTACGTTGCAGTTTGTTATTCAACGTGAAATTTAATAAATATGTGTGTTTTTTTTTCAGCTTAACGTACTCAATTTCAGACGGAGACAAGTTGGCTTTCAGCATTAAAGGATCCTCTCCCGAAATCTCAACCAAGATAAGACTCGATTACGAAACGACTCAACAATACCGTCTAGTCATTGTGGCTGATGATGTAAATGACGTTTGTCATAAAAGTCGTGCTTTGGTCGATATCAATGTGATTGATGTGAATGATAATGCTCCAACATTTGCAAGGAGTCAATACACAGCCAGTATTGATGAAAATGCTCAAAGTGGTGCATTATGTTAAACAGGTATGATTTGGTCATTCACTGTTCTCTTATACGAAAATTAAACGTGTATCCTTCAATGAAACAGAAACTGTATAGTGATAAACTTTTGTCATTCATTTCGAGTTCGATCAAAGTAGCTCTATCGCAAATATTGAGCGCTATGTATTCTAAACTTTGTGACTCAGTGATACCGGATTTACCAATTAGCTGGTCTAATAGTAGATCAGTGAATTTAACCAATCTATACGTAAAAATTCATTCATAAAATTTCTTCATCCATTTTAGATGGTTGCAACTGATTTGGATTCTGGCGAAAATGGCAGAATAACTTACACTATAAAATATTCAACTGCACCGGGTCTTTTTAGCATTGATTCCAGTGGTCAGGTGACGTTGCAAGGCCCACTTGATTTCGAGACTGAAACGTCTTACACACTTACGATACTTGCTGAGGATAATGGCGTTCCTAAATTGAACGCAACTGCTGGGCTTACTATCTCTGTGAACGATATCAACGAACAACCGAGCATAAGTTGTGTTGGAAATTGCATTTATACCGTCTCTGAAGGTAAGTGTAAATCAGTTTCTGAAAGAATAAACGAATCATTGAACTATGTTAAGCCCGTTCTCCACCAGGCGAATTTGTTCGCGCTAACAGGTAAAAAGTAGGAAGCGATTCTACTTTTTCGCAGCGAACTTTTTTCGCAAGCCAATTACAGCACTTGATGCCAGATATCGCTTCGCGTCGCACGAATAAACTCGCCTAGTGGAAAACGGGCTTTAAACGGTCAGGTTTTTTAAGTTGCAACTACTGTGATTATAACTCAAATTGGGCAACGTTTGTTCATGATGGATAATTCGCTGTACTTGATGTTTCTTGAATGTTTTTTGGAATGTACTCAAGTTTGTTTTTTGTTTCTTACCACAGATGTTCCAAAAGGTACATCATTTGGCCGACTCTTATCAACAGATCCAGACAGGGCAGCCAATTGTCTGCTGCAGTACGTTATTCAGCCCGAATATGCAGCAAAGAAATTCGCAGTAACCAGCAGTGGAAACATCACCACAATTGACAGCCTTGACCGCGAGGACCGTGCACAGTACGTCTTCTATGTAACTGTTAGAGATTGTGGGCAACCTCCGCTGACCGATAGTGTTCGCGTTACTGTAACAGTTGGGGATGTAAACGACAATATTCCCCAGTTTCCTGGTCCTTATAACGTGGATATATCTGAAGATGAATCATCTGGAAGTACTATCGTGCAAGTTAAAGCCACTGGTAAGTTAATAGACTGTAACAACCAAAGATATCTGGCACTAATATTCTGTTATAATTATCTTGTAGATAGCGACGAGGGAGCTAACGGTGAGATCGTGTATGAAATTGTTGGAACTGATGCAACAGACTTTGAAATCGACGCAAACGATGGAACTATAAGAAATAAAGTGAAACTTGATTATGAGAAAAAGACGAATTACACATTTACCGTGATTGCGCGAGACCAAGGACCAGGCAATAATTCTGGCAGGACAAAAGTAACAGTGAATGTTATTGATGAGAACGATAATGATCCAGTATTTCAAGGAACACCATACATTACTAATGTCAAGGAAAGTGCTGTTATAGGGACACCCGTCATTGACGTGAATGCTACAGATATTGATTCAGGTTTGTGACTTTAATCAGGGCCGTCGTTAGAAGTTTAATTGGGGGCGGGGGGTTGTTGCATATTCATATATTCATGTTCTTACAACATAGCTAACAAAAGAAATAAGTCGGGCATGAGGCGAATATATGAACATGGACCCCCAATCGAGCGTCTATCGACGGCCCTGACTTTCAACTCTTCTTATTGGAAACATATGAGGCCTCGTACTGAATTAGTTCTTTATACCTAATTTTACTCAAAATCTCCTCAATGGTGCCGTGTTACATTGGAAGGAAAGTGCATGTAGTGTTCATTACATTTAGCAGCGAACATAAAAGCGTTAATTGCACTGATTAACAGCTGTTCCCCGATTAATTTGAGACTTATTGATCATGATTTTACCACTTCAGGAGCTGGAGGTCAATTGAAATATTTTATCATCTCTGGTAATATCGGACAAGGCTTCACGATTCATGAAGGAACTGGTGTGATAACTGTCAACTCTCCTCTAAATAGAGAAACAACGTACGTGTTCTCTGTTGATTAGTACATATTTAAAGAGTCAGTGTTGATTTTGAAAACTAGAGGTAGCCAATGTTACTTCGTCAGTTTAAATAGTACGTAATTCAAAGCTTTGAATGTTTATCAGGTCGTCATACGCGTTGATTGTGCGAGCAAGAGATAGTGGTTCTCCCTCACATCAAACTGAGACCACAGTCACGATAAGAGTTGGTGATACAAACGACAACTATCCCGTATTTCAAGGTCAACCCTACATTGCATTTGTTCCTGAAGACCATGATACCACGCAGCCAGTAATAAAGGTGGGGAAAATTTTTATTCGCATTTATCACTTTTAAGATTGAAATGATTTGGCAGGTTTGTCGCATGCAACGGGTTACTGGTGAATTTATTATGAGTGTATGTACGTTTTACTTGAATGTAAGTAGTAATGTCGCCAAATCTGAAGTTAAGCATGTAGGTTTTAAAATAAGGAATAGGTTACATGTTGTGATCTTTTATCATTTATAGACCTGGAGCGAGGGGAATTCGACGAAATATTACCCCAAGGGAAGATATATCCCGAGGGCTTCGCCCGGGATATATCTTCCCGAGGAGGTAATATTTCGTCGAATTCCCTGAGCGGAAGGTCTATAAATTATATATTATATCGAAACAACGTGTAGGCAGCGCAAAAGCTGGGTGAAATGGCTTCTTTTGCCTCCATTTTGAAATTGTTGACAACCTCGAGTCGTGTGCGAGGCATCCACGCGTGGTACACGCAAACTCGAATACCCCGCTGCAGCGGGGTATTCGACTTTTATAGCATAATGTGAAAAAATTCGATGGAACTCCATGATTAATTTACTGATCACGTGGTACAAATCGAACTTTCTGATTGGATGATTTACAGTTGATATATAATATTATGTGATATACACCGTTTGGGGAGCATAGCTAAGGTGCATGGGACGGCTTTCCTTATTTTGAGAATTCCTTTACGTGGAGTGTGCTTCTTCTGTGCTTTAAAAGTTTTCATTCAAGTGTTTTAATTTTTCCCGTTTCACAGTTTGTAAGATTTTACTTTCATTGTTAATAAAGTTCTGTTCATTTTTTTGCGACAAAAGGTTTCTGCCACGGATGAAGATGATGGAGCTTTTGGTGAAATTACTTACAGAATTGATTCCTTTGCAAATGAGACATTCAGTATTGATAACAATGGTAAGTTTCAGAATGCGTTTTATAAATGAATATACACATCAATCTTCCTGTAAGGGCAGGAAGTATTTAGCTATAATTGTTTATACTTGCGTAAAGTAACGTAGGTTTAAGCTTAGTTTAGTCATTATCGTGCAACTTTTGGTGCCCGTATTTATTATCTCACTCAAAGATACCAACATTTACATTGTAGGGAACATTCGTGCGAAGATATCGTTGGACTTCGAAACGAAGACATTTTATATTTTCACAGTCATAGCTACCGACGGGGGTGGTCTGACACAACCTGCAATTGTCACTATCCATGTGACCGACGTGAACGACCACGAGCCTCGTTTTGATAAGAATCCTTATATAGAAAGTATGGATGAAAACTTGGATGCTGGTCACGTGGTTGGTAAGGTTAACGCAACCGATGAAGATTCTGGTCAGCGCGGTTCTGTGACTTATTTAATCATTGATGGAAATCACGGAAACGCTTTTTCAATCAATGCCGACGGTGAGTTTTCAGTTTATCTTAATAAAACTGTGTTTACCTGCACTAAATAGCTTTGCGATTTTCAACTCTTGATCCATGTGTTCGAGTGTTCAGTCACGAATGATCTGAAGACCCCAGTCACTGAGAGACACTGACATGCTAAATAGTAATTCGGGAATCGCTCTAGAGCGACAAGTGATTTAATTGTTCAACCATTGTAAAATTTCTCGAAAGACAATGCCCCTTGCCATTTATCTATTCTTTTGAATCTAAACAATGTATTGATTTATTACAGGTGAAGTTACTTCTCTGGTCCGTCTCGATCGGGAAACTCAAGCAATGTACAACCTGACTATCGAAGCTAAAGACGGCGGTTCACCGGCAAAGAGATCAACAACACAAATGATAATCATTGTAGTGGACAAAAACGATAACACTCCAACTTTTGACGAATCATCCTACTCCTTTTCCATTGCGGAGAATAACAAAGCAAATGACGAAGTTGGACAATTCGGTCCGGCGACAGACCGTGATAATGGCACGAACGGTGAAATTGTGTATACGATAATAAGCGGTGATCCTAACGGAAATTTCGAGTACAACAATGGGAAACTGCTTGCTAAGAAGGCTCTTAATCGTGAAGAAACGGCGATGTACGATCTTTCTGTTGAAGCTAAAGACAAGGGTATTCCGTCTCTTTACTCGGCTGTCTCGGTAAAAGTTATTGTATTGGACGAGAATGACAATTCTCCTGTGTTTTCGAACGACCCATATAACTGTGATATCCATGAAAATTCTGCCAAAAATTCACGAGTTTGTTCTGTTGTTGCCACTGACCAAGATGCTGAAGATAATGGCGATGTTATTTATGAACTGCTTAAACCAAGTAACGAATTCCGTGTCGATCAGGTATGTTGAAATTCTTTCACAGGAGGACTTGGTGAAGTAATTGTTAAACGATACATCTGTTTGTATCTGAAGTTTGATTTCTGGGACTCGCTGTTGTATTGTTATACCTTTCATATATTTAAATATATCAAGGGCTTAAGCACGTAACGTTTTTTTCTTCATTTGCAGCAAGTAAATTCAGTTTTAAGACTCTTTTTTTTTTCAGAACAACGGTGAGATCAGGACGTTGGTGCTACTGGACAGAGAACAAACATCCTCCTACACTTTTGATATCACAGCCAAAGACAAAGGTTCGCCAAGTAGAAATGCTACTGTGACAGTGAACGTGGACGTTCTTGATAAGAATGACAATGAACCGAAATTCAACCAATCATCGTACAGTTTTGATGTCAGTGAAGATGCTCAGGCAAACACGAAGGTCGGTCAAGTGTTTGCGGAGGACGATGACGCAGGAATAAATGGCGAGGTTGTGTTTAGTATTACGGCAGGAAACGACACTGCGTGAGTATTATTTTGTCAGGTGAAAGTCTTGGAACAAATTTAGCAACAAACTGCGACCAATGTGCTGATTTTTTTATTGTTATACGACAGTAAAAATCATATTATTCACAGAAGTATTTAACTGCTATCAATTACTCATTGCTCGAGACCGTGCAAGGCCCGTCTACTTAAACCAAATTAATATATGAGTATATTTATTTTCATCTTCTCTAGATTTTCAATTAACAGCGGTACTGGTGTCATTATACTCAAGTCCAATTTAGATCGCGAGTCGATTGCGAGCTATAAACTGACTGTTACAGCCGCTGATCGTGGTACGCCGTCTCGGTCCTCTAGTCGTGAGGTCACTATTACAGTGACTGATGTTAACGATAATTATCCAGTATTTACCGCTGACCCGTATCATGGCAAGATCGCAGAAGACGCTTCGGTTGGTTCGTCTGTTGTGCAGGTTCGTGGTGCTAATCTCTTTTTAGTGATGAGCTTAAGCAAGTGACGTTTTTGACAACACAAACGGCATGATTAACGTGAAAAGACTGGGTCAAGGATTGTGATTGGTGAAAAACAAAAACTTTACTTCCGGTCAACGTACGTGTGGTCAAAAACGTCACTTGCTTAAGCATAAGCTCACTTTTATTAAGTCTGTTTTTCATGTGGCATGCGGAGCGAGGACGAATCGACATCGTAATTATACTGTGACCCCCCCCCGGCTATACTAACCTTCTCAGACATTTAGCCTTCAAGTATACTTTTGACGTCGTTATTTTAGGTGAAAGCAGAAGACGCAGACGAAGGAGAAAACGGTAAAATCAAGTACAGTCTTACTGGAGGGACCGATAAAGATCACTTTTCTATCGATCAAGACTCTGGTCTTATCAAAACAGCGATTCAACTGGACTACGAAAGCAAAAAATCGTATTTACTGGTGGTTACAGGTAAAGAATAGAATTCCGACCTAACGGACCTCGTCAGGAGAGTTAGTAATATCGTACTAATTCTACTCACGAATGCCCTTAGGTTGAAACATGGAGAAGTGTTTCTGTTTATTTTAGGCAGTTGTTAGTTCAGTAAAGTTTTATCAAGGAATATGTCAACATTATGATATTTTTCACTTCATATAGCCAGTGACGGTGGTGTTCCAGCAAAAACCAAGACGACACGGGTGAATATAACAGTTGAGAATACGAACGACAACGCACCGACATTTGAGTCAGGTTCGCCTACCATCCGTATCAGCGAAGCCGTCGCCATAGGAACGAATGTCGTGAAGTTTAACGCTACTGACAAGGACGGCAGCCCTTTGGCATTTCTTATAACTGCTGGCAATGTTGGAGAAACGTTTACCATTGATAAAAACACAGGTGTTTTAACGACAAATAAGAGCTTGGATCGGGAGACAACACCGAGGTACAATTTAACTGTCACTGTAACGGATACGGCAAACGGCGGTGGCGGTGGTCAGAGTTCATCAAAGAATCTCAGTGTCATTGTAACAGATGTGAATGATAATTCACCTCTTTTCTATCCTGATTCGTATTCCGTGAATATAACTGAGAATACTAAAGCAGGTAAGGTGGTAGGGTTTGCCACTGAAGCAGTATAGTGGCTTAGAAACCAATTATTCCACCAGAAATTGTATGGTCTCTTGTACAAATTTTGACCACAATTCTTCTTTCAGGTCCTATAGTGACCGTCACTGCAACTGACATCGATGAAGGTGACAACGCCAAGATTACTTACACCATTGATCCAATTTCTGCGGATAAATTTGTCATCGACCCTTCATCTGGAGAGATCTCTACGAAGACACCGCTGAACTACGAAGAGAGCCCACGTCACGAAATCACTGTTACCGCAAAGGACTCCGGGACGCCTTCGTTGTTTTCCACAGCAAAGGTTGTTGTGATCGTTAAAGATGTGAATGACAACAACCCTGATTTCCCGGGTGATTATTCCACATCACTAACGGAAAACACAGGAGAAGGAACTGTTATACGGGTCGAGGCCATTGACCCTGACCAAGGGGTAAATGGAGAGATTGAATACAGAATTACCGCTGGAGGGATTATAATGAGGGGTAAGTGTTGCTATTTTGCATCATCAATGTATGATAGCTCTTAAAGTAAATAAACTTTTACATCTTCGTACGTCAGGTTCTTTACAATCGGAATTTCTGATGGGATCATAAAAGTGGCCAAGCCCGTAGATAGAGAAAAAAATCCATCATTCATCCTCACCGTCACTGCAAGTAACAAAGTTCCCGCAGATTCCTCAGCATCGCCGACCAAGACCACAGCTACTGTTACAATAGCAATTGATGACGTCAATGACAACGCACCAAACATAACCAACACTGACACGTCAGTCAATGTTAACGAAAATTCTCCGAACGATACTCAGGTTATTGATGTAGATGCTGTTGATGACGACCATGGAGTCAACAGTGAGATTGAGGTGAGTTTCTTTAGCACACGACAAAAATAACTGCTTCAAATTTGATACGTTTTTAAAGTTTTCACACAGAAATTCCCCTACGGTACGGTTTAGCTTAGGTACGTGCATTTGAATTCGACACTGTTCTTTTATATAGTTCAAAATTGTGGATGGTAATATAAATGATGTTTTTGCAATCAATAAAACAAGTGGTTTGATCACAGTCCAGGGAGATATTGATCACGAAACTCGCGCGTCATACACGCTCGTGGTTCGTGCGTTTGATAAAGGGAGCCCAAGTCTTTTTTCAGAGAAAGAATTCTTGGTGAACGTTACGGATTTGGACGATAACCCTCCTGTGTTCACAGCAGAACCTTACGAAGGTGAGTTTGATGGCGTATCGTACGCTGTTTACGTTGAAATCTTGAGTTTTCGATAACTAATTATATAATAATTCTTTGTTTTAGGTTCTGTGAGCGAGGCTGCCAACGTCTCCACATTCGTAATTCAAGTCAAAGCAACTGATGCAGATTCTGGCGCGAACGGGAAAATCAAGTTTTCTATCGTGTCCGGGAACACGAACAATCTATTCAGAATCGACGCAGAATCTGGAGATATTCTCACAAACGCCCCCTTGGACTTTGAAACGGTCCCTTCTCATACTTTGAAAGTCAGAGCCGAGGACAAAAGTCATTTCATTGAAACGAATGTGGTAATACGTGTTGTTAATGTAAACGATAATGACCCAGCATTCAACCCGTCTTCTTATGACGAGAGTATTCCAGAAAATGCAGGATTAAACCACCAGGTGGTCACGTTATATGCCACGGACAAAGACGCGTTTGGTGGATTGACCTACACCATTATCGATGGCAATGCAGAAAGTAGATTTACTCTTGAACCTTCAAGCGGAAAACTCCGAGTGGCTGGCGACTTAGATCGAGAAACTACAGCTCTCTACAACTTAACCGTTCAAGTGACCGACGGTGGTGCGCCGATGCGTTCCGATACCACTTTCGTAGTGATTAGGATCACGGACATCAACGACAACCCACCGAGATTTAACCCAACACACGAACATGTATCCGTACAGGAGAATTCTCCGGTTGGATTGACCGTAATCAAAATATTTGCTGAAGATAAAGACATTGGTGTAAACGGCGAGGTTCACTATAACGTTACCGAAAGAAATGATGGTCTACTTTTCAAGTTGAATGCAAGTTCAGGTGTTCTCAGTGTGAACGGAAATATTGACCGAGAAACAACGACTAGCTTCAGGTAGAATATTTGAGCATTCAGTATTTGCGTTAGACCGTTTACATGAACTTAAAAGCGCTTAAAAAGAAATCTCGCGAATTTAGAGATGTTACTTTTTCCCCATCGGCCAATCGTGTTCAAACAACATCTCTGTTTAATCCGTTTTCCAACAGTAGCAACAATGTGTCAACAGGGCATTTCATTCTCTATAAGTGGTGTTCAACTATTCTCGAGGGACTTATCAAACAGATTCAGAAATCAAAGAGATTTTCGCCATGTTGGATGACATTTGAATTGCAAAAAATGAAAATCCTTTGTTACAATAATCCAACATGGCGACAATGACGAAACTTGCACACCACATATCGAAACAAGTTTATAGGACCAGAACAATGCACCATCTGTTTGGAAAAGCTTTTATTCTGTGGTACTAGTGAATTCGTTCAACAGATTTCCTCTTACGGCTCACCAATTAAGTTTCTTTTATTCATTTTTCTAGGCTTAAAATTATCGCCCAAGACAAGGGCGCGAACTCCATGAAATCAACTCCACTTATCGTTGACATTAATGTTTTGGATGAGAACGACAACAGTCCTAAATTTACAAAAGAAAGTTACGCACGATCTATTTCTGAGACAAGTTCTATTGGATCGTTTGTTGAGGAAGTGGAAGCTACTGATGCAGATATTGGTGCGAACGCTGACGTCGTTTACGTGCTGTTGAATGGAACAGAATTTTTCAAAATCACTAACGAAACTGGTATGTTTCTAAAATGAATTACGTGATCGCCTGACGACAATAACTGTCTTAGATAGATTGCAGTTTACATCACCGCAGATTTAAACGAAAATATTGCAGTGCATTGTGGGAACATGTTGGACAATATGTGGGAACATGTAGGACAATATGTGGGAACATGTAGGACAATATGTGGGAACATGTAGGACAATATGTGGGAACATGTAGGACAATATGCGGGAACATGTAGGACAATATGTATACCTCTAGTTCATATTTACCTATTATTTCGTTAACAGAATTGATAAATCTTGTATTTTTTCTTTGTCAGGACAATGCATTCTTGAAATGACCCTCATTCTTTACTTCAACGGATACAATTAGTTTAAAAAGGACACATTTAAAGTGTATATTTGCATTATCTCTTTTGTAGGTGTGATAACGACCACCACTTCTCTAGACCGAGAGACCATTCCTTATTTCATAATCAACATCATGGCCATAGATGGTGGCAACACCTCACGTAATTCTACCACAACTCTTACTGTAACCGTGTTGGATGCCAACGACAACCCCCCGAAATTCGACCCCGCTTCACTATTAGGAAACGTTACTGAGGAGCGACCAAGGGGCGAGTTTGTTACCAAATTGGTGGCAACAGATCCAGATAGTGGCATAAATTCAGAAATCGAGTATAAGCTCGAATCCAATGCTCGGCAGTTCCTTAATATCGATCCCCAGACAGGAATTATTAAAACAAATCAGCCGTTTGACTTTGAAGTTCAGAGAAATTACTCATTTAAAGTAACCGCCTCTGATAAGGGTAAGTTGTAGAATATTTATCCCGGAAAACTGACGAAACTATCCCCTTGATCAGCCCTTGTTGATCCCATGGTGTTTCAACAAATTAATGATTGAATTATTTATTCACCATGCAAAAGTTTAAGAATAATATTCCTAAAAACGGTTGAATGTATCAAGACTGTTCGCTTCCTGACTTATATCATCTTTCAAAAAGTCGAAAGCGACTTCAATATTGCGTTTTTCATATTTGATTCTTTCGTTTTAGGAAATCCGTCGCTCTCTACGACTGCTTTGCTAGTCATCAATATTGTGGACATAGATGATAACTGTCCTGTGTTCAATCCTAAAGAATACAACGTAACTATTGACGAGAACCGACCTCTGAATCTGACCATTGTTACTGTGCATGCAACAGACGTCGACACTGTGGGTGAAACGAAACTAGAGTATCGAATAAGAAAGGGAAACCTTGAGAGTACCTTTACATTAGGGCGCTTTTCAGGTACGTCTCTTGAAAACTTTCATCACATTATTCAGAATAGCTATTGTTGTTTATAAAATCCAGTGAAAACATGAGCACTGTATTGGATCAGTGTGACAATAGCAATCGAACGAATACTCATTAAATTAGCCTGCCCAACATTTCTGTTTTTAGTTTAAGGTGTATATAAAAAATCAAATTGCCTGTTGTTTATTCGGTAAAACGCCTTTTTTTTCATCGACATAATATTCTGCGTTTTCTAGGCGAGATGAAATCTAGAATATTTGTGGACCGTGAACTTTCTCGTGAATTCAACATGGTCGTGAGTGCCGGTCGTCTGACCTGTGGCGTGAATTTTACGGAAGACTTAGGTGAGTGGCTTTTTTAGTTTTAAATTTTGCTGATGCATAGCGCTGAATGCTGTCTTTCAGTGATCTCGTGAAACTTACCCTAAGGTTTAGTGTATTTATATTTTCCTTTTAGACGAAAATATTCAGGAAACATTGACGAAGTCCATCGCAAGAGTTAACGTGTTTGTTAAGGACCAAAACGACAATGCGCCGGTGTTTCTGAATAAAGGATACAAACATGAACTAAGAAATATCTACGCTGAAAGCTTGTTTATGTTGAACGCAACTGATCCTGACGAAGGAGACAATTCCAAGTTTGAATTTGCATTGGCAGGAGTAACTAGGGTGAGTGAGGGATAGTGAGGGTGAAACTTGTGATGAAGAACACGTTGATGTTACTAGAATCAATAAATGTTTTGTGTTTTCTTTATTAGAATGGTTTCAGACGGACGTTGAACGTTACAGCAACGGATAAGGGAGTGCCCCAGCTCACTTCAAAGGCCACAGTCGAAGTGATAGGGTAAGTTTTATTAGTGGGGTCCTTGATCTTAGCTGTATGGCCGCACTAATTGGTGTAAAATGCCAAACAATGTCTTTCAATGTTTCAATCTATTAACTTTTTAGGAAGGACTGCGAGGCTATGTCATTTTCCGTTTCATCGCGTGGTAATGTAAAAGCCAAAACTTTATGTAGTATTGAACGAACAATGAAAGGCGAAGATACGGTTGGAAAGAGTATTACGGTACGGGCATTAGTAATTCATTAGAAGAATGTGACTATCTTCTGCAGGGGTTAAGTTCGCCGAGGTCCATAGAATACTCGTGCAACGTATAAAAGTATATAAAAGTATACACATGCAACACTCATAGACTCGGTTGGTAGAGTATTCGACCAGTTAACTTTGGGTTACGTATACCAGGCAAATCAGTCTAAAGTTCTTCAAATTACTCGTTTAATTTAGCTGAACTGCAATGCTAAAGGCAATACCAAGGCAGAATATCGATGGACAAAATCTGGTGTCCATGTTACAGATTGGCAAAACACAGGTGTGTTCAAGATAAATTCACTACGGAAAGATGATGCTGGTGATTATTTCTGCGTTGCATCAAGCGAGGCGGGAAATATCGTATCTGAGACAATCAAGATTTACGCAAGAGGTTAGTGTGTCGCACGTCATACACTGTAAATCTGTAATGACCATTGTAATGACATACACTGTAATGACTATTGTAATGACCATTGTAATGACATACACTGTAATGATAATTTTTTAATATTGCCAAGTTCTTGATCAATGTATATGTTGTTCATCTAGATAAGTATTAATTCTTTATAAAGAAACCCGCTTAGTTACAACATATTCTTACCTGTTCGTATAAATATTTTTTGTTTTTAGAACCTGCAAAAATCAGAGTTGCACCGAAAGATGTCTGGGTAGAGGAAGGAAGACGAGCCATTATAAGTTGTCGCGCGACTGGCGACGCGCCAATTTTCTACTCTTGGTTTAAAAATGGTAGAAAATTGCACACGAGTAAAGAAGTAAATTATGATAAACCAGATATTGTTTTCGAAAGCGTATTTCTAACTGACGAAGGGGAATATGCTTGTATGGTTAAGAATGATTACGGATTTGAGAAATCTCCTCCGGCGAAATTACATGTTTATGGTAAGTAAACACGATGACCTCCATACATTTGTCTGTAGTCAGATTAGATGACAGTTATGTATCGAATCGATCTAAATATTTTTTAATTCAAAACGAGCAGAAGCGTCGAAAACTGGCAACATTATAAATAAGGAAAACGTGTTTTACAAGAATTAACTTCATTGACCACTTCTCAAACGTTTATTCTGTATTTTAGCTGAATCGTCAATTGTCGAAATGGATATCGATGTCAACAATCCTCAAAAAGAAGAAAACTGTCAAATTTTCAACTTGCCAGACGTTGTGGTAAGGAATGCACTTCTCATGGGAAGATGAATCTGATAGACAACCGATTTTCAAATTAACCCTTATCTTACTACCAAAAGTTCTGAAGAAAATAGTTTTAATATTATCGTTGTGATGTATTTTCAACTAGCCTGCGTCTACATTTGCAGAAAACTCTAAATAGCCTGATCAGTGGTGGTTCAGCTACAGTTGTTGAATTCAAACAACCAAAAGAAATGTGTAATATAACAGCATGTTCCTCGAACCCTTGCAAGAACCAGGGAAGCTGCCGTGTAAACGGCAACGGCTTCATTTGTCAATGTCCTAGAGGATGGACTGGCAAGCGTTGTGAAATTGATTCGAATGAATGCGAGTCTTGCAATAAGACTGCTTGTGTTAAATCTAAAGGTGAGTCTTGTCGTAGGTCTTCATCTTTACCTCTGGAATAACAGTTCATAGCTGTTCAAAGTTGTTCATCATTTATAATCTCCAAAGTCCCACCTCATCTCTTCTTCAAATGCCTTCCATATACAGTCCTACCCCACGGCGCAAATTCAATTTGTTTATTTCTTCCTTCACATATCTGCTTCCACAGAAATTTGTCAAAATAATGGAATATGCACGAATCAACAAGGAAGTTTCTCCTGTGCTTGTCCGAAACCTGGTGTTCACGGTAAACTCTGTCAGTTAAGTGACACGGTGTGTGATTCTGACCCATGTAAATTAGGGGAGAAATGTTACCCTAAGGAAAACAAACAGGGTTATGAGTGTCTAGCCAGCGTTCAAACTGTGTCTATGATATATCATCTTGATACCAATCAGAAACCGTTCAATGATTGGATGATCTATGATGTTGCCCAAAGTGTCCAGAATGGTATTGTCAATGGGCTATCACAAGGGGTCCTAGGTACGTGTCATTTGTTGTAAATTCAGTAATTGGTGGATGTTCATTGTTTTCTTTAATGGTTATCATTTTTTGCAGGGAGACGAAAGCGCCGAGACAACAGCGAGAAGGACCGTATAGACTACGGCGCATGCTCAGTTCGTATTAAAGATGGTTACAAAGTTAATGAGGAAACATTGGAGATGGAAATAATGCTGGTTTGCAAGAATTACCCCAAGAAGACAGCTATATGCAACGCCTTGTTGGATGAGGGAAAGGTTCAATCCTGCACGGGTGACGATGGTAAAGTCCTAACGGAGCCGGAGACAACACAAGCACCTTCACTTTCAAAACTTAGGTGAGCTTTTTTAGATTTCTTTCAACTTGAGTTAAACTATTTTGTATACAAGATGCTTAAGAAAACTGGCTGTGTTTCATAGTTCATAGTTATTCTTCAAAGATCAGCTTGGAAATTGTACAAATATTCACGAAAGAATTTTTATCGGGCAACCATATATAAGGAATACTTTTGATCAGACTTCGCTATTAGTTAGAGATTTTTTGAGGAGTTTTTCTACAAGAATACATTTCTTTTCTAATTACATATTTAATATTTTAGTCTAAAAGTGGTATTTATCGTTCGCAATGAAAATGATAAAGATATTCAGGCAACTGAAGCAATCGACGCTCTTAAAACACAGAAGATTGAAAAAATGCTTCAAAAGAATGGGATGACTGTCACAGATATACGAGGTTAGGATCATTCATGTTCACTTCAATATTCGGCTACAATGTTTTTGCCATCTTCAAGAAGTTCTCAGCAACTGGACTCTAGTTGTATAGTATACTGGACTGAAACGGCATAGGGCGTCTATAAGACTATGTGTAATCAAGAATGACGCAGCGCTTTGGGTCGCATGTTTATCGCAATTTTCGCAGTAAGATCATCATATTCTATAGCACCATGTATTATCAGCATACATGTGACGTAAAAAGACCGCATTCATTATTCTCTGACTATATTGTTTGTTTGTTTGTTTGTTTTAGCGCGATTGACTCCAACGAATGACAAGCAAGGTAATAATTAAAGGACCAAATTGACTCTAATTTGTCTCGAATAGACTGATTTGTTACTTAAGGAGTAGATGTGGAGTAATTTAGTATCCACAAGTGTGGTTTAGTATCCAATTAGTTCAGTCTTGTTGTCAGGAAAAAAGGGAGAAAATATGAATATGAATTTATTTTAGAATCGGATGGTTTATCTGCTGCGGCGATTGCTGGTATTGTTATTGCTGTTCTTCTTATTATCGTGGTTGCAGCTTCCATTATCTTTGTTCTCTTACGTGCAAGGTAAGTCGAGCGTTTGAAAGTTAATCGAAGTAGTTGATCAATCGATTAATCATGTAATTAATGCATGATTCGTTATCAATCAGACGTTATTGCAGATGACTTTTAAATTTTCATTCAATCAATGGTTTCTACAATCAATCAATCAACCAGTCAGTCAATCAATCAATCAATCAATCAATCAATCGATGATTCACAGCACAAATCAGTCGATTTACTCAAGAAGATTTATCAAACATATAATTTATTATCTCATTACACGCGCACACGATTATAGCTACATTTTTTTAACCAATCACAATAATTGTCCAATCTCGTGCAATTAATATGATTTAACAACTAACAAATTATCTCTAAATAATTACTAACGATCTCTCATTTCATATGTACTAATGCCCGCGAATAACCTACTAATGTTAACTAACTATACTAATTAGGCTAATTAACAATTAATGCCACTGGAATTCACAGATAATCAGGGGACTTTTTGATGCCCGTAAATTGTCCAGTGTGCATATATCTTCTTCCAGTAATTTATGAAATCTAAATAATTACTAATCAAACCTTTTTGCTAATTCACCATCGCTGATTACTAACTAATCACGTCTTATTACTAATTAACGGTGACTGGTTCCTACTGTAGTATCAATAGTATCAATGATTCGTAACGACTTGATTCTCTTCGATGTGATTATTTGCTCGGAGACAGTTAATTTAAAATCTGAACCTGAGCATCGCTTAACCACACACGTTTTTATCCAGGAGAGATAAGGATAGACAAATTAGTATCGGTGGCCGAGCTATTCTTTCTCCAAATTCCAAGAAACACAAACGATTTGATCGCGATATTTCTATGAAGGAGCTCAATGCTTCTGAAGTTCGCGGGATGAACAACAAAACGTTTATGAGTCTTGAAGAAGGGCATCAAGATTCAGATGACGGCGCACGTGACTCGAATGACGACGCACAAGATTCAGATGGCGAAGATGGTTCCTTCATGTTTAAGACCCCTAAGGCAATGTCAAAGACCAATTTAGATCAACAAGATTTTATGAACGAGGTAAGAAAAGAAATGAAATCATTGATATGGCGGGAAAAAGCGTGCACAAAAACTGGTTACTCTTTTCATATTTATTAGAATAACGCTGGCTAAAATTAATATTAGATTAGTGTGCTCAGATTTCCTGCCCCAAACCATACGAATTCGTTTGTAACAATTTTGGAAAAGCCAGTAATTTCAAAGAGTTAGTCTGGTTGCCTTTCTGGCACTTTTTTTCTCTATCATATTTTAACTAAAATAACGTAATAACTCTAGCTTGAGACAGCCCCATGGTTCCATGGTTCGATCTCACGGAGCAAAGCAGAGGATATCTTGGGTACCCAGGATTCTGATGGATCCTACTTAGTTCGTGCAGGGATTGATAAGGGCGAGTTCTATATTAGTGTGAGACTCTCGGAAGATAGTATGAATCATATTGCTGTGAACCGTCGTGATGATAGCTTCGTTGCCGTTTGTGGACCCGATGCCGAGGCGATGAAATTCACAACATTCCATGAACTGCTTGAATATTTAAAATCAACCCCGACACGTCTCGAAGGCAGCGATGACGAACTGTTACTTAAAGAATATATAAAGAAAGGAGATTAAATCGATATTCTTCAATATCCCTAGCAAATAGAGTATTTCAAGCCTTCGTCAGTAACGCATTACTGATCAAATAGAAAGTGCCTATTACATGCTGTAAAATGCTGCAATAAAGTGCTTGAAAACCAGCTGTTTAACAGCACTGATGGTTAGGACAAACGCAAGTATTTTTTTATATTGTGTATTACTTTCGAAACTTCACCAACAAGAAGTGAAGATGAACTTTCTGAGGTCAATGCATGGTAATATACAATTATACTTGTGCTTGTCCGACTTTGCCAGCCGTGGAGAGAGGTTCATTGCATGAACCTACCCAACGGCAGGAGTCCAATGGGCACTTTCTGACACGATATCCTCGTGTGCTGGTACCCTGCTTTCAGCGGGAAATACCATTGAGATGCACTCTCTAGTTTTCATCCAAACAATTGATCAAAACTATCGCCATTCGATGCCGATGGGGTATTGGATAAAAATTTAGAAATACTAATTATGAAAAACTATTTAAATAAGATATTTTAATTGCACCTTTAACGCACCTGTAATAACTTTAAATAAAACTGTTTAAATGCACCAATATAAAATATCCTAATTATAAACGCACCTAATTATAAATCCACCAACTAATTGCACCATACACGATACCGCACTGAGAATTGCACCTTTGCACTGTAAAAATACCTACAAAATGTTTACTCACAAAATGTGAAATACATACACTAGATCTATTTAATAAATTGTTTTGCACAAATCATCTGATATTCACTCACTTGAGAACAAAACCAAGATAATTTCACAGTTGGTGAGTATGATGTTTTTTATTTCGTCCGATTTTGAGAGCACTCAAGAGCAGTCATGATTTGTGAAAAGTGAAGTATAAATTTTGTACATACCAGTTTTTGCACGATCTTTGCCCGGTTCGCTCAACAAATTTTTGATGATAAGTTTGATACAGACTAACAAACAAAAAGAAAGGACGATGAAGCACCTATAGATAGAAGATTCAGATATATAGAGGAGAAATTCAGTTTAATTTATTTTTCCTTCGTTTGCAAACGACTTTTTCAGGGCATTAAGTGATTTTTTAAGTGTTTGAGTGGAAGCAGCTATCAGTTGATCTATTGACTATGGTTTTTTTTCTTTTTCTTCTGCGAAAGAAATGAAACTCTTAAACCTTTTGCATTTTTTGTTTTCTATAGGAAGGGCAAGAAGGGCAAGCCAGAGCAAACGTTTAGTTTTATGACAATGGCTGAAAGGTCGCCTACCAAGACAGCATTAAAGAAAAAAGCTGCGTCCGTGAGGGACTTGAACGAGGCGGAGATTCGTGGAGTCATGAACGTTGCATATTCTGATGATAAGGAAGGGGGGGATGAAGAAGAATATGGAGGAGGCTGGTTTATGGTTAATAATCCTGAGTTTAGCAAGCATAAAGTGGATTACATGGAAGAGGTTTGTCAAATAACTTAGACGTTAATTTCATGATAATACCTACATGCTGTTTCCCTCCATCAGTTTAAAGAGTTCCACTCAAATAATGGGTAAATATACTTTGATTCAGGTAAAAAATTCGCCCTGGTATTTTGGGAAAATTTCCCGGCAAAAAGCAGAGGAAATTCTCAATGATCAAGCTGCAGGCGCCTTCCTCGTCCGCTCAGGCCTGAAGGAAACTGAGTTCTACATCAGTGTCCGGGCCCCGGAAGGAGGACCAAACGTTCGTCATATCGAAGTTGACCGTTACAAAAATGACTACGTCGCGGTACTTGGAACAAGCGATGATGCTATTGGCTTTGCAACCTTCGGTAAACTTATCGAGTATTTACGGTCAACACCGATTCATTATGAAGGCTTCGAAAATGACGTGTTGCTGACCGAATATGTGGACAGACTTGGAATCACTGTTTTGTGAGCAGTTAATGTTATCAGTGAAAGAGGAATAATTTATATTAACACTAGCTTTATAGCTAGATTACTAATATTAATACTGCAGTACCGATATATATGCAGTGGTTAAAATATACTTCATGGAGAAACAATTTCCCTATAATATACCCAAATAGAATATCAGCATACTTTAATTTAGACATGCGCCTTTTTGGGATTCTCACGACGCCATCTTGCAAAATCAGGGGCAGATTTCTTTGAGGTTAATTGAATTTCTTTGAGGTTAAATGAATTTCTTTGAGGTTAATTGAATTTCTTTGAGGTTAATTTCCAAGCAAGACATGCACAATAGCGTACAGATACAAGAAGGCGTTGTGAACTCAAGAAGGCGTATTGCAACCTTATTTTTTGTTGTTTGACTTTCCAAAAGTTTTTGGGCATCTTTTTAACGAATGATATGCCTTTTTCTACAACCTGTCCGGCCAAACCCTTTGAAAGTGTTTAACATTTTTATTTAGATATTTATACATGCATACACAATAATTATATATAATATAGATTAGATTAACAATTAATAAAGGATGGAAGCGTGGAAGCGCGCAGACAATAAAAAATTCTGCTCCGCGTGCAAAATTCCACCTAAAAATTGCCTGTTTTTCATTGATGCACTGAATGCTTTTTCTGTCTTTGGTCACTGACAATGGCTCGCAGAGAATCGCAGATTCAGCAGTACATGTTAGAGCGGTAATGGCTGACTAATGAAAATTTCATTCAGCCAAACAAAGTCGGTGTAACAGGACATGCTTACGCATACAGCTAACGGAATCACACATAATAAACACACTTTGTTCTACGCATAAAATCTGAAGTTTAAAAATTACGATAAGAAAATTACGATCGATAACCGTTAAATTGGCAATAACGTTTCATGGGTAAAAAATACCCCAATTACGGTTTGCGCAACTTGCTTTGCGCTGAATGGGGGGGCCCTCTTTTGTCATCAACCAATCGATTGTCATCACTGATAGGTGATGAATAATCCGAGGGGACGATCATATGACGATATCGTCCGATTTCCACTTTCCGAGGATAGCCGAGAAGCCGAAGGGGAAAATTATATTTCCGCGTATTTTTGGTATTTTCGGAAAATACCAAAAATACGCGGAAACAAGGCTGCCACTCGTAGGGGAATTCCCCTACGGTGGGGGATTATTGCTTCATGTAGGGGGTAGGGAATACCTACGGGGAAAACAAGTATTTTGTTGGGGAATGTAGGGGATTTCTTTCAAGAAATATGTTCATTTGTTTTCAGTTTTCAATAATTTTACTTGCTCTCCTGAACGCAAAAAGACATTTTACCAAAATTTCATATTTTATATTTGTAACGAAAGTGGAAACACTATCGTGGAAAGTGGAAACACTATCTTTTTTCACTGTCTTTTTAAATTTGAAAGCGTAAACAAAATGAGTGTCATCGTGAGCTATTTAAAATTATGCCAAAAGAAAAAGATAAAAAGTTTCGAAAACAAAATTATCGGAAAGAATGGGAAAAAGAAACTTGGGCAAAAGGATGGCTTTCAAAGTCAAAGCAAGAGGGAAAAGCGTTTTGCTCCCTTTGTGATAAAGTACTTGTACCTGGAAAGTCGGAATTAATTGGTCACACAAAAACAATGCTACACGTTAAGCGTTCAAAAACCGTTGAAGAAAATCGCCCAATGACTTCATTTGCGAGTGTACCTGATCATAATGTTGTCAAGGCAGAATTAAATGTGGTAGCACTGATTGCAAGAAAAAACATTTCGTTCAATTTTCTGGATTCCCTTCTTGAAACCCTTCACGGAATAGCTGATGATTCAAAAGCTATAAAGAATATGACATGCAACCGCACGAAAGGTACCTACTTGCTAACGGAATGCTTAGCGCCCCATGCACATACTTTATTAGTTGAAGAGTTGAAAAAATGTAGAGGATTTTCGATTTTATGTGACAAAGCAACCGATATCACTATGAAAAAAGTATTTTGTGTTAACGTTCGTTTCTTGAAAGAAGGTAGTTTTGAACCAATGACTCGCTTTTATCGATTAATACCAGTGGAGGATGGAGATGCAAGTGGTTTATTTGATTCTTTGAATATGGCTCTCGAGAAAGACGAACTGTCGTGGGAAAATGTCTCTGGTTACGCTTCAGACGGCGAAAATTTGATGCAAGGAGGAAATAACTCTCTTATGACAAAAATAAGAGATGCTGCGCCAGGTTTATTCGTATTGAAATGTTACTGTCACACATTTCATCTTGTTGCCGAACATGCCTCCGAAACTCTTTCAAAAACAGCCAACCAACTCATCCACGATGTGTACAATTATTTTAAACTGTCGTCTAATAGAAGGAAAAGCCTCGAGGAATTTCAGAATTTTGTGGATGTAGAACCACACAAGATTTTGAAGCCTTGTCAAACACGGTGGTTGTCAGTGTTACAATGTGTTCAACGGATTTTAGAACAATGGCCAGCCCTTGAATTGTTTTTCGTAAGCGAGTACTCGGAAACAAAATCCCCACAGGCAGAAAGGATCATGAATGCTCTCAGATCATCTTACATAAAAGCTACCCTTGAGTTTTCTGAATATGTTCTCGGTGACTTGAATGGTCTCAATCTTATGTTTCAATCAAATAACTTTTATCTCCATCGACTACTTCAAGAAGTTGAACGAGTTATTCGAATGTTTTACACCAGTTTTTGCAAGCCACTTCGACATCTGAAGTTAAATGAGATCGAGGTTGATAATGAAACGCAATGGCTTCCACTTCACGAGGTTTATCCAGGCATTATGGCATGTGAAACCATGAAGTCGTTGGTACCACACGAGAAAGACAGTTTCCTGAAACGATGTCGTGACTGGTACAGAGAAGCGGTACGACAAGTTTTGAGCCGCGTTAATGTAGCAGATCCTATTCTTCTGGCACTTAAAGATGTTAACCACAAAGCAATTTTAGATGGAAGTGCGGCTAAAGTGTCTGCTGGAGTACTTGCAAGAGGTCTTCCACGTCTTCTTGGAAATACTATGGGCGCTCCACAGTCCCAGGCCATCCAAAATATCGATCGGCAGTGGCGGTCTCTCCAAGTTGACGAAACCATTAAAAAAGGTGGTTGGGAGCAAAAGAGTATCATTGAGTTTTGGAAAAGCATGCTTGAGGTCCCAGAATACCAAGATTTGGCAAGGTTTATGCTTGAAATTACAGCTTTGCCACAAAGCACTGCTGAGGTTGAACGTACCTTTTCTAAAGTTAACAACAATAAAACCAAATTGCGAAATGCTCTGGCTGTTCGTACCCTGGAGGCCATTATCAAATCGAGCGAAGCATATCCCACCAATTTTGAGGTCAACGGCAAACTAATTAACCTGCACTCCAAGGCAAGAAAAAACTATATGGAACGATTTTCTGAGGACGATGCAAATACTCAACCCCTTTTTGAATGAGAGTTTTAAATGAAACTGTTTGTATACCTTTTTTGTGTATTTGTTTTGCGTTAAAGTTAATAAAAAGTTATCATTGTTGTATTGTAACCTTTTTTTAACGGCAACCACAGACCATGCAAAGTAACTCTGTATGACATTCAATAACTCTGAGCAGGTGGTGGGTGATAATAGGGGAAATATGATGTTTGTAGGGGAAAATAGGGGAAATATGGATTTTGTTATGTGGGGGAAAGTAGGGGATTTTAAGGCCCTCAAAAGGTGAAATTGTGATATTCAAAGTGGCAGCCTTGCGCGGAAATTTAAATTTCACTGATGCATGCACATGGACGGTCTACAATGAAAACGCTGGACATTTTTGATCTCTTTCGAATTTGATTCTTTATATGCGACGGACGAAAAGATCTACCATAAATCTTTTAGAGAATGGGTAACGAGGTTAGTTATACCAAAGAGTCTATTTATTCTGTTACTAAACTTATTCTACAATCTAAAAAATCCATTCTCGTACTTTAGTTGTCATAACATAGAATTAGATAATGTAGAAATAACGAATACGTAGTGCTGTCTTACTAACCTCAGGTTCAAATGCATATCCCAGCGATCAAATATACCTGTCATTGAAGAGTTAGGGAAAGTGGGAAACCAATGCCTACCATGTGGTGGTAACCTACCATGAAGAACTTTGGTTCTGGTATAACACTCTTAGCTACATTTTTGGTATTTTCATCATAATTAGGTCCAAAATGTTTTCTCCAAATTTAATCCTATATTTTAATAGCAAAATTTCCAGACACTCGTGTGGAGACAGGATTTCTTTGTTCTAGATTGAATATTGAATAAATTAAAATGGGAGCAGTTATCGACTACCTGCACGGCCAATTAATCTCCTAACAATGAATGCTATGTTTTGTTGCCATGTTTTTATGTGATGTAATGCATAAAAATCTCAAAATCAGAATAAACACTATTTTTGAAAAACAAGGCGGTTCTATAATTATTGACAATTGATGTGTGCCAGAGTTTATATTAAAACAGTGCTCTATAAACAAAGAAAAATATATATAAGTTTTATTAATAACATATCTGTAGTAATAAGGTGTTTGATGCAGTGATGTTAGAAATTATCATCAGTTAACAATGCTACCAAACAGATCCCCACTTGACTCTGACAAAATTTCTAAAGTCACACTAACATTTGGTGAGATTTAGTTCCCAGTCCTTCCCCCCCACTTTCCCCCCCCCCCTCCACTTGGAGATTAATACTTCCCCCCCCACTTGGAGATTAATACTTAAGACACAGAAGATTAATACTTTGTGTTACTTGGTTATATTGCGTACAGTGTTCTCATCATAGAAATAATAGACATTATTATATCTATTATTTCTATGGTTCTCAAATACTGTAGTTATCTTCAAGCTATAGCACAAGGTCATGATATTTGCAGATAGCTGGCTTTACAACAAAGCTGTCTCCCAAGCCCTCAACAGCATTCAATTTTGTTCAGCTATATACCTTAGCTACTGATGTTGGTCACTGTTTGTTATATTTTGAATATCTAATTGAAGGTCATGTTAGTAGAAACAGAAAGGAAACAGGAAGAGCTAATTGAAGAGATAAGGAAGAGCCATATTGGCACACAAGACCTTTTTTGTGACGAAAGGCAGTTGAAAAAATCCTGTTTACACCCTGTACTGGACTATTTTGAAAGCAGTCTAAAATTCGTCCCTCCCTGTCTTCCGTTCACACGAGAACAACCGTCGAAACGTGGAATAAATTATGCCATAGAAACGTGGAATAAATCATGCCATAAAAACGTAGAATAAATTTTCAAACTCACATTTCACCAAATTGCCCGTAAACACATTAAGTATTAATTGTTCATGATTTAAATCTTGATCTATATGATCGTACAGAGTACACTAGTTGAAAAAGGTAAGTGAAAAAAAGTAACTTTCTTTTAGAAATGTTTTTGAGATAAATCAAACTAAAAAAGACCAAACGAGTCAGGGCTGCACTTTAGTTATGCGTTTTTTATATATAGCTACGCACGGGAAATTTGAAATGCTTCTAAATTTTTATTATTTAACACCCAGGTCTAAACTAAGTTGTTTCGATTTGTTTACTTCGTTTTTCAAAGATAACATATAGAAGGATTTAGACTATAACGCGGTGCGTATGAAAAACGCGTAACTAGAATTAGAAAGCAGCCTTAACGTAGAGAGAATTGTAAGAATGAAAACCTGTGGCTGTGATGTTTTTTCTTGCTGAATGTTATGGTGCAATACGCCAGTTTGATTTGTCTCAGTAAATATTTATTTGACGCGTGTTTTGATTAAGCGCTGATGAACATTGCTAGAATATATTTATTATATGGTTCACCTTTTTTGACCTTGTATGGTGTGCTGTGTGCCAGTACTTGTTCAAACTAAAATAAACTCATGACAAGAATAAGTATGTGACAATTGTTGCAGGTTTACTGTTTGAAATAAAGAAAACGTAAACGGTTATTTTGTCGAATATATTTTCATATATGAGCATCTTTTAGGATCGACATTACATCAGGATCGCGTATTTTCGTTGAATTACGACTATATATAAAAACAAGACTTAATTAGCATTTCTGAACAATGATGTTTCATGCTTGTTGATAATTGAAGAGAAACACAAAGAAAATCAAAAGTTGAAGAACATGGTTGCATATTTGCGGTTCAATGCATGTCTATGCTTGGAGAACCGACGCTTCTTTCTAGTTATATAATATAGTGCGAACGAAATTTTCTTTGCTCAGATATTTTCTTTGTCAGCTCATCCGTTTTGACAAACTCAACTAATGTTTTAATGAGAACTCGTGTTGCATTGCCATTGGTACAAGTTCGTCTTTTGTTGTGTATTTTTTGTATAATGTCAGTGTTCAATATCCCACCGGTGATATCCCACCGATACATGAAATCATATGGCTGTGTTTTGACCTGTGCATGACTTTGTGTTTGTCCGTAATTATATAATTGTCTTATAATGCGCTTTTTTGTTTGCGGAAGTCGGCCTTAGTGGGTTGTCAGTCTCATTGTGAGGTGATCAGTGTAAGGGGTTTAACACTCACAATTCCGATAAAATGCCAAAGTTTTGTAACATGTTTTGTAAACTGTAGAATCGCCAAAATAAATTGAATTCGTCAATTTCAATGTAGGGAGGGTTTTCTAAGTCTTTCCTGTTTTTATGAGTTGTTACCTGGGGTGTAGTAGCTATAATAATGAGAGGAAAGGATTACTTAAGATTAAATATAACCAAGGAGCAGCGTGACAGCGTCTTCAAACAACTTAGCATTAAATGTGGTATAACAACTGCCTAAATAGACAAAACACTTCTCCACGTTTCGACCTGAGGGCCTTCGTCAGGAGAGTTAGTACTCTCCTGACGAAGGCCCTCAGGTCGAAACGTCAAAAAGTATTTTTTCTATTTAGGCAGTTGTTATACCACATTTGATGCTACTTAAGATTACGTAGGATTTATCTTAATGTTCCTGGAACATTGAATCACGGACGTTTTAACATGCACTGATGCACACACCTGCATGTTGCATCCGGAAACTCGCACCGCATATCCTAAGTGTTTAGCCTTAGCCAAATGCTGCCAACTTTCGAGTGTGGCTTTCTATCACAAAGACGTTTAAATCTTGTCAAATGTAGCTTATGAAGTAACAATTATATGAAGAAATGAACAGAATCATAGTCGCTCTCGTACCCAGGATTTCTTATCATGCTTTCGACGCCATCTGGCTATGAGGTTTAATTTAATATGCATTTATCGGCTCAATTCAGCAACGAAATTCGGGACTGCAGGACCTGCAGGTTGGTTTGCATCCAGAGAGTTTTACCTTTTTTCTCAGTACCAGGTTCTTCCAGGGCCTTGATCGCTCAGAATTTGAAAAACCTTTGTTCCCATTTGACAAGAACTACCACTTCATATTCAATGATAACCTATACACACAAGTGGATGGTGTGAGAATGGGTAGCCCCTTGACAATGGGTAGGTCCACTTTTTGGCAACATATTCATGTATTTCATGAATAAATATGGCTCGATAACTGTCCTTACCTACTCAAGCAGATACTTTATCTGCTCTATGTAGATGACTGCTTCCTTGTCTTCCCTCCGTGGATCACTGGTCGCTCTTCCTGTTTTTCACCGAAAACATCCTAGAATATTCTTCACATCTGACATCGAACACAATGTCAAGCTCCCCGTACTTGATGTTGAGATATTGTGCTTCAACAGGATAAAAACGTAGACTCTTCTCGGCGCCTTTATTTCTTTTATTCCATAAGGAAGCGGCGAGCAAGTGTTTTGATTAGTGTATTAATGCAAGAAACTTTCTTAAATCTTCAAAAGGAATTGCAGGATTCATGTCGAAAATGAGTTTTAAAGTAGGTCAGGATTTGTATTGTAATGGATAACTAACAAACTCTCGAAACCGGCGGAAACTGGAAAATATACCTACCGGGACTGAGAGCGCAATTTCGTTTTGAGGTGGTCACGTGCACGTGCATGGGAGTTCATCACGTGCATCCACTCTTTTTGTTTCTAAAACCTAGTCAACTTTATTATTACAACTATAATTTCACCTATCTATGGTAATGGCATGAATCGCCTAATTTTGCGCTGAAAATGCACACATCACCCCCGTAGTATCTGTTTAAGCGCCATCAAAGGGAAAAAATCTAAGGGATTGCGTTGGTGTTAGGGTTGGTTCAATTTTGTCAAACTTTACCATTTTAGTAATTTCTGGGTATTTCCGTGATGATGCAACAGTTGGTATATAAACTAACGAGCAGTTCAATATTTATCTAGACTGGACTTCAAGCAAGGCAGACAGGATCAACACTTCCCTACTGTCATACAAGAATATCATTTTTCTGCAAGAGATTTATCAGGAAAAAGAAAAAGGGAAAGAGAACAAGGTCGATTAGCTTTGATAGCCTAGAAGGCGAAACCACACCAGGACGAGTCAGTTTTAGTGAAAGACAACTTCAAGATGAAAGATTTTGTTTTTGTCGTGGCTTTTCTATCTTTGGGAATGGTCAACTCGCAACAGAAACCCACTTATCTGAGTGTTGACGAAAAATTTCCAAATGACGATGAAAACAAAGTATGCAGTCGAATTCGGGATGTGATACCTCGCAACTCTGGTCGCTTCAGAAAAATTCTGATCAGAAACACGAACAATGATGCTCTTTATGTCAACGATGATTGTCGGTATATGACTGCGCGTACAAAAAGTAAATTGGATATCCTCGCTTCTCGAGTCAGAGGACAATGGCCCGGACTTGCTTTAAAGGTGCTTGAATCTTGGACTGACCGTGTGGACCCAAATAACCCTACCTCGCTGCATTACGAAGGTCTGTTTAGTATTTTTTTATTGTAATTTTGCATTTTAGTTGTCTGATGTTTCACTTAAGCGCGTTTTGATCGTATTTTAAGTTATTCTCATTTCTCTACTGGTAAACTGAACGATGCCGAAAGAATTTTGAAAACGCCAAAATATTTATCCGCGTCTACGCGTAAACACAAAAATGATTCGAAAGCGCTGAAATAACTTGATCCATCCGCGTGTCAGACATGAGATGTCGTATTTCGTTTTCAAACTTTTCTATCTTCCGTTCTCAGTGGGCGAACACGCCGGATACGTGCGGTCGGTACGCAATGGCATGTTATGAGCGTTCAGGAGATTTTAGACGAGCGAGCAAGCGAGCCACACTTTCAACAGTAATTAAATCAATTTCAGTTGGTTAATTTACTAAATTGTATTTAATATATACACCATATTAAAACATTTAGCAATGTGCTTGAAGGCCGCTGTCATGATTTATGATGAATGTAAAGGCCTCTGTCATGAAGTATCAAGCCTATAGTATGATTTTGTCGCTAAATTCGGCACTAATTGGTATGGTATATAACACATAGAGTTACGCTTACAGTTCATTATTTATATAAATTAGGGCAAATTCGATTAAAACTGCCATTTTGTGTCAACATTGTGCAAGGCCGGATATTTATCCCTAAAAAGAAAACCTTGAATGTGTTTAAAAACATTAAGAAATAACAATGTCATGTTTTGATTTAATTGGACTGAAGTAACCACTTCAGTTTATGCTACAGGGGGTGTCCTCAAAAGGCCTCTAAAGATTATACACTATTTACCACACTGGGTCGCTTTGTCTTATGACAGATGATGAGTTAACACATGCAGTAGCCAGTAAGGGGCTGTTGACAAGTTTCCGAGATTCAGCCGAGTATCAAGAAATATGAAATGACTTTGAGTCCTCTGAAAGGAGTACATAACATGATCCTAGCAGTGATTTAATCATCCTAACAACAGCATGTTTCGTTTGGATTCATAAATACTTATTTCAATACCTCAAAATCATCTTCTGAGGTTCGTTGAATCTCAGGTAACCATGCAGGCTCATGTAAACAGCCTGTAAGCCCTGTGACATCAACAGCTCAGGAAAAGCAACATAATTTCTCAACCCGTTTTCATTTGCATTTTTATTCTTTAATGATCAACAGGTCGCTCGGTTGCTCTTGAAGTATCCGACGGAAATGCTGGAAGACTAGGACGATTGGGAGGACTTGCAATCGAGGCTGGTTTTGACTGGGTTCATTACACGCCTTCGGGTCGTATTCGTGCTTCTGTCATTCCCGATGGTAAGCGACTTCTAGTGTATGTGATTTAACAGACTTCAAGTCTGGTCTCATATGACGCCTACAGTTTAATACCAATGTATTGTCGGCCGTCGGTGACGAAAACATTTTATTCAAAATAGAGTGTTTAATTCGTCAGTCATCGCCGACGATTGCGATCTATGAGAGCGAGGCGAGACAAAAGCAACAAGGAATTACAATTGCATGGGAGGACTTCTGCAAATCTACCACTACAAACTATTGCTACAATTTCTTAGGGTGATTTCCATAGTTAGTCGCTAGATCACGCAAACCAGACAGACTTCGCATTTTTGCATTGTCACCATAATCTGGATTTGATTGGTCAAGTTTTCTAAACCTCTCTTGGGTAAACTCGTTTAGTTAATTAACTGATAAAAGAGAAGGAAAAATAACAAATTTATGGCAGAAGAATAATATATCTTATTTCCGTGGTAATATAGCTACATCACCTTTACCACTAGCATTATACTTTACCTCTGAAAACTCTCAAATTTAATACAACGTCTTTATTTCAGTTTGTCAAACCTCCGTTGATCTCGTCTTTTTATTGGATGGTTCTGGCAGTGTCCAACTCCACAACTTTCAGAAAGTAAAAGAATTCGTTAAAAAGGTTGTTGACTTTTTTAACATTGGTCGTAAAGGCACGCACATAGGTGTTGTTCAATACTCGACCAAAACCGAGACAGAATTCAACCTGGTGAGATATTTTACGAAATCTGAAATGAAACGTGCAGTTGATGGGATCCCATTTCAATCTGGATGGACGTATACTGCAGAGGCACTGAAGTTTCTCAAAAGAGAAATATTCACCACAAGTGCAGGAATGCGAACTGACCCTGGAATACCAAAGGTTTTAGTTCTGATCACAGATGGAAAATCCCAAGGCGATAGTGTTGGTCCTCCTGCGCAAGCTTTAAAAAACATTGGCATAAGTATATTTAGCATTGGAGTAGGCAGTGGTATTAGCATATCTCAGTTGAATCAAATCGCCTCCGATCCAGACAAGGATTATGTTTTTCAAAGGACGTTTGATAACATTGCTGATTGGGTTGATCGTCTCAGCGCCGTTTCCTGTAGCGGTAAGTGCCTGCTTTCATTCTGCAGCATACTTAGTTAATGCGAAGTCATTTTTTGTTTGTGTTTTGTTTGGACCCTGGCAGATTGCAGCTGACTAATTCTGTTTTAACCTAGCTTATGATAAAGTAAATGACTTACGACTTAGGCAAGGTTTTGCAAATATGTCAAAAAATTTGGAATGAGCTCATTTCCAAAACATAATAAATTACAGTAATTTTGCATTGTCGGGACTCGGGAAGTGTTTTGAAATGCAGAAAGAACAGCCACGAGTTTGCAAACGTTGTATACTTTCGTATTGCGTGCGAAAATTGTTCCTATTTTCTAACCAAATGTTGTAACAACCGTTTGAAATTAAGGCCATATTTTCCTAGGCTATTTCTGCAAATAACACTTTTGCAGAATGAAAATTTATAGTCTATTATGCAAATCGTCTATTGCAATAACAAATAATGTTTTTAAAGTTTTTCATCAATGAATCGACTCCTTTGAATCATTCCAGAGGGATCTTTGATCGACTCATGTAAAGATTCTGTCACCTCAGTGGAGAGTGGCTCATTTAAATATTTCCGAACCCAGTTTCAATTTGTCACCAAAAACCAAGTCAGTGTTGAACTTCGGGATATAACAGGTACGTTATAGCCTGCAGACGTATATAATAACCTTAAAACAACCTAGACAAATACCGGCGCCATTTATCTTAGAACTCATTAATATTGAGTTAAACTCTTCCCAGGTATAAGTCATTTGTACGCCTCCAGAACGACAAAGAATCCCGGACCCTTGGATCCACAAAGTCAAAAAAACGAGGAAAACACATCGCCTAAAGCAGTCTCTGTTGCAGTTGACAGCAAAAAGGTATGCAAGTTTACTATATATTTTCGGCCCTACTCTACCTACAGTTTTGGAGCATATTTAATTGGCCTAAGCATTGTTTCCCATCAGTTGAAAATTGAAATAATCTCAGTGACATGATGTTTTCATTCTAGACGGTTTTTGTAGCTGTACAAGGCCAGCAAAATACAAACAAATTCACTTTGTCATTTTGGGACAACCTGTTTTTGAGAACCTCGAACACTCTCAAAGTTAATGAAAACCAAGGTCCCACGCCGATCAGTCAATTAGACTTGGCGACCAACAGATACAGGTATTTATTGAGATATTCATTATGAGTATTTATTGAGAAGTTGAAGGATAAATTTGTTTGTTCATCAGTGAGTGTTTTGTGCTTATATACCGAGTATAATTGACTTTTTTGCTTATTTAGTTTAAAGTATAAGATCACAGATGGAAACAGAGAGGATGCATTCACTATCGATTCCGATACTCCAATACTGCGCACGAAAAAACCACTTGACAGAGAGTATATTGCATCGTATTCATTGGTTATTGTGGCTGAAAACGTAGCGAACAAATGTCATAAAAGCAGAACAAAAGTAGTTGTTGTAGTCGAGGATGAGAATGACAACAAACCTAAATTTACCAAGGACAATTATCAGGCTAACGTTTTAGAAAATGCTCAAATTAACACTATCGTGAAAACTGTTTTAGCAACTGATGCCGATGTTGGGGTCAATGGACAGATTACCTATACTATTACTTCTCAATCTCCCGAAAATAAATTCAGGATTAATCAACAAGGACAGGTTATACTTACTGGAGCGTTAAACTACGAGTCAATTACTACATATACGCTGAATCTTGAAGCTAGAGACGGCGGTGGTGAAAAAGACACGTCCAAGTTAGTCGTTAATGTTCAAAATGTCAACGAGCCACCAAAGATTAGATGCAATAATAATAATTGTAAATACTCCGTCGACGAGAATGTCCCGACAGGAACCAGTTTTGCCGCGGCTGTGATAGGTACAGATCCTGATATAAGAACCCCTTGTTCTCCGTTACAGTATATCTTACCGTCATCTGTTAGTAGTAGTTTCAAGGTGGATGCTAGTGGTGTTATTTTAACAAACGGAGCCTTAGATCGAGAGCAAAAGCCTTCCTATAGTTTCTATGTTACCGTGAGGGACTGTGGAGGACTAACCGATCGTGTTCATGTTATCATTGATATTAATGATAAGAATGATAATGCTCCCAAATTTCGCGGTCCTTACAAGGTCGATATACTGGAAAGTGAACAAATTGGCAGCAATGTTGTTCAAGTCAGCGCCCAAGGTAAATTATGATGATTATTTCAGAAGCCCTTAATTACCACAAGCCAAGGTTAGCAATGAAGACCAAAATCTGATGATCAGAGTATCTCACTGTGTTTTTAATAATGAGATGTTCTACTATCGTTCCTAGTATGAAATTGTGAATATAATTCTTCAGAGTCGTCTGAGCGAGGAGAGAATGTGTTTACGCTTCTGCTCTCATGCTTTTTTTTGTTTTTCAGACGCGGACGAAGGTATCAACGCAGAAATCACATACACAATGACAGGCAGCGATTCCTCCGCTTTTCATATTGACTCTTCAACTGGGAGAATAACAACACGTTCCAAACTGGACTTCGAGACGAAACCACTATATAAATTCCAAGTGAAAGCATCAGACGGGGGGAAGAACGCGAAGAGTTCGACGAAGGATGTAACCGTGAAGATTGTCGACGTTAATGATAATGCACCGAAATTTGTTGAATCATACAGCGAAAATGTCAGAGAGGATGCTAGACCTGGCGAAGTCGTACTCACGGTGAAGGCAAACGATTCGGACTCAGGTACATCAGTGATTGTCTTCATTATACTGGATAACTCTACCATCATTTTTTGCTGATCAATATCCATTGATCGTCTGTGATTGATCATCTCTTATTGATCATCTCTTATTGATCATCTGATTTATCAACTCTGATTAAACATCTATGATTAATGATCTCTGAATAATCATCTTTAATGATCTTCTAATTGATCATCTCTTATTCATCATCCGATTGATACAGTGTTTCCTCAGGAGGAAACTTAAACTAAGTTTATTTCATTCAACTAGTTTTGCAATTCACAGTAAATCGTATAGAGTTAACTCGTATATTGACCCATGCAGTGACACCACAGAGGAAACCTAAACTAAGCTCTGTCAGTTCTAATCTGTTCTTCATCTTTCTCGCTATGCAGAGTTATGTATGTTACTATATACAGTAAAACCTAAGCCAAGTCATCTTTATTTGTGCTAGCTGGATAGCTTAATCATACAGTTTTAAACTGTATATACAGGATAGCCTTATACTAGTTCTGTAGTGTTTCTCTTGGTAGAAGTAATTAAGATCTTATAAACAAAAACTCAAAACACAACGAAAAAGTCACGTTTGCACTAATGTTGTTATCTTAGACGCTAATGGTCAGATACATTACTCAATTGTTGGAGGTAACTTTGGAAATGCTTTTGCTGTGGACGAAAGTTCTGGATTAATTAAAGTCTACTCAAAATTAGATAGGGAGACAAGGTAAAATATGATTTTTTTTGGTTTCGTTCGGAATTCATTTTTCTCCGTTTGTTGCCCTTGAAAAACATGGGTAAGATGTACAGAATTTAGAAAGAGCTAGTGATAATGTATTTCCTTGAATTCATTTATTATTGCAGAGATTCCTATGCACTGACTGTTCAAGCATCAGACGGAGGCTCTCCACCGTTAAGCGCCCGAACAACAGTTTCGATAACAATTGTTGATGTCAACGATAACTCTCCAATATTCCAAGGACCGTATCGTAAATCAGTTCTCGAGAACTTTCCGAAAAACAAGCTCATTCTTAAGGTACAAATATCGCATCTTTGTTAGCATCTTTTTTTGAGTGAGGAATATTGAAGCATATTTCGTTACCACCTTAACCAAACCCCCCTCCCTCCCCCCCTCCGCCACGCGCAGGAAGAACACGGCTGTATATAGTCGATCACTGCATCCAAAGAAAACCATTTATTTTAGCTGTAATTTTTTATTTTAGGTCACAGCAACAGACAAAGATTCTGGAAGTTTTGGGCAAGTGTCGTACAGTATAACATCACCTCCAATTGCTCAGGAAACCTTCAGCATAGACAACACTGGTAATTTGTATTTTTTATGTAATGCATGTGACTGTGTTTTTGTATCTTCGTAGTCTCACAGAGGCTTGAATTGTGAGGTTTGGCATGTAGTTGCTCGTAGTTGATAATTATATTCCTTAATCAACTTTTTTGGTTCTAGGTAACATTAAATTAAGGAAGTCATTAGATTATGAAAAGAAAAGAGACTACACATTCACTGTTACTGCAAGAGATGGCGGTGGTCGGGAAACTCCAGAGCCAGTTAAAATTTTCGTGGGAGACGTCAACGATAACGATCCCATCTTTGAGAAGGATCGATACAACGAAAACGTCGCAGAAAATGTTAAAGTTGGTCACGTGGTTGGTGGAGTGAAAGCTACAGATGCAGACTCAGGCCCCCGCGGTCGTATATCATATTACATCATAGATGGAAATGTTGGGAATGCATTTAGAATTAATGCTGCTGGTAGGTTGTTGTAGATTTTTGCTCTATTTTTATTGTTCATCCATGCAGTTCCACGAGGTAATGTTTCCCTTGGTTCCATCTTCAAGTTTGAATCTTTCAAACTCTGAATTTCCTCCTATCAAATGCGTCGTAACTATGGATGCTCCAGACAGCCATGCAGTTTAGAACGGATAACTTTCCTTTTGGTCAAACTTAAGGCTAGTTTCCACTCAAGAAAATTCTCCTTTGGATCGGACTGGACATGAAAGTTTCCTTTGTATAAACGCCGCCTAAGAACTCACCGACAAAGGAAATTTTCCTGTCCGTTCCGATCCAAAGGAATCCCAAAATGTTTTTTCGGCTCAGTTCAGTCATTGCGATATTTTCATTATAGGAACTTTATCTGTCGCTTCGAGTTTGGATCGAGAGACCCGAGATAAATACGAACTAACTGTCCAAGCTCGAGATGATGGTAGTTCTCCCAGATCCTCCGTAGTGAAATTCATTGTAACCATAACAGATGTTAACGATAATAATCCACGCTTTACTAACAACTCCTATTCCTTTAAAATTTATGAAAATAACGCGGAGGATACGAAAGTTGGGGATCTCGGACGCGCAGTAGATTTGGATATAGGAAAGAATGCTGAAATTGTCTATTCGATTGTTAGTGGTGATGATAAGACATTTGAGTTTAAAGATACCGGAGAACTTTACGCGAGGAAAGCCTTGAATAGAGAAGATATAGCGTCGTATTCGCTTGAGATTGAGGCGAGAGATAAGGGCACGCCTTCTCTGTATACGAAAGTTCCAGTGGAGGTTACGGTACTTGACAGGAATGATAATGATCCGAAGTTTACGAAATCTCCATATGATTGTAGTATTGATGAAAATTCAGCCAGTGTCACTAGAGTATGTTTTGTTCGTGCTACCGATGAAGACATTGGAGATAACGGGAAGGTTGTCTACGAGTTGGTTTCGTCGAGTGACCAATTCAGTGTCTCAAAGGTGAGTTACAGCGAGAAAACACCCAATTTCACCCAAGATTCCCAGACCTGTTTCCTGTGTCATTTTGGGGCGATGTTTTAAAGCAATGTTTTCGTTATGGAAAATGAGCGATTCCTATGATGAATAATTTTCATTTTAGGATGGAGGTGAAATAAGAACAAAAGTTTCTTTGGACAGGGAAACGAAAAGTTCATATACATTAACTATCAAAGCTAAGGATCTTGGTAAGCCAAGCAGGAGTGCAAACGTTCAGGTGAATGTTAATGTGGTCGACAAGAATGACAATGAACCGTCGTTCAATGGCAAGTATAGTTCTAAAGTGAAGGAAGACACCAGTGTGAGAGAAAATGTTGGTAAAGTTACTGCAAGCGATCCTGATGATGGCAACAATGGCAGAGTCAAGTACACGATCGTTAGAGGAAATATACAAACTGCGTACGCTCTTTTTATCATTTTATTTAATACATAGACTTAAACGTTTGCACTTGCACACAGAGAGTCACAGACTATAGTGCTTTTACCAGGTTTGATGAACCTCGATTCATGAAATTCCTCATGAAAATCCTGTAGCAGGACTAGAGATGCTACAAATGAAATTATACACTAATGAGAGCACTCAGCAGTATGTCTAATTTAATAAAGAAGAAATGGATAGTTCAGTTGAGCCGTTGCGATCAGTGATGGCGTATTGTGAAAATGTCTATGTTAAAATAATCTCACCATAATGCATGAAATATTTTATATAGATTTGCCATTGACAAAGACAGCGGTGATATAACAGTGGCTTCAGAACTAGACCGTGAAAAACTGGCAAATTACCGACTCACAATTGAAGCATCAGATCACGGCAGCCCCGGGTTATCCTCCCGTCAGGAAGTTCCAATTAAAATCCTGGACGTCAACGATAATGCCCCGATTTTCACATCACGGCTATATTCTGGTCAGATCGCAGAAGATGCTGCTGTAGGCTCGCGAGTTGTACAGGTTGGATAAGATTTTTGTTGATCAAATATATTTGATTCTTCCTACATGGAAAAAAGTAATCCTTTAAATTCACTGTAATCGAAATTAGTTTTCTTTTTCTACGCAAACCTTTTGCTCCGTTGTTGGGTTTCAAACGTGAAAAAGTCACCCTTGTCTTTGCCCGATTCTTTCGTTAATTCTGTCTGAATTCTCGTGACGAGTTCTTCAAACCCTTGTCAGGTCTTAGCAACGGACTTGGATGAAGGTGTAAACAGTCAAATAAAGTACAGTATCACTGAAGGAGAGCAAAAGGAAGATTTCACTATTGACGTCGACAGTGGTTTGATAACGACTGCAAAAAATCTCGATTATGAAAAAAAGAAAGTCTACACTTTGACTGTCAAAGGTATTGTTGGCGTTTTGATTTTTGAAAACAAAGTTTTCCTATTTTGAAGCCATCGTTGTGTTTACGTCTTTTTGTGTGATGACGTTTGATCCTTCTCAACTCTGTGGTAATCATTTACTCAAATGACAGAGTTATGCAAACATGAAAATAGTTTTTAGTTTAGTTTACTGAAACTCCTGCACACTGCATGCCGAACTGTCATATTCATATCAATTTCAGCCACCGACCAAGGCGATCCATCACAGTCAGGTGAAAGTTCTGTGACAATAAACGTGAAAAACACGAATGACAACGCTCCAACATTTGTCCCTGGTTCTCCCATCGTACACGTCAGCGAAGCCGTTGCTATAGGAACTAAAGTAGTGAAGTTCAACGCGACAGACAAAGACGGAAACAAACTGACTTTCTCGATAACTAAGGGAAACACAAATGATGATTTAGCTATCCACAGTGATTCCGGATTATTAACAACAAAAAATAAATTGGATAGAGAAACAGTGGCACAATACAACCTGACCGTCACCGTGACAGAAGTAACGAATACAAGAGCTAAAGAAAAGTCCAGTTCACAGAATCTTACTGTTATTGTGACGGACGAGAATGATAACGGACCAGAATTTAAACCTAAAGCGTATACCAAAGATATCGACGAAAATTCAGCTTCAGGTTGGTTAGCATGCGGGTAGGTTGGTTAGCATGCCGGTAGGTTGGTTAACATGCGGGTAGGTTGGTTAACATGCGGGTAGGTTGGTTAGCATGCCGGTAGGTTGGTTAACACGCGGGTAGGTTTGTTAACATGCCGGTAGGTTGGTTAACATGCGGGTAGGTTGGTTAACACGTGGGTAGGTTGGTTAGCATGCGGGTAGGTTGGTTAGCATGCGGGTAGGTTGGTTAACATGCGGGTAGGTGTGGTTGGCTGGGGTAATTTATTTACGATTTTATGGAACTTCACTCGATGTGGGATTTGTAGGATAGGGTTAAATGTCTTAATGTCGAGTGGAAATCATACTCAATTCAAAATTAAGCCTAAGTAATTTTTTAGGAGTGCTATTGACCGTACATGCAACAGACGCAGATGAAGGGAAGAACGCTGAAATTACATTCTCTTTGGACCGTGCTGCAGAAACGAAATTCTCCATTGACAGCAATTCTGGTGTTATTTCCACCAAAACACCCCTTGATCGGGAGAAGATCGCAAATTATGATATCGTTGTCACCGCTAAAGACTCGGGAACGCCTTCGTTGTCCTCAAAAGCCAAAGTTACAGTAACTGTGAATGACCTGAATGATAATAAACCACGTTTTTCAAAGGACTACACAACAAATCTTCGTGAAAACACTGCGAAGGGAGGGACAGTTTTGCGAGTCGAAGCCAGTGATCCGGACTCAGGCGCGAATGGAAAAATTTTTTATTCGATAATATCAGGCAACAATTTTAACCATTTTGAAATTGACAATGTCACGGGAATAATTAGCGTCAAGAAAGTCGCCCGATAGGGAAACGAATGCGGTATTTATTTTGCATTTACGCGCCAATAATCAACCAGCTTTTGCTCCATCGACTCCAACGGCGAAAACGGAATGTTCTGTCAGGATAAATATTACAGATGCGAACGACAACGCCCCAAACATTACTAATACTGTCACGACTGTAAGTGTCGTGGAAAATTCTCCCGCTAATACCGAAGTACTTGATGTAGATGCAACTGATGCTGATATCGGGGATAACGGGAAGATTGAGTACGAAATTGTTGGGGGTAATGTGAAGGATGCGTTCCAAATTGATCATGAAACTGGCGTTATTACCACGAAAGGCAAGATTGATCGCGAAACTTTGGATAAGTACACACTTACGGTTCAAGCTTCTGATAAAGGCAGACCTAGTTCGTATTCTACGAAAGATTTTGTTGTAAAAGTTACCGATCTTGATGACAATCCGCCAGTGTTTAAACCTTCTACATATCTTGGTAGGTATCTTGATACGATATAGCGCTGCCTTGTAACAGCTTTTTTGCGACGTATTGTTTACACGCGACATTACAGGTGCGATTTTCTTCTTTTGATGGATGTGAAAGAGTGAAAAAGTCTGCGGATGTTGGAGAAAAGGCATGTCATGATTCACATCTATCATAAGAATAAAATCGACCGAGAATTGCAAGTGTTTAAACGGCTTAAAATTGTGATACACCACAGATCTCCAGCAACTGGAGCAATAACACGGCCAAGCTCCTTGCATAAGAACAACAATCTACCATTTTTGTGTAATTTTTTTTAGTATCAGTACCTGAGTCAGCCAACCTAAGTACGGTCGTCGTTCAACTCAAAGCTACAGACGAAGACATTAACAAAAACGCTAAAATAACATTCTCTGTTGTCTCTGGGAACGATGAAGACCACTTTAGAATTGAAAGTGATTCTGGCGTCATCTACACCAACGCTGGACTTGATTTTGAGAAAATAACAGAGTACAATCTTGTTGTTGATGCGAAAGACACTAAACACACAAATCCTCGGCGCGGCAAATGTTACCATAACGGTTCAAAATATTAATGATAACTTCCCTGAGTTCAACCCATCTTCATACCAAGTTAACATCCCCGAAAACCATGCATTAGATACAGGAATTTTGACTGTCAAAGCCACTGATAAGGACCCATTCGGAGGTGTAACTTACAGTTTAGATCCTCTTAACGTAATGTTCACTGTGGATCCAGCGAGTGGTGTGATCAGCCCAGTTAGCGAGCTTGACCGAGAGACGACCGACTATTATCGTCTTACCGTACGAGCGACCGACGGAGGCTCACCGAGTCTTTCAAGTACGGCTGTTGTAAGGGTTAACATCACCGATATTAATGATAATTCTCCAATGTTCAATTCATCTGGAAAAGATATCGAAGTTGTAGAAAATTCTCCAATCGACAAGGTCGTAATGAAAGTAACTGCCACGGATGCAGATCTTGGCGTGAATGCGGAACTGCGGTATAAAATTGAGGGCGGCAATGAACAGCGTAAGTTCACGTTAGACGAGGTTTCTGGTTACCTCAAGGTCTATGAAAATATTGATCGGGAGAAAGATGCCAAATTCAGGTAGGAACAGTTTTTGAGGTTTTGATATAATCTGATGCATAGTTCAATTTTGTATGAAATTGTGCAGTAATATATATATATATATATATACAATATTTAAATGTAGAGTTATGAAAAGTAAGTTATATTCATTGAATTCATCGCAGGTTAGAAATCGTTGCTCAAGATAAAGGTGATCCAAGTCTTAAGTCTTCAAAATTTACGATCTCTATAAAAGTCCTGGACGAAAACGACAACGATCCACAGTTCACAAAGGAGAAATACGTGCAAAATGTTACCGAGAATTTATCGAACGGAACATTTGTGATGGAAGTTAAAGCAAGTGACAAAGATATTGATCTGAATGGTCGGGTCACTTATGACATTCTTTCCGGGGATGAGGGATATTTTACGATAGACAAAGAAACAGGTATACTTTATGTTATTCATGATGTGCAATTCTATATTGGTGGTTTTGTTGAATTGTTTTCGATGCAGTCATAGCATAATTGTTATTCAAGTATCCTCTTGTACTAAATTGATGTATAAATAATGACTAAATTGTAATTTTTTTATTGAAAGGGATTGTTAAAACAACTAAGCCATTAGACCGCGAACTTATCCCTTTGTTTCAAATGACAATCGAAGCGAGAGATCAAGGAAATCCATCTCGGAACTCAACTGCATTACTACAAGTCAACGTCCTTGACGCAAACGACAACTCGCCTCGACTTGACACGGTCGTAGCGAACGTTACCGAGGAGCGGCCGAAGGGAGAGTTCGTGACACGAATCGTGGCGACAGACCCCGACCTTGGAAAGAATGGGGAGATTGAGTATAGTTTAACGTCCAGAGGAGAGCAATCACTTAAGATAAATCGTGACACTGGAGAGGTTACAACCCGTGTGACGTTTGATTACGAACAAAAAAGAAACCATACTTTCAAAATTATTGCAACGGACAAAGGTGTTGTTTTAACTGGACTTTTTTAACGTAAAAGTACATTAGTTGGAGAGTACACTTAGACAACGAAGTGTGTTTCATTTATTTGAAATAAAACCATTCATGAAATAATTATTTTATATACCACAGGAAACTCACCGTTATCTACCACGGCTGATTTGATTATTAATGTTCTTGACATCGACGACAACTGCCCTGAGTTTAATCCGAAGGAGTACAACGTTACAATAGAGGAAAATGTACCATACTGGACAGATATAGTTCGAGTATATGCAACAGATATTGATACTGTGGGGGAAAATTTGAATTATGGTATTCGTAGTGGAAACTTCGAGGGCACATTTATAATGGACCCGTCCGCTGGTGAGTCAATCCCGTAGAATTCTTTATTTTCGTCTCTAAACTCTCTTCTGGTTCTGAACCGGCGTCTCAACCTGCTTCCCCTAGAGGTTTAGTGATTGACTGAATGGTATTTGTTCAAACATCAGGTGAAACTGGAAAAACATGTATCTCAAACAGAAAATATAATTCTTCCATACGACTGAAGTCCGACCATGCTGAGCGTTCCTCAAAAAGCAAAAGAGCTAGGTCTTAGATAATTGCGAGTATTGGTGATATTAATCTCTAACTTGTTCTGTTCTAAGGCATCGTAAAGGCGGGGCCTATCGTTGACCGCGAGAATGTGGCAGAATATAATCTTATCGTCCGAGCTGGCAATGATTTTTGTGGTGTCAATCGAACTGGGGTTGATATTGGTATGAATCTTACATTTTTTATCTGACAAAGGCGTATTTCGTAATTTTTCTGTTAGAATGTATTTATTTATCTATCGTAATCTGTGTTTATTAATCTTTTCCCGGTCCTAATCCACTAATCCACCAACTAAACTGACAAGTTTAACAAAAGTGTCTGTTAGAGAACAGCAAAAGTATCTTTGAATAAACTACATTTCGGAGTAGAAAACCTACTTAGCTACGTGAAAAAAAAACGTTTGCAAATTCAACGATGTATTCAACTCAATTTTTCACTTTCTTTTAAAAGATGAGAGTATCGATGAGGCCGAACTATCGAAGTCTATTGCCAAAGTGAACATTTTTTTGACGGATTTAAACGACAATGCTCCGAAGTTTCTACAAGATTCGTACGAATATGAATTGAAGGACATCTATACAAGCAGTTTGTTATGGCTTAATGCAACTGATCCTGACGAAGGAATTAATTCCGAGTTTGATTTTGGATTGGAACGTGTAATTAGGGTAAGTGATGGATCTTAGAGTAACAAAGACAGTACTCATTCACCCTAATCCATTTTGAAGACAATACCTACACGGTACACGAGCGATTCCCTGCTTTAGTAATGAATGCTCATATCTGGTAACAATGCCTACCAGGTTGGGAAAATACATCACCGCTTGCAGAGTCTACGGGTGAGGTAACAAAATCACTGATGACGTGCGGTAGTTGCTGATTGCTTTATTCCTTAGCATTGGAACTTAGTATCAAACAATATAATTTTTTCATTTGCTTCTTCGCTTTAAATGAATGATATTTTTCACAGATTGGTTCATATCGTACGTTGAATGTGTCAGCTACTGATAAAGGAAATGTGTCGATGATGTCCACAACGACGCTGAATGTTACTGGGTGAGTTACATCCTCCCCGGATTGATTTGGTTTCACAGCTATTGACCTCTGTGGAGGCCTAACGAACTATTGTTGTCGAAAGATGGATTTATTGTAGAAGTTGAGGGGAGGGCTGTACTAGATGCGACTTGTTTTCGAGTATCTTTTCTAAGGATAAAGAAATATTTAAAATGAGTTTGTTATATTATTATAACTCTTTTTTTCAGTATAAAATGCGAAGCAATGGATTTTTCTGTATCTACACGTGGTCATGTTAGTGTGAAAACTTTGTGTGATTTTAATAAAATCGTCGTCCCTAAGGATGCTTTTGTCGGAGAGAAAGCAATAGTAAGTCGGCAAGGTTTTTTATATCTCATACTCCATTTTTTATATTTTAAACTTTATAAGAATATGAGTGCTTTAAAACGAGACAAATGATGTGTACGTTTCCATCGTTGATCCTTTCTTAACTTCTTTAGTTGCAACTGTAGCTGTCTTTTTTCCATCCCAAAGCAAGGCAAGAAATTGCTTGAAGATACGATCTTCTTCTGTTCTCTTTTCTAGTTCAATTGCAGTGCTCAAGGGAATACTATCCCAGAGTACAGATGGTTCAGAAATAGTGTTCCTGTCACTGATTGGTTAAAGAACGGGGGATACGTGATTCAAAAGTTGACAAAGAATGACGATGGTGTTTACTCGTGTCAATCATCAAGTGAAGCGGGAAGTATTCTTTCTACGCCTCGTACGTTTTCAGTTAAAGGTTGGTATATATCTTAAAAACTCATTGTGAGTGGTAAAGCGGAACATTTACCCGTAAAACAGCGCTCATGATGTTCTGACAAATCTGCAATGGAACTGTACGAATATACTTCTAAATCCCTCTCTCTATATCTCTGTATATCTCTGTATATCTCTATATATCTCTCAAACAACGTATCAAGACGTGTTCCGAAGGCTTGTTTCGAGGTTTTTGTCTACTTGTAAATCTTTCTCTCCAACTTGTTATCGCCTGTGATAGCTCCTTGACAATCATAGGATGGAAAGTATTTGCAAACATTGTTATGACACAATTCTATTTTTGTATATAAAGAACCGGCCAGAGTGGTCGTTCATCCTGAGGACACGTGGGTAGAGGTTAATAAGAAGGCTACCTTAAGGTGTCGCGCCGCCGGTGATACACCTATCTCGTACAAATGGTACAAAGATAATAAACCTATCGCGATCCAAGAAGGTATTATCGCTGATAAGTCCGATCTCGTGATCGAAAGAGCGGTCCCAGAAGATACACAGTCCTATCACTGCAAAGTTTCAAATTACCCTGATGCCAAACCTAGCATATCTAAGCCAGCTCGCATCGAAGTTTATGGTAAGTCGGGAACTGAATATAAAGTCGAATATTATTCCTTTGTTTTGTGTTTAACTTGATTATTAATACGTGTATAGCTAAATCAGGTGTTTAACTGATATTTATCCAGTCGCAGACGCTGTGGTTGATATGGAATTGACAGTCAACAAGCCTCACAACAAGGAAAAGTGTCAGTATTTTAATATTACCAACATTGAGGTAAATATTGTCAGGATTACCCTCTTTCTAAAATTCTCGTCGAGTTTGAAATTAAAAATAATTGAAATATCGCTAATCTTTGCGGAGGAGAAGGTTAGCGGCCCTGTTACTGGTTCCACAATGGATGAACCAATATCGTCCAACAATTTTCAAGTACTGTTTTGTGCTTTTTAAATTTTTAAACCATAAAAGTTTATCGCGAACAGTTAATATCATTGCATTTCCATCCAGGCTAACTTTGGCAGTGAATATGTATACCTAATTTTATATTTAAAATTTACGGGCAGCTCTTACAACTGGCCCAAGAAATAAAACAACAAGTCTGGAAACACGTCCTAAAGACCTTGAAGAATGATTGCACTTGATTGATGAAGTTGTTCTTACTTCGCAGGAAACCAGAATTGCAGCTTGAACATTTGTTATTTTTGTTTTTTTAAGGAAACCATCGAAACCTTGACGGAAGGGAAAATGACTGTAGTTGCATTTGTGAAACCACGTGAATTATGTAATCTAACATCTTGTTCATCTGATCCTTGTTTTAACAACGGGCGATGTCAAACTAATGGATCCGATTTTATTTGTCAATGTCCCCGAGGGTGGACTGGGAAACAATGTCAAATTGATGTTGACGAATGCAAGTTAGGTGAGTATAACTGGGCTATATACATCACTGGAATATTATGTAAACTTTAAACTTGATGCGTTTTCACAGGACCTTGTTACAATGGCACATGCGTAAACAGACGCGGCAGTTTCTCGTGTGATTGTCCACGATCAACATTTGGAAGGCTCTGTCAATTCACAGAGGCGACTTGTAAGAAACCCAACCAATGTTCTGCGCCAGAGAAATGTTATCCTAAAGAATCACAACTGGGCTACGAGTGTCTTTCTGACGTCCGTGTAGTTGATATGGTGTTTAAACTAAATGAAGTAAGAAGACCGTTTAACGATTGGATGGTGTATGACATAGCAAGAGAGATCAAGAATGCAATCGATGATGGAGCAACGGAACAAACACAAAATGGTAATGACGTAATGTTATTCTTTTTTTGAATGCATTTTTGCTGTATCAGTTTTTCTTGCTTTCGCACATCCGAGAATCATGGTGCTGTTCCACCGTCGACAAACTTGAGAAAAGGCAGTATTACCTAATTTGCCTGGAAACAATGGCCTTTTAGATAATATTATGTACAAAATCATTTTTGATAGCTCACCTAAAGTTTTGATATATCGTTTAATACCTACCATGCAGGTAGACGCAGCAGACGTGATGTTACAGTGGTTGATTATAGCGACTGTTCAGTTCGTGTCACGGAGCACAACGCACTGGAAGCCGAACTTAGATTGAAAATTATATTCGTCTGTGCCTCGCCCCCAAAACAAAAATATGTCTGCGATACTATGTTGAATCAAGATATGGTATCGTCATGTAAAGATGAGAATGGCTGGCGTGAACAAAAAAAACCAACTACACCACCGCCAATGAGCCCGAAACGGTACGTATACATGCATGCACTCTTGTTAATACGGATCGGAGTGTTGTCAAACGTTTCTCGAAGGTTGTGAAATGCGATTTAGATCCTTAAAAACATCATGTTTGGTTTATAAAAGACAAGTTCTTGCTTGTTTAGTGTATCTCTGGCATTCATCGTTCGCCTCGCAAACGGCGAAGATATGGAAGCTTCGGATACAGTCAGCATATTGTTGGAAGGAAAAATTGAACAAAAGTTGAATAAACACAACATGTATGATGTAGCCTTAAGAGGTATTTGTCTATGAAATTGAAGAATATGTTTTATAGTTTTATACAATGCGCTGTTTTTAACATTGATTCACGTTTTCTACCACAGCACGTTCCGTAAAGACAGCTGGATCAGGTGTGTATATCTATGGATAATATAGCAGATTCCTCCCCCCCCCATGTTATCTTTGTTATATATCAATTTCCCATGTTATCTTTGTTGTGTATATCGTCTTATTTAATTGCTGTGTATTTATTATACTTCATTATAATATAACATTTATAGTACGCGCGTGCTGATTGGTCGGGAAGCGTGTTTCTATAACTGTATAGAAACACGGAAAATGTTTTCTATTTCTTAATTGTTAATTAATTATGTCGCCCAGAGCTTTTTGTTATCGGAGGCATCATTTCACTGCCTTTCATATTTCAATCTGCCGCCACCTTTCTCCCTGTATTCTCCTGGGGAGCTTTTTATTTGTCAAAAGGCGTATTTATACTTTTTTCTTCCTATTACGCCCATTTTAGCCACTGAACATCAATGATCAGGTTCTAACTGTTTTTGAAATGATCCCTTTCACATAGATGGGAGCGATTCTAGTTTCTCGTCAGGAGCCATCGTTGGAGTAGTTGTGGGCGTTATCATTCTCCTTGTTCTTGTCATTTTGGCCGTTTTGCTTGCTAGTCGTTCTAGGTATGTAATATTTTTTTTACAACTGAAGTAATATTTTTAGGCTGCGTTGAAGACCACCAACCAATCGTGCATACACTTGCTTTAATAAATAAATTGATCAGTTCATTCAATAAACTAAATACAATTCAATAACCTATCATAACAATTATAATCAACCAGCAAAAATAACGTGATTTTGCTGATGTTAACTTACTAAAACTTGGAATCAAATCATATTGAATCAATATATTGTTGATCATATCGGTTTGGCAACACCTTCACAATGATATTAACGAAAGATTTTCAAACATGATGACTTTTCAACACAGACAGCGTCGAGGGAAGGGGTTCAGCATTGGAGGTCGAGCAATCTTGACTCGCTCACCCAGCTCTGACGCCATATTATCACGAGATATTAAAATGAGAGAGTTGGAAAACACTGAAGTTAGAGAAGTAAATAACAGAACATTCTCGGAAATCTATGAAGACAAGCATGGAAACCCACGTGATCTGGAAGATGGAGGATTTATGGTGGAAAATCCGCAACAAGCGTTGAGGAAAAATAATCAGGATTACTTGGAAGAGGTAAAGAATGAGGCTGTTTATTCTACATGTTTATTCAGGTTGTTTATTTACACTCCGCCCAGTACAGGGTGCATTAACAAATATTCCACTTAACATAAAATTCACTTGACATTTGAATTCACATAATCGAGTGCTTTTTATCATTGTTTGTTCACACATATTTATTATCGGCTTCCCTAGCTTGAGTCCAGTCCGTGGTTCCACGGTTCCATCACCCGTGCTAAGGCTGAGGATTTGTTGGATGCTACAGATAGCGAAGGGACGTTCTTGGTTCGCGCAGGACTCGATATGGGAGAGTTCTACATTAGCGTACGAACACCGAACACCGACCCGAAATTCCGACACATTCCCGTCAATCGCCGAGGTGACAGCTTCGTTGCTGTTTGTAGTGAGGACGCCAACCCTCAAACATTTACGACGTTCAAAGAACTTGTCGAGTATCTCCGAGCAAATCCGGTACATATCGAAGGCCTTAACGAAAATGTGGTGTTGAAAGATCACATTTCCAAAGTCTAAAGCGAATGAAAATTTTGGCAAAAGATAAAACAAGAACATCCAAGAAACCAGAGTGGGATTGTCTTTTATTTTACATCAAAATCAAATTCTTAAAATGAACCATTTATATTTAGTCAAAACACTAAGAGTTACCAAATAGTATAATTTAAATACTGGTGTTAATTTAAAAAGATGTAAAATAATTAAATAATTTACGAACATTAAATATGTTTGTAAAAACACAGCGTTAAATAAATATTAGTCTGCAAACATTTCATGAGTGATATTTTCATAGTTTTTTCACACTATAGCTAGATAACTATTTTCTATCTAACGGAGCTAGGCCCTGGGAACGAGGATGATCTCTATAGCACTACGTCGTCTTCCCGCCGTTTTGTCTTTTTCTCGCGGGTCTAAATGATCCTTTCTTCTTCTTCTTTGAGTTCCAATCATATGGTAATTCCCAGACCTCACGTGGTATTTGAACATGATAAGAGAAAGTAAAGGCCTCGGTCATTTTCTGGGATTGTCTGGTGAATCTGAGACTTGCCATTCTTTCCATGTTTTGTGCTCTCCTCCTTAGTGCCCAGGCTCTTCTCTTGGAGGCCTCGTGCGCGGCACGGATACGCGCAATTGCTTCCTTCTGACGCAATTCGCGAACACGTTCAAGCTCCGCTTCTTCACGCATCTGCGCTTCTTCTTCTAATCGTATGCGTTCTTTCTCAATGGCAGCGCGTTCTTCTTCCTCCTGTTTGCGCCGCTCCATTTCCAGTTTTTCTAGTTTAGCCTGTTGTGCTTCGGCAATTTTGCGCATTTGTTCGCGGTATTCGCGTTCGCGCGCCATTCGTTGAACCGCTTCTTCAGCCTCGCGGATTCTCGCGTCTTCCAAACGTTTTTCTTCATCTAATTCAAGCAGTCGACGCCTGTGAAAAAATTGAAAATCTTTGGTAAGATTACTTAGAACAGCAAAGAACAGCAGATGTTAGAATAAATGTCTTTTACCTGGATTGGAGTTAAACTACACAAGCTTTGTTATATTCGACTAACCTTTCCTCCTCTTGTCTTTGTTCTTCAGCAATTCTTTCCATTTCAAGTTCTCTATCTTTCTGCGCCTGCAGTTCTTCCATTCTCTGTTCACGATCCACGCGTTGCTTTTCAAGTTCCGCTTCCCGTTTTTGTATTTCCAATTCTCTTCTTCTTTTATCTTCCCGTTTCCTCTGGACCTCCATTCTCCTTCTTTCAGCTTCCTCTTCTCGTCTGAAATATGAAGCAAAAAGTGACAAATATTAATATCATATTTGTTCAAACGGGACAGCTGAATTGTGCAATAAGATAGCTAGTTCATTTTTGGAAAACGTGAGCTTTGATTATTCCCTTATGGGGTCAAGTGAACGCCATGTTCATAAGTGTGATTCAACCATTATCTTTCGAACTATGATAGGATTATTTGTGCTACGCGTTAAATATGAATTACAAGAAAAGTTCATGATCTAGTTTGTCATAACTGGATGAACTTTAAATATTAAACAGTGACCTGTGGTTGTACAACACGTGCACAACACGTGCACTAGAATCCAGTACCTTTTCTCTCGTTCTTCTTTTGCTTTTCTCTTCGCTTCTTTTAAATCCTGTTCTGCTTGTTCCTCTTGTCTTCTCGCTTCGGCCTCCTGCGCTAACCGTTTGCCTTTCTCCTCGTCTATTGCTCTATAGAATATTAAGAACTCATTTATTAAACCATATTTTACAAATAATCGTATCAATTTCCAGCTGGTCGATAGATCAGAACGTACATTGACAAAGTGTGTTCTTCAAGAGTAGGCTAGGAATCTGCACAGCAAGCATCATTGTAAATTAACATCTAGATAAGAAACTCCTACCTCTGCTTTTCTTTGGCTTCCTCCATTAATCTATGTTGCTCTTCTTCTCTTTCTTTCAATAACTTCATCTGTTCATCTTGTCTAGCTTTGTCTTCTGCAATTTTTGTCTTTCGTTCCTCACCAGCATCTCTTGTTTCTTCTGCATTGCCTTCAGCAGCCTTGCCCTTCTTTTTCCCCGCTTTTTTACTACTTTTCTTGACTTTTGAAGGAGAAAAGGCATCTAGAATTTTAAAAATATGGCTAAGGCCAAAGGACCAACAAATATCGTTTCACCAAGTTTACTTTCACGCCCGAACTTGATTATTTCACCACCAAAAGCTAAAGGCAATTTACTTCATTGTAAAGCTTAGGTTTACCTGTAGTTTTGCCCGACTCTAATGAAGTTAGAACATCTGGATCTTGGAAGTCCTGCACAGGCGCGAACTGATTCAATGTTTCCTCACTCAACTCCAGACTGCCGCCGTCAGGGTTTTCTATCATTTTAATCAGAGTTTCGTCAACTTTAGGAATCATACTAAGCCTTGGTTCTGGCTCTATTTGGTCGAGAGCCGGAGCCGTTTTTCGTGACATTTTAGGAGATTTTGCTTTCGATTTCTATAAAAAAAATAGGAACATGATAAAGTACACCGAACTTACCATAGAAATATAATTTTAGTAATCCAATCTATGACATTTCTGCCAGATATTTAAACAAATCTTATTGTCCTTCATCCTCTGTTTTGGTCGTTTAATGATAAAGGTAAAGCGGTCCTCGTGGATCAGAAAAGCGTGAAGCAGAATTTGTTATGAATTGATTATTTCAAAGGATACATGGATACTGTCTATACTAACTTTTGAATAGTTTTCTGTCTATTCTCACTTTTGAACTGTTTTATGTCTATACTCACTTTCTGTCGATTTTTCTTCTGAACTGTCGTAAAAAAGCGACATGATTTAAAACTAACCTTGGTAGTTTTGTTGTTGCCTTTCTTCACCACCAGATCAGACAAATCCACTTTATTTTGGATTTTCACTTCCATTTTATCTTCTTCTTCATTTACTTTATTCTCAGCTTTTCCCACACCTTTAACATCCAGTTTATCACCTTTCGTCTTCTCTGCTCTCATTCCTTTGCCCTTATCCTTGGTCTTGGAACTCTGGTCCTGCTTTGGTTTATTTCGTGAATTCTCCTTTCGCGAGTTTCCTTCGGAATTTTTCTCACTCGTGACTGCATCTTGTTGAATATCAAACGACCCTAATGTCACAGAAAAATGTCACCGCTATGGTTACGTTGCTTGAATTATAATAGTGAGCTTAAGCAAGTGACGTTTTTGACAACACGTACGTTGACCGGAAGTAAAGTTTTTATTTTTCACCAATCACAATCCTTGACCCAGTCTTTTGGCGTTACTCATGCCGTTTGTGTTGTCAAAAACGTCGCTTGCTTAAGCTCACTAATTACAGTGTTAAGAGTTCCTTGACTGCCCGAAAGAGTTAACCAAGTAGTGAGATTTAAATTTTTAATATCTCATATTATTGTTTCGCTTACCTTTCATCTCAGCCTTTTCTGAATCCGCGAGGCTTTTCTCTGGCGTCATGTTGGTTGTCATGGAAGATTCCTCGCGTTTCGTTTGTGAGATATAATGTGGTTCTGGTTCTGTAGTCATCCTATCGACGTTTTGTTGTTCAACTCTGGAATCTGACTCCCGAATTCCCGCCAACTGAATGAGCTTATCTGTCTCGGAGGTCAACTGAACCTCGCGTACATAAATTTCAGGTGTCTCGTTTGATTCGAGACTTGTTTTAGTCCCTTGAACTTCAGCTATATCGGGATGAAGTGTCTTTGCGGTCAGGTCATATTTGTCCTCGTTTGTTTCGCTTGTATTAGATCTCTCATCACTTTTGACATTAACTTGTGATGATTCACAAGGTGGAAGAGCATTTGTGGTAAATGAATCTTCAGTGGAAGGAATTTCTTTAATAGTATATTCATCTTTGGAATAACTAGCTAGTACATTATCACTGCAACGGTCGAGTTCCTCTTCCAAAACTGTTTCCTTAACGGGACATTCTTCTTGGGGCGTATTAACATGAGTTCCTTCATAAGGAAGATATTCCTCATTCACGCTCCCCAAAACCTCGGCGACATCGCTACTAATATTTTCTTTTTGGATTTCTTCACCCAACTCTGTGCTTCGAGATTCAAAGATAAAAGACGTAGCATTTCCCGAAACCTCATCATCATTAGCTTTATTCCTGCGTTCTTGGTGTGCTTGCGAAATGACATCAAGAATCTGGACCTCTACAAAATCTGATTCCACAGTGTTAACTAGCTTTGCGCCCTTGAGCTCCTGTTTTTTCTCATCCCTCATATTTCCTGTTATCTTCTTTCTAGTCTTTATATGTTCTTTGTCCGACTTTGCATTCCGTTCAACAACCTTCTTAGCCGGTTTAAAAACTGTCGTATCCTTATCGTTTTTTATACAGTTTTCAAACTTGTAATCATCATACTTTTCATCTTTGATAGCATATGGTTCATTTGTTTTAACATCGTTTTTAGGATCTTCACCATCACCCAATGAATGTCCTTGAAATAAAGCGATATGAGAGGTTTCTTGAGTCAACACCAGAGTATCACTATCATCATCGTTCTCATTGCTACTGAGTGTTACGCCGTGTTTTAAGCCGAGAGGCCCTGAGAACAAAGTTGTACTGCCAATTTCTGTAAATGGATCAGAGTTTCTCCTAGTCGGTTGTTCTGAAATATCTTCGGGTGTGGTAATATCGTCTTCGTTGTCGTCATAGTAAGATGCAGCACTTGGAATTCGTACAGAATAATTTCTTTGCCAAGCCTTCGTTTGAAGGTTTTTGTACTCACAAGTGTCCGCGTGAATTAGTGAAGAGCAAGGCCTTGTTTGACCTCAAAGGAAAGAAGAATACGCGCATGTCAAAAACTAGGTCAATATTCTCATGAGCAAGCTGGTGAGATGACGTGGGGCAACATATTTTTACACAAAGTGTTGCTACGTATAGTGAAAGGCAACAAAATCGTTTATACCTGCGCTATAACTATAAGTTTTCCGCGGACATCTTGACGTGTGATTTGCCAAAACTGGCGCGCTTTTAACGCGACTTTTCCTGGACTTCTCAGAATACAATTTATCTTCTTTAAAAGCGCGAGGATCATTTAAATCTGAGTCGAAAGAGGACGCATTCATCCCCTTGTAAAACTTTACTTGTTCATCCATATCTTCTACCTCATTTCCTGGCTCAGATATTTCTCGTTTGAGAGGAACTATATAAAGTGCAAGTCGTGTTTTCAGTGAAAAAAAAACAACGTACGAATTAGACAAAAACGCACCTAATATGTCAGCCTTGATATCCGACGAAGTCGTACGACAAATCTCGCTTCTTTGTTCTGACAGACACTCGATGCATTCTAGGTGTTCGTCGTCGTCGTCGTCATCCTGAACATCGTTGTCATAGTAACCAAGTGATATATCATCCATAGCCCACCATGTTGAGTATCTTGACGTACTCGAGGCTGCTCGGCTTGCTTTTTCCAATCGTTCAAAATGATACTCAGAGTTTGAGTTTGGGATACTGGTCACGTCGTCCTGGAATTAAGAGTATAAAATATACTGTAGACTTTTCAAGTTTATTTATTACTGTTTTCTTGTTTCGTTAAGATGATCATTATATATTATAGTTAGGCAGTTAACGCCCTCGGCATGACCCTGATATGCCTATTTTTATGCAAGTTTCTTAAACAATAACCGGCGCGTAATATAAAAAAAAACGCGACCACGGAATTTCTCAAGAAATTTACTTTTGTTTATATAGTACAAAATTTTAGTTTTCAAGGAATTAATATAGGTTCTGATGGTATATCAGGAGTATGCTTTACTGACACACTCCAGCCACATTTACATTTGCTATCAAAGGCTCTACCAGTATTTCGTTTGAATCTGAATGCCTGATTGAAATTATTGGTTTTACGCACTCGTGGTTTTAAGAAAATAACAAGGCATTCAATTCCCAACAAAATTTTGAAGGGGATACTTTTGTTCAGACACCGTATTGTTAAATTTATGAATACAATGGAATACAATTTTATGAATTTCATGCACGTCATTATTTTAATTAATAAGCGAACAATTGGAGTCAGTTCCCGAGACACCCTGTAGTGTATGGTATTATACAGTAACTTAGCTCAGAAGTACTGACCATCTCGTTGGTAATGCTACAGTAAGGAGTGGTAAGCTGTCTTGTATGATGATTTTCTTGTGAGGGCAACTGGAGAAAATTGGTTGTCTTTTCCAAGTCGGTACGCGTGAGTTTGCAAGGAAGTTTACCCAGGGCTACAAGTTTAACAAACGAAAAAACGTATTCATTAATGCGTTGCTTGGTCAGGGTAAGTCATCTATCATTCTCAGTAATCACCGTAACGACTGCAGACCTGCATGGCTGTAGTGTAGCACATTTGAGCTATCAACGGGGGTAATCAGCGGGGGGTAGAATTTACTGAATTTATATATAAAACTCAACTGTTAGTCCTCGCTATAGAGAGCTTTAGGAATCAATACACTACATTCTACAAGAGACACGATCTCACCGCTCTGTTCGAGTAGGCCAAGTTTAAAACATGGCATTTGTTGGTTTGGGCTATTGTTAGAAAAATAGTTCATCCAATTTCTTTACTTTCTCTCCAATGTTGGAAGACAAACCTCGTATCGGAGGGCACGGTTTACCACTAGTTATTCTTGGATGTGCTTTAATCTGTTCAGCTTCTTTAGGGAGGACATTAACTGGTACAGTCTTTGGTCTTTCTTTTGGTCTTTTGACGAGAGTCTCATGATGGTTGTAGAATGAATTGATTGATTTTGGACGTGATAAAACTTTGAAAACATTTTCAGTTTGGTCTTCTACATGTTTGCTGAAATGAAATAACAGTATAGTATACATTTCGGCCAGAATTTGGTTGCATAATGAAGCTAGTTTAGAATATGAGGCAACAATAGAGCTGGCCCTGGGAAAATATCCTGTTTTTGGCCCTGGATACCCAACCTACCCCCTTTGATGATAGTACCACCAATGGTAATGTAAATTATCTTGAGCTCATGATGACATGCAAATATAACTTTCGTATATAGAGCTAGCTCACTACAAAAGGCAGTACCTATACCTAATGCACATACCTTATTGAATTATTTTGTTTTTGATCAATTGGCCTGGAGATTTCTTGTTTGTTTGTGTCTTGATCTTTGAGAAACACATCAAGAAACTCCAGAAAAAGTTTCCTTTTCTGATGAGGTGGAATTTGCTCTTCAACTTGCCCTAGACCTTCACCCCTGCTGTTTTCAATATTTTTATTTTGTTTTTCACTTTCATGATTCTTTCTGGCATGATGGGCAGCAAACAGTAAAATGGCACCTTTTCGTGTTAGATAAGTTTTTGGTAGTTTAAGGACCTGGTTTTGAGTGTCACTTATATCAATTGCATCTGTTGGTGGTAGCTTTGCTTTCCTGCTTTCTGCTGTTTCATGTATGGATGGAAGTAGGCTGTCCAGAGTTGACTATAGAGGTTTTGAAAACTAACTTTAAGGAATGTTTATTGTGATAATATTCTTCATTTAATCAAGTGCTGAACAAACTATATTAACTATATTAATATAGGAACACTGACTGCTTGGTCATAAACAATAACCAACTTGTGATTTCTAGTCGAAATATGAAGTATACATGATTTTATCTTTTCTCTGTTATATCAATAGTACTCTCCCCTTTTGCCTGAAATGTGTAGCATCATCTAGTTAGTTGGAATGATTGCATATATTATTTATAACAATTATCTTACAAAGTTGCATTTATGTTCCCATGCAGGCTAACCAATTCTTCCTTTATTCTGTCTACCAGTATGATATTTAACTAATAAAGAGGGGAGATTATAGGTTAATGGGTTAAACACCCCCTCCTGCCCTTCATTTAGGAACAAATAAAAAAAGAACATTATCCCAGCGGGAGTACAATAGTTCAAACGATTAAAGACAAAAACAGATTGTTCTAAACTGCATAGTGCATATTGTAATCATTCTTTTGGTATGAAAGTAAATACAATACAATCAATACTTTGATCAAGAAAAAGATATAAAGCAACACATTTATAGTAACAAAAAAATCGTGAAAAACCTCGTCTTCCAAATGTCCATCCCATAGCCCATTCCCCTTTACAAGAGAGGAAAACATCGAAATCCAAAAAAAAATTAAAAACAAAGCATCATAAGTATTTTCAGGACGTGACGACCAAAGTAGCAGAATATGGAGAGGCTACGATCAAAGATGGAATCAGTTGTTCATTTGTTACATTGTTTGTAAATAGACGCCATCATTAGACGCCGTCAATGTTATTACCCTGACAACCAAGTTATTTTTTTTCAATGATTTTTTTACCTGATATTGGGCTATATTTGCGCGGGTCGTGCGGGTGCCACTCAAATTTTGACTGCCACTGTTCTTGTGCCATCGGCCATCGCAAAGAGAATTAAGGCTGATCATCTATTTTGTGCGTACGAAAGTAACGAAACATATTTTCCTCTTTGAACGCAAAGTACAATAAAAGTGACATCAACAATGGTGTTCGCTTTTGCGGAACCACCTCCTCGGGCCTCCCCCCTCCGTGCGTACCAGTAGCTCCCCATATAAGAGCAGTACCAGACGAAACATGTGAGCAGTTGGGATAGGGGAGGTCCTTCTAAGGAGCTGTGTATTTCAGCAAAAATGCAAGTATTTATTGGGCCAAGTTTCCACTTCCAATATAGCAAGGTGGCATAGGCTATAGGGTCACATGAAGAAACAGGCTGAAGGAAGGCCCACCAGAAAAATTCTTGGTATTCCAGTCTACGCTGGGTTCAAATCTACCCTGAAGATGAACTTTATTTGGGTTTATAGTTTGGTGATTAAATACAACATCTTCCTATGTTTTTTCTTTACATCAGAATACCAGACCAGCTATTGTGATCACTGGCTAGAATTATGGTATACCCAACATGTACAATGTGGCCATGCAAGAACACCATCTGTTGTTGCCTTTGCGTTTTTCTATTCTGCATTTGGGTGAGTTTTACAGAACTAAACACTCCTTTGATTATAGTTGTTGCCAAGATATAAACACAAAGTCATCTTAATGTATATTTCTGCATAATTTTAATGGAAAATGTAGTTGTAATGAATTTTGTACAAACAGTATATACTCTGCTATGCAGTTTATACTAAGCTATAAACAGAACTTGTGCATGAAAATGTTATGTGGAATTTTTACCACTCTGCGATGATCCAGGCAAAGCAGAGTGAGTGAGTTTACCCAAAGCAGGCAGTTTCTCAAAATTATACACGACAGCAGCTGCGAATGTGATCAAAAGTAAGATAACAATCAACAATACCCAGCGTAATTTTCTTGAGGTGTTTTGTTTTGATGTTTTTGGTTTTTCTTCTGCAGGTTTAGTTTCAGGAATATTTTCAGGAATGGATTCAGAAGTCTGCTGCTGCGAGCGTCGTGCCCGTACCTCTGTGGCTGGTGCTGCAGCTGATTTGTCTGGACTAAATCTAAATAATAAAAGCATATGGCAAGATCAAATCATTTTCAGGTACGTTTTTCACTCAAATACTTCACTAGGATCAAGACAACTCGAACTTAACATGAATTTCATTTCATGGCAACCATATAAAAATCTACCAACCTTGCAGCAGTCAATGCTTGTTGGAAATTTGAAGGCAAGCCAGGTAACTGTTGTAATACATCATCATCGCCATCACCATCATCTTCCTCTCCATTCTCATTACTAGTTGAACTGGACCAATTCTTCTCCTCAAATTTATCTCCTTTCTTTGTGCGTACTTTGTTCATAGTTTTGCGATCAAATGTTTTGCTCCGTTCAACGTTTCGTGATGAGGAAACAGAAAAGTCTCGGGTGACTTCTTTCTTTGAGGTGGTATCTTGAAAGTTTTTTGTGAAACTTCGACCAAAGTTGGCTCCACTTGGTGTAGTTCTTTCTTGGTGTTTGTAAAAGAACTCTAGAAGAAAAGGGTTTGATATCATATAGTTTCCCTCAACTTCAGCTAAAAATGCATAGTAAAGTAGTACGTGAAAAAATAAGTGTTATTTTACCCTCATCTGGAGCACTTTCCTCATCTCGTACATCATACTCATCAAAGTTGTCATCAGAAAACTCAGATTTTGTTATTGTCATAGTACCATTGCTTGGCAAACTGTCTCGCATTCTCGCTAATGAGAAGAGAAAATATATATATATATATAATGTTTACACTACCATGACTAAATTCTCAATCTCATTTGTATTTTACAAGGATTTATACTGTACCTAGTTTTCTTTCATAAAGTCCTCTTGTACTGTCCATGATTGGTCCAACAGGTGAGCCCAATGCTAACAACTCCTGTTTAAGTTCATCATCTGTCATGGATTTAATGTCTGCACTCACAATATCTTTAGATGCAACTTTTTTTATACTACGACTTGATCGCGGTACTATTTGCTAAAGTAAAAAATTCAGTATATATAAAACTTCTCGAAAGTCTCTATTACTATAGGTTATCAAGTGGAATTTGAGAAAAAACATACACAAGTGAGCTTTACAGAGATTATCATAAGGGTTGGAATATAATTAAGTGCAATTTGAAGTCTCCAGAAACCATATTACTATTACTTATTAATAATATACATAAAAATTATCAGCTGTTTGCTTGGCAAAAACAATTTGCTTTCTATTACTGCTTTTTCACTGTACTATTTAAACATTGCACTACTCCTAACCAATCAGTATATTGTATATTTTTAATATTATCATAATTGAATTCCAACTAAAGACATTGCATTTGAATAGATGCATTGCCATGAGTGATCTAAAGTCAATTCTTGAATGCTGCTGGTTGTATGAAGTGCTTTAATGTAATTTAAACCCAGATTTATTTCGCTAGATCAAAAAATTGACAGTAGGACTAATGTCATATCTCAAGTCAATAAGGCCAAACTACTGTTTACAGCATCTCTGATGACACAAAGGTTACAGGTACCCTAACTAGTCAGTGGTTTGTGGTGAATAAAGCCTCAAGGAATGCAATAAAGTGGATTTGTTAAGTTGCTGTTGGAATTTTATTGCACAATTATGAAAATATGTATCGATCGCTCTTGTACATAAATTCATACCTATTAACGCCGCATTCGCTCAGCATGAATGTATATAAAAAACCCTGTAATAATTATACCCACAGTTTATCTAAACAAGCTCGCCATTGATTTAAGAAAAAACATTTATAAAAGCCAATCATGTTAACAAGAATGGCTCGTAATCGTTCATATAAAAACACGCCAATAGACATTAAAATCATGAGGCTAATAACCGTCAAAACGAAACCCGAAATGCAAATTATTTCCAAAAATGCGAAAGTGTATAAAATGTATTAAAATACTTACATAATAGACTAATTACACAAAGCAAGGAAAATGAAAAGTTTTGCATAGTAAATCCTTCCCCCCTGAAATATACCTTAGCTTCTGGAGAATTATTAAAGTCTCCATCGTCATCTGAACTGAATTCACCGTTTAGAGAGCTGTGTTGTCCGGACTCTGGGGACAAATTCTCGCGGTATAGTTTAACGTAAAATTCTTTCTTTTGGTCGCCTCGTGGCAGCTTTACACCGCTGCTTTCCAATTCCCTCTTCAAGCGGTCCTTCGTAAGCAAACTAGGGTCATGAAACGCCTTCGACATGGCCAAAAAACGTAGAAAAGACACTCGGTTTATTTCGCTTTTAAAACTAAACAAACGGAACGGAGAGGGACGCTAAATAAAAGACGAACAGTTTAGTTCAATTTTGTTATAAAAGCTCATCCTTGATTGGCGGTAGCGAGAAGAACTGGCCAATCATGTTTAGCGTTTTATCCGTAGGTGAACGTGATTTTATTTTTCGCTTTTTTATACGTATTATTTGTGATTCGTCTTTCAATTTTTTAAGTATATTCTAATTTCTAATTTCCTTTTTAGTAAAACATCAACATAAGAACTAGACTTTTTGTTTTGAGGTGAATTTTTTATAGGTTACTTGGGCACAGTCCTGTATATTGAAAGTACATACAAGTTTGAGTGGCCAGAGCCCGCAATCTTGATGTACAAAGATGGTAGATGGGTTTTGATCAGTTTTGATTGAACCATGGTTGTGAAGCAGAGTTTTTATTGATTTTATTACCATTAGCATTGGTTTGAACCATTGTGATCTACTGGTTGAAGCTTTTACTAAAAATATGACATATTTCGTTTAAAGAATTGGTGATTCCCAATAAATATTTGACATGTTACCTTCAGCAAATGCAGATGAAAAGACCATAGTTTTGGGGAAACTCTGTGGTACGTTTTACGGGAAAAATTGTACTGTAACAATAAACTAAACGTATAAATTAACATTTAACACACAATATTATCTCCTATTTATGAAACGTGTCGACATGTACTTTTATGGTTTATAGCGAGTTTGGAAGGGCCATTTATTTCAATTATTTGGACAAATTTGTTAGATGCATTACAACATTTTTCGGCACAACGGTGTTGGTGTGAACTGTGTGGTTTGGGCGTGACCTGAACGGTGTATTTTATTTTTACCCGTAAGCTAGGATGTTGAGAATGGCCTTTTTATATTAACTCAATATAAAATCGTCTTAGGGTATTTTTTTAATATTTTTTTAGTTCTTTGCAACCCAACATATTTAAAACAAATTCCCATATTTAGAACAAGTTGAGTGGTTTACTATCTAGCCAATGGATGAAAGACCCAAATTATATACCATAGAGGCAGGCCATGTTCTATGTTAGGGAGCTCAGACATATAGGCTATTCTGTGCTCATCTATGCATGAAATTGGTCATTCAAAATTGCCAAGTCTACCCAGCATACATTGTGTGGCTGGTTACATTTCTATTGATATCATGGGCATCGGAAGCAGTTTAAGGTGGCGGGGGCAGAGTTTTAGAAAAAGGCACATTCATTTTACCTTAGCAACCACACGAAGAGGAAACTCAAATTTACACGTACAATGCGAACTTGCAAATCCATGGGAGAACACATTTTCAATATATGCGAAAAGTAGGCATCATGATTAAATGTTCAATTTATGATGCTTTTATATGGTAGCACAGGGCTGCCCCTGCTCGCCCCGTAAGCAAAGGGCAGGGGGGGCAGCTGCCCCTGTGGTTCCGGTGCCCCTTATTGATATTATACCAATCTTGCTTCTACATTGTGATCCTATAAATCATTTTTATGTTATGGCCGGTGGCCCAACATATAAATCAGGACGACTAAATTATTGCTCTGAACTGGTTATATTCAGTGTTGAATGTATAACTAAATGCTAATGTTGCAATTTGTCAACTTGATTTCTAATCTCTTAATATCCACAGTTCCAATTTTGCAAGAGGTTGAGCCTGTGGGACGATGGTTTGAAGCTTACATTTCACGCAGTAGAAGAAATGTGTCTCTGTCAAGTTCTGAACCTGGTGAGAATTCAAATGAAAATAATGCAGATAAAAAAGAAAGTAGTAGTTCATCAAGTTCTGATAGTGAAGATGAGAGATATCTACTCACTCTGGATCCCAAGGAGTGGAAGGTAATGTTAATGTCTAGGAAATAATTCAATATGACTTTGCATGCAATATTATTTTCTTCTGGTTAATATTCTAAAGCACTGACTTGCATGAATATATTACACTTCTACCAAAGTAAAATGCCTTAATTATCACATATTAGGTTCCATAGCCAGAACAATGTGTAATATATGCTGGGTATCTTTCATTTACCTGTGTACAAGGTTGAACAATGTGTATAGGTATAAGAAATGTAATAGTATTAGGTATATAAGAAATAATATCTTCACTCTAGGAGCAAGATCATTACAAAGTAATTGGTTTAAAAAATAGAAGATATAGAGCTACTGAAGATGACATAAAGAGAGCTTGTAAGTATATAATTGGATTGAAGCTGGTTTCTTATATTAACTATTGTGCAATTATTTACGCACAAATAATTATCATGCACATTTGTGCATAATACACAACAGCATCCATCTTTTTAAATTCACATACCAGCAGCAGCAGCACCCAAGAAGTATTAATAGACTGACATTGGGACTCAAACCTAGCTAGGGAATCCATAACTTCTAATCATGCTGTTTCAACTTCTAACTATGCCCCTACTGCCTATCATATTTTAATTTTGCATTTTTCATTAGACAGGAAAATGGTTCTCAAACATCATCCTGATAAGAGTCATTCTCGTAAATCTAAGATGCACTTAGATGCTGTTCAGGAATATTTCACATGTATAACTAAAGCAGGAGAAATCTTAATGAACAAGGCAAAACGACGGGCTTATGACAGCATTGATCCAACATTTGATGATTACGTCCCACCTGTTAACCCAAATTCCAAAATAAATTTTTACCAAGTTTTTGGCCCTGTTTTTGATGCAAATTCCCGGTGAGTTTCCTTGCTTCTTAAATGTAATGAAACGATAGGGAGGCTTAAATTAACCGTGCTTAAATGAATATCACATGGTCTAGTGCTAATGTCTTAAGGCAGGATTTTCTCAGAGTAAGAAAGCAGGATAAGTGAACAAAGATCTGTGTAAAAAGAACCCCGAACGATTTTGTGAATTGTACAACATAAACCTTGATAAACATGTTTGAAAATATATGTTAATGAATGAACTAGATTCTTTGTATATTGCCCTTTTAATCCCTGATGGAAGTTTTTGTGCTTCTACACAATTTTTATCATTCATTGCAGGTGGTCATGTGAGCAGAAAGTACCATGTCTTGGAGATGAAGACTCGACTTTTGAAGATGTGGATGAGTTTTACAAATTTTGGTGTGTTGCTTTAAACACAGCTCTTAATTTTTTTCTAAAGTTTGTTTCATAGGTGTACATCGAAATAATATAAAATGAAAAAATCTTGTCAGGTATGATTTTGAATCATGGAGAGAATTTTCATATTTGGATGAAGAAGAAAAGGAGAAAGGCCAAAGGTTTGTTATTTTTTTACAAAAGTAGTTTTACCAAACAATAAATAACACCAGCTACACTTGTCAAGAAATATGACAGCATAAAACATAATGATTAACGACACAAAACTCCAAAATAATTAACGACACGAAACCATAAGTAACGACTTCTACACCTCGTGTTGACTACATAACATAATGTAATAGGAAGTGACCTTCCAGTTTGTTTAAGGTTAGAGGATTAGGCAAGTGGCCTCAGCAAGCTCAAAATCTGCATTGTTTTGGTGTTATTTTTTGGGGTTCAGCGCTCCATATCTTGATGCGTCCATTTATGGACGTGCCATTTCTTCACCACCTTTACGTCCTAAAGCTAACTCTGTCTGATCTATCGTAATTATCGCTACTCTGAAAGTTAACTCACGAAAGTTAATCTTTGTTTCGTGATTACTTTCATTTATTAAAACCAGATTAGCGATAATTACGATGGATTATACACCTGGTTGCCGTGAACTCATTAACTTCAATCTGTCTGATCTTTTTAAAATTTTCCATTTTTGTGAAGTCGTGATGAACGTAGGTGGATGGAAAAACAAAACAGAGCCATGAGGCAGAAACGGAAGAAAGAAGAAACAACAAGATTAAGAACTTTAGTTGGTAAGACAAAGTATAAACGAACTGGCTTTCATAACATTGGGTTAATATGACTCATGGTCTTACCGAATGATTATTTGCGGTCTGGTTCATATTCTTCTCGTTGTTTTCAGACAATTGTTACGCTTGTGATCCTCGTTTGAAGAAATTTCGCGAGGAAGAGAAAGAAAGAAAGGTGTCGGAAAGAAGAGCAAAAGAAGAAGCAGTGAGATTGGCAGCTGAAGAACAGGAAAAGGTACTTTTAAGTGTATTTTACTGATTTAAATAGAACAATCTGCAATAGCTTTATCAAATCTGTTGTGAGCGTTTGATTTATCACGGAAATATCCGGAGAATGTTGGACCAGAGGCAAGACTTTTTAACAGAGCATGCATGGATTATAATCTGAAATACATATTACAGAAATCAAACTTCACTGACACACAGAACGAAACACAACTTAAGTTTTTTTACCTGCTGCTCATGTGCCGACAACCGCTACACTATTGTTGATTTTCTATCCAAGCTATTGTGTTTTTTTTTACATGTATATCAGAAAAGACAGGAGGCTCTTGAAGCGGAGAGAATTTTACGAGAAAAAGAAGAACAAGAAGCTAAGGAAAAAGTAATTTTAAGAATCAACGCACACTATTTTTTTTCTACTTCACCATTTCACGTTGAATGGCTTCTCAATATCATGTTTACAGGCGCAAGCCGCGAAGAAGGAAAAAGATAAACTTAAGAATGCCTTAAAAAAAGAAAAGAAAAGTATAAGAACGTTTTGTAAGGTAAGTGGATGAATGGCTGTATATAAAACTAATGTTGGATTAAAGGAACAAAAATATCGTCTTTTAGGAGCATAATTATTTTTCATGTGATGAGAAAGACTTGGTTGAAAAAATGGAATTAACAGAAAAATTACTAGAAACATTAACATTAGATAGGTGAGTGAAATATTTGGACAATAAGAGTGCTAAAATATCATGATCAAACTAATTCATTTGAGATTGTTGACAAATACAACATAATTTCAATTTTGGCCTCAATGCTATTTTAGAGCACATCAATCGCCACGACTTTACACTCTAAACTCGGGCAATTTAACAAGCAGGAATGCAGTTAACGAACATTTTTGTCGTTTGTAGATTACAAGATTTACGAGAATCTTTTAAACAGGAAAATAAAGATAATATTAGTAATTTATTCCTGCAAGAGGTATGTCTAGTTTTATGATACTTTGAGAAAACAGATGTTGATGTTGTGAAGCAGCCTTAAGTGTGACTATATTTAAAATTGAACCGGCTTTTTCAGATTGATAAATTAAAACAAGAGATAATCTTGGAAGAGGAAAAGGCTGCAAGAACCGCTCAAGAAAAAAAGGCGGCCAAGGAGAATGGGAGCGAAACCAGTTCGAGTTCATTGTGGGGTGAAGACGAACAGGAACTTCTTATTAAAGCAGTGAAACTGTTTCCTGCAGGAACGAATACAAGGTGAAGTAAATCAGAGAGTCAAGCCCCGTTTACACTACAGTCATTTACAGAGTCATAAATCTGAGGCATCCATTATAACATTTTCTAGATGGGAAGTCATAGCGGAATATATTAACCATCATTCGAAAGGCAATGCTGTAAAAACATCAAAACATGTCATAAAGAAAGTCAAAGAATTGCAAAGATTTGGTAAGCGCCAGCCCACGTCTTCAACACCATACAAAGTATTTGTTTGTAGAATTCTAGTACACTAATATTTGTTTATATTTTTAGACACAACACAAATAGAAAACGCAAATAAAAACGCATTTGCCAAATTTGACAAGACTCTTTCTTCTCCATCGACTTCCACTCCAAGTCCATCAAACCCGACTGAAAGATATGATAACAGTATGTTTTGCTTGCGTTGCCTAACTATCATATAATGTTTCCTTAGTTTAAGTTGTGATTGCTTCTCATTGGCACCTTTAATGCCCCGCTAAAGCTGTTACTAAAATGTATCAGCCTTGTATTAGCCTTGCCTAATTGTTGTTGTACACTGTTATATATCTATATTTATGAAACACTCTTGCTCTTTAAGGTGGTTCCGCCGCAGCACAAAGCACGCCTGCCGTAGAAAGGACGTGGAAAACGGAAGAACAAAAGGTAATATTTTTTGGAAATTATTAAGAGGCATGACAGTTAACGCTTCACAACATTATACAATTGGATAAGGTTGGAACTGCACCGAGCATTGATTCACCTATTTCCATACCATAGCTGCTAGAAAATGCTCTTCGGAAGTACCCGTCAAGTACTCCTGAACGATGGGATAGGATCGCCGAAGAAGTACCAGGAAGAACAAAAAAGGAATGCATGAGGAGATATAAGGTGATATTCAAGGATTGATGCGTTTTTTGGCTACAATTCACTGCTTTCCTGAAACGATTTTCCATTTCTGTTATTACCTTCCATTTTCACTTCAGTTCCATTTCTGTCTACTGTAGGATCTTGTCGAAATGGTAAAGGCAAAGAAATCAGTTGCAGCAAGAACAAATAAGACGTAGTTTTAAGGTAGTTAGGATACAGCGGGCAATAGATATTACAAGCCATGCTCCTGACCATCTCCGGGCTAAATATGGTCACAGGTTTAAGCTGATCTGCAGGGCTTACAACTTTTCTTAAAAATCGTTTGACTGCTTTCTTCATCGATTTACATTCGCATTTCACCAAGTGTTTTAAGATTTAGGACACAGTTGATGTACTTTAATAACTTGGAAATGAGTAAGTAGCTTAGAAATGTTCTCAATCTCTGGTTTTGCAGAATGGCGAGTTGAAATCTCCCCCAGTGAATCAAAAAGCCATAAAATGTACATTTGAGTAAAAATCTGGCAAACACAGAGGAAAATAAACTAAATCCACGTACAAGATCTCTTGAAATAAGTTGATTTAAAACACCCTTGAGGGAGCCTAAGGGTTTGTGTTTGCATTATTTTGACTTATTTACATCTGTTTTGAAGCTAAGTCTCGTATTTAGTTCATATGATTAACGTCTTGCTGGCCTCGAATGGATTTACCATGATCAACAGAAGAGTACAGCAGCTGATATATCCAAGCATTTGCACATATAAATACAACCTCAGCAGACCTATTTTTTATCAATCTTAGAATTGCCCATAGCCCGGAATAACCTGGATTAAATCTGAGTATTTAAGAAATTAGATTTTTGGCTCTCTGGATACCTGTAGTTTTGAAAATAAAAATCACAGTGTGGGTAACGCTATCCAGATTCGTATAAGGTATAACCCGGCCCATGGTTGCCCATGGTTGGTGGTTCTGTGTTGTGACGTCATTGTATGCAAATTTAAAATACAAAATCAGAATTTTTAAACCTGGATTTCCCGTTTCAAATCTTTTAATGCTTTAATATCGCAAAATCGTAAAGCATGTATGTATGAAAGTTTTTTGGAGGCAAAAGTTTAAAAATTGATGATGTAAGATGGGACATTCGAAACATTAGCAACTGTAAAATAGGTTGCAGTGTCCGAAACTTGGACATGATTCACATGAAGATACGATGTAAATATGATGTATATATTTGCAGTGTGCATATTTTGGACAGTTTTTTAGAGCAATAACGGAGATGACTAAAGCTTGAAAGGGCTTCTGTTGTTAATGGAGAGTATTTTGCAGTCATTTTAACAATGGCCACAGTCGAAGGCAATGAATTTATGCTAGATCGTCGTAGGTATAGTATTTCGGAGACAAATGAGCAATCTAGCGATTCGTATCATCTTATACCGTATGGGTTTCAACCAAAAGCGTGCTATAAACCGAAAGCAAAGAGAAAGGAAATCACAGGAGGTAAAGAACAGAGCGTTCCCTATAGAATGATACTTATAATAGGTCAATAAAAATATACAGTAAAAATATACGGGGTATGGTAAGTCACTGATGTGTGTATAATGGTCGACAGAAAATGTCATTAGATATGTCAATATTGACATTAATCGTTTCACGACGATTCGCTTTAAACAGATTTTAAGCATTTTGGATTATAATCTCCCAAAGCTGTGTTTATTTGGTTAAATTAATTTGTGAGATTTATTTTTTCTGAAAGTTTTCAACTAAATTTCTAAAGATGTATCAAATAAACGGATTATAAATAACAGGTTGTTGTCATGACAACAACACAGCAGGCGCTATTAGTGGATGAAACTGGGGGTTTTTTGACCTGCCTAATTTGCTCCAATATTTGTCAACAATATTGTACAAATTTCCACCACATTCATTTTTCTGTAATGAGTATTTTAGCATATATGTGTCTTCCTTTCTGTTGCAAAAGATAATATACCATTATATAGGTGCATAATAAGGCAGTGAAGCATGTGTTGTTGCAGACATACCAGCTAGACATATGCAGACAATGCAGACATTTCTCTCTATACTTCTTTGTAATTTGCATTTTACTTTATATAGTTATAACCATATGGTTATAAAACCTACAACCTTGAAAATTGATACAGTTGTTTCTCTTACGTAGTTACCTATAATTCAAGGAGTCGTCAATTTATAATTCTTGATTCAAAAGGAATCACTGCTTGGTCACATAACAGTGTAATAAATGCAGGTATTAACTGTCAACCAGCAAAATTGATTGAATATATTTCAAAAGGTTGAGTCTTGAATTTCCAACATTAAACAGTCTAAAAAACTTGATCTGTTCTTTTTTGCAGTTTCACGTTTATTAGATTATCCTTCATATCAATTCAATTTGATCCAACTTCTTCTACATTCTAAGAAATTTAATGTGTACTTTGGCCTTTCAAAAGATTATGCACTGAAGGTTGGTTTTTTAATAAAAGTAGAGTTCAATTGTCTTGTGATGATGATAATTGGTAGAACTTTGACGATAACATCAGATGGTCATGCATATAGTGTACATGAGTGTCATGAAGTTTTATGTGTTACTGTATGATATTGTGTATTTTGCTGTTGATCCTGTGTTAGGTGTTTAACCTAAACTTCCATGAAGTGTTTTCTGTGATTTCTGACATGAACTCTGTGTTATGCATGGTGTTCAACTCTGTTACTGATGAGCTTATTACTGGTGGAACGGGTGGTATTAAGGTAAGCTAGTATTTCAGTAAATAATTAAATGGACTGACTTTCAGCTAGTTTTATCGTAACCGTGCAATAAAAAATACATATTTAGATGGTAGTGTTAAGATTAATAGGATTAGATTATGGACATCAGATTAAAGGAGAGTTATAATAAATAATAAATGCGTAAGTGTTTACATTGGCTAGAGTGAGAGAGCCTGATTGATATACAGAAACGTATGACAATATTACTAGTTTATATCACACTAAAACATCGCCTAAATTGCGAATGGTTGGTATTTTTAGTTTTGGACGTTTGGAGAAATACAATCTGAGGACCGTTCTATGGCAAGAGATTCAAGACCAATGGCTAATTATGGACTCATTTTGAGGTATTTAGCTCTTGAAATTTCTCCGTTTTTCCATTAGTTTAATATGACGGATGGAATGAAGTGGATAGTCCGAGTAATACCCTAGTGTTCCCTAATGTTTATTTCAACACTTTCGGCAAACGTAGATAGAACGATCTGGAGTCCCAGCTAGTGCATGACCCCGCACAAAAGGAAGATGCGCATTAAATCCTAGGATTTAATAGCGAATTGAATAGTGAAAAATAAATAGGATCACTATCTTACCATGCAGATAGTATGTGTACACGTAATATAGGTGTGACCATTTTGCACGTATACATTTACCCCTTCCTCACCCCACTGCCCACGATCCTGGAGTTTGTTATCAGTCTGCTGTTACTCGGGTCAACTCTCGCTATCCACTCGTTCAGCTTTCGGCCTCTGGTCAATAAAACATGGTCATTTTATTATTGTTGTATGGTTTCATTGAACTCTCAGGCGTGAACATCCTGCTGTTAATGGTACCATGGTAAAAGATATTATCTTAGATGAGAAGAATCAGGTACGTCTTCCCATTTCTATTACACCAAATATGCACATCATCTTATTCAGTCGATTATTTCTATTATGCTGATTGCTGAGAACTGACTTCTATAATATGGTAGTCGTACGACACATCGTTGACTGAAGTTACGTAAGTCATCTGGAAGCTAGCTTGGACATCGTATTTTTGGTTCATTCAACCTTTATTTAGCGGCCGGTCACCCTGCATTGTACTGTCATATTCTTAAGTCCCGTTATTGTAATGGGAATATTATAAAAGTGATCTTGCACCCTCTGAGATCATTACAGGTTTGATTTTTTTTCACTCAAACCTGTAGCGATTGTACTGTTTATCTGAAAGAAATGTTGTTGCTTATGAGCTCAAGGGAAACTTCTTGTTTGAACTGAAAAGGTAACTCGCTGTTTTATTGTTTGCCAATTTTATTGTTTTGTTTATGAATGTTATTGTTTACTTCTCAGTTCTCTCTCTGGCGTGATATTCATTATGTGTTTCTAGGATATTCTGCTAAAGTGATTGGTTCCCGCAAAATTTTGCATGAAACATGCAGCTCCTATTAAATTTATGTCTTATACTAACTCCTCTGACGAGTGTAGTTAAAGCAGTTGTTGTTGTTAATATTTCATGAGAGGTTTTTCGCTGCCACGCTCGGCTGTTTCTCGGTTAGCTGGTAACGTCCCTACTTTTTTAAATTTAATTTTAATTATTTTCAAGTGCTCATGACGGACAAGTGACAGGTTGTGTGTACTCCAAGTTTTCAAACTTTGTTGTTACTGCTGGAACTGACTGTGCAGGTATTGTATTGCGTGCAGGGATCTCCAAAGATTTTCCCAGTATATCTCATACTGCTTGTACATTCGCTTTTATACAAGTTTATTAAATTGATCCTCCCAAAACTAAAAGCCGTGAATCAACTTTAAACCTAATTATGATAGTTTGCATCCTTTGCCACTAGTCAATGTCTGGAGTTCAAATGGTGGATGCCTTCACTCATTTCGTTCTCATTCAAAGGTAAATCGCATCAATTCCCTCTGATTAATTTGTTTGAATAATACTTTCCTTATTTCTTGTCGTTTTCATCTTACTTGTAAACCGTTCCAGATGGTCACAAATCTTTTGCTACATCCTGAAGCGCCATCTTTGGTTATCACGTCTTCGCAAGATGGGACTGTCAAAGTATTCTCGTTGGATATTATGGAAGAAATATACAGGTAAAAGTTTAAATTTTTGTATAGGGAACATTTTTCTAACCAATACGTAATTGATCCAGTAAAATTATACCTATACAGGAAAAATGGTGGGCGGTTTTTTCACTAAAACGGTTGAATTTTCGTGTTCTTTGCAGTCAGGTTGTGTTTCCAGAAGGCATTGAATGGATGAACTTCATATCGCAAGATATCCTCTACTGCTCTACAGGCAAAGCTTTGCAAGTCTTTTCTATTAATCATGTGACAAATTTCTGGACTACAGTGCGATGTCCAGTGAGTTCATTATCGCTGACTAATGCTTCACAAGGCAATGGAGAAAAGGTCCTCGTTATCGCCGACGATTACAGGTAAATCATTTAGAAACTTGTCTATATATTCATATTGTCGTCATTCAGTCTAAAATCGATCGTGTGCAGAAATCTGAAAGTTACAAGGTTTCGATCGTATGTTTTGCAGATAGCTGTAAGGTCTAAATGACCTAAGCCTCCTCAGTCCCCCGTCGGCATTTTCTCTGAATGGTTTGTCATAGCCATGGAAATGATAGACCGTGAATATTGTTGTATTCTTTTTCAGCGCAAGAATTCTGTCCAAAGGCGGTCGTCTTCTCTCGACTGTTCTTCCTCCGCCTCCTGTACCTGCAAGTCAGCAGTCTCAGCATTGTTCTGGACATGCGTTCTGTCCTATTTACAATCTGATGTACCTTTTGGTGAACCAAGAGGAGATCTGGGTCTACTATACCAAGTATGTTAAAAGTGGAACTGTTTATTTACTTTTCCACCTCGCCAATGGCCTCGTTTTCATGTGGTACTCATGTGGTATATTCGTATTTCGTGCACGATAAAGAACAATATAGTTTTAGTTGTAGGATTGATTTGACGTAATACCTATTTCAAGCCTCATGCAGCGATTTGACTCAGACTTGCAGTATTCATAATTATGTTACCTCACCTGACAGTTATTACATGCGCTACTTACGTCTTGTTTCAAGTAGTATTCTTGAAGGAACCTCGTGGTTCATTTTGGATGATCATGCAATATCTTCTCAGGTCCAATCCAGCCAATCGAGTTGAAGTTTGGAAACTCTCAGACGTTCAAGACATTTCAAATAGCCGAGTGAACAGCAGTCGTAACGATAATAATAAATCTTGGACACCAGTATCTTCGAGGGCACCAAGTTCTCCATTCGTTCCACCAGGGAAGGTCGTTGATGGTGTCGCATGCCTTTCACTGGGATTTTTACATTCAACTGTAAATTTGAAAAACAAGTCAGGAGAAACCTATCCTGATCTCACGTACTACCTCGTCGCGGGCTTACAGGTTTGTCATGACATTAGTATCCGTTATTACCGTGATATCGATGCAATAATACGCATGCAGCGTTGATTTACGTTGTGCTCATGATTCAAAGTTTAGAATATATATAATAATTTATACTAGCCCTCAGTCTCTTAATGTACTCGCAAAACACAGATTCCTTTTGAATATTTTAGGATGGTCGGTTATTATTTACAAGTCCTTTCTCGGCTGTGATTTTGTATTTCCAATTCCAGGCAACCAAAGGAGCTGTAAGTCACAAATATTTTTTAAATGCGTCATACGTATGACTCTACGAGTGAACAAATTTAATAAAATTTCAGGTTTTATCAATCCATCATGACGTCACCACTAATGTGCTGCTTCTCAAGACTGTGGCATTAGATAAATACACAATTCAAATCAGAAGTCTGCCTGATCTCAATATGAAGCATAGTATCGAGGCTGGAAACGATCTAACTTGTTATGTGCGAATGGTGAGTCTATAATTTCAGGGCACGTTCTGTGATACATGCATGCTTTGTGTTCTGGGGTCGGTTTTCATCAATAACTACTGAAAAATCTATCTCTGTTTATCTTAGGCTGCTTCTATGGCGGTCACTATCATTCTGCATAATCACTGCTGTTTACAACCCATTCAGGCTTTCTTCACAAAGAGCCAAGAATTTGCTAACATTTTTTCATGTTTTGACATGCACTTTTTCAGGCTGATATACTTTTGTCAGGTCACAAAACTGGTCGTCTTAATTTATATCGCTTGGACTCTGAACAAGGTTAGTGTCAACTTGCGTGATAAAGTGTACCACACACGCTTTCCATCGCAAGTTATTTTTATAATTATTCTTCCCGTTCAGTGTTGACACTATTTCGGTTGGGTTTTCCACAAGTTCACTAGTATCCGATGGCTATAGCGCTTCATACAACTATCCCCCGGTTTCTTGTACAGTCCAAGGAGATTAAGCATGATGATGGAACGTTTGTCAGTCAGAAGGAATGAAAAAATGGGCGGGAAGTGTGTTCACTAATACTTGTTCATTACAGGGACATTGGACGTGGAAACGAAGACAGTTGATTGTCAGAAAGTATCAAAAGATCATCTCGATTCTGTCTTTACTGTGGATGCTAACGATAACTTGCAGCTTTTCTGTAGTTCCAGGTGCGCCTCTCATATGAAGTATTTCAACCTAGATGTGAAATATCCAAATAAACCCAGCGCCCAGCATTTTGTAGTGGAGGGGGGGGCACCAGCAACCGGTCATAATACAAGTAAGGGTATCTTAAACCTAAATGCATTAAATGAGAAATTTGGCAACAATGAAGATGGATTTAGTCATTTCTCGTTTTTAATCTTGTATATCTTCTGGTCTTTCAGCAAGGATGGTTGTATAAAAATATGGAATAATAACAAAGTTCTACTTCGTGAAATCATCATGGATAAAACGTTAACTTCAGTCTGTTTTTTGAACTTATCCGGTGAGTAAAAGAGTTAAAGGGCGAGGAATGTGTTCTGATACCATATAACACGAATTTGCTCTGAATTTTCAGGAGATCTTCTCGCAGGTTTCAAAAATCACGTTTTCTTCATCAGTCGAGAAAAAGGTAAAGGAGTTTCTAAGCCGGAAAACACTCTGTATAATTGCTATTTCAGTTGTTTGTTTGAGGAATAAGGGTTAATTTGTTAATGGATTTCATATGTGTAAGCAAACTCTGTTTCATGTCTTTGTCCCTGAATTTCACAAGCAAAACATGGAATGTAAGGAAAGATTTCATGTTTCTTTGTAGCACACTTGACGTCATACAACAGCACAAATTCAAGACGAACGAGTGAAATATATGAAACAGGCAAGTTGTATCTTTCTTCAGCTTCTCTTTTTTCCCGATTATAATTTACTTATCCAAATTCCAAAATGACAGGTTCAGATATTTACGAAGATCCACGAGTCCGGTTTGAATATAAAAAAGTCATTCCTCCGGATCCTATTCATATGGAAACGTATTTGGTAAGAGTGCAGTTGCTTAACTCCAAGCAATTTATGCACTGGTGCATACGAGAGGTCTATAGTTATGAGGAAACACAAAAATGATTTAAAAAAGATTCTCTATCTTGCTAATTCGAATGGCTTGCATGCACGTAAATTTCTTTTAACTCGTGTTTTTGTTGTTATAAGGTACCGTTTGCGAACATGAATCTTAATCTTGCACGCTTCTTATCTGGTCAAGTTCAGCCAAATGCGTTGGAGGATGATATTGAGAGTGAAATTAAGGGGGTGAGATATTATAAAAAAAATATTTACTGTACTAAAGATAACTGTACTAATGGGACGAATCGTATAGTTTATCAATCATAACAGCTAATATATATGGGGGTTTTGATGTTCATTTTACATAATGCCAATCGCGCTCTTTTCTGTAGACTGAAAGTGAGCTCTCAGATTCCTTCTCAGTTGCCCCAACCGAGATCTACATGTCACAAAGTGGAACTCCGCGCTCAAGGTCAAGGTCATCATCTATAGTCAGTTCTTGGAATTTACCAAATATAGGCTCCTCACCAGTTTCCTCTCCACCTCGGACTCCCCCGCCATTTATGAGCCCAGTTTTTGAACTGGTAAGTGATAATATTTTCCGGCTAAAATACAAATCAATATGAGATGTATAAATTTTGATGTTAAAAGTCTGATGTTACACGAAATTTAATTGGCTCCACAAAACTGTCGAGCCAATCAAACTTCGTGTAACATCAGACGTCATTATGAAAAAGGTCTATTGTACGAACGCTTATAGGTCATCCCGCCTAGCCACCATCAGGTGCTTATACCTTTTTATTTCTTTTTTTCATGCTATAGGAAGTGGAAGATGAGGCAATCGAGTCAGGTATGTATGTAGATGTTTTCAATTACGTTGTGTTTTGTGTTGGCCAATGAGTAAAATTTCCTGATTCGAACCTGCCGTTTACGATAGATGGTGAAGGATCAGAGAGTGAGCGAGTAAAATATTTCATCAGAAGCAACGAGTCAGAAAAAACACAGACGGAAAAGAAATCTTTTAAAGCAATCCCTGTTTTCACTCGAAAAAAACGACCTGGGCTATCAGAGCGGAAGATTGATTCACGAGCGTTGCAGTCGAGGCAAAACGTCACGAATAATAGCGACAATGTCCGAACTAAACGCGAGAATGCAACGACCGGAGAGATAACGGATCAAAAGACGGCCAATTCAACTGTATGTAGCCTAACCTTACTCTATATTCCTTATACGTTTTTAAGTCAATAATTGTAGCTTTACTGTTAATATTTATTAGACTTCCCCCCGTCCTACACGTACTGTCGTAAAGAAGGTAAAGAAGAAAACTGAAAAATCTCAAAGAAAACTAATGAACTCTCAGCAAACGTTTTCTGAAGACAACATGACTGAAAAAGTCGACCAAGAAGAAAACAGTCTTGAAGCGAATAATAATAGTGAGGAATGTGAGGTAGGAATGGGTGAAGAGAAGATGGTGAAACAGGACATGAATTCGGCGATGAATGTTCATGAAAAGGTTGACATTGACCGCACTAAAGACGAAACTCAATCTTTACATACGCAGAAAGGTGAAAGCATTTCTGACCAGAAAAATATTTTGTCAAAAAGCCCGGCGAATGATTTGATGATTAACGACGGGAAATTGCATGAAAATGTTCTCGAGGAGACTTTGGGTGGAGAAATGATAGAAGATAAGTTTGAACAAGACGAGAGTTTTGATATACCCAGTCCAAAGAAAACCAGGAGTGATGTCCATGTTAATGATATTGATTATGTTCATGATCATGATGATATTGATAATAACAATATTGATGATGATGAGGATAATGAAAATGATAATAAAAGTGGTAAGTTCAGAAATAACAACTATACAACCTTGTATCCAGTGTTCGCCTCTCTTGAGGCTATATCTCATACGCGAACTATGAAAACTTGTTTTTCTAAATTGCTCATTTCTCTGACGAATTCCCGTTCGTCAATCTATTAATCAATTAAAAAAACCTTATTAATGTTTCAGATAAATTCTGAGCGTTCACACTAGCTGGGTGCACATAAAACGATAAGTTTCTTGTGTATTCTAAGGTAGATTGTGAACCGTTGTGTGTTTTCAGTCGTGTGTGTTTTTATAGATGAAGAGAGAATGGTATTCCAAGCTACCGGGCTTTCGTCACCCAGGGTTCCATCTAGGGAAAGTTCATTAAGCAATACCATGAGCAACCTTGAGCATCAAGAAACATGTGACCAACTTGGGTTACCTAGCAACGACACTGACTTCAACGAAAATATGGAACGCTTAAATTTACCTAAAGAAGACTCGTGGTTCTTGAGAGAACATCCAACTAAAAACACAGATTTAAGTGATGACGAGGATAATACTGAAGAAACAAGAAACGAAAATCTTGATGAAGTGACATCAAGGAATGTTTCATTTATTCTTAGTAAAGCTAATGGCAAAGAGGAAACATCCCAGGAAATTATATCTTCGAGATCGTTGCGTCGACGAAAAATATCCGGTCGGCGTTCCGTCTCCCCAGTAAGTTCTACGAAGGTTGTCCCCATACTAAACTCTTCATCGAACGAGGACACACGTGGAGAGCGGCTTCACCCAAATTCTGCCCTTAAAATTTACGCTTTGGCTAAAACACGCCGGCGAACAATCAGCGGCCGATCCCTAGTTTCCAAGCCTAACATGAAACAACATATTTTGATGAAGCATAACACAAGTCAAGCGTCCATTATGGATAATGGTGGGATATCGAGGACGTTTGTCGATATACTAGGCTATAATAAGACACCGAAGACTGTTGTGGATACACATGTTAATGAGGTGATAACAGAGACTGTGAAGAATAAAGACACGAAAAAAGAGAAAAAAGATTTGGTCAACTGGTGTATGCGGGCGCTAAGTGAGAAAGCCAAATATCCGATATTTTCTCCCAAGCCTAGATTAAGATCTCGAAGATCATTATTGAAAGATGAAGGTAAGATAAATTATGTCTGTTTTCCTAATCCGTAATTATGAATCCGGCGAACATTTCTAGTTTTGTTAAAAATCGAAAATTACGATTACAAACAACTCAGTTTTAAAACTATATTCTATTGTTAGAGGATCAAAGGTAAACTAGATGATACAGCGATATTGATTCTGCATAAGTATAAGACTTCCCGTAGTGAATAATCAATTAATACTGATTAGCGCTTTTTTTCCATTTTCAGAATTAACCGTAGTTATTTTAGAATGTCTAATTAATTAGCGTCTCGGGAGGTTTGTTGTGCTCAGTTTGGTACCTTGTGCTGTTGAGGTAGTAAAGCTCTGGCTCGCATCTAGAGGTTGTCCCTTTTTACCGATCTTGAAAATTTTCCTAAAGAGTTTTCCACAATGAATTCGAAACTGTTTGCTTTGAAACGCGTATAAAAAAGGATTAATGCAAGACGAAGAAAACCCCAGAATGATCCCAAATTGGTAATAATCTGAACTCCATTCAACGTCCGATACATTTCCGTATTGAAACAAGAGATACATGATATTATTCGGTGTCCAACATATTAAAAATGTTATCAAAACCATGAGCACAATTCTTATACTTCTCGCTTTACTCTTCATGATTTTGACGCGTTGTCTTGCATCTCCTAGGGCAGTTTTTAGCGTCTTATCCAGACGATTTATACGTTTCTTAATACGGTGGAAATTTATAAGAAATATCACGGCTGGAGCAAGATATTGACTGATGAAAAGAATCGAGAATATGAATATATTAGGCAGCTGTTTTGGCCAGTAATAACAACTTGTTCCAACTGTAGCGTTTGTAGCTGTGTAGCGAATTCCAACTATAACCGGCAATTCCCTGGCAAAACCAAAGAACCACGCTAAAGCTATGTATACGTAGGTCTTCCTTGTCTTGCCCAAACGCGTCGTGAATGGTTTTGAAATAGCCGCATACCGTTCAAAGCTGATAACAACTAATAAATATATTGAGACGCCCGCCAGCCAAAACTGAGGAACATTCCCTGTGACTAGTTTACAGAATACATCACCTCCAATACCAGTAGGATGAGGAAAAGCACTTGTACTCATTATATACACTGGTAGACATACTATCGATAATGACATGTCGACTATAGCTAGCGCCATGAGGTACACATTGAAAGGCACGTCACGAAAACGATGTTTCTCTGACTGACCACTATTTCTGATAACAAGGATTACGGTAGCGTTACCAAGAACACCAATTATAAAGATGAGACTATAGCAAACCAGTTCCCACGATCTTAACTCAAAGTTTGCCATTTTGTTTAACAAACCGCCACAGTCCACTGATTATTTCCGGGTACGTTAGCTGTGTTGTCGTTTCCTTCTTGTTTCATGCACTTGTATTAGCACAAAAATGGTAGCATGTTTATTTCCTCTTGACTTTTAGCAATACCTTTTCGAATTATAGGTATTTCATTTTCAGTCACAATGTTGCTTACTGATCCACAATGATCTCATGTAATTTGAGCTGTTTCAGACTTGATCTTGTGTAAACTTGACCGTGATAAAATTTGTCATGCAAATTGTTGACCAAATCACAGTTAACCAGTGTTTTACTTCAAGACTATATCATGTATCACGTGTGGATCATATACTAGTTTACCGACTTACCGGTACCTAAAATGGAATGGGTGCGCTACCGTTAAGCACAAGCTCGAACGCTTTAGGATTGCAATGCCACGTTTTTATTTGATACGACAATACAATATACAATATATTGAAGGGAATATTGGAATGGAAATATTGATCTCCAGCATGCCATACCATTGTTTTTTGTTTGCAGCAAGTTTAATAATTCTAATGACTTGAAATTTGCATAGCATGACCAAATTGTCAGGCTGGCTACGCCACTGCATTACACGAAGTACGGGGAAAACCTGAAAACGAGGATGGGAGAATTGGACAGGAGAATAACGTAATTTTTGGAGACTATAGGGCCAAAGTCCCCGCTGTGAAAGCGCAGGTTTTGAACGTAGATTGCTTTCGTTTCGTTATCTTGCTCTTTTTTGTCAACAAATGTAATGTTCTTTCATACATAAGTCAATCGTTATTGTAAGGGGGCGTTGCATCAGTACAGAGCCAGCAAATGAACGTCACTAATGATCCCAGATTAATCATACAGTGTATTAACTGAAAATTTTAAAGTTATTTATAATTTCAGGTAAATTATCCAGTGCTGTTCCACCGACAATGATGCTTCAGCATCCAAATACCCAGCAAAGCGGAGTCGAGGACGACATTCTTCGAGCCACAGAAAGGAGGAAAAATAAACCCAAAAGGCAGAATATTTTTAAAGCTGACGATAATGTCGAGGAAAAGCGTCAGAGTTCCTTCGTTGAGAGAAAGCTACTTCACAGGGGAATGTCAGAACATGCTAATGGAAATGTATTGGATTATAGCGATGGTTGGCAGGAAAGAATCTTGGAGAAAGCCAAAGAAGTAAAAGCAAAGCATTTGGAACGAAAGCGAAAAGTTTTGGAGAAACGAGTTTTCGATGAGAAAACATTGGAGGAGAAGCGGTGTGTATTGCAGATGTATGGATCAACAGGAACTGACAGGGGTAAAAGCGATAAACCCGAGGGGATAAATAAGGATATCAACGCATCTTTGTTTCAACCAAACAGTTGTATCAGTAAGGGGCTTTATATGGAAAGACTTGAATCTCCGAGGATCAGTATAAATAGGCTTCGAAGGATTGAGGGGGACACTACGTATGGATCACCGAGGATCACCATAGATAAGGATAGTTCCAGCCATGAGAGTAAGGAGCTATGTCTGGAGATCAAGGAAAGGCATAAATTTCGTGGAACTAAGAAGGATCAAGCAGAGTTATCAGAAAGGGTTCATTCAGATGACCCCGGATACGAAGAAATTCAATCTGATGGAAAAGATTTAAAACACGTAAGGTCGAGCTATGAACATTTTAAAAGCAATCCTGTTATTATTCAACCCTATCGTTTAGAAAAATATAATTCTCAAAAGGATGAGTTATTGCTTCACGAACTTAACCTGGATTTTGAATCTGCGAAATTACCCGACCATCTGCTAGAACTCATTCCCAGACCCAAATCTGCGCCATCGATTCCTAGCAAGTGTAGAAAGTACGTACTTGTTTCCAACGATTCCGAGAAAACGCAGGACAAGCCAGAACCGACCGCGCTGGAAGAAACTTTGTTATTGCAACGATTTCCTAAGTCTAATTTAGACAAGCTAAGAGGCTCTTCTCCGCTGGTCCATGAGGTACGACGATCGCACACGCTTCAGAGAATGCAGAAAATAAATATGTCTAGCTTGTAAATAAAATTTTTGTTTTAATCGATCAGTGGTGAAAGTATTTTGTTTTTCTCTTTCAGTGGTTTGTAGTATATGTTCGTTTAAACCAATCGTTTGTGTAATCTTAGAAGCCGTGATTCTTGCCTCCTCGCGCGGTCTCCATCCGGTTTGGACCCCAGGATTGACCCCGCACCACTGAGCTATATTTAAATTCAAATTTGAACTAAAAAATTCAAAGTTATTTATTGAAGTTTAAATGTGCCCCGCACTGCTCAGCGCCCCGCACTTGGAACCCGGCCCAGTGAAATCTATGATGTCACATGCAAGAATTTAGAATTGTGGAAATATGGAGTCCGGAGAGATAGCACGTGTAAAATTGGTTTTAAGACCTTTTTGAGATCTATGAAATTTGGGACCTTCACTCTCAAAAATGGCATTGAATCACCTGTATGTTTCTACCTACGATTGTGTCGTGATCGACTTTGTGGTTAAGCCATGATTAAGCCATTAAGGTCTCGAACATCTTTGAAAAATGAAGGTAAGATCAATTATGTCCGTTTTCCTAATCTGTAGTTATGAATCCGGCGAACATCTCTAGTTTTGTTCAGAATCTAAAACTACGATAACAAACAACTCAGTTTTAAAACTATATTATATTAAACTATATATTATACTATATTATATAAAAATATATAATACAAAAATACTATATTATATTGTTAGAGAATGAAAGGTAAACTAGATGAATACAGTGATATTGCTCCCGTAGTGAATAATCAATTACGTGATGAATTAATTCGCGCTATTTTTCTGTTTTTAAAATTAACTGTAGTTATTTTAGAATGTCTAAATACTTAGCGTTTCAGTGTGTTCAGTATTACTGTGTTCAGTTGGGTACCTTGTCCTGTTGAGGCAGTGAAACTCTGGCTTGCATCTAGAGGTTGTTCTTTTTTTACCGATCTTGAAAATTTTCCGAAAAAGTTTTCCACAATGAATTCGAAACTGTTTGCTTTGAAACGCGTATAAAAAAGGATTAATGCAACACGATGAAAACCCCAGAATGATCCCAAATTTATAATAATCTGAATTCCATTCAACGGCTGACACGTTACCATATTGAAACAAGAGATACATGATATTATTCGGTGTCCAACATATTAAAAATGTTATCAAAACCATGAGCACAATTCTTATACTTCTCGCTTTGTTCTTCATGATTTTGACAAGTTGTCTTGCATCTCCTAGGGCAGTTTTTAGCGTCTTATCCAGACGGTTTATACGCTTCCTAATACGGTGGAAATTTATAAGAAATATCACGGCTGGAGCAAGATATTGACTGATGAAAAGAATCGAGAATATGAATATATTAGGCAGTTTTTTTGGCCAGTAATAACAACTTGTTCCAACTGTAGCGTTTGTAGCTGTACTGTAGCGAACTCCAACTATAACCGGCAATTCTCTGGCAAAACCAAAGAACCACGCTAAAGCTATGTATACGTAGGTCTTCCTTGTCTTGCCCAAACGCGTCGTGAATGGTTTTGAAATAGCCGTATACCGTTCAAAGCTGATAACAACTAATAAATATATTGAGACGCCCGCCAGCCAAAACTGAGGAACATCTCCTGTGATCAGTTTACAGAATACATCACCTCCGACACCAGTAGGATGAGGAAAAGCGCTTGTACTCATTATATACACTGGTAGACATACTATTGATAATGACATGTCGACTATAGCTAGCGCCATGAGGTACACATTGAAAGGCACGTCACGAAAACGATGTTTCTCTGACTGACCACTATTTCTGATAACAAGGATTACGGTAGCGTTACCAAGAACACCAATTATAAAGATGAGACTATAGCAAGCCAGTTGCCACGATCTTAACTCAAAGTTCGCCATTTTGTTTAACAAACGTTCACATTTCAACCGATTATTTCCGGGTACGTTAGCTGCGTTATCGTTTCCTTCTTGTTTTTTGCACTTGTATTAGCACAAAAATGAAACTACATCGCATACAGAAGTTACAAAGTCCAAACCTATTGATTTCGAAATAAAAGTTAGAGCTTTTGAGTCGGAAAGGTTTTGAAGCGTCTTCTATATTGTCTTAGCCCTTAGGTATTCCTGGAAAGCTGACGGAGTTCCCTTTTTAACGTTTTCCAGTTTCCACGTAAGCCCGTTTTCCAGTAGGCGAACTTATTCGCGCGAACAGATAAAAAGTAGGAAGCGATGCTACTTTTTCGTGGCGAATTTTTTCACAAACCCGGCAATCACATCACCGGATTTCAGATATCGCTTCGCGTTGCGCGAATAAATTCGCTTAGTGGAAAACGAGCTGTAGGTCAGGTGATCCACCATGTCCATGTATCTCTTGTGTCATAACATCACGTGTCTCATGGTTGATATGATTTATCCAATTAGTTTTCGAATTATTTATTTATTGTGTGAAAACTGCTCCGACCTATGATCGTAATCTGAGACAAAGTTATTTTTGTTGCTACAAAGTATTGGTTTTCAACTAGGTTTTTTTTTAATTTACACGCAGTACACGGAAAACTTGAGAACAGAGAATTGAACAGGAGAATTGGACAGGAGAATAATGTAACTGTTAGGAGATTAGGGTCAAAGGCACTGCTGTCAAAGCGCAGGTTTTGATCGTCAGGAGCGTTGCATCTCATCTATACACAGGCAGCAAATGAACGTCACAAATAATCCCAGATTAATCATACAGTGTATCATCTGTCAGACGAAAATTTTAAACTTATTTATAATTTCAGGTACGTTATCCAGTGCTGTTTCAACGACAATGATGCTTCAGGATTCAAATACCCAGCAACGCAGAGGCAAAATATTTTTAAACCGGCCGATAATGTCGAGGGAAAGCGTGGAATTTATTGCAATTTAAATATAGCTCAGTGCCCCGCACCTGAAACCCGGCCCAGTGAATCTATGACGTCACATGCAAGAATTTAGAATTGTGAAAATATGGAGTCCGAAAAGACAGCACGTGTAAAATTGATTTTAGAGCTTTTTGAGATCGGCGCTCTAAAATTTGGGACCTTCACCCTCAAAAGCGGCATTGAATCGCCTGTATATTTCGACCTTCGTGTGATCGTGTCTTATCCAAAAATTATGCTGCAAGTTGCAGACGAAATGTGGAAGTCTGCTGTAGGTTTGAATTTTGATCAACTTTGTGGCGTGCCTTACACCGCCCTGCCAATAGCAACATGTATGTCGACAAAATATAATGTTCCTATGATGATAAAACGAAAGGAAGCGAAATCATACGGTACAAAGAAGCTTATTGAAGGAAAGTTCGAAAAGAACACCGTGTGCTTGGTAATAGAAGATGTGGTAACTACAGGATCAAGTGTTCTTGAGACGGTGCGTGATTTAGCAACAGTTGATGTGGTAGTTCACGATGCTATAGTTTTGCTCGATCGATGTCAGGGTGGCAGAAAATCCCTTGCAGATAAAGAGATAAAGTTGCATAGTGTATTTACACTTAGAGAGGTCTTGTGCATTTTAGAAGAAACAGGCAAGCTTGATAAAGTTATGGTTGAAAAAGTAGAGGCGTTCATTGAACAAAATAGCATGGTACCAGTGGTACCCTCAGTTCAAAGCACAACACCTCTGACGTACCAACATCGTGCTACCATAGCAACAAATCCAGTTGCCCAGATGTTGTTCACTATAATGCATCAGAAGCAATCAAATTTATGTGTATCAGTAGATCTAACATCAACTGCAGCAATTCTAGATTTAGTGAAAAAGGTTGGTAATTTCATCTGCATTGTGAAACTCCATGTTGATATTATTGAAGATTTCAACATGAATTTTATCAAGGATTTGCAAGCCCTTGCACAAAAACATAATTTTCTCATCTTTGAAGACCGAAAGTTTGCAGATATTGGTAACACTGTTAAGTACCAGTATGGTTCTGGGGTTTACCAAATTTCAGAATGGGCGCATATAATTAATGCCCATTCAGTTCCAGGGGAAGGTGTTGTCAGAGGACTGAAAGAGATTGGAATGTCGAAAGGAAGAGCATGTCTTATGATTGCCCAAATGAGCGCAGCAGGAAATTTAGCAACAGGTCAATATACTGAGGCAACCGTGAAGATGGCAGAGGATAACTCAGATTTTGTGATTGGTTTCATTTGTACATCACAGGTGGCTGATAACCCAGCATTCATTCACATGACCCCTGGAGTGAAGTTACAATCTGGGGGTGACAACCTCGGACAGCAATATCAAACACCAGAAGAGGTGATAATTAATCAAAGAAGTGATGTGATTATTGTCGGTCGTGGAATCTATGCAGCAAATGATCCTGTTGAAGCTGCAAAAACTTACCAAGAAGCTGGCTATAATGCTTACAAGACTAGATTGGGATTGTAGTGATTGTACTAATTCAGGACATTTGTTTGAATCTAATTGAAAACTAACATACATAATTGTATTTTCTAATACCTAAAGCTGGATAGTTTTATATCGAAGTGGGCCTGGTTATTTCTGAATAACGTAAACTAAAGTGTAGTTTTACCTATTCAAGGAAGCAATCCTTTGCTGTGTTTATTCACTGTGTTTGGTTATAGTCAATGGTGTTTCAATAATCTTTGCAGTAAGCCAATATCTGTCAAAATTGCCTCAAAATTGTGTGCATTAAGAATAACGATATTTTGATCCAGGACACGAATTTTCATTATGTCATTTATGATTTCATATAGCTTGAAATATAATAAAAGTTACTAACTGTCATATTCTCTTAAAGCATTGTTTTTATTCATTCAGTTTTGGAAAGAACTCCTAACAGGCTTACTGAATAAGATATCACAAACTAGGTTCACAGTCTGACTGTATTGCTAATCAAAACGAATATGAAAATGAAATAAGTTCTTTGAGAAAACATTTAAATCCTAAAGTGTACACAGTTATCCTACTTTTTAAGCCACTTAAAAAAATTACATCTCGCTTCCTTGTTAGTGGCGTGTCCTTGAGGTCGTGCACAACAATAAAATCTTTTCCCATGGTTTGTTCCTTTGTTCTTAACAGTTCTTAAAACGCATGGTTCTTTATGACCTGAACACAACGGAGGAGGTGGCAAGCCTTTCAATATATTCTTCCAGCTTGAAACCACAGCAGCTGAATTACTCACCTCCTGTGTTTCGTCTTGAGGTGGTGTAGGATTTAGATTTGGAAATGTCGGAGTGTTTGATGAATCAAGTTCACTGCTTGTAGATGTTGAACTTTGACTTGAATTGGTCATGGAATGTTGGGAACTGCATTGCCATTGTTCTATATTAGATGTATTCCATTCGAGACTAGTTTTAGGTTTTTCTGCATTTGCATTTACGGATCTATCGCTGACGTCTTTGCCACTTTCCCAATTGCTTGTCTCAGCATAGATCTCAGTTTTCTTTTTAAAAAATTGAGATATTTTTCCTTGCGAGGTACTCCCATTCGTTTTCACTCGTTTTGCCTGACTTTTTAACGACGAATCTGCCGACCGTTTTTCAGAACTTTTAACCGGAATCTCTCTGTTTCTTGCCTTTATATTACTTGTGTTCGAACATTCGTCCTTCTTCTTAAAGAAATCTTTAAGTTTTTGTTGTTTTCTGGAGAATTCGGGCATATATTTTGTACACAGAGGAGGAGGTTTTCCTGAATTTTGGAAAGTGTTTTTCAAAGAAGCGACGACAGGACAGTGATCAGAACCTTCAATATCTGGTCGTATGATACAATCTACAAATTCTCTATTGAAAAACGCTGAACTTGAGAAAATGTAGTCAATACGTGTTCCATAATTTGTCTGCCTTGCACCCGTTTTAGTCGACCAACATGTAAACGCGGATTCTTGGTTGGGGTGAAAATAACGAAACGTGTCGATGAATTTTGCATTTTGTGCTGCGGTGTCGTTGGATTTGAGTTTTTCTTTCATTTCAGAGCACTGGCCCAGTGTCGTAGGTTGAATTTTATCCGACAATTAGAGATAGGAATATCACCGTCTTTTCGATCCCAAATGAATGAATTTGCCCATTGTCGGCTTGGATTCGAGTCGAAGATCTCCTAGGAAACAAAAATGTGACAAATCGTCGTAGTTCAGACACAAACAGAAATTGCAATTCATCGGTTTACTGCGTATGATACCCGGAAACTTACAGGGTCGTTTGGATCACAATGATCAATTAGTTTATGAGAGACATTGAAATCACCCAGCGTAATCACGTGCCTTGAAATAAATGAACGAAGGAATAAGTAAAGTGGTGCAGAGACGGAAGAAACCTGACAGTCTGCATGCATGCACGTACTTGTTTTCCTGAATCAAGCTTTTGCATTTCTCTTCAACCAGGGTATAAAATTTGAGTTTAAATTCTATTCTTTCTTTATTGTCCAGATCAGCTCTTGGGCAATAAAGATTCATTATGACAACATGGCGGCCTTCACCATCCAGGTGTTCTGTGAGAATAGTGCGTCCTTCTGCATTCAGCGATTCAAGCTCTTCTACATCAAGGAATAGGATAATCAATGTATAAACGAATGTATCGTATGTTTTCTCACTAGAGGAAAATACTTTACCAGACCCCTCTCGCATAGTACCAGTACAGTTTGAAAACGGAACGAAATTTTCACTTTTTCAGTACAAAATAAGAAAACTAACCAGGAACATCACTCCTAGGCCTAGGCCTTTGATATAGTGCTGCTGATAATACGCCGCTGGAGTGTAGGCAAATATTTATTAATAATAAGAAATCGCGCATATTTGCTACTAAGAATGACGCCAAAACATACAGTGAACAATTACGTCATTCCGATAATAGATTTTGAGGTCCCTCACTGGAATCTAAGACGTTCATGAAACCTATGAATTTGTTCGCACATAGACAATTGTCTACGCGACTATGCACGCACCAAGTGAGGCGTCACATTATCATCTCTGGTCACTACTTCGTTATTCTTAATGGTGTAAGGGTGTGCTCATACGATCCTGGCTTTAGCCTTGTGACTTGTGAGTCTGCAATTAACACTCACATTCATTCATGAATCATGTAGGCTTTCTGTGACATTAATATATCATTTATCTTATTTGATATCTATGGTAGAGCAATTTACTGTAAAGTAGTTGCTTTTGGAAGTAATTACTGCACATAGGAGCTGACTTTTTTTACATATTGTTAGCTCACATAGTCACATTTTAAATTGTTTAAATTGTATAGAATAGTTTTAACCTAGGGCAAAACTACTTTTTGGCAACATAGTCAGGCAATATGTAAGTGGTCTAGTAGGTCAAATATCATCATAGGAATTCCAATAAATATTTTTGAAATAATAAAAGTTAGTCCAGTTAATCCAGTTGCATTGTGAGTTCACTGACATCACAATGCAACTGGATTAACTGGACTAACTTTATATTCAAAAATATTTATTGGGATTTATAGTATGATATCATATTTAAAAGTATATGATGTGATATTTACCATGTGTAAAGACATTCTCATTTTGAACTAAATTAGGATCAGATGATTTTTCTGGCAAGTGGATCTTATCTTCAGCTTTCACTGGTGTTACAATATTGCGGCAAAATGTTGCCACTCCTAATGAAAATAGATGTTGCTCCATTGAAATGTCACATGAAAATTAAACCATTAGAGTCATATAGAGCAATGGGAAATTGCATTTTGAATTCATAGAATATTAGTTAAAACCTGAGTAGCCACTTCGAACTTTTGAGAAACTGAAATATGCATTGTAGCCTTCCACAATAGCTGTCTCTTCTTCTAGCATTTCTCCTGAAATAAAAGTGCACTATATTACATCCCTAGACCTCATACACCACCCGAGATAACAATTGTTCTAGCATGTTCTGGGACGTATTTGATAAAAAATACAACACCCTTCATGTACTTTATTTACAACCATATGTACTAGACATATGGATGTTGTTACTATATATGCAAGGAAATGCAGGCAATACTGATTTAATAGTTTGCAATTAGATATGTGTCTGGGAGTTTTACTTGTAATTTTAGTTTCTTGCAAACATATAACATCAACATCCAGAGAATCAAACAGTTCTTTAAGGGTCTGCTCTTTCTTTACAGATCTGATGCCATTTATATTCCAAGTTAAGATCTTCATTGTTCTTGGAGCAATAGAATGTTACAAAAATTATTTCTCAGAATCCTAATGTTGGCATAGTTAAATACTTTCTTTTGGACAACAAGGTCAATGTCAAGGTATCAGATGGCGACAAACGATGTTTATCAAAAGATATGCCCCATTCCTTCATTGTATGTCTTTACTATTGAGCTGTGCCAGCATGACCACACCATTTTATCACAGTCTAAAGATATATCCTAAACTATGACCATCATCATATTTTTTCACCATATAGAATATATATAGCCAGTGGTGAATATAGCTCAGAATTATAGCTCAGTGGCTGCAGTAAGTGGCTCAGAGAGCTGGTACTAAGCGGGATTCTCGCGAGAGTACCACGCATGATCCACACTGCTAACTGGCCGCCATCACAATTTTACGATATCTGGGCACCAAATAACATGGTTATTTCTCGCAAAGTAAAAAGAACTACGCATCTACTTTTATAATTCAAGTCAAGGTTGTAAAAATGAATACTTAAACTAGGTCTAGAGCGGGAAATTCCCGCCACGAGGAGTAAAATTTGGCGAAATTTCGAGCGACATTTGGGACCTTTGGTTCGACGAAGAGACTGAACGCGGGTGTGTGGTATCAACGCGGTAAAAGTTTTGCCTGTGCAACCACTGTGGATTTTGAATATGATAGTTGTTTTGTAGAACAAAAATGAAGATAGACAGGAGCAAATTGAGAAAAGCTCAATCAGAACTGGTAAAAGATAAAAATAAAAAAATTATTTGCAAATTTCTAATGAACCATGTGCTGATATGTGTTAATACAAGTTTTACTATTGTGTCGTCTTCATAATGACTGGACTAGTATTTTCAGTTTTGTAGTAATTTAGTTTTTCTTTTGGTCTAATATGGTGTAATGGTTGCTGTTTTATATAGCCTGTAAATTGCCAGCAGCTAATTCATAAATTAAAGGAAGCAAATAATGAAGAAATAGCGGAAATTTTAAAAGGAATTCAGACCTGGCACTTTGGAAAAGTGAGTTCAGACAGTTTAGTTTACCAAGTATAAGTATTAATAGAAAACATAGGAAAATACAAGCAATTTCAAACACTATTATTTATGTGACACGAGTAAATGAGCAATATTTGATATATTGTTAACTAAACTATCAAGTATGCTCAAGATGTATTGAATTCCCATATCAGTTCACACTTTTGCCCCTATTTTAGGTGGAATTTAAAACTGTGATAGGTGTAAATGAGTGGATAAGTTGTTCATATGCACACATATATAGTCATAGTCCTTGTATAAATAATTTTCACAGTCAATAGAGGAAGGAAGTTACAGGAATGAATAGACACTTCTTTCAATAAAGATTTGTCTAGACCCTACACCTTGATTAATAAGCTATACCTACCTCTGTGCAACCTTTCTAACCTCAAACCCTTTCCTAAACCTGACTTTATGCAAGAATACTGTGATACCAACCACTTATGAACAACTGCTGTTAATATTTTATCTGGTAGTATATATTCTATATATAGTTGTACAGTTGTAGCCTGAGTGTACTTTTTTCATTTAATATTCTAGTGTGAACTGTTTCACTGGATAGATGTGTTAGATAAATTTGATGCAATATTGGCTGATGTTTCAAAACATGCTGAAGGAAGTGATTGGGTCTTGGTTTATGATCAACTTCATTTTAAAGATAAGGAGCAGGTATTCTTATTTTAGAAACTAATATCAAGCCCTGGAAATTTTTCTGATCTACATTTTTTTTAAAAAGAGCAAAATTTCGAAATACAAAGCCTTCAGATTGTTTACACCATTTTTTAAAATTGATCCATATACATATCATTTTAAATGTAGGCAAAAATACAAGGATTGATTTCAACATCCTTAAATTTACTGGTTTCTTGTGGAGCACTCTTATGCAGACACATTTAAGCTCTATGGAGGTACGCGCTGTTTTGGATTATATATAATATCATTTAAAATTTTCCAACTGTGTGTTTATTGTACTATTATTTTTTATAGCATCTTATAGCATTGCTATCAGCAAGTGACATGGAAGTTGTATTGTGTGTCCTAAATGTGTCTATATTTTCAGGTGTGATTCTAGTTTTCCACAACATGTTTGAAAATATTCCTCTCTATTACATATTCCTGTCTCCAACAGAAATATTTTTTTTCATAGTAAAGGTCAATTTTATCTCTCGGCTACCTGTTGAAACAAAGAAGACACTTCATCAACGCTTGTTTGTTTGGCTGAGGTAGAGGAGCCATGTACGTTCTGTGAATTACTGTATTGTTTTTGATGCATGTAATTATCCTCTCTTTTTCTCTTCTTAGAGCTGGGGAGGTAATGAAAATGGTTATGGTTTGGCTCTTTGTTCCAAGGATGTTCCTGCAGATGTGAGGAAATTTACTTTGTTTTTTCATTTCTTTCGATTAATTTGTACTCATGTACAGCGGAGTACACCTTGGCAAATATTCATTTTGGCCTGCCCAAATTTTGTAAATATTTGCTTGTTAGTTAGATCAAAAATATTATGAAATTATCTCTCTCTTAGCAAAATGATAAAAAACCCAGCAAGACAAACAAAAGTGTATTACAAAACTGTGTATTAAACAAACTTGTATGTTTTGACTTCAACTCAACAGCAATTTCCAGAAAGTGCGAGCAATGTCCATTTTGAGTTTTACTCTGATCCAAAGAAAGAAGATGAAAAGACACCAGATATTTTGGTAATATTCTGATATTTACACTTATCTCTTTCAGCGATTATTTACATGATTTTCTATTTTACAGAAAACTGAGACTCCTAGTTCATCCTTGATAGTTGTCCATTTGGAAGGTATCCATAAGGTAATCTTGATTTCATATTCTAATCACTATTCAAATGACTACCCAAATGACTGTCAATCTGCTCTAACCTGAGACTCATTTCTCTAAACAAGCTTTCTGAAAGTCCAGGAGAGTCATGGAAAAGTTCTAAAAACATAAATTCCAGACAGAAGGTCAGTAAACTTCTCAGTATTCTCTTGCACCAAGGGAAGACATCCTAAGGTTTTTAATGTTTACTTAGATCAAACTGTTCTCAAGAATCAGGCTGGCAAGACATTTTCATTCCTACCCCAAAAGAATCAAATGTCTTCAAGCAAGACTACAAGCAATATCTATCCTTGGTAAGTTGGACTTTTGGCAAAAAAAATTTTTCACATGCGAATGACGTACAGATTGATATTTATACAATTTTCCAAATTGCAGGATACAAGACTTGACGATAAAAAAGTTATATTTTTTTTTTTTAGTATATTCAACAAGTAATCAAGAGAATACTGTCAACCAGTTGCTCTATCCTGGTTTTGTGGAAGAAATTGTTGATGCAATACGCTTGAATGACACCAATTCTAGATATGCCGTATGTTTTATTGTTGATGTTTATGATATAAAGCAGTTAAGGGCTGTTGTAGTGTACAAAGATTGGATAGTGCTATCCACTGAATACTGATTTACTCTGATCATTCTTAAGTCAGATTAAACCTTAGACTTAGTATTCTTTAGGTGGAATTTCATTCAATATTGGTGTTTTAACTTGTCCATTGAATTATTCACTATGTGATGGATAGCTCTATCCCCAAGTCTTGTACAATCTACCCCCTGGTTTTTCTTATAAAGCTAATCTAATGTCAGAAATAATTATTATTATACTGCAGGATATCAGCTCCGCGTCACTGCGTACATTGACTGCTATTATACACTTGGAGAGGAATTCAAGGTGAAAATATTTTAATGATGGCACCAATAGACAGGGCCGTAGCTAGACCGCTTAATTGGGGGGTGTATATTCATATATTCATGTTTATATACCGTAGGAACAATAGCATACAAAAGAAATCATTCGGGCATATGACGATATTGAATATGCACCCCCCCCCCCCCATTAAGCTTCTAGCTCGGCCTGCCAACAGATTGTATTTTCTGCTATTGTTGGTATGGCATTGTTGGTATCTTCAGCACCAGATTCTTTTGCAGCTGGTACAGCAATAGACGGTGCAATTTTCCTTGCAACTTGTAATGCATTTCTGCTTTTGAGAGATGTAAATTTGGCAAAAATGAAAATTTTGCGTTCATCACACTTCACGCACGTTTCTTCTGCAACACTCTTCACTAATTTACATCTCTTGAAAGTAGAATTGCATTGCAAGTTGCAAGTTTACACTTTACAAGTATTAGTCCATGCATTCTCACATCTCTTGTTCAGTTAGTATAGTAGCAACAACACTAGATTATGAGGTTCAGTTATTCATAGCGTTGTAGTTATTTATTCTTTTACAGGTTAAACTCTATCATTGAGGCAACCGGTGCCAACACCTACCATGGTTTTCTTCCCCAACACTTGTAAGAAACTGTATCCAAGCAATGACAGGTACAACACATAAATGTTTACAGGGCCGTAGCTATAGAAGTTTAATTGTGTGGTGGTGCATATTCAAATACTTGTGTATATGCCCAACTGGTTTCTTTAAACAATTATTTTTAATAGGCGCTTAGGGATTACACTGACGTCAGTGTAGTAGGTCTATTTTATATATATCAAATTTATTGAACAATGTTCAAACGGAGAAAATGCAAGTTTACTGGACACGAGATCCCATGCGAGGCATTCCTCCGATTACATATTTACATATACAAAAACAACACCAGATAAGTCATAGCTACACGCATCGAAGAATAAGCATATGCCACAAGCTCAAAAATCCAAAGTTGTTGATTTGTTATTTTGTCGTTCATCACACTTTACGTATTTTCAATTTTTTTAGATTCAAAGATGACTTCATATTCTCATGGTTTTGCAACTGCTCTATTTTCATTTCTCTATCATTTAGCCAGTTACGAAGCAGGTAAGATCTCCTGTGTGTCTTCACAGAAAATATTTATTTGTGCAACTTCACACGAATGAATGTGCGTGTTTTACTGTATGTCATGTGATCTATTGTAGGTGGTGAGGCTTTGGTTTCCTGTGGTCTTATGGAGTCGCTTCTCAAAGTCATTGAGTGGCCTGGGGAAGAGGATTGTATCACTGTAAGAAATGTTAAACATAGTAAATTATCTACCTAACAATATTTTTACTGGATTCTTGAAAAGCACGATCACATTACAAATTGAGGATGAGATCGCCTTCTATGATCATTTTTCAATTAGTAGAAAGATTTTGAGTAAAATATTCAAGATCACGCTTCCCTAAAATGATATGACCCAAGATTTAAAATAAGCCTCTCTCGCTTGCAAGAAAGATGCATGTTTGAACCAAGGACACCATGTATTCACCTCATCGTAGTAACATGTCGCAGTCTTGAATTGTAAAGTTTTTAATTGTTGCATTGATGGTATCTCCAGTGCTATGTCCTTATACTAGTACTGTTCGTAAAACAATGCTAAAGTAACATTCTGTTGTATCGTTAGTTGATGCATGTGCCTTAAATCATGTATGCAACTTGGTGACACCAGAAACAACCGTACGCATGTGTAAAATTCCAAGTGTATTGCTGTTTTAACCCGATTGATTTTATACGAAGCAACACCGCTAGTTTAAGCTGAGATATAATTGTACCTGCATTTACACTAAATCCATTCTCAACGGTTTTTCATAATCTTCTAGTTCGTTACAAGAGCCGTGAGAGTCGTGGATTTGATCACTAATTTAGACATGGTTGGATTTCAAAATCACGGTGGCCTGGCGATTGTTTTAAACAGATTGGAGGTAACAATATTCGAAGATTTGCAGTTTATTCTCGTTGAAAACTATCTTTTAAAAAACGTAAAATTTTCTGAAAAGCAAACATCTGAATATTTTAGCGTGAAATTAAATTATGTCAACCGTACCATGGGGGGATATTAACAGCTGAACCTGCAGTAAGTAGCCCAGCGGAGAGCAGTGGGAGCACTGAATCGATGGAGACCAGTCCCCCACCAGCCACGGCCTCAGCTACAGCTCGTGACTCAAACCAAAGTGGCAACGATGCTCTGATGGATACTGATGGATCAACAGGTAATTGTGATTCTCTTCTCTAGTAATACGCCAGAATTCACCGACTTTCATCTTTATAAAGTTTGGAACAGAAAGGTCTGGAACTGAGGGAACTTTAACGACATTAAATGTGATAAACCAACTGCCTAAAATAGACAAAAACACTTTCGACGTTTCGAAGTTCTAGTAGTTTATGATTTTCCTGACGAAGGCAAATCGAAACGTCGAGAAATACGCAGTTTCTATGCTACATTTGATGCGGATTGTTGGAAGACATCGGCACACAGTTCTTTGGTTATATTGTGATGTAACAACAGCCTATGATTTAAAATTTTTGACTGAAATCTAATGATTGAGACCTAGGACGGGATGAGGCTATGTTGTGCATTGTCTCTGGAGAAACGAACCAACGAATAATTCACGATATTCGCTAACATTTTGGGGTTTTTTTTTCGTTAGGCGGGGGTAAAAATACCACAAATGAGGGGCAGCCTGGGACGGCAATGGATGTTGATGATACGAAGGGTACTGCGGAGGATGAAGCTTCAAAGTCCTCTAATACCACAGACTTCTCAAAACACAGTAAATCCCAGATCATACCACAGCGTGCTGCATTGCTTAAATCAATTCTGAATTTCTTCAAGAAAGCAATCTTGGATCCTTCTTTCAGTGATAGTGTGAGAACTGGTAGGTATATTATATTGCATTCATTGTACTCAAAAGTAAACGCTGTAATTACATATTACTGTACCTTGTCCTTTATTCCCTTGTAGTAATGGATGGTTCGCTACCAACCTCACTGAAGTACATCATTAGCAACGTGGAGTACTATGGACCAGCATTGTATCTTTTAGGTATAAACTAATGAAATATATCAATGTTGGTTGAGCTTATTAAAATAGCAAACTTTCTTTTCTTTTTTAGCCACAGACGTTGTAACTGTTTACGTATTTCACGAGCCTTCCTTGCTTTCATCATTGCAAGATAAAGATCTTACTGGAGTCGTCCTTAAATCACTTGTTGTGAAAGATGTAAGTACATTGACGACGTAACGGATGGTTATGACTTATGATATAGTTGGATACGACGTGTGTTGGGAAGGAAGTTCCCATTTATATTGCTTGATCTATAAATAACTCGTATTAAGAATTCTCCAAATGAGTATGATTATAATTTTACAGCCGTGGTTGCAGCGGGTCGATCCTATTCAGTTTCTTATATAGGTCAGGAATATAACTATAGGAACATTACCTTGCACGATTGACTGTATTTTTAGATTCCTGCAACACGTGAAGTTCTTGCTTTTCTGCCCAACATCCTCAGCGCCTTGTGTCTCAACAACCGCGGTCTTCAAGCGTTCATGGCGTGCAAACCATTTGATAAACTGTTTAGAGTTTTACTGTCGCCTGATTATCTCCCTGCTATGAGACGACGGCGAAGTTCAGATGCTCTAGGTAGTTGATTGTGGTTTTGCAATACCAGTACTGTACAATGAATTGTTAGCTGTATGGTCATGGTTAATATGGTATGACTTTCCTAATGTAAACATATTTGTTTAGGTGATACTGCTTACAGTCTGGGTACAGCGATGGATGAACTAATGCGTCATCAGCCCATGTTGAAACCCGATGCCATGAAAGCCATTGTGAAAGTACAGTAATTTTGCAATATTTCCTTAATTCTCAGAAACGGCGAATTATTAATGGCTTGTTCTCATGTTTTATAGTTGCTTCAAGAAGTTTGTCGCATTGGTTCAGATCCTAAGGTCACGTGTGTGAAATCAACTAAATCTGATACCAGTCTCCCTGTGCAAGGCGCGACGAGTGAAGATGAACCAGTCTCCGATGAAGAAGAATATGATGAAGATAGGTTACCTGTACCCAAGGTTGATACTAAGGAGAAAATCAGTGAAGATGCTTCGAGGTTGGTTGTCATGAATATTTAGAAATTGAGATGGACTTAGCTCCTGCCTGTTCTCACGTTGTTTTTATCATTGTTACAGTGAATCACAGAGCGACAAAAAGAAATACGTTCCACTCACGGATTACATTCTAAACGTGGTACGTGTGCGTGCGCGTGCGTCATATTTATATGCAACCATTCATAGAAACCTCGCTTGACGTTGTCTAAAATTAAGGCTCCTCAATGTTGCTAAAGAATGAACCATTTATTTCGCATTTTCAGTCAAACTTAAAGCGTATTTCTCATCATGTTTAACGAAAGCCTGATGATATCATGTTAATATCAAACAAGTGATATTGATAATCAATGAAATACTTTACAATTCGATAGATGTACAATACAGTTGAAATTTTCTTAATTCTTCAGGTGAAATTTGTTGACGCAATTCTGAGCAACAACTCCACTGATGATCACATACGAGAGTTCGTGCGACACCAAGGTCTTGAACCATTGATCAAAATCCTTTCACTACCCAATTTACCCCTAGACTTCCCCTCTTCACCCGCTTGCCAATCCATTGGCATCGTGTCCCGGTCAATCCTGTTTCTTTGCCAAGAGCATCAACTACTACAACAAGGTCTTCAGCAACTCACCGACACTCTCCAAATTCTTAATCCATTAAACAGTTGTTTAACTCGAACAGGACAATCTGTTTTATTACAAGAAGTTCTAAAGTCACCGAAACCTTTCCTTGCAATCAATTCACACCATCAAACTCCGCTACTACATGCGATGTCGGCTACTCAATCTTATGTCAATATGTTTACATACATATGCAAGTCAATACAGAACGATGTTCGAACAATATGTATCAATCATTGGGGGGAGAAAATTGAAACTTTACAGAAGCTTTGTCAACTCTACTCCTCCTTGGTTTGGGAAAGCTCTGTTCTTTTAGTTCTCTGTACCCAGGATAATATTCCTGATGAATGTGAGTCGTTAAAACAAGACCTTCAAAGACTGTCTGAACTCCTTGAGAACGACAGTGAGACGACAGAAACTACCAGGAAATTATCTGATAGTACCCCGCGATCGTCCGATGGTAACATGGCTACATCTGATGATGCAGCAGCGACGTTATCTGAGGATTTTCAAACATCCTCCGACAAGCCTTCCACTTCTGAAGAAGCGAAGAGCAAACCAAAAGCACCTCCAAAACTTCGACTGCTGAAACATCTCCTGGCGGCATCTTCTCGGCTTGGCCGAAGTCTTGCCGAGTTCTTCTCGCTGTTAGTTCGGCTTGCAGTCGGATCTGGTCAGCGTCAACGTAGACCTCAACATTTGGTAACTCCAGCTATGCCAACAATACCGGGAAAATTGATCGCCTCTCAGTTAGCGAAACTTCTTACTCATGGCTTATCGTGGAAAGACCCTGAGGAGTGTCAACTACCTCGTCTTAATTTAACTTTCTATATTTGCTCTCTGGGCTTTGTTCATCCGATGTTATTCGATGATCGTAAAAATCCCTATCACTTGATGCTGCAACAGTTAGTAGCATCCGGAGGACTTCGTGCGCTGTATGAACGCTTTCAATGGGTCGTCACTCGGAAAACTACGAAGTGTACTACCGCTAGTCTCGAAGAACAGTCGACTCTTCCCGATGGATCTGAGGAGTTTGTGAATGCTTGGCTAGCGCTAATGGAAAGATTAGTTAACCCTAAGTTTATTTTGGAATCACCACATGTCCTACCAGCACCCGCTGAGGGAGCTGCAAGCAAGAACGGCTTTGAACCGCACAAGTTCTTAATGAGCACGCAAAAGGTACGATGCTAGACAAAATTTACACATTTGTTTGTAGAGACATTTATAAAGAGTCGGGCGAAGCATGCTTTGGATTGGTTTGCACCCAGGACACTCGTCAGATATAATCTTTGTTGTGGTTAAAACAGTTTTGACAGTTTCCCTAATTTTCCTGACATAGATTAACTTTGAGATTCTCCATGTTTTAATAAGGCTATATTTATTTGCTTCAGGGGCCGGTTGTTCGAAAGGCGTTTAGCTTACACGGTGGATAGAGCCGATTCTCCATTAACGTCCGCTTCACCCGCGCGGGCGAAGCGGCTTTGTTTTTCATGGCGGTCACGGTCGCATGGGCAGATTTTCAAAAGCCGCTTCACCCGCGCGGGTGAGGCGGACGGTAATGGAGAATAGCCTTAAGTTAAAAATGGAAAACCAATTTATCTATTTATTAAACAACTGAGTTAAAATATTTCGATGTAAATAGTTTAATTGTCATTGGAAGCACATATTAAATGCATAAAATGTAGTTTCAGTCATTCACATGATGTATGAGAACATTTTTAAACTTTGGCTTATCCACCGTTTAAGCTAAACGCCTTTCAAACAACCAGCCCCAGACCTCTAACTGGCCTAAGCCGCCCTTATATAAATACATTTATCTATTAATACATTATGGCCCATTTTTATCTTCCTATAGCATGCTTTCTCAGCTGTGAACACTCTATGGGAACATAAACCTGTCAAATCATATGGAATACTCATGAAACAATCCATGCTTTCAATTCTCTGTCATATTATCCACGGCGAGAAGCTATTGAAAACCAGCGACAAGTCTAGTGCAGAAACCTCCGGCGGTTCCGCCCCAGGCCCAACGGTAACAGCGGAACAACAAGAGGTGAATGAGGAACATTTGCGGCAGTTGATGGATATGGGATTCTCTCGGGAACATGCAAGGACAGCATTATTGAATACGGGTACTATTGAACAAGCGACAGAGTATGCCCTCACACGTGCCCCAGCTCCTATACAAGGAAGCCAGGTATGTTAGTGATCTCGTGGAGTTGACTGGATTGAGACCCAGTTCGTAACATTAACTTCAATTCATTGATATAGCAACTTGGGATATCACTTGAGATGTCAGAGGAAGATCAGATGATGCAGGCCATTGCGTTATCTCTCGGAGAAAACTTTTCTATGGTTGTTGATCAGGTAATTTATATCCAAGGCCCCGGTGTGAGGGGGGCAGAGGTGGCCTCAGTGTGAGGGGGGAGAGATGGCCTCAGTGTGAAGAGGGGAGAGGTGGCCTCAGTGTCAGGGGAGGAGAGGTGGCCACAGTGTGAGGGGGAGGGCAGAGTTGGCCTCTATATAAAAAAGGTTAAATATAGCAAAATTAGAAGCAAAAGAGTGAGCCCTTTCCATAGGGTGAGGTCAACTCAGGCCTCGAAAGTGATGTTATGAAAAAGTCATAGCACACAAAACGTCTCAAAACACCCTTATGCAAGTTAAGAACCGTTGCTATTCACAGTGTTATGTTAATGCTGGTTGTAATTGTGTCATTGACAGTTAATGTATTCTCTTCGTATTTCTCATTTTTTAGCCGTCGTCAGGGAGCTCAGAAGCGAACAAACCCATAGAGAAAGAAAGCAGAGAAAGTGAAAAGCCTAACACCGAAGGCGAAGTCGAAGACGAGTCATTAGACAGTTCTTTTATAGATGATTTTGCTGCTAACATGCTGCCTGGTTGTGTTACTCTAGTCAGTGATGTACCTGAGACTGTTTACAAAACGTGTGATCTCATTGTCGCAATCTCTGTACGCAATGGACCGGAGTGGAGAGACCGAGTCATTGGCGAGATATTAAACACGGTATTGCGAATAAACATCTTTACTTTTTGTGATCCAGTTCAATGCTCAAACAATCCTACAAATTCAAGGCTCCCTTACTGTAACTTATAATTCGTAGAGAGCTGGGCGCTCTTTATGCTTCGAGTTTCACGTATCTGTCTGGTATCACGATTAGTCACGCAAGTTTGCTAAAAGATTGATACGAAAACAACCAATGATTAAAACTCTTCACTTGGACTGAAAGATACTGTTGAGTCCTAGGACGGGATGAGGTTGTGTTTAAAACGTATCGCAATGATATTGTAGTAACTGGTAAAGTAATTCCAGTACACACTCTCAGTTGAACAACTTTTTTGTCATGCGAATACAAGGTAGCTCCATTATTAAAACAAACAGCGTCATTTTCTTATTCCTGTATAATGCAGGGCGGGTAGAGATTTCGCAAAGAATTTTATACTGCGGTTTGATCAAAACGGTCACAACCTGAAGTGTTTCGAATCTACTAGTGTAAATGTCAAGAATGATTGATTTACTGGGAATTCTGTACGCTGATATTTAACTTCTCCCTCTAGGTTCGCGAAACCGCAATTTTCCTGTGTGATTTGTACGAAAATCTGAACCTAAAGAGTGAAAACGCTGCTGAACAAGCTGCAGAATATTGTGTAAAACCTCAAGCTGGTTTACTCAAGTCCATGCTGCACCTACTAAGTCTTGTGTTAGAGGTATTTAGTTAATGTTTACGTTAGAAACTTAGAATGTTATTCAGGAGACGATGATGGGTTTATATGTAGTCTGCACAAAAGTCAGAGCCCCAGAGGTGTGAATACCTGTCGATCTTGGTGACAATGCAATTTTTACAAGAGCAGTCCAAATCCATCTTGCCTTTAAGTTTTATTATTGTACCAAAATACTACATGGTGCACAATTACCAGGGCGCACATCCAATACCGAGGGACATAGCGCTCATCCATTAATGCCCTCTAAAAACCTTGCTGGATCCACAACCGTCATGAGTAATCCTTTCATTCCAAAATGTAGAATGTAGTTGTTGGTAAACGATGTGCGTTAGGTGTTGTAGTGCATGTTACCATAGTATCTATCTCCATATTTCTCAAATCATGCCTGCTGAGAATTAGTTTGCAATGGATTAAATTGCATATTTCATGACATTCTCTGCATCTCGCTCGATTGACATCGATGAGATACAATTCTCGCGGGTCGTGGCCTGACGATGACTTATTTGTGTCAATTATCTATGTTTTTAAGGAAATTAAATCGCCATGTGCTTTGTTGATTATTGAATCTGGAACTCAGGAAATGCTTGCGAAGTTGTTGAGAATAGTTCAGAAATGTCTGGTGGATTTGAAGAACACTGGAAACAATCCAACAACACCATGGTAAAAAACACAGAGCAAACTCAGAAACTTTTTTAGTGTGAAGGAGGGGGCCATTCCTGTGTGGGGTGCTCTTTTTATTCTTCTTGCTCGGCTAGTGTCAGTTAGTAGCGTAGCTAGACATACGATAAAGTTCCGCTATGCAATTCTTACGTTATGACATCCGTTCCTGGTGTCAGCAAAGGTTCCGACTGTTGAATCAATCAATCATTGACCCAATTAATTGTATTTTTTCTAGCTGGTTGACACCTTTATTGATTCTAATTGATCTATATGAAAAAAGTGTTGAGACCCATCATCGAAAGATTGCTCACGATAAAGTAAGTGTGATGATTGTTTCAGACAATCCCGAAAAATTAATGGAATAAACTTTTTTTGTTTTAACTTTTTAACTTTAACTGATCCGTTCTTAAATGAGAAGATCACTTGTTTGTTAGGAATGCACTTAAATTACCTTTCACAAAACTTTTTAGTGTACTGGTAGTGTTTGGAAATGGTTTGATGATCGAAGTGGGAGATGGCATAACTATAGTAATAGTAATAACAACACAATTGATACTGCGTATCGTAAAGGAGAAACGTCTATAAGGTTTGGACTTTGTATCTTTATTCCTCTGTATGATACCTGGTAGTTTTATAAAATACACGCCTGCTGATGATGTTCACGCCATTTTCAGGTTCACAGCTGGAAGAAGAAGATATGTTGTGCATTTTGACACGATGATTCAAGTAGGTTTGATTTTTAAACTGATCAGGTTTTCTGCTGTGTAATAACACTAGATCAATAGGTGATTATAGTACTGAAAGTATGTTAGCTAGTTTAGTCAAGCTTCTTCCTACAGTAATATTAAATGAGAGATGATCCTAACTTTCTCTACGAAGAATTTAGCACTGATCTAACCATCTAACACTCATTTGCTCATTCCAGGTGAATGAAGACTCTGGCAATCGTAGACCCATCATGTTAGAAATCACTCCGAACATCCCAGATAGACAGTCTCCAGTAGAAGCTGACAAGAAGAGTGCCGCGCCAGAGACAACCCCTGAACAACAGAGTACAGGTACAGGTATGTGCTTGTCTCATGATTCGCCTGGACTGGCTAGACAACAAGTAATACAGTGATAAATTGTATTGATGGCGTTGAAATTAATTTTGTTTTTAACTTGATTTTTCATGTAGAAACGAAGCCTCCTGTGTCTTCAGAAGAAAGCATCAAACTAGTCTCCTTACCAAATGAACAGAAGGAATATCTTGTCAGGTATTATTTCATTATTCGATTAAAAATACACAACAAGGGTAACTATCATTCTCACGACCTGATTACTACCAGGAGTACGCTCGAAGGTGTCGGACGAACACTAATATTGTAGTTGTTATAGTTGTAAAATAATACAAAATACTTTTCTTTTAGGTCTTGTGTGTCTCTTATTTCTCTGCCTGTTGAAAACAGTGCATTGAATGCAGTTGTTCGTTTGTGTGTTCGTCTAACACGTGATAATCATCTTGCTCAAGTGTTTGTTGAAGCTGGAGGACCTCATCATATCCTGGAGTTAAAACGATCATCAAAATTTGACGGTTTCGTTATGCTACTAACTTTGCTATTACGTCACGTGTTAGAAGACCGTGATACTTTGCGGCATACAATGGAAAAAGTGATACGTTCTGCTATGGTCAGCGGTATTGGTAGCACCAATAGTGGGGTGGGAACAAATTCACTTGGAACAAAAGAGTTCAACTATCTGCTTAGGGTTCTAAGTCCCGTTGCAGCCCGCCAACCTGAGATTTTTAAGGAGCTGCTCCTGAAATCAATGAGGTTTTCGTTGCCATCTCAAATCAAACGCGGTGGACAGCCAGGCAATGAGGTTACAATCCCCCCTAATCAGGCGTTGCTTGTAAACGCTAACCCAGCAGGAAAACCGCCCAAGATTCCGAAGGTCTCCGAAAGTGTCCGAGGTGTTGTGTACGAACTGCTGAATGCACTATGCCGGGATCCCGAGGATTCGAAATCTGACGAATCCGTTACCACGGCAACAGAGGAACAACCATGTAATAGCCAAGGTTCAGCACCAAGTCAAAGTCAGGTTGGGAGAACCTTAGGAGAGTTGGGTGATTTATTGGATGGTCGACCAACACCATCATTAGTGAGACATCTGACGGGAGAATCATTACCTTCTGAGGATATTGAAGATATGATTATTGGTATGTATACTTACTGCCCTAACAAAAGTCGGCCATAGTTAATGAACAGTTATAGCGCGTACCGCAAAAACGCTTGTTAACTCTTATTCCACCTTGAAGCTACTGAGTCCAAAATGAACACTTGTTCTTTTACCTAAACCATACTTGTTTACCCTCCAACATAGTTTCCTGTTAATATAGATAGCGAATCATCCTCATCTCAGAACCCTTCAACTGGCAACAAGGATAATAAAAGCAAAGGAAGTGCAGAGGACAAAAAAGAGAACGAGTGTAAACCATTGTTAAATAAGAGAACTGTGTTGAGTATACTCAGTGAATTAGTTAAATCTTATTCTGGGGTCGCTCAACTCATTGCTGAGTATGAAATACAGAAAATTGGACAAGAGCATAGTTCTCAGGTAGAAGATAAACTCTAAGAAAATCTTTAATCAAACTGATGATTTCAAAACTGCATGGTTAATGTTGTTATGTCTCTTAAGCCATTATTCCTGGTGCATGTAGAATAACGAATCCTCTGTTTCAAATAATTTCTTTTGCAAGTAACATCATCGATCATTCTGATGTTGTGCACTAAACGTTTTTATGGTGTATAAACTTTTAGGAAATTGTCGCGAGCATGCCTCTCTGAAGGGAGTTCCTTCTGTATATCATATTAAGATGTTTATTGTTCGACTGAAACTATTCTTAAATCGTGCACGATTGACTCATGAATTGACTCGCTTTATACTGTAGATTGTTCGTTCTCGTCATGTTGTTCAAATACCATGTAATGATAACATGACTGATTTCTCCACAGATGCCTGTGCTTGCGTTCATCATGGACTACCTGCTTCCCTCAGATTCGAGTAAAACACAAACAGATCATTCTCTTCGATCAAGACAACTCCTCACAGTTATCGCAGCATGTAATCATAGTCCTGACGCTCAAACAATCTTTGTCAACGAACTGAAAGAATCTCTGGCCCGTGCCCTGGCCATGGCTGAATCTCAACAGAAACACGTACGGCTACAGTCTTTGTTTCAGCTTGTGTTGGGTATCATCGATTCTGGTTGCAACACCCAGCAACAAAGTAGCAACACGAACGCAACTCAACAGAATGGAACTATTAAACTATTTGTCAAAAAAGGCGTCGTCTCTGATCTGGCTCGTGTTTCCCAAAGCTTAGACCTCTCAAGTCCTAACGTGGTTGCGACTATCAATAGTTTATTAAAGCCTTTGGAAAAGCTCTCGAACTTGGTGAACCTGCCTGCGCCAGCCAGTGCAACAACAGCGGCTGCGGAAAAGAAGAACGATTCAATGGATACGACATCACGTACCAGCGATGTCGCTGAGCATATATTACGCGTTTCCGGAAACCGTGTCACTCGTCAGGAGATTGAGCCTAGCCGTGAGGAAGGACAGGAGTTTAGTGACTTAGGTTTGTGGTTTGAATTTTATAAAGTTTGAGATGGCTTCATAGTAAGTTTGTGCTTTTATGAGCAAGATTAGAAGCTCTTTTTAGTTTCACTCTGCACAACATCAAAGGTTCTTTACCATTTACGCTGGTTTTCCGTAGTAGCAAATACACTGAAACAAAATGGCCCGAATCCTATCGCACTCCCGAGGTGGATCAAAGATATTCCAGCCAGTTCAGATTTGATTTTAAGATTGACCAGGATCTGTTGGATATTTTGTAGATTCCAGTGGACTTCATATCGAAGGACGGGCTGTGCGGCGAGATCCTGATACGTCATTTATGATAGGTTCTGAAGGTACGTAACAAGTTGTGATGAAAGCTACAGTTCACCTGACGCAACATCGGAACTTAGGATTATGAAATTGTTGTATTTTCAGGCGAAACTGATGCAGTGAACGACACAACTGTCAGTGCTGTGATTACAGAACAGCCGGGGGATAGTGACCGTGGTGTACCTGAAAGTGACGATGATTTCTCTAGTCCATCAATAGGTATGCATTCATTTCTTGAAAATTCGTTCGTTGAGGGTCTGAAACAGGTCCTTCTGGTTCCTTTTTTTTGTTGCACTACGCTGAAAAAGCTCTCTCAACCATTTCAAAGCTGACTGAGCTGTTTAATTAAGGAAGTACACGTTGAATATGAATCCACGAATTCTGTAATTCCAGACGCGCTGGTGATTGAAATCCACCGTGAAACGAGTCATGACAGCAGTGTAGATCAAGCTGGGGGTGAAGAGGAAAGTTATGATCATAGTAGGATAGATGTGGATAATGAAGATGATGAAGACGATGATGAAGACGATGAAGATGAGGACGATGAGGATGAAGACCCAGATGAGGTCGAAGACGATGATCATAGATCTGATGGTAATTGCAAGTTCTTGCTTGAGAACAGCAAGTAATGTGTTTCCAGCCTTAGAAACGTTTAAACGTCCGGTTTTATTGCAGGCGAAGATGAGGAGATTGAGGCAGAAGAAGATGAGGAAGCTACCAATGAAGAAGGACGAGATGAAGGTGTTGTTGTGGAAAGTTATAATGGAGTAATCATGTTAGAAGACGAGGGAGAAGAAAGCGAAGATCATGATGACGATGATGATGACGATGAAGAAGGTAAAACAGTTTTCATCTTATTATTCTACGTCATGAAATGGCCGTTCCATCGAGGGCATCACAGTGCTGTGATGTTTTTACGACTTCGCCAAATTCGCCAAATACAACTGATTTGCAGTTGACCAGAAGCGTGCTCCTACATGAGACACAACAAACCTACGATTGTTTCCTAACAGATGATGATGATGAGGAAGGAAGTGAGATTGAAGGACATGAAAGAACTGAGTTTGGAAATGGAGGTGCTGCTGGTGGAGGAATTGATAACGATTATCTTTTCTTGCAGCTGGATGAACCAAGACAAGGTAAAATCCGTCTGTCTTCGTTAGTTCGTTTCAGGCAAATTTTTTTTTATATACTGCTGTGAGGAAAACCGTGAAAAACTTTGAGTTATAATAAGCAGCAAATCCGCGTTTCTTCGTAGAACAGAAGAGATTTTGTTCAAAACAGAAATGTCATAGGAAAGATTCTATTAAACGTATTTATTTTATTATTAATTACAAGGTTCAATCAGTCGCTTGATTAGAGAACACGCTCATCCTGGTACTATCCTCACTTCATCTGCCTTCCGTGGTGGTCTGCTCGCAGGTTTACGTTCCAACACTGGCGGAAGTAGCAATCCTTCTACTGACTTCACTATAGAACATCCATTACTAAGAAGACAGCAGTCAACTGACCGTCCTAATCAAAGTGGTAACAGTCGAATATCTCGTGTACATTTACTACGGAGTGATCGCAATAGATCTGGACATATGACCCATGTTCACGTCCATTATTCACATCCACATGGTAGGTGAAACCAAACAATGAGGTCGCATCCACATGATAGAACGCACAGACAATGTAGGTCATACCAGCACAAACACTTTACGTCACATCCACACGATAAATTGCATGTCAATGGTAGGGCACACCCACACAGTTAGTCACATCCATATGATGGAGACCTATAGTGACTGTCTGAAAATTGACTGGATAATATTATTTGAAAACCGCAATCGTTTATGTCCTTTGACAAGCCATCGTCTTACCTTTCACTAAACTTATTTTTTTTTGTTATTTTGTATAATAACGAGATTTTACATTTGTATGATTCCGGTGATTTTAAATCTTTGATTAATTCTGTTGTAGAAATTCCACGTCTTGGTCGACATTTAATGGACGATGATATCAGATTGATAACACGAGCTGGTCAACGGAGATTAGCAGACGACGATTTTGGCGATATCTTCGATTTTGGTGATGGTAGGTTCAACAATTTCTCAACGAAACTCTTTGATGGCTGCATGTAGAGAAATTAAGTCCAATTATTTTCAATGCTTCCACTATAGGTCCGTCAAGTTCGAACATTCTCACCGATATTTCTTCACCCCTGAACCTGTGGACCCAGGAAAGTCAGATTCTGGACGGAGGGAGTGTACATCACTGTGCTGCGACTGTAAAAAAGGACGTCCTACCTGTGTTAGAGAAGGATCTGGAAGAACAAGTGGAAGTTGTGCGCGAGGGTGAAAGAAAGAAAAGAAAGGAAGAAGATGCGAAGAAAGCGGAAGAAACAGCTAAGAAAGAAAAAGCTAAAGGTAAGAATTATCGAAGTTGTATTGATCTTTTTTCAAGGATTCCACTACATCAAACAACTTATTTACAACATTGAGGTTTGTTAGAGCAAACTACTCGCTGCATGCCAGCCATGGCGATTTCTTTACACGACCATTAAATTATTTTCATGATATTTAGAAGAAACCAAAGTAAATGAAACAACAAGCGAACCTTTGACTACAACGGCAAGTGGTGAACCAATGCAAGTGGAGTCTGTAACTTCTCAACCGGGCTTAACTGAAACTGTTTCAGGACGGGAGGAGGAAGGACATGTATATACTGAAAGCGGTACGTGACGCTTTATGAACCTAATAAACAAACGAATAGGCCAAATTTGGTGTATGGCGTTATTGTATAAATGGTCCGTTGTTCTCCGCTGTCATAGTAATCCTTTCTTAAGTGTTGTTACTATCTATTTGTGTAATTCCAGTGGAAGCAGTATCGCAAGCTTTGAATCAACCAACAGAAGAATCTGGTAGTGTTTCAGATGGTACCTCAGCCATCCAGACTGCAAACGAAACTGGACTGTCAATAATGCATATTGAGCCTACAACTATCACACCACCGATTGATCGATCTTCCGAAATGAGTATTGAAGCAAACACTGATAATCCAAGCGAAGTTCATGTGTCTAACCCCACACCAGAATCAATGCAGGAAACTACCCCAGGAAATGCAGAAATGCAGATGGAGTCGAGTGGTGTCAGTGGTACACCCAGCCTTGTCGCCCACCTACCGCAAGTAGCAGGTATCATTTCAGCAGCAGTAACTGAGGCGGCGGGGCTTTTTGTTACTCCAAATCTTGATGTACCTATTCAAGAATGTCCCGGAGCCCCCACTCGTGCATTGCCTGAGACGCCTGATGTATCAGACCCAAATCTTGCCCCCACACCAAGATCACCTGGTGATGATGAATTTATGGACACTGGGGACGGTTCATCCCCCACAGGTATACGATTCGGAACGAATCCGGCAATCTGTCTTATTGTTAAGGCCTTTAGGTGTTTTTCATTTCCCGAGAGGAAATCCAACCACACGACCACTCGATTTATCTTCGCCAAATATAATTTTGTGTAAAAATAAACCATTTCCATGTTAAACCACGGTTTTGTATACGAGTGTATCATATGGATATAAACTTTGTTGAAGTGTTGGAAGAGCAACAACTTACATATCAATGTTTTATTACAAACCGTCTTTGAAACCTCTTTCACTAGATATAATTTCTGATCAATTTCTGTGTATTTCTCTAGTATTCCCCAACACCAGCAACCTTTCTCAGCCATCTCAAGAAAGTGCGGCAGATCCAACACATGCTTTCACGGAAAGCTTGTCATTATTTACCACAGAAACGCCCGAAACGAGTAACCCACAGAATCCACCAGCCATGATTGATGGAGTCCAAATACCTGAAGGTGTCGATCCCTCGTTCTTGGAGGCTCTCCCCGAGGCGATACGTCGTGAAGTGCTTGCAGAACAGTTAGCATTACGCCGCACACCTGCTACAACAGTTGCTCCATCTACCTCCAGTGCTGGTGACACCAGTGGTACATTAAATGTCAGTCCTGAGTTCCTGGCTGCTCTACCTCCAGAAGTGCAGGATGAGGTATTATTTATATTTTGCTCTTTACGTAGCAATGTTACACATGATCATTAGTTTCGCCAAAACTCGAAATATAGTCTATTTGACAAAACTATGCTATCATGTACACACGCAAAGAAAATGCTGTATAAAATGCCGCACAATTAACTTCACGATTGCTGTTTTTTCCCTGTTTTATATTGCGTCTGAATTTGTGTCGCAAGTTGCAGCGAAAATTACTTTATATGTAGCGCCACTTCAAGAGTTTGACATGCGTATTGTCTGTGTATTTTATTATTTAGGTTTTGCAGCAACAACGTTTAGAACAAGAGCGACAGCGCGTGCGCACCATGACGCCCGAGGAACCTGTGGATCCTGGTAATTTTCTCCGCAATCTTCCGCCCGCATTACGTCAACAAATCCTCACCGACATGGATGACTCTCAGCTTAGTGTATTACCAGAGGATCTTTCCACTCAGGCACAATCTTTACGACGGGAGTTCGAGGCCCGCCAAGCCCGACTTATGCAAGAAAGATTCGCCTTTGGTGGAGACAGCGATGCCGCGTCTGCAATATCTGCTTTGCTCCGCAGATCCGGCTATCCGCGTCGCGTTGGCCGCATTGGTCGAGGGGGGAGCTTACAGTTCTCGCGTCTTATCCCCCCTGGAAGTGGTTGGGGCCGAGGTCCCGGGTTCTCAGCTGCAGGCAGTCTTGGCAAGGATAAAAAGAACAGCATCACAGGACGGCAAATACTTGATAACGAGGCTTTAGTGTGCCTACTTATTTTATTATTTGTCGACGAACCTAGAATCAATATTAATCGCTTACATAAAGTAATCCGAAACTTTTGTTATCACCAAGAAACCAGACAATGGGTTATTCAATCTCTAATATCTATACTAAGAAGGACTAGTGGGCAAAACGCAGATGGAAGTTGCACCGCATCGACAACGACAACAAATACCCGGGGAAAAGGCCCAGGTAAAAAATCCGATCCTAAATCCAGACCCTTAGAAGATCAACTCGGCGAGGCATCCCGAACAACGTCCGAAGTCACTTCGTGTGGTTCGTCGTGGTTAAACATGAGTGTAGATGCAGCTCTAGGGTGTAGAGCTCGTATATTTAATGTACAAAAAACTGGCAAATCTAGTGTCGATAAATCAGCAAGTAATGTCTCAGTGAACTCTCAGGCCTCGTCATTTGTTTGTAAGCATGTGCTCGATGCTCTGGCCGCTTTGGCAAAGAATTTTCCAGCAAGCTTTACGCCAGAACAAGTGACGAGCTGTACGGAGACTGGGACAAGAGATGAAACTGCGGTCTCCTCGCTCAATGAAGCGGAATTCTGGAACACTCTAGTCAGACTTGATGGAACTTATGGAGGAAAGAAAGGCAAACTTGCTGCCAAGAATACGTCGTCTAGTACAGCAGCAAAGAGTTCGGATTTTAATTCATCGCCTATAGGTTATCTTATGAGTTTGTTGTCTCATCCTGTCATACGGAAAAGCGCGAACCTAATGGACAGTCTATTACGACTGCTGTCTGTGATCTCTGCATCTCTACCAGATAATGCTGATCAAGCAAAGGCAATGGCGAGCAACGACCAGACTACAACAGCCGAAATTGTCCGTCCTGCAACTCCATCTAACCAATCAACAGGTCGTGCCCAGACCCCAGAATCTGTCACCTCCTCTCTAGTGGTCGAGACCTCCCCTCGGGGGCTGGAACCGGAGACTGATTCGGTCGATAGTGGTCCGTCAACCGTGAGCTTACCTACGGAAACTGGTAACGAACCAATGGACGTCGAGGTTCATTCGGTGACATCATCGGCTTCAGATAGTAAGGTCCAGTTCCTGGATGTAGCCCCAACTGATGACGTGATATCAGACACGGTTGTCATGGCACCACAATTGAAATTAGCTGTTGAGGTTTTAACGTCTGGTGCGTGTTCCGAGGATGGCTTAGAAGACGCGACTACACTCTTGCTGCAGGTAGTTTATTTGTATATTACTGGAAGTAAACACCACTAAATTACAGGACTTAGGGCACCTAGTATTAGTCTAGGGGGGTACAGAAAATACTCAAAAATATTATTGGTTGTTTAAGTAGAATCACAGGCACAGTTATAGTGATCGAACAATAATTGAGGCACTTACATCACTGTTCTAAGTTTATTGTTTTAAGTTTGAAGCTTTTGTGGGCACTTTCAACGGGCGTGATCCCCAAAATGAGGGCCTCTAAAATTGCTTGTAGCCAGTGCTCGCGTGCTAAAAACACCCCAAACACTACCGTGATGTTGATCCCGTGTCATCATGCATAATAGTGAGCTTAAGCATGTGACGTTTTTGACAACACAAACGGCATGAGTAACGTGAAAAGACTGGGTCAAAGATTGTGATTGGTGAAAAACGAAAACTTTACTTCCGGTCAACGTACGTGTGGTCAAAAACGTCACTTGCTTAAGCTCACTATTATCATTTTGTTGCTGCAGGTTTCGAGACTGAACTCAGATTCCCGTGATGCCATTTCATCGTTGTTACTTATGGGTGTTCGTGATCTTGGTAACGTAGTGCAAAGCAACATCTCACGTTTACTTGAAGAATTACGCACGTACAACACAACGCACGCCACGGTTGCGCCGAGCGAAAAAACGCAAAAAGAACCTCTGGAACAAGTTCTTGCTTTCCAACGTCTCAACCGTCCAATGAATGCAGGAAACGTCGCTGTTCGGTTGTACAATGAACCGAGGTTTGGGTTGGGGACTGGTACGAGAGGTCGTCGTCGTAATCAAGGTCAAGGTCAACAACGTAATATTCGTTCACTAACTTATGACTTACATCTACCAGCCATGGCGTCATTCACGGAGAAAACGTCAAGTCAGAATTTGTTCCTCCGTGGTTTACGTGTTATATTACAGCTGAGAGTAGCGGCAAGGAAAGCTGCAACTGCTGCTAAGAAGGAATCAGAGAAAAAGAAAGAACAAGGTAGGTTACGTTAGGATAGGTTAGGACGCTTACTGTTTTTAACCGAAGTATACGAAACACAGGAGTGACCTTGGGGTTATGATGGCTGTATTGGGCTGACCAACGCAAAATATTTGGGTCAGTTGGACGATGACGGGAGATCAAATAGTAGTAGGATATGATATGATACACTGTGGTTTTGGTTTAGTGTCCAGGCTGTGGTGTTATATGGGATCTCAGGCTTTGTTATTGAATTGAAACACTGTGAGAGATTTGTAATGTGTCTATTTTTTATCAGAAGCGAAGGAAACCGCACGAAAAAAGTCAAATGAGAGTGGAGGGGGAAATATTGAGAAACCAACTGATGCTAAGACTGATGATGCTGGACCTTCGCAAGGTAAAGAATGCTAATGCAAATTCCTCTTTTAACAATTGATTGCTAAATAATATTTTGTTTTCCACCCAAGATAACCAAGCCTCAAATGATGATCTCCAAAGACTAAGCAATCAGCTATCCTTGGAAGAGCTCTGGGATACTCTAAGTGAATGTCTCAGTGAATTGGCTCGTACCTCAGATCGAAATGCTGTCCTGGTCTTGCAGCCTGCTGTTGAGTCTTTCTTCCTTGTTCATGGTACGGAGAAAGAAGACAACCAATCAAATGCCGCACAATTAACACGTGGCCGATCCGTTGAAATTGCAAGACTCGCCTCAATTCGTAGTATCGATGATATGCCTCCGTCCCCGAGTCCCACATCCCCGGGAGGGTCTTTAAGTCCTACATTACAGACCTCGTTCCTGGCAGATCTTCCTGTTGATCAACAGGCGTTCCTACGTTTTGCGGGTAAGTGTTCTTCAGTAATATGAGGAATGAGCACCCAAAATGACAGTGAAGTTGGTGTGGGTTATGACTTTAATGTTTTCCTTTATTTTCATGACAGAGATGCACCAAACAGTTCTTAATCACATCCTCCGCCAATCCACCACCCACCTGGCAGATGGTCCGTTTGCTGTTCTAGTTGACCACACAAGATTCCTAGATTTTGACATCAAACGTCGGTACTTCCGTCACGAGCTCGAACGACTCAACGAAGGAGCGGCGATGCGTCGCGACGATCTTTCGATGCACGTTCGGCGAGATCATGTTTTTGAGGACTCGTATCGCGAGCTCCACCGACGATCACCCGAAGAAATGAAGTCGCGTCTGTACGTCGTTTTCGAAGGGGAGGAAGGCCAAGATGCAGGTGGATTGCTCCGGGAATGGTTCATTATTATGTCACGTGAGATGTTCAACCCGAATTACGCCCTGTTTAGGGTTTCGCCTGGAGATCGGGTTACTTACCTGCCCAACCCAAGTTCACACTGTAATTCTAATCATTTGAGTTACTTCAAATTTGTTGGTAAGTAAAGTATTTAATTTGAATGAATTTGTATCAATTCGCGCTAGCGCGGGGAATGGGACACATTTTCTTGTCTAGTTTCTTGTCGAGTTTCTCTAGTCGAAAATATAAAATTTTCTCTATTTCGAAGCCTTTGATTTGAGTGTTTTCCTTTACGTTCATCTTGAACAAATCCGTCGCTAGTCGTAACGTTAAATCATAAAATTTATTTAGGTCGTGTTGTAGCCAAGGCAATCTATGACAACAAGTTATTGGATGCGTATTTCACGAGGTCGTTTTATAAACATATCCTTGGTATACCAGTCAAGGTATCTGATATGGAAGCTGAAGATTATAGTTTTTATCAAGGTCTTGTCTATCTGTTGGAACATGATATTGATGAGTTTGGAGTGGAACTCACGTTCAGCACGGATGTAAGTAGATTTCATATTATATATTATATCATACGCTCCAAAGTAACCAGAGAGAGCAGTTCATGAAATATGGTTTTCATAAAGAAATATACAGTCTACAAGATGGGGAGCTCCTGAAGTTGATCGAAACGTTTTGACGAGATATTCTGCTTCATCTCGTTTAATAAGTTATAGTCTGCCTGGTCTGAGTTATATGTACTAATCATATACGGCTAGCTGGGCTTGGAATATGCCTCGCAACGTACGGCAAAAAATGCGCAGAGTTTCACCAGTTCTGTTCCAATGAATCACTTCTTTGTGACAGATCGAGGAGTTTGGTGTATCCGAAGTGCGTGATTTAAAAGCCAATGGTAGAAATATCCCAGTCACAGAAGACAACAAGAAAGAGTATGTTAAACTTATCTGCCAAGAAAAGATGACCGGATCCATTCGAAAGCAAATTGAAAGTTTCCTCGAAGGATTCTACGAAATCATTCCAAAGAGATTGATCTCAATATTTGATGAACAGGAGCTGGAGTTACTTATATCCGGCTTGCCAACCATAGATCTTGACGACCTAAAAGCCAATACTGAGTACCATAAATACAATGAAAATTCCTTGCAGGTAAGCTTTGATCACCGACCAGGAAAAAAGCTCATATTCTTGTACTTTTTCAAATCACTTCGATCTTTTTTCTCTTTTCTCATCTCATCATATCCACTTCCTTTTCCTGGTTCCAGCTCAGCCATATGTGAAAACTGTGTGTTGTCTCTCGCGCAAAGCCCATTCTTGTTCGCCCACCATTTCACAACAACCAACTTCAGACCATTCAAAATTTTAACCTATGTCCTAATCTTTATCTCAGATCCAATGGCTGTGGCGAGCATTGCGTTCTTTCGATCAGGCGGACCGAGCGAAGTTCCTGCAGTTTGTGACAGGGACATCTAAAGTTCCACTACAAGGATTTGCTGCACTTGAAGGAATGAATGGTTTACAAAAGTTCCAAATTCACCGCGATGATCGCTCCACAGATAGATTACCTGCCGCTCACACTTGGTAAACTAAATATTACTTTTACAATAACTTCTTATTACGAGCAGCGAGTGAATAATTGCATATTCCTTATGTATTTCTTAAGTATCTTCCTTTGAATTGTGAAATTAATTATTGCATGAGGGCCTTATCATTGCCTATGTTTTAACGAAGTCGTGTAAGCTTTTGAAATATATGCGTTAGAATCATGGGTCATTGATCATTGATACAGGACCAAGATGGTGATTATCTGAGCTGTATATATACCTCCCCCTCCCCGTTATATAGAAGTAATTGGGCTCAGTTTGTATGTCCCACTTGTTCCGGTCGTTCATCGTCATCACGTCACAGCAAGATATTCGGCTGCGAGAAAAGTATTCTTAGCATGATTAACTATTTCACTTTGCATTTTCTAGTTTCAATCAACTTGACTTGCCGGCCTATGAAACCTACGATAAACTGCGTTCTGTTCTTCTGAAGACCATCCACGAATGTCCTGAAGGATTTGGTCTTGCTTAAACCCGATATGACTTCGGCTTAAACCTCAAAAAATAGACGGCAAGTGAATCAAAATTACTATTACTTTAAAACTACTTTAGAACAGAAAATATGTATAAATTCACGCCACAAAAACATTTGTGAATATTAACTCTTATATGTTAGAAAGTCGTGGGAAAACGTTACTTGGCTGTCATAAATATAACTTTGTAGTAGTTTCATGAAATCTCCCCATGCAGTGAAATTTCATTCTCATGCAGGATATGTACAGCCATATTGTATTATGATAAGTTGTAGCAAAAACGCTTTTTGATTCTTTGCATAATTTTGCCTTTCACAATTGTCTGTTAAATTGTTTGAGATGTGGAGGGAAGAGAAATAAACGTTATTGATAATTTTTGTGTCCGAGAAATATTTGTATGACTGCCTTCCAACCTGAAATTATCTACCACTAACAGTGGCGAAAAATTTAATGAACATGTCAACGACTGGTCAGAGTAATAGACACAATGCGTGGGAACCCAGGCCAGGCATGAAAGGTTTCGACATATGTGGGTCCACTCTCGATCTTGATCGTGGGATAATACTCTTACAAGTTTGCTGAGATGGGCGGACAGACTGATGTTGGAGCTTACTGCAGTCTGCAGTTTACCTGTGCAAATGTTTCCAGCTGTATTGAATATATACCACGACGTTTTGTCCACACAGACGGATTCCTAAACCCCAACCTGTCTAACTAAATATACACTTCAGCTAATGTACAATAATATAATCCATTTAGGGAAAAAAGGGTGAAAAAATACTTATTACTCTAAAGTCTAAACACGATCACTGAGTCATGTTGTAAAAAACAATGGATATATATATAAATATAGACTTCCAAATTGGTTGCCAAGGTCGTGAGGGCACCTGCTTACCCAAACGTAAACATGTGTTCAGCTTTAATATATATATCGGTTGGCTGTAATTAAATCCCATTTTGAACTGCTGTCAGAATACGTGAAAATAGAAATATTTTAAAGAAAGAAAGAATTGAAAGGGTTTACAAGAAGGAATAGACTTTGGTACCGATGCGTCGGTCAAGTTTACCGAACGTAAAAGGTAAGATAAATGAACTTTATTTTTATTGTTAATATCGCGTATCTGGATACATCTCGTGTCGTAAGTAATAAATGCCCGCTGATAGATTATGTACTACTTCGAAGCCAAAACATGGCTTTTAATATAAATGTGAATGTCTTTTTGAGAACAGAGTTTCTTCCCTTATGCAGTCTTTCCTTGTCGTCTTCTATATTTAATAACGATTTAGCGATTCCCTACTTAAATTAAAAACTAAATTTTCGATTATTCTCTTTAACTTTATACATATTTTGAGTCTCAAACCATTATAAATTACAGCCTCAAAAAAAAACTAAATTGCACGTAACAATTCCTCTCGTCTGCAAAAGTCAAACATCGACCATTTCAAGTAAATAACTTGTTAGTTTCATTTCATTACTGTCCATATTGATAAATATATAAATATATACATGCATATTTGCATTTTTATATTTCTTGGCAGGTAAAATATTGCTATACAAGGTACTAAAGAGTAATTTTAATATCTTAATATTTTAATATATTTCTTGTCCAAGCTCAGTGAACTGTGAGAAATGTATACTGAACAACATAGGATCGGGAATATGTTTTATTGCTGGTGGTAAACAGTTCCGTGTATGTTTTGCACTTCCTATATATCAAAATTTGTTAATGAAATTACTGCTAACTTGCAGACAATTTGGTTATCACTCGAGCTAACGCACGTTATCCACACTCTCAAAATGTTTCGCGATCGTGGCAACCTCGGGACGTGGTCGCCCGAGTTCGTACCGAGGAAAGGTTAGCGAGATCAGTCGGGGAACGAAGCCAAGAGAGGAAGGTTTTGGAATGGTGCAAGAAAAATAACGTGAATGTCATTCGTAAATTGCCAAAACTTGATTCTACAGTCATCGTGAGTGTGTTAAGCTAAGCTAGGTTTATTTATACTGTTCTAATACGAGTCATCTCGGTGAATCATGAGAAACCATGCAGAGTAAACTTCTTGGATATCTCTTGATTTTCCTTCTGCTTTAAAACACTGAAAAGCGAATCATTTAATAACTGCACGGCTTCTTGTTTATTCAGACCTCAAGAGGAATAAATGAAGAAAGATTCACGAGTTTTGTGGATGAAGCAAAACTTGTCAAACGAGAACAACCGGTTAAACCCCCGGACTACAACAAGGTAAATTTCGCCTTTTCTCTACACGTTAGGCCCGTGCCAAGAATCTGCATCCGCATGCACGAATTTTTCACTCATTTTTTTCACTCATTTTTTTCCCTGCTCGGTCAAGTGGATCCACTCAGTCAGTTTTCATCTTATAATGAAAAGAAGATTATGCAAAATAGCAAAGATATGTTTCGTCGAAAAATTGCTGTATACTTGTATAACAAACAATTTTATTATTTTATAACATACTTCAGTGGACGAGTTTGCAGAAAAGTACTCATTCGGAACCAATTAAAAAACTGTTAGTACTCTACATATAACCATGACAGCGTCTTTAAACAACTTCCCATCAAATATAGCATCCCGAAACATAGAGAAAAGATACGATATATATATATATATATATATATATATATATATATATATATAATATATATATATATATATATATATATATATTCTATGCCTATGCACAGTATGTATTCAAATGGCTGATGTCTTCAAATTCATTTCCTCTGGACAGCGTTTTAAAGTAACCCGTTTTCATTCGGCCAAACTCCAAAGCACCTGTTATGTAACGCCAACCAAAAGTATTTTTTGCTTCCAACAGGAAAAAGCTCGGCCTTCAACAGAACACCGTGAAAACTTCTGCGCGTTTTGTCAAAGGGATCTTCCAAAGAAAAGACAACGAGCTCGTAAATCAACTTTTTTTACGAGCCCTTACGAGTGTGAGCATTGCGGAGCATCGAACGACATTTACTTAGACAGTGACAAGAATGTTTCTGAGTCCGAGAGCGAAGATGATCCGAAATTTTCCGAGAGCGTTCACGACACGATACGACGAGGAAATCCTGAACAAGTCATTGATCATCGAACATTTTCCGAGGATGAAACGAAATCTGAGAGTTTAGAGAGAATTGTTGATATTGAAAATGATGAGAGTGATATATTTTGGAGAAGTGACTCTGATTTTAATAGCTTTCCTGGGAATTTTGAGGAAAACTTGGCCGATATTAATTTGAATGAAGACTGTTATTCTGGAACAGTATTTCTAACAGAGACTTCACTTGGTAGCCATAGTATTCCACCTGTTGAGGTGAAGGTTGCTTGGGACGATGACAACAGTAATCAATTCGCAGAAATTAGCAGAACGATCGCCACGGACGATGGGATTGAAGATGACGTCACCTCACAGGAAAGCTGTGATGTCACTTCACAGGATAGCCAGTCTAGGATGTCTAACAATTTTGAGGAATCAAGTCTTGAGAATCCAGGAACTAATAGCTTGTCTTTAGAAAATGACTCAATTGATTTAGGGCCAAGGCTCAGCCCAACTCCTCCGCCTCCTCAAGGTAGGCGTGGGAGTTCACCAAGGAACTTTCTTTATGGTGAACACCCCAAGAGAAGAGGTTCAGAAGAAGTTCATGTGACTAGTATGGATGGATCTTATGATATGACTCAGTCACCTATTGCAAACCGTTCTGTTGGTTTGACTAGAGTGGCGCTAATGAGACTAAGTCGCTCAAAAACACGAGGCTCCCGGAGTTCACCTGGTACACCTCAACCTGTTGCTAGATCAAAGGTATATATTGTTATACATTATAATACAACACTTTCAATCATTCTTTTGTCTGTAACACATTAGAGATGCAAAACAATTTTACAGTAAAGTAGGTCCTCTCACCATGATCTGCATACAGTGATGGGAATTTTCCGTTGTGCAGGTTCCCCCCCCCCTCAGAATATGCCTGACAGTAACGTTTGTTACGTTCACAACACCTAACGTGGCAAACGTAATTTTGGCGACCACATCAACTACCAAAATTTAGTACTAAACATCTAGCTGTAGCCAATATTATCGTCGAAAACTTTAGTCTAATCCGGATTCTGGCTGTCGTTGGCTAATCTAATCTACGCGACCAATTTAATACTACTTTGGATTTTAATTTTCTCCATCCTGATATTGCTTGAAACGATTCTTGTTAAATAGCTGGTATCAACGTTGTACTATTGGCATCTTTACTAATATTACGTTTCTGTTTTTAACAGGAGGAGTCTCGTTCTCATTCACACGATCCCCAAGACTCGTATTCATTTCTGGATGCAGTCAGTCCTGAAATTAAGTCGATCCACAAGCATGAGAACAGACAAAACTCTTCAGATTCTCAAGATTCATAAAAAAAACAGATGTTGTTGCACCATGAGTGGGAACTTGTTTCCTACTGATTCCTAAAGGTCCATGATCATCCTTATTCATCGTATCATTATCTATCAACGTCCATCCTATTTTGGCCGAAATCGAAAGGTCTTATTATGACTCAAAGCCCAATTGTTTTCTGTTGAATGCAGACCCAACTGAGTTTTTATTTTTTCAGCTGTCCTTTGTCTACGTATTTGCATATGCATGAGCAATCTGCTGAAAAATATCCGATGCAGTATACCATTCTGTTTCAAATTCCTTCGTGAGATCTTTTCCATTGTATCTTCTTCTAAATTCGCTAATCCAGTCTTGAGTTTCTTGTAAACTTTCTTTCATTGGTAATAGCGATGCTCGTCCTGACCTTTGCTTTGCCATGTGAGTTGAGCGACCTAATTCATTGTTTTCCAAAGCCAATAATATTCCTTTCTTTTCAGCGAAAGCTATCTTCTTTTGTATTCGTCTTAAGGTATCTTCTGGAGCTTTTAACTTTCTTGTAGGGCAAATATCCTGAAGCTTGTACGGTGTCTCTAAAATTTGTGGCCTAATCTTGTCGCCATTCATCACACAGCTTATAAGTTATGAATTTATATATCTTTTTCTGAATTTCAGAATCAAGTCATCATAAATTCTTTCCTTTTTCATTTTGTCCCATCTTCTTAAAGAAAATGTCCACAGCCGTTTACTCAAATTAAAAGATGTATTATATTTTTTATAATTCGTCGTTTTCGGCTTCAACTCTTTACCAAATCAAACATAAAACCTGTTTAGTTTTGAATTTCAAATCTCTTAGTAATTATCATGGTCTTACAAACATTTAAATTACCAGGCAACAAATCTAAAGTAATTAATATATGACATACTAAGAAGTAGAATTAAAAATTAATACGGGACCGTTAGTCTACTTGTCTCAAGAGATTTAATCCGACTGAAAATAATATTTCAAATTTCATTTTTTAAGTTTCATATTAATTCCTATATAATTTATGACTTTGCGAAGGCTGAACTGCAGAGCTATAACGTATTTCAAATGAAATATTGTTATTAAAAAATGTTCAAAATAAACATTGATTTTAGCAAGGGATTAGTGTGCTAAGCAATAATTGAACAACGACAGTTTAGAAAACTCCTATTGCATCAAACTGATGTTATTCCTACAAAATGAAACGTTAAACTGGTTTTGCAGATATTGTCCACGTGCTCATATATAACGCGAGAATTTGTGTTCAAATAATGCGTATAGGTTCTGCATACGTGTTTTTAAACTTCAGTTGTTGATATATGGCCAACAAGCGTCCCATAATGAAATTTGCAAATATTTTTTGACAATACATAGCGTGCCCCCAAAGGCAAAGTAATTTGTCGCTGGTCAAACACAATTTGACATATTTTAATTTTTCTGTATACAGATGTTATATTTCATTGCTTATCCCGAAATCCCTTTTCAAAACCAATGTACGACACAGTATGGTAACTATGGTTCATACAGTGGAGTAAAGCAGCCGTTCGGGGCCCCCCTCAATGGTTTACTTGTGACTCCCTTGAATTCACTAAAATAAGCTTAAATTTTTTCACTACCTACAGTATGCGATCTCTACTTGCATACATTAGTGTAAACTGTAAAGGGAACGGAACAAGGAACAAATTTCTGAATTTAGGGCCTTTATGGGAGATGGGATCAACCGATAACTTGACACACTACATCCCGATGCACAACCAATCTTATCGATTATGTTATCGTAGAAGTTAGAACATAGCGAAATATTACTGGCCGGTTGGCGCATGTGCAGACGTTTTTCCGCGAAATGCAGTTTCATTTGTTCAACCATAGGCTCAACAATTCTAACAACTCGCTCATTTTACCAAATGTATATACGTCTCTCCCAGTCTCACTTGCCTATTATAAACATGTCGATGTTTTATGTTTACAATCAAGTGCGGCTGTGCGAGTCAACTGAGATGATTCGGTTTTTAAAAATGGTAATTTTTCACACGTGTTCCACCGGGGGGGAGATGTATAGTGTTATATAATATATTAAGCAACATTTACACCATATATACGGCAATATATATGGTAGCCCTAGACTCTAGCTGATTTTTTCAGTTTATTTTATAGTTCCCGAGTACAAAACGTATTTTAAATATTTGTGGGCCATTTTTCTTGTTTTTAATCTCTGAAAGATAAACAGTGATATGAATGCAATTATGTCGGGGTCGGCGAGGATTGTAACACGTGGATCGAGTATGCTGCGAAATGTTATGTTTTACAAGAACAAAGCTAGTTTACTTTGCAGTGGGCTTCGTAGTTTTTCCTCAGAGACGGAAAATGAAGCAGATGAATTTAAATTTGAGACTTTGAGTGGTGATTTGGAAGGTATTTAATTAAAGCGCCATGGTTTCTCTTCCTCTCCCCCCGTTTATTGAATAAAATGAGTACAGTTTAATTTATAGACTTGGTAGATCATGTATTTTTAACAACTATGCCTATATCTGCAAATCTTCAACATGTTCACCATTTCACCCTTTCTTTTATACATGCGATATTCTATGTCCATCTGTGACTTGAAAAGAGTGTAATTGTGCATGCAACTTTATACTTAAGTAACTTGACATCAAGGTTAGGTGCTATAAAAGTAAAAATAATTATAAAAATTTGAATGCAGCCTAAGATATAAACTTTTAGCTATTAATATATGCCAAAAAATGTTAAAAGTTGTTGAGTTCTAGTGATCCATTATGTAGGTATTGCAGTTTTTTCAATGAACAAACCTAGTACAAGAAATGCTATTAGCAGGAACTTTTTAACCCAGGTAGGTAATGAGTCTTCACTTGAAAACAATTAGGCTCATGCAGGGGCCAATTAAGCGCTCAAGTCCTGTTTTCATGTTGAAGCTTATTTCCACATTTAACAAAAAATTTTGATGCAATGTGTTGAATGATTTTTTGATTTTGCACATATAATTAAGTGAAAGTAATTGTTGGAAAAGTGATGTAATTGTTGGAAATGTCTATAAATTGTGCAGCCCATTGCTTTACAAGACCATGTGTTATGAATCAATACACATCCTTGTAATCATATCTGATGAAATGATATTTCATCACTGTGCAGTACTATACCAGAATTAATTTCTAAAGCAGACCTTAAATTTGTATAGTTTCAAAATGCTTTGGATGCTGTGAAATTTGACAAGAATCTTCGAGTATTTATATTAAAGAGTGATGTACCAGGTAATACAGGTCATATTGTAGATATGTTGACTGATTATTGCTCATGAAAGAATTCACCCACATAGTATGTGCCTTATAGTTCAATTTTCACTCAGTCATTGGTTCCTTAGTTGTGTTGGTGAATTACTGGTTTACTCTGGCTAATATACTTTTGATAACATACATGCTCACTCACCTTACTGCCTGTTCAATACTACAAGTTTAATGCTCCAGTCCATTGACTAGAAGAGAACTAATACCTGCAAAACATTTTTCTAGGTGCATTTTGTGCTGGTGCAGATCTCAAAGAAAGGCGAAAAATGAAAATGGAGGATGTAGGGAGGTTTGTTTCCACAGGAAGAAACTTGATTGCAAACTTACATGATCTACCAGTACCAACCATTGCAGCAATTGATGGTGTAGCATTAGGAGGTGGTCTGGAAATTGCTTTAGCTTGTGACATGAGAGTTGCAGGAAGAATGTCAAAAATTGGTCTGGTCGAAACACGTTTGGCTATTATTCCTGGAGGAGGTAAAGTAGGTTAATGAAGTTAAGAGTCGTTCGAAGTTAAGTTAAGAGGAAATGTTGAACACCTTCATATGCTGATATTTGAAATATTCATTTATAAATATGTCTCCCGTTTCTTCTGATAGGTGGTACCCAACGTCTACCAAGGCTGGTGGGAATTTCAAAGGCAAAAGAACTGATATTTACAGCCAGAATATTAAATGGTGAAGAATCTGAACGAATTGGCTTGGCCAATTATGTTGTTGATGAGAACCAAGCATATAACAAAGCTTTAGAGTTAGCAAAAGAAATATTGCCACAAGGGCCGATTGCTTTGAAAATGGCCAAGAATGCAATTAACAGAGGCATGGAGGTTGGGAATGAGATGATATTGGAAGTGATAGTGATCATGGGTTTTGATTTCTGACTATTTGTTTCAGGTTGATTTGATATCTGGTATGAGCTTTGAAGAAGCCTCTTACGCACAGGTGATATACTTTACTTTCTTACCACCATTAAGTCATTAACAGTGCTTGTGACCTTTAACAGTACTGATTATTACCACCATCCCATCATGCAGTTATCACCACTGATTCACTACCTTGCATCTCACTGTCAAACAAATTTCTAATGTACCATGACCTAAATACCATATACCATATGACCTGATCACCACTGATTCATCTCATCACCATTGATTCACTACCCTGTATCTCATTCACTACCCTGTATCTCATTGTTATCAGACAAATCTCTAACATACCCTAATCTTAACCAGGTGATACCAACAAAAGACAGATTAGAAGGACTACAGGCATTTAAAGAGAAACGAAAACCAGTGTATCGTGGTGAATAAAGATCAATGGTAAGTGATTGGGTGGTGCATTTGCTTAAGGCAATGCACTCAGATGGGTCCTACTTTGATGTTTTACTCTGTCTTATGTCAGATGAGTTCACTCATCAATGGAAGAGTACTGTCTGTTACTGAGTTAATTTGGGTTATTTTACTAACTATTTCACACAAAAGATGGTTATTGCAAGGATGCATTTTTTCTTTAGTACAACCACCATAATTGCTTTGTATTTAATGTACCACATAACTTACTGTAATGTTCTTGCTTTAAATTTGTACAAAACCTCTGCTGTTGACATACAGCATAAACAGGATTATCACTTGAAATGAAGAAATTATATACATATTTTTGTTACCTGAAGATATTTAAAAAAAGTTTTTATATTGTCCAGGATTGTTATATAACAATATTAGTGAGTTTAAGAGAAGTAATCTCGTTCAGGGGTGTTAGTTTTTGTCTCCTTTTTAATTGATGCAAGCATATATATCCTGGCTTAGTTGATCATCTCCCTTTTTGTCATAGTGTATGTGAATATTACCATGAACTTTCTTGCGTAACTTAACCTCTCTGATATTTTGACATAGTCATCCTTTTGTAAACATGCAGCAGCACATGCATTCTCATGTCAAAATTTCTGTTTTGTTGTGCCTCTAAAGTTATCTTTGTGCATAAGTTTAGCTTGAATTCATCCAGAAAATAACTGTTTTTTTACCAGCTGACATGCTACTGAAAGATAATTTGATAAGGTCCAACATATTATAAAGGTGTAAAATATCGCCTTGCAAAATGTGCATACTTCATTAAGTAGTAAGCCTTTTGATTACTTTTAACATTTTTAGCACAATCATTATAATTTCCGCACGTAACACGTCATTATGAAAAAGAAGGAGAAAATCATTCATGAAAATTCCGAGTGAGTGGGTCGGGGGGGGGGTTGTAACTAGAGCTTAGCTATACTGCATTTGAAAAATCACACTACGTTCTCGTCTTGTCATGACTTTTTCGACCTTCTATCCCGCATTCGTTGGTATTCTTTTACACTGTCGCTCTTCGGTGATGAATATATAATCTTCTCTATTTTACGAACTATTTCATCTGCAAAAAACAAAAATTTTGGTTACGATATAGCTGTGGTATATAATTCAGGTATAGTTTTTACCATGCAATATTAAGGATTTTTTAAACAAAATATCGCCTTGATCACCAACGGAGTTTGTAGGTAGAATATTCAGAGCCAAGGAGAGGGACGTGGGGTACAACGCTCTAAACTGTTTTGATGACCTTCTACCATCTGCACACATTGCACAGTCTGAAGGCCCGATCACACAATCCAATTTTGTCGGATTTAATTCACTTCTGGCGTATGGCATGTAGTCTTGTTATTGATAAAGCAGAACTGCATTGGTTTTAGTGGATTTGCTGCGAAATACATTGCAAGTAAAAAAACTATAAAACATCCATCAAAAGTGGATGGAATCTAACAAAATTGGATCGTGTGAACAAAACCTAAAACCACTAAGGGTCTTCCTTCTTTGAATCTGAAATCTTTGAATCTTGCGCGCACTTAGGAGATCGCCTTGGTGTCCGTTTCTTAGTTCTTTCATATTGTGGTAATTACAAATATCATACTTGCAATACTTTGTGAACATTCAAAATCATAATTCTTGTAATCACGGTTTTCCTTGCTATAAATTATCCTAAACGTCGATCTGTTCCCGGTCTTTATTACTTCGGAATGTGCAACATATTCCATCTCTATGTTGACCTAGTAAAGAAAAAAATATCGTCACTGGCACGGTGTGTTATTTTCCCAAAAGACTTCTCGCAAAGACATGACTTACTGCACGTGGTGATTTATTCCAGAATTGTCTTTGACTCGATTGTCCTGTTTGTGTAATCTCGATATTTTTCGAGTCAATTCCTAAAAGATTAAAAACTCGTACCTCGGAAATTCTGATGATTTCATAAACTGAAAATGCTGGTGATAGAGACGAGACTGGGGCCGGGGGGGGAGTGACCTTTTAGGCACCACCACCATTGTTATTAAACTGTTATGTAAAATTTCCCCTTGATCAATAGCTTTATTGAAAGATACTGTACCTAACTGAACTTCACTCTTTGCATGTAGGAAGCCTTGAAGCATCGTCACTTTGAATGCCTGAAGAATAAAAGGAGAATTAAGTCAACGAGATGCAAAGTCGTAAGGTTTGGGAATGTGATTTAATGCATATATTGCTAAAAACTTGGATTGAGACAATAGTTTGAGACAATGGTAGCTTGTCGATGGTTTACAGGAGAGAAACTCAAAGGTCTTTATATCAGGGTTATGATCATTTTGGTAAGAACGAAAGAAAGGTTATATATTGCATTTGGTACACTGTGTAACACAAATCCGATAATTTGACAAAAAGTTGAAATGAATGTTGAGACGTTTCTATTCCAAACCTCGTAGTTATATTGTTGCAGCGTAAAATAATCTGGCTGATCAGTGACAATCTTGCCATTTTTCTCACTAGATTCTTTCTTTGTTCCTGTCAAATAAGAATTTTCATGAGATTGTCTTCACTTCAGGCACACACTCTCTTTTCATCACATGTATCATTTCTAACAACTCACGCTGCATATTTGACTTCTTAACCAATTGAAACTCTGAAGTTTCCATCTTTTCTAAAGTATCATCCAGATCTATCGCTATTGTTGGATCGTTCTTCTTAACCAAGACATACTCGTGACCTGAAATAAACAGGTCCACGTTTAGAACCATCATTAGAATAATCCCCTCCAAACTACAGCTTTGTTTTCAAATTACTACTTACAATAAACCAAATAAAAATATCCAATCGATTGCCTGTAATTCAAAGTGCCTATAATGCTCGAAGTGTCTATAATTCTGTTTTTGCTGTATACTATCCGCCATAAGTCATAATTTTGATTGCGTATAGCAACGAGTAAAGAGTAATAAATTCTAACGACGTACGACAAATAACTAGGCAGTTTTAATACGTGCGATGATATATGTGTGTGCATCATTCGTGGAATACAAAGTCAAAGGAATAAAAGCGAATGAAATATCACTTCTTCGCTTCAAACAAACTCTAGACAGGTAAAAGCGAGATCTACTCTATCACACTTAAACTTCACACAATTAAACGTTACATATCGCTAAATTTCATTTTCTCTGACATCGACTTGCTATTATTAATTTTGCGCCGAGCATGCATACAGAGCAAACACGGCAGAATTGTTGTTAAAAGCCGCAATCAAACATCAGAAGGAAGAGTAATACAATAAATAACAAACCAGGCTTCCGGAGAAAACGACTGCCGTAGAAAACTTTATTGAGGCACAAAGCAGTTGTGAAGACGACTTTCAATATATGTGGAAAATTAAAATGTTTCTTATTGAAAACGTAGGTACACTGTACAAAATATGTACGAGACAGCTTGCAGCGTACAAAAAACTAAAAGAATTTTATGTTTTTCCAAAAATTTTTTCAATTTGTAACTAATAAATAATATACCCGTTCGTTTGATTCCGCGTTTCTTTAGCATCTTCTCCAAAACCATTTTCATTTTCACATCAACTCCTTCCACTGCGAATTTCGATGAACCTCGTTTCTCTTCACATCTACAATGAAAGAAACGGAGAGAATGCACATGAATAGTCAAACAAGATATTAATCAACTACTTCCATGGACCATGGTTATCATCACTAGCAACAATAACTTACACTTCAACTATAATATCAGAACTACTTGAAGGTTTTGGTTCTGGTGGTTTTTCTTCAGGCTGAAATGGGTTTAAAATATTGTAAATTGAAGGTTATGATTCACTGAAAATCACAATTGCATAGCAATCCTGTTTATATCTATTTTATCTATAGATAGATATATAAAAACCAGAGTTATCTTACCTCTATGTAAGATAATGCCAAAGCTTTGAAGTCGAATTTGCTAATATTTTCACCATTATCCAGTGCTAAAAAAGCATTGGTAGTGAATTATATTGAATACAGGTGTCTGGTGTGGGTATATGGGGAACCTCAAGCATGCAAACTTGTTAACTGGCAATACAAGTTTACACCTTGACCTGAGTGCACATAATGATATAGTGATAAATAGATTAGATATAAACAAACTTTGAAATAAGAATTATCCAGGATAATCTAAGGACTGGCCAGTTAGGCTCACCCTAGCCCCCAATGAATATTTGCCAATAAGCATTGCCATAGGGCCATATTGTTTATTTCTGCTTGCCAATATTACTGTGGAATATAATTTACCAGGTAAATCAAAATCAACTTCTCCATCTGCTTCATCAGCAATCAACAAACAGTAAGACTTTACATCATCCTGAAACAACACAACACACTCAACTATGATTTTATGTCCTAGCTCCATTGTCACTTCAAATGTTGTGAAAACTTTTTAATACCTTTAGTTCTGGTTTTCGTGCTTTCTCTGTATATTTGAACATGATGAGACCAATTAAGTCTTGAACATGGGCACCATCAACTAAAAAGGTAAAATAGAATGTCAAAACATTGTAGTTTCACAGTTGTGATGTCAATTTTGACTGCTTACCAATCAGACAGATATTCATTGGGGATTGTTGAGGCCCTTGTGATGATGGCTAAAGATTAGAAATAGAAAATGCAGTCAGAATATATTGTGCTTTTACCAGATTCTCAGAAGCATTAAAAATTTATGTAATTCACATACTAAAGGGAAAAAAATCTTAAATGAGCGAACTTTATTTGTTCTTGAATAACCCTAAAGAATAAGAAGTGAATTAAAAATTATAAATTTTTACTCAATTATTTGGCAATACTAGGTATCTTATATTATTGATGAAAAAAATTGTGTACATTTAAGGTAAAACACATTTATGGTACTTTTGGGTTAGATAGGGTTAGATAGGGTTAGATGTGAACACCATCAGTTGGAATTAATGAAGCTTGCGATTGAATAAGACTGTACACGGTTGAAATAAGCTTTGAAATTGTTTTTTTAAAGAAACTCAATTGCAAACCTCTCCATCAAACTTTCCATAGTGGGCAAAAGGATTCTTAGGTTGGTTGTGAGAATTTGCTACTAATATTGCCAGCTTGGATGTAGACTTTCCATCTGTCTTGGTTTGGCCATCTTTTAAGTCTTTCTTAGGGTAAAGTTTAGGCAAATCTACACCTGGGAAATTTTAAATGCAAAATTTGAAAATTAAAAAACATAGCATCAATACATGTATTAATTTATATCACAATGTTCATACTTGATATTGGTTCAGGGTCTTTTAAATGGACCATTTGACATGCTGCATCTCCAATTCTGTTGCTATAAACACATTTTAAAACACTATGTACATAATATTTCAGTTTCATTAAGCAGAGGCAAAATTATGTGAAGGTTGTCAAATTAAATCTATTTCTGGTGCTTCCTATTGATAGGAAGTGTAGTCACCTCCACAGACTAATTTTTTGGTGTAGGGAAGTAAAATATTGTGATAACTTCTATAATATGTGGGTGATTGTTTTTAATCAATCAAGGAATGAATGACTCAAACATTCCTCAACTCTGTTTTTGTGGCCTCAAGGTCAGATCATTTCAAGCAGATATATAACACAATCAGATAACATAAGCAGATAACACAAAATATCACATACTCATTACTTGAACTACTTCACACACTTATAGTGCTAGCTAATTTGAAGGATTGCCAAATTATTGAGATGGCTCATGTTGAAAATTGATTGAAGTATCTGTATATTTATTTATCTTGTATTTGCATGTACATTACCTGGGTGGTTTTCTAGGCGGCTTTTCTACAGAACCTCCATGCCCTGATCCCATTGGACTGACTTCAATGTCAAATGAGTTTGAAAATGCAAACTCTCCCAAATTATCCCTACAAGACATTGTAAAAATATTAGGGCTATCTAAGAGGGCATTTTAATATGACAATTCCTCAAAATTGTCTCACCTAAATTTTCGTCTTTGCAACTGTTTTTCATTTTCTATTTCTTCATTTACAATGACAATTTCACTCACGCCTGGAAAAGATGAATTATTTTCATGTTGTATAATAACAACATCATAGTACTGAAACTGGTTTAATTGTGGTGGTTACTGGCGAGGGCACCGATAACTAAAATTTAGTTTAGAACAGCAATATCAGACGTCAAATGCAACATAATACCTGCCACTTATAAAATAGACCATCCATTTTTTATCTGGTCATGAAGCGAAAAAAATATTATGCAGAAAAAGTATGTTTTTTTTTCTGAAACTATGTTGGATGTAAATTTCTGCAGTTGTTTATCTTGTAACGTATTTTAATTACGTATGTAGAATTGGTGGCTTATTAGAGCTTGGTCTTGGTAAACACTTTCATTAAAACCGTAGCAATTTATGCAGTTAATCTGTGCTGTTTCAAACAGAATATACCATCCATAACTATAGACCTAAATATGTCAAATTTTAAAACATTCACACATACATCAGCCCATTGAATTCAGTTTCAACGGTTTTAACCGCAAAGAAATGTAAACAATTTTAACCAGATTTTCGGATAAGGTCAAGCGTAAACTAATTAGTGTCAATGAACTCCTTTTGAAAGTACAAGCTTTAGTCTTAAGCCGGAAAATAGATACTTTAAAATATCCTTTTTTGCATACATCGTTACGCTACAGTATCAGCATTCGCTAAGACAGTAAACTATTACAAAGCCTATCAAGGACTGTTCGTTTGTGAAATTTGAAAAGATTTTTGACTGGGCAGTGACATCTAGACTTCAGACTGATAAGACACGCAATGTTTGTCTATTCACTATAATCATAGGTGAAAAGTGCGGTGATTTAGGGCAGAACGTTAAAATGCACGGAAGGGTATAATATCTTAACACTTTTTTACCCGTATCATCGCTTGTCACACACGAGTGTCTGATTTGGGAAATCACAAATTGGGCATCGTCCATAAATGCCATTGGTGCATGGACATATGAGCCACTTTAATGCCCTGTCTTGCACTTCAGTTCCTTGTCATATTCTTTTGATATTTCTCCACATTTCCTCTGGGAGCACATGGCCGTAAATATACAGGAAAATCTAAAATCAGACCATCATTCAAGCGTAAAACCAATTTGTTATCGTCTGAAAGTCAACAATTATGTAAATTTCCATCTTGGAAAATATGTTGTAATGTTTTCTTTGCCCCAAGCCTCGCGCAGGAAACTCAATATAGGCACTGATCGTGCACTGACTGGATGGATGAACCCAGCTGGACTAAATTTTGCAATTGCAATGAACGAAGCAGTCAATAAAAAAGTTTATTGCCGAGCAATAAAATTTTTGAAATTTGAGTCATTTAGCTATTGTACATATGTATTGAAATTTATCTATTTTCTGTCTTTATGAAGTTATAATCAGTGGTCATGATAAGACCCTCACATATTCTAAAATGGGCAGTTCTAATGGATAGAAAATGTTGAGTTTTGGATCAGAAAATTCCCAAGATAGTTTCTTACAAAGGAGAGTTGAATGACCTTAGTTACTTCCCATATAAGTTGTGATCTCACAAAATGCAGCATTGAAAATCCTTTTTATACACCAATTTTTCCCCCCAAAAAATGTTATGGCAGAATGCTGAAATTCCCATTTTGAAGTGCTCCATTTCAAAAATTCTCGGCGGGCGGGTGGTCAGCTATCCCTTTGCACACCGGAGGAGGGTTCGTGGTCTCGTGCCAACAACACATGTTGGATTTTTAAGCAGCTTTAAAATACGTAGCCAGTCTATTTCTTTTTAAGATGATCCCTGGTTATGATACGTTTGTTAAAAAACTCGTCACAAACGACATCTTTCGTCCTAAAAGGACCGACTTTTAGATCGGGGCCCCGAAAAAGTCATCGCCACCTAAACACTTGCAGGAAATCAGTTCCGGCCTCCGGGACTTTCTGAGCTTTACCGAGATTCATGGTATTTTTCTCCCTGTCTAAGACTACCATATGTTAAGTCTTAGACTAAGACTTAACATATGGTGACGCTCTCTTTGTCTTTATATATATATATATTAACTAGACTACTAGTTTCTGTCCGGAAATAAGGAAACAGGAAATTACAGGAATATAAAAAACGACTTAGTTCGACTTGTCAAGAATCGAAACAGAAAGTGCAGGCATCACGCGCCATAATTTATTATTAATTACATAACATGGCACCTACTTGACATAGCGGCAGTACTTTTGCCTGTTATGCGGAAAAAAAAGGCAAGTCAGATCTAGCTTTTTCAACTGAGTGCTTTCCCATGCCTTTACTGTAATCAAATGCATGCCCTATCGCATGGAGAAAAATCTAACCCTGGCGGCTGGCTGTAACACTACTCTGCATTGATTGGTTTAACGTCCCACCACAATATTATGACCCATTACACTTTCAATTTTTCCTGTGATTCTTCGAATGTGATTTTCGCTGCTTTCTAAATGTGAAGTAGTTGATAACTTACGGAAGTTCAAACAAGAGCACTTATACATTAGAGCAGTTCACTCGTTTGCATCTATCAAAAGTACAAAATCGTAGTAAGTGTAAACGTTCCCATATTATCTATACAGCTGTCTGAGTGCATGATTCAGTGAATGAAACTCTCTGGATTACTCGATACTAATTTCAAGGTAGAAACTTTAGTGAGCAACAAGTTGATTTTTTGTATAATATTATTTAATTCAGTTTATCGCTAATTAAGTTTTTAATAATTAAAATATTAAAATATATATTTCATAATTAATATATTGATTTTCTTAGTGCTGGGGGCTGTCCGTACAGATATTGCCCACCACAAACCCACGCATTTGGTGAAAGGCTTAAAGCTGCTTTCCACTTAAGAGCTTTTTATAAATTTTACTCATGGAATAGCTAATAAATGAAATTAATTTTGATCGTAATATTTAGGTATTTGGAAGCTAGTGAAACATTTTGAAAGTAATTAATCTTTGGGTGGAAAGCAGCCATTATATCTCGCAAAATATTTCCTCGCGGAGAACTCGCGTGCGTTGAGGGCGTTTGCGTGGGTTTCGTCCACGAATATAGGGAAGTGCTGTGCAGGAGGTGACTTCATCTCAAAATACGCGTAGTTGTGTTATTAAAAGTGAATTTACCCAGTAATATTAAATTATTTATGCACAAGATGTCTTAAGTTACACTAAGTTGAGGGCTACACTGATTCCGGTTGAAGTGATGGGCTTTATACGAGTTAAACTTATCGAAGTAGAACAGGCTGACGAATGGAAAGCGAATTCAAATGGACCATTTGATCCATACTGTGCGATACATATTAAAGAAGCCGTGCAAACGCCGGGTCAAGGCGTTCAACTTGTCCAGAAGAAAAGAACAATCTACCCAGAATGGAACAAGTGTTTCGATACTCATCTTTACCCTGGACGAGTTATTTCTGTTGTTGTGATGGAAAAACCAAACGTTTATCGAGGAGACACAACAATTGGTGTTCAATTTTTGGTAGACCAATGTAAAAAAGATGGCTTTTCGAGTTTATGGGTATGTATATTGCACTAAATATTTCTGTAGCTTTGATAAATAAGGAGGAAGTGTAAACACTCGTGATTGTAGGTTGTAATGCCTATATTTTGGCGCCTATAATTGTGTCCTATTTCCATAAAGAATTCGCAAATTTGAACGCTGATTTCTGTCAATACACGATAAAATCTTACCAGATAATGTAACTTGTAAAATACGTTAAAACGGTCGTGTGTTTGTTGATGATATCGAGACTAATTATTCAAAAATGTTAGGAAATATTATCCAAGTCGAGAGGCTTTTAATATAATTTAAATGGGAATGTTTTAAAAAGGACGTTGATAAAAATTTTAATACCTATGATGTGACTGTTCTTGCAGCTGGCCGAATAAGAATTCATTCTATAATTAATCGAAATGCATGATTTATTAATTCGAAAAATAATTAGAATTTTTTAAGATCTAATATAAACTGAATTAAATATGATGCCAAGAAGTCGCCTCGTCTTGTAAATTGATCTATTTACAATTTCTGTGTAAAGTTCATTTTAATGTTTTTAATGCACTGTTTGACAGATTTGGTTAGTGAAGTGCATTGAATATTTTAACATATTAACAGTTTGTTCACATATTGCTTGACATATTGCAAACTTGGTTAAGTTGAACAGAAATGAAATAATTATCCAAAATTTTAGGAATTACTGTGAATTTCAAATTTATCCGAGCTCACCAGTGTGCCCAAAACTTTAATTTACCCTAGTTAATGCTGTATTTTGATCAAACATACAGCCAATATAGTTTAGTAACAAAAAACTAGTCTTTGAGATGACTTGTAGGGAAAGGTCTGTTTGCGACATTGTACTTTAACAAATTGAATAAGAAAAAATGCTGCTTCTGATGTAATAAAGTAACAGTCATACTAAACTTTGAGATAAGAGTAAATTATTATAAATGTTTTTCTTGCAATGTTTTTCTTATTGTCAGTGATTACATAAATATCATGATTCATATATACACAGCCTAATTTCAAATTCAAAATTCATAATAAAAATCTATTGGATATTTATTTCTAAGGAATATTTTTACATAAAAATCTGCCAATATGATTGCAAGTTAGAGCTATAGTAATTTATTTTGACATGGCTTAGATCTACCACTGTACAGAAAGACTTTTTCTTGCCAAACCTGACATGTATTAGATTTGCAGCATAGCATTGCTAATTGTTGATGTATTATTATGTCTTTGTTTTTATAGCTTGATCTTAGCCCATGTGGTCGCCTCCTTGTGCAAGTTAGACATTTTGCAGAAGCAGCAGGTTTGTGATAAATTCTAATAATGTTTTTCATCACATAGATGAGAGCCTTTTTGAATATGAGCTTTGATGAAAAATCATAGATGGGGGGGGGGGTGAACAAGGCTGGCCACCACCCTTCATGTTCCCCCTTCTCATTAAGTATTTTGGCAAGCAATTAATTGAGTTGTTGATATAAGTATGATACAAATATAACAGATTGCTATTCATTTTCAACTAAATTGCAGAAGATCCATCTAAAGGCTTTGAAGGACCTGCCAATAAGAGTGGATTGACTGGCCGACGTGGTGCTATTAGGAAACAGAAAGTTCATGAAGTTCGTGGTCATAAATTTGTGGCACGCTTCTTTAGACAGTTTGTCTTTTGTTCAGTGTGCAAAGATTTCTTATGGTGAGATATTATCTGACAATGAAATAACTTATTTTTAAAGTGCTAATCAGAAATATAATGTTCATGTTGAAATTTCTTGTGTTTAATTCCAGGGGATTAAACAAGCAAGGCTATCAGTGCCAAGGTATCTGTTATGCAATAGATTTAGTGCTAGTATCTTGTTTGACCAAATGTGAACATGGTAATATACCTGTATGATCTATTTTTCCCAGTTTGTACTTGTGTGGTTCACAAACGATGTCACAGTCAAGTTTTAAGTACTTGCCCAGGAGCTACAGATGTTAATGAAACCAAGGTGAGCAATTAATTGAGTTTTGATAGAAATATTTACATTTATCTCATTAAGAAACCCTGCACTAACTTGCCTCACCTCCTGTGAAAACTGTGGTCTTATTTCATTCTCTGAATATGCTTATGTCTTCATTATTTCTGCCTCTCAAGAAAACAGTATTTCAACTTGAGATATACTAATTTCCATTGAGGGAAATAATTAACTAGCTGACCAGCACTTTTTCTTTGCTTCACTAAAATCCACAGTCAATTGAATTGAAAAAATTACCCTTGCTGACTGCTGAGAAAAGTACTCCTCCATTATCTGTACTGCGGTGATAACACACTAGTAACCACCACCTCAAAAACATACTACATACTACCCACACCCTTTAAAACTTGTAATTCTGATCATCCAAATTCTGCTCATTCAATAAAATCAATATTGATATTACCATTCAAAATTTGCAGAAACTGAAAGAAAGGTTTAAGATTGACATTCCTCACAGATTCAAGGTCACCACCTACTTGAGTCCCACTTTCTGTGACCACTGTGGTTCCATGCTTTATGGGCTATTTAGACAAGGATTAAAATGTGAAGGTAAAAAGCTGTTCAAAAATAAAAACCTTAACTATTCTAGTCCCTTTGGTAACACACTCATATCAGTAAAGACAGGTCTAAAATTCACATTGTTTTAGAATATTTTCCTGCAACGGAAAATTGATAAATTTTAATATACCCTTGTTCTGATTCCATATATGCTGTTTTCTACAATGCTGAGCAACATCTTTGTGTATTTAGCTTGTGGTATGAACTGTCATCACAAATGTCAAAAACATGTTGCAAATTTGTGTGGAATTAATCAAAAAGCATTTTCTGAAGCCCTTGGACAAGCTAATGTAAGTGGATATTTATGTAAATATATGGTCCCAAGTTGTATACAATAGATAAAGCTAGTTGTATATCGCTGGGATGGTAGTATTTGCATACCAGGTATAGACCATCAGTAGCAACATTATTTAGCAAGATTAAAACAAGTAATCAAGCACTGTTGTTTCATTATCACAGGCTGATAAACAAAGACGACTGAGTCAGTTGCCACCATCACCCACCCATGAATCCTCTGCTCCATCAGTTGCAAGTTTCGACGACGCAATCTTGGAGAAACAATACGAAAAGATAGCTGATGAATACGAGGAAATGTGGCAGGCTGAGGCACCGAGGCCTCCACCGAGATCAAGTAGTGTTAGCAAACCTAGCAAGAAATACACGCTGCAAGATTTCACGTTTCTTAAAGTACTTGGTAAAGGAAGCTTTGGAAAGGTGAGGCAAATAACTTATCTTTTTTTTAGCACTTTGAATCATGCTCTTAAATCAAATTGCTTTAACAGCTGTAGCAATAGCATTACAGATGTAATGTTGATGTTCTTCATTCACTGCTTGTGGACGAGAAACCAAACTCGTTCATGAGTCGTCCTTTTATATCATTTTACTCTGCCTAACATTCATATACAAAATGACGTGATAGTGATGGTGCTACTCTGCACTACGAACCGGGAAAGCTAAAAAAAATAGCTTGACTACGGTGGGACATCAACATGTTGCAGAGATCACCTTATTCCCAGGTCAACTATATCTGACATACTGTTAGTCAAGCCTTTGTCATTGATATTGTTTATTTTTTAACCAGGTCCTGTTATCAGAATTAAAAAGCACCGGTCAAGTATTCGCTATCAAGGCTTTGAAAAAAGATGTTGTTTTAGAAGATGACGATGTGGAATGCACAATGATTGAGAGAAGAGTTCTGAGCATCGCAAGTCGACATCCATTTTTAACTTCCATCATTTGTGCCTTCCAGTCCAAGGTACTAAGAAGTCTAGTCTGCAAACGTATAACAAGGAGATGGTGGAAACGTTTTTAAGTTTTAACCTGTCATTTTTGTTGCAGGAACACTTATTCTTTGTCATGGAATACGTGAATGGAGGTGATCTCATGTTCCACATCCAAGTTGCGGGCAAGTTTGATAACTATCGTTCATGGTGAGTGTTGAAATGTTGAACCTAACGCAGGTGTAATAAAGTTGAGTAGTCAGCTGTAACTATCATGCTTTATTTTTTCCAGTTTCTATACTGCTGAAATTGTTTGTGGCTTGGAGTTCCTACATAGTCTTGGAATCATATATAGGTCAGTCTATCATTGATCGAAGTTAAACTTTCCTTGGTAAATTAAAAAACCTATAATGAAATGCAAACTGCTTGCAGACTTTTATCGGTTTGACAATGATGTTTTCGTTGTCTTGATTGTACTTCATTGTCTTGCAGAGATTTAAAATTGGACAATGTTTTAATGGACTCAAAAGGTCACATAAAGATCGCTGACTTCGGCATGTGCAAGGAGAAAATACTGGATGGAAACAAAACGTCAACATTTTGTGGCACTCCAGATTATATTGCGCCAGAGGTTTGCCTTTATTCTTGTTATATATGATCACATCTTGCTATGAAACTTTAATTTTATTGTTGATTTTTTGGAATTTTTCCTCGGCCCGACACAAGATACATGAGAGTTAGTAGGACGAAGGCCCTCAGGTCGAAACGTCGAGAAGTGCTTTGTCTATTTAGGCAGTTGTTATACCACATTTGATGCTAAGTTGTTCGAAGACGCTGCCACGCTGCTCCTTGGTTATCTTGGAAAAAGATACATGAACATTATTTTCGAAAGGCGCATGCGCGAGTAATATGGAGTGAAATAAAATGTTCCGTCGTCGTAGTTTACCTTTATCTTTTGTTTTAGATTTTGAAAGGTCAAAAATACGATGCTTCAGTGGACTGGTGGTCACTTGGTGTTTTGCTCTATGAAATGTTGATTGGGCAGGTTAGCAAATAATACTCATCATATTAATATGACATTCACAAATGGCGAATAACTGAGACTTTAATAACTAAGTTGAAAGAAATAAGGTCGCTAAAATCGGAACTGTGCTTGAGTGCGTGAATAAAAATTTGGATTTTTCTGTGCAAGTAGATATGTAAATATTAAGCTAAATTTGATAGATTTTAAGGTAATAACTTCTAATGTTTCTTTACTGAGAGTTATATATTACAAATTAATCTGGTTACCTTTAGTCTCCGTTTGCTGGCGAGGATGAAGAAGATCTTTTTGATTCGATATGTCGTGATAAAGTTCATTATCCAAAGTGGATCTCACAAAGTGCCGTATCTTGTATGGTCCAGGTAAGATTGGGGTCATTCAGTGACTTCACTTCTAACGTATTCAACTTCTGACGTATTCAATTGCATTATCCTGAATTTTTTCGTATTGACGTGATCTAATCGTACGACTTCTATATGCTGTATCATTGTCCTTTACCAGCGGATGATTTGATGTAATATTAAGCGACACAAACTCCGAATATAACACCATCTTGCAAACTCAAGATTTGAGTTATTAAACTTAAGCTTGCTACCATGTCCTCCCAGGACTGACAACCTGATCTTGCTACAAACTTCTTCTTAACGTCCCAGGGACGAACAGAACTGAACAGCTTTTCCCAGGGTTTTCTCTCACACTAGAAAGGATTTGGCATTTTATGATCAATTTCGCATTGCAATAAAGTCGTCAAAGGCATCACACAATCTAGAAGCAAATTGAAACGAAGATTGCTGAAATATGAGATTTTAGGAAAGTTAACCCTAAAAGCCATGCAATAACGTCGCATGCGCCTATAAATGTTTTCAGTTGTTGGAGCGTAACGTTGGCGACAGACTTGGTTACAAAGAGGGCAGCAATGGAAATATACGAAAACACGAGTTTTTCTCCAAACTGAATTGGAGACAGTTAGAAGCAAGACAAATTGAAGCTCCGTTTAAACCAAGCATTGTAAGTATTTTTTTTCTACGCTAGTGTTTTACATTCGCATTTTCGTGAATGTGATAAAAAGGTATTTGAGTATATTAGTTTTGTTTTTGTTTGTACTCGATGTTTAATAACTTTTTTCTGCACTTATACTGTTCTTTGCGATCGTTTACACAAGAAACTGCTTCGTTTATGCCCGATTCTTCTTCATACCTTTCCCAACACTTGTATTTCGTTCTCAACAGCGTTCACCACGAGATGTAGAATATTTTGATGCCGACTTCACTGCTGAAGCGCCTAAACTAACGCCCACAGACAAAGCTTTACTGGCTTCTATTGATCAGATTCAATTCAAAGGCTTTTCATATGTCAATCAGCATTTTAACCGTGATTCTTAGTAATATGTAAGTGACTGAAGACCATGTTGTGATTTTATATATACAGATATCTATCATACGCTCTGACTTTTATCGTAATGCTTGATGTAGACTATTCACAATTAGTTTGCTATCAGTATGGAAAATTATGTAATTATAGACTAATCGCAGGGCTGTCACACGCACCTTGGTTTTGGTTTAACTTAAGAAAAGGGTATTTATGGCATAAATTATGCACAATCATGTGACTCGCGCAGGCGCTGTTTGAACTATGACGACACCAGGCCATTGCACCAGGCTGCGTCCATTCGGCTTGATGATGATGTGAAGTTAAGAAGCCGTGAAACATTTAACAACTTGCAGTTGTGTGATTGTTATATATTTATTGAATAACCACTTTGAAATATTAGTCAAAACCAAAAAGTTCGCCAAGAAATTCACCGCGAGTTGCAACGAAATTTCAGACACAAAATCATGTTGTGGTAATATCAACGAACCTTAGCGATATTTTTCGTACTAAACATGCTACTAAAGAGGGCGATAGAAACCAGTGAAATGATAGAACCCCGTGCTTAACCGTGATTAAAAGAACTATCCGAATCTCTATTCTAATCTACCCATGAAACGATTTTTTGTCGTTGTTCGAAGGTCACTATATACATGAAGCATCAAAGAGGATATTCAACTAAAGCATATACATGTATCAGACGTATAGTTTCTTTGGCATCCGTAGAGAGCATAGTGAAAAATACTGATTTTATGGAGATTTTTTATACAGTTTTATTCTTATTACAAGTATATATAGAAATGTTTATGAACTATGACGTCACTTTACCAGAGCGCTTTTCTTGACTAAAATGGTCAGACTATTTTGACACCGGTAAACGGAGAATAGAAACTTTATTTTCGATATTTTTGAAATGCTCGGTCCTTATACTAAAACAACCAGTAATCTGTCTATACAGAAATTGAAATACATTAGGGCCAGTCGCGGGCCATTTTTACTGTAACAGGAAAGCGTCCCTAGTAAAGTTGCTTAGATATAGATTATCACTTTTTCTACCGTTATGTTCCTTCAGATTTATAACGTATATAACTATTGCCCTTTTTATTATAGTCTTAGGAATCATAGATAAATAAAAGTTAACGAATTAAAAAATCAGTTGTTTTTGTATATTGTCACTTAATGGTATATGTATGGTGATTAGTGTTTTGTTTCGAGTTGTCACTTTAGTTGAATATATTAGCTAAACACGGTAATTAGTGCTACCAGGAGAACAAAGACAAACAACCCAAGTTTGTTTGTTTCGAGCTCATTTCCGACATGCTATTTATAGGTCTTACACCCTGTTTAACGATCGTACGCATGGTTAAGAAAGTTACCAACTCGGGATGTCGTCATACCCTTGTATAGAGTAGCATCAAATATGTCTTTTCAAATAAACCGGCGATAAGGCTTTAGACCATATACCTTTTTAGACAGACGTTAGATGTCTCAATTATTGGACGGAACAATTTTCCTGGACCCTGTCTGGACGAATTTACGCAAATTATAAATATAGTCCTGGTGATATTTTAGTTGTGTAAAAATCAATGGTTTTGACAAACTTTTCCATACATATAATCCGTATACATTTTCGACGTCTTTATCCATACATGTAATCCGTCTTTTAGTAGTTTAAAAGCTTTTACTAAAGGTTCCACTCGCACTAAAATAGTACACCTTACTGTTTTCAAGGCATATCTATTTTTTATTGGCTGGCGCGAGGCCCTTTATTTTCTCAAGCCAAGAAAACATTACTTTGCTAAACACCATTTGTTTGGTTTAGTTGAAAGATACGTACGTAAATATTGAAAATGTTTGCCCAATGAGCTACTCTGTTTAGGGACGGGTTTTTTCCTGTACAGGTGTGGTATTTAGTTAAACTTAGTTAAAAATCTGATTTGAATTGTCAAACTAGGTTTAAATTTTGAATCAAGTTGTGATAAGAATGCAACTCGTATGCTAAGCTTTCATTTAATCGTAGGACTTGAGTTTTTACAGTTTGTCGGCAGAACTCCGTTATTTCGTTTAATTATCTGCCAAAGGTAAATGCGGAGTTCAAATCTTCAGGTCTTTGCAATGTCTTTCTTACCATCTTGACGTTGCTCTGATAAGATAACACACAGCTATAATTAAATGAAATTATTAGGTTATTTGAAGGCCGACAATAGTCTTACAAAGCCTAATCTCACAAATTAGAAACAATTAGCATTTTTAGCATTATTTGTAAAGAGAAGTATCGGAATGCTGCGTTATTTCGTAACTTTCGTTCTGCTTTGCTTTTGACAGTCCATTTATTACTTGAAGTATGAGGCGCGATAATCTGAGTTAACTAGCCTAGCCCTAGGTGGGCTAAATTTGATAGTAGGTATTAGTTGAAACAGTTATTAGACCCTTTCAGTTTGGGCTGCTTTGCCTGGTGCTAAGACTAGGTGCTATGAAAAGTTTTAAACTTGAAAATCCTTGCAAATATTTTGTGCGGCAGGAACAATTTAAGAAACCAATCGATATCAATGATGACGATTGGGGATTATGCAAAAACGAAAAAAAAGCTTTATGCTGATAATATCTGAGGTTTATCGTCTTTATCGATCACTCAAAAGCAAATTGATCTCGTGTTTCTATATTAACTGGTAGATAATTTAACTCTTGTGTCACTTTATTAACGCTATGTTGTTGCAATGTGTCCAGGCGATGCGTGTGATAAACCATTTCTAAAAATACTCTACCCCTTCAATAAAAACATGTTATGGCATGAAAAGACGTGGACGTATCCATGAAGTAACACTTCACATATGCAGCATCGGTTGCCTTTGTGTGTGGCTTGTCATTGTGTCAAAAGCTGATAATTTATACTGCTATACTTTCCTTATTTAATACCTTGTGATGGCACGTGAATTGAAATGTAAACCCATTTTTAAACAAAAGCCGGTCACGCCTCTGATTGGTCGTTTGCAAAAATACCGCGTTCTAATTGGCCAATTTTAATTGCCATGACAGACAAGCGCAGGGTATTTCTGCCGCCGGGAAAAGTCATGAAATCAATCAAATCATAACATCGCATCACTCCGAGCGGATTAAACCATAGAAAAGATCGATTTTCAGCCTGGCAACTGTTTCAACGAGAAGAAGCTAGTTGGGTTTGCTCATTTGGTGCTTTTGAAGCTGTAGGTAAGTTAGAATTTATGTATTTGTATTGGATTCCTTCGCGGGCTTTCGCGGCAGTTCTGCAAAGTTGGTGTGTTATCGCAAGGTCTTATATTTCAGCGCTGAAGTTCGGCCAAATTCTCCGCATTTCTGAGGATTTTCATTGCGTTTTTTCATCCCCTGTTATTACACGAAAGTGTTTACAAACTCTTTGGTTTTCTACCATCCATAATTCATTTTTCCACATGGAATAATTACACTAGAAGTTATGAATATTCTGATACATCACACTCGAAGCTTAACTACCGCTGCTGTGCTGTCAAGTGCAGTGCGAAGACGAAACGCGTATTCCCCAGAGATGCGGCGATAAATTCGATTTGTATGTTTTCCAGGTATATTCTATGTGTTTTATGTTTAGTATTGCGTAGCTAGATGTGTGTTTCTTGTTCTCGAAATGTTTCACTAACTTTCGTGCTTACTTATAATTTGGCGAAAAATGTAAACATTAGTCAATATAGCTTATCCTTGTAAATGATTGAATTTCAAACCGCTGGCGTATGTGGGCAAATTCTTAGGTTTTCCATGTTGTAAAAAAACAACGTTTGCGTCCTTTAATAAAGTAAGGTCTCAATTTGATATTATATTGTAGGTATATATATACACATATAATTTTCGGTCTAATTATAACTGAGTTGCATTGGGCCCTGTATGTGTCATATTTAAAGTCTTCTCGTGTATTTTAACACTTTTGCATTGCTGGGAAAAGGAATGTTTAGCTGTGTTTGTGACGACTTGTTATCACAGGAAATCGCATTAGGTCTCAACTATTTTTATTCGCTTTTGACTGCCGAAATTCGAAAGGGAATTCAGGTTATTAAACACAAGGATCCCGAATTGTTCTATCAATTTTTGTTAGAATGTTGCCTTTGCAGTTTTGACTTGCATGTACCGTAGATAATTCAAAAAATAGTGCGTGTCCTTAAATGGATACTTTAAAGATGCTGTTTGTTTAGTTCAAGTTTTAGTCTGTTTCAAGTTGATTGTTTCAGGGTCTACTTATCAATAATTGTCAGTGAATACCCGCAGACGTTTGATCAGGTTAAGCATATATACTTGCTATAGCATGTCTCTAGTCTACCGATAAAACTCTTCCTATCTAGTAGGCTTTTTCGTCCATTTTAGCTTTTCGGTCTCGCATAAGGAAGTGCCTTTCATAAATTTTTCTTTGTTTGTTAATGATTTGTTTTGCATTTAGATAAAACTTTACTAGTTATACACCATCCAAAAATTTGCATATGAATAGTAATAGAATATTAAAGACTTTTAAACTACACGTATCGCTAAATTGTCACCAGCTTTTGTCAGTTCAAATCAATGGTTGAAGAACGTTTAAAAGTAAAAGGGCTGGAAAAAGATTTTAAAATGGTCAAATAAGGTAGTAGAGCTTCGTGCGTGCGTGCGTGCTATCAGAATAGCTTCATATCAGAGATTTTACTGTCAATTCCTGGCTGTTCATTAACTAAACAAGTTTGATATAAACTTTGGCCTTTGCCCAAAATTGAATGATTAAATACATTGTATTAGTATGTATTTTAGTAAATTATATGTGATTGGATTTAGCTATAATAATCTGACAATTTTCCTTTGAGTGAAGAAGTTATGCTTTTCTTACTGTGTAACTTCTTTAGGCAACTAGTGAATTAGGCAAACTAAGTAATTGACATGATTTGTTTTATATATAAATAGTAGCTGTTCACACTAACTTAGGAACACAATGACAACTTTGATGTCAGGCTTAAGATACCAAGTCCCTGATGTTCTCTTCCTCAGATAGTTTTACCTATTTATATCTGATCAGCAACCCTCCAATGACTACTTGAATTACCTGGTTATGGACAATTGGTCGAATGGGAACCCAACAATGTTGGAGGGCACTCTCTTGTAGAAAATGCCTCTTTAATCAAGAATGAAATATAACAGTTTAATTCATTTCAGGTCATCTGTTGAATTCCCATTCTTCAATGGCATCTTTTAAAAAGCAAAAGACTGTCAAAAAGAGTGAAAGCTGTCCACAAAAAAATGTCAGGAGAAGTGAAAGCTGCCAGAGATATTGTACTCGGTCATATGTCAAAGAACAAATGAATGCTTTTGAATATGCTAATGATATGGGTCCATTAATTGGCTTATTACCAGTGGAAATGTTGACAAATATTCTTTCCTTCCTTGATGCACCCTCATTAGCATGTCTTGGAGCAACATGTAAAACTTTGTATGGGTATTGTAATGAAATGTGGAAGCCACTTTGTAGCCGACTAAATCTTGAACGTCAACCAACCATTTTGTGTGTTCCAAAACCTCTACGGTCTGACTCAATATATAACTATGACAATGCAGTGGAACTTTGTATCAGTAAAAAACGCTATAAGATATCTGCCATCAGAAATTGGTTGTTCTCAAGATGGAGGTGTGTCGTATGTTACAGAAATGGCTCCCAACGTATTGATATGCATGTTGATGTTACATTATGTGAGACTTGTCATTCCTTATTTTATCGTCGCAAATGTCATGCAAAGGTAGGCAATGACTTTATTTTTTTTTTAGTATTTTGCAAATTTGATTTATGTCTATCTATAGTTGTAATTTAGCTATATTGTAGTACTCAGATTTGACTACCATAGTCACGTAAATAACTCAATAAATGGAGATTGGCTGGCTTTCCCCTGTGATTTTAGGTATTCTTTAGGTAGTCTGGTCATGATAATAAAGTCCATTTGTAGTCCCACTATGTACATTATATATTTGATTTTATTATGCAAACTTGTTGAAAAATGTTGGGTGCTTGTAAAATAATCCTCATGCTGTTTAAAGATATTTATATTATTATTTTTTCTGTTATAGGAGCAATTCAGCTTAACAGATAAAGATTTAAGAATCATTGATAGTGAATCCTATGAGTTCCTTGTCTCTGATCTCACAACCATAGCTCGGGCAAAGTACGGTGGTAAAGATGGTTTGAAACAGAGATTAGAGGATAGGAAGCAACAAAAAGAGAAGCGTGAATCTGACAAGCAGTGTTCATTGGTATTTAGAGAAAGTCAAGTTGTTTCTGCTCTGTATCGACAAGGTAGTTCTTATGAGGCTATCTCAGTTGTGGATTCCCGTTGCATGCCTTATGTTGGTAACCCCCCTACTCATCCAGATATACTGCAGCAGAATGCAGATGATGCAGCCAAGTGGTTGATCTCTTGCAAGAACAGACAAGAAACGAGATATAAAACACTTGTGGACGAAATCAAAGTTCGGTCTGGTAGATGCAAAGGATGCCAAGCCAGAGTTGATTACAGGTAACAGTGTGACATGGATGTTCTGACACCTGTGAATATAACTCTTCTTATGATTTATTTTAATCTTTTAACTGATTATTTTAGACTTGCTCCCCATGGAACAAAATGCCCCCATATTACTCCTGCTGAAGCAATGAAGAGAATGAGTTCAATACAAGAGAAATTTAAAGAAGATATTGCCCATTACAGTAAACATGGCTTGCTATACCTTGAATCAGGCCCATATGACATAGAAGAGAAGTCTGCCCAGGAGTTGATGAACAGACATGATAGGATGTGTAAGTTACAGAAGGAATTGGACGAAAGAAAAAGTAGCTGGCCAGATATTTTTTATGGTAAGAGGCTTTGTTTTCTTATTGCATTGGTAGTATATATATCTTCATATGGGACCTGGCAAAGTCAATCCCATAGAAATCATAAGGAGATAGATAATCTATCATTTAGTTGTGCACTTCCTTCGATTTTTTAACTGATTGTGCGACTGTGCGTGGTTTGTTAGTGCTGTTCTCACTACTAAGCTACGGAGATGTTGTGTATTGGTGTATGTAAAAATTCATTTACATATCATATGTACTATGTAATAGTGTTCGGGGATGTGTGAATTTTTTTACAAATGCCTGTAATTGTGAACAAAATGAATACCTTTCTAACTTCAGGAGACAAAGATCCAATGTTGAGTCAATGCTCGCAAGATTTCATTTACAAAGGTGTTGCTCACTTGGAGAACAAAGGCGCGCGATTTCAACTGAGAAAAGCAGTAGATGTCGCTCGAGTCATTATTACTACGGCGAATGGTTGGGATGGCAGAAAGAAAGAGATTACTCAAACGCTTGCTGACAGAGGAATAACAACAGCAACCAAGAGTCTAAAACTACAAAGTCAAATGTTGGTCGATGACTTCATCGAAAATTCTGTTGTGGTACGTTCGTTTATCTTTACTGTAACTAGTGAGAATGGTGATTTTATAGGGAGCACTGCTCATCTGGCCAAGATCCTAGGTTCACCACATGGCACATGCACGCAAATACTCCAAAACTTGAGAAGAGAGTGCTTTGGTAATCTGTGGCTTTGGGAAGAAAGTAGATGATAGAATCAAAGCTGGAACTAGACTATCCATCTGCTTGCGTACTGGACCAGGACCTAAGAAGCCAGTAAACGCACTCGATATTTTTTCGTGTTCACTGGCTAGTTCCAGCTCCGGATCAATTTTCTACCCCGCGACCTAATTAATAGCTTCAATGTTTTCTTCTGCCTATAGGTTCGAGGTGAACATATCATCGCGTGCTGTGCTAAAGAAATTGCAGAAAAAGTTTCCATAATTGAAGGTCACGAGAAAGAGCAGCCATCTTCTGTTGCATTGCGTTGTTCCAGAATTTATTCCGAGTGTAACCCTAAACCAGGTAACGTGACTTTGAAGTCTTCAGGCTACGAATCTTAAAAACGATTTCTAATAATTGCAACACGTGGCTTATTCTTAAACGTGCCACTATCGCAGTTCTACTTGGTTGCTCGTTCCAACTCACTCCTTGACTGACGTGTTTTTTTCCTTACCAGATTTTAAACAATTACAATCGCAAAGAAAGAAGGAATTGTTGAGTTGTCTAAATAACTGTATGAATGTGAAGTCTTATGAAGAACTTGGTTCCAGCAATAATCCCTGTCAACGAGCTGCATCTGATTTCATTAATTGGTAGGTCTTCGCCATTCTAATTACGAAAGCTTTACTAGTTTCTGTTAACTTTGCGAAACTGCGACTCTCTCTATCTATCTATCTGGGGCCAGTTGGCCCAGTTCTATAAGACTAGTTAACTTTTAACTGTAGTTAGGACAGAATTGGCCAACCAGATTTGTGTATTTCTGAGTTAACTAGGATTTAACTATGCAAAACATAGTTAAGGAGTTTTATTATACAACCAGCTCCTGAACTAAAAAAATCATTGCATTGCGTTGGTCACAGTGTAAAATATTAAGACTGCATGGGGAGGGGGGTGTTGTTCCAATTCAGCCTCGTATCTAGACGTTTTATTGCAAATCCTTTCCTCGTTTTGATTTTGTGATATAACTCGTCTAAAAGCAATAATTGTTTTTTTAGCGGAACGACGACATCATTATTTGGGTACAAGATTAACACGCCAAATTCTGTAGCTGTATTAATCAAACTGAAACAGCAAATATTTGCAGATAAAGAAAAACGACCCTATGCATCTGCTGTTTGCTAGCACAGAATAACATGCGACATGAAAATATGAAAAATATCACGAAGAAATTCATACCAGTGGAAAGATTGCATTTAGAAAGATTTCGAGGAATTCACTATGAAAGATGATTTCGAGGAATTCACTATGAAGAGACTTGGCTGAGAAGAAAGTAAGTTTTTTTCTCCAGTTCAACGTTGTTGTACCCTGGAAAAATATACTGGTGCATGGTCAAAACATTAAACCAACCTTCAGTTCTGAGGACAGCAAGACTGCAGCCGGTTTCTTAAAACTTTCCCTAATTATGGGTAGAATAACTTCGCTTCCTAAGTTATATACGTATTTCCTTTTTTACACCGAATAGCGGAATACTGCATTTAAACTATAGTGAAAATAACTTTACCTTTTGATTTCTATTCGTTGTCTATCACTTGCTATAGTGAGTTGTTCCTAGTTATACATGATTATCCACAAACTCTCACTCGTTGATTATTTGCTCTAGTTAGGAAATAATTATAGACACGTTTTAAAATTTAATCTAACTCAGTGTTCACATTTTACGGAAGAATATTTTAAAGTTGGTATTATGGTAAATATATTAGGCTATTATTAGGTAAATATATTAGGCTATTATAAAAACACAAATTATCTTTACCAGATTAGATACAAAATGAATTATGATAAATTTATTATTAAATGTAATATATTTTCATCCTAACTATTGATTCATGTTATTAAATAGCTTTGTTTTCAGAAATTATACGGTTGATTGAAAATCCTGATAGAATTTGACAGCCTAAGATAACTATTCAGTAAATCATTCCTTTGTTTTCGCCCATTGGGAAAAGATTGATTTAACAGTTCCCTTCAAAGTTTATTTGATATAACCCAGGGCACCATTCCGCAAAACCTTGCTGCGTGCAACGCTCGCTGATGTTTCTTATTATGACCAGCTTAGAACGAGTATAGGAACTTGTTATAGGCCGACATAAATTGACTTGGGTCTTCCAAATGAGGATAGTGACCAATGTTTTCTTCCAAGACTGTTATGCCATGCTGAGGTATCACTTCTCTGGAAAATAAAAGATTGAATCCTGTTGGATGGCATAAAAAATATTATATATGAACAATAGATTCTGCGGCGTAGGACGAGTCAAAATAAAAAACAGAAAGTAGAATATATAAAACATTAAAATGTTGATCAAAAGTCTAAAGACATTTTCTACACGTGATTTTTACCCTCTAACAGAGCTAGTTCCGTAAATTACAATTAAAACAAACGTCGACGTTTTAAACTCATATTTATTACATTCACGTACTTGAATCTTTTTGCAAACACCGGAGGATTGACGGGATCTGCTGGACCATAAATGAAATGGACTAAAAACACAAATATGTGATCTTTACCCTTTTATTCGGTCTTGAAACATTTTTAAAATAAACTTTGTAAAGTTCTTCTACCAGTACTATAGGTACGAGCCAATACAATGTGTTTGCGTCGTTTATAAAAAATGAATGTTTCCAGGCATTACCTGGAATAACAGTTTTTTGAAGACTACCAACCCATCTGTCCTGATATATTTGTCTCTCTTTAATATAACCTAGAATGCTAAACGATATACCAATATACTGGATTTCATAAGCGTTCGAGGTGACGGGGGGGGGGTGTTAACCCATTCGGCAGGGTTGGTATCAGGCGTACAGACCAAATTTTTTGCCTGTACTGCTACGGTATATTATGGGGTTTTTGCACTTTTTGTTTTTCCACTGGGGCAAGGTAATTTACGTGATCCAATGACACTGCGGAATTTCTTATTCGCAAGAGCAAAATTCTCCTAGGATGTATAGAAACTTTAGGAGTTCGAAATATACAATATTGCTAGGATCGTAACCCCTCCTGCAGGCTGCAGTAATCTTAGGCCCCGTTCACACCGGACCGGAATCCCGTTTTATTGGAACAGGTCAAATTTTGAAGTTAATGATCACTAACTCTCATGACGAAGGCCCTCAGGTCGAAACGTCGAGAAGTGTTTTGTCTATTTTAGGCAGTTGTTATACCACATTTGATGCTAAGTTTAATAAAAGACGGTGAAGTATTTTAATGTCCGAGCCCGGATTTACAAAATCTTATCTATCAAATTGATAAGCATTTGCTAATCATGGTTGCTTCATAACGGCGAACGAAGATGTTGTGACGAGCGAATCCGGTACTGTGTGAACGCGGCCTTAAAAGCCACAGAGAAAGTTGCTTGTTGGAATAGCGAAAATGTGACTAATATCGTGGATTGCTGTTAAGAGCTTACTTTGGATGCAAAAGATTTCCATCCTTGAATCGTATTCCAACAAAATGATCGTTCAATTCCTCCTGGGTTGGTTGTGTGCCTGGTCCAAACACCGCAGAGAAACTAAGGTAACATGTACTGATTGTAGTGAGACAAATCAATGTATAGAGATTCCACACAACTTAAATATTCCCTTTGAAAGAAAGCTTTAGTTGGATTTGAAACCTTTTAACAAGACCGTAGTATAGCAATCAGGCAAATTCAAACAAAAGCATGATTTCAAAAGGATATTCCTTGGACTAACCTCTTAGCAAAAATGTAGCGGTTTGCAAGCCGAGTGGCCAAAGAGCCAATCCAGGGGTACAGAAGCAGCTTAGAAATGTTGATTTTTTGGCTTTAGTATTGATAGAATAAATGAATTTAAATAAATACACCAAATGCATTTATATGTAGAATTACCTTCTGAATGGGTCTTGGAAAATGATAACCAGGAAAAAGACCTAATCAAAAATTAAATTAATGGACTTAAGGTTCTATCATGAACTCTAGCTGTCTCTTAGGTCATAACACTTTCTAATTTTTTTTACCTCCATTAGTTAAACACAAGCTGATTATGTTGACTCCCTCGTGTTTCATTTTTTTCCCCTTTCTTTCTTCATATCTGCATGTGTTATAACTTAGAGTTAGAACAAGTTAAGGAGATGATCCATAAATGCTTTTAAACAAAGTATATTTTAGTAGTTAGTACACTTCATTATTACTCAATCAAAGAAGCACATACTGACATACCTTGCCAGGAGCTCCAGGGCAACAGTAAGTCCCAAATCATGTGCTATTATGTTGACCTCTTTCACATTCATTGAAGTCAGTAAATCTTCAAACATATTAGCTTGTAATTTCACCGTATAGTTTGTCTCTTTCTGAAGATTTATTGTATTCACACATTAGCATTTATACATCAATTAGTATCATAACCAAGTTTCTCTGCATTTTTGTTACAATAATACTTACAGGTTTATCACTAAATCCAAAGCCCTGCATATCAGCTGCAATTAATCGACCAAATTTTTCTCTTAGTGGCTCCCACACCTTAATAAATCAGAAAATTATAAACACAAAAGGTTCCTTCCAATGAGAGTGCAAATAAGAGTTCCTTCCAATAGATGAACAAGGTATAGGTGTGACAGATGTTAGCATACTATTACAGTCATTGTATATATGTACCTTATTCCAATCATAACTACTTGTTGGAAAACCATGGATGAGAAGTAAGACTTTATCTTTATGGCCATAACCATTGACATCTAAATTATTGGGTAAGGTTTTCTGGTACTTGCAACAAGTGATGAAGAATAACTGAAGATGGGGGAATTTGGTTGCTTATGAGCAGCCTCATAACTCCAATGAATCCAGGTGCTATTACTGCTATATAGAGATCTGTGACTATTACAGAGAGCATATGCCTGGTGGTTCAGTGGTGGTGCTTGGTAAAAGAGCCTGGCTTGGTAAACAGCTATTTCTTCTCTAAAAGGCCCTTTTACACATGCAATTTTTTATTTTCTCCATTTGATAAATGGAAACGAGTGAGTAGTCATGAAAGCTCTGATCTATAAGTGCCCTTTATATGTGAACATAAGTAACTTATCCAATATTGATATAGTTGATATACTTCAAAAGTGTGTATATAACTAGTTGTGCAAACTTATATTGCTGATATTGGCTTTTTACTTTAATATGAATATTTAGTAGTTATAAACCAAACCTTTGTAGAATATTTTTATACCCTGACCATCATGGCCATGTAAAAAGAATTGCCCACTCTGCACCCAGAGTCGTAATTCATCTGACATTTTAGGCGGAGGGTAATTTAAATATACTCCAATAAATACTGCAATTCCAACGAGCACAAGCCTTTTAAAAACGCTAAAAAGAAAACCCATTTTCGAGCACGTATTTTTTGTTGTATTTTTCTTTGTTTACAACAAGTTGTCGTAGGAATATCGGAATGTTTTCGTAATATCGTGAATGCCTCGGTACAAACTCGGTGTCTCGTCACAGATAGAAATTTGTCATTCCAGTTGATTAATTGAGATCAGCGTCATTTCCATGGCAGAGCTTGGTAACCGTTCAAACAATTTCTGTTGCAAAAGCAGAATTCAAAATGTCGATGGGTCGAAGAGTGCCCAAGAAGAAAGATGATGTATGTTTTTTATCACTTTTCTTGTTTAGCGACTGTATTTTAAACTTCTTAAAGTGAAAACGTTTCGTCTCACCTAGATCTTCAATAAAAAAATACCAGAAAATCCGAAATATAAGCATATCAGACACACGGTTGATACAGGTAATTAATAAATTTATTTGAATTTAATATATATTTGATTTCGTTATTCATTATCATACCAGTTTTACTGTAGACCTGTGTTGTTTATTGAGTACCTTATGAATCTCAGCTTAACTCTGTCATAAGTTTAATGAAGCTATAAAGTTGTGTTTGTTTTTCTACACGGGCTTTGTTGCGATGTTTGTCCATTATTTCCAATTTGTCTATCGTTTGTTTGGTTTATGTTGTGGCCCACCTAATTATAATTTATTTGAGGGCGACTGCTTTTTAAAAGTTTGGAACAGCTGATACGTAAACACGCTGACACAGCTAAATAAGTGATGTCAAAGGATAGTGTTTACATTCTTTGAAATTATTGTTTGGGAATTTGCATAGAAATAATGATATCTATATTTATTTTATTGGATTTTGTTTCCTAGATATCTATTATTTCTATGGGATTTTGTTTCCTGTTTCTAGGGTCCAGTATTACAAGGCATAATGAAAAGGTTGAACTGATAAAGAAAAGTATGTGGTATCTTTTTTAAAAATATATGTGTGATTGAGACAATTTTCTTTTTTTCATATTTTTCTGTATATTTTAAGATTACAAGTACAGAAATGATGAAATATTTAAAAGAATGAAAGTTAACACTTTTGCACAATTGGTATGTTAAAAAATGTCACACAGAATATTACTGTAATGAGGATGTAGCTTCTAGCTCTAAGACAAAACTCATATTATGATAATCATTCCATAAATTTTAGTAATTTGTTAAAGAATCAAATTCCTATGGTTTTTAGGTGTTGCAAGTTGCAGATGTTATCTATCTGGAAAATGAAAGAGATGACCTTTCTACATCTGGAGGTACAAATAAACATTAGCATTAAAGGATGAGAAAATGAACAACTGCCTGCTGTCTATGTTGTTTGGGATTTTTTTCGAAAAGCCCTACCTCTTTGGGATTTTATTGTTGCCATTAACTTTCAATGAAAATTCAAATACACTTCCCTACCATCAATGTTATTTTTGCACTCAAATCCTAATTATCTTCTGCACTATGGTCACTTGCTCTATCTTTTAGTAAGTATCAACTATGACAATGAAACACCAGCCAGTGAGGAAAGGGGGGTTGAAAGTGCCAATGAAAATGTACCACCACTAAACTTACCACCAGATGAAACTGCTAGACACAAGACAGGTTCAACTGTTGGTACAGATACATCAAGATCTACACTACAGGAGTATGTTAATAAGATCTCTTTAATATGGAAATATTGCCTCTGTGATGATTTAGTTTTACTACTAATCTTTTATATAATCCTTTTGTAATTTATAATCTTTTGTAATTGTATATAATCCTTAATTTAGTTTAATTCGAGGTGTTGGAGAATTTGATCTTAAGACCCAAGACGAAGAACATGAGAACAATGTTGATTTTATGTCAGCACGATCAACTCAATCTACTGTTGTGGCACCTGATTTTCACTCTTTACCCTATCTTTTATTGGATATAAGAAAAGCAACAGATGAATTTGATCAATCACACATTATTGGAGGTATGAAAGTATAGAACAGACTAATTACCAACAAAAAAGTTTAGTTTACAAAACCATCTAGCCTTTGAGTAGTATAGAGGCCCATGATTTTACCTGGATATTTTGTTTCATACACTAGCTGGTATATTGGTGATTAGAATGTTGTGGATGGGTGGGTGTGTGTAAAAAATGTAACTAGGCATTGCATGGTACAATATATGGAACTAAATTTGTTCAGTACAATAAACTAAATAGTATTATTTTCCTTTATTTTAGCCACTAATTATGATAGGGCAAATTTATCAAAGACAATGAATTGGTGCACAGAGGAATTATCATCTTTCGTATCCTTTTCTTTAAAATTAATAATTTGCGTCTGTCAATCACGACTAAATAACAAATGAAGAAGGGTTCCATAGAGACTTCAATTTTTATTTCCTCCAAATAAAAAACGGTGCTGTTAATTTCTTAACGTAACTTCAGAAAAGCAAAGAAGGTAAAATTATCATTGTTTATGATGAAGACGAAAGATACGCTCCAAATGTTGCAACTACGTTGGTTCAGCGTGATTTTGATAATATTTTTATGTTGTCTGGAGGTAAGTGCTTTCAGCCTTTCCCGCTGTCCCCTTTGACAAAAAGGGAAATGTCCTGGGAAGGAGGTTGAGCCTTTCCTATACCCGACATCACTCAGTCAATCTCGCGGTAATATATAAGAACTATGAAGAACTGAAAAGAATTTCTCGATCATCATTGCCCTGCAGCTGATTTTCTAGAACTTTTAAAAGCGATGAAACTAACATTGGTAGAAAACGTAAAATACTCGTGTTCTATTCCAAAGGTATGAAGGTGTTGAATAAACGTTTTCCCGAGTGTTTTATATCCGGTACCCTACCACAATCCTGCATGCCTTCACCACCACCGACACGACGTGCTACGAAGAAAGTACCTACGAAATTTCTTACACCGGATAATCAACACTGGGAGTTCTTTTCGCGTTATCGTATCCTTTTTCATGCGATTTATACGTTAGGAACCTGGTCCATTCCTAATTTAGAAGAGACGTTTTGTCTTTGTTCTCCTGAAACTAAAACGAACACTCAAACAGTGCTTATGGCTTTTTCAATAGAAGTACGATTTAATAGTTATACACGAGTACACAATCTTTCATTCAATAATAATTAGCATGCATCACATACTCTCATGAATCGTTTAGCATGCATCACAAACTCTCATGAGTACAAAAAATTACATCGATGATTATCTGAAAGCTTATTTCTTTCTGCATGCATTTGTCTAAATAATGATGATCATAAAAGTGACCTTGTTCTAAAACGTCAGAGCACAAAAAAATCAAAAATCATGGCAAGTGTCACCCGTATCGCTATTGAATTTTTTATCGTTTTTGCACCCTCTTTCAAGATGACGGAAAATACCAATCATTATTTATGATAACAGGGATGTATCCAGGGGGGGAGTCTTGGGAGCCGCGGCTCCCCCCTTCGAAAAAATTTGTTGCAAATATATACCTACTTAGAAATGAATTAATTCAATTAAGAAGAATCTACTCAGTCTTTCAAGTATGTTTGTTTTATTCAGTCCGGGCTGAAACTCAGTGTTGACTGTTGTTGTTATGTAAGACAAGTTGAAACTCTAAGCTCACGGCTCCCTCCCCTCCCTTCTTTAAGGTCTGGCTACGTCCCTGTTTAATAAGCAGACAGTTATAAGCAACCTGGTACCAATGAACTGCTATCCTTGAGACGCTATTGTGTTTATATAACCTTAATGTAGTGTCGTAGATTTACAGAAAATGCAGGATTGCTTAAATGAAGAACTATTGAAGCAGGAGAACAGCAGTAAGTTATACAGTACAATGCGTTGTTTTTTTTTCATTCGTCGGTAAATAATATGTTTCACTTAAGAATTATAAAGCTTTAGACGAGCTTTAGTCATTGGACTCAAAAATCTATTCTAATATTAAAAAAATGACGATATTAATTTAAAAAATGACGATATTATGATATTTGACGGGACTTGTGAACACATTTAATCAATAGGTCGTATGAGTTCAAGAGTTTCAAGTCGTTCGTCTGTTGTCAGCTCCAACAGCAGATTATCAACCAGTTCTTCAACGTCCAGCAAAAAACCGTGGAAATAAGCCGGAATCGGTCCTGTGGAATTCAACTGGTATTGTCAATAAAATATATGTGAAGTCATGTACTATGGTGGAACATGACTTACATCTTATTTGAAATGTGTGCATGTACAGAACGAAGAAAGTTGCATGTATAGAATTGATTTCAAGCCTCTTTTTCACAAGACTCAGTATGAAGCCAGGATCAACCTTGGGTACGAGGTTGATGAAGGATCTGAGAAATAATTTGTTGCATATGCAAAATATTGAACGCATATGATATGATATGATGTAATTTGAATTGTATATCAGACCATGTACATTTTTACAAGTTAGATTTACTCGTGTATTATTTCAATTAACAATTTTGTTTTAAATATATTTTGTGATCAAAGGCGGCGTACGGGGACACACATAGTTATATACTGCAAATAACCCCAGTAATTCAATAACTGTCCCTTTTGCACCACACGATCCCTCTTTCCGAGTTTGTGCTAAAACTTCATATAATATCCGGGTTGTCGGAAGGTATGAGGAATCGGAAGGTGAACCGTGATCATGATGCATACAAATATATCCAGTTCGAGTTGATTTTTCAAAGAGCTAACTTTTTCAGATGAACTTGGACGAGGACATTATAGAGAGCGATCTGTGCGATCTTATATCGTATTTTTCCAAGCAAACCTACTCCGCCAGTAGCTCAGACGCGAAGGTATTAGCGGCAGCAGCATATATTTCCATCATTTTCCATAGATAAGTTTCATTTTTAAAAACATACAGAGTTAGACACAATTTCAATATTTCTTGTCGTACGTAGTTTTCGCTCATTGACGTTCTCTTGATCTCTTTAACAGGCTAGAAAGATATTAGATCGTTGTATTGATTTGTTTATGAAAGACTACGACATATCGGTGAGTGTATCCTGGTTAATATTGACGCTGTCAGACAGACTAAGATTTGATCGACACGTCTCAGACAATCATTATTAGGCATATATACATAAAGTGTCTAGGTCTGAATTTAAGTTCATAAGGTGATTTTTTAAGAAATATTTCCCAGGGAAATTTTAAAAGTGTTAATATACAAGCAGTACAATTATATTAGTTTTGATATAAAAGATAAAATGAAATATAAAGATAAATAAATTGTGTTGCTGAATAATTATAGTCAAATAGATAGTTCCTCTTTGCTATGAGGAAGCTGGTTCACTGGTTATTTCATGCTGAATGTATATTTATATCATCAATGTTGCCAATTTTGGAGCACATTAGCTATAGATATCAATCAAAGTGAAGTTTCTTTTCATAACTGTTGATATATGCTGAAATTTTTCATAAACCATTGATGTGATGCAAATAGTAAAGAATCCATAACATATGTTAACTATAGCAAATTACCATATCATCAAGAAAAAATAACACTGACCACCACATGATATTACAGTCAAGCCACATATAGAAATTGTCATGATGCACCTGGCTGCAGGTGAGATAACAACATGCCAGTGGCCTGACCAGTGCATAATTTCACTGCTGGGAAAAATATATGTAACATTTGTAAAAAGTTGACTGCAACTTTTATCTTTAGCAATCATGCAACTTAAATGCTTTTATTGAGTTTTAGGTCTTAACAAATGGTAACGGGGAGCTGTGCGGGCATTATCCTCAGAGAATAATTATTATTGAATCAGAAATACTTAGAGGTGAAGAACTCCGTGCAAATAGAAGGTACACAAAATTCTATTTATATATCTACTGGGTGTTTCCGAAAAAAGTACTCCGTACATAACTTTCACTAGATAGAGGGAAGACAAACTTAGATTTTGATATATTACAGTTGTATTTTACTTTAAAATTTACGGAGATATCAATGTTCAAAATTGGTAGCATATTTCTGGATGTGTCTAAATTATGCAAAAAACGCCGTATCAAATGTTAATCAATATAATTTAGACAAATCCAGAAATATGCTACCAATTTTGAACATTGATATCTCCGTAAATTTAAAGTAAAATACAACTGTAATATATCAAAATCTAAGTTAGTCTTCTCTCTATCTAGTGAAAGTTATGTCAGTTTAATAGCTTAGCTAGTTTAGAAGCTATTAATAATCAAACCGGAGTACTTTTTTCTGGGACACCTGGTATAAGGTCCTGCATTAATAGACAGCAATTTTATGTACATTACAATTTACATGCAATTTTGACCAATAAACAATTAGCTCTATAAGGTTTGCTTTAGTGAAATAATTCACTTTCGTTTTTATTAACTTGTAGACCTGTTAAAATCAATGATATCTCTCAGTTAAAACCACTCATTGGCAAGGCAAGATTAGCAAGATGCAGGTCACGTTTTGTTGTACCAGTAATTTCATTCAATGGAAAGGTTAGTCTATAATCAAACTCACCAGTCAGCCTGAAATAACTTTATCATCCATGGTATTTCTTGAATGTCGCAGCTTTAATAATATTGATATTTATTCACTATCAATTTTCAAAACTTTCAAAAAACCAATTTAGGTCTTCCTCATCAAAGTTACCCCTTCATATTTTGTCATAACTGATCCTCTTAAAGATCATCTCCACTTTTATATACCACTCTCTCTTTATCACATTTTAAGATTTTTATCTCCCAGCTTCTTTATGGCTAGTTCATGATGATATCCCTACCTAAATGTTAAAATTAACCCCCTCCTTTTCATGACTCACTCAGTATCATTTATCCCCTCCTCGTTATCATATATCAACCTGTTTATCACCTCTCTAATTATCCTAATCCCCTCTTTATTTTAGCCTCTCCTTATCATCATAACCCTTCTTATCATCACCATTCCAGTGATTCCACCTTATCCTCATAACCCTTCTATCATACTCCCTTGCAATATCCCTTTCCTTACTGTTCTCAGCCCCTCTTTACAACCATAACCCTGCTAATTTTAACATTTTGATATGATCATATACCGCAGTGTTTTATACAGTCAAGACCTTGCATTATGTGACCTATAGTTACAGTATGGTGGACATCATAATAGGGTTCATGTTTGGTTAATAAATTGTATGTGTTTTTCATGTGCAGAATGTTTGTCGTTCAGCAACTTTATCCAGTTTTGCGGAAATAGCTGGGCGTTCAGGATTCAACTTCTTGTTTTCATGTAAGTTCTATGATTTTAGGACTGTCAAAATTTAGAACAAAAAAAGTATTAAAAAAGGTTTTTAGATTAATTTGATTGATTTTATAAACATTTATATTACCTGCAACAGCTCCAGTGTTTCCTGATGATGCATTGTGTGAAGGAAATGATGGGTAAGTAATTATTATTAACCCTAGGCAAGATGTTACTCATCATGTGTCATTTGGTGATCCCCAGGATGCTGGAATGTCTTAGTACTTTATTCATCATAATTTTTGTTTTTTCAGTGAATGGGACTTAGTTCATAATTCCCGATGTCAAGATATTCAACTTCTCAAAACGTTACGTGTGAAATATATATTTGACCTGATGTTAGAAAATAAGAAAGTCAAATATGGGATGAGGTGTGTTTGCAGTTTCATGGCACTTCATAAACTTTTCATTGTCATGTGTAATAAATTTGGGCTATAGTGTATTATGACATGCAGGGGATGGTGAAACTTGAATGTGTAGTTTTATGTGCCACTGCTGGTGGTCTAATGTTGCATCAATTTGTTTAGAATCACGTCATCTGAAAAAGTTGACAAAGAGAATCGTTATGCTGAATTTTGTCTGTGTTGTATTCCTTACCCAGGTAAATTGAAAACACGCAAATCAAAAACTTCTTTTCCTTGTATTGGTGGGTTTCACGTATTGTTTTCATAGTGATTTGAGTGGAGGTCAACCTTAACACATACTCCAATTTACTGTATCTCGATTTCGAAATGAACCCCACTGGAATAATGATGTGACATGAAACCCAAGAATAGCTATATACTGTACGTACTAATACAGTGTACTCACTGTACTGTATGAATGAAATATATCTCTTTTCAAAGGTTGCGAGTTCTTCAGGGTTTTAAAAATTAAAGATTATCTTTTAAACAGAATTCATTTCGACTGGAATCAGGTATGAATTGTGATCATGCATGCTAAACATTTCATTTGATATTTTCGGTTACTTCACTGCGTTCTGGAGCTGGTTTTATCAGTTATCATGGGGTGGTTGAAATTATATGTAGTTAGTGAAGCTCCTGGATTCCCGATTTCACGCCAAGTTTCATTGCTTTCAATAATTGTTGAGTTTTTGTTAGGATTATGTTGATGCTGATTTAAACATACCAACCGAAATAGAGTCGGAGATAGATTGTGACTGGGAAAGATATCAGGTACAAGATCAAGCTATCACCTTTCATATTTCATTCAAATGTTTTATGTTCGCTTACGACTGTGTCAATAAAACATGATTATTTGCTTTTATCACGTTATTTAGAGATGGGATCTAGCCACTTTGACTCAAAATTATTTTTTACTTCTTCTGAAAACAATTTTAAATAGTAAGTGTTTATTTATAGCAATTCCTACAGTGACTTTCGACCTATATCATTTGCAAACTCGTATTGTTTCTCTTCCTTCAAACGCTCCTGTAGTTATCAAAAGGTTGTATTTTTCTTCACAGGCGATGATGGTGTTTTAGTTCATTGTATATCAGGCTGGGATCGTACACCATTATTTGTTTCACTATTACGTCTGTCATTATGGGCGGTAGGTTCACGACAGTGTTCACGCCAGTGGCGTAACTATAGAACGATAATTAAAGGGGGGAGGTGAATATTCATATATTCAGTTCTGGAATCAAAATCCGGCCGCGACTATAGACTGAGCTTTCGAAACGTTGGATCGTGAATGTAAGTTTTTTATTGTATTGTTTCACTGTAAGTGAAACTTGATTGCAAGGGCACCTTTTTTATAATTTTATCTGCCTGAGTTTCCCAACCCAGGCTCTGATGCACTGCTCGAAGAAGTATATGGAATTATAGACGTTGTAAATGTTGCCATTAATCGGTATTTTGTTTGTGTCTTAGGATGGATTAATTCATCAATCATTGGATGCTTTAGAAATACTATATTTAACAATTGCTTACGATTGGCTTTTATTTGGGTATGCTTGCAGATAAATATTTCAAAACGATGTGTTTACATATTACATCATAACATTTTCCTGCTTAATTACTGTTAATTATGATCAATTATTGTTAATTATGATCAATTATTGTTAATCATGATCAATTATTGTTATATGTGTTTAGGCATGATTTGAATGATCGGATGCAACGAGATGAAGAGGTTGGAGTTTAATCATTTCTCAGAAGGCTACAACTACCCTATGAACCACCACCATTAATTCTACTCACAACCAACCACCGCTATTACCATAGTTAACAACTATGAACCATCACCACCACTTAATTTTAGGGAGAAAGTCCTGCAAAAACAATATATTTTTGTTTTAATTTAAGGTGTTCTTTTTTTGCTTTCATTTCCTTCAATACATTATGAGTGATGTCTATGCATTAACACATCTTGATAGGTATGGCGATCTGAAAGTTTCCAAAGTCAAAAAAATAATAAAATAAATCATAATCTAGTTTATATTGTTTGTTTGTAGATCTAGCAGTGAAACTTCATTGAGATCAAATAACGATACTGTATCACATGAAGGTAAGCACGGAAGAAAGGAAACACATATGTTGACGTTAGTATAAAAAAACCTGCTCAGTCCTAAGCCTCTTATTCTCTCAAAATTTTCGAGCGAGGAATGAGCGTGGAAAATTACGTCTGGCGGTCTGGGTTCGCAGACTATAAGGCTCTACTCTGCACTTACGTATAGTCGCTTTTCTTGGCCGGGAGCCTCACACTGATACATTAATCTGGGCCATGCAGTATGTGCATGTGGTGACATGATCATCTAATGAATGTATATTTGTGATAACTCCATCATTCTCTATAGAATTTAGAAATGGGGACACGTTAACGGAGTCAACATGTTGTAGAGAGTTTTTTATTGGGCAACAGACAAATGACGAGAACCGCAATGAAGAGAACAGTTCAAGGTGATTTTAGAATCTGGAGCTGAGCGCTTCTTTGTTTTTCAACTTAAACCTTGTCTGGCCGCGTTTTTTTAGAAGTTTAGACGATCCAAGGAGTCAGAATATACCAAGTGTTCTTCACAATGGTTCTACGCCATTACCTGTACCAGGAAATAATTCCGTCAGAAATCAAGTAAGTCTACTTTCAAAATGATAGCAAGATTTACGAGTTCTTACAATTATGATTTATTGGGGTTTCTTACTAACTCACTAGCTAAGTTCTCGTTATGGTTTAAAATTCATGTAATAGTTATGTGGCTTTGGAAAGTTTTCATCGAAATTTAATTGCACGTAAATTTACCCGTATTTAGGCACAGTGTAAAAACTCCTTGAATGCAGGCAGCTGGCAACTGATATCCCGTCCAGCCAGTCTTTGTAGTACGGCGGGCAGTGATAGTGGTTATCCAAGTTTAGCAAAACGTTGGGAGGAAAACGGCAGTAGTCTAAGCTCGTGAGTTTTATATTGATTCTAAAATTTTTTCTCCTGGATTTACTAACCCGTATTCTTCTCATTTTTCCTTTTCAAATTTGATAATCCAGTTGTGGAACCTCTTCCGATCCTGTTAAACACAACCTAAAAGATACCATTTAACATGGTTTCTTTATCATCCCTATTTAGTTGCGAGGAGGCATGTGAAGATTCCGTAAGACGAATAAGACTAGAAACAGTACGTAGTCTCTTTTTAAAGATTTATAAAAACGTTATGCGTGACGGTGGAAATGAAGCAAGTAGCGTGACATTATCAAAATTATTTAACCAACTCAAGCCCCCCTGGGGAAAATGACAACACATCCTATTCCCCCTTGAAATTAGGTTAACCCTAGTTCGACTTTTCACTGTTTTACAGTGAAAGAGGAAACTAAAGTGCGAACTGCAATGTATGTTCACGCTGTTTTTCTAAGCGTTGTAGTTAGCAAGCTAAAAGGTTCGTTAGTTGAATCATCAGTATCAAATCTTGATACAAACCTTGTAAAACATGATATAGCAAAGTTCTTGCAATTTTATGCTATCATGCTTGGAACATCCTTTATACAGCGTATTCGAGAAAAGGTTGTTTCAAAACCATAAACTCTAAACTATTAGTGAAAAAGGAGTTTTGCACGAATGATGTATTTCAGTATTTCCCAAATTTGTCACCCGGGTAAATTCACGATGTGGGTAATATTACAAAACTTTTAGCAAATGTACATAATTATAATTAAATTGCTCAATTTATTTGAGATGCAGAACTTATATACACAGACGTGCTATAGCGAAGCTACTGATTCACCCGACAATGAAAACATGTATTTTACATTGCAATAGTGGGGTCCGTCCACTGAGCTATATAATAATTCCTGGATCAAATCTGAACTCCCTACAAGAGCATGCTCCCCCCTGGTTTTTCTAAACAACAGCATTTCCTTCTGTTTTTTATGAATTTTTTTTTGCCGTGATTTCGATTCATTTATTGTGTTATAAAGCGTTGCAATAAAGCGTTTATTTCAGTGATATAGCTCAGTGGGTACGTCATAGGAGGTATTTGACCGCAATGAGCTTTCGGGGTCTGGGTCTGAATTTGATTTGGATCATCTCATCCTCGTTCTCAGGTTTTTGGTTTTCCGCGTATTTCTGAAATTTCCTGGATTCTTCCTATACTAGGAAAGTTGTCGTTTTCCGATCGCAATGAAAAGTTTCTTTCGTTTTGTTTTCAAACGTTGAGTCTCTTGTGGAGTCCGATCTTCAGTCATGTCAAGAGCGTATGGCATTCTAACTTTGCGAAGTTGTCTTGTATTGAGTCCTTGAATCGAGCTCTTCTCTAGTCTCTTATTGGAATTCGGTTGCCATCATGAAACTTCGATATTCTCGTCTGGATGCATGAATTTCCATTACATTAAGAGCCCGAGCCCGTGGGGGTGGAAAATGTTTATATAATCCCTGACGTCTTATGACAGTTTGATTTAAGAGATCGCTGGCTTGGTCTTTCCGTCCACGATAACACTCGCAAATGAATGCAAAGTAATATTGTAGTCAGTATGTGTTATATTTGATGAAATACACAGATGCTCGCATCTTAACGGCTGACATATGCAAGCAAGTGTTTATTTAAATAGAACAAAGACACCCACGATCATTATTTTGAAACTATAGCTACCCAACTGTTCAACTAAAGCTTTACATAACAATCATGATTTGCACGACAAAAGACTAGACTTCACACTGGAACAATCAGCAGCGCCACAAGTTGTGACTTGTTAAAGGAAAATTTAATAATTTGAACAAAAGGAAAGTGATTTCATTATCCACGATGTGTTGATTTCATATGTATTCTAGTTTTTTCTTGATTTTAAGAGTACTTCATTCAATATAAGATAGATTTATATCATTTTTACATAAACTAGCTTTTAACTCCTACGCATGACCTTTAGCCATGGGCATGGGGATGAATACCCGCAGAGAGGAGCTTTTTTACTTAGACAAGTTTGTTTGCTCGTGTGTGTGGCAAACGTGTTCCTTGACAATAAAGGAGCATGAAGGCTGGTCATGCCAAACTTCGAACTAGGGAAATATGATTATCATGTACTCAGGAAAAAATAAATTCGGCAAAAATTGTATATTTATATAGGCTTCAGCGGGAAGAACGTAAGGAAGTTTTTTATGTGATGTCTTGGGAAATGCCCTTGAACGACGCATTTAAAACAATAAGTAATCATGCAGTTGAGATAGATCTTTATCCTGTTATGCATTCGACGTATATTATTAAGAAGCTTGACGTTTAAACAAGCACAGCCACAGAGACCAAACGAAGTGCCACGAATTCAAACATTCCATAATTTATTGTTAGATTTGATTCTATACCTACACTATACAAGTCTCTAGTACGCATTAAAGCCATTATGTAGCTATATAGATGTGCATTAGAAAAGAAGACTGTGGAACAGACACGATATTATAATATAAATAAATTATTTTTGGATTCGAATAAATGGCCTATTTGTTTAATTCATCAATAACCTCGTTTTTTTTCCTAATATGCTTTCCTTTTACTTTGAGCGGAAGTGTATATAGTCGAAAGGGAGAAGTGGGATTCATGCAGTATTGAAGCTTATCCTAGACCTAATTTTGTGTTCCATCCTTTGCATTTGCCTTACAATATACTTCAAATACGTTTTATCCGTCTGTGCATGTGCCTGTTCCCGTCTTTTAAGAAACTTGCATAATCTAGGACATCTATTCTTGCTTTTGTCGTCTTAGGGCTGATCAAATATATAATATTGTTAGCAGGAATTAAGGTTATTGTCATCTAAATGACACAAAGTGTTGTTGGACAAGCATCAACGAGCCCGTCTGTTTTGTTACATATCTTGTAAATTCATACATTCGTGTAAAATATTTTATAATTATAAATCTCCCGAAAAAGTTAAGAAAAGTTTTGAAATGAGTTTGGTTCGCTGATTCAAGGATCCATTCGTTGGTATCTCGACTCGCCACTGGCCGGTTTCAGGCCATATTTCATTCGTATCTCTTCGTTGCGTGCTTGTCTCTCGGCTTTGCGGTGGTCTTGAAGTTGTTTTCTTTCCATCCTGTCTTTTTTAAGTTTCTTATCTTCTTTGTCGAACAAGCCTTTCTTCTTCCGACAGCATTTACGACAGCAACAGCAGTAAATACAACATCCAATGATTATGAGCAATCCACCGACGACACACGGCACGATAATAATAAGGAGATTACCCGAAACATAACATTGTTTATAGTACACATCAGAACTTGGGCAGCCTTTTTGATCATTCCCGTCTTTTGCCACATAATCCCTGCACTTTTTGGTGCTTTTGCACCAGAAACAGTTACCCTTAACATCGACACAGTCGCTACAGGAATTGTTAGACTTCGCGGCACAGGATGTACCTTCGGCAGGTTTGATATTAAACTCGGCTATAACGCATATAAATACACAAATACCCAAAGATTGATAGAAATTCATGGTGACTTGTGGTGTGAATGTGTGCTGATAAGGTACGACGAATGTTCGACGAATTACGCGTGTTGGTTAGCCTGTAGTTTACCGTTGAAAGCTGCGTGATAGCCTTTTGATGTATTCAAGGATGAGTATTTCAGTTTGAATAATTAACACTGATATTGTTCAGTTGTCGTTGATTATATCCGTAAGCTGTTCTTTTAGTGCTGTTGATATCGGTGACAGAGTGAGTTTCGTTCCTTAAGTACCTGTAGGGAAAAATCCGAAATACTGCAAATACATAAAATGATTTTATGTTTTCAAATACTTAAGACACAATGATCCAACCAAAATGCCTTCAGCAATCAGCATACATACGGAAATATGAAAACAAATGAAGTAATATGGTTTCAAGTTCCATCATATGACGTCATTGTGGTAGAAATGTAGTTTATAGGTGTGTGCGGGGGTTGCTAACTTAGGAAATTAAAGTAGGCATTTATCAGGTAGAAAAGCCTTGCTTGCGAGGTTGATTGATCACTTGATGTGCCGAACACACAACTTGTGTCTTGGAATGTCATGGGCCGGTTGTTAAAAAGCCGGTTAGCCATAATACTAGGTTAATCTTGCACATTACTTTTTTAAAGCCGCTTCTCTGGTTTACAAAGTTGAATGTTTTCGTTTCATAAATATTTTCTGGACCGATAGAAGTCGAATTTTCCAAAGTCTTAAAAATTCAACCCAGGTAAGCGCTAACCCAGCTTTGAACAACCGGCCCCTGGTCCTAAGCTTTTCTACCCAACTAGGCCCGGCAATGATGTCGTCCATCCTGAAGGTCATGAGAACGACGGCCACCTTCCCTCCACCTTTACAACCCTCCACCTCCTTTCAGAAGATCAGCTAATATGTATATAGTCTAGTCAGACGGAAAACATCACTTGCCTTTTTGAAAGATCGCTAATTTCTCATTTCCTGATCTATTTCTCTTTGACCAACGTGTACGGTGATTATTGCCTTTTTGTTTTTATGCTTTTTATATTGTTATGTAACATATTCTACCCATAATCCCCTTAAATAGGTTATCTCAGGTTAAGTAACACAACAATCATGCATGTCATGCGGCCACTGAGCTATTATTATATTATATTATATTATATTATTATTAGAATTATATTATAGCTGAGTGCATACGGCTGAGCGGGAGCGGTGCAGGAGTGAAATGCGGTCCCGGGGCCTGCATAGGCCCTTGACCAGACCTCAAAGCAAATTTTCGTTTCAAAGGGCGGAAGGAGAGAAGGAGGCGCGGCTGAGGAAACCCGAATGGGAAAAGTTAAAACAAATTTCTTACAAATACAGTTAATGCTCACGAAAAACTTACCAAGGATTGTGTTTGCTGATTTTCTCTGTCCTGCTTTACCAACCGGATTCAGGATATTTTTTGCGGAACTGAAAAACATGCGAAACAAAGATACTGATTTCTTTTTCGATGAAATTTTATGCTTGTCATATGATTCCGTATTGGCTCTGATCCACTCTTTATTTTTTGTCTATAATTTGCTTTGTTTTGTTATGCCCGAAAGCAAATATTGTTTACAATTCCTAAAAAGAAGCGAAAAGAGTCAAATATTGTTATTGCATTTAATGAATTCCTATTGGTTGATTGAACTTGATTCCACGGAATAAGTACAAAACCCACTCTAATACAAGTTAAGTCATGCATCAGTTGTTAAACCATAGGTAAATAGCTTTTATTTTGCCATCCCCAATATGATTAAAGTGCAATTCATCAAAATTTGACATCGATTTCGACAATGACGCTCTTGCTCTACAAACTGCTTTTCTGAAAATACCAATCTGCCGAATGCCGATTGTAGTTTTAACCAATCAGAATTCAGGATTGTTCCGAATTAATATAAACTCACAATCGCATCAGGAAGTGGGGCAAAACGAAGGACAAAACGAAGTGTACATGCGGCAAGCTATATTTTTCGGCGAAAATGTCTCTTTTACTGGAATTTTGCATTCGTTTTCTTTCTTGTGTTAACGTGTATGATGTAGCCGATATTAAATCCAACGTGATACTTTGAAAAAGCGTTAAAATGGATTTGACAGTCGCTAGATGTACTTTGTTTATGTTGGTTACATCTTTTCTCTTTATAACTACAAAAGGCAAAGGGAATTCTACAATTAACTGTAAGTAATACTACATTATTATGTTGTTAAGTCGTTCACATTTAATTAATGCTTTTTACTCGAGTTTGAAAGTACACGGACGCTAGAGTATTTTACGCGGTCTCCTAATACGCGACGCAGCCAGTTATTGAACTACATGATAACTATGCATTAAACTGTTTTAAATTTAAAATAATATTTAAACCTGAGTAATAGCGACTTATACGTCTTGACATATTTTGACAGACATTCGTTATTAGTAGTTTGTGTTATTTAGGCATTATTTTAAATACCAGTAAAATGCAGTTAAATACAATATAAAAGACTCTTTGAACATTTTTGTGTTTGAATACTTGTCCCAAGTTTAATACAATGTAAACATTTTTTGGTATTGGTTACATATTTTACCAGTAGTTTACATCTGTGAAAAGTGATTTGTTTATTCTAAATGAAACCTTAGGTAATGATATTTTTGTTTTTCATTTCAGCAACCACAAATGGCACTATTAGTTATACTACATCATCATCATCTAGATCTATGCCTCCTATAAATGCCACAAGTACAAAGACTTCTACATCTTCTGGTACATATATTTTTGCATATTAGACAATTCTATTTAGGAAATCATTATGAAATCATTTTAAGGTATAAATTGTATAAAATTCATATCTTAGTTATCATGACTTAATTTTTAGGTACCAGTAGCATTGTCAGTTCTACGGCCTATTTCCCATCAAAATCGCAGTTTCCACCATCTAGCTCAGGTTTGTATTTCTTAGGATTATTATTGCAATTAATAACATATTGTAGTGCCATGCAATCTATAACATGTAATTCAAAATTGAATATTAAAAGATAATCCCTGGTGGTACATATTGCTGCTATTCTACTTGTAATGTCATGACTAATGCACTTCCTTTTGAAGTTATTTTTATCATGAATTCAAGCATTGTGCACTTTGAATAACAATATTTAATTTGGAACCAATATTTTTAATATTTGTAAATTAATATTGAGATGCAACCCAAGGCCTTGACTTCCTTGTAGAAAGAATTGTTATGAATTTCAAAATTAGCATAAAGCCATCCCATCTGCCACATGAAGAAAGCATGGCTCCTTTTTTCCACTTTTCGTTCCTACATCAATACCCTTAGGATATAAGAATTACTTGTGTGCTTTTTTGTCCCTGGATTTTCCCCATAAGCCTGGTTTTCTATAATAAATTTCCAGCTGCTGCACTTGCATGATAGTTCCTGACACTTTCTTTAAAATTACAATATTAATAAGTCATGCTTTTGTTGCATCATGATAAGCCATTATGGTATAATTTTTGAAGTTTAACTTTTAATTCATCTCTTAATAACATATCAAACCATTAGCTAGTATGTCTAACATACCTAAATCATATGGTTAACACAGAGGTTTATTAGGTAAAAAGTGACAGCTAGCAAATGGTAAAACAATGTGGTAAAAAAAGCAAAACCATGTAGGTCCACTACCATGTCATGACATGGTTGGACAAAGCGTACTAACACAAAATGACAAAGTCGCTACTAGACATTTTGGTATTGGAGACAGCATGACACACTTGTATAGATTATCATAGCATTGACATATAATTATTGGCATGTGCATGATGTTTTGAATAACGTAAGGAGAGCACCGGGTCATTACCTGACAGGAATTAGCTTGGTCAAAATATGTTAAGATGCTCCAGCATTTTGCTGGAGTCATTCTGTCACAGCCCAGCCTGCATGTGCACAGGTAACATTCAGTAGGATGTCTTCATTTTTCTTACAACATCAATAAGGGGCCGATAGTAACAATAAAATTGTGTTTGCAACTTTAAAGTAATTACAATACTTCTTATTTAATTCAGTGACCCCTACACAGACATCCAAACATAGTCAATACTCAACCAGCCCTGTGGTCAGCAGTACTTCCACTGTGGCCAGCAGTACTTCCAGTAGTTCATCAATGGTTCCACCAACATCCAATGGCAATAATGATGAAACGACTGTTATTATTCTAGCTGTTATTGCAGCAATTGCTGCTGCTGTTGCTTTGGTGTTTTTATTTTTGTACTTAAGGTAAGTTGTAAAAGGTAGTTATATTATTTTCCAAGATCATCTTGGACACCATGAACCATGGCCAATGTTTGTATGTCATGATATTGAAAGTTAGTGTGTGACCAATCTCACATGGTCTCTGATTAAACAGCTTTGTATCCTACTGTAGTTTAAGTATTATCTACTGTACTATGCCAGAGAATTTCACTTTATCATATACTGAAGCTACGGTTGTATAAAAGCCGGTTTTTCAGCCGTTCTAAAAATGCTTGAAAAGCGATAAAATTTCATTTTTAGAACCAACATTATTAAAGAGGATCCTCAATTTATGAATACTAAGATTTAATCAAAGTTATACCCAACAACGGGCAATTTTTCATTCATAAAGAATCGTGAATTTGATAATTTTTGTTTTTTAAACAGGACATCGCGGCAATGTTATGATCGCTTACATCGTTCTAGCAGTCATTCAAGTGCTAATTTTACAAGTGTCAACCCAATAGCAGCAGCAGCACCCATTAGAATCAGACTGGCAAGTTTGTCAAGTATTAGGAGACAAGGTTTGGTGATGTTTTTTACAAATGAATTGATATTTTGAATTGTTGAACATTTGACATTGCTTCGATTGTACGAACGCTGGATATACTAAATCCTAGAAAATATGTTCGAAAAGCTGCAGTAAGATGCAGATATGGGCCCAAGAATTAGTGATGATAATCATGACTTTGATGATTACAAACTACTAGTTTTGTCTTGGGTATAAACCATAGCTAGTTTATTGGTAAATTTAGGGAAAATAAAACATCGCCATCCGTTGCAAAGCGCTATTTTTATTCACCCAGTTCGTTGCGTTAAATTCACGATACGATTTTTATCGTTACCTTTCATTGATGTTCGCAAGTTAAGCAATCCGTGTAGTTATTAAACAAAAGGATGCAAATTTCATTAGAATAAACAGATTGCAGAAAATGTAACAAATTAAAATAATATCAGCGTATTCTTTTTTCAGCAATATGTAAAAGTGAACCATTCCCCATTGGGGAATTCAATGATCACGTCAAACGTCTGCACGCCGACTCTGACTACCTTTTCTCACTGGAATATGAGGTATGATGAAGTGTACATATGAAGTATACAAGCTTGGTCGCGTTTTGCCTGATTTGTTTAATGTGGGGTCATTGAGATGTCAATCTTAACTAGCCCAGTTTTTTCATCGCTACTTTTCACTGCAAGATACAAAAAACGAAAGCAAACTTCTACTTGGGGTTTTACTCAACTAGGAGAGAGAGGGGTGGGGGAGAGAGAAAAATGGGGGAGAGAGAAAAAATGGGGGAGAGAGAAAGATGGAGGAGAGAGAGGTGGGGGAGAGAGGGGTGGGGAGAGAGAAAGATGGGGGGAGAGAGGTGGGGGAGAGAGAGGGGGGGAGAGAGGGGGGGGGGAGAGAGAGGTGGGAGAGAGAGGGTGGGGAGAGGGCGGGGGAGAGAGAGAGGTGGGGAGAGAGGGGTGGGAGAGAGGGGTGGGGAGAGAGAGGTGGGGGAGAGAGAGAGGTGGGGGAGAGAGAGGGGTGGGGGAGAGCAACCTCGTACCCAGGGTCTGGGGGAGAGAAGACATCTGCCACGTTGGGGTTTACGATTTTTGTAAATGGTACAAGTAAAGACTGACTTAAGAAGATTAAGAATAATCGTATTTAAACCTATTATTCAAACCTTAATTTATCTAATCTGTCACAAAGAGTTACTGGACATACGATTATTTGCGCGTCTAATTCTATTATCCTTTTAAAACCTTAAAATGAGCGCTCTAGGCATGATAGGTTATTGCTTCTTTAGACTCGTTACTTTGAATTTCTAGCTATGTAAGACAAGGACTACTAGCGCAAAAATCGCTTACTGTAAAACAATTTTCTGACATCTGACTTCTTTCAATCTCCTGAGTCATAATGAAATAGAGCACGTACAGTTTTTAAAGGACAACCTTTATGGAATTAGCTGCATATTTCATATTAACCTTCTAGTTTTATCACTTTTTTAGTGTGTTGGTGGCAAAAAGTACTTAAATGAGGTGGACAAGAAACAAGAACTTGTTTCTCACGAGGGAGGAAAAGTTAAGAACAAGGCGAAGAATCGCTATTCAGATATTTTACCATGTAAGCAGCACATATTACTCCACTTTTTGCTTTTCTTTTTCTCTAAATGCTTTTCACGATTTTCCAGATGACCACACTCGAATTGTGCTGACTGAGATAGAAGATGATCCTGATTCAATTTACATAAATGCCAATTATGTTGACGTGAGTAGTTTTAATGCTGAACTGTCAGAGCTCTTTCTCCTAACCACGGAATGTTTGGGTTTTTTTTTCACGTGCGGCTTCAAGACTCGCGTGGAAAAAAGTGGGAAACATCAGTTTCCGTAGTTTAGGTGTAAACCTGCCATGGCGATGATTAAGACTTTATCTTGTAGCCTATACAGTATAAGAAAGATTCTTACATTACTCGCATACTTTATGGAACCAACAGAATAATATAAAGCATCTTTAAACTCTAAATATATTAGTCAAAACAAGACAAGAATGAGTTTGATATTTTATTTTCATTGCCAAATCCATATACGACTAACTAAAGCTACAATATATAAAAATGTCTCATCTATCATCAAACGGAAGTCTCCAAGCAACCACGACTCTCTTGATTGTCAGAGACATAGAATACCAATTTATATATAAGACCTGGAGTATATATTGTAGCTTCAGTTAGTCAATCTCAAATATCTGAAACTCGTACGGAATTTATAGACTGCATTCTACAAATTTTTGCATTAATTTTTTATCCACAAACACCTCGTAAAAACAGCTCCTTGTTCTTAATTTCCTTTTGCACATATTAATGGGATCTTATTTTTTCCAGAGTTATCGAAAACCACAAGCGTACATTGCTGCCCAAGGTAAGTTCGTCATATGTTGTTACACACTTTCCTTATCCCTGCAAAGAATAGAAAATAACTAGCCATAGTTACGATGAGTTCTTAAGTCCCAAACCTACTCGGAAAGAATGCATTCAGTGAACGTAGAGATCAGGATGTCTTGCGGTGTACTATTTTTACGTTCCTTTTGGAAATCAACTTTTGCTATAGGGATAAACGTGGTTGGTCATATACCTTGTCTGTGGTTTCACTGATCCCGTTTCCTAATGTACATGAACAACCTCTGTTTCACTCTTTCGGATATTACCCTAACACAACCTTAAAGAAAATTATTTATGTGTCCAGGTCCATTAACGTCAAGTCTGGAAGATTTTTGGCGGATGATTTGGGAGAACGATGTTCGTGTTGTTGTTATGGTTACAAATTTATTTGAAAGAACAAAAGTACGTCAATTTTCTTGCTATTTTATGCACTGCATCACCTGTAATGTATATATTAATAATAACTGATACTTTTATATAATACATGTAAGTATAGAATTTGCTATTAGCACTGATGTTTTCATTTGTTTTATTTTATTGATGTTTATATGTCTTTATTAACTCTAATTAACTGCTCTCATTGATTTTAATCAACCTTAATTGATTCTCATCGACTGTAATTGTTGTCTCTTATCACTTAATTACTATTTCCAGCTGCTATGCGTTGGAATGGCCGATGTAGTTCTTCTATCCAACAACACGGCAAAAACTGTTCGATCAAGCATTACATTTGTCACTTCAATCTGCAATTTTAATTTATTATTTATTTTCTTAGCCAAAATGCGTGCAATATTGGCCAAATAAAGGATCAGCCAACTATGGCTTCCTAACAGTCACCATCCTTAAAGAGGAGATGTTTGCGTATTACGTCGTACGCACTTTGTCAGTTGAACCGTCACCCAATCAGGTTCATTATATTAAGGTAGGTAGTGGATGTTCACAGTGTCGGTCAGCACTATTACTATTCCTGAGAAGGCAGTGGTTCTGTGGTTGGATCCGGAACATCTTTATTTTTTTTTACTTATTTTGACGCTCAGAAACCATGCAAAATCCAATCTCAGGACAACTGTAATTTTTTGACCGTGAAAAGTTCGATCGATCACTACGTTACATTACAAGTATTTCAGTCAAGTCAAAGACAAAAACGCTTCGCAAATCCGTGACATTCATTTTCCAAACAATAAGTGTGATGAAACAAGAAAGTAAAGGAAACTTGTTTTGTTTTTTAGACCAGTGATAAAAGTAAATCACGTGTGATTCAACAGTTCCATTTTACAGAGTGGCCTGACCACGATGTTCCAATCCACCCAGTCGCACTACTTCGCTTTATAAAACATTCAAAGTCTGCTAATTCCTCAGAATCTGCACCACTAGTTGTGCATTGCAGGTTTGTTTTTCTTTTTTCTTGTACTTTATTGATAAATCAAACGTTCTATTTAATATGATATTTAAACACTTGGTGAAAACGAATGAGGGATAATTGTGATTGTCATTGTATTATAGTGCTGGTGTGGGACGTTCTGGGGTATACATGGTCATTGACAGCATGATTGAGAGAATCGAAGATGATAAAAGTGTGGATGTTTTTAATTTTCTCAATCACATTCGTACACAGAGAATTGCCCTTGTTCAAGAAGAAGTAAGCAAAGGAGTTATAGCGAATTTCATATTGTACTTTATAAAATATAGTTATTAAACATTTATCATCAACGTTTCTGAGGTTACATTTGAATGGGAATAAAAACTGCTTAATTTCTCCACCCTGTTCTTATATATTACATTATTAGAACGATGGTAATTAATTGGGTAGGTAATACAAGTCTATATTTGGATGGATATATTGATGTTTATCTCATTTCAGAGACAATATGTTTTCGTTCATGATTGTATCATGGAGCACATCAACTTCGGAGATGCAATTAACATACCAATTAGAGAGTTTCATAAACGTCTCGAAGCTTTAAAGGCAGTCAATCCTGTTACCAAGAAAAGTCGAATGAAAGAAGAGTATGAGGTTGGGCTTTATCTAAAACTACTTTTTATAGCGAATTAACAAAACTGCCATGATTGTATGGCGTCTTTTTCCTGAAGCCTCGCTATTTGTGAGACTAAGGGCAGAGGCCTTGGGAGACGGAGGTTAGAATATGTTTCTCCTCCAAGCACCATCACTATGTTAGGTAATCATATAGGTAGTGTGCTTAGGTAATCATATAGGTAGTGTGCTTAGGTAATCATATAGGTAGTGTGCTTAGGTAATCATATAGGTAGTGTGCTTAGGTAATCATAGGTAGTGTGCTTAGGTAATCATATAGGTGCTCAACTGGGTTAGCTTACTTATAGGTCCAAATTTTCCGATAAATATCAAACCTTCTGATATCAAATTGCATCTTTATTTTCAGCAAATATCATAAATTTTGATCTGTGGTTTGATGTTTCTTTCAAGAGTTTTTTAAAGTTTATTTTGTTTGAAAGATGTTGCATAATATGTCTAAATTCTTACATTTGTTCTCTGTGTATGAAAGGATATTGACAGAATAAAACATCCAGATAAGCATAAATGGGCTGGGAAAAAGAATTCCAATGTTCAGAAGAACAGACGGACGGACCTTCTACCTGGTTAGTTTAGACAATTTCTATAGTAAAACTCCTTTGCTAAATTTAATTATATTTTGTTGTTCTTTATTAAGTCGAAAGAACCAGAGTGAAGCTTCCACCCATTCTGGGAATTGATGGATCGGATTATATTAATGCTAGTTACATTGATGTAAGAATTTATATATTTTGTTGCTGTTTACGTATATATTGATCAAAACTGTATCCCGAGAAAGGTATTATCTTAATATCTTTATAATCCTCACACGAGGGGCGTGCGGCACAAGTTGTGTCTGCTGCATTGCTTCCTCGAATTCGTTTGTTCAATGTTTATAGGATTATATAAGTTGATTGTTTTCATTTGCCGAAGAAAGCCCAGGTTTGAGGGTTCAATAGTATTTATGATAATGACAAATATGATTCCCTACTCCTTCTAGGGTTTTCGTAGGAAACGTGAGTTCATTGCAACACAGGCTCCCATGTTGAGAACGGCTGAGTGCTTCTACCGGATGATATATTCCACAAAATGTAGCATCGTTGTGATGATAATAAATGACGAACGATGGCAAAAGGTAAGTGCATTGTGCATCATACCTACACGAAGATATACACACCTACAGAAGTATGCACCATTAATGGATTTGAGACGGAATATATTTAACTAATTCCTGAGGTATGAAGAATGAGCGAGGTAATTGTGTGTTGTATCAGTTCTTTGCAAATTTCCAACAATGGATGTTACCCTGCACTAAATTATAATGTTTTTATTTACTCTTCACAGGAGGATTATGCTGATCTTCCTACAGAAGATGAACCTGTCACGTGCGGAAAATTTGAAATACAGTTGGAATCCCAAGATGTCGTTGGGAAAGTCACTGTTCGTAAACTCAGGTTATTTTCATCTGTAAGTATGACATACGTGGTTGGAGCTGATGTGCATGGCTCTCTTAAGGCCATGTTACACGGTGCAATTTTTCTTGCAACTTGCAATGCAATTCTGCTTTTGAGAGATGTAAATTTGGCAACTACCAACCTTTTGTCTTTATTACAATCCATGGCTTTTCTTACACTTACATTTTGAAGCCTCTTCACTAATTTACATCTCTCAAAAGTAGAATTGCTTTGCAAGTTGCAAGAAAAATTGCACCGTGTAACATGGCCTTTAGTTAAAGAAATTCTAGCCAATGCCTGCTTCCCCTATTCTTGGCCCAATCAAATCGATTGAAGGACACGTTTATTTGAAATAGTGATTAATTCCTAGTTTACCAAATTTTTAATATTTTTTTATATTTTAGCTTTTATTCTATACTTCAAATACAGAGCATGTAATATATTGTAAATGAACAGTTTGTGATTGGTTTTAAATAAAGTTGTAAATAATTTTAAATCAAATATGTAAATAATTACGTAAATTCAGTCTCTTGGCTACGAACTAATTAATGAAATATATCTATGTTTATTTATCTATCTAGGAAGCAAGCGATGGTCATACTATAATGCATTATCATTATCGTGATTGGCCATCCAGAGGTTTCCCAGAAGATAAGACGTCTTTCTTAAATTTCATCGAGCAAGTGAGAGAACACAGGCTGGCGGAGAGTTGTAAACTTCCTATAACGGTTCACTGCGAGTGAGTGTGAATATTTGGCTTCAACATTTGTAAACATTTTGTGGCTAATTCAGACAACTGTAAGGGATGACCCATACCGGATATTTTGATTGAACTGTGTGGGTTGACTTTATACCAGTGAAAAGTATAAATCATCTTACCGTAGCAATTCTGAGCCAATTAAAGACTATCTTTGCTATATAGGGCTCTGGATTCACGTTTATAAAACAAATAGAACTGTAGAAGCATTCTGTTTAAATAGAATTAGTTGATCAGACTAGCTACAGCACTGGATTGGCAAGACGTGCATGCATGTCATGATTGTTTCCTCGTTAATTAATTTTTAATTTTCTGTTTAGTTATGGTGTTGGTCCCACCGGAGTGTTTTGCTTGATTAGTTCTCTGTACGATCAAATTGACAGAGAAGAGAGTGTGAACGTTTTTCATGCCGCTAAGCTGTTTCGCATTCAACGACCAAAACTCATTGAAACTGAAGTATGCAAAAAAATCATATATCATAAAATTCATAAATAAAAAATTCATATAATATATAAATATTCACTCTCTATTATTATTATTATTTTATTATTAGGATTATTAGATGAATAATATTGAAATGTCTTTCACTAGGAAATGTATTCGTTTTGTTATGAACTGCTTGATCAAGTTATCGCAAGAAAATGTATCTCCATGTCCAGTTATTCAGACGATGATGAACCCAGCTCACCATCGGAAACCTTATTAGAAAACAAGAACGCGTTACTTCATACTGCCAGGGATGTTGATAGCAATCATTCCCCAGAATTTAATGGTTCAGTTGTGGTTGACACGTCACATGCGGACAGGAAAAGCCCAGCTGCAGACAACGAGGCAAGCGAGAAGGCAATCCTGGATGGAAATAAGGTTAGTTCAATTGCGAAACAAAACAACAATACGGGCATTGAGAATCCGATGGTAGGACGGGACAGCGCGAACCTAGGCGAGGACAACCAAGCCTCAGGTGATTGTCTGGATACGGATATCTCTAACACAAATCATGACAGCGTTGATAGCGTCCCAGAAACCTCAAAAACAGACAGTTCTAGCATGTCAGATGCGGAACAAGCAACTACATCGAGCAGTCGTCAAGCATTGCTTTAATCCTCTGATTTATCAACTTATTCATAAATTAACCATTATAAACTATTGATAGCTATGACCATGCAAGCCTAACCACGCCGTACCATAGTTGTACCATGCATAGATGATCTCAAAGATGATCAAATCATACTGACTATATACTTATACACATATTGTTCATAATAACTTAAATATTACCTAACAAGTCCTGGAATGCAACTTTAACAACATTGAAAGCTGATAATAGATCTCTAACAGCTGAAAACAGAAGAGAGAAACATCACCGTTACGTTGGCGTAAGCACAATGCAATGTCCGCTGACGATTTAATAGCGTTATGCACACCATTCCCACCGGATACCTAACACGCACACTGTGGGAACTTACTTCATTAACCAGGCATTCCAAATGACATTAATCATGAAGAAACTGGAGCCATTTTTCATCAGAGCAGATCATAATATATATTATGTCAAAAAGTAAATATCAAGAGTAATTTATTAATGTAGTGTTTTTAAAATAGTTTTTTAACGTACCTTTATATTGATGTTATCAATTTTGTACATATACTATTGACTTCAATGACATACACTAATAATTACTCAAATTTTCTAGGTATATGCGTAATTGTAAGAAATGTAGTAAATGCAGGAATTTCAAAATATATTATGATTTCATAATGAAATGTCACCACTTTCTTTTTATTGTTTTGAAAACAAAGCATGTGAATGACTAACACACGCGGAGAAATTACTGAAACGAATGCGTAGAAATTACTTGATTTAACTGCAGGGTCAAATGTTATATTAATGGTCAAGTATACCCTTCGAGCCAGTTGAAACTTCGAGGCACAGTGAAGTGGTCCTACTCCTCACGGCCTATAGCCCTATACTGTGATGAAATATACCGATGTAAGGTATATTTACCTATAAAATAGAAAATTATTGAAGGTCGAATGTATATACGGGCTGGTAATAAAAATATAGTGAAAGTTGAAATACATAAATTATATCTGCAGACCAGGTGACTGTACATCTGGGTGACGTAATTACCCTATATAAATAATAAATATGGCGGTGGTGTTTGTGAGAACTATAAACTTTCAAGAAGTGAAAAAGAAAGTTTAAAATAAAATGAGCAGTGGAAGCGATTGGGTCAATCTCTTTGTCCACCAAGGCAAGGAGTTTATCGATAGCGTTTCAGGGCAGAAGAAAAAGGAAGGTTTGACTAATGAGACAAAAAGAGAAGATCAAAGCAACCCTGCAAATGCAGGAATTTTGTACACGAACAATTCCGTAAACGGTTCGGTTAGTTTAGTGGAGGAAAATGATGGTGGTAGTGATGTAAAGGCGAAGACTGGTATGTCTTTAGAGGCTGAGGCCAGCACTTCAAGTGTCGAGAAGGTTGCCCTAACTCAGGGAGAAAAAGAGATCTATGAAAACCAATTGGATCAGTTACAGGAACAACTAGTTGATATTATGATAAAAAATCAAGAAATGGGTATGAATATACAAAAATAACAGTTCAGTGTTGATTCTCAACACCTTGTTTTTCACCCTGTTTTGCCTTAAATGTGTAATAATATTACTATCCTTCATCTAGCTGTACTTTTGGTGCAGTTTAGCCTAAAAACCATAATACAGTCATTGATATTACTTCTCCCTCCTTTGCATGCTTCCCTTCTTTGACCTAAGAAATACCATAGTCATTGAATTGATAATACTCTTTCCATATGTGTATGGTGGTATATCTGATTTGGTTAGGTTTATTTTAGATGCTGAACTTTCTATGTTACGTGACAGTGATGTTTGTAAGTTGACAAAAGAACTGGAAAGAGAAAAGATTAAACGAAAACAATTAGAAGTGAAGCTGAAGAAAGTAAAGCATGAAAGTGACAACACGCCAAAGCTAAGGTTGACTTATAAACAACATTGTGAAGTTGTAGTTTGGTACAAGTCTTTATGTGGATGATCAAATGAAACCCTTTACCTATAGGAACTTATAAGGTAGCCAATATGAAATATCTGACAGTTTCTGTTTCTTTAACAGAAGAAGAAGGCAACATCATGAGGAATCAACTAGTGAGAGTCTTAGATCTGCTGATGGTGTAATTGCCACAAGCTCTAATCAATATGAGATACCAAAAGGTATGACATGAAATGTTAGATATTTATTGAAGATAAGTTTCATAGTCCAAGTTGGATGATCATGTAGCCTGTTAAGCAAATGAAATTTGCGAGAGCAAGTTTACATGTCAGTTTCCTAGCAAATTTATTACTTTGTTTTTACATATTTTTACTTTTGTATTTACGTATTTTATGAATGGTTCTGGGACATTACCATGACTGTAATTGATTTGCAGAAATATGAGATGAAAATTTTTCTATGAAAATGACCTGCAATTTGCTTAGAACAATTAGCAAATGATTATTGCAAGCCACCTACGTACATAACAACAGTGATTAGAACACCTGATTTGATTGTGAACTAATTAAATGTTGGCGAAAGTTATGTTTATATATAATGAAAAGTTACCTAAACTAAATAATTTTTAGCATTGTCTATTTCTACAAAATACAATCCAATATAAGCAAATAAAATCTGATCCACCATACTGGTTACTACATCCTATTCATATTATTACATTCAGATATAATTTATTTGAACCAATTTATAGATTATAACAAAAGTCGTGTTTCCCGTTTCAAATTCTGGGTGTATTGTCTTTATGTATCGCTAACTCAGCGTATTACAATAACTGTAAGTATTTTGTACATTCAAAAATGATCCTTTCTAAATTTGAATGTACTTCTTTTGTCTTTTTTTGTTGTAGTTCTGGAACATTTTATCTGATTTATCAGACGAGGAAACTCCACAAGAGACAGGTGATGAAAATGGTCCACCTCTAGCAGTGAAAACGTAAGATAGCTATAAACCACAATACCTAGTATATAGTTCTAAAATAACCAGGGAATAGCAATAATGAGCTTTTGGAGACTGGATAGAATATATTTGATTAGTCAGTTAATATTTCACATGAGATACTGGATACTGGTAAATAGAATATTGGATGGGACAGAGCCAGATAGTTAAAATATCAAGTCAGAACTATAAAAAATGTTAACACATAACTGCCCATATATTTATTGTCCAATTGGTAATTTTTCTTTCAATTATATTACAGGTTAAAAGATAACATTAACAGATTTTGTAAGTGATGTTCAAGATTCTATTGACATTGTGTGTTACTTAATGAAAAGATTATGTAGTTTCTTTGTGTTTCTATGACTGAATTACAAGTAGATAATATGAAAGACTATTTAAAGATGTATTAGATGTACAGCAATGTATGTATGTCTTTGTTCCAATATCTTTCTGCCCCATCATTTTCTTAACCTGCTTATCTGTAGATTTTATATTTTACTCATTGGTATAGATTGCTACTCCATTCTGTGTTGTTGATTGCATTTTGTAGGTTATCTTTTATTATTTTAACTTAAATTTATTTTAAAATTTAGCCAGTGGTATAAAACCTATTAAAGAATTTCTCAATAAAGTAACTTGGGTTCTGTCCTGGAAAAATCCTGCAGCCACAATGTTAATATTTTTGGTATGTATTGAAATTTGAATTTGACTGTTCCTAATTATATACATGGCTAAAAACACACAGATTGTTCCTGGTTGGATGATGAAATAAGATGTATTAAACAATGGCAATGTTGTGCTACACCCCACGAACATGATGGTCTTCAAGCCTAACAAAATAACTTGCGGCAACTCAAAAACAACCATGTTTGTAGGGTGCAGCACAACATCAACTGCAAAAACCTTATTCGTAAATGTACTGTATCATTTTTCACCATAATTTATATGACAATGTTGTTAGTTGATGTAATAATATATTTTAGGTTTATGTTTTTTCTTTTTGGCATGGTTTGTCTGTGTCATTACTTTTGTTTCTTGTGATTGTTCAACTCTCTGCAAACTTTGTGTACAGCAGGTAATGATCGATAATGGTATCTTTTGATTATGCTGTGAATAAATTAAATTTTGTTTTATATAATTATTTATCTGAACTTGTCTTGGAGGTAAGACAGTGTCCAGCAGAAGTTTATACTGCGTTAGTTTTTCATTGTTCAGAAGGATCTTTCTGACTTTCTCCCCATACTGGCATTGGCAGTCCATTGTAATTGTTAGTTATACACCCATGTTGCATGTACATCAATATTGTTATACAAACTACCTCGTACCTGGCAAGGGTAATAGAAAGTGAACAGCGAAGAAGGTTGGCGTAATTCGTTGGCGTACATGATCGTTATGATCATGTATTTTTCGTCCTACTAAAAATCGCCCGAGAGTATAGAAAATGTAGGTCTCAGGCGGTCTCGGGCGGTTATTAGTAGGACCTGATATTTTAACACTTTTATTAACAGTCAAAATTGACTTCAGGTTTGGAACAATTTCTGACACGGAGAAAACCGAGGTATGTAGTTGGTATTCTGTGTTGTTTAGCGACTTTACTTAAGTTTATAAGAAGTTTCCGGATACTTCAAATTTTCAGCTGATACAAAGAATAAATATTAGACATGTTTGTATTTCTTTGCCTGAAGCCCTGAACTGCATGTTTTTCTGAAATAGACCGTATTATGGAATATACAGGGTGTATCAAAAAAAATGTCCCAAATGTAAAAATTCCGTTTTTCAGGACATTTTGCAGAATTTGGCAATTTTTTGTGTTCCTAGAGATAGTTAAGACTTATCTGGTTTACCTAGGCCAAGTTTGGTTTTTTATTAACAAAATTATGTTACCAGGGGGGTGGTTCCTTTCCACTGATATTGAGAGGGCTTGCGCGCGAAATTGTGAAGCTGGAATTGAGATATTATTTAGCTGTCTAAAAGTAGGAAAGCTTTTTAATAAACTGTCAAAGTTTCAGGAAAAATAATGCATACTGGGAGCAACGCGCGACGCCTAAAGGTGACAAATATTTCATTGTGCGTAGTGGATTAAATGCATCGTTGACTTTAGCGTGACCGATCTCATACAAGGTGGGCAAATGAATAAATTAAAGCGAGAAACTGAACACAAAAACAAAGCGATTTATTCGTGATGTTAATCCTCAGCATGTCCACCATTTCATTCTAAGCAAACTGCGGCTTGTCTGAGCATACTAAACACTTAACAGCGAACCATTTGTCTGTCTATTCGCCTAGATTTGCCGGTGGTAGCGTATAGGCGATTTGCAAGAAAGAATTTCGAACGAAATGGATAATTTGAGGCAGGACAGACAAATGTGGTTCGCCGTTCAGTGTTTACTATGCTCAGACGAGCCGCAGTTTGCTTAGAAAGAAATGGTGGAAATGTTGAGGATTAACATCAAGAATAAAAATCTTGTTATTAAATCGTTTCGTCTTATTGTTCAGTTTCTCGCTTTAATTTATTCATTTGCCCAGCCTTGCATGAGATCGGTCACGCTAAAATCAACGATGCATTTAATCCACTATGCGCAATGAAATATTTGTCACTTTTAGAGGTCGCGCGTTGCTCCCAGTTTGCATTATTTTTCCTGAAACTTTGACAGTTTATTAAAAAGCTTTCCTACTTTTAGACAGCTAAATAATATCTCAATTTCAGCTTCACATTTTCGCGCGCAAGCCCTCTCAATATCAGTGGAAAGGAACCACCACCCCGGTAAGATAATTTTGTTAATGGAAAACCAAACTTGGCCTAGGTATACCAGATAAGTCTTAACTATCTCTAGGAACACAAAAAATTGCCAAATTCTGCAAAATATCCTGAAAAACGGAAATTTTACAGTTGGGACATTTTTTTGATACACCCTGTAGACCATTCTCATAATGACGTCAAACTCGCGAAGTCTGATTTTATGCGACATTTGACTGAATTTCACAGAAGATTTGAAATGTGGTTAGTCCTGCAGAACGACTTGCAACATCAGGCTTTCGGGGTTTGACGTGATTATGAGAAAGGGCAGTTGTCTATTGCAGAAACTGTAGCCTTTCACATACTGGCCAAATCTTAACCTTTGACGCCCGGTTAGTTTTACGGGAAACACATTCTCTGGAGTATTTGAACATTGTGGTGTTTTCATTTTCTAGTCTGCTGTTGATCCACCGAGTTGGAGTGATAGATTCCAAGTCGTACTTCATGTTGCACGAAAAGTTCAGGTAACTTGATGACCTAAATATGTGGGAGAGGGATTGAACCATCGTTTTGTGATGCAGGACATGACGGTGCTGATCTTATACGTCGCAATATTATGTATTTTTGTTTAGAATGTCTTGGGTAATTTGTCGGACTATTTGGAAAAAGTAAAAAAGTATGAATTGAATAATTTTATGTAAATTTTGTCTACCTAGAGCTAGAGAATAAGACTGGGTAATCAAGGTAACACCATGTTTTGCGTTTTAGTTTAATAACGTGGAAAGTTCCCCATGTGACCTTCAAGCTTTACATTGTTTTATGGTTGTTGTTCCTTTCATCAATTTTCTTAACTGGACCACACTTCTATATGTTGCTGGGTAAATAAATATTATAAACACTTAATATTTATCTGCTATTCATAATAATCTGTTTACGAATTCTTTAAGTTAGTTTTTTCAATTATTAATGACCTTGCAGGCATGGTGCTTGGATATAAGTTGTTTATTTTGGGGCCTCTTTACAACAGATTTCCAAAGGTAATGAATGGTCAAGAGGAGCAGAAGGCTAGATTATAAATTAAGGTGGTGGTGGATTAGAAAATAGAAGGTCAGACCGTGGATGATCTGGAGTTTAAGGATCAGGTGGTGGATGATCTGATTGATTATGATTATTATGATTATTATTAAAATACTTGAATGGCAGTTCAAAAACGAACTGAAAAACACAAGTTTACAAGTATCAGAAGTAAGACTATTTACATATTTACAGTGATAAAATACTCAGAAATACAATTACTAACATGTTAATACCATAACTACAAAAAGATATGCTAACATTAGAATCTAAAATATTAAAATATTAAAATGAGTTCCATTTACGTATGCAATACGGCAAAAAGCTATCATTATAGCGTTTCGTTCGACATTTAAAAAGAGAGATCGATCGAGGATGTCTGAGATCGTACTCATGGGTTAAAAGTTTGGGTAATAGACTAGAAATTTTACCCGAAGGGTCATTATAATTATTTTTATAAAAGGTTCTGCATAACCGTTCCCTTCTCGCTTCTAAGGTAGGTAAATTCAGGTCTTTAAGGCTTTCGGTGTAGGACAAATGGGGAAAAATAATTTTGAACGCACGTTGCTGAATATGTTCCAATTCAACGGTGAGGAAATTAGGTAGTGAGGTATGCCAAACTGGACATGCATATTCCAGGACAGGTCTGATGAAACTACAATATACCGCCTTAAGATCACTAGGTTGGACACCATTTCTTCTTAATAGCCTTAAGGCATACAGGCGTTTGCTTGCTTTAGAGGATATGTGCCTGATGTGTGTGGTCCACTTGAGATCGGAGGTTAAATTTACTCCCAGGAGTTTGATAGAGTTCACAGCCTCCAGAGGTAGGTTATTGACAAGCAAGGGTTGTGCCGGGGGTTGATTGATCAAGAAGGACACGGTGAAATCTTTAGTTTTTTTTACGTTTAATTTCATGTTGTTCACATTCGACCACTGAGACACCTTATCGAGTTCTTGCTGTAATTTTGGAAAATCCGGTTCACATACTCTAACAACTTCAGAAATAGCACAATCATCAACGTACTTGTACAGTGGTAGTTCACTGGATAGATCATTGACCATTATAAGAAAGAACAAAGGCCCCAATTTTGTGCCTTGCGGAACTCCAGCATTGATTTCTTTCCAATCAGATTTACAAGATTTTAATTTAACGCGCTGTTGTCTGCCTTGAAGGAAACTTGAACACCAGTTTAATAACACGGGTGGAACGTTGAGGAGTTGTAATTTGCGCATTAGAATGTTATGGTCAATTCGATCAAACGCTTTGGAAAAATCAATAAAGCAGGATCGAATAATGGTATTAGGTGTTTCCAGGGCCGAAAGCCAATGGTGGATTAGGTGCACGAGGGCGTGAGTCGTTGAGGACTTTTTCACACAGCCAAACTGGAGGGGATCAATGAATGGCATAACAATGGGTGCAAGCCAATTGAACACGAAAGACTCAAGGATCTTGCTCAGTACTGCCGTGAGGGATATAGGTCTAAGGTCCGTATCAATAGATTTCGGTGTAGGGATCTTGCTTAAAGGGAGAACATCCGCGCATTTCCACAGATCAGGTACACGACCTTCTCTAATGGAAGAGTTAAACATGGAGCATACAGGGTAGCTAATATTTGCGGCACATGTTTTCAGGATCCAATTGGGGATCTCATCAGGTCCTACAGACTTACGATCGTTAACACCTGCCAATGCAAGTTCAACAGCATCACGCGTAATGACGTATCTATCAGGAACATTGGAAACGGGTACTGGAGTGAAATTTAAATGCGGTATATCAGCAGCAGCACTGCAGAAGGATTCATTAATGACGGTGGCAAGTTCAAAGTCTCTCAAGACGGTGCCGTTTATGGCTAGACTATTAAACGGAGGGGGGTTAGACATTCCTGACAACTGCTTGATACCGTCCCACCACTTTTTAGGATTGCTCTGGTTCATGTGATTGATTTTGTCGTTATAGAATCTTCGACGTGCACTTTTACAGAGTTTTATCACTTTATTGCGATAAACATTAAATTTGGGAAGGTCATTATTCAACCAAGCTTGTTGACGTTTCTTAATGGATTCTTTAATAGCGGGAGTAATCCATGGTTTATCGTTGGGATGGAGTTTAACAGTACGCATGGGAATACATGAATTCAAAGCACCATGAACCACAGACTGGAACAAATCCAGTTGATCGTCACATGAATTTCGCCTCATGAGCGGTGTCCAATTGACCGAGTCCAGGCAGGATATCAAATTTCGTTTGTTGGAAACACGATAATCACGCTTTTGGAGTCGTGTGGTGGGTAGGCTTGGAGCATGTGGTGAAGTGGGTTGAAGTAATATGCTAGAATGATCAGATTGGCCAATAGGTGGCAGGATGGTAGCATCGTAGTAAGCCGATAAAGTTGAAAATGCTTGATCAAGGATATTACTTCCCCTGGTAGGCTTGGTGACCAGAGTTTTCAATCTAAAGGAATTGCACAGATTTCCTGGCTTAAATTGGTTAAAATCTCCGAGAACCAGGACAGCGGAATTAGGATAGTTGGCCAGTGAGGAATCTAAACATTTGAAGATATGCGTTCGAAGCGCGTGGTCATCGCTTTGGGGGGGGTGATAAACTGTTCCCAGGATAATGGAGTTTATTCCTCGGGGTAATCGATCCATTTTGATTAAAAACCATTGACTCTCAATTTCAGGATCGCCTAAGTCAGTTAATTCGGTAAAATTAAGGTTTGAGTTAAAATAGGAACAAAGACCACCACCGCGCTGGTTATTCATTCTATCACGTCGGCAAGATACATAACCAGGAATACGTATAGACTCATTAGTTATTTGTGGATTTAACCATGTTTCAGTAATTACGGCAACGTCACACAGTTCGATAGAAATTGATGCAGAAACTTCGTCTAACTTGTTGACCATCGACCTAACATTACTAAACCAAATCTTGGGAAAGCGTGGGATCGTAACAGGAGTCTTCAATGGGATTAATAATCTAAAAGGGGAATGATCTAGATCAGGTGGATATCCAACTTGAGTTGAAAGATTAAGTGGTGGCAATCAGGAGTTGAGTGATCAGAAGGTCCATAATCTGTGAGTGCAAAATCTCGTAGTGGTGAAATTTAAGGTGGAATTTGAGGTGGAGGGGAGGAAACGGAAGATGGATGATCAGAAGTCAGGAAATCTGGTGATGGAAGATAACGATCTCGATGGCTGACTGATGGCTTCGGAAAAAGATCAAGTGAACATAATAATGATAATTTGTACTTGTAGCTCAAGAAAAGACATGATGCAACACATCGCTTGTGGCTTGAATTACCAACTGATTGCGAAGTCGCTGTTGCGGAAAAACAAACTGGTGCGATTGACGAGGTACGAAATATGCACTGTCGTATATATACATATACAAAGAAACCTTAAATACAGTAGAATTTTCTTTCTATAAACTGTGCAATAAATGCCATTATTAGGTAAAACTGAGAGTTAAACGTTGGTAAATCGAAGAATATTTTTTAGTAAATGAAAGTAATTTTTATATGAACCCGCTCCTATTCCGCCCAGTTGAGAGATCCTTAAATTTTTTCCCAGAAATAGCCAGAATGTCATCTTGATATAAATAATAATCATAAATAATAATAATAATAATAATCCCATAAAAAGGCCATATAAATACAGCCGGCGGAATTGATTTGTAAAGCAGTTTGTATATTTCGTTTTCTACGAGAAAATGTTGAAAATGCCCTTTTCTTCGTCTCAACTTATTCAGCGTCAAGACTCCAGCATTCATAGATCAGGTGTATCCCCGGTGTCAGAGACCTCTGCAATGAACTCATTATCGTTTTGCCAACGATATGATATATCAAGTGACGAAGTTCTCGTTAAAGGTAATTTTTCCTGCATTTTTGTACTTGAAAGAACAGGAACACGTTGCCCGGAGGAATTTAATGTTGGATAGCTTCACAATGTGTGTCGCTCCAGAAAACAAAGTGTGTTTTCTAGACATCAGTTTTCCAGACTCTGAGCTAGTAATTGGGGTTGGTCAGGGGGTTTTGGGTATACGAAATATTGCAGTTTTTTAAATCGGGTATACGGTATATTTACGTTATATATTCGGGTATTTGGGATACCTAAATTTTATGAATTTCTGGTATATAGTATCTCAGTTACAACTTACAAGTTTCAATCAAAAATGTCAATGTCAGTGGAAATTTGTATCAATAAGAGTTGAGTAATGGAAACTAATAATAAACAATGTGAATATACGCGATTGTTAAACCTTGGCATATTTGGAAATGATTTTTTGTTGTTTATTTTCTAGGTTGGGAAGAAGGATGGAGAGCCAGTTTAATGAACAAGAACAGACCATTAGTTGATCTTAAACATGGAAGACTTTATCTTACACAAAAGTACGATACTTCTGTTTTGATTTCGTATCATGTTTGGTGTTTGCAACACAAGAGATGTTATATCTTAACGAGGGTCACTTTAACAAATAACCTGGACGTTGCTTCCTGTAGAGATTTATTGATATATTTTCTTCATAGTTATCTTTGTTTTGAACGTTCGCGGACAAATTTGGCCAAGAATATTTTGATGAAATTGAGCGATATAAGATGTGTGAATAAGGTACGTATTTTGTCGTGGTTTGTGGTGATCTTAGACGCTGAGTTTCGATTTTTGCAGCAATTTTTGCAGCGTGGTTTACAGTCTAACATATATATGCAGTTAGCCCCCCATTAGTCCTAGATTAGGCATATCAGAGTAACGAGTAAGTCCCAATTAACTGCAGTAAATAAAATGTTATTTTCATTTAACTGGTAAGTCCCACGCACACGCGGCACGCCGGGCGCGGCGCGTTTTTACCAGGAGATAAATTTTCATTCTGGGAGCAAAGTTTGGAGGCTATGGAGACTGAAAAAACACGGAGCAATCGCGTCGCTTTGCCAAATGGCGTTCGCTTTGTATGGCCCTTTAATGACAGTAATGAAATTTCATCAATTTTTTTTTCAGTTCAAGCCAATTTATTTCCTCCCTGGTACAGGAATGTCAATTGAAGTTTGCATGAAAGATAAAGATGAGGTAAAGAATTGTATTCATTAATATCTTCTACATTCTTGCACGTTTTAACGATGATGAATATTTCAAGAGCAGTTTACAATTAGTTCCTGTCACCAATGTAACGCTGTTGATGATTCTATAAAGTTGTTTTTCTCGTCTTTTTCAGCCTTACATTTTCGCCGCAATGGTTGGTCGTGACGATGCATATAATGATATAATGCAGATGGCGAGAAATACCGAATTGTCCTGGGCCAAGTGAAATATTATCCACGAGATTGTATCCTTGGAATAATTAGCAGCGTTCTCTATACATAACAGGAGTGGACTTATGTGGCCTGAAATAACCAAACCTTTTTTTCTTGGGGGGGATAAGGAATGACATCTTTGTATCCATGGGGGGAGGTGGCTGTGGACAACCTCCTTCCCAGGGCATTTCCCTTTTTGACAAAAAGAGAAATGCCCCAGGGAACGAAGTTGGGGCTGTGGGGTGGAGGTGGCGGCACAAGAACCAGCTACCTGCTATGTGGTGGATATTACCCCCCCAAAAAGCCCTCCCCGCCTTTTTAAAACAATGCTGCCTCATTTGCTTGACTTGGCCATACCATTCTTTGACCATACGTTAGAAAGTTGTACTCCAGGTATGCATAGAGGTCACTGGACTGGCTGTAATTAGCACTAAAGACTAATAAAGGATTATATTAGGATTAGGTTAATTAATATCTCATTTTAGCATAAGTGTTTTTTAGAATAATTCCATATCAATATACCATATAATACCCTGGAACGAGGGTAATAAGATACATTTGATATATAGCGTAGTTTTATATTTGAGTTCTAATTCTCATTATTAATTTTCTAATAATTCATGAAGTATTTAATATAATTTGTATCAAATTTATAACAAGTTCGTTGTTTCTCAGTGGAGGTGACACGATTTACTCTTTCCCTCGTTAATATAAAGCCAAAAATGCTCAGAAACTCGGTTGAAATATTTCGTTCTGGATAACGGGTAAAATTTGTGTGAACTGCCATGTATTTAAACGTCGTGATCTCTTTGTTTATTCCCATGTGTGGGCGCATGACGAATCAATATTTGGTAATTTAAAGTGGAATGTTTCAGTGGAATTGCAATCGCGTACGATGCAGGAAATGTTCCCCATGCAAATATCGATTTCATAATTAAAAATATGGCAACATTCCTGTTCGTTTACGGAAACCAACAAAAATATAATTTCGGTTTTCTTGAGGAGATATTGAAAGTATCTGACACACCCTGTAGTGCTTCACAAAAATGATAGATACTGAAAATTCTAAAATTTAAAATTCATTTCGTAAAATATCGCAGAATGATCTGGTCGGTACGTGCAGTGCAACAAATGAAGTGCGCCACGCCGTATTTTTCGTATAAGGTCCCGCGGAGGCGATTAAATTAGAATGAGATATGTATGACGCAATTTTAAAATATAATCATATGATATAATTATGTTGAATAAGTTATTTTACCAAGAACCCAAGGCTTATTGTCTTGTTACCACTCACTAATACTTTTTTGTCGTAATATCAGGTAATATACACCCTGGGTTGATACTATAGTTGCGGCATCTGGAAATTACCAGTGTTTTGTAATTTCCTTAAATGAAGTGGCGATATTGCGTTGAGATATTTTAATTGTTTGGTCAAATTGATAAAATACTAAGTCAGCATGTGGTAATAATCATCATATATTTTAATATAAGGTAATGCAATATTCCATGTCGTAACTTGTTGAGATATCGGTGTTGTATTGTAGTACAGGGTAATACCGGATGCATATTGGTAGTATTTGGTACGTTTATCATTGGAATATATATCGTACTGGCGACATTATCGTTGTTTGGTTATTTGACATATTTTCACAATGTCATTGACTCGCGAAGTAGCAATTATCTTTGGTCTCATCCTAATATGTTCGTCGTCGTCTCAGTATGCTGGGAAATCGTTTCAGCTCACTCGTTCTGACTATGATGAATTTAAAAATCCAACAGCTGAAAAGTGCGACTGGCAGGCAGAGTATCAGAATCGAAAGTTTTGTGTTGATACTAATGCGCTATGCAATAATAATCAAAACACAAAACATTGCTGTGAGTGCATTTGTGATTGGCCAAAATCAACTTTCGACAGACGAGTTATGAAATGTCAAATCAACAAAGAGATTCGTTCTGGTAAGTTTTTACACGTAGCTATATTAACCATAGTCTGTTCTCGTTCACACTGTCAATGTTTCTATTCTATTGTTAAATTCTAAATCTTAAAGAATTCTAGCCAAAGCAATATCTTGGTGAAGTAATTTAGTGTTTTATTAATTCTTAATATTTCTTAAGTATATACACTTATTTGAAATTCTTTAAACTGGCTATGCAAAATTCCAACTTCGATCACAGAAACCCTAACATCGGGCCCAAGCCTAGGTCTAGTTCTGTTCATACGTTACAATCCAGTGACTTCGAATGACACTAATTATATGGCTGAAAGTTTCATTCGGTCGCTGCTTGACGCCACCACGACAAGTGGCGGATGTAAAAGACTAAATGTGTTTATTTATCACTGCGACCAACCATGCGTTCAATGAATACTAATTTCCGAGCCCACAGCAAAAACAAGAGACTCTGTATTTCACATCTACCACTTGTCACTGTAGCGACAGGTTACAGTGAAAGTTAAAGACAAAACTAGAATTACAAATTGTAAGTGATATGCTGCGAGTGAATACGTAGTACCTTTATCTTCCCCCAACCATTTCTTGGGTAGTCTTCAGGATAGTAATGGCAATATTGCGTGTCAAAAAACTTGTTTATATTATGATAAACGTATACAATATATCATCGCGGTTATGCTGAAGAGAATTCTCTCCCGAGTCACAGATTAATACCCAGGGGCCGGTTGTTCAAAAGCCGGTTAACGGTAACCCAGGGTTAAAAATGCCTAACCCAGGGTTAAATTTTAAACCTTGGTTGATTTGCGTTGCACAAAGCTCGGTTAGCGTTAACCCTGTGTTAAAATTGACAAAAAAATTAACCCTGCTAGCTAGGTGGGTTAACTTTTTAATCCTGGGTTAACTTCGATTCAAAATGGATGAATAAGGAGCTGAAACACGTAAACACGTATAATTCGTCATGAATTAAACACTTTTGAAAGGTTTTACGAATAATTTCGACAGCAAAGAATTATTTAAGTTTGACTTCGTTCGATTTCAGCTGATGTATTGATTTATTTATCTTCGCTTCAATGCAATACACGATGAATGAATACAACCGTACAAATTGAAAGATCGTAATCGAAATATTTGTTTCGCATACCAAAATTTGATTCTTTTGATTGGCAGCAAGTGGTAAGGCTACGTTTGTTCCTGAATTTGAATAATCAAAGAATGCCTAAAATTTTCAAAATAGATTGTTTATAATATGCATTGCTTAATTTTGCTTCACATCGCGACATTGTTTATCATACAACATTTGCGAATTTCGAATCTTTCTAAAATTGCATGCACGGAAATTGCGGTTCAAAACAACGTCCCTTCGACCCTGCCCTCACGGCATATAATCTTTCGACTGACAATATATCCTCGTCGGGTAAAGTTTTGCCGCTCGTTTATTGACCAATTGAAAACGTTCTTATATCCAACTTAGTCGTTAAAATACATTTAATCTTAGGTTAAATATTTTAACCCTGGGTTAACTAACCCTACCGCTAACCCAACTTTGAACAACACAGTTTTAACCCAGGTTTAGCTAACCTAGGGTTAAGGATTTTAACCCAGGTTTAGCACTAACCCAGGGTTAAATTTAACCTGCTTTTGAACAACCGGCCCCAGATGTCTCACTTCTGACTAAAAAGCGTAAGCGATTCGTCACTGCGCATCGCTTGCTGCGCATGCTTAGCAAGTGACTAGAGGCATTCACCCCCCCGAAATGCTTATTTCAAAATGGAGCCGAACTGAATTGAAGTGAAAAACTGCACGATGTGTTCAAATGAAGCGGAATATATGTACATTTATTGATTTTTACAGGAAATGCCATTCAATGTGAAGATATTCACACACTTTTTAAATGAAATATGTTTGAAAATATAACGTCGAACAGGGATTTCTACTTTTCCGCTCCTACGGCAATCGAAAAAAGATAAAACACTCGTACAATATTGAAAACGAGGTACTCTTAACTCACTTTTCCAAAACGCGTATAGATGATGATGGATTCAGACACAATTTTAACCTCACAGTCCATTGCTCTAGCAAATGATAGAGGAGTTTATTTTTCATGTATAAAATAGTTCGGCTCCATTTTGAAATTTCGGGGGGGGGGATGCCTCTAGTCACTTGCTGAGCAAGGTTTACGCTTTTTTAATCAGAAGTGAGACATCTGGCCAGATGTCTCACTTCTGACTCAAAAGCGTAAGCGATTCGTCACTGCGCATCGCTTTCTGCGCACGCTTAGCAAGTGATTAGAGGCATTCACCCCCCCGAAATAAAATTTCAAAATGGAGACGAACTGAATTGAAGTGAAAAACTGCACGATGTGTCAAATGAGTCGGAATATATGTACATTTATTGATTTGTACAGGAAGTTCCATTCAATGTAAAGATATTCAAACACTTTTTAAAAGAAATATGTTTGAAATTATGGAGATTTCTACTGCTTATAATTTTCCGCTCCTACGACAATCGAAAAAAGATAAAACACTCGTACAATATTGAAAACGAGGTACTCTAAACTCACTTTTCCAAAGCGCGTATAGATGATGATGGATTCAGACACAAACTTAACTACACAGTTGCCTTCTCTAGCAAATGAGAGGAGGTTTTTTTCCATGTATAAAATAGTTCGGCTCCATTTTGAAATTTCGGGGGGGGGAATGCCTCTAGTCACTTGCTGAGCAAGCGCTTACGCTTTTTTAATCAGAAGTGAGACATCTGGGTGCCCGAGTTGAGATCGCACATAAGTTACGTAAGTGCGAATATGACGTATCACGCATTTGCATAAGATGAAACCGCTGTTCTATGGTACGTGTGCTCAAAAAATCATCCTGACAAACCAAAATCGCTGAAGTCGAGATGCACGTCAAGAATATAGGGCTGCTCGCTTCGCTCGCAGCAATTAAAACTGTAGCCTATGTAAAACTTCTATATATAGATTGCCGGGTTTGCCATAAGGGCAATGATTGCCCCTACCCGCCCTATGGCAAACGAAATTGATATGATTGATCAGGCACTCTGCCTGTGTAAAACATATCACCGATAGCTCTTTCCAAGTGGTGCAAATGCAAGGGTAAATTTTAGTCCATTTAAAGGGTAAATATTAGTCTACTAGAAACGGTTTGGGGGCAGAGAAAAGACTAGTGTTACAAACCCCCTTTTTCGCCTCCCGAATTTTCAGACTTTCCCTGTTCAAAAAGTACCTCTGACGCCTGGGCATTGATTTGTCTTTACTCATATATACGTACCTGAGGTTATTTTTCTTTACTTCAGAATGCAGTGTAAAGTTCAAAAATATCTGGTCAGATGGCCATCCAATAAAACTTCTTAATTTGAAGAACAATGGTAAAGAGACATTATACTGGAAATATAAAAATGAAGTGAAGGGTGATAAAATAAAGTCCTTCAACGTCCTGAGTATTGCCTCGTATCATGATGGCAAAGTAGCGATGAAATCGTTTTTAAAGAAAAAAGGAAAACCTAAAAAAGACCAAAGTGGAAACTATGAGACTGAAATAAAGGTAATGGTTTCGGAGTCACCGAAATGACAACATATGAACTAAGCCCATTGCCCCCTTAAAATAAGCCGGAAGTTAAAAAAATTGCATGGAACCTAAACTGAATTTTTATTAAGTAGAAACACATTTTCATTTTTCTTTTAAACATATATTTTCTACAGGAAAAAGTTTTGAGTAAATACGTGAGGTATTATCGCCCGTATATTAGTAGACATCGTTAACTCGAACAGACCGACCTTTGAGTTTGACAAATTTGGCAAGGCGCGATTATATAGTTGATTTAGACGTAATGCTAATGGTTAGAACTTATAGAAGCTGTGGGGTGGCTCGTGACGGATTGCAAGTTAAGCCCGTTAAGTGCCTGCATGCCATGGAAATTACGCGCCTCGGAGCTGATATTTTCACTAGTCATTTATCACTTCAATGGCTTTGAGTTTAAATTACTTTGTATCATGCTGCTAAACTTAACGATATTTAGAAAAAGCAATTAGTATTAAAATTTTGTGCTCTGATTTCATTCTTCTCTAGTGGGATCAAGTTTCACTGAACGAATACTATGGCTTAATATTCAGAGTAAACATCTCCTACGAAATTGAGAAGAAGAAAAACATATCAAACATCAAAGACTGCTTTGTCTTCAAATCTTCAGGAAGTATTAAGGGTGAGAAGAAATTTCTAATATAAAATAGAATCTCTTGCAATCACGCACATTCCATCAGAGTTGCCTTTCATTTTCCTTAACGATTGTATTCTAAATCAAATTCTAGTCACCTTCCCAAGTTTATCCTCAACCACTTTATCACCTTCAACAACGGAAGAATCAACTTCGCCTGTACGATCTTCAAAGAAAACACCTAGCACCACCCCTGACACCAAATCATCTAGCACCACCCCTGACACCAAATCATCTAACACCACCCCTGATACCAAATCATCTAGCACCACCCCTAACACCAAATCATCTAGCACCACCCCTGACACCAAATCATCTAGCACCACCCCTGACACCAAATCATCTAGCACCACCCCTGACACCAAATCATCTAGCACCACCCCCACCGGAAAAACAGAAACAATGACAACCACAGGTGAACAAGCAAAAACAGTAAATCCCGTCCATACGAACAAAATGTCAACATTTGAGTCTTCAACGACATCAAAGAACACGGCTTCTCCTGGGGCGAGGGAAAAAAGCAGCGGAGATGAAAATGATACTGTTGTTGTGTCGTTGGTTGTTGTTGCTTGTATTGTTTTCATTGTTGCTGTTATACTTGTTGTTTGGTGGAAAAGACGACAGTCTGGGAGAGCATCAAAACAGAATAACCAAGGTATGTCAAATAGTCAGAATGACAAGACAAGAATAGTATTTTGGAACGGCAGTTACACATAAAAGGTTCACCATTCGGTATTTTGAAAGGAGAGAAAAGTGCTTATTCATTGTAAGTGTTATCTTCAGTAACCTTTATCCTGTGGCATCACACTGGAGCGAGTTATCCCGGCTAGGCGAGGTGAAAACTGCATATAATGAAAGACTAATGAGGTTAGGCCTTTGATCTGATGTCCTTTTTACCTCGCCTAGCCGGGGTAACTCGCTCCATGTAAACAGGCCTTAAAATACCTTAATATTTGGAGAAATGAGTTAGAATGATTTTAGATTGTTGATTGTGCTTGGCTTTCGGCCTTGAGTAATGTCATTGATATTAGTTTTCTTTCCAGCAGCAACTATCATTGCAAATAAAGGTGCCAATGTAAGTCAACTTTCTATAATTTTATATAAAAACTTTTTATCGTTTATTCGTCTCAATTGTTTTTGTTCTCATGTTCATACAGAATCCCATGATTATGTCACCAATGGAAAGTATTTACGCCGAAGCAGACAATTCAGTGAATTATCTTCAAGAAAAGGGTAAGAGTGTTTTTTTGTCCTGAGTAAGGTTCAGTGTATAACATTAACATTGTGTATTTTCTGTAGAGAAAAACAGTAACGTCTATGATTACGCCACAGGGAATCTAGAAAGTAATTACACAAGTTTGGACTTGAGCAAAGTTGAATCAGACCCAGTTTATCATTCACTGTGCGACTCAGTATGTTTGTTTTCTTGATAATTTACTTTACATTTATTTAGGAGACTGAAATTTTTCTTGTATATCTAAAGATCGGTGGAATTTTAAAATTTCTGTGCTTTATCAATGATTTTTTTTAGCACAACCAGCCCGGAGTGACAGGTCAATGTGTCAGTAGGGGAAAACAGCCACACCTGGTAAGGAGATGGAATATGTACTTTTTTAATAGAATTGGAATATGACATTGTTTGGCAGGAGGGAACGTCGGGATGACATGTAGTAGCATGAGAGTGGGAAGATGTGTAGAGGGGGGTGAAGGAAATTATTCATGATGAAACAAAATTGAAAACGCATGTGGATGCATGCATGCGCATGTGGTAAGCGAAGACATTCTTGAAAAGACTGAACAGAAATTATGTCAGGAAAATATGAATGAAAAACTACTTGACATATACAGATCACATGACTCAACTTTATTGGCAGGAGACTAATGTGGGGCGAAAATTTATTATTTAGAGTCGTTCTATCATGTTGTGGAAGGTCCTGGTACTACCCAGTACCCTGAGAAAAATGATAACTGTAAAATACGAGAGGTTTCGGGAAGGACTGGACACGAGGATACAGAGGGAGTATATAGTGTACTGGAAGAGTGTGATGACAATCCTGAGAGAGTGTACAGCGTGTTAGAGGATGAGAATCCGGAGTCAGATTACTTGAAAATATTGGAAGAAAGTGCTGCTGTGAACAGTGGCACTGGTGACAATCCTGAGAGGGTGTACAGCGTGTTAGAGGATGAGAATCCGGAGTTAGATTACTTGAAAATATTGGGAGAAGGCGCCGCTGTGAAGAGTGGTACTGATGACAATCCTGAGAGGGTGTACAGCGTGCTAGAGGATGAGAATCCAGAGTCAGATTACTTGACAATATTGGGAGAAAGTTCGGAATATGAACAGCCAATTAATCCGCCTGTGTCTGACTCCTGAAGTATCATATTTGTTTATTGAAATCTGTTAGCCTTAGGACCCTGGGTTGGAAGCTCAGATCGTATCTCGACAGGTTTTTTATCGTGAACACATAGTCCTTACTCTATAATCTGTGACGTCAAAGAGTTCCTTTCGAATTTGCATTGACACCACTAATAACGTCAAACCACGGTTAATCGTGTCAAACACTAATTTAAGTAATTTTTGAACGTTTATTGACCAAGACAACTGGATTCTGACATCATTGTGAAAGTGCAGAGGGAAAGGTGGTATATTTATTAAGGTGAAAAAAATACATTTGAACTGTTTTAGACGGCCAAAAATTGCATGGGAACGCGAAAATTTGAGAAATTGTTATTAATATTTATTACAGTTTACGCTGGGGAAAATGTTTATATTTTTTTGTTAATTTCGGTTTTTTTGTTAATTTAATCAAAGATCCAGGGATAATCAAAATCTGCTGATCATCTATATCACCATAGCAATTTGCACTTTCATTTTTAGTCTTGAAATTGAACATTGCGTGGGAACATCTTTTTGTTTGGCCAATATTAAGAAGCATAAGCCATAACAAACTAAGCTTGCGTGAAATTATATTCATATACGATCGTACGTAATATTGCATGTTGTTGCTTATTTTAATACTCAGTCTTATTGAACCAGTTGTACATCCATACCATTGGTAATTTGGTATTGTTGTCATACAATCATACATCCATACCATTCGTATTGTTGTGATAAAAATTACTGGGCGCATGTTTATTTACATCATATTTGTTATATATGCGATATTGTTTGGTTATTTGGACGTATATTTACAATGTCATTGACTCGTGAAGTAGCAATTATCTTTGGTCTCATCCTAATATGTTCGTCGTTTTCTCAATATGCGGGGGTTTCATTTCAGCTCACTCGTTCTATCAATGATAAATTCCGAAATCCAATGGCTACACGGTTTGGCTGGGAGGCAAAGAAAAAAACATTTTGCGAAGATACTAATTCGCGATGCGATGAAAATTGCTCTTGGTGTATTTGCGATAATCATACATCAACTTTCGACAGACGAGTTATGAAATGTCGAAACGACGATGAGATTCGTTCAGGTTAGTTTAATTTTTTACGTATATTCAGTTGATTAAAAAAGAAAGTTCTTCATTCGGATGCAAGTTACAAATATTAGACACGCGAATCCGTTTGCAAGTCGGAAATCGTCCCATACAGCTATTTTTGAAACGAGAAGTATGTCGTTCGATTGGTCTTAAGGCCGGCGCACACTAGAGCTATGTCACAGTTTAATGATATACAGTTATGGAACTCGCGGCGGAACCCTTTGATGTTGCTGTCCCCCTGCCTACGCCATTCCACGCGCCACGCAAATTGCTCTGGCAAGTGTATTTTGACTCTAAAGTAAGGGAAAAAGGTGTTCGAAAGACGAAAAATGTTAATATTTTAAAGCTGGCTCTATCGATCTCCATTTTTGCGCCTAAATTTTAAAAACAAACGGTAAATGGTTGTTTTTTTGTAGAAAATATATGCGTTAGGTTAAAGAGGTAAGAAATACAAGCGCGAATGATTTTCTTTATAAATATCAAGCTGATTGCCAACATCGTCGCCGATTATAAATTAGGCAGTTATTTTTTCATCCAGAAAACATCTGAGCTGATCTTAAAAAAAGCATGATTGATGTGTTAATATTACAATTCAAACACACGAAAAAAATCTTTGAAAATAATTTATTGTGCCATAAAACTAGCAAAAACTACATGTTTTTTATTCGAACTTGAACTTGAATTCAAAGGATTTACAATAAACAAATGCAACTTTTACCTATATACAATACTTTTTACATGAGTATAAATCCAACTTCACACACAAAATGGTAAATGCTAACAGATATTAATTTCAGTTCATACATGATTGTAATATTCATGAAGGACATGCAAATCAATTTCCAATCTAATCTATGCAATTCTGTGTGGCTTCTATGAGAAGATTGGAAGCTATTTTACAATTTTTGGATGTGAATATAATGAAAAATATAAATATTTTTTGCTCTGAAACTATAATATGGTGATGAACTCAATGTGTCCTAACCTTCCCTTAATCCCTTTTACATGGAGTTTTAATGTTGTAGAATGTGCATTGCATGGATAGATTCAAAAACAAGGCTTTTGTTGAGATTAATTACATGAATGAATTTAGACCAAGCCTAAATAATTTGAGCAGTTAATGCATAAGAAGGGTAATATAAAAGCTTATATACCTATATATGAATAACTGAATAACATAAATTTCTTATACTAATATACAAGCTATAATTCTAGAACCATTGTCTAACCTTGCTGCTGCTGCTAGATATTTCAGTTCTAGAATTTCCATTGGTACCAGCCCGAAGAGGGTCTGAAGAGTCCAAAGTGAAATAATAATACACATATATAGAGACATAATAGGGTTCACAAATATCAGTAAACTGCGTATGCGTTGTAAAACGTTTTTAATAGCCATCTAACTTGCTATCTTCTTGAACAGTAGAAGTCAATGTCTTGATATGTCGTCTGCTCAAAAGTTAACTGAGAAGATTGTTTCGCCATCTAGAGAAAAATACGACTGCATGTTGGCGAAATATAGTCAGATAGACCTACATTTATTAGATGAAATACAAAACTTTGAATTTTTACCTGGCAGTTCTAGAAGCTTCGTGTGAAAATCGCACTCCTCGTAGTTGTATTTCCCTTTTTTCCCCGTTTTAATTCGTATTATCGCAGTCATTTTTAATCCAAAAGGAGCAATGTCGGATGGATAAATAAAATTTGTCAAAAAAACGAAGAGCAAAAGACCCTTGGCTTTAAAATTGCATTTTTTCTGCTAAAAAATCGAATTTTCCTTATTAAAAAGTGCAAAAACACTTGCCAGAGCCTAGCGCGTGCGCATTAAAAACAGGGGACAAGATTTGCCGCGAGTTCCACCTCTGTGTAGTACTCTGTGGCTATGTGCTTAGCAAAAAGTCATTCGTGGCCATTGGCGTAAGCCAGTTGCTCTCGTGTGCAGGCGACTTTTCCAGTGACTTTCGTCATTCGTGCCAAAAGTCGCCCGCACACGAGAGCAACTGGCTTTCGCCGATGGCCACGAATAACTTTTTGCTAACAACTAATAACTTTTACATAATAACTTTTTGCTAATAACTTTTTACATAGCTCTAGTGTGCGCTGGCCTTTACCTGCTGTTAGAAATCTTGCTATAACTATAAACTCAATAAGCAAAAACAACCACTCTGCTGGACGTAAATATATATATATAGGCAAAGAAAAGTTAGCTCGTGACTTGTCAGATGACCGCATCACAATTTTAAAGTTTATCTAAAGTTTGGCTGGAGGTTTAAAAATAATTATTACTCTAATAATTATTACTATGGCGGACGTATATTTATCTACTCCGTATAAACATAACATATAAACAAAGTTATATTATTTTCCTTGATGTTTGCAAGCAAATTGAAGTTGTCAATAGATAAAACATGACTCAATGCTGCCGGTGTAACGGAAATGGACGGTGTAGAGGATGTTCTTGTACTAAAAACAACCAAGTTTGTACTAACTGCAAACCAGGAAAATACGAACGATGTGAAAATCAAGGTATAGTTTTGCCAATCCAAGATGGATCCCCAACTGCTCAAGTACCTGATCCAAGCTCAATTCAATATCAAGTCAATGCCAGCAAAAAAGCGAATTTATCCTTAAATAATCAAACCCAAACTGGGACAGAAAATGTAATGTTAGAGTTGGAACAACTCCCAGCTTTTGTTCCACTTCAGGCTGCAACTTTCAAGTGGGGAGAAACCGAAGGAGAAGCATTTAGTCTAACTATACAAAAAGGCTATAACCTCATAGTTCATTGGAGACGTAATTTGTTTAAAGTTCCTTCTGGACAAGCAGGTAAATCGTTTGTGCGTGAACTCACTCGAATGTTTCAATCTTATGCTGATGCATCCGCAATTGAGAGTGTGGCTCTACGGGCTGCAATGGTAATGCCAGCGCTTCTACTACAAAAACCACATTCTAAATCTAAGGCAAAAGAGCACAGTGCACATTTAAATCGCAGACTTAAGCAATGGATAGATGGGGATATTAATGGTCTCTTAGATGAGGGCTGTGCTATTCAACAACGACTGGACAGTCAGCATAAAACACGATCTAATGAGCATACTGCCAGAGTCTTTGCGAAGTTAATGATGGAGGGCAAAGTAAGAGCAGCAATTCGGAAGATCTCAGAAGACAACAATGGAGAGATTCTAACTCTGGATAGTCGTGCAACCCCCGAAAACCCTGAGACTGTCAGAGAGTCACTTCTGAAAAAGCATCCTCCTGGTAGTCCCCTCGTACCAACAGCTATAACTAGTGATTCCAACGTAGAACCACATCCAATTATATTCGATGGCATTGACGAAGACCTAATACGGAATACGGCTATCAAAACAGAAGGAAGTGCAGGACCATCTGGTCTTGACGCGGCGGCTTGGCGACGTCTCTGTACATCATTTAAATCATGCTCTACTGCTCTATGTCATGCTTTATCTATGGTTGCAAGAAGAATCTGTACCACCTATGTTGACCCATCAGGTCTAGAAGCACTTGTTGCCTGTCGTCTTATTGCACTTGATAAATGCCCTGGAGTACGCCCAATTGGGATTGGAGAGGTGTCTCGACGTATCATTGGTAAAGCAGTTGCTAGAGTCCTTGGTAAGGAGGTCCAAGAAGCTACAGGTCCATTACAGACATGTGCTGGACACCTGTCAGGCTGTGAAGCAGCAGTACATGCGACTCGCCAAGTCTTTGAGTGCAACGATGCCGAAGGCGTTATATTAGTGGATGCAGCCAACGCCTTTAACTGTTTAAATCGCCAAACTGCGCTAATTAATGTCAAGAATCTTTGCCCTGCATTATCTAAAGTTCTGATCAATACTTATAGACAGCACATTCCACTGTTTATAGATGGAGAATCAATTCTATCAAAAGAAGGCACAACACAAGGAGACCCTTGGCAATGGCAATGTACGCTGTTGCCGTCACACCACTGATCCATCGACTAACGGAGGAGAGGCTGAATCAAGTGTGGTTTGCTGATGATGCCTCTGCTGCTGGGAAACTAATTTCCATTAGAAATTGGTGGGACAACATGACAAAGATCGGCCCAGATTATGGCTATTTTCCAAATGCAATGAAAACATGGCTTATTGTGAAGGAAGAATACATTGAAGAAGCAATGGAGTTATTTAAGGACACTGGAATAAAGATTTCGTGCGATGGAAAGAATAACTTGGGATCAGCAATTGGATCACGTTCCTTTGTTGAAAGTTTTGTTGCTGAAAAAGTAGCTAAATGGAAGAAGGAGCTAGAGCATCTGTCTGATATTGCCACGACACAACCACAGGCTGCGTATGCTGCATTCATTCATGGAATCAAGAGCAAATGGGTATACCTAACTAGGACGACCCCGAATATCGACCATTTATTAGTCCCTCTAGAAGAAGTTATAAGATGCAAGTTCCTACCTGCCATTACAGGGCAAAATATATTCAGCGACGACCTTCGCAATTTAATGGCATTACCAGCACGTCTTGGTGGTCTAGGTGTTATTCTTCCTTCCCAAAAAGGTTCTGTCTACTACGAAGATTCTAAATCAATTACAACACCACTTGTTAATGCTATTCTAGAACAGGCGAGAACATGTTCTACTGAAATTGCTGAAGCCCAAATTAATGCGAGAAATCACCTACGCAATTCACGAAGACAGCAAGAGAAACTCGATGCAAATGAGATAGTCGGTAAATTATCTCCAGATTTACAGAGATCTATAGAAATAGCATCTGAGAAAGGAGCCTCAACATGGCTTACCACGCTTCCGCTGTCTGAGTATGGTTTCACTCTTCATAAAGGTGCTTTTCGTGATGCTTTATGTCTCAGATACGGTTGGCTTTCTCAACAACTACCTTCTCGTTGCGTCTGTGATCAGAAACTTACCCTAGAACATGCTCTAAGCTGCTCACGGGGTGGATTTCCGTCAATTCGGCACAATGAGTTACGAGACATCACCGCCGAACTCTTGACTGAGGTATGTCATGGAGTTGGCACTGAGCCAAGCCTACAACCTATAACCAATGAAGTGTTTTCGTATAGAACAGCCAATAAAGAGGATGGTGCTCGACTTGATATCGTAGCTGAAAGTTTTTGGGGAGGTGATCGGCAACGTGCATTTTTTGATGTTAGGGTTTTTAATCCCTTGGCACCGAGCTATCGTAATACATCTCTCTCCCAATGCTATCGCAGAAATGAGCTTGAGAAAAGAAGAGCATATGATGAACGAATCCGTGAAGTAGAACATGGGTCTTTCTCCCCTCTTGTTTTCTCAACAGCGGGTGGTATGGGCTCCACTGCAAACGTAGTTTATAAGAGAATTGCATCTCTAATCGCTGATAAACATGATAAAGCGTATAGTAAGACAATCAACTGGATGAGATGTAGACTCAGTTTTTCGCTGTTACGATCAGCAATTATGTGCTTGCGTGGGGCTAGATCTTCTTTACATCGACCAATCTCCTCCTTTGGAGGAGAGATCGATCTAGCATTAGTGGAAGGACGGTGTGCTTATTGAGAGACTCAAAAAACGTCTAAATGTATGAGCATGAAATATTGTATATAATTCTCTTTACCTTAGATTTATGCGAACATTAATTTTTTATTTTTTTATTCTTTTTAAAAAGACTTAACTAGAAAGTGCATGGGTCATTTAGAACATTTGTATCTATGGAATATATTAATTTTTAGTCTAGGTTTTTAGCATTATTTTGTATAATATGTTTTATTATTACTCTACTTTTCGTCAGGATGCAGAATGAAGTTTAGTAAATCCAATGATGACGAACAAATCAAACTCCTTGATTTAAAGAAAAATCATAATCGTGAGGTTTACATATACTGGAAATATACGAATAGAACGTCAGGTGACAAACTGAAAACATTCACTATCCTCGATATTACTTGGTATGATGGAAAAGTGGTGAAAACACTTTTTTTTAAACCCGGACTCAAAATACAGGCCGATAATAGAGGAAACTATCGGACCAAAATACAGGTATGTAATTAGATTGTTGTATATTTAAGCCCCTCACAGACGAGCAAGCTTTCTATGACAAGTTTTTATGTGACAAGTTTTAAATGGCAATTGCACGTGTGTATGTACAACAAAATTTTTATGACAAGTTTTTTCAGTTTGACAAGTTTTTTTTGCTCGTGTGAATGTGCCAACAAGTTTACCTTGACAATTTAGTTTGCAGCCAGCAATGTAATCGCAGTTTATCGTACAGCGGACAAAGAGCGCGCCATTGCAAAATACTTTAGTCCGTTGGCCTACCGGCTAAAAATTTGTACTTTGACCATTTTTTCTATGACAAGTCCACTTGTTCAAAATTAGGTATACTTGATTTTGAACAAGTGTACTTGTCATAGAAAAAAGTTGGGCGTACAGAATTACAGATGAACAATTAAAACTTGTCACATAAAATCTTGTCATAGAAACCTGCTCGTCTGTAAGAGGCTTTAAGCCCCGTACAGACGGGCAAGTTTTCTTGACCAGTTCACTTGCTGAATGCTGATATGGTATGACGAACAATTATTCTTTGACAAGTTTTCCTTGCCAAGTTTTATTTACTCGTGTGTACGCGAAAAATTTTTTGACAAATTTTTCTTGACAAGTTTTACGATAAAATGAGTATATTTTACGATAAAATGAGTATATTTTACGATAATATGAGCCATGATAAAAATGAAAAACTTCATAAACCCGCTCGATTGGCTCGAAGATTGTTGCGCTGTTCCCTACTGCGCAATTGCTTGTCAACTTTTTCTTGACGACCGTACCCAGTACCCACGACTGAGTATTTTTCTTTGTTGAAAAGCTGGGACTAGCTTTTGGACAAGGCTCCTTGTCAAGGAAAACTTGTCATTTTTTTCGCGTACACACCCCTGAGCAAATAAAACTTGGAAAGGAAAACTTGTCAACGAAAACTTGACAAGTACGGGGCTTTACTGAAGGCACAATTGTCCTTTTTCTTAAAACATTTTTCTGCACAAGGCTTCACAAATGTGCTGCTACTACGTGATTAGGTCACAGAGGAGAGATGGACCATCTCTCCCCCGTGATTAGGTGAGTAAGGTGACATAGGTGTAATAATATTATTACGTGATATAAACGAGTGTGGTCGAGCTTTTGAGTGATGAAATAATAAAATTACTCGCCATAAATGTGGAATTAAAAAACTAGTTAAACTACATCAAATAATTAAAATGTTTTGCACTGCACCGGCTCTGACTGTAAATTATTCTTCTATCTTAGTGGGATAAAGTTTTAAATAGTGTCTACCATGGTGTATTGTTCAGAGTAAACATTGATTATGAAATTAAACATAAAAAGAAAATAATCAACATCAAGGACTGCTTTGTCTTCAAATCTTCAGGAACAATAAATGGTAAGAGGGTACAAAATTTCACGATGTTTTCTACAAAACAGTTTAACCATTTTACTGATTTTAGAATATTTAGCATATTCCACCAGCATATGAGAATCCATCTGGTTTTTACCCCATCATGTTATTCCTTGCTCTTTTTTAGAACTTAAAACACTTCTATTCGTTCAATATTTAGTGAACTTCTCAAGTTTACCTTCCACAACTTTAAAACCAACTTCATTTGTTCCATCCTTACTAAACTTAAAGGTGGGTATCACCATTTCAGTTCACTATATTTCTAAATGAATAAGAGATTGAGTTGCTGAAAGAAATTTATTATACCAACAATACGCTAGTGATCTACACTTCTATAGTATCTGACTTTGACTGTCCCTTTTTTATTATATCTCTACACACACGTGTACGTGTTATATGATACCTGTACACAGTAAATCCAGTCATTACGGGCGAAATGTCATCAGCACACTCAGGTGATTTCATGGACTTCTGGGCGGAGGGGGGGGGGGAGTGGGAGACCAGTCCCCTTCCTAACTATTTTCCCGAAAAAAGAAATATCGATTAAGTTCCACGTGGAGTATGAAATTGGTGTTCCGTACAAGCTCCACGGTGTATGGTAAATTTTTAGTATACTATTGTAAAGCGAGGATGAAGAGTTCACAAAGCCGAACGTGCAAAGACGCAACGCTCGGGTTATAGCCAAATCATCGCAAGTGAGATTTTCTCAGCTGATGTTATATTTTCCTCCAAAATCCAGGTGTCATTAGGAGCACGAAAGTATTCAACGACATCAAAGAACCCGGCATCTCCTGGGGTTAGGGAAGACGAAGATGAAAATGATAATACTGTTGTTGTGACGTTGGTTGTTGTTGCTTGTATAGTTTTAATAATTGCAGTTATTCTAGTTATTTGGTGGAAAAGAAGACAGTCTAAAGGAACATCAAAAGAGAATGACGAAGGTGTGCGAAAAGGTCAGCATGTCAGTACACCCGTATATATTCACCATTTGCCATTAATTCTTAAATACAGATGGAGAAGTATATTTATATATATTGACTTTTCAAATTCTTTAGTTTTTTGTTACATTTTATTCTGTATTTAGTTTGCCTTTTGCCGCTGAAAGTTCATAAGTTCATTTCATTGGTATTTTTTCTTTCCAACAGACACTATCATTACAAATACAGGTTCCAATGTAAGTCAACTTTATGACTCAAACAAGTCTAAGGTTCAGCTATTTTTAACTCAGACTCATTGAATGACTCATTTGAACAATAATCTCTGTTTATTTGTCTCAACTGTTTTGTTCTCATGTTTATACAGAATCCCATGATTATGTCACCAATGGAAAGTATTTACGCCGAAGCAGACAATTCAGTGAATAATCCTCAAGAAAAGGGTAAGGATGTTTGAACAGAAATAATTATGCCTGGGTTATACTTTGCAGGATTTAATTATTCTGAATGATCAAGGTTAATTAAGTGTTCAAGAGTGATCAAGATTCTAACATTAACATTGCATTTTCTGTAGAGAAAAAAAGTTATGTCTATGATTACGCCACTGGGAATCTAGAAAATAATTATGCAAGTTTGGACTTGAGCAAAGTTGAATCAGACCCAGTTTATCATTCACTGTGCAATTCAGTATGTTCTTTTCCTTGTTCTTGTCTGTTTTCTTGATAACTTATTTCAATTTAAGAGACTGAATTTTTTCTTGTATGGTATCTAATCCCCTCTGCAATTTTTTTAATGAATTTTGTCAATTAAATTTTGACAATTTATTATTTTCCAATTAATTTTTAGTACAACCAGCCCGAAGTGACAGGTGAATGTGTCAGTGGGAAAACACCAACAGCTGGTATGTGGAATATGTACTTTTTAAATAGAATTGGAATATGACAGAGTGGGAACAGACGATGAAATATATAAGGTTGTTAAATAGAGGAGGAAATTCAGGATGTTTGGATCAAAGGAATGTGCAAATGATATGTATAGTGGTAGACAGGTTAGATGAATATAACAAAAAATAGGGGATAAAAATTGAAAATGGGTGAATTTTAAAGAAAACGTCCCTTAAAACAAAAGAGGTTATGTTAGGAAGATATGAATAACTTAACTTAACATACAGACCCAGACTTGTCCCAAGTTGCTTTTAAGAATTTTTGTTAAGAATTTTTAGTGCAAATTTCCGGCCAGGTATATCCATATATCTCCATGGAGTCTCTTCTGTGCTGTGGACGTACATCTTTCTTTGCTACTGAACAATTTATAGATTTATATATCTATGTATAAATATTTAATTTGTAAAATAACAAGCAGAAATGAGTCTGATACCAACCCAATGAGATAAATAAACCTTGGTTTAACTTTATTCATCTCAATGTACAGACCACATGACTCAACTTTATTGGAAGCAGACTAATATGTGAAAAAAATCTATATCATTTAGAGCGATTTTATCATGTCGTGGAAAGTCCTGGTAGTACTGGTACTACCCAGTACCCTGGTGGGATTCATAATGTCTTGGATGAACCTGAGAAGAATGATAACTGTAAAATACGAGAGGTTTCAGGGAGGACTGGGCACAAAGATGAGGAGAGAGTATATAGTGTACTGGAAGAGTGTGCCGCTGTGAACAGTGGTACTGATGACAATCCTGAGAGGGTGTACAGCGTGCTAGAGGATGAGAATCCAGAGTCAGATTACTTGACAATATTGGGAGAATGTTCGGAATATGAACAGCCAATTAATCCACCTGTGTCTGACTTCTGAAATATCATATTTGAATATTGAATTCAGCTGGGCCTACAAGACAACTCTTCTTGTGTAGTGACAATGACAAATATAGCGGTAAAATTGCAAGATACAAAAATAAATTTGAGAGGAATTTATTAGATAAGTTATTAGCAATCAGTGTGGCGTAAGTTGGGTATTATTATGTTAAAATTTAAAATACCACTGTGTCTGGCTTGGGCTACAGTATCCCGACAAAGTAGCCCAAAACAAATAATTTTTTTTTTCAAAAAATTTTTTTTCCAAATATTTTTTACTTGTGTCAAATTTTTTTTTGTGTCCAAATTTTTTCCCCATCAATTATTTTACTTGTGTCAAATATTTTTTGTTTCCAATTTTTTTACCTGTGTCCCGACACAGTAGACCAAGACAAATATATTTTTTTGTGTCAAAATTTATTTCTGTCCAAATTTTTTTTGTGTCCAATTTTTTTACCTGTCAATTTCTTTTCATGTGTGCAAATTTTTTTTTATGTCAAAATTTTTTTTCTGGTGTTAATATTTTTTTTCCTGTGAAAGGGCTACTGTATCCCGAAAAGCAGCCAAAGACAATTTTTTTCAAAATTTGAAAAAACAATTGGACAAAAGAAAAAATTATTTGTCTTGGGCCACTGTGTCAGCAATACAGGTAGCCCAACCCTAACATAGAATGCAAGATTAGAAAAAGAATTTTAAAAAGTCGTCAAAAGTCAATTGAAAAAGCCTAATGGTAAAGCTTACCCCTTACAATTTTGGTCAATTTTGACGACTTTTTGAACTGTTAAAAACCTGTCTTAAAAGGCTAAAAATGGCTTTTAAGACTAATATCTTTCATTTTTGAGCATATTTGGTTGGTTTTTGGAACAATGAAAAAGTCGCAAAAATCGACCAGAATGGTAAAACTTAGCCCTTACCATTTTGGTCAATTTTGACGACTTTTTGAATTATTCAAAAACTGTCTTAAAATGCTAAAAATGGCTTCCTAAGACTAATATCTTTAATATCAGAGCATATTTGGTTGGTTTTTAAAACAATGAAAAAGTCGCAAAAATCAACCAAAATGGTAAGGCTTACCCCTTACCATTTTGGTCAATTTTGACGACTTTTTGAATTGTTCAAAAACTGTCTTAAAATGCTAAAAATGGCTTCCTAAGACTAATATCTTTCATTTTAGAGCATATTTGGTTGGTTTTTAAAACAATGAAAAAGTCGCCAAAATCGACCGAAATGGTAAGGCTTACCCCTTACCATTTTGGTGGATTTTGGCGACTTTTTGAACTGTTCAAAAACTGTCTTAAAATGCTAAAATTGGCTTCCTAAGACTAATATCTTTCATTTTAGAGCATATTTGGTTGGTTTTTGGAACAATGAAAAAGTCGCCAAAATCGACCAAAATGGTAAGGCTTAACCCTTACCAATTTTGGCCAATTTTGACGACTTTTTGAAATGTTGAAAAACAGTCTTAAAATGCTAAAAATGGCTTTTTAAGACTAATAACTTTCATTTTAGAGCATATTTGGTTGGTTTTTGGAACAATGAAAAAGTTGCCAAAATCCACCAAAATGGTAAGGCTTACCCCTTACCATTTTGGTCAATTTTGACGACTTTTTCAAATTTCAATTGTTCAAAAACCGTCTTTAAATTCTAAAAATTTCATGCTAACACTAATATCTTTCATTTTAGATCATATTTAGTTGGTTTTTAGAACATTGAAAAAGTCGTCAAAAATGGTAAGTCTTACCCCTTACCATTTTGGTCAATTTTGACGACTTTTTCAACTGTTCAAAAACGGTCTTAAAATGCTAAAAATTGCTTCCTAAGACTAATATCTTTCATTTTAGATCATATTTGGTTGGTTTTTGGAACATTAAAAAAGTCGTCAAAAATGGTAAGGCTTACCCCTTACCATTTTGGTCACTTTTGACGACTTTTTCAACTATTCAAAAACTGTCTTAAAATGCTAAATATTGCTTCCTAAGACTAATAATATCTTTCATTTTAGAGCATATTTGGTTGGTTTTTGGAACATTGAAAAGTCTTCAAAAATGGTAAGTCTTACCCCTTACCATTTTGCTCAATTTTGACGACTTTTTCAACTGTTCAAAAACTGTCTTAAATGGCTAAAAATTGCTTCATAAGACTAATATCTTTCATTTTACAGCATATTTGGTTGGTTTTTGGAACATTGAAAAAGTCGTCAAAATTGACCAAAATGGTAAAAATGGCTTCCTAACAGTAATATCTTTCATTTTAGAGCATATTTGGTTGGTTTTTGGAACATTGAAAAAGTCGTCAAAATTGACCAAAATGGTAAAAATGGCTTCCTAACAGTAATATCTTTCATTTTAGAGCATATTTGGTTGGTTTTTGGAACATTGAAAAAGTCGTCAAAATTGAGCAAAAAGGTAAGGCTTACCCTTACAGTCTTTTTGAACTGTTCAAAAACTGTCTTAAAATGCTAAAATTGGCTTCCTAAGACTAATATCTTTCATTTTAGAGCATATTTAGTTGGTTTTTGGAACAATGAAAAAGTCGCCAAAATCCACCAAAATGGTAAGGCTTCACCATTACCAATTTTGGCCAATTTTGACGTCTTTTTCAAATTTCAATTGTTCAAAAACCGTCTTTAAATTCTAAAAATTTCATGCTAAGACTAATATCTTTCATTTTAGATCATATTTAGTTGGTTTTTAGAACATTGAAAAAGTCGTCAAAAATGGTAAGTCTTACCCCTTACCATTTTGGTCAATTTTGACGACTTTTTGAACTGTTCAAAAACTGTCTTAAAATGCTAAAAATTACATCCTAAGACTTAAATCTTTCATTTTAGAGCATTTTGAGAAATTTTTTGAACCGTTGAAAAAGTCGTCAAAATTGACCAAAATGGTAAGTCTTACCCCTTACCATTTTGGTAAATTTTGACGACTTTTTGAATTGTTCAAAAACTGTCTTGAAATGCTAAAAATTGCTTACTAAGACTAATATCTTTCATTTTAGATCATATTTTGGTTGGTTTTTGGGACATTGAAAAAGTCGTAAAAAATGGTAAGCCTTACCCCTTACCATTTTGGTCAATTTTGACGACTCTTTCAACTAATCAAAAACTTTCTTAAAATGCTAAAAATTGCTTTATAAGACTAATATCATTCAATTTAGATCATATTTGGTTGGTTTTTGGAACATTGAAAAAGTCGTCAAAAATGGTAAGTCTTACCCCTTTTACCATTTTGGTCAATTTTGACGAATTTTTGAACTGTTCAAAAACTGTCTTAAAATGCTAAAAATTTCATCCTTAGACTTAAATCTTTCATTTTAGAGCATTTTGAGAAATTTTTTGAACCGTTGAAAAAGTCGTCAAAATTGACGAAAATGGTAAGGCTTACCCCTTACCATTTTGGTCAATTTTGACGACTTTTTCAACCGTTCAAAAACTGTCTTGAAATGCTAAAAATTGCTTACTAAGACTAATATCTTTCAATTTAAATCATTTTTCGTTAGTTTTTGGAACATTGAAAAAGTCTTAAAAAATGGTAAGTCTTACCCCTTAACATTTTGGTCAATTTTGACCGCTTTTTCAACTGTTCAAAAACTGTCTTAAAATGCTAAAAATTGCTTCATAAGATTAATATCTTCCATTTTAGATCATATTTGGTTGGTATTTGGTAGATTGAAAAAGTCGTCAAAAATGGTAAGTCTTACCCCTTACCATTTTGGTCAATTTTGACGACTTTTTCATTTGTTCAAAAAGTGTCTTAAAATGCTAAAAATGGTTTCCTAGGACTTATATCTTTCATTTTAAATCATTTTTCGTTGGTTTTTGGAACATTGAAAAAGTCTTCAAAAATGGTAAGTCTTACACCTTACCATTTTGGTCAATTTCGACGATTTTTTCAACTGTTAAAAAAGTTTCTTAAAATGCTAAAAATGGCTTCCTAACCGTAATATCTTTCATTTTAGAGCTTATTTAGTTGGTTTTGGAACATTGAAAAGTCTTCAAAAATGGTAAGTCTTACCCCTTACCATTTTGCTCAATTTTGACGACTTTTTCAACTGTTCAAAAACTGTCTTAAAATGCTAAAAATTGCTTCATAAGACTAATATCTTTCCTTTTACAGCATATTTGGTTGGTTTTTGGAACATTGAAAAAGTCGTCAAAATTGACCAAAATGGTAAGACTTACCACTTACCATTTTGGTCAATTTTGACGATTTTTTCAACTGTTAAAAAAGTATCTTAAAATGCTAAAAATGGCTTCCTAACAGTAATATCTTTCATTTTAGAGCATATTTGGTTGGTTTTGGAACATTGAAAAGTCGTCAAAATTGAGCAAAAGGTAAGGCTTACCCCTTATCATTTTGGTCAATTTTGACGACTTTTTCAATTGTTCAAAAAGTGTCTTTAAATGTTAAAAATTGCTTCTTAAGATTAATATCTTCCATTCTAGAGCATATTTAGTTGGTTTTTGGAGCATTGAAAAAGTCCTCAAAAATGGTAAGTTTTACCCCTTTTACCATTTTGGTCAATTTTGACGACTTTTTGAACTGTTCAAAAACTGTCTTAAAATGCTAAAAATTACATCCTAAGACTTAAATCTTTCATTTTAGAGCATTTTGAGAAATTTTTTGAACCGTTGAAAAAGTCGTCAAAATTGACCAAAATGGTAAGTCTTACCCCTTACCATTTTGGTAAATTTTGACGACTTTTTGAATTGTTCAAAAACTGTCTTGAAATGCTAAAAATTGCTTACTAAGACTAATATCTTTCATTTTAGATCATATTTTAGTTGGTTTTTGGAACATTAAAAAAGTCGTAAAAAATGGTAAGCCTTACCCCTTACCATTTTGGTCAATTTTGACGACTTTTTCAACCGTTCAAAAACTGTCTTAAAATGCTAAAAATTGCTTTATAAGACTAATATCATTCAATTTAGATCATATTTGGTTGGTTTTTGGAACATTGAAAAAGTCTTAAAAAATGGTAAGTCTTACCCCTTAACATTTTGGTCAATTTTGACCGCTTTTTCAACTGTTCAAAAACTGTCTTAAAATGCTAAAAATTGCTTCATAAGATTAATATCTTCATTTTAGATCATATTTGGTTGGTATTTGGTAGATTGAAAAAGTCGTCAAAAATGGTAAGTCTTACCCCTTACCATTTTGGTCAATTTTGACGACTTTTTCATTTGTTCAAAAAGTGTCTTAAAATGCT